AAAGGGCTCAAAGACTTATCATCTAGTGATGAAATCCGAGGAATCTTAAGCCAGGGCTTTACACAGCAATTCAATTTTCAAACAGACTGCAACAAATCCTGAAGACAATTCTAAAGAAAAAATTTCGCATCCAAAAGTCTCTTTTTCTCATATGGTATCAAGCGTGACTTCGCTTCCAATTCAACCGCCCAAAAGCCGTCACAAACGCCAACTGCCCGAAAACATCCAAGCGTGTCAATCAGAAAACTACTTTTTCTCCTCAAAATAGAACTTTCCTAACCCAGCCTCATCCGGACTTCCAAGTGGCTTCTTTCCCTCTCCCTCATCTAGCCTGTCCCGTAGAATCCTTTCCGCAGCCTCGACACCGGGATTTCTTGCAGGTCCACCTCTTGCGTCCCTTGTGGTAGTATCAACAAAACTCGAACCGGGACCATCATCGCCAGTACCATCCATCATTCTTGCGTCCCTAGATGAGCTTCCCGGCGTACCACTTCCACTCTGTAACTGCATAGCCAACGCACTTTTACCCATTCCTGGACTAGCAATATCTCTTCGGTTATAAGTAGGACCACTGACAGTACTACCAGCACCCTCACCAAAGCCAACAAGAGAGGTATTGTCGCTCATACCATCCTGATCCATGTCCTCATCCATTGCAGACGCCGAAAAACGGTCAGCCTCCATGTTATCCACACTCATCTCATCATCATCCCCATCTCTACTAGCCTTCGCGCTGCCACTTGCCCAAGTTGTAGTTCTTCCTCCGATACTGCCAGTCGCTGACGCACTACCCACAGTGCTCATCTTGGTCGTGTACACGGGATTTCCATTTGGATCAAAGTAACCTGGAATCTGACCCGCGGTCGCAGAAGTACCTGCAGCGGCATTTGCAAGGTTCGGATTGCCAGGGCGCGCGGTGGAAACACGTTCAAGGCCTGCTAGACGCGAGATGCGGTCTGCGCGCTCGGCTTCGAGGGTGTTGGAGGAAGGTTGCTGTCTGTGGCCGAGTCCCGGATGCGGGAACGAGGTACCTCGGTGTCCGTCTTTGATTGCGGTGGTTGAAAGGGCGGAGAGGGAAGTTGTCGTTGAGTTTGGGGTACCACTAAGGTTCTCGATTTAGTCTCTCTTCTTGTAGTATTAGGAGAGTGGAAACTCACGGCATTTCTGTTGGTGTTTCTGGGTTCGACGGCGGCTCAGGCATATTGATTAAGGTTGGAGCAGCCATCTTGGGTTTTGTGAAGATCCTTTCTGGGTACCTGGAGGCCGGGGTGTCTTCTCGAATGGAATATGGGGTCCTGTTTTCGCTGAAGGCTGAATATTTGTATGGGTATTTTTGATCACACTTCGGTCTTCGGAGACAGTTCAGTCAGACTTTGTTAAAAAGGATGCGACAAACAGCAGAATGATAGTAAGTTAGTAGGCGTGGATAGGTAAAATGCGACAGTTGTTGCTACTTGGAACGTGGACAAGAACCCTTTGTTTTAACTAGCATTCACCCCTCCTCCTGAAGGGACCAGTTCAGGCCATTTCAGGGGCCTTCGTTTAAATGACGTAGCAATTCTGGGCACGTGCGCGACTGAGCCGATACGACCTGGACTCTTCCAGTAGAAGGAACCGTCTGGGCACTCGGTAATTGATACTTGCATTTCAAGAACATTCGAACATGTCAATAATGAATTTGAACAAACGATACGGATTACTCTAGAACGAAGTAGCTTTAGAATAGTGTCAAAATTGGATTGTCTTATTGCCGTTCCCACCAGCTCACAATGGAGCATTGGACGACTAACTTAATGGTTACATTTTGATATACATCATCGCAGCCATTCCCTTGATATGACTACCATCTATCTTGCGCCGTAATGCAAATGATTACTCCTTCCAAGTACGCGCGGATTCCTTATATCACAACTGATTCCGCCTAATCAAGAACAACGCCATTCCTATTACCCAGATTGTCGCAAACCGTGATGTCTCATGAACACCTGTCTCATTGCCCAGCAGCAACACCATTCGACTGAGCCTGTGCCGGACCCCCTAGAGATGATGGTGCTGTATTTCTTACTTGCTGCTGACTGGCTTGTTGCGCCTGCATTTGTGCCCTCTGGCGCTCTATCATGTTCGATTGTTCCTGGTGAGACAAATGTGTATTGTATCCGGTTGGATTGCTGCTCTGATGTTGATTGTACGCGTTGAGTGCCGGCTGCGGGGTTCCTCCATTTACCATAGGAGCTTGCAGATATTGTCGATTGAATTGTGGATTAGATGCAGCGGGTGTAGCATAGCCGCGACCCTGAAGGTGCGATGTTTGTGCGCTATACATAGGTGTTTGAGGTGAACTTTGACGAGCAATGTTTTGGGTTGCATTGTAACCGTAATTTTGCCCATTCTGAGCAGTCTGGGCTTGATGAGGGTAGACTGATTGTGGTGTATAGCCTCGCCCGTTCATTGCTGCCTGTGGCACCGGCTGAGGTGTGTTTTGATAAGTGTGCGTGGTTGGTCGCATATTATATGATTGACCAACTGGCGTCGACGAATATGGCGTTTGGCCAGACGACGGATACTGTTGAGTTGGACGAGGCGTTGCCTGTCCATAACCTGGAGCGTTATTGTATGGCTGGCTTCCACGGAATGGGGCAGGCGCGGTAGGTCGTTGCGCCGTGTAAGAAACAGGCCCAGCGGATGGTGCACGCTGGACGCTCTGTTGTTGAGTTCGTGCTGGGGTTTGGGCGGCCCCGTAATATCCATGAGATGGGGTGCTTGGGGCACGTGGAGCAGAATACTGATTGCCATACAGCGCGGTCGAGCTACTTCGATGAGTCGTCGGCGGCACAACCCGAGCGACGGACGCGGTGTTAGCTGTAGCGGCTGCTCTGACTTTGGCAGCAGTTTCGTCCTCCTCCATTACACCCCTAAAATCATCAAGGCGAACTTCTATCTTTGTGCTGATTCGGAGGTCTGCCAGACGGTCGGGATCAAGCTTGGACACAGCGTAAGGAGGCAAGGTTGAAATCATTAATGTTAGCTGTGACTTCAGCATTTCATACGTGGCTTGCTCAGAGTCACTTGGCTTAGACGGTGTGCCAAGGCTCAATGTATCCGGGGCTGAGAGAATTCCAGGTCGGCCAGCAGCTGGATTAAGTGACAGATGCCGATTTCTTTGATAGGAGTTCAGCGTTTCCAGCAATTCGGATATACCTTCGAGAACCTCCTCCACGTCCTTCTCTTCAACTGACTTTTCGACAGCCGGATCGAGGCTGACGAGGCTAGGATCGATAGCGTCTTTCTCATAGATTTCAACTGCTTCTTCGAACGACTTCATTTCTTCATCGTCCGTCGCGGCTATGGGCGACTCTGACTTCGATGTAATTGCTAAGTCTAGGTTTGTCACATTTTCCACAAGACGTTCGAAATGGCGCTCTCCAGACTGCTGCCACCATAGGCGCGCGAGAACACTAGTAGGTGCCACAGCTGCAGAATCATCCTTCGTAGGAGCGAAACTGGAATAGGCACTCCTAAACAACGCTTCTTGTCTTGCCGTCTCGGAGTCCGCGGCGTTGTTTTCTGGGACTGGAGCCTTTGCGCCGCCAAGGCTCATCGCTCGATCGCGTTGTCTTTTCTTCGAGCTTTGTGGTGGAGATGCGTTGCTATAATCTAGCCATTGGCCACACGTAAGTTGTGCTTTAGAATAGCCTCCGCTTCTGGAGAATGGTTCTACTGGAGAGGGCTGATACCATCCAACATTGGAGGACCTGGTAGTTGAGTTCTTTGACGGTTTGGGGGGCTGCAACGGCGGCAGATTAGCAGGAGATGGAAACAGGTCTCCTAAGGTGATCTGTTTAGTTTGCTCCACTAGATTGGACGACTGTAAGGCAAGGATCTTTGTCGTCGTTATGCCATTGGGCAACCCAGCTTCTCGGATTGGTGGTACAGCGTTTTTAGCATCAACAGTTGGAGGCTTTTGGAAGCTGGAAAATAATTGCTTTGGACCCGGTGCGTTTCCGTATAAAGTGAGGACCATCTTCCCGTCGCCAGCTCCGGCATTGATTGGTGAAGCCGGCACATTGCCATTCGTAGCATAACCACTGTTAACTGAGCTGCTGGCCTTCGATGGCTTCTGCTGGGCTCTTGACGCTTTTCCCTTTTCACAATTTCATGTGCTCGTTTCCTAAAAGCAGAGACGTTCAAAGCTAGTTCTGACTGAGCTTCGGTGGCTGGGATATACTGGTTCCTATTAGACGGGTTCGGAAGTTGCATCTTTTCTTCGATGTCTGACACCGCCCGGTCGATATCTTCGATCACATCCTCGAAGCTCTGATACACCTGAGACGCAGCGCGCGCAATGATGGTGCTCTGGGAATCCGCAGCATCATCCGATTTCTGCCGCTTGGCTTGTGGTTCTGTTGAAGGAGTGCGAGGAGGAAGGGGCCGCGTAAGAATTGAGGGTATTGTATCAAATCTGATGCCGCGATCAGTAAGGGCGCGAGAAGAAGACACTGGTGCAAGGCTGCGCGCGCGAGGTCAGTTGGAGTCAAGGGTAGCAACTTACTCTTTCAGAACATCAATCAGATCCCGCAGGTTTGCTTGAGTATCTCCAATGGACGCGGCCGTGGGCAGTCCGGTGCTCTGGACATTATTGATGCTATTCGCGTGAGGATTAATTTCGCTGGTTTCGTCGCGTTTTCTCTTTGCAGACAGAGTCATGGAATCGCCGGTTGATTCCTGTTGCGTGGTAGGACTGAAGGTCCCATTGATGTTGGGATGAAGTGACGCCATGGCAGAGACTTGCGCTGTTGGCCTATCCAGAAATTAAATGCACGTCTCTCGTTCTGCGCGGTCGTCGCGAGGAGACTCGCGATTGCTTGTGAGGTACGGGACTGTAGCGAGGTAAGTGCGACCGCCGACTGCGTATGCGTAGGACTGAAATAAATTCCCGTGACGAGCAAACGTGGTTAGACCGGCGACGGCCAGTGTGGGATGAGAGAAGGTTATTTTGAGGCCAACGAGATTTTCTGCTTCCTGGGGCAGGAGACCAATTCAGCGGTACATACGTGAGTTCTGCTCGAGAGCGACGCCAGGAGCCTCAAGAATGAGAGCAGAGCAAAGTACGCAAACGCCGCTAGGGGGCCTCGAGGCTTGGCGGATTAGTCATCTGGCACTGCATCCACCCCACCGCCCAGAACCCCAGATGAACTATCATTGGCCCTTGTGCTCGTACCTTAGCCACAAGGCTACTGGCTCCTATCCAATCCACACGAAATATTTTGTCCAGCTCAGTCCGGTTCGTAAAAGACGACGAGACTACGAGACCGTTAACTTGGAGGCTTCATCTTTTCAGGACCAGCCATCTCCAGCTCGGCACACAACAGCCAGGTTCGAGCTCAGGAGTCACGAGTCACGACGCTCTTCCTCAACAATTGACCGCAGCACTGAAATCATTACATTTGATGCCTTCTATATCGCCACTATTTTCTTTCTCAACCTAATGATCTATCAGCCATTCCCATCAGAAAACACCGGTTGTATTAACATGAACGAATGCAATCACGCTCCTGTATCTCAAAACTTGGCCAAGCATTGCCATCGCCATCTGTGATATTCGCTGGGTACCATGATGCCTCACCAGTAAGCTTTCTTCGTGTCAAGCCTCGCACACACCTTTAACTTAAAGTCGCAGATAAAATCTCAGTCCATCCCAAGTCCCGGCTTTCGGAACTTAAATACCATTGAGACGATCCTTCCTTGCTGCCCAATTCCAAGCTCAAACCGAAGAAATGAAACATATCTAAATACCACGAGGCGAACTATACAGATAAATAAGCCATTCTCGCAGAGATCAGTCAGGCATGCTCCTGCAGGCTGCCGTGGCGGCAATGGTATTCGCACTTTCACAACACACTACGGACAGGTTTCAACACAACTGTCTGTCGTGAAGGAGACGGGTCCCCCCAGGAGGATACTAGGGAAAAACTGGAGGGGTAGCGCCAGGAAATCATTACCAAAGATCGAATATGAACCCTCTACAAGTGTGCTCCGCCGGTGCCCCTCTAGCTTTCGCCATCGCAAGAAACGAACGCCAGCCTCGGCGCTGTACCACTGGCTCGATTTAGAAAAGGAGGATGAAAAGTGTCAATTTTATAAAAATACCTGGCCAGACTTAGACGGCGATTACCCTCACTCGCAAGTTCTACGCACGCTTCAGACATTGCTAGAATTGCATCATCACGATGTATTTAGCATACCTCCACCAACACCCACTTATCGTGATATCACGCCCGGTGCCAACGGAGAACCAAATCAAGACAAGATTGATGATGTGGAGCTACATTCGTGGGCCTGGATTTTGTTGGGTGACGGGGCAGACGGGAAGATCGAACGGTTCTTCGCGTTGAATTCACGGAAGCCGCCCTTCCTTTTGCTGATTATCTTGCAATGGGATATCAGAAAGGTGGAATCTCTGCGCCAGGTCGTAGTGTACTTTTGGACTGAAATCTTGAAGCAATCAGCCGAAGCGGTTGCTGAATCAGAAAATAATGGCATTGGTTTCCCGTCAGAAGCTTCCCGTGTCGTCTCTGCGGACCAACCTTATGCTCTGAGTGACGCGAGTTTCATGCGCTTTGTTACTCGTTTGCATTATCATGCCCGGAAGACCTGGCCTGCTGCATTACCAAGTATAAACGCGTCCCTAGGACATTACTTTGGCATGGTATTGTTCCGTACCTCTGTAAGGGCTGATGAGTTAAGTCCAAAGCTCCATCGGCGGTTTTGTCGTCTATATAATACCTTTATACACCGGCTTGGCCTCCCTTCCGTAGATCCCTACAATTCTATGGCCCAGTATCTGAAGGCGCAAAGGATCCTTTTCGCGTTGGAGGACAAATTTGAACCTTCATTATTGCTTGACGAACGTAGCTACCACACAACAATTGCGATATTTGCTGCATCCGAGAAGTCGCAAAGAGAGTCAAAAGCTGCAAGTCTGCAGGTCAGAGGATGGCCCCCATGGCGAAAAGCTCAAGATGGAATCGACGAACGAAGGACGCCTGAGCAAGACAAGAGCCGAGTGCTTCTAGCTTTGGCACAGAAGAACACTTCTGGCTATAGAGATCGTCACGTTATAGATGAGGTTCTCAGAATCCACGGTGGAGAAGAGCTAGACCTGACGCCAACTATACATACACGACGATGGGTCACTGATAGGTATAACAGGTCACTCAAGGCCCTGGAAAACCCGTCGACGAATCCAAAAGTATGGGCTGCCAGAATCACGGCCACTCGGGACGTGCAAGAAGCATGGAGTGCCTTCGAGGAATACCGTCAGAATCTGGGTGACCCATCACTGGCTATGTTCTTTGCAATGTTTCAGAAACTTGTATATGAGAATCTAAGAAGAGCACGAAACGATCCAGGGCCTATTATCCCTGGCGATGGGCTTGAGGTTTTACCAGTACCCGAAAACAATTTCAGTGAATCTTACAAAGCACACTTGCAACCACCAAGTCTTTTGGAGCTCTATGACGAGATGCTTGCTTGCGGCATTCTCCCTGCTGGGCGCTGTCTTTCGTTCCTTGTTAAGCATGCACCTTCCATTACTCGGGGTTTAAGCTATCTGCGAGATAGCAAACTGTTTCAACCTGCCCAGCTTTCATGGCTTGAAGGTGTACCTGACAGAAAAGACATTGTTCTACCTGACAATAGATCTATTGTTCTCTCTATTCCAGAGCATATTTTCGCAGCTGTTGTCTCCCTCAAATGTCGTTTTGCTCTTCGAGTATTGAGGGACAAACCCGAAGCCATGAACACCGGACTTAGTACCGCAACCCTCCCCTCTGATCATCCTCTTATCCCCAAAGATCAAAGCTCAGAGGCAAAATTCCACGGGACTTTCAGATCGCTTCCGCATGTAGCCAGCCTTATGAAAGCGCAGAGAAGCTGCTACCGGCCGACTTGGTATGCTCTCTTTAAAGCGATCGCGCGGCCGGGCACTGTCATGGCTAAGCCCTTTGCTGGTACGCAAAAGGATGATCGTCTATCCTGGCGTGTGCTCGAAGCAGCCCTTAATGACTTCCATAGTTTGGGGCTCGAGTTGGACCCACAGGGATTTAACATCATATGTTATGGGCTGTGTAAAGCAATACCAGCGCTCAAGTCTGAACGCGGTGAATTCTACGACGCAGCTCGTGTTACCGAAACACTGAAACTGGAGTTTAAAGAAATGTGTAAAGCTTCAGAGCCTTCGCATCTTTTACCTAGTCTTTCATACTCAGTTCGTAGTCCGCACCTGCATGCTTACGTGAGAGCGTTGGGGCTTGCTGGTGATTTGCCAGGAGTCATTGAGTTGTTGGAATGGATGATACTTAATAGGGAAGAAATGAAACATGGCCACGACATACGATCGGTGTTCGTTGGTATTGTTCACTTTCTCGGAAGCTTGGGTGAGGCCGAGCCGCTCTTGCAGAAGGGCGCTGGTATCTGGGGAGGCTGGCCACAAGCCAAAGAGATTGAGCATTATCGTCAACATGGTTTACAAAGTTGACGACAACGATGGGGCCTGAACCGATAATTCAGGCGACACTACACGCTTGGTAGTGACTGTTTCGATTAAGTCAGTTGAGTGGGCCTGCGTGCTGCTCCTAGGGTATTATTCTTGTATACTACATGTATATAATTGTGACTAATTAATATGTTTCAAATAGTTTGATAAAGTTCATTTAGCCAGTCCTATTATAATCGGTGAATGTATACTTCTGCAGCTGCTATATTCCTCGGCGATATAAGGACTAGAATGGTAGCATGCTCCAACCTTTATGAAGCAGACGCTTGGTGGTGATCTTGTCGAAATGCAGGGTGATACTTGTACATGTGCTACGATGTGTTTCGTACTCGCTCTAGTGCAGTACTCTGCTTCTACATCTGAGGTGGAGCTTCGTATAACAGTGAATGAAGGACTCTGGTGGCATCAGCAGAGGATTGTATCTTTCTCATGTCATTTTCCAATTCAAGCGTCTGAGTTGAGTCTCTGAATCATCGTTACGACCGCGTGTGCCTCTATTAGCTTGAGCTGGTCAGGCAGAAGCAGGGCGAGGTTGACAACCGGTTCCGGTGGGGAAGCGAGGTCCTTCTTGGCACGTGCTTTGCGCCCTTGCCATTGGTGGACCTGGTGAGAAGTGGAGCAAATGGCCCAGAGAGGCAGCAGCCGTCCCCGTCACAGCAACCCGAGGAGCTCGTCGTCATCCACACTGCCCTTGTGCCTCTCGCCTCCAAGCTCCAGCTTCCTCTTCCTCTTCTCCCACAACAACCCATCTCGCATCATCATATCGGGTTGCACATCTTCACATCACAACAACCTCATCCATATTCACACCCATCTTCTTCCATTACTTTGATAGTTGGCAGAGCTTTCTTATCGCAATCATGAAGGGCGCACTAATCGCCGCAGCTTCGCTGCTTGGCTCTGTGAGCGCCGGCATACACAAGATGCCGTTGAAGAAGATCTCCCTCTCGGAGCAACTGGCTGGCGCCAACATTGATACTCATGTCAAGCACTTGGGCCAAAAGTATATGGGTATCAGACCTGAAGCCCATGAACAAGAGATGTTCAAGGACAGCTCCTTGCACACTGAGAAGGGAGCTCACCCAGTCCCTGTCAGCAACTTCTTAAACGCCCAGTGTAAGCAGAAACCCCAATCACATCCGCCTTGGAATAAATCATACTTACTGAATGCCAGATTTCTCTGAGATTACCATCGGTACGCCACCACAATCCTTCAAAGTCGTTCTCGATACCGGAAGCTCCAACTTGTGGGTGCCATCCTCGGAGTGCGGCTCAATTGCCTGCTATCTCCACACCAAGTACGACTCATCCTCGTCCTCTACATACAAGAAGAACGGTTCGGATTTCGAGATCAGATATGGCTCTGGAAGCCTGAGCGGTTTCGTCTCCCAAGACACCATGACTATTGGCGACCTCAAGATCAAGGACCAGATCTTTGCTGAGGCAACCGAAGAGCCAGGTCTTGCGTTTGCATTCGGTCGATTCGACGGTATCCTTGGTCTTGGATTTGATACCATCTCGGTCAACAAGATCGTCCCTCCATTTTACAGCATGATCAATCAAGGCCTTCTGGATGAACCTGTTTTCGCATTCTACCTTGGCGACACCAACAACGGAGAGGAATCCGAAGCTACCTTTGGAGGTGTCAACGAGGATCACTACACTGGTAAAATGACGACCATTCCATTGAGACGAAAGGCATATTGGGAGGTCGATCTTGATGCCATTACCTTCGGTGATGCCACTGCTGAACTTGAAAACACTGGTGTCATACTTGACACTGGAACCTCCCTAATTGCTCTCCCAAGCACCCTTGCGGAACTGTTAAACAAGGAGATGGGTGCTAAGAAGGGATACAATGGCCAATACACCGTCGAATGTGAAAAGCGTGACAGTCTCCCAGACATGTCCTTCAATCTCAGCGGTTATAACTTCACAATTACTCCATACGACTACATTCTTGAGGTCCAAGGATCTTGCATTTCCAGTTTCATGGGAATGGTAAGTTCACCTGCGGTTTTCAATTTGCGTATAATTACTGACGTTTTTCACAGGACTTCCCGGAACCCGTAGGACCTCTCGCGATCTTGGGTGATGCTTTCCTCCGAAAATGGTATTCCGTCTACGATCTCGGTAAGGGCACTGTTGGCCTCGCAGCCAGCAAAGCCTAATTGTTTAAACTGGATGGCATGATAGCAGGTTGGCTATCAAACTGAAATCTGGATTCGACTCTCCTTACCTGTATTTTAACAAGTCTCGGGAACGGTTGCTTTTGGGTTACAAGTCGGATGCAAAGGGCCGACATGTTATGTATAAGCGATCACTTTTCGTAATCAATCAAAGTTCTTTTGTTCATATGTTTAATATTTATGCATTAATCCAACTAATGATAGTGTTCGAAGGAAGCATTTCTGATGTACTCCAAATAGTCTACTGTTCTCCGATGTTCTTAGTCTTTACCCAGCAGAGACCTTCTACGAGCGTCACGACCACCCGCCTCATTTTTGGGCCAGATTGCTTGGTTGCCGTGTTCTACCACTTTGTCGTTCTCGTCCTTTCCTTGTCTCGGGTTAGTATTCTTTTGTGCTGCTTCAGTCTCATGTACTAGCGTGTGATCCTTGTCCTCAGATCTCTCAAAAGAGTCTGCGGTAGATGGGAGTCTTTTGCCGAGTTCAAATTCCAATGCATTTGGGTATTCGTGATACTCGTCGCCGGGGACGAATAGTGGAAACTTGATTTTTGGGATTTTTCTGGCCGAGTTCGACATGTTGGATAGATAGGTTGGATAGGATTTTGGTTGTAGGGTTCGGCTGGAATTTGTGACTTGCACGTTTGAGATTAAATGTTGGTGAATCGGTTATTTTGGTCTCTGGTTGTGGAGTTTGGAGGTTTAGAGGTTGGGTGGAGGGAATTTGTAGACGTTCTGGGGTGGTGGTTTTATGAATGGGGTGGGAAGATAAAGAGTCATTTTGGGTGATTGTGAAAGGAAGTACATTAATAATGGTAGAGATTAATGAGTGGAAAGAGTTTTATCTACAATAGGTGAGTAACTTCATACACTTGAGGTCTGAGACTGATTAATTTGAAGTGGTAGGATATGATTTGGAAGGAAGGAGCTAAACACATAAAAACTTAGGTATTCACGCTCATGTTAATCTAGTTAAGTAAACACTCATATAATAATCTTTATGTATTAATCTATGTAGTCATATTATAACCCTTATGCGTGTCCATCAATTCTATCCAAAAGCCGAGTTCACATCAAATAGTTTCAGTCCCCGTCCAGCAAAGACTTTCAACTACTTCGACATTCTTCCCTAACCCATATAAACATGAACTTATCCCGCTTTCCCTAACCACATTACTCTTATTTACTTCCTGCTTCTCCGCCCTTCTTTCAACCTAGCCGTGTTGTCGACTGCTAGAAAATCGGTTGCTGACGGCATGCTGAACATATCGTTTTGAAACGAATGTTGTTTTGAAGGGGCAGCGTTATGGCGGTTTGGTGGCGGTACTGGTTTGCGCTGTTGTCGCGTTTGAGGTCTGGGGGCTGGATTTGCCATTTTGGAAGATTTGCTACCCATGTTTGAAATCGTGGTTTAGGATGGCTTGATATTGTGGTATTGTAGTACTATTTTCGAGATTGAAGCTGCTTGTGTGAGATTTGGGTGTAGATTTTCTGTTCAAGTTTGTCGGGGTTTGTTGGGTTGGAGGAGGTGATGAAGTTTACTTATAAAAGTAACGGCATTCGGTAGGTGAATGTTAGGCGTGATGCTGAAGGAATCTGAAGGTCGTGAAAGAACTTCTTTGTCACATTCAAAGGCATTGTCAACCTCAAAGGCTGTTCTAACGTTCAAAGACCGTTGTCATTAATAAAGGCCATTGTCACATTGAAAGGTAGAGGATGTAGCAAGAGGAGATACTATCAATCTTTTCTAGTAAAATTAAATTTAGGGTCAATCTCAACACGGTCGTGGGACAAAGATTGCTCAAGTACCCCCTCGGGAAGAGATCAATATGAGAAAAAACTTGAAGCTCAAGACTGGTCACTTCTGGCACTTAATCATTCTTTGTACCATGGGCCAGAGCTCAATAATAGATCCATGAATCTACTCCTGTGGCTGATACATTCTTCACCGGAATCATTATATTACAATCATAACGCTATGAATAAGGTAATAATTACTACGAGTACGGTTTAATTGCGTTCACTTTCATTTACTCAGACCTTCAGGCAGTTGAGAGCTATGAAATGATCAATTAATCAACTCTGGAAAGCAGCGATCTCATCTCAACACAGCCAGCACCTGCCCACTCAATACCGGCGCCAAGGTTCATGAAATCTAACCTCCAACCACTCATCATACATCCTCTTCCTCTCACTCTCTTTTTGTGCCGCCTCCTTTTGCGCTTCTTCCTTCTTTAGCTCTTTCAAAAAAATCTTTTTCTCTTCTTCCATCTTCTTTTCATCAACTTCCAACGGTTCACTAGCTGATTTTGAGGAATTCATTTGGTGTGCTAGCGTGTCGAGATCAGACTCTAGATTTCGGGTTTCTGGCTCTTTGGAATTTGTGGGTAAACTATACATCTCACTTCCTGTGGACATGTACGTTAGGGATGGAAATGATGTTGGTTTATAGTGGACAATTCAGGCTGAACTCGAAGTGTTTTGTTGTCAATTGTCTCTATTTTGAAAGTAATAGAAAGGAGGGTATCTCAGGTTTTATGGTTCTGTAGGCAAGGGAAAATGACAAAGTTTGAAAATAGGATCACATTAACACGAAGTCCTGTTCTGTTCTTACAATAACAAGAGTTGTACTTGGAAATATAATGACCTAATGTATTCGAAAGTCGAGGATAATCAATCACACTGTAAAAAGAACATAGCCTCCCCGTGAACATACACTATGAACTTGTTTCATGATAGTGAAATAAGATTATTCAATCGTGAACTATTTCTGGATCGTCCCAGATCATTAAGGTTCATTCCCATTGGGGAAATCCATTCGAGGTGAATCATTTGTACTGCATCATAAATAGAAACTGTGAAATTGAATGAGCTTTCATCAAATATGTCTATACACAAGCAATCATTGAAACTTTTTCAAATTTCCGAACATGTCATAATCTACACACTTGGGAGACGTTCTCGTGTCTCGCTGCCTAAAACTTGATAATTTAAAGAGATTTGCTTCATTGATCGGATCTCATAATCACTTACTAGATGCAACACCTCGGCAATAACACAACTTACAAAATTGTTAGATGGTGTGGAATCATAAGATCTTCTGCCATCCATGGACACTGAATAGCGAGTAACGAGCCTTGAGCTACGCCGCGTAGGCACTTCTTAATATCTCTTGAATTAGAAAGCTACAAAATGGGGAAGATCGACCATTTCAAACACGTTGGTGAGTTTTGATTGGCATTCCCTGTAGCGCCCACCAACTGCATGTAAGATTCTACCAACAGTTTCTCTCATCAACGAGCTGGAAGTGTCGAGAACGATCCATAGTGGTTCCGACTCCACGTGTCTCCGTCATGGATCTGATCGACGTGCAACGAAAGACTAGAACCTCCGTGTCATACTTCCAATCACCTCATGCAATTTGTTAAGGAAGGGTGATTTTTGACATTATTTTCTAGACAAAAAGTTACATTTAGAGCGTCCATGGGATTCAGACTTCATGGATCTCTTGTAGAAAACACGTGTGTATGCTTGGCCTGCCATGACAAGCAAAAGACTGCACATGTGCGATTCATTACCTTGATATGCACAAACCTGCAGTCTACAGGCATCGTGGCACTCTCCGGCAGAGTGTTAATATGGCGCCTATATACCATAAGCGCTAAGTGTTGCTAGACCGGCTATGGTTGGGCATGAGTTAAAGTTGTCTTATCTGTTGGAGATTGTGCATTGTTGGTCAGTTGCGCCACACTTGTCGTCTCTGGTTTTGGAAAGATTGTCGGTCTAACGACTTATTTGAGTAGTGCTCATAACAACATCGTTGTCCTTCTGAAGTTCTAGTCCCAGTTTTCCCCAACTCCAGCAAGTTGTGTTGCAGCACGATGTACCACCTGGACAAACCATCCTCGAAAGATGGTCCTTTAAACTTGGAGACGTCGTGGTAGATAGTCTTATGAATTACTTGTCATTTTGATACAGTTATAGAAAGATTGCACTTAAGTCAGCACGTAAAATAACTTCCAAAGCTCCAGCTCCAAGCCTCTGCCGGTACGTAAACTGTTACACTTGTCGAAATACGCCACCATTTACGAGTTCTCGCTACTCATAAACTTTTGATTGGTGTAATGCCTGACAGGGAGGCTTCTGCTGTCATGTTGAACAAACGGTTGTGTTGCATGAGATTTAGTATTTTAGGCTCTTCAACGAATCGCTTTTCAAGTCTGATACGACTACTTCAGTTACGATGCTTCCCTGTGTTTCCCCCATTTATCTATCTCCCTGAATCACAACATTCATAGCAGGCGTTGATTAAGTTCGCCTCTCATAACCATTTCCAGGTTCAACAAATCAGATCGTTAGTGTTGACGGACAGATATAACATCCTGACGTGAGATAGTTGCAATGCCAGCACATTAATATAGCGTCCAAATTACCTTGTTTGCTTTCCTCGGTTCCTTACCTTTGGGATGGGGATGTGCAACCAAGACCGGGTATCAAGTTACACAGGTCACTTCACAAAGGGTGCTAGGATTTCACTGCGCATCTCTCGTACGACCGTTTCCTTTCCTCCTCTTGCTTTTCATTTGAATTTTCTGTGTTTCTAGAGTTTGAAACAGCTTCACATATGTTACTATCATAGATTCAGGTATCCAGCAGAACAAAATGTCACCTATCTCAAGTCTATCGTTAAGCGACTCTGCGTCCCAGCTTCCACCTCACTACTCTCCAACTCGCTCATCAACAGGCGCTCCGCCGCCATACAGGCAAACCCCATCAACATCATTCAACTCCAACTCATTTGAAGCTCTCGAAACTCGGACCTCAGCATCAAATTTGGTGCCACAAACAGTAGATCCGGCATCTGAAACCACTTTACCATCCTCAACAACGGAATCGACTGCCTCATCACCAAGCCCAGCTTCCAATCTACCCAATCCCCTTGCAAGTAATTCAAGTACTCTTCGAATTCTCACCCATCAGCCCTCCGACACAGTACCAATCCCACCGCCAATCTACAAACGCAACCCCTCACCCGTACCATCAACCACCCGCTCATCATACCAAACGTTTGGCGCAAAACAAGCAAGGACATCAACCTCACCACCATCATACACACCTCAAGCGCCTATAGTTGTCGACTCCACCGGCTCAAACAGTTCCTCGGGCCTCTATGAGAGACAAGATTGTGAGACCGAATGCTGGTGTTTCCCCAGCTTTTGGTCAACAATACCAAGAGAACGGCGACAGACGCAGGGAAGAGAACCACATTACGTGATCGCTAGGGAAGGAGCAGGAACTTGAAACGATGCTGGATATCTAGGGAGTCGTAGGAATGGCTCCGGCAGTGGTGGGTATTGGGATCATGGAGTAGAGGCTTGGAGGGCTTGGGGTGGACAATATGCTTATTATGTTTTCTGAGGCGGCATTGAGTGAAGGTAAGCTGGAGCGATCTTGATCAGGCTGGTTCAGGCATTGAGGGACTGTATTGACTTTGATTGTACAAAGCAGAAAGGATGATGAGACTTTTAGTAAGGGTTTTGAAATATTCAATGTATCAAGATTCTACATAAGCGACAGAAGAATGATTATCGCATATCGTTTCCGCGACTGATTTGCATGCTCCCAAGAGCCATTTGAAGCAGTTTTCGAGGTCGATAGTTTGCTGCTTTTTGGGCTGCACAAGGGGAGGGTAGGAAGCGTTGCAGCTAAAGCTTCCACTGTAGAATATGATAAGCCGCTAGGAAACACTATACCACTATTTACAGCATCGAGATGAGTAATGAAGGCTAGATAATTCAGACTTGTCAGTGAGCCATCATTCGAGAACAAAAGTCGCAATGTGTAGTTGTCTGACTCATCGTAAACTGTAGTAATAATCCTAAGGAGTTTAATTATATCAGCGCTTCCCCTCCTCCAGGGGCCCAGTGATTATTTTACCTCTCTTTGTCTATACTCTAGCAGACAACCCATATAGATATATTGTAAATCCTGTGTCGATCCCTCCTTATTTACTTACTTTCTAAGTATTTTGTTTTCGAATTCTGTGGATAGAATCACTTTACCTGACGGTTTTGAGAATGAAAGGGTGTCTCAATGCCTCAGCCGGGGTACATCTCTTCTCTGGGTTGAGCGCCAGACAGCGATCAAGCAAGTCTGCAAACAAGTTCAATTCCTTCATCTCAGATTCAGTAAGACCTTTTGATGCGGACACGAGGCGGGTTCGAAGGTCGCGCGACGGTTTGGTGAAAGAAAGTGTTTTGACAACATCCTAGGGACGAAAAAGTTAGAAAAATAGTCCTAATACGCTGATGTCTATGTATCATAAAATTACAACGGCCATAAAGATTTGACATACCTTGCCTGTGAGCTTGTCTTGTTCGACGCTCCTAAAGTTGGCCAACTCGTCGAAATGAACGTGGGCGAATTGCGCTCGTTTGAGTATCTTTGTGGTAAATTTACCACGACAATCCATAATTGATCGTAGCATCTGATTGTTGGTTCGTCCGGTAAAGAGAATCTTGCCAGTATACAGTTCGTATAAAGTGCATCCTACAGACCATATATCGATGGCAAAATCGTAATGCATACCCAGTATAATTTCAGGTGCACGATAGAACCGACTGACAAGATAGGGAGTGATTTCGTTATCTGACGCATCAGATGCTGATCCAAGATCGCATATTTTGAGCATATTACGGGACTCGTTCACCTTTAAATTGTCAGCTGTGATATATCATTAGTTGGATTTCAGAGCTTACCAATATATTGTCAGGCTTTAGGTCTGCGTGAAGCACATTGCATTTTCGCATAAGGCTCAACCCAAGGAACATTTGCTGAGCATATGCTCGGACGGCCCGCAAGTTGATACCAACGTCGCGCCCAAATTTCTTGAGAACTTCACGTAGGTTGATGCTCAAATTTTCAAATACCATGCACAAATGACCTTTGTGCTCGAAATGACGTTCTAGGCGAATCATGTGCTTTTTATCTTCTGGGTCTGCTTCGTTGATCTTTTGGAGTATTTCAATCTCCTTCATGCCAGCTTTTCTCCTGTTACGAATCAGTCCATATCATTTTTAGATAGCCCATAGTCTGGCACTTACATGGTCTCGTTATTCCTGATGAGTTTGATGGCTACCAGCTTCTTTGTCGTCACGTCTGTTGCTCGAACAACACCTGAGAACATACCCTTCCCTAAGTTTGCCTGGACATGGTATCTGCCATTTAGGAGTTCACCTAAAATGACTTTATAGTAGCCTTCAATATCGTCCCAGTTATCGAGCATCCCAATATCGAGTTCTTTTGCGCCGGGTATGGCAACTGCTTTGGCGACATTTTCTTCTGGGTTTGGAACAAAGATTTTATTTCCCACCGGTTTTTCAGCAAACATGTCATCCTCATCGTCCTCATCAGCGAACATGTCAAACTCTTCTGGTTCTTTTGGTGGCCGTTCTTGAGCTTGGCTAGAGCTAACTGGAAGTAAGACATCCTGTTCAGTAGTAGGCTTCGTCTCATCATATGTCGAGGAAGATACTTCATCTGTGTGTCTTTGGACGTCACGTTGGTTGTCTTCTCTCATGTCTGCTGTAGGATCATAATCTGCGGCCGAGGGGCCATCGTCGCCGTTGGCTTGGCCATTGGAGTTCGCAAGCTCTAAATCATCGTTTATAGAGAAAGCCGAAGGCGAAGCTGCATCTCGAATCTCAGCAGGTGTAGAAGGAGTGACAGGAGACGCTTTGCCGACAGCATTAGTATATTTCCCATTCAAGAGAGGTCCGAGCTTACCTGGAGCAGATGGTGAGTCCTCATCCTCCCGCGCTGGAGTGGAATCTCCTGTCTTGTCTCCTATATGCAAGGCTTGAACCAACAACGGAGTAGCAGCACCTCGATACTTAGCTTTGATCGCTTCACGACGTTTCCGTCTTTGCTCAATCAGAGTTGCCTCATCAAGTGTTTCCTCTTCGACTACTTCCTGTTCAGGAGCATGAGCGAATGCAACCGTTTTTCTCATATAAGTTAGTAAAGATTTTCTCAAAAACGAAGATGCTTCATACTTAGCATTGATTTCTGTACTCGATCTCTTTTCAGAAGACTGTTGTGAATATCCTTGCGTAGATTTAGCCTGTTGTCTTGCATCGCCAGTAGGCAGCGGGCTGTTTCCCCGTTTGCTCACTGACAAGTCCATTGCATCCCGACTTCGTATTTCCGCATTACCATTACTATTGGAAGACCGATTGCCTCGCGACCCAGATGGATTGTATCCCTCCGCATCTCGCCTACCGCGCCCACCATTATTGTAGTTTTCTCCACGGTTTGCACGATAAGGAGAACGACTGCGCGTTCTAGGGCGTTTGTTGTCGACATATCTATCGCGCTCGTCGTATGAAAGCCCCGCGTGCGTAGCAGAACCTCTGTCGAGATCTTCATAGGACACACGAGGCCGTCGTCGGTAATTGGAAGAGTTGTTGTCTTCGTAATGGACTTTGAATCTTCGAGGGTCTCGGGACCTTTCGTGGTAGTCGTCATTCCGGCTTCTCTTTGCTCCTCTAGGGGCGCGGTCTGAGTAAGGAGATCTGCTTCGCGACCGTATGTCTCTTTGTCTGTGCTCAGGGGAATTCGAGATAGATTTGCTAGAACGGATTCTGTCTTGACGGTCAACGGAAGTGCCATCGAGTTTCGGCGGCATCGTAGTTGCCTTCTCTACTTCAATATCCCTAATCTCTCCTTCATCTGAGCTTGCTGAGGAAGCCATGTTGATGGCCAATGTAAGCCTTCAGAACCCAACGACAGACCCCTGCCTGATCGTGTAATGTCGTGTTAGCCTAGGATCAAGATATACAATCTCAATATGAGAAGAGCCCAACCGAGAATCTGTCGTCTCCTCTCAAATCCCTCAAGTCATGGTCCTTCACTTCGAATGCCGTCTATGCGCTCCGGCCGAATCGTTTGGGTTGTTTGAGGTCGATCAACATTTTGTGAATGACGAACGGGTACAGTTAAGGCTCACTAACTTATTGCGGGTTAGCGTTATCTGACGTTGGAGCGTGCGCAAAAACCTCGTTCTGCCCCTCCATGACCCCGAAACATCGAACGGGTCCTCAATTTTGCAAGACGCTTACTTTTACTGCCCGCACAAAACACACCGAAATTACGAGCACACATCTCGATTTCTCTCGATCGTCGCATATCATCATGGGAGGCGCAGACAGAGCAGGTGAGGAACTTACCTTAGCAATCGACACATGCAATCAAGTCACTCATAATCATCTCAGGTGGCAAGGCAAAGCCGTTAAAAGCACCAAAAAAGGCACCGAAGGGAGAACTGGACGAAGAGGATAAGGCTTTCGCCGAGAAGCAACGCGCTGGTATTTTCAAATATTCTTCTCGCTCCTGCGTACGTCTTGCTAATCTAGAGTCTAGACGCAAAGGCCAAGGCTGAGATGGCGGCTAAGGCGAAAGGCTCGAAAGGACCTCTAAACACTGGCTCACAGGGAATTAAGAAGAGCGGAAAGAAATGAACGGGTTCCAGGGATGATTTATGCTATGCGACGAAAACGGCTGAAGGCATGGGAATAATGGCGTTAAGGGGTCTATCATGAGAGCTGAGGATCGATATCCATACGCGCGCGATTTTAAATAGAGCCAGCAATGCAAAGCGTGAAAGAAGTTGGTAACTTTAATGGCAGATTTGTGAACATCCAACGTCCTTGGCCTTTCATATGGCGTACGACCCCACAAAATACGCATGTCACAGCTGAACTAATGATTGAAATGATGTTATGGAATTTCTTTGGTGAGCCAGCATTTCGTTTGTAGGGCATACTATGCTCTAAGAGCTTACGTTCTTTTGCAATACATGTACGAAGTACCAAGATAGATTATGTTATTCTCTATGGGCTTCCTTTTTAGCATATGGATGCTTGGTTGTTACGTTCAACAAGTAGTATTTGACCTACATGTATCCTACCGTTGTTTTCAGGGCAAAGCATTGCCCGTGAACGAGTGATCTCGAAGATTACTGTGGTTAGCGCCAAATCACGAATTACCTAGTAAGTGGACAACAGTACTTCGTGCTGGGGAAGAAAATAGCCTCGGCTCCGGCCGGCAAGGTGACTCCGGGGTAAGATGATGCCCCACCATCAACATCAAACCTCCTCTGACTACCTATTAAAGAGAACTACAAAATTCATATCTTAAAACATTGGTGTCATTTAAATAATTCATTTTGCTAAATCATTATACAAAGCTCACCAATATGGCGTCTCGAGCTGCCCAAATAGCTGGTCGTATGTAAACCTGACCCTTTTGTACTCAGGAATGGGTGAAACATAAGCTAATTTATTCCAGATTTGAACTACCCTAAAGGACTTCTTGCTGGTCAAGTAGCTATTATTACAGGCTCCGGGCAAGGCATCGGCGCAGAAGCCGCTCGTTTATTTGTAGTTTTTACCTCCAATCAATAACAATCGCTTGGGTGTTCCTGAAAAATTGCTGATCTTGCACCAGGCAAACGAGGGTGCTAAGGTCGTTGTTTCTGATATCGATGGCGGTAAGAATCTTGAAGGCTTTCCTGACAATTAGGTCACGCCTAACTCCTGTTTAGCAAAAGCAAAGAGCGTCGCAGACGCAATCAATCAGAATGGCGGCAGTGCTATTGCTGTAGCAGGAGACATGCTTGACTCCGAATATCTAAAGGAGTTGGTCAAGAAGGCCGCCGCATTTGGGAACGGGAAAATCCATATCATAGTCAATAACGCAGGGTATGTTTATTCTTTGATAGAACTGAAGATAATAGCTAATAAGGTTACAGCTATACTTGGGATGGTGTGATACATAAAGTAAGAAGTCTCTAGATCAAGAAAGTCTTGGTGTTCACAATGGCTGTGAAGCGCTAGTCGCAAAATACACCATGAGTAGATTGAGTGAGCCTGACAAAACTGACACCATCTTTCCGTAGATGACCGACAAGCAATGGGACAACATCATCGCACTCCACAACACTGCGCCATTCAAACTTGTCCGAGAAGCAGCTCCCTTCTTCCGAGTCACTGACGGCGAGCCGCGGTCGATAGTCAACATTTCTTCCACCTCTGGTGTCCACGGGAACGCAGGGCAAGCGAATTATGGTTTGGCGAAATCAGGAATCAACGGTTTAACTAAGGTCATAGCGAAGGAATGGGGTCCAAAGTTTGGAGTCCGCTGCAACTCAATTGCTTTCGGTCATATACTGACTCGGTTAACCGCTGCTAAAGAGGAAGGTGCTTTTGTCACCACCCCTGACGGAGAAAAGATTGCCTTGGGTATACCGACTGGGCAGGGTGCCAAATCTGAGAATGCGAATTTGGATATTCCACTGCGAAGAGCAGGTACAGCAACAGAAGCGGCTAGCAGCATTTTAGCTCTTGCAAGTCCTCTGTGCAGCTATATCACTGGACAAGTAATAATGGTAACGGGTGGGCGAAACATGTAAAATATATATCAAACAAACTCTTTCCCCGGACACAATCATGATGCTAAAATCCATCACTTTCAGATAGAAAGTTGCTATTAACCATTTCCACAATGACCTCCATGATGAATATATTTTTTGCCAACTCCAGCACAAGAGTTTTGCTCTTTTTATTGTCTTGCGGTATCATTTTCCAGAACCCTCTCTGTACACTAATCAAATAATCTACTTATCAAGTCTTTGCCTCTTTGATTTGAGAGAGTCTGACCCAGTTTTGTGTACTTGTAGTGTGCGTTCGCCTCGTAAGTACCAGCAATATGGAAGTATCGTAGGCTACATATGTTTTGATGACTATTTTTTATGTACGTAGAAGTAGGTTCGATTATCATACTTCATGTTGTGAGCCTCATAGTGCCTAGTTACTCTGATTTTGAATCAGGCTGTGTCGTGTTAAGTAGAAACTTATAGGTGGCAGATTTGCAGATTTCGTTTCTATTTACTGTTCAGACACACTCGTATTTGGGTCGACCGGAGAAATTTGACTACAAATTGCGAGTACTTTGGTATCAGGTACATTAAAGCCGAGGGAAAGAGACTTCAGAAGTTCAGTGCCTATCCAAAGGATGTTTGTGGTTAGTGTAGACTAACATCATGCAAAACAAGTCTAGCATTTTGAGGCATTTCTCTCTTTGGCATTGGTAAGAGAGCCTCAGTGTATTTCACATATAAGTTTATGCCAGAACAGCATTGACTCTTTTCGAGATGTCATCGGTGGTTGTGAGGTGAAGTTTACTGATTCAGTGAATAGTCACCTTTATTGTGATTCATTGAAAGCAATGTGATATTCTTGACATGTGTTGTTGCAGACTAGTTTTCTCCTGTTACACGAACTAATGTAGATTCATAGAATCTAGAAGCTGTCTTAAAGTTCGAGTCAAGGATACTTACCTCTGCCACAATAATATCTTCATTTAAATCTTCATTTTCCCTACTATAACCATGAAACATCTCTTCACAATTCACAAGCCGACCGGCGCGACAGCAACAAAGACTCGCCATGTCCTCAGTAAGTTCTGATCATCTTGTTGAATGAAAGAAGAGACCGGCTCACCAGTTCTAAAGCATCAATCAGGAAGCGCACCGTTGGGAAATTTAGGGGTTCGCATATAAACAGAAAGCCTCCTTCGGATATTGTGGATAACTCTTCTTGTACTCTTCTTCAACTTCCTGAAGAACTACAAGTCGAGATTTTCTCTTACGCCTGTACAAGTGAAGAAAATATCAAACCTGTACATTGGCGTCCGGGAACCAACATTTTTGGGCACGCAACCAGTAAAAGGGGCAAAAGGAGAACTATTTACAGCAAAGGCAGGCTTTCTAAGGCACTCACCGCCGTCTATCTTTCATGTACCTGCCGCCAAATTGCCAACTGTATGCGACTTTTTCCTTTGTTCTCCCTTCTAAGCTCCCACTCCAATTGGCTGCGAAAAGTTTCCTCCTTAGGCGCTCCTCTTTTGAAACATACAAATATTCATATGCTAACTTCTTGAAGTGGAGTGAACTCTCGGAGCAGGGGTTCTGGTTTCTGCAAGCCAACGCGAACCTTCGCACGCTTACGCTGGAGCTCCGAAATCCAGTCATTGCATTGTATCAAACTCATAATCCACCCCCTCCAAATGATCATTTTGTAGGATGTGTTCCTGGGTATTGGTTAATCATTGAGCTTCGCAACTTGGAGAATCTCACAATTGACCGAGGGGAGAGCAGTGTCTGGCAACTTGAAAGGGTTGAGTTTGGTGAACGGCAGTTTATACAATATCCTAGTCCAGAGTCCATGGTCGAGGGAGAACAAGTGCTAACGGACCTTGAGAGGGAAATGTATGAGAAAGTGACGCTCACAGATAGGCCGACAGGGGTGCCTTTTTGGTGCAACAAGGACGAGGAAGTCCCCGAGGAACAGAAATTCGCACCAAAATTCAATATAACCACGAGAAGCAAGAGGTTACCTGGGGGTTCGTTTATAGAATAGCCATGCCGCTTGGATTTGCCTACTCGCATTGGATAGATCGACTTTCGGAACACCTGTTCCCAAAACATTAGTTTGGATCCCGAATATCTGGGCTCAAAGTACAGCTAGATGTCAAGAAACAGAGCTTAGAAGGCTGAACATCTGCTGCAACATACATTAAGGATCTTGAAGCCTGCGCCTTGGGAAATACCCTCACCACAAGCTATTAGATAATTAGAACCTTCTTACAACCTCAGAACAATCACAATATATTATTAGAGATCTATAGTGACCGGTTCATGGGTTGTGATATTGACAACGTCAACGGATATGCCGAAATTCGCAATGATCTCGCGCTGAGATTTGGAGGCACAAAGTCTTTGAAATTGACCCCTTCAAAATGGCATTCGACTTCTCACGATGTGACCTATCCAAAGACAAAAAACAGACTAAAACTAAACGATGGACTCAATTGCAAGTAATGTGATTTAAGCACGAACTGACCCGAAAACTAAATCCAGTGAACAGATTTACAAGGCACTCGCCGATGCACGATCCGTAACACCTGTTTACAAGACTTGAGAAATATCCCACAGGAGGTTTGCATGAAAAGCATTAATTTCATGCAATTCTATTCTACTGTCCCTCGCATGACAAAGATGCTGGTTATGACTATCGCTTTGATAGTCTGTCAAACATTCCTATAACTCCTACAATGCTACCGTAAATTCTGCGCTCATACCTGTGGACTACGTGCGTGCTCGAGGCCGTTTGTAATCTAATATCTTTCTCTTGCCGAAGTTCTCAGCCTTTTTCCACTTGCAATATAGTGTAAGGGCGTCCTTTAATACCACGAATAGACAACCACCAACTATGGTCCTGCCCCACTTCTGTTCTAGAATGCCGCGTCCTCTAAGCCGGGTACCGAAAGAGCCATGACCGACCCATTTTGCTGGAAGTAGAACTTCGAGAAGAGTGCCCATTACTGATGAAATCAGTGGAAATGACAAAGCACCCGTGACATTCATGATTATTCGGCCCATCGACCAATTACGCTGGAAGAAGATGTCTTCATTGTTCCGAGGCTGTCCTTCTTGTGGCCGGTCTGCTGCCCCATCTGCTTGCGGTAGTTGGTTTTCTGCGGGTATGACATTCCCTTCATGGTCATGATGCACCTCTTCTTCGACGATCTCTATACCGAAGATATTATCCTCCTCTTCGCCCGCTCGCTGTTCAGCGATTTCCTCTGCTGTTTCCCCTTCTCTCGGCTTACGTTGAACGGCTTGATCCCACTTTGTCTCCAATTTGGCGAAGGTATGTCGATAAACATTGTTGTAAGCGGCTAAGATATGCGGGAGTGTTGCAAACGCTAAGCCTGGAGGTGGTGGCCAATGGTAGATATCTCGGTGGGCAGGTGAGTAGACGAAGTACTTGAAAAGATTGTTAGTAGTGGCAAAATAACGACTTGATACATGAAACTTACACCGGATATCATGAGAGGAAAAACAAAGCGTCCCAGAGAAGAGCGTGAAAGCACCAGGGAAGGAGCAATCATCGGTAGAGCAACAAATCCTCTCCATCCGATCAGATCAATTCTTGGGAAGAAAGGATCTGCATTGGCTATGAGCGCGCCGATTGTTTCTTGGTATCTTTCACCCAGAAATCTGCCACTCCAGTCGTACATCTGACGTCCTCGCATTGCGGCCAAGATCTTTACAGCTTCCTCACGGCCGAAGACGAGATAAAGCGTGTTGACTCCATATGCAAATAGTCCCGCATAACCGCAGCCCAGCAAAGCGCTGATGGCTGTTGGGTAGGCGAGAGACTTCGCAGCACCTTGCACTTGGTCGTAAAGTGCGACCAGCGCATCGCGTGGCCGCTCGATATGTATCTCTGCTTTACATACGGGACAAAAGAACTTTTGCGTCGAAGCGGCTCCGCCGTCTTTAGGAGCTTCTCCATCTGCAATCCACTCCAAAAGGCACTCATCGTGGGCAACTAAGGAACATGGACATGGACTCCTCCACACTGAGCTCTCAGGCGTATCCTCTGTTTCATCCATCTGACATATCCAACATCTTCGTACATCTTGCTGCCGCGGTATCGATGGAAGAGTTGATTGGAGAGAACTGGGAGCGCCGTCTTGCTCGTTCGCTAACGGGTCGTTTAGCAAGACGGGACTTCCGCCAGGTACTTGCGACATCGAATCGGCAGAGGCGTCCGCAGAAGTCTGGGATGATGATAATCGTTGCTGGAAGGAAGGCCGGCGCAAGTTACTGTCATCGGTTTGTTGGTTGGAAGAAGCAGAAGCCATCTCATCAGTGTTTCCTTTCGCAAGATGTTGATAATTGACAGGATGGTCGTTATTTCATAGCAGCATCATGGCAGCGAGTGAAGAACTGTCAGACCGAAAGTAAAGGATTATAAGCATGAACGACCATGGATGAAGTAAATGGTGAAAAGGTGTTGACGAGTTTCAAGCAAGGCGAGTAACCAGAGCTGGAGAAGCTGGGGTTGTAAAAGCGGCTTCGTTCAGCCTTGTGTGGGGACTAAAGTCGTACACCTGTGCGCTCCCGAGGTTCCACTCAACAAGCTGATACATTTCTGACGAAGTTTTATCAACACCGCATTCTTCTTTTATACTCAGCCGGACACCATACGGCAAACCAGAGTATCATGAAAAGTGCATCTTCACAATTGGCTTTTTATCTATGTTTCTACCCAATGTATCCATGATGGCCACCAAGAGCCTCTTTCCCCGCCAAGGAATCCACAATTAATGTGTACATTAGGTAGGACCCGGCTGTGGCAATCTCATTTGGACTGCGCCGTAGGCCATGAACTTTCCAGAGGATCTCTCCTATCCTCGTATCTTGTCTGAGTTATCTTTTCATTCTTGCACATCCTTCTCATTTCGTCCTCTTTTCTTGCGTCTATATATAGGAGGGTCTCATGTCGTAGAGTATGGGTCCGCGAAAGCCCCTTTTGCTGGTTGTCTTCCTCACTATATTTGCGTCCGTGGTCTTCGTGGCAAGGCTTGGAGCACAGGATGGATCCCGATTACAACCGCATTTGCAAAAAGTTGAGCAATGGATTCGACCGCCGAAGGAAGCGCATTTAGAGTATGTCTCCTGCGAGGAGCACTTGGGTTGGCTTGAGCCATACTCGTTTACATACCCAATTCAATATGTCTCTCGCGACATCGTCACCGTGTCTGTTCCGGACTCTGGAAGACCTTCCCTCACGGTGATGGAGCAACCGCTCTTTGGAGAGTTTTCCACGGTCGATCTGGGGGCGTCGCAAGTCCTCAATAGCGACAAATGTCTCTCGCCTTTAGCACTTGAAGTGCCCCGAGTGCTGGTACGACCCGCGGACGCATCGAATATGATATTCGGACTTCAAACGACAATCGGTCGCCTCAAGAACACTGTCAAACACCTTGCACGGTGGCTACCTAATACGAACGCTCGTCTTTACGCCATCGTTATTGAGTCGGAGGAGAAGCCGGCGGACGATGCAGAGATGGCTGCTTTGGAGAAAGAGTTTCACGACCAAGGCATGAATGTTTCAGTGATTCATCCGGTCAGTCCTACAGACAGCTTCGCACAAAGGTACTTTTCGCTAGGCAGTGTCATGTATCAAGCTCGCAATGGGCAGACGGAATGGATTGTCTTCATAGACGATGATACGTTCTTTCCAAGCATGCATGATCTGCAGTTGATGCTCCAAAGACACAACCCCAAAAAGCCATGGTATATTGGTTCATTGAGCGAGGACTGGTGGGCAGTCGACCACTATGGCTTGATGGGATTTGGAGGCGCGGGAATTCTGCTCTCGATAACTATGGCGGAAACTCTTGACAAGTACACGCCGGATTGCAAGGCGCATTTGCGAACCACTGCAGGAGATATCAGTGTGATGGACTGTATTTATCAACATTCATCAGTCAAACTTACACACATTCCCGAATTACACCAAGTCGATATGCATGGCGATCTTTCAGGATTTTACGAGTCCGGCCGAGAGATATTGTCATTGCATCATTGGAAGGAAGGAAGTGCTGCTGGGTACAAACTCGAGATGGAGAAAATGCATCTTGTAGCAGATATATGCGATGATTGCTTTTTGAGACGTTGGCAATTTAGCAATGAGATCCTTCTCAGTAATGGATTCTCGATAACGCAATATCCCCAAGGCCATCTTACTGGCAAGAAGCCTGGGGGCGTCCTAGGAACTGGTGTGGGCGGTGTTGTGGATAAAATAAATCTTGGAGAGATGGAAAACACTTGGGCAGACGAAATCAATGTTCTTCATTCTTTGGCGCCAGCACGACCTAAGATGGGGGACGACATCAAAACAAGCTATAAGCTTCTGGACAGCATGTGGATAGATAGTGATCCAGAACATCACATGCAGCACGACACTGTGCGGCAAGTGTACTTCAAAGAAGGAGCGGAGGGTGAAAAGGATACCGTGATGGTACTGAACTGGCACGCCGGTACAGCCCCTCCCACGACCAGCAATACTTTGGGGTGAAAGCCCCCCCAGAAACTGGAAGCATCGACGATTATATATGATTACTTTTGTACAAATCAATGTACATTATTAAAGCGGAGTTCATGGCGTCTCGGGAGGATAAACAGTGGTCAGTCTGAAAAGGCTACAATGACGTCCGGCACGAGTATACTTTATAATGTATGGCACATAATATTAGACTTATTTTTTACAAAAATAACTGTCAAATACGGAGTGTAACAAATATAAGTTTATAACAAAGCCCCACGTCCACCGAGCAGCCCCACAAGCAGATACTGAGTAGCTCCTAGCTTGATACTTGGAGGAAAACGTTGCTTCTGTTAAGTTTGGAGAAGATGGAAACAGTATTTACTTGACGTATCCGAGGCTACGTTCAGAAAATGCTGTGTCTAGATTTTTTGACCCTTATTCTAGTTTAAGTCATCAATCTGTATATGATAGAGTACTTACAGTGGGGCTGTACATGACTGACAACCTATCCTTCAAATCAGCATTCCCCAAGCTCCCAGAACCCCTCGAAACCCCCTGTCTTGCATTTGAGATAGTCGATCTAGTGTCAGTTAACCGTTCTTCCAGAGTAAATAATTTGTTCCAGCCAATAGTTGGTGGTGTTCTAGGACGGGTATTTCCAGGGGGGTGGGACACTTACTGGTTAGTGCGGGGCAGTTGGGCGGGCGGGGTCCTGAGAGGTTCTGTCCGTCATGATCTATTCGATGAAAGGAACGAGAGTTCCCACTTTGTAATTCGAATCTTACTTTTCGTTCTTGCTTTCTTCCTTTTGCTCTTACACTTCTAAAATTTGAACACCACGTTTGCCCAAAAGGAACAAGTGAGCTTGAAAATATGTCAAAACTCCACCGCAACCCACCGTTCAGAGCAGAGCATCTAGGCTCTCTGCTTCGCCCAAAAGATTTTCTGGCGCAACGTTCAGCATTCGAGAAGAACGAGATAAGCCAAGAAGTTCTCACAAAAGCGGAAGATGAAGCTATTGCAGAGGTAGTCAAAGTTCAATTGGACAACAAATTTCACGCTATTACTGATGGCGAGTACCGGTAAATTTGATCTAAACCTCACCAAAGACTTGAATTAACCTTGAGGTAGACGAGCAGTATTTTGGGGAACATTCTTCGAGGAATTGAACGGCATGACAGAGATTCGTAATCCTAGCATGGACCTCTTCCGTCCATACGTTCCAGATATTGCAGGATTTATCGAGAAAGGTCACAAACCCGGACAGTCCTGCCTGTGCACCTCTAAAATATCACACAACGGTACTTCGACATTACTACCGCAATTCGACTATCTCAAGAAATTAGTGCCAGAGAGCCAATGGGGAGAGATCAAAATAACCATGATTGCTCCACCATGGTACCATTTGCGATACGTAGATGGAAAGGCGTATCCCAAGGACGTTTATGCCACTGACGAGGAGTACTTTGCAGATATAAGCAAAGCAGTCAGTACCGAGTTGGATATTTTGTATGATGCCGGTGTGAGAAATGTGCAGTTCGATGACCCAAATTTCGCTTGTAAGATGATACCAATGCGTTGCGGGAAGTGAGACGAAAGTACTGACACGAAACAAGATTTCTGTTCCGAGAAGATGTTGAAGGGTTGGGAGGAAGACAAGACAAATACCAAGACCGCAGAAGAGACATTAGACTCCTACATCAAGTGCTACAATGATAGTATTGCGAAACACACCGAGAAGATGCACTTTGGCCTCCACATTTGCCGAGGTATGCTTCCTATGCTGTTCTTTTCTTACTAAGGTTCTAATAAAGAGTAGGAAACTTCATGGGATCCCGCCATTTCAGTGAAGGAGGTTATGACCGAATCGCGACCAAACTTTTCCAAACACTTAACGTATCAACATACTACCTAGAGTACGATACCGAGAGAGCTGGAGGGTTCGAGCCTTTGCTACATCTCCCAGCTCACAAAAACGTTATTGTGGGTGTGATTACTTCCAAATTCCCAGAGTTGGAAGACAAGGAGAAAATGAAGGAGAGACTATATGCAGCAGCAGATGTGATTGCAAAGGGCGCAGGACAAACCAGAGAGGAAGCTCTAAACAGAATGGGTGTCAGCCCACAATGTGGATTTGCCAGTCATGAGGAAGGTAATCTTCTTGGATGGGAGGATATGAAGAACAAGCTTGCTCTGGTGAGAAGCATTGCTGATGATGTTTGGGCTGGTCAACCTTAAGATCTGGAAGTAGCGAGGTGGTCAAGAGTCGGAACAGGTAAGGAAGAAGGGATCAACTCCCAGAAGAAGAATTTTGGCATTTCAGAAGCAACAGACTTTCAACAGCAAAACGGTAGGAGTTCGAGCATTGGAGCAAGGGGGCAAGGTCTCATTCGATTCGGGCAAAAGAGCCCTCCCATTGGAAAGCCGATTTTAAATCGGAGAGAAAACCAAAATTCAACAGAAGACGCAATGCAGGGGTCATATACCCAATTTGAAGATTTCCCCCAAACAAACCATCTATCCGCAAGTGTAGAGGAAATATATCACGTGAGAAACAATTCCCCGGAATTTACAAATTCAGGTACGCAGAATCACAAGTTACACAGCTATATATGTTCTCTCAAGACGCTAGTCTGGTAACTTGAACGTTTGAGTCCACTCGGCTCTGCAAAAGGACTTGCTTCGCGCCTACCACAGCGTAAAGAGAGATCGAAAAGCATTGAAAAGGGTAGACACGATGAGTCCACAGACAGGAAATATAAGGCCCCAAATTGACCACCAGCTCAAGTTCGCCCCTCTGATGGAGAGCAGTGATGGAACACGTAAGCGTCGTTCGATACCCATCGACTGTTTATTCATAGCTCTTCCCAAAGAATTACTCGCGTTCTCTCCGACCTCCTCGAGCAAGCTCCCCCTGATTCCGAGGAAGCCGTAATCCCGAATATCAGTCACCGCAAACCGAAGTCGAGATCGTGGCGAGTTCGCCTACAACTCTAGACCGGTCTGTTGGTTTCTCCTTGATAGTATCTCCACCAGCGGTAGTCTGGCAAACTTTTACCCGCCTAGGCCGCCGTCCGGATACCTTCGGCATGTGCGCGACGTGCAACAAAAGTGTTAGATACTCGTTTTGGAAATACAGGAGACTCGAAGGACTGTATGGCGGATGGAAACGTTTGCTCCTATGGTGTGATTGACGTGGCGGGTATTTGTTTAGGAGATTTTGATGTTTGTTGTCAGGTTGTATTTGATCGGCTTCGGGAATATCGGGCCGGACATGAGGGTTTAAGCGAGTCATCTCCCCTGAGATGGAGTCTTCTTTGGTGCTGTCCGTTAATGTATCCAGGTAATTTCCTTTTCTTTGGATACTTAAATGAGGTAATCGGGTGAGACTGAACCATTTCCAAACATCATTGTTAAAAGAACCAACTAATGTTGTAATTGCAACATGTAGGTGGTAGGACCAGAACTCTGAACATATATAACAGTAAAAAGAATAACGAGAGTCTACATTATGCTATGCACGCGAGATGGATAGCTTCGAAACGTGGTAAGCAACCGGGAACACGATTTTGCTTTCTTCTCTCATATGTTACACCAAGATGAAATCGTTATTTATCACAGTCACCAAAAGGTACATTCACAAAGTATTGGTAGTAAGAAGTCATCTGACTTAAGATGGTCGAGATTCACATTAGTTTCAGTTGAAGTTTTAGAATCTGTGAATGATATTCGTCGACACAATTATGAATTATGAATTTACTGCTCCTTGAAACAAGCGAAGCCTAATTGCATGGCTTGTCACAGAGCTCATCTCATAGACATCTCAAATCCCATACATCTAACTTTATTCCTCGTCGTCTGTGTTGACTGGATGGTTCAAAAAGGTGTTAGGCGGCCTATTCAAGGCAGGTATGAAGGTGACCGTAGCAGTACAAGCTGGCCAACGAGCAGTTCCTGTGGCAATTGGGCAGTTTACTCCTGGAGGAAGCACAAACCTGTTTCCTATTAGTAGACAGTCAATAGTGGAGGAATTTGTTGTAACTGTAACGGGAGCTTACAAGATTGGCCACCCCCTTCGATTTGGACGGTCTTCCCTGACCTCTCCACCCGCTGCCTCTATGACTATGCGCGCATTATTCATAGCATTATGCAGAGAGAATGTCATGGGCATGGAGACATCCATGATTTCATCATAGATGTTAAGCTTGTGAAATTTTAGCTAGATCTCAAGGAGAAGGCGGGCAGGGCCTAACCTCGTAAAAACCCTCATTCTGGCGGTCGATAGGCTTGAACTGTCTTGGAACAGGCATATGCTGTGTTTGGGACATTTTAGGCGATTTTGGTGGTGTCTTGTAGCAGTGTCTGGTTCCTTAAGACTAAAATTACAAGTTGAGTGGGTGTGATAACTAGTCAAATGCTAAAGAGATCCAGTGAATGCCTTTGTGAATGGAACCATTGTGTTATCTTGCTTTAAGTTTGATTTAATATTCAGATAGCTTTTGTTTCACAGTCATAACGAACAGAAGTCAGACGAGTGAAGTGAATTGGCAATTTGACTTATACAATTCACTTACTAATATTTATGCTCTTACTCATCATAAGAGAGATGCTGATGCACACAATCTTTGTGTCCATTGACTTAAAGGTCTTGGCAAGCAGGTAATTAACGAATCGACAAGTGGCAGTGAACAAGTAAGGAACGGACGCAACAGTATATTCTCGATTGCTTTATGTTTGTTGAATTCATAGGCCTTGTCCGAATAAATCTAAGTGTGCAATTTCTTTAGTGTATTCAGCACTCGCTAATTGAAGAATGAGTTGCATTTCCATTGGACAAACTCTCTGAATTGCTCACAGATTTTTCTTTGAGGGCACGGGACCGAGCTCCATCCCCAGGGTATCGCCTGCTTCAAGTATTCCATAAGCCATCTTCTCCCTGCTGCTCAACTAGGAATGTATCCAAATATTGAGACATTTGTTGTACGTCCGCCATTCTTAAACCAAGTCCAGTATCGTGGAACGGAAACGATAATCCTAAGTTCTCTGCAGGTGGGTTGTTGTCAAGCTGACTGTCAGACGCGACTGGAAATGTGAACCAGTTATTGATGGAGTCATAGTTGCCAAAGGACAGCTGTTGTGACTGATTTACCGCTTGAGCTACTCGTAAGAATACACTACAGACCTGGTAAAGTCGGTCGCCAGCCTCTGACAGGTCTCTTATTGGCGCGAGAGCATTCAACGCCTGGCTGAGTAATGCTACGTCTTCTTGGCTGTGTGATGCTATACAATGGGTAAATACAACAAGGAATGGCGTAAAGGAGAAATACAGGATGATCCTGCGGCTGTCATCAGCAAATGGTCAACTGGGAAAGATTATAAAGATATTTTGACGTAATACCTACCAATCGCAGTAGAATTTACATCTGAGAATCTCGCCTTGAGGCCACAATTTCGCGTTTGCTACATGGCATTGAAGGCTCTTCCTGGCAGCTTCGAAATGTCTGGAACTGATTTGCGTTGGTCCGGCAAGCGATGTTTCTGCTCCGTATAGCTTTCCTAAGTGTCAACAATCGTTCATGATTGCCCGACTAATCGCCTGCGTTGGAAACCTACCTGTGTTAGACAGGAATAGTAAATGAAATCAGAAGCTTCTATCATCATTTCAATGTCTTCCTTGCCAATTGCAACATTCGAATCAATCTGTACTCATAAGCTTAGACCGAATCACAAGGATGGGAAGATCTTCCTGCCTTCTTGAATTTACAATGCCAATTGGACATGTTTGAAGCGAGCTCCTCGACGGTTCGTGATTTCGATTCCGGTGATTTCTTACGAGCATTTGCGGAATACATTTCATCGTAGATTTTCCCCATGATTTTGGCGAGTTCTACACAGCCGATATACATCTCATCCCACGCTCGGTGTTCTGAAGACTCAGATGCGGTAAACATGAGCGCATCAATGTCATAGTCTGGAAAATTAGAAACACGCCCTAGGCTTAGGGATAACATTTTGTCCATCATATAGAATAACCAAAAAAGCCTCCTCTTTGAATCGGCCAGCTGAGGAGGGTCTGCCTCCAACACTTCTCTTCGGTGGTAGCCTAAAAGTAGACAGAGTCGAGCGCCGGCTGATAAAAAGGTCCAACAAAGTGCCGGACGTGAATCCTCCTGTGCTTTCATGGACTTGCATATTTTAGCATTATAGCTATCATCATTTCTGAGAGATTTGACTTACTGCAATCATCAAGCAGACTATGTTTTCTAGAGTTGGTGTTACCATAGATTCGTATGTCAACATCGCGTAGCCGAAATTTATTTCACAGAACTTGGAAATCTCTCTACAATCTGATGCTGGAGTTGATGGATCGTCATCATTCATTGAATATTCAAGCAAGACATACATTAGCAACCCATTCATCAGATTAAGACGTTCTGGCTGGATTGGTTTTGTAGGAAAATACACGCTCTTGCATAAAGTTTCTAACAAAGAGTGGTCATTCAAGAGTAGCTGTAGATAAGTCAAAGGAGTGCGCTCTGTGAAGTGGTCAGCGGACATAGCTTAGCTTGAATCTTAGCGGTTAAATCTTACTATTCGCTCTTTTTATCGCCGCAATTACGAGCGACACAGGAGGTAGTTCGGCTTTAACATTTTGGTTAATTAGAGGTGTGTCAGGGAACCGTAGTTCATCGATCCTAGACGGCAAACTTTGACCTTCGAGGAGAGACCTCAGGGAGGAAAGAGAGGAAACCACTTCTGCTGTTTGTATACTCTCCGGCGCTGCAGCTGTGATTTCTGCTGACAACGTAGCTTGCTCTGAATACTTGCTGAATGACGATTCGCCTTCGAACACCTTTGCAGGAACATATGGAGAGGCACTAGTTGACCCAGCTCCTTCTGTAGCTGCAAATGAATTCGATACTGGTTTACTCTCGAGTCTTCGAAGTGTTTTCATGATGTCGGCTAAGCTCTCATGGATCATGTTAAAGTTCTTCTCCCTAGTTACGTTTCAGTCCGATTGCCATTCAGTGTTGCAAATTTCACTGACTGATATGGAACAGAAGGAACTCTTGGCTTGCTACTGCTCGCAGTCTTCGACGCCGGTCTACATGGCAGATTTGCTACCTGACAATTCGAACACGGAGCAGCTTTATTGCACCGAATCTATTCTCGGATGAGCCTGAGCGTTAATAATAGCTTTTTTGCACGCTATACCTTTCTGACACGGCAATTTTCGCACTGATAGATGTTGTTAATTCTCTCGGCAAATGTGACTGGGCAATGTACTGTAACCTACCGCTTTAGGGAGTATCGAAGTTCTATGATTCGCCATTTCTCCACCAGACACAACATCAGGTGCCATATTTGCATCTCTCGGCGGGTTTGTACCGTCGGACATGGTATCGGGATTGAGATGCGAGCTTGACTGGAAATGAGGAAAGAGAAAGGGAGATATCAAAATCGCGGATTCCGCGGGATGCGGCTGACTAAGAAAAGAAGGTTTGGGTAATTCCATAACACGATTCTGTCCAATAACGCTAACCCTAATCTGGAACCAACAACCGTAATATCAAGAGTTAGATTAGCAACTTGATAATAAATAGGAGAAATTATCATCCCTATATTAATATTCTCTATCAGACCGCCATTTTACCAGCACTCAAATCAATGTCCCACCATAGCCTCATACATCGCAGAGAATCTCACCCCAACAGGCTTGGCTTCATCGACGATCTTCCGCATCTCCCCCATCTCCTCATCCGTGAGCACAACACTTCTCGACCCCCAATTCTCTTCCAGTCGTTCAGCCTTTGTAGTTCCAGGGATAGCAATTAGCCCCTAGACGGCGACCCAAGCTAACGCAATCTGTGCGACGGTACAGCTCTTTCTGGTGGCAAGCTTCTTGATTTCATCCACGATTGCTTTGTTTTTATAAAAGTTCTCTCCTTGAAATTTAGGTACTGGAAGTGGTATTAGTGATAAAAGACATTAGATAAACGTTCCATCACTTACCACTTCGGCGGAAATCATCGAGTGCGAAATCATCAGGTGATTTATACGCAAAGTCATCCACCAGCCAGCCATGGCCGAGAGGACTAAAAGCCACAAATGCAATACCTAGTTCTTTGGATGTCTCAATAAGCCCACTTCTCTCGTGGAGGGTTTCGAAAGCAGAGTATTCTGCTTGGACGGCATCGATCTTTGCAACTGTGCACACTCTTAGTATTTGACTATACAAAGAGAACTGTGAAAAACATACTGGAGTTTGCTTTCCGCAACGTGGCCGCAGAACACTCCGAGAGACCGATATACTTGGTTTTACCCGCGCGACGGAGTTCATCGAGTGCAGTAATCGACTCCTCCAGCGGAGTATCTATAAACTCATCAACGTTCCTGCCGCCCAAACCCACACTTCTCCGGAAGGTAACAACTAACTGGGATCAATCCGATGCAGATAATAGAGATCAGGCGTAAAGCCCAGTCTCTCTATCGTACCCTCGAGGTACTCCCTGATGTGCGCCGGCGAGTTCGTCACCACCGGCTGTTTACTAAAAACGGTATACCCACACTTCGAGGCAACTAGAAACCACAGCCACTAAGTCAGCTATCAACTGATGCGCCATCAAATACCTTGAACACGGACCAAATAGCTTTTCCCGGATCCCATGCTTCTGAATAAACTCCCCAAGCAGCTTCTCGTTCACACCCGCCTCATAAGCTACCTATTCGCATCCACCATGCCGGTCAGCTAAAATTGATGCTCATTTGCTAATTCTTCTGCCTCTCGGCTTTTATTTATGGCTGTCCAACATACCGCTGTGTCCCAAAACGTACAGCCCAGATCAACAGCCTTTTGAAGCACCGGCTCCGCTTGTTCGAGATTAAGATTCGTCCCCATCAAAGAATTCAATCCCATGGCTCCGAATCCCGGGACGGGAATGTGGATGTCGGAGAAGGGGAGTGTTGTTGTCATAATGTTTTCTTGGTTTGATTTGGTTGCGGGAATAAGAGTCTCTCAAATTGATAAGATTACTGTACGGTATGTGAAGAAAGCAGGTCGGTGATCTCTGGATTTATTTGTAGACATGTACCTGATGGGTTGGCGAGCGGCTTTGTCTGGAGGGTCGGGGATATGATTAAATCCGGAAACAGTTTGGGGTTTTTTTAAAATCGGCAAGCATATATTTTTCATTAATCAGAGGTAAATTGTGCTCTATTGGGATCTGATCATGGCCAGTATTGTCCTGTCGCACAGGTTCCTCCGCGCTGATACAAGTAGGCGACTCGTCTGGTTCGGGGATATGATTAAATCCGGATCCACTCTGGTGTTCTTTTGAGATCGGCAAGCATGAATACCAAATTGATCAGACTGAATCCTACGAGTCTTTAAGTGTATTGTGCTCCACTAGAATCTGATCATATCATACCATTGCTTAATGGGCGGCAGCCATGTCGCTAAGCGAGCCACGTTCACGTCTCCCCTACAGTAGCCTACTCTTGTGCTCGCTAGCGTAATATTAATTGGATATTTGAGAGTTACCTATACTTTTACACCCCTATCTCTGTGTTCCTCGGAATCCCAATAACCTTATAATGGGGTTAGGACCCTTAGTAGGAGTGTACAAAAAAGCGCGATATCTAACAACTGTAAGAAGCCGACAAGTTAAAACGTAAGGTCGTAAAAGGTACTAGTTCGAATAAGGTAAATTAATAGTTACCAAGTTGTTATAGAGCTTCGCCTTTGAGAGATTATAAAAATAGACTACCGTATACATAGGGTTAAGCTCTATAATCAAATCTTAAGTAATAAAAAGATTTCTCTAGTCGTCCCCTTTCCGGATACTGTATGAATTATATAGGTAGCGCTCCATACAGACTTCATGCAAGAAGAGAAGGACGAAATACCGTGCTCGAATAATTTGGAGGTTGAAAAGTGGCACTAACCATATTCGGATAGGGGCCTAGTCTGCATGGTCCAATTGCACCCCTGCCGTCTACAGCTGAAGGTCGCGAACTTTGAAGACACGAATGCTATACACCACCATACACTCCTTTGCAATCGATACATCTACGGATCCATAATATCGCCCTTCAATTCTTTCACTCCTTACTATTCTTGTCAAATCGATATGGCGCCAATTACCAAGGACAAATACTCTGTCATTCTCCCAACATATAATGAGCGCCGCAACCTTCCAATTATCACTTGGTTGCTCAACCGCACCTTCACCGAACAGTAAGGATACAATTACATGATCAAGTGTATGGGCAATTTGCTGATGCATAACCTTTAGGAAGCTCGATTGGGAACTCATAATCGTTGACGATGGCTCACCCGATGGCACTCAAGTTGTCGCCAACCAACTGGCAAAAGCATACTCTCCTCACGTCCTCTTAAAAGCGCGCGCTGGAAAACTTGGGTTGGGAACGGCGTATGTTCATGGCTTGCAATTTGTTACGGGAAACTATGTCATCATCATGGATGCCGACTTTTCACATCACCCCAAATTCATTTCACAAATGATTGCGAAGCAGCAGACTCTTCCCACCAATGGCGGATACGATATTGTTACTGGGACACGATATGCGGGTGACGGAGGCGTTTATGGATGGGATCTTAAGCGCAAATTTGTCTCACGAGGAGCCAACCTTTTTGCGGATACGGTTTTGAGGCCTGGAGTTAGCGACTTGACTGGCAGCTTCAGACTCTACAAGAAGTCTGTGCTACAGAAAGTTATCGAGAGCACCGAGAGCAAAGGCTACACATTCCAGATGGAGATGATGGTTCGCGCGAAGGCGATGGGCTGCACTGTTGCAGAGGTACCAATCAGTTTTGTTGACCGGGTTTATGGAGAATCTAAGCTTGGAGGCGACGAAATCGTAGAATACGCAAAGGGTGTGTTGAACTTATGGATGAAAGTTTAAGTAATAGCCAATCTCATATTGCATGGAGTTTCGGTGGGTTTTACATAATGCATTCAATTTCAACCAGAGAAGACCTGTATTGCATCCGGCGAGGTTTAGCGAAGCGCTCGAAAGACGTGCCAAAAGCCTGGCCTGTCATTGTGGGAAAGGAGTAGCTGAAAGAATCTTCATTAAGATATTTCGTCAGTTGCTTTGAAGAATTAGGCGTTATTGTTGCCAGAGGAATATGCCAACATGGAGCACGTAGTGGCCGATATAAGTGACAGGTCATAACATCTGGTTTCCGCAAAACGAGTGACAAAATAAACGCTATTTTGTCAATTGGTTTGAGGAAATACATGATATTTCGTCGATTGCTCCTGCCGCTAAAGTATTCTTATCTCTTCGATTGAGCTTAACCCCAACCCTTTCGAGCACATGATAAAGCTACCTAGGTGTAGATAGGCCAGTATAAATGGCAGGGAAAAGTACAGGCAAGCTCGCAATTAGCAAATAAGTCGTAGTGGAAACAGGATATTTCTTCGCTTCATTAGACGAAGTATCCTATATTTAGTCTATGGTTTCCAGTAAATAATACACTTTGGGACTCAATTTAAAACTCATTACTATAATAGTATCTGCTTGGGTGTAGGTGTTATTTAAGTTTTCAGGTTAGTTAAATCGGACCTCGTAACAGAAGCCAACACTAAATATTGGTAAATTATCATACTTGATTAATTTAAGCTATTTTAATTTTAACCGATTCAAAATAAGTTAACGAGGTAATATCTAAACTCAATAATTGACGTAAGATACAATATTGTCTTCCAACTACAACTTATTTTAGAAAGAGTAAGCTTGGGCGCGTTGAAATAGTTGAGTACGCAAAGGATGTATTGAATTTATGGAGCAACCTTGGGTAATAGCTAGTTCATATTGCATGCGACTATGAACAAAGACATAATGATCAAGCGAAGTACAGGCTCTCACATTTCTTTTAGCCCAATGATTGATTACTTTGCTGTTTTGTTAAACAAAACAACAATCTCTAAGAACAAAGGACCAACTTTATTCAAATAAGTGTCAAGCAGTCCTGGAAGGAAGCTTCATTTTTATGCTTGAGAGCAACTAATAAGCAATATGAGCCCTTCCTAAGACTCAGTTTCAGCAGCTCCTCCCATGTCTAGCGGTACTACCACCAAACAAACAGAATTTTGGGGTTCCAACACCACTGTAGCGCTTCTCCTTCCCCATCTTACCTGCAAATGGAGTTCGCAGGATATTGTTCAACCTAATTCTTCTAGCGTGACCAAGAAATACTCAATTCCACTCAACAAGTGTCTGTTGAAAGATCTGCTGTATTGCGTAAGTGTGGTCTACGGTGTTCCATTTGCTGATTGTGTTCATGGCAGTCAAGAGCATGCTATTACTCTTTATGCACGAGTGTACATTGCAAGCGAAGGTGTTCTGTCTGAAGCTGCTACTAACGCACTCCATAAGAAGATCAAAGATATTCTTTCCAATTCTAGCATGGACGTCGCTGACCTTGAAAAGGTTACGGGGATGTTGTATGATCAAGACAAAAACCAAGAACCAATCGAAGGGGCCAGACAGGCAGAACTACGGAAGATGCTGATTGAGAATATCGGTGAGTATAATCAGGATTTCAAGCAGTTTTCCTTCATCCCCAAGAAACTGATCGAAGAGGTTGATTTACATCTACTTTTGACAGCTCAACCTGGAAATTTCTGCGAGCCAAGGACGTCTCAGACAGCTGGTGATGACTCGGAAGAACTCCCTGAAGTATATTCTTCTCTAAAAACGGTTGGACGCAAGATTTGGAGCCTTTTGGTATCACCTCATTGAAACATCAGCCTGTCATTAGCAATAACTTGGAAGGAGCGTCTTAAGGTTCGACTCAGTCAGACAGTCAGACTGGTCGATTGTTCAACAAAGTAAGTGTCTTTCCAATTTAAATGATTCTAAATAACCAGGCCCCCTCATCGTGAGTATCATAAATGACAACCTCTCAAGAATTCCGTTAACTTGGTGGAAATGGGATCTGTCCTGGACGACCTTGATGAAATGTAAAGATACTGTGTCAACATGACCGAACGAGTATCTTATTCAACTGCCACGTATATTATCCACCGCGAGCCTGCCTAGAAGAAAACGACGATAATGGGTTGGAAGTGAAGAAATGAAATAAATGACGATAGTATCAACAAGCTGCTAAGCGAAGTTGATATGACTATGATAATGCATACCCACATTCAAATGAGTCAAGATTTGAGTTCCTCCGTGATTCTCGCAGATTACGGACATTTGTCCTCCCCTCAGACAGCTCCCCAACATAGAAACCGAGCAAACCAAGGCTCTCATCAGTTTCCTCTGCGCCCCTAACACAAACTTAATTGCGAGACCGATCATGCACTCACATTATCCTGTCAGTGTCAGCAAAAGGCGGCGACTGGACAAATACCGTGCTAATTTCCTGTGCTAAAACCACACCCGAACCTTACCTTAGCTGATCGGTGCATAATAGTTGAACCTTCCAAATGGGTCATATGCTCTTTTCAACCCCCTTAATCGTTCAAGTCTCCATTTTCCATAGCCGTACATATTCTCAAGAGTCTCATTGCCGAAAGCATAATTGACGTAGGTGTGTAGCTCGCCACCACCCGCACCTTCATGGAGAATGCTACGCATTTTATTGGTAGCTTCTATAGCTATAGCATCAACACTCGTGTTGGGAGAGTACATCATGGCAGGAGAGCTTCAATATGATCAGTGATAAAACTCATTCAAAAGTGTATGAACTTACATAACGATATTGTCTCCTCTATGAGCAAATGCAGTACTATCTTCTGGGACAGCTTTCACTCCGTCTAAGGAGTAGCCTTCAAACATGATGAAGGCATTACTAAGCTCAGGAACTTCGCCAGTGACCTTCGTAAATACCTCAAAAACTGCACGTTGAGCCTCAAGATTAAATTCTTGGATGTTGATTGGCGACAAGATTACGCTGGATCCATGTAGACAGGCGAAATCATCCACACCTGTCGCGGTGAGTGAAGGGATTTCGGGATAAGTCACACTTTGATGTTTCTTGACATCTAATGGCCCGATATCCTCGAAGGGCTGAGTATAACGTGTTGCAACAGAGGGATCTCCGTGACAGAAGATATGGACCAAGATGACAGCCTTCCTATAACGTAAGTAATTGGTACAAAACGGGAATATGGAGGACATACTCTTGCTGTATCAATTTGAGGAAGACGAATAAAGTTTGAGAAGTAAAAGATCCCGGGAAGATGCGCTGTGGTCTTTGCGAAACGGTTAAGCTCCTCAAATACGGGTTCGACGTTGCTGCCTTCATAAGTGAAGGTATAAACCTGCCACATGTCGTCTGGGGGAACGTCATATACTTTATATCTATACTCCGTGATGACGCCGAAATTATGACCAGCGCCGCGAATGGCCCAGAAAAGATCGGCATGTGAATCTGCAGATACATTGACAGCGGTACCATTCGCTAAGATCATCCGAGCAGAAACAAGATTATCTGCGAGAAGCCCATAGTAACCTTGTAGAATTCCGTACCCTCCCCCAAGAAGCGGAGCAACAGCGCCGACACATTCGCAATATCCTGTCACTAATAGAAATGAGTGGTAATAAGGACGGAGGAGAGGACGTGATTGACTTACCTGTTTGTTTACCACGGGCCCATAATGCATCTGTAACCTCTTTAGACAAAGCGCCGCCCCCTATCGTCGCGGTCTGCCCATCGGGACTGATATCAATGGTGTTTAGCTTCCTCATCCATATATTGATGCCATTGTTGAAGCTTGATTTGAGAGGCAAAGTTCCGTGCCCGCCTGATCTAGCAAGGAATTGAATACCATGCTGATTTGCATACTTGACCTAATGCTACTCAGCGATTAAGTATGCTCTATTAGGCATGAGTCAAACCGTTTGTTGAACGTCGCTCTCAGTTGCAACCTCGACGATGATTTGGAAGTTCGGAGGACGAAGTAGATTCCACGACTCAGTTTCCACAAATCGTGACGAACTAGGTGATACTATTGAGGCACCAGGAGAGAGAAGGTTTATAAGATCAGATGAGATATTGAAGGCCCGCACCTTGCTTGTGGTTGAGTACCAGGGAACCTGATACGTGAAAGATCCGATGCCCCAATTCAGAAAGGCGGAGATAGCATCCATCTCAAGCTGTTACTTATCGCACCCAGAGAAAAAAGACTTACTTGCACACTGCTTGCGATTTCAAAGAGGGATAAACGTACTTATGCCATTCAAATTATTGTAACATATGCTGCTCGCACTGTCACAGGCCGGCCACCAACAGATTGCTGTCTGCTGCCCGCTCGATCACAGATCTACGGGCATTGATATACAGTAGCTGTACTGCACGATAAAGAGATGCCTCACGACGACGACCTCATTGGAAGTTGGGCCATTTGGCGTCTGTCGTGAGACATCAAGAGGCCGGACGTCCAGCGAGATAGTTGTGCACTGCATAAAGCTGTGATTGGAGCTAAGCCGTTTCGGGCGACGAAAAGTTATGCAAATACACAAGACTAGCTTCGCTTCGCGAGGACGAGGAGCATCCCAATCCCTCATCACTATTGGACATGGTCACCATGGACATACCAGAATCCAAACAAAATGCCAAAAGACATTCGAGGCATGGGTCCTCTGGCAGAGGTAAGCAGTTGAGATCTCTACTACTTGTCTGTTGGTCTTACTTTGCAACCATAATACTACTTCCTGTGGTCTGTTGCAGGAAATTGGATTGTAAAACTCCCAATGAACTTTATATCCTCCTGTCTACACTCCAAACGAGCTGTTTTCGAAACTAGCACGACCGAGAGGACTATGATCCTTAGACCTGGATTCTGATTCATCTCAAGAAGACCCGTCGAGCTCATCACGTAGCTGTAGCTCTCAATGAATTCTTCTTCGTTTGCTCTTGGCAAGTCAGTGAAACTGTCACTATCTTACAAGTACAAACAAACTGAATTAAACGATTCGCAACAGAGTCTGCGTGGCTTCGTATATTTAGGTTATAGCTTGCCTGCAACTCCACAAAAGCAACCTTCCCATTTTGTAAACCAACTTGTTTCTATTGAGTAGACAGATTGTCCTACTGTATACTTGACATAACGAACCAAACTTTTTATAGCATGGATTTTGCTAATAGGCCTTCGGAAGCTCTACCGCGAAGACCAACCCGAGGTCCCCTCGATGCCTCCGAGTGAGTGTTTCTGAGAGAAGAGAAAGTGCCCGGGACCTTCACTAACAATGTACTATCAGTCCTACATCAAATCCCCTAACCTCACCGACGACCCTAGCTCAGCAATCATCATCTCGCCTTTCACCAACGCCATCGAGATATCACACACCACGGCTTCCCTCGCCGGGACCCGGATCCAATCTCTCGGCAATCTCGACCCAACCCTCTTTCAAAACAGCTCAATCCTCAATCCCGGCAACTCAAAAAGACTTCTCCTATCTCCTACGCCCTGAAATCTACCATCCTCTGACTCTCATTGATGTCCCGCCACCTTTCAGGAACGCGGCCTCGCAACCTGACCATTCAACACCGCTTGAAGCACTTCTTGCCTCGGGTCATTTCAGAAGTGCAGCTATCAAAGCAGCACAAAAGTTGACCTCTCAAACGATATCGCCAGTCGCGCATGAAGAAATTTTCTCACTACTCTACACCCGTCTCTCTTGCCTAACGCTATGCAACCAAACCCCGCTTGCCGCTCAAGAGGTGAAAGTCCTTGAGGACTTGAATTCCTCCTACTACCGCGATGATCTGACAGGTACTCATCTCGTACCGTGGCATCTCCGCGTCCTAGCGGTCAGACTTCAAGGCATGGGTTACGCGGATGCTCGAAGAGGTGTGATGGGCTACTATGACCTCGCTAGAGAAGCACGTATCACATTAGGAACACTAAAGAAGAACTTGAACACCCTAACATCAGATGACGAAGTTGAGAAGAGGGAACTCACTGCCGAAATCACCATCTGGGAAGAGCGTCTCGATAATCTCGGGGTACGAGTCGCAAGCGCTCTTATAGAGATGGAAGACCTAGAGGGAGCTGCTCGACATCTTAAGACTTTAGAGCCAAACCCCGGGGCGGACGGCTCTCTCCGTCTTGAAGCCCAAAAAGCACTTCTGTATCTCTGTCTAGGAGACGTCGACGCCGCTCGAGCCTGTATCTCATCCGCATCAGAAACCACTCCTCTCGCCAACGAAACCAAAGTAATCCAAGCACTAGCCGAGATCGCAGACGCGGAGTACGGCGCGAGCGCTGTTATCTGGGAGTGTCTTATCGCCGGTGATGAAGATGGACAATCCGCTGTGGATGAGGGCGAAACCGCCATGTATCGTCAGAATCTAGCAGTCTGCTATCTTTATCTGGGGAGAATGGATGATGTAAGTATTTCTGTTACCGCCTGCTTTCGCTTGACTGATGTGTAAAAGGCACGATTCCAGCTAGAATATTTGCTCTCACCGACAGAGCCATCTCATAGCCCGGCTACGTTCCATGCTTTGACGTTCAATCTATCTACTATCTATGAGTTATGTACGGAAAGGAGTCGAGTGTTAAAGATTGGTTTGGCTGAGAAGGTTGCTGAGATTTTGGCGCAGGAGAGGGAGAGGGGTGGTGGGGGCGGGGAGAAGGTCAATGGTGATTTCAAACTGTAGGCCAGGACGCGCAATGTCAAGAGCTGGAGTAAGTTTGGATCGTGACATGCTATAGTCAGAGTCGGCTAAATGCGATTTTCAGATGTAGAATGCTAGAGCCAAATGAATATTTACAGGGAATTCACAGCTAAGGAATTCTCCAAAGCTTTTTCTGGTAACATCATTTCATAATGCCCCTAATAGAGATCTCCATCAAACACCACACTCCCACTCCCCGGTTTACTAACCACAACCGCTGCCTCTTTCTGCTCAGCGCTCAAATCCATCTTGCTATAATACTCCTCCTCCCAAGCTTGCTTCACCGCCTCAACCTTATCAGCCGGAACAAGGTGAACACTGCAACCTCCCCATCCAGCACCCGTCAACCGACTACCATAACTCCCTGCCTTGCGAGCAATGGAGCACAGCTTGTCGAGCTCAGGACATGAGCATTCGTAGTCATCGCGACATGAGTCTTGAGTAGCGTTCATAAGGTCACCGAGTTTCTTGTTGAAGGATTCGTCTAGAGACGTTGGTGAGCGGAGAAGAGACATGAATTCCAGAACGCGAAGAGCTTCGGAGAAGACGTGAAGAGCCCTTTGACGGAGTTTGAATTGCTCGGCTCGGACCGGGAAAGTGGATGTGAAGCGCTCATTTAGCTCCTCGACTGTCATGCCAATTACCGGTGCGATTTCTTCACGGGTGTACCCTTGTTCCTGGGTCAAAGTCTTCTTTGTCAATTCAATGAGTTCGAGGAGCTCTTCTTCAGGCGACTTGGGAGTGCTGTAGAAGTACTTTCGATGGAAACCATTGAGAGAAATGCCGAGAGGTCCAGAGTCTGAGGGGAGTGGCTCAGCGGTTTTGTTAACGGCGGCGTTCAAATACGCAGCCGCAAGACTGCACTCAACCACTCGAAGGTTATAGCAAACTGGTCCAGTAACATGCTTATTGGATTGGACGAAAGATTGAGCGATAACGAATGAGAGTTCTGGCGTGGTGCTCGGAAACTTTACTGGCTGAGCCATGAGATTTGGAGTAAAGGAGACGAAAAGTGCAGTGCCTCGAAGAGATAGGACGGACGCGGACTGGTCCATTCCTCCCGAGTTGACACCAACAGCTCTCTCGCTAACAATCGCCAATTCCGTCAATTCCTTTTTGTCAACCGACTTTTCTCCGTTGGCATACATCAAAGCCAAAGCAGATGCAGAGACGAAAGCAGCAGAGCTGCTCAGCCCACCACCTGCTGGAACCGTACCATCCATCAAAATCTCCATGCTCACAGGCTTCAGGAAGGCACTTCCTCGCTTTTTCCGCAACAGTTCCAACGCTCCTCGTAGACCTGATTTAAAGTAGTTCGTCCACTCGTGAACTTTGGCATCGATGTCGACCGTATCGTAAGGTATCTTGAACTCGTGGGAAGGAAACTTTGTGCCTTGAACATTTGCGACTTTGATGGTGTAGTAGTCGGACTTTTCAGTTTCTTCGACCACTCTGACAGCAAGCAAAGCATCCGCAGTGATAGCCATAGGCAGTACGGAGTATAACGAATAATCGATGTGTTCTCCAATAATGTTGACTCGGCCGGGCGACCTAGACACAAACTGAGGCGCATGGCCATAGTTGGACTGAAATTGTTTCATTAACGACTGCCATCTTGCCGTTTGCCCTTCCAAGGCATCGCCCGTGTATATATCCTTCAAAGACTGCGCAACCGGTACCGCATCTGTAGACGCCATTTTGTGATTCTTCTCTGACAATTTCGCTGGGCTTGAGTGGGGTGTTTTGTTGACGTTGGCGGGGTAGAACAGACCGAGATTGGATGGTCCAAGAGGGTGTTTCAATCTGCCGGTCTACCTGCTACACAAGTAACCTTATCATGCAAATCGCCCGAGTACACAATTCCTAGTAGTATATTCGAAATCCGAGATACAATTTTGTGGGATGTAGACCTTCAGCGTCGCGTGATGGAGTTGTCCCAGTCCACTTCCCGCGCAAATCCGCCGCGATGGAAAGTGGAGAGCTGCTTCATCTGACGTGTTGATTGGTGCGCTAGATGGTGAAAGGAGACCGTCGTCGTCGTGGCCTCTTGCGCCCGGAAGGCCATGAAGAGGAATGATACTATTGATGTTGGCAGGTAGCCTTGTCGTCTATTACCCACGAGGCTGAAGCACGATGGGAGGAAAAGGATGAACCAGAGAGACCGAGGGAGCTCGACCGTCACTCCTCGACTGGGCGAATCAGACACATGTCGAAACGGGTCGGTAGCGATTGGCTGCTTCGCCCCGTGAGCCCCATTCTGGATGAATCTGTGCGGAATCTGGCTGGCGGAACCACAAAGGCGGTGGCGACAGGCCAGGCCAGGGTCTTGAACTATCGGAGGAGAATCAACAGTGAGTAAAGAAAGTTGTAGGGAGGTGGAGGCCCTTGGTTGAAGGTGTAATGTTGACCTATATAAAAGCAAAAGGATATTGGGTACGAAAAAAAAAAAGAAAGGCTGATTTTAGATCTTATTGTCTGCTTCCCGGGGGGTTGAATGCGATTAATCGCTTTGTTTGTCTTCCCACCTGTAAACTCCATCCTGCCGAGATTCACACTCAGATTTCCCCACAGCTCCGATTTTCGCAGTGACGCTAGTGATTCTTTTTGGGCCAGTCGAATTGATGCCACCACAGACCAGGAGAGTCACATCAACCGCACATCAACATCCCCTCCTTCTTAACCAGCGATTTACTTTTCTCCTCTTCTACACCCCAACACTACCACGCTCATATTGTTTGTAGGAAACTCCATTGAGCTGTGCCAGTCAGGCTACGCCAACTTTTCATTTCTTTCTCCTCTTTCACGCCCTCGTCAAAATGCTCAGATCAAATCCTGCAAGAGGTGCGGTGCGCGCTCTCAAACAAACATCAAGATGCAACACCCGGTGTCTGTCACAATTGCCTCCTGCCGGAGGCATTGGTATGGCCAAGAAAGCTCCAGCATCAATCAGAACCCAGGCTACAGCAGCTACTGCCACAGCAACTGCACCCTCGCCGTAAGTGTTCAAGAAGTAGTGACTCACGTATGGTACTAATGATTCTATAGACAAAAGAGAGAAGTCCCAAGTCCAGCTTTTAATGCATCAGTATCGAAACGACAGAATCCCTTACAACATGCACGAACCCAGGAAATGGATGAGTCGTAGGTTCCAAATGTCACCGCCAATCACGCTCATTCTAACCGTATATAGGTTCATTGGGAAGACTGGAGGCGAAATATTTCACGAAATGATGCGGAGACAGAATGTCGATACCATATGTGAGTAGGTCTCGTCAATTCAATGGCACATGCTAACAAACCCGCAGTCGGTTATGCTGGAGGGGCTATTCTCCCAGTATTCGACGCCATCTACAACTCAAAACACTTTAAATTCATTCTCCCTAAACACGAGCAAGGTGCAGGACATATGGCAGAGGGCTATGCGAGAGCGTCAGGAAAACCGGGCGTTGTGCTCGTGACTTCTGGACCGGGCGCTACGAACGTTATTACACCTATGCAGGACGCTATGTCGGATGGAACACCAATGGTTGTTTTCACGGGCCAAGTTGTAACCACCGCGATCGGCAGCGATGCTTTCCAGGAAGCAGACGTTATTGGCATTTCAAGAGCGTGCACAAAGTGGAATGTGATGGTTAGGAACGTGGCAGAGCTCCCTAAGCGTATTAACGAGGCTTTTGAGATTGCCACAAGCGGCAGACCTGGCCCAGTGTTGGTAGATCTTCCCAAAGATGTCACAGCTGCAATTTTGCGCAAAGCCATTCCGATGAGCAGCACAATTCCGATTCTACCTAGCCAGGCGTCAAAGGCTGCTATTGAACACGGCCGGAGACAACTCACAGCAACTCTCGAGCGTGTTGCAAAGTTGATCAACGTTGCTAAGAAGCCAGTCATTTACGCCGGTCAGGGTGTAATTGCCCTACCCGAAGGACCACAGCTTCTGAAGGAATTGTCAGACAAGGCATCTATTCCTGTCACAACCACCCTCCAGGGCCTGGGTGGATTTGATGAACTGGATCCAAAAGCCCTACACATGCTTGGAATGCATGGTTCCGCCTATGCAAATCTCTCGATGCAAGAAGCGGATCTCATCATTGCTTTAGGCGCTCGATTCGATGATCGAGTTACTGGCGCAGTGTCCAAATTCGCGCCACAGGCCAAGGCTGCGGCTGCCGAAGGTCGAGGTGGCATCGTACATTTCGAGATCATGCCAAAGAACATCAACAAAGTCGTGCAGGCTACTGAAGCTGTAGAGGGCGACGTTGCTGCCAACTTGGCCATACTTTTACCCCGTGTGGAAAAGCGGAGCATGGCCGACAGGAAAGAGTGGTTCGATCAAATTAACTTCTGGAAAGAGAAGTTCCCACTTTCAGCGTACGAGAAGGCAGAGCGTACTGGCCTGATCAAACCGCAAACTTTAATTGAGGAACTTTCCAACCTTACTGCCCACATGAAGGACGATACCATCATTACCACCGGTGTAGGCCAACATCAGATGTGGACAGCACAACACTTCAGATGGAGGGCCCCAAGGACGATGATCACATCTGGTGGTCTTGGTACTATGGGCTTTGGGCTTCCCGCCGCTATAGGTGCCAAGGTTGCGAAGCCTGACGCCCTAGTCATTGATATCGACGGTGATGCATCCTTCAACATGACTTTGACAGAAATGTCAACGGCAAAGCAGTTCAACATTGGTGTAAAAATCATCGTTCTAAACAATGAAGAACAAGGGATGGTCACCCAGTGGCAAAATATCTTCTACGAAGATAGATATGCTCACACACATTCTGAGAATCCGGACTTTATGAAACTAGCAGATGCCATGGGCATACAAGCAAGAAGATGTATCAAACCAGACGATGTTAGAGACTCCTTAAAATGGTTGATTGAGAGTGATGGTCCTGCCTTTTTAGAAGTGGTTACCGACAAGAAGGTCCCAGTCCTACCCATGGTTCCGGGAGGCAGTGCCTTACATGAGTTCTTGGTATGGGACGAAGGTACTTAAATTAAGCCCTACTTGTGAAATACCCTACTAACAAAATTCCAGAGAAGGATAAAGCACGCCGAAAGACGATGATCGAGAGAACGGAAGGCAAGCATGGAAACTGATCACATGCAATTAGCGACAATTCGACAGTATCATTCTGATACTTTGTTTAAGCCTGTTGTTTGACAGCGCAAAATCTTTTGGTCATTGGTGTTGGTGGAAAAGTTTTATCACATTGCATATACCGCGCAATCTTGAATTATGTTCAATACGGGCGCTTGGGTTTCGGGCCAGTCCACGAAGAAAAGACAGACTTCTTACAAGGAAGTTCATGCACGAAGATGTTTTCGGGCGACTTGTAAATATAAAAAAAGCACGGATAATGATCGAAGAGTTTACACCAATCAGGTAGCTCCTGAAAGTACCGCTTGCGTCGATGTCACAGTTGAGAGCATTTGCCGGTTTTATCCGCAAACCCCTGAGGCTTAACGATTGCGCAACATCTCAAGACATACAGTCTTCTGATGTGGTAATATATACCAATTGAGAAGTCGAAGATCGCCTTTGACTGGTAGCGCCAAAGTCTGCCTTGTGTTCATTTCAAGCGATTTGATGCTACCCACACTATGCATACTTCTGCGTTTCAGTGTTGTACAAAAATCAATCCTTCTGCACTCGCCGTAACCTACCTAGGTATACCTTACGACGTTAAGATTTACCAAGAAACTCCGAGGAGTGGTTACTTTTCACGCTGTTGATTTGAGAAAACTCCAACGCTCTGCTTTGAGAGCTATTAAGTTGTTTACCCTATCTACGTTATCACAATCGCGGCGCTAAAAGTTTCCATCGAGTTCAAATTGTCCAGTGGGTGGTAGCCCAACTAGAAAATGCACCGGCGATTCTTCTTTGCATCTTGTGTGTTGCGTCTTCATCTAATAAGTGCTGAAACATCCCTTTCCCGAGTGCGAGCGCGTAGTTGTCGTGTATTCTTCATTTCCTTTGCAGGCCTTCGTCTTAACTCCATCAACTCTTATGACTCGTACGAGCGCTTCTCAGGAAACGAAAGTAGATCAGGACTCCAGCGGGTCGAGCCGATGTTACACAGGTCGAAATCCAAGGATCTTAGAAGGCAGGCATTTTCTTGCAAGGTCGGTCATCCCTGAGCTTCATATATCCATGGACTACCATCATCTTTGTTCATCGTTTAGTCCATCCAATCCAGTGCTGCAGAACTGTGCCCAGGTCTCCATTCGAGGACAGCTATCACGCACGTGATGGGAAAGAGTGGATAATCCTACTCTTCTTCATTGGTATTACAGGCTACCATCCAGACTGACCAAACTTGTTCCTACCCGGGAGTTTCAAATACATGGATGGTGCTGTTCAGGGATGGACAAAGGCCACCTGAATGGTGTGCAGAGTAGGAAACCAACTGCAGAAATCCTTCAACGGCAGACACTGCCGCACACCTGCATACCCAGTCCCCAGCAGAGGAAATCATGGCGATAGCTCCTGGATTTCAAATGAAGTCTTTCTTTCCCAGTCGCCGTCGGAGTGCCACGAGTCGCTGATGTATTTTTATCTGCAGCAACTTAGGCCACTATCGTGTGGATATGGGTGTTTCGCTATCTTTTGATACTGGATATCTTCTCATCACTTCCGATTGTTTCTCGACGGCCCGTCTACACGTTAAAGATTGATACACTTCATGTTGAACCCCATTCAGGAGTGAACGGACTGAATTAGATCTCAACTCTGTTCGATTGTCCATGGGCCACGGCTCTGGACAAATCTGAACTATAAAACTTCTGGTAAATGCTCCCAAATCACTAAATCGACCTTCATGCTCATTCAATTCAGAACCTGAGCTCCGGGCGTTTTGATGGACCTGGATACGCCTCAATTGTCTCTTGAAATCAAAAAGAGCCAATTTTCAGATTGACGCTAGACGCTGGATAAAGTAGCTTCCTGGGATTCTTTTTTTCTGGCGGGGCTCAAGACCCGATGGCTTCTAGCACAACTATCATACCTGATCCGACGAGTACACTTGCATTTCGTACCGATGATGTCGCTCCATACTTCATCAACAGTACTCTCGCGGTCGTGGGTGGCCAAACTATGACAGTCCATTCGGGCGTCGGTTTCATCGTCACCGCCACCGAGCAGACTTATATTTCCGGATCCTCAATTACTGTTGGTCAATTAGTTACCATATTTCCGCCAGGAAAAATTGTCATTGCTACAAATACCAGCAGCATAGATTCAGTTTCGACTGCCCTGGATACAGCTTCTTCCACACTAAATCCAGAATCCTCCGATCCTTTACGCGGGGGTTCAGACACCTCAGCAGCCAAAAAGTCGCTCAATTCCCTATCGATAGGTGCCAAAGTAGGCATTGGAGTCGGAATTACCATGCTATTCCTAGTCTTTACAGCATTTCTAGCCTTATTCTTTTTTCGCTACGGCAAACGTTCAGCGCAAGTACGATATCGCCCGAACCCTCCCACACCTCCGCCTAAGAATGGCCCATCACGTCCCGTAAGCGGACCGATCGACCCTCTGAGTTGTCGAATCGAAGATTTTCCACAAGAACCATATGAGCTATGGAGTCCGGCAATGAGTGACTTGGAGAAGAAGGGAAGTACGGAACTGGAAGGATGTCAAGTTGAGGGACTTGTGGAGACGAAGAAAGGGAAGAGAGCGGAACTAGATGGACGAACGAGACGTTGGGGGAGTGGATTGGCAGATGGAGAGCGCGAGAGGAAGAGTGAGAGTGGGAATTGGTTAAGTAATTGGAGTCGGTGGGTTGATAGAGTGTGAGATACTGTGACAAGTTATGGTACATTTGGGAGGAGAGTAACTGTTACGTGTAGATTGTGGGAGGGGTTATAATTATGATACCATTTTCGATGCCAAATTTAGAAGCTTCTTCTGTACAAAGGTACTCTTCAACCATGTCTTAATTGTTGTCGACCTTTCAAAGCCAAAGCTTTGCTGTTGTCAAGCAAAGAAAGGCACTGCCCGATCTCGCATCAGTTAAACAAGAAAGCGACTATCATATCCCAATTTCAAGCACATAAATATGCCCGATTGTGCACGCTTCTTCTTGCTCACAAAAAGCAAGCTCCATCATGAGCGAACTGCCCCGCTGACCCACTTCCCCACACAGATCCCAACGCCACTCCCGCATGATGACCGCACGGGCACCGCTCCGAAATCGCCTCGATGGACCCTGACGACGATCTTCAAACGATAGTCGAGGATGAACGTCGGTTAGCCGAGAGAGGTTATAAATTGTTTCAACGAAGAAGAGGATCTAATGAGAAGAGGTTGCGGAATTGTAAGTGGCGTAGATGAATTAAATTTGAGGGTCTTTGGGAATATGATGTGCGAGCGGACACGTACTTTTTGGAGCGCGTACCATGTTAGGAGGATGATTGATCGGAGATTAGGATTGCTGAGGATTTTAGGATGGAAGGTGAGGTTAGGTTTATTGGGTTTTGGGTTCGGGATAGGTCTTTTGGGAGGAGGGGGTGTGGTGGAAGGAATTGAAGTGCTGGGGGTGTGATGTTGAAAGGTAGCTTGTTGGAATTTAGTGGAAATTGTTGGGTCTTTTGGAGGGAGGAAAGCATGGAATTGAGGTTGTCGCTGAATCCAGATGTTAATAGGAAATCGTGGTGTCGTAGGATGGGCAAAACTTATATAATTGAGTGTTTACCACTTCACGTGTATCAGGAAGCGAGAAGAAATGTGGTAATGATGAGTGTAAACACACTTTGACACCAGATGGTATCACCATATCTTTTTATGGTATCTTGTAAAGTACGTATTTCTTCTAATCCAGAACTGAAATAAGCTTTGCATAAATATGGTGTACTTTCTCATCTTAATATTTTCCTACTGATCTTAACAGTACGTCTGTCTGCTCAACTTCGTATATCTGTATTGAGAACTTGAGATTGTCATAATCTTTATCTCAGTGAAGTTTCAATTTGTGCAAGTTTATATCTCTGTAAATATTTGGTCTAGTTGCCCTGAAACAAAGTAATGAAACTTCCAAGTTATGTTCAATCAATTTATTCGTCCTACCTAATTGTACTTAGAATCCGTCACAACGTTGGTAGACTTGATCCGGCGCTTCAAATTTGCATCTTTGACGAGATTGAATTTCTGCAACCGACTCCAGCATTTGAGCAAAATGTAGATACACAAGAATCAATATTGCGGTAGATATTCCCACAATCTACTCAATCCCTCCCTCTAGCCTTAAATAAACCACTCATTCATTCCCGTATCTACTATAATGTCTACAAAATCAATCTTGAAAATCCACGTCTAAGTTATTAGAGTGCTCTCTTCAGGAGAATCGATTTAAAATAACCCCTTTCGTTTTAGATAATTCACTAGTATTGACATATATACTTGACTCTATCCGTCCCACGTTCTAAAAATGATTTTAGAAAGAAAAAGAAATTACGCGCACCTAAGGGGAGATACAGGTCTGTCTCATAAATAAAATGACATCCTGGGAATTCGTTATGTTATCCCAGGGCTGGTTGCGTCTATATCTTCTTTCTTTCTGTTGGTGTTTTGTATTTTAACCTTCTGTTGTGGTGGCTTGGCGACTTAATAAAGTATTTCAGGCCCCTGGTCTTTCAATTGAGATGCTGTTTTCAAGGTAGATCGACGAGATATAGAATAAATTTTCAATTACTTGCAATGTCATGCCATGGAACCAGCGGTGGCAAGTCGATGATAGTTTTCTCAAATTTGTGGTCGGCAATGTGATTCACTTTGCAATTTCGATAACATTCACCGATCTATGAGGAAGTGGACATGCTGTTTCCATTTTTCAAATTCAAATACTTCATAGGATTTTTCTCACAAGAACCACGACAACAACACTACCAACATATCATATCTCATCCAATGACAGATAAACACTCTTTGAGGTATACGTACTAAATCGAGAGAACATCCCACCTAGGTGTCCCACAAGAATGCCGTCTTATCACCAGTCACGTTTCAGCCCAAGGTTCATGTACAGACAAGAAGGATATGCTGGTTTCAGTAAGTACTCTTCTATTTTTGTCTTACCCGCACAAGATCTTGGACTTTGCAATCCCATACTTATTCCATCTCCTCCAAGGACGGAACCATTACTAATAAGCTGCATTACAGGAGAGGATAAAACTCACAAGCAGTACAGGAAGGAAAAGTCAGAATATCAACCCCTCTTCAACCAATCAAGCTTCAAAAAAATGGCATTAGAACGTGCAAAAAAGGACTACCCCCCCGGATCTTTTGCGCAGCTTCAACAGATCGAATTATGCTATGGTTACTTCCAGGCCTGGAAGAATCTCAGTGGCAAAGCAATATATGACCAAAAATATGAATTACTGGAATTGATGAGAACGTTCCATAGGCTGCAGGACCGGACGTTTCACTTGGCGTATTTCGAAATCGAGCTCGACAAGCTACGCAAAGAGTTGGACAGCACTTACATCAACGATATCGATATTCAGCGACTCGAGGTGGATGAGATTCACGAGTACCAAGATAAGCGCAAAAACATCGAGGCGAGGCATGATAAATGCAAGGGGATAGTCAGGAAGCTTGAGCGAGAAAAAGAAAGGGCCTCGAGGAAATGGGAAGAGATTGTTGACTGAGCGGATATCTCTAGGGTGTTGGATAAGATACGATGGCATTACTCGGTAACATATAATTTGGACAGAATTCGGACACGGCTGCTGGAATCGAGTTGCGAGTCGCAGGACTCGAGGTTCTCTTTGGGGCCAGCGAGCTTAAGGCTGAGATGGAAAAGGTGAAAACAGCGAAGGATAGAATGACTTGAATAGGACCAACAGCGATATACTTGGGCTGCCTAGATTTGGTTTTCGACGTTTAGAAGAATCTGTGATCAGTATAAGATATTTCTGGTGAACACACAATTGCTTCGATCGGGAATCAAATCAAGTGCATAATTATGATGATTCCTAGGGATTTCCAGTGCTGCGATGTGAAAATCGCTACAAAGCCGCAGGAAGGTAACTGTGACGAATTCTATTGTAAAATGACCCCCATTAAATTGTACCCACGATATACAGGGATCTATTCTTACATTTTCCGAAAGCTCGATGGCGTGTGTTAGAGATTTTGCCAATGACTAGTAATGTCTATCAATCTACTTCCACTTGCCACCCAGTCTTTACTAAAACTTCGTCCCTTCAAGACCGATAGCCAACAGATGAGGGTCAGCTTCAATCTCAGCTTTCTTTGCTTTGAGCTCCTCAACATCCCAATTTACCCAGACAAACTTTCCATGCAAGAATGCGGCCTCTTTCGAAGCAAGCCACAGTATCATATCTGCAGGAAGCGATACTGCAAGTCATGTTAGCAAACTAAATCCTTGAAAGCGAGAGTACATGATTGGTCAGGACCGAGGAACTTACCATCATCCATTGCTTTGATATCCATAGAATCCGGAGCATCCTGTGATTTCAAATTCATATCCGTCTCCACGATTCCAGGTTGAATATTGAAAACACGAATTCCCTGCGGACCGAGCTCATATGCAAGATGTTCCACCAACTTAGCATTTCCTGCTTTACTAGCAGTGTATGCGCTTACTCCGGGCATTGGTGCCAGAGTGGCAACTCCCGACGATACATTGAGGAAGACGCTCTCTCCAGGCGTAGAGAACGGAACGAAAGCGCGAACGATGTTGTAGGTACCCAGAACGTTGGTCTGAAAACTCATCCACCAGTCTTTCTCTTCGGACTTCAATACTGAAGTTGGTGTAGATAGAAATCCAGCATTTGAGACTAGAACGTCGATTGTGCCGAAACTGTTGTTGACCTTCTCGAATGCTCTTTCAAGACTGGATAAGTCAAGGAGATCAGCTTTTAGAGCTAAGACTTTGACGCCAGGAACTTCATGATTAATTTTAGCAGCAGTGTCTTCAAGGAGGTTTTTGCGACGTCCAAGAAGAGTGATGGACTTTGCACCAGCGCGTGCAAAGCTAAGTGCAGTAGCGGAACCGATTCCTGACCCTCCGCCTGTTATGACGATATTCTTGCCAGCTACAGAGAGTGCAGGGTTGGAAGGTGAAATTGCTGGATAAGATGTGTTGTGCCAGGTCTTCGTGTAACCTGGAAGGAAGGCTGGTCGGTTGCTTGAGGAAATGTTTGACATCTTGGAGGCCGGAAATCAATAGTATATAAAAGTGATTTATTTTGTCGATGAAAGATACTCTGTAGTATTGATGTTCTCTTTCTTGATGATAGCAACTGACAATAGAATGTCGACGGCATTATATACACCATTTTGAATTCATAACGCGGCGGTCTTACGGATCGGCTTCGTCTTCAAACCGTTTCCGTCGGCCAAAAAAGCCCTTATGCTAAGCATGATTGGAAATGTGTTCATTACCAATGCTCGATTAGTTTGAGGTATTGGCCTCATGTATCATAGGTTCACCGTTCATGTCTTCGTGTTTCCTCTGTGGCAGCTCCCGTCTGGTAGAAATACACCGGAGTTCCGTGTTCTCGAAGTGAGAATCGAACACATAGGGATCAGATCAGGGGTTAAGCGAGCCTTTTCACAAACAGATTTGTAATTCCGTCGTCGACTACTTTGCACGAGGAGAGGATAATGATGCAAATAAAGATATGTATGGAAATCGTAGAGCTTAAGGAAGTAAATTATCATACATTTTCCGTTTTCTTTATAGTCGCTGTGTAACGTCAGGGTGCCAAGGGGAGAGTACACGCCGAGTTATGCCCGATCTATCACGCTTCGAAAGACAGTTTCATGAATTTAAATTTGTTTTTTCTTATAACATCAACATTCCTTAATATTCTGTTGTACAAGACACTAGAGGGCTCAAAACACTAGACCGAAGTTGAAGATGAATAAGAGTAGCGGTTTAGGTATGAAATTATGGGTCAGCTGCAGTTAATAGTCTTTCTGAGTAGAAACATTTCAAATTTACTCTGGCCTATTTCAAGCAAATGTCTCTTGAATTAAATCATCAGCTGGCGTTGATAGGAACTTCAAAGACTCTAGCATAGATGAAATTTGCAAGCTCCATCTTCTAGATGTCTATATCGAAGTGCTCTTAAGTTCCAACTTTCGTTCGACATCTGCTCGGTGGAAGTACTTTTGTGATTTAGATTACAAGTTAATCTAGAGAAGTACAGCTTCCGGTTCAAGGCGCGAATATGTAGGATACTAGGATTTCGCTTAGTAATGTACACAACGTGATGTCCCAACCCAGGTTGGTGTTACCTGCCGGGGTTTCCTTCTGTGGTCAATATCTTTCGTCTCTGCCTGTCATCTGTAAACTGAAAAGGCTGTACTGAAATTGCCACGAACTAACAGCTAGCCAGTTATTGCTTACCCAAAAGCTCGAAAGAGATACAAGCTCAAGCTCACCATCCGAATACGGCCCCTAGGCAATAGCGAGCCGCTGTCACCAGAAACATCTTTCATGAAATCAGAAGCTGGACAACCATCAACCACAGCTATGTAGCAAATAGGTTCCGGCGGGGTTAGTGGGAGAAGGAGGGCGAAAAAATGGGTGCATATTTATGCCTGGGAGCAAATTATGAAAGGGACTAGCTAACACGAAGAAAACACGTGCTGTCTGGCAGAATGAAATTGGTCTTCACAAGGTTTCCACACACGTGGAAGAAAACGGAAAAAGCTTGCAGCAACTGCTGGTGGTGATACTGCAGCTTATCAATTTATATCAATTCATTCTTAATATTTCGCTCCCCCTCGAGAGAAGTTTGATAACCCTACGTCTAATACAGGGCGACTAGAAAGGAGCCATCCCTTTCCACCATCAAAACAATCGGCCGTGTGACCTAAAGCAATAGCGCCGGGTCGATGGTATTCGAGGATGCAAAAGATACAAATAAAAGAAGAGATGCTGAGGCAGGCTAATGAAGAATTAAAGGCCAGGAGGAGGACCAGGAAATCGAGGCGTTCTGTCGTTGCTCACAATAGGACTACCGATCTCGCCCGGTGGATTAACAGGACGATGCGCCGACGTGTTTTCGTTCTCAATATTATGTCGGATGAAGCATCCGTTATCATCCCTGCGAATATCAAAAGAGCCACCGCCGTTGATCGAATTGCCCTCGGTCTCGCAGATATCGAGGACCTCCTTTTCAGAGATAGGCTCGTTGCCAGGGTTGAAATGGTCGATTTGCTCTTTGATCACATTCATGTCGTTGAACCCATCTGGTGAAGTTCCCTCCATGTTTTTGCAAGCACGACATATCATGAGGCGGACAGCCACAGAGCGTGGCTGCGAAGGACGCACCATTGGCGCAGCACTACCAAAAGAACCATTGAGAACAGGACCCCATCCACCTGAGAAGCTCGAGCCTGGTAAGGACGACGGTCCAAAAGGATTCGGTGGTGCACCCCAGGTATTATATGGATGTATGGGACTTCCGAAAGTGGGTTCCATTCCAAAAGGCATCGGAGGAAAGTTTGGTCTGGAGTTTAGATTGGATAGGGCACTCGAACGCCGACCAACAAAGCCAGGATTTATAGGTTGCTCATCCGAATCATCTAGCAGAGCGCTGCTGCCGAGTTGGTTGGTAAGATCCTCCATATCGGTATTTCCAGCCTCTTTACGGTGACCATGCACCACACTTGGAGGACGTCCAATTGGAGCTGGCCTTGCAATAGGCTGAGCCTGCGGCCCGCCATTCAAGTTATCAAAAGGCTTCTCATATGAAGCAGAGGGCTGTCTTGAATGCGATTGAGACGGTGGGGCGTCCTTTGGAGGACCAAAGAGTTGCCCAATACCTCCCATTCCGTTTGGCATGTTCGGAAACCCGGGAGGACCGTGAGGCAATGGAAAGCCTCTGCCTTGTGGCATCTGGTGCATGTTCATTCCGGGGTGGATGGGCATGCCATTTGGTCCAGCAAGTGGCCTAAAAGGACCTCCGAGGGGCTGTTGATGAGGAAAAATTGGATTGTGGTGCATACGTTCAAATCCTGGAGCCATCATAGGCATCCCAGGTTGGAAGCCCATTCCTATTGGCATACCACCAAAGGGGTTGGCTTGCATCCCAGGCGGGCTCTTCAGAGCTGAATGTATCGGCGAGGTAGCTTGTGGTTGGTGTATAAACGGATGTTGTATCGGATTCTTCCCAGGAGGGCCGATTGGGCCCGGGCTACCTTGCAGTGGAGTTGATGGTACAGGGGATGCGTTCTGGCTCAGAGCGCTGCTTTGTGGAGTCTGGGGAATTGAGCTATTTGAATCTTGTTGAGAGCTTGTACGCAATTTGATAGGGGTAGGAGCCTTCGGTATTGCTGGAGTCGCGACCGGAACATGAGGAGAAGCAACGGGCGCTACATGTGACTGAAGAGTTGCAGGAATCGGAACAGGGGGTTGCCGCTTCGCTGCCATGGTCGCTGTATTAGCAGCTTGAACCGCCGCTTGCTGGGCAGCTATGTCGTCTCGCTTTTGTTTCTCACGGGCTTCCCTGTCAGCTTTGGCCTTGAGTTCTTTTTCGCGTTTGTCGCGCTCCTGCTTCTCTCGCCGCTCCTTTGCCTCCCGGTCCTTAGACTCCTTTGCATCCCTTTCCTTTTGCCGTAGTTCTTCCCTCTCCTTTCGTTCTTTCTCCTTAGCTTCCCTCTGCTTGCGCTCAAGTTCCGCTTGGCGATCTCTCTGTTCCTGGAGGCGCCGCTGCTTCTCAGCTTCTTTCCGTGACCGTTCTTCCTCTTCGGCTTTCTTCTGAGCTTCTTTCTTCTTGCGCTTCTCCTCAGCTCTTAGCTTCTGCTCTTGGATCTTTTTCTCCTCTGCTGCACGGAGCGCTGCCTCTTCCGCTGCTTTCTCCGACTCGCGCTTAGCTTTCTCTTCCGCAAGCGCTTGCTTTTTCTGAGCAAGCTTGTCCTTCTTCTTCTGGGCATCTTTAGCTTTCTTCGCTTTTTTTTGCGAATTGGCACGGTCTTCGTCTTCAAGTTCCTCGAGAAGTTTTTGCTGACGTTCTTTCGCTACCTTCTCCTTGTAGGCTGTCAAAACCCTTTGCTCAAACATCCTCGCAGCAAATATCTGGAACATGCGTCGCCCTTCCTCCATCCGCTGCTCTTCCGTCATGGTATCCTGTATCAAATTAGAACAGGCAACGCAACCACATTGCCCTTCACCTACCATCTCCTCTTCATCGTAATCCTCGTCCTGGCTGTCATCATAGTCCCCCTCATCGTCCTCTTCGTCATCCTCGTAATCTCCTTCGTCATCGGGCGGCGGAGGATGATTGTGAACATGTGAGTGAGAGTGCATTGCGCCATTTGGAGGATGCCCATAATTCTGGTTGGAGTACTGTTCCTTGGCGTCTTCTTCCCGTGCCATTCGACGTTCGGCAAGCTGTTCCATCATTTCGATAAACTTTTTACCGTCATTCTTCAGCAAATCGTCCGCCACCGTGAGAATTCCACCCTGAACTGTAAGACTATTTCCAAAACTAAAGAAATCCGCGGCGTGATTATTCCTCGGTATCTCCTCGGGTTCTTCCTCGTCGCTCAAGTCTTCTTCGTCGCCCTCGTCACTGTAGTCCTCGTCGCCGTCCTCGTCATCATCGTCGCCCATTTGTTCGACTATCCGTCCTCGAGAGGGCTGCTGATTGAACGTTGGGGGTAACCGGTGAGGAGGTTGCAAACCGCTCATGGCACCGAAGCGCCGAGACGAAGGCATTATCGGTGGAACTGCAGGGCCTTGGTGATGAGCGTACTGTTCTAATTCCTCGTAATATGCATCATATAGGACCTCAAGTTCTTCTTCGATAGCGGTGCGTTTTCGTCCACAAACGGTACAACTACATGAATGCTTCTGTTGTTCCTTCATTTTCTTAAGTACCGCGTCTTTTTCTACCTTGACCAGCGATTTACGTTCATCTTCGCCAAGAGACAACCAGAATTCCTTTATTCGTTCTCGCTCTTCTTGGGAAGAGGTGTTCCATATTTTCTCCTTGGATATGCCGGGACCGCGGGGTATGTTCGTGGGTGCTAACGGTGGTAAAGGGAGAGATACATGATCGTGAGATAAGCCATTTGTTGCATGGTGCATATGATGAGGTATGTCTGACATGGCTGGCTTTGACGATTTCTTCTTCTTCTTTGACTTCGACCCAGGGCTGTTTAATGTTGAAATCGCGTATCCATTGGCAGAAGACCCGTCACGGCCATAAGACCCCGAATATTCATCGTCTTGGTCCTCGCTATTGTAATATTCTTCGGGTTGATCGAATTGCCCGTTCTCACTGTACTGGTCTTCTAAACCGTTACCCCGAAACCGCGCATCTACGTCCTGCATTCGTCTGAGGCTACCGGGAGTTGCTTGAGCACCATTGGTAAGATTTTTTGATGGCTGTTCCGCAGCAAGCTTCGCGGCCAGTTTCTCTCTACGCTTCTGTTTCTTGCGGTTAACCGTGGGCGCACCATTGTTGGTATCAGCAGGAGGTGTTGGCAGATGACCATTCGGTTTTGTGGTCGTGTGGGCCATAGCTGGAGACGTGTCGGAGGAGTCGCTGACGTTCGAAATCTTCGGAATGCTTATGAATTTGGAACCATCCTTGTTCGTGTATTTTTGAGTCGCTGGAAAGGTCGGCGAGAGAGGGGATTTGACAGTCTGCTGCCGTCGGTTTGCGGGCATTCCGTTCAGAGGGTACTGGTGGATGGACGTGACAATCAGAGCATGGGGCAAACCAGATACACGAGGTGTAGCTCAGGGAGTGGTCTCCGAATTGCGAACGAGATCGAGGAAGGTGGAAGGCAGGTGAAGGTGAATAGGACAACAATTGCCCCACCAAAGTGTCTATTTCGGGTGGTGTCAATTTCGCAGCTGGATTAGAAGATGATGGCGGCAGTGGGAAGGTGGTGGCGAGCGTCCGAGTCTCGGTATTAGCAAGGTATTCGTGTGCGGGGAGTTGTCATGCGAGGCCGGTGTTGTTTGAGTATAACGAGTTGTACCTGGATGAAGTGTGGTGAAGTTGTCGCTGCTTAAGGCCACAATCCAGGCTGCAAGGCACAAAGACCACTCTGGGTTTAGAATCCAGCAGATGTTGTTGAGTAAAGCAGCGTTTGATATTGGAATTCTACTTTGTTTTGATGCTGTGAATTATTGTACATTCACGATATCAGACATATTTTTGAAATGTCCTGTATTGCAAAAACTAGTCAGAAAAGCAAGAAATAGCCATATCTCTCTGGCTACATGTGCTTTCTGCGTGTACCTCGATACCTCATTGGGCGAGTGCTGGTCCGAATGCTGCTTGGGCTCTGGCCTTATGCAGCGAACTTTGATGGGCCCGCAATGGATGCCCAGGTCGGTTTGTACTTGCAGCCGCGTTATTAGTAACCACCCTCATGCCGAAACCTTACGATATCTCCTCAAAGCAACTACGGAGGTTGTAGTCATCAATGGCACGCCTGCGGTCGAAGATATAAATTTGAATGCCCGCCCTAATTGAGTATCCTTTATTGCAGCACCATTCCGACATTCAGTTATTCAGAGGCTGGTATACCCGATCTAGGCCTTGTGGTGATCCCCAGTCCTAAGCCTCATCGAGAGCTTCAGCGTGCACGGTTCAGTGCTCAGCCCAGTTGATCCCCCCATTCGGATTCCAAGATCCTCGACCAAACCACTCCATTCTCACGAAAACCACGCAATCCGCCAGGAATAATAGCAGGGGATTTGCTGCTCGTACCTGAAAAGTCAACACCGCACCCAACAATCGACCCTTTTCTTCCGCGCGGTGAACACGATTCTCCTTCACGTCATTCACCTACCTCCAACTTACGACAGCAATCCCAGAGGAGGACGGACGTCTAATCGCGGAGCTCGTATCGACAATCTCACTCCCCCATTTCGAAAACGGTGAACCTCAAACACACCTTCGGACCCCTTGGAATTCTTTCTCCAAGTCACCGATCGATGGGCTTGCCATAATTGACCTTCACGAATCCCCTCATCTCAACAAACATCATACGAAAGGCCATGGCCCAACAATCACAGCAGAATGTTATGCGAAGGTAGGCCGCCAGAATTTTCATCGCGCGTCAACACCATGCCTCAGCAGACTCAGGATTGGTCTACGGGTAGCTTGTTGCAGTACAGATTCCGCAGGCTTAGGGCCAGGCAAGATTGTTAATTCAATCAATCCGCATTGTTCTTCTTTTACTACTGTCCCCCTTCCACTCGCACAACCACTGATACAGGAGGACCTGCAACTGAGATGCTGACTGCTGTGTAGGAAGCTCGTTATAATAGGAGATGGAGCTTGTGGTAAAACCTCGCTATTGAGCGTATTTACTCTTGGTTACTTCCCAACTGTGAGCTTCACTTTCTGCCAAGTTTCAGACATCCCGCTAACTAAGGTTTAGCATTATGTAGGATTACCAGATAGCACTTCAACAGCCCCAAAATACTCACCATTTGGAATTTAGGTACCCACCGTCTTCGAGAACTATGTTACCGATTGCAGGGTTGATGGGAAAAGTGTGCAGCTTGCACTATGGGATACAGCTGGACAGGAAGACTACGAACGATTGCGACCTCTGGCATATTCCAAAGCACACGTTATTCTGATAGGATTCTCGATTGACACGCCAGACTCGTTGGATAACGTTAAACACAAGGCACGTATTATTAAGTCTTTCCCAGATAGCTTTCACATGCTAATCTCAGCAGTGGGTCGAGGAAGCAAATGAAAGATGCCCTGGTGTTCCCATCATCCTTGTCGGTTTGAAGAAAGACTTGAGAGAAGATCCAGTTGCCATTGAGGAAATCCGGAAAAGATCTCAACACTTTGTTGGCACAAGAGAAGCCTCCGAGATAGCACACGAGATTGGTGCCCGAAAATACCTTGAATGCTCCTCACTAACTGGAGAGGGAGTCGACGATGTGTTCGAAGCCGCAACAAGAGCCGCCCTACTTACGTTCGAAAAAGGAGAAGGCGGGGGCTGTTGTGTTATACTGTAAATGATTAAGCGCTGGAGTTGGGGTGAAAATAGAAGCGCGCCGCTTGGCGAGGACAAAATTTCGAGATCAGCAACACTTCGGACTTATCCTTTCTAATAAACTCGGGGATCGAGCGAGAACCGAGAACCGCCTTCAGATTCTACATAAGAAATCTCGATTACGCCTAATTGAACTAATCGAACAATGTCTGCGGACCAGCGTCAAGCTGTGGAAAGGAATGCTTTTGCGAATGCAAGAAGGCGTTGCAGATACACAAAAGTTCTTTGAAGCTAATTTGATTATGCTATACTTTTGCTTTACTACGCGGAGCTCGCCAGCTAGAGCTACTCTAATACTGATCATGAATCTCTTGATCTTCACACTCCTTCAAGATCGTACCCGTTTGTCGAGGCCATTATTATAGATGGTACACGCGACTTACGGATGGACTGGAAATGCAGCAATGCTGACGGAATATATCGATGGCCTAATGATGGATGGAGCAATGGTACTTTGTAAATAAGAAACATGTCTTCTCGTGAGATTCATAAGCGGTGCGTTGGTACAAACTATTTTGAAAAATTACGAGTTTCCTTTGTTTTGTTCTCGCTCTCGATGTTGTACAGTTGATACATATTACAAATTTCCGTATAGTACACTTGATAAACCAGTTTCTATTATCTGGTCCACCCGTGATTCCATGCCTCCCGCGCTGGGGTATCTGTCTGTGGTCTAGCATACTCAATCGGCACACCTCCATGCCCAAAAATACCCTTCTTTTCCATAGCAATACGATATAACCTTCCCGAGTCCTTCTTTCCTGGCGCATCAAAATTTCGAAGCTCTTCACAAGCCCTGTGCATACTCTGATGCATCCTAAAAACAATTAGCACTTCCATTACACGCTCCATTGCTATTTCCGCTATCATAGATACGCAGAGCGGAGATTCCATACCTGATTAATTCCGCCTCCTGAGCCTCAGTAGCTTTCCGTCTCGCTAACATCCACGCCCTGTGAATAGTCCAGTGTCGCAACGCACGCATACGGGAGAACTTCAACGGTCTTGGTGTTTTGGGATGTTGCATGTGGTATCGAATGAGATTGACTCGGGGATCGGACGTCTTCGCCTGCTTCGCTCTTGCTGCGAGGTTTGGCGTGCTAGAGAACGATCGTGTGGAGGTTGCCATTGTTTTGGGGATTGTTGCGCTGGCTGTGGTTTCGGAGCTCAGAACTAGGGATCGGAAGGATGAGAGGAGGGGCGTCAGGAGACGGGTCGTGGTTGTGTGTTGTGCCATCTTGCGCGGTTGGCCGTGGAGTCCGATGTCTAGATTCAGGAGGTTGCGATGCTGGTGATAAATTTCCAGGAGCTGGCCGATTGAAGGTCACGGGAAGTGGGTTGGGCCGTCGGGACGAACCAGCAGCGCAACAACCTTAATCCATCAACGTTACTTGGAAGCCTCGAGGTAAGATACCTCTGCACACCACTCTCATCTCAAATTGAGATTCTCGATTTTATATGACTCTAAAAAAGGTCTAGTCGTTTCGTATTTTCTCTTCTTCCAGAGAATTTTACATAATTTACAAGGTCTGTCAGTATGATCGAAAGAAATCTGCTTACGCTCCTATCCTCAACTTCTATCCTCGATTCCTCGTACCGCTTACTACCTTTACGTAAAACTTCAGGATACATTCGAGTACAAATGAACAAGCTCGTCGTGGAAGACATCCTCGGTTTGCAATCTCCCAGAACTGCCAGCAATTTCTTCTAGGTCTATGCTCATTAGTCTGACCTAATTCTTTACAACAATAGTGAAACTCACAAGTCTCTAAGGTCTAAGAGTCCAAAAGTCGTTATCGATATCCGGGACCAGAGGATCCTGTGTTCCCAACTCAAAAATCACAATATGGTGGACACAGAGTTCAAAGGTGTTGCCAGACCAGGAGTGTCTCACCAATTTGTAAGACTCCTTCATCTCCGAACAGTTCCACATGCATAAGATGGAAGAGCACAGGAGTATTAATAAGATCAGCAATTTGATTATTACCATTCATGAAAAAAGCTATACTTCAATCCTCTATCCAGAAGTTTGGTCCACAATGTTGAAGGAGACATTGATAGCTCCAATTCCTGTACGGGTGGACGACTACACAGCGAATCTGCATGAGTGTGTCACTTCACATGTTGAAATCTTATAAAAACTTGGAAGAACAAGACTGATACTTGGTAGACATCAAAACTCTTCGCTTTTGAACACACTCCTCAAAAAACTTCTTCGTCAGCTCAAAACATCATAATATTCGTTGGCGGGCTGTTCGATGGCCTCCACACGTATGTCACCCTTCCATTTGGTTACCATTTTGAGCTCATCTCAGTGATCACTGGAGAGAGTTTGGTCCTTGCGCACGGTTTTGCGCTCTGGACTTATTGAAATCAATGTATACTAATCTGTTCCAGAGTACCATACGCTTCACGATTGGCCGATGCATTGCCACCATCATGGACACTGGCACAGGCTATCTTGTCCTCCTCGTACACGGGTTGGGGAATCTCGTCTCTCCAGAAAGATGTCGAAGAGCTTTCTGACTGTGTTTCCTACTTTCGTTCCATCAAGCCTGGCAAAATAGTTCTCATGGGCCATTCAACAGGCTGCCAAGACGTGCTTGAGTATCTCACCGGACCTGGTCACGAAAATCGCAAGCCCATTGATGGAGGCCTAATTCAAGCGGCAGTCAGTGATCGAGAAGCTATTTTCACCATGATGGACCCAGACACTATCAAATCCGTGTGCGCAAAAGCTCAAAGTATGGTCGATGGCGGCGATGACGATGAGATATTGCCATCTACCGATATAGGCAGCATTTTCCCTTGCCCTGTCTCCGCTAAAAGATTTCTGTCTTTAGCCAGCCCTAATCATGATGGCGACGACGACTATTTCAGCTCGGATCTCACAGACGATCAGCTCATGAAGACATTTGGAAGTCTGCCAAACTCGACCCCGATATGCATCTTGCTCTCGGGTAGTGATGAGTATGTTCAGCCAGATGTTGATCCGGCAAAGCTTTTGGCACGCTGGATTGAGATTGCGAAAAGTGGTAAAGGGAAAGTGGACGAAAATAACTCCGGCGTCATCGAAGGAGCTACTCATAATCTAGCTGGGAATTCTGAAAGCGTTGTGAATGACTTGATGAAAAGAGTCCTTGGTTTTTTGGGTGGCATTTGAGAGTTGAGCGAAATGAAATGATGGTAGGATACTGGGCTTAATCGATTATTCTTAGAGTTTTCATATGACGGCGAGAGATTAGAGTGGCCAGGCCAGCAGAAACTATAATTTGAATACTTCACGGTTTTCAACTTTCAGGTATGTAGATGTGTTTTGATCAAAATTTCTATTTGCAATTGGTCAGATTCCCAGAATCTGCCAATTACTTGGGTATAAATTATGTGGGACTAAATTTAAACGGATCCCCCTGTTATGTACCTTTTATGGGAATAGGCTCATCTTTCTGCAGCTCGCACTCTGTTCATCTCTGCACTGAAGCAGGAGGTGATTCCACAGCCTTCAGAAGCTCTTGCCAGACAATTTGGTTACAGTTCTTAGCTTTTTCGAGCGGTCTTCGAACCCGTGGCTGCGATGGCTGTTTTTGGTAATCTTGAGGACGTCGAAGAACATCCATAGAGACCATTACATCCCCGAGTAAGCTTGGGGGAACGAGGCCATCGTCGAGTCTGTACGAATCCATCCCGAGAACAGCAAGTCGGCCTACAAGCACGTCGCGCATCCTCGCTACCTTGCTATTTGTTCTGTGGTCTTGGGAGCAGACGAATCTCATGACTTCCTGAAGTTCATGGATTCCAGCGCGCTTGATGGTTCCTGTCACTTTGGCACTTATATCTTCCATCAGCGCTTCGCTGATACTGCCGTCGGCAAATGCCCACAGTTTGGCGAACAGAGTAAGGTTCTTGCTTTTCTTCTGAGTTACTCCTTCTGAAGCACAGACACAGGCGTGGAGCAGTTGAAAAATTCCAGCGTCCATGTTTATGATGACTTCGGGGTAATCGCGCTTTCCTTCGTTTAGCAATACTGGTTCAATGGTTAGGGTTGGTAGGAGGAGATTTATCGACCAGAGAGAGCAGATGAAGCGAGTTTTGTCTGCGAAGCGCCCTGGAGGACCAACGTACACAACCAGCGTGGCGGCTTCCATTTCTTCTTCAGGGGCTTCTTGGCTGCGTTGTTGAAAGCTAGCGGCTGATTGGGAGTTGGATGGACGTCGAGAGGAGCTTTTATTTGAGTGAGTCTTCGACGACTTGCAGTCGACGAAGACGGCGATTTTAGATTTGATGCCCATGGTGAGAGAGTCGGTTTGATTTCGGGGACGTAGTAGATGGATTTTGGTTAATTTAGAGTAGTTTGGGGTAAATTGATACAGCAAGTTGAGTCGGGGAAGAGTGAGCTTCTGGGAGTTATTGTTGTATTTTTCCAATTTCGCTGTTCTATGGAAGCACACCCGTCCTCTTTGTTATTCGATAAAGCATTGTAGATTTTCCTTAATGAATGATAATCTTCTCTGTCGAGAATAATCAATTGTTCCTGAATCACTTTGTCTCTCGCTGTGAAAGCAACAAAGCAATTAGTATGGAACTCCATGAATGAGACACTTCGCATAAGAAATGCGATACACAAAGAGAGTGCTTGAATCTCGCCCTTTGTGTCTCTAGCTTGCCCATGATACTTGAGTTTGCAACTAGTTACGAATTAAAATAGTAAATCTATTGTGCTTGAAGTAACTACTAAACCTATTCGGCCTGTATAGACAGTTGATTGTGTAACTCTTTGTAACATGATATCATTAATCATTGATCTCTGTTCAAACAGATTTATTCTCCTTATGTGAAGATGTAGTAAATCAACATGTGCAATGTGATTAAAGATGACTAATACAGAAGAAAGTGAAAAACAAATTAAGAAGTAAATACATAATAACTCTAATTATATTATTAAACATTCCTGATTATAATCACCTAGAATTGCACATACTTATTAGCATGGAGATCTCACAATCGAAGTCCTCACTTGGATTATTACATCTGCAACTTCAAACGGTAAATCACGTCTAGGGAATCATCATACCAAAGCTACACTGGACCCTGTTAATAGGTATTGTAGCGGTGGTATCGAAATCACTAAGAGCAATGGAAAAAGAGAAAGAGACCGGAAATGTTTGAGAGTTTCTTTTATATATATAGTCTTTGTTTAGCGAAAAGGAACAACAGCCTTTTTGTCTGCAGAGCTGATGAGTAGCTACAACAGACAGTTATTGGAGGAGCGGAACAAGGAAAACTACCCACAGCGTAAACAAGTAACTGATAGTTTCATGGTGCTACTAAGGCCCTCACGAGATTAATATTGATTGGATTCGTAATTGATTTTCTAATGGTTGATATACCACAACATCTTCCTAAGTTCAACCATATTTCTTATGGGAAAGTGGTACTAGGTTAGCTTTCAAGCTCTTCACTACATCTCCATCGTGTCCCCTACCATGTATCCTCGACATCCGAGAAGCCATTCGAGTCAGCCTTTGCAGACTATGTCCTGCTGATTTGTTTCATAGTTTTTAAGACCACTCGCAATCCGGGTATATCATCATGACAGCTCAATATTCCTCATCCATCAGTCGACTAACCCTCTTCTCGATCCATTTCGTCACGACCTCTTTTGCCTCCACTTGCCGGCCGTCGTCCTTTTAGTACTGATCCCTTCTTGCCTCTATCTTCGTGCAAATTCTTCATTTCATTTCTTGCATGTCGCTGGGCTTCTTCGACTCGAGCCTTGAATACCATAACTTCATCCTTTTCGGTATCGTACTCTTTCTGTTTCTCGCCTAACGCTGCCTCTATCCTCAGCCAAATTTCCACATCGTATTGAGTTACAAGACTAATCGCGTGTCCAGACTTTCCAGCTCGAGCGGTTCGACCAACACGATGAATATATGTTTTGCTATCAGGTGGCAAATCATAGTTCAACACAACATCGACTGATGGAATATCGAGTCCACGTGCCGCCACATCAGTTGCCACTAGAATCTCTCTTGACCCGGCTCGGAATTTGTTCAAAGCACCTAGACGGGCTGACTGTGACAATTGACCGTGCAAAGGGATGGCGCCAAAACCAAGTGTTCGGAGCAAAATGGCTAACCGTTGTGTTTCGTTTACTGTCCTGGTAAAAACAATGGCGGACTGCCCAGCAAATTCATTTAGCAAATAAACAAGGTAGACATCCTTTTGCGGGTGCGGAATGAAAAGATAGCTCTGCAGTAACGTCGACACGGTCTGGTATTTGTTGCTACTAATACTGACGCGCAAAGGATCCTTTAAACTGGCTCGCTGAAGGCTTTCGATTTTGGAGCTCATGGTAGCCGAGAAAAGATAAGTCCGTCGTTCCCGAGGCAGTACTTTCAGGATCTTATCCAAAATTGGTCCGAAATCAAGGTCAAGTAACCGATCAGCTTCGTCCATAACCAGATATTTGAGGGATCGAAGGGAGAACCCCTTGGTGTTCTCGAGGTGGTCCAGCAACCGTCCAGGTGTCGCAACCACTATATGCGGTTTCTTTCCCAATGCGATTGCTTGCGAAACCATTTCCATTCCTCCCACAATTACAGCGCATCGTACTGATATAAGCGACCCAAGGGCTTCGAACGCTTCAGATATTTGGTAGGCAAGTTCACGGGTAGGCGCGAGAACAAGTCCAAACAGAGGCTGCGGTTTGTCCAGAAGCGCTTGAAGTATGGGAAGAGCGAAAGCAGCGGTTTTCCCACTACCAGTCTCTGCGAGACCGATCAAATCTCTGCCTTGGAGCGCAAGCGGAATCGACTCGGATTGAATTGGGGTGGGGGACTTATATCCCAATGCAGTACAGGCGTCACATAATGAGTCTATGATACCCTACCAAAATGATTAGACCTAGACGGCCAGATGTATCTCACGGAACACACTTACAAGGTCCTTAAAAGTCTTTATGGCCTCCCCTCCTTCTGTCGCTGATTTCTCTGCTTCTGGTACATCTTGTGCGGGAGAGCCTTCTGGTGAAGACACTGAGGGTAATGGTTCCTTCGTAACAGTTTTCTTGTCTTTGGATTGTGCAGATCCTAAAGAGACATCTACTTTTCTTCTCTTGACCGACGACATGTTTGCTGATGGGTGATGTCGCAAGTAAGGACGGCGATAAAATAAAAATCTCTATCGGCTTATCGTTATCGGTATCTAAAAGTGGCACCAGAGCACGTCACAAACAAGCTGCGGCTGGTGCCGCTTTAACAATTTCGTGGTACATACTACGAAGCTTCAGAAAAAAGTTCCCAAATAATTCTTCCCCGCGAAAAATCTCCAATTAAACACAACAACCAAACATGGCGCGAAGAAAGGTCAAAAAGCAGACGCATCTGGGCGCCAATGGCCCCAGCGGAAAACCTACCTCCGCAAATGCAATTAATCGATCGCCAAAAAGTATGGTAATTAGAGTTGGAGCTGGGGAAGTTGGACCAAGTGTTAGCCAGCTGGTCAAGGATGTTCGCTCGATGATGCAACCAGATACAGCTGCTAGATTGAAGGAAAGAAAGGCGAACAAGCTAAAGGATTATCTCACTATGTCTGGGCCACTGGGAGTAACACATCTAATGCTGTTCTCGAGATCTGAGTCGGGAAATACAAACATGCGACTTGCGATTACACCACGAGGACCAACACTACATTTTCAGGTCGAGAAGTATTCCTTATGTAAAGACGTTAGGAGAGCGTTGAAGCATCCTAAAGGCGGTGGAAAAGAATATCTCACAGCTCCATTGGTAGGACTTTCTATTTGAAGGAGGGGCATATGCTAATGCACATAGCTTGTCATGAACAACTTCATATCACCCCCTACCGAGTCCGATTCCCAAAACAAGATACCCAAGCATCTCGAATCTCTAACCACGACCGTGTTCCAATCTCTATTCCCTCCCATCAATCCTCAGCACACACCACTTCAGTCCATACGCCGGGTCATGCTCTTAAATCGAGAGCCTGCCAAAGATTCGGATGATGGCTCATACATTCTCAACCTCCGACACTACGCTATCACAACAAAGGCTACCGGACTTTCGAAACCCCTACGGAGACTTAATGCTGCAGAGAAATTGCTGAACTCGCAAAAAGCGAAAGGCAAAAAGGGGGGCCTACCGAATCTGGGCAATTTAGAGGACATTGCCGACTACATGGTTGGTGGCGCAGATGGTTCAGGGTATATGACGGACGCGACTAGTGGAAGTGAAGCAGACACAGATGCCGAGGTGGAAGTCGTGGAGACTAGAGCCAAGAAGTTGTTATCAAAACGGCAGAAAGACCGTGAAGATGGCAAAAGTAAGAACTCCTCGAGTGGTGTCGAAAAGCGGGCAGTGAAATTGGTTGAGCTGGGGCCAAGGCTGCGACTTAGGATGACCAAGGTAGAGGATGGAGTCTGTAACGGGAAAATTATGTGGCATGAGTACATTCATAAAACAAAAGAAGAGGTTAAGGAGATGGACAAGGTCTGGGAGAAAAGAAGACAAGAAAAAGAGACACGAAGACGGATTCAGAGGGAGAACGTGGAAAAGAAGCGCATTGCAAAGGGTCTTGGGGCGAAGAAAGGTGCTGAAGATGAGGATGAGGATGAGATGGACGTCGATGAATGGGACAGTGAGGGGCTCGAGGGTGATGCTGAGATGGAGCTGAATGAAGAAGCGGATGAGAGAGGGGAGTGGGAAGACCAGGAAGAAGAGATCGCTGGAGGCTGAAAGAGCAAAGAACAAACCAAATAAATCCCCAAAAAAGCGCATAGCGACCAGAGAACCTGCTTACCATTAGTCTCCTTCTTCAGATTGGTAGGAATTGAAGCGAAACCCTTATTTTTGCAGCGGATTTCAGGAATTCCGGCGAGCGGTTTCGAGAGAACTGTCTACCAAGCCTCTTTGCCATGTATTGAGATGGCTAGACTTAGTACGGCAAGCTTCACACAATGAGGCATACTCTTGTAGAGTATATCACATGTACAAGGAGTATATATATATGTATATTCGTTACGGATCTTTGGGGGAAATCTTTTGTTTGCTTAAGTTGTACTTCGGCTCCTACCACAAATTCTGGTCTAAACCGAGCTCCGCTGGGAGAGGCGGGTGTCATGACGATCCGCCTGCGAAGGCTTCATTTCTTTCTAAATAAGCGTGTATGTTGCAATATAATCCATATATCTCTTCAAGGCTTCCTACTTTTCTACTACTCAATAACGGCAATTATCCAGATGCATCAATTTGGGTAGTGTCCTCCAATACAGACACGATTCCGCAATGGGGGACTTTCCCATAGTGAGTGATTGAGCAAACAATTCCATGCCGGGTGGTGCCAAGCCTAAGCAACAAAGGACCGAAATCGATGTCTGGTTTGACATTACAATTTTGAATTTGACATTCCTTTGTTATCTCAGATGGAAAATCACTTTGTTCGCCTAGGACAATGGAAGCCCAGTGGGAAACAATTTCCTATGCGATTATATAACTCCCAGACTTTCTTGCTGAGGCAATTTTAAGCACCATCATCTTCTAATCTATCCTAGATCAAGTCGAACTTAAAGCTTATTGAACTTCTACTCAGAACTCATCACTTTTTTCACCACATTCACAAAATGTCTTTTGGCACAGGTCCAAAGCCACTTCGCTCCCAGATTGGGTCTATATTCAGGAGACGACCCACAACCGGTAAAAGCAATGCATCAATCGTTATCGATCACGACATCTACAACGAGCGAGGCCACTGCGACAAGTGTTCGGGAGTCCAACAAAACCACGTTTGCGGCCACGCCTACATCGTCGATGGGAGAATGTGCGGTAAGCACTCAGGACTCCCTCTCGGGAAACCAGTCATCAACTTCACTCCCACAATGCAGGCCATCGACGCGCCGTGTAACAACTGCATCGCCAAAGCCTCAAACGAGGCCGAACTCGCCTTCCACAACAAATACCGCAGCATGAGCGAGAAGAAGTGGCGGAAAGAGGAATCCAGAGAGAATTTCATGCTCACTGAGATGGAACGCGTGAGGCAAATGACGCCGGAAGATTGGGAGGCCGAGAAGCTGGAGAGACAGGGGCAGTTGAAGAAGAAGAAGGGGATTGTGGAGTTGCCTAGTCATGTTGCTAGTGGCAATGTGACGATGTATAAGAATAAGATCGTTTCGCATACTGTGAAGCAGGAGAAACTTCTGGCTGTTCATCAGTAGGTAAAGGTAAGTAAGCTTTTTCTTTTGTCTGTTATTTCTTTAGCTCTCTCCTTTTCAATACGTTGACAGGTAAGTCCGACGTCGCATTGCTGGCGCCGTCATTGCTTGAACAAAGATACCCTGCATAGCGATGAAAGGATGCTTTCTCAAACTCTGCCCAGCCACAACGCTAAATCTTACAAATAAACTCCTCTCAAATTTTCACCCCTTACTATTCAGTCCTTACCTTTCTGTTACAAGAGTTTCATTCGCAATGTGATCTCATCTTCCTTCAACTTTCTGGCAAATAATGAATCATCTTCTCATAATTGATCAAAACCTTCTAAACACACTCTTCTTCGGTAATCGTGCCATCCCAACATTCCTCCGCAAACCCTTCAATATGTACATTAGCAATCTATGAAGGTATTCTTGTACTTCAGTCTCGCCTAAAAGAAGCATCACATTTACCAATGACCAACTCTTGTTTTGTCTGCTCAAGCTCCCAAACAGCAAAATCAAACGCCTGTAATCGCAGCAAGCGATTTCGCAAAGCCAAAATTGGACAGAATCAGATCAGACTTTCATAATCCTCACACATGGGTTGGTCCGTATCTTCGTCTTCGTTTTCGTCTTCCTCAGGCTCTGGAGTATCATCAAGTACTTCCTCAAAGAAGAACTTATCGTCTTCTTTACTATGGTATCCTGGCTCGGCCGTCAAATCTTCAACATACGCACTCTGAATCCGGTGTTGTTCGCGAGTTGCCGGCTCATACTCCAGACGCTCCAGGTCCAACAACTCCAGAGATTCTTTAAGAGCTTTCTCAATATCTTGTGCAAGTGCCATTTCAGTAAAGGAGGCAGATGCAGCAACCGCGTTTTGTACTTCAACCGGATCGAATTCTTCAGCATTATCGTCTGTTCTCGTTGCAGTAGGCCACATTGATATGTCAGAAACTTCTTCATCGTCAGCAGGGGCCTCGCATGATGCCTCTGCTCTGTCATCCAAGGGTAAATTTGGAGTCGTTGATGAATTCAGTGGCTGGCTTTCGCTGTTTTCTTGGCCTGGTGCGGGGGAAGGAGACTCTGTGACAGTTTGTGAAGCTGTTGACGACGTTGGTGTCGCAATCATCTCATTCGCACTATCCGTCGAAGAAGTAGGCGTATAGATGTTTTGGTTGTCTCCATCCTCTGAACTCCAGTCACATGTTTCCTGATGGGTGTTTTTATGCATACTTGTGGTACGAATCGTGAGCTGGCGGCTTGGTGACTGTGGAAAGATTACATCAGCATAATTAAATGACTCAAGACCAGATTCAAGGAAAGACATTGACGTTCAACGTGCTCAACGATTTCGCAAAGCACAGTAGCTCGAAGCAGCTACGGGTGTGAAGACTATTGAGCAGTATCCTTGCGAAGATATGGGGACTTGAGCAGCTTGATGAGAGGCTACTTACCCCACAGGCTACCTCCATTGCATCTTCCATGATAGGGGCTGTGTTTTGTTCGACCATTGGCCTAGGCGCCAATGAATCCAAGGATGTTTTTCGGTTTCTGCTCCCAATATCCGCTAGTGCGAGGAGAGTTGAACTTCGCTTTCGTGATCTCGCTGTGACGCTGAAAACACGATGAATACACTTGATCCTCGTCTTTGGGAGCCTAACAGAGACAGTCAATTAATTCATGTGAGCCGACAGGGTAATAACATATTGAAAAAAAAAACACAGCAGCGGGAAATGACTTCTATTATAATATGATAGGCATCCTTTTTCAGAGACATAGGAAGACAAACCTGTAATTGCTGTTATCGACCGGATATCAAAGAGCAAACTGCTGGTGTATTTCCCTCTGATTCGCGCGAGACCCGGGTGGCTGTCGTAGTCTTGCAGTTTGTGTGCTAGATCTAATGCAACGCACCGAATATGGATCGAATTATGTTTGAAGATGATACTCGGACTCGAAGGTCCGGCTCGCAAGAAGTACTTCTTGAAGGTAAGTGATCGAAGGTGAGGTAGAGATTCGCTGCTTTCTTCGTCGTTCGGTGAAGAGGCGTGGTAGTTGAACAAGTTAGGCAGAACTGACGAAGATAAACATACGCATGATCTTAGAGTACTCCCGCCAATTAGACTGTGATTATATTTGAACTATACCTGGAAAGTTTGAATATCACCGGGGCAAACTGTGAATACCGTGACAGAAGCTCGATACCAGGCTGGGATAAACCAGACCAGTATATGCATTTGGTCATTCGTTCTTTCAGCACCTCAGGCAACGACGACACCTTTGGTGGACAATTGTCTGTTATTGGGCTGCACCAGTTGAGGGGCACGACAACGATGATTGGATGCATTTTGAACAACAGCATACAACAATCGAGGCTGGCACCGGCTTTACGTCTGGATGTGCCAGCCAATGCACTTGTGATTGGATACAAAAACAACATCATAGTACCAATGGTCATCCAATTGTTGAGTCAGATCGGAATGCAGTCATTTTTGGCTCAGCCTCCTTTGCTTAGAGTCAGAAGCACGACAGTCAACGTGCCCTGCCTCGGCGGAGCGAAGAAAACAAACGAAAGATGAGTACGGCTCTAGTCATCTTGAAAGACCCTATGTTCGTGTATCAGAATAAGAAGAGTCTAATCGGAGGGAGCCAGGAATTACCCAAACAAACAGAGAGGACACGTCTGACAGTGTGTATGGTTGTCTAAAACAACATGAGACGCAGGTCGTGAGAAGGCTGTTGTCCACGAAAAGAAAGGGAAGAATATCTTCGTGTATACAACATCAAAAAGGGGATTTTCGAAGAGAAATAGAGTTGCAAACAATATATCAACTGTTGCAAGACGTCCTCGGATGCCGAGGCACAACCGACGGGAGTGTCCAGGTAGCGAGACCGGGGTCGTCAGGAACTAGCAGATCTCCCCATCTTAGAGCTCTTAAGACACAACATTCTTCCGTCGAAAATGGTAAAGATGTTTTCAATATGTGGTCGCCTCATTCGCGGAGCTTCGCGCCCAGCTCTACGCGACAGCAGCTCATTCTACACATTAGTGGGCTCCCAATTCAGGCCATTCACGGCAGGGACAGCTTCCGGCGATGAATCTTTACCACTTAAGGGATTCAAAGTGCTGGACATGACCAGAGTTCTTGCTGGTGTAAGGTTGATTGGCTCTGTGGTAGAATTGATATTGACCTTGACCTAGCCATATTGTACACAAATATTAGGAGATCTGGGGTACGAGCCATAAATGAAGCAACTGTAACATCGGTAGGCTTACGGAAATCAGCGCAGATGTGATAAAAATTGAACATCCGACGAAAGGAGATGATACGAGGCACTGGGGACCCCCTTATGCGAAGTATAAAGAAGGGTCCGGAAAAGAAGGCGTGGGAGAAAGCGCTTATTTTCTTTCTGTAGGTCGCGCGACTCTTTCAATTTCCCATCAACACCTGACCTAAGTAAATATATAGGTCAATCGCAATAAGAAGTCTCTCGGACTATCTTTCCAACACAAATCTGGTGTGGATATTCTTCACAAGCTTGCCGCAACGAGCGATATCCTTGTTGAGAATTATCTTCCTGGCACCTTGAAAAAGTATGGCATGGATTTCGAAACACTTCACAAAATCAATCCAAGACTGATATATGCCTCAATCACTGGATACGGCCAGACCGGACCATACTCTAACCGTGCCGGTTATGATGTTATGGTTGAAGCGGAGATGGGACTGATGCACATCACTGGGAGTCGAGATGGTCCGCCTGTAAAAGTGGGAGTTGCTGTGACCGATTTGACGACCGGACTCTATACCAGCAATAGTATAATGGCTGCAATAATATCGAGAAGCAGGACTGGAAGAGGGCAACATATCGACGTTGCGTTGAGCGATTGCCAAGTTGCAACTCTCGCCAACATCGCTAGCAGCTGTCTTATAAGCGGAGAAAAAGACCAAGGAAGATGGGGCACTGCACATCGTGAGTCTCTCGTTTTGTTTGCCCTAACTTAGAACTCAATCTGACAAGTGGATAGCATCAATCGTACCGTATAGGTCCTACAGGACCAAAGACGGAGACATTCTCTTTGGTGGAGGGAACGACCGGCTATTCGGATTAATCTGTGATGGACTAGGCAAGCCAGAATGGAAAGATGATGCCAAATTCAAGATCAACGCCCAGAGAGTCGCCAATCGAGTGGAGCTAGATGACTTGATAGAAACAACTACTAAAACGAAGACGACACAAGAATGGCTCGATGTCTTTGAAGGCTCGGGGCTGCCATACTCAGCTGTCAATGATATCCAAGGTACGCTGAATCACAAGCATGTGCTGGCAAGAGACATGGTGAAGGAGATGAACCACGATTGGTGTGGTGACATTAAGATGGTGAATACACCTGTCAAATATAGTGAGAGCAAACCTAGTATTCGGACTGCGCCGCCTATTCTCGGGCAGCATACCAAGCAAGTACTTAGAGAGGATCTTGGACTGAGCGAAGAAGATATTGAGGCGCTAGTGGCGGAAGGGGCAGTTAAGTGAATATAGAATTAGACATTTTGCATATAATTTCTCCATGAATATCGACTTCTGGTTACACAATCGTGCTCATGAACGAACGAGACTTATTGTTACATCACGTGGATCGTACTGTGATGCAGCTCACGTGATCATCTTCTGGAAAAGTCGATTAAGGTCTATGTCGGCTGATCGTATGGTACGTCGTCCTTGCCAAACACAAGAATCCAAGTCTCGCAGACCATAAGCTTCCAGGCCGCAAATAAACTGCCCTTCTAAAATCGGACTTTCGGCCGTCAATGGCACTTCATTGACCCCAGACCTTATTGCGATCAGATAAACCAGACCCAGACTATTCTATTCGCGCGACATATCCAATTAGAATCGGCCCAATTGGTTGCACTACCACAGATGTAGATCTCCTGTTCTGGTCATGTTCGAATCGTTGCTAATAACTAGTGAAGTTTTGAGAGGTTCCGGCGCAAATCCGATAACCAACACCGCTCGACTCAACAAATAGGAAAAACCATGTCTTCAGACGCGACTCCTCAAACTCCCACGGCAACGGGCAGCAAAGACACGGCCATGTCTGACTCCTCTCCGAAATACGTGCCCCAGTTCTCCGCTGCTACGGAAATGATATTGAAGCGCATCCAGAGTGGTGCCAGCAGCACGATAGGTGCGACGCCTACTCTGTCCTCGATTGGCATAACGGGCACTCCTCCGGGTTATGAAGATATGAGACGCAATGTATTGATGGGCATGAAGACCACCCTGAATATGGAGATTCCGGCGAGTAAGCCTATACATTATAAATCTAGGACCTCGCGTCTTGCAAGCGCTGGCAATGGAGCTGCAGGCAGTGCATCCGCTGCGGGAAGTCCTATTGCGCCCCGGCCATCCACGACCCCCAAGAGTCGTGGAAGTATGGATGCTGGCTCTGGAAAGAAAACAAAGCCAGGGCCAAAAGGTAAAGGTCCACGGGGTACCAAAAGAAAGAGGGGAAGATCCGACAGTTTGAGCGAAGAGGAGTCAGAGGAATCTGAAGCTATGTCGAAACTCGGAGGGGATTCTGATTCTGATGACGCCGAAAGTGTAACTCAATTCCCCAAAGTAACACAGTCTGGTCGACAGATTGTTAAGCCAGCTCAATTTGTCCCTGCTCCTCGAGAGACAAATCCAAAGCGGAGAGCACCCTCAAAGAAAACCCCAGAAAGCGCTTTGTGTAAGAGATGCGGGAGAGGCCAGAGCCCCCAAAGTAATCAAATTGTGTTTTGTGATGGGTGCAACTTGGCGTGGCACCAGATGTGCCACGATCCTCCTATTCTCCCAGAGACGGTCAAGGACGAAAGCGCTCCGTGGTTTTGTTCGGATTGTAACCGTAAGAAAGGTAATAAAGGTGCTGGTTCTGAATTACGATTAACCAGCTGGCAAGGACGTAGCGAAGAAGAGGTTGGTAATGCTTCACTAGGAACTCTGCAGATTGCTAATCCATACCAGAAACGCTCGTACTTCAACTCCCTCCCACATGCACAGCTAGTAAACCTTCTCATACAAGCTACAGTCCTACATCCCAACATTCCGATCTTCCCTCAGATTTTTGATGTGCTACATTCACAGGCGCAACGAGCTCAATCATCTGATCGTCGCGCGAACAGCCATTCACAACAATCAGTACCTCCTTCAGCGACTGCGAGTCTCTTCTCACGAGCAGAGGCACACCCGAACGGACAAATTAACTTCATCCGAAAGATTCAACCAGGTCAGGCATCGCCAGCTTCCGCTCTTTCTCCCTCACAGTCATTGAACCATGCCTCCTCAGCTCCTCCCGTAATAAATGCCCCAGGTGGAGATAGTAGAGAAAGTACTCCGGCGAGCCCTCCATATCCAAAACCAGGTAATGGATTGATGGCAAAACTAGGACCCGACGAAGAGGACATGGACTGGCTAGTCGACAGCAATGATTTCGAGGCTTTTAGCCATACGATCTATGATGAGCACGGAGAGCGAGTCGGGGACAATGGGGTTACAGTCTGAAATCTCTAGCATGCTAATTTGGTAAAAATATCGACCACATGATAATTGAGAGGCGACCAAATCTACCATCTCTACAAGACAAACTTTCGCGAGCAGAGTTCGAGAGGTACTGCATTATTTTGTTGTAAGCCTACTTATATATATCGCAATTGATTGTGAACATCCGTTCTTTTCTATTGGACTCGGTTCGTCCTCGACAACAAGACAAGCCCTGGTGTGCATTACAACCATATTCCATCGCAAAGCTCTTTTTGATCTCGCGTCCCAAAGTCAGAAAAGTCCTTAGAATCAATCGTCGTCAATCGTCGTATCTAAGACGGGGACTGCCAGTCTCATCATGACATGTAGAGGGTCACAGGGCCCTTTCGTTATAGACCGCCCGTGACCGTTGACACGACTCTCTCGAGAGGATGTAGGATCTGGTAGTGGCCAGTCCTGTTAGGGTAGCTTCACAGAACGCATTATTCGTTGAAGCGTTGAACAAGCTACTTCATGGTTATTTTGAGATCAACAAAGCCTACTTCTTCCGTAGCAAGCTCAGACTCTAATGTATATACACCTTCGAGGCATTCGGTAGAACACCAGGTTGTGCTGATAGATAATGTAATCCTTCGTTCCAAATAAGCAATGAAGTGGTTTATAGAGGCTGATACACGACAGACAATGTCATAGATTAGTCGGTAGTCTCTCCCTGATATTTTCTGGCGTCTGGCAAGTCTTTGAGCAGCCAACTTGTATCGCAACATTCCTATTAACCATTAATGTACTTCGGTTCCATAGACATTTGCTAAATTTTTTCCTACAAGTCTGAATTTCAACCAGTTCGTTACTTTCCTCACTAGCATGCGAAATGCGTCCACATCACAATTTCAGTAAGAGATTTGCTGAGGAATATTAATTTATGAACAGTTTCGTTAATTTATGTACAGTTTGCATGGTGACAAACGTCAAGTATATACAAGAATTTTCAATCCAATCCTTCTCCGGCCTCTTCCTCTCCTCTCCTATTTCTCATCCTCGCTCGTTATGCTTTAGTATGCGCCCTTTGCACCTGGAAATTGCGCGAATTGACTCTTGTCAATATCTTGCAACACAGGGCAGTTGTATGGCTTCAACACTTGGGTGATACCCTGTGTCAACATATCCATTGGCCGTGTGACATCGGTAAGGATGCCCTTCAACACATCTGGTGCCATCTGTTCAGCGAGCTGAAAGATGTAGCAGACAGCATTGTTTCCTTCAAGCAGAGTGTCGGCGTTGAATACACCACCAGTCAAATCAGCAGGATCAACACCGGTGAAAGAGTTAACTGTTCCGGTGTTTCCACCGATGGAGAGGAATTTTGGATACTGAGCAGCAGCAGCCAAAAGATCGGTCAAGAAGAATGGAATGGTGTATTCGTCACCGATGGCGCGCTTATACCAGTTGTCTGGGATCTTCTCGTAACCCTCGGTCCACTTGAAGTTACCTGGTGTACCGGTGACGGAGAAGAATGATTTGAGAGTCTCTTGATCGAGTCGGCCCTCTGGGTACTCAGCAGACTTGTTTCCCATGAAGCGGTAGATGAAAGTGTAGGCAGCCGGCTGGACAGCAACTCCAGTGAAGGCACCGTTGAAGAAGTATGGGTTCTCGCTGACGGATTGTTGGAAACGGTCTGCTCGGAATGGAGTGAGAACGCTCAAGTCATAGTTGGCGGTTGCAGCATCTGGTTGCAGGGCGAACATCTGCTCGAACTGCTTGATGATGACTTTGTAGTCGTTACCACTAATTTAAGGTTAGTAAAAGTTCTAGATTTTTGTGGATTCAGCGCGCTTACTATTGGTATAGATCAGGACGAGTGGGTGAAGCATCTCCCTCGTATCTGTTATGAGACCCAGAAATACCCTGAGGCTCCCCAAGTAGACCAAGCACGGAAGGTGTAGCAATGCTCGGGCCGCCAATAGACCACTTGGTCAAATCACCATCAAAGATGGCACCATAGAGGGCCAAAAATGCACCTAAATCGGCTCCCATGCCGAAAACTAGACTTGTCAGCGAATGCTTCTTTTCCTAAGCGAGAGCAACCTTACCTTTGTATGTGCCGTCAATGAATTGCTGGATTGTGGCCACACCATTATGTGGGAGATAACCATGATTGGCCATGGCGTTCAGTCCAGGACATGGACCTCTCTGGTCACCTAGAGGTGTGTTGACGTTTTTTGGCGGGTTGAAAGCGTACTGTCCCTGGTTGGACACATACTGTGCGGCAGCGTCGAATCCTACTGCTCGTCGCGTTTTCTCGAAACTGGCAATAGCACTCTCGAGCTCCTCGTTTGTGCGAGCATCTCGTTCTGCCTTGGCAGCGTATTCGATAGCAGCCGCTGGGAAAGCAACGACTTCTGAGACGCAGAGTGCGAATGCACCAACGATAGCGGTGGAGTATTTCATGTTGACGATGTTTGTATACTAATCTCGACTTTTGCAGGCGTACGGAGATTGGTATTATACCGACGGAATGATTAGAAAAGAAATCTGGGCATCTTGTCGTTCTATTATATCTCCGTAGAAGACTAACGATACACTCAAATTGTAGATCTCAGTGCTAAGATACGCCTCTGAACGCTCACCTCCACACTACCAACTCTACCAACTGGCCACAACAATAACCAGTATCTACAATTATTAAAATGTGCGCCGTCATCGTGACTACGCCATGGGACTTCCCCAAATCGTGGGGTAAAGAGACTAATTCCATGAACTTGGGGAGCCGAGGCGGATGGGGAATAAGCCTTCACCATAACAGAAAAGATCGTCCTGTGGCTGTCAAAGTACACACTCGGAAATACAATATAAAATGATAATAGCGAAGTGTTAGAGTGGTTAAGTGCCCTTTTAGATCAGCCGGTACAGGACAAGGATAAATGTCCCGGTACATCTATACCAAGAAAAGGGAGAGCGGAGCAGAACCGCCACCCATAACTGCCAGTGTCAAGGAACTACAAAAGCCAATCACGAACATGCTATGCTCGACTTAGCCATGTGAAAGAGTTGATTGGAAAAGGTGTTGCAGCCATCCCGATTAGCTTGTGGCTCACCACTCGCGTAAATAGGCTTCCCGACGAAATGGGTTGGTGAAAACAGAAAGGGGGGATGGTTTTGTGGAGCAAGTTCCTCGGCTGCCTCGGTTCATTCAACTTCCCCCACAACTTGGCCACTACAGTACTAGTTTAGCTGAAGGCCATTGAATTCTGGGAGACATGCGCAGGTGGCTTTTTGAAGTCCTCGAATTACCAATTCCCGAACGGGTTTTCGGTTTTCATCACTTTAGGTTCTTTGAGAGACACCGTTGGTGTAGACTAAAGACCGAGCTATTTCCATGTACCGTGTCACTGGTGTGGCACTTTATTTTGATATTTGTAAATGGCTTTATCTAGGATGGTTTGGGGGGAATAACGTCCGCTCTTGGGTTTGAAGTCCCATCGGTACTTGGAAGTGATTGTATGCAAAATCCATACTGAACCCCTACAGATGTATTCCGTCGATACTTAATCGGTGGCTTCCTTCATAGGTCCCTCCATACTCCCTTTCCAAAACTTCGTTCCTTTCGAGGATACACCTTCAGTGACATCCTTAATGATATTGCTAGTGTAAAGATGATCGCCGTCAGGATTTGCTAGTGCCACCCCATATGCTCCCAGCGGACGATCATGGGCATCTCGGCCACCCACGAGAAACTCTTCGTCAAAAGTTCCCACGGCGAGCTGGACATCAGTGTCAGGTTTACCATCCGTCCAACCCAGAGTCGATCCGCAGTTATTACAGAACGCTCGCCGGCCCTCAGGTGATGAGTTGTATTCCGCATATGTTGACTTGGATAGCCAAGTCAACTCAGATGCCGCGACGATGTGGAAATTGTACACCAGACTGCCGCAGTTCTTTCGGCACTGGGTGCATTGGCAAGTGCGAGACTGTTGCAGTAGTTAGATAGTCTGTAAAACCCTAGGTTCATTGTAACGAAATCGAGACCTTCTTACCCCTCGTCTCCAGTCGTGATCGGGCGAGAAGTCAACTCGAAAACGGACACTTTCACATAGGCATCCGCCAGTGACGGTCTCTGGTTTAGCAAACGCCATGGAAGTTGCCGCAAGCTTTCCCGGAATGTTACTAAATGACTACAGTTGATTGGGTTAGAATTTGTTAAAGACTGTGTTCTAAAAGTCTAGATTGTGTTATTAGTGACGACGTGGTGGAAGTGGGAAATAACTTTTCATGATATTATTGACGTATATCAATGATCAGCACCGGACGCTCCGCTGCATGATACTATTGGCGGAATTGCTGTGTAGTGAAGAGTGGGCTGTCAGCAGCGTGATTTGATTTTAGCATCTTACATTTGTCAACGACGTCCAAGTGCTTGAATCACCAAAACAAATTAAACAATAACTTGTTGGACTCGAGTTCATTAGAATTTACTCGATGATATGAGGAAAAGTACAATAGATTTATTGAATTCCTAAGTATCCCAGATATCCCAAATATCCCTCAAGGCTCGATGCTCTCATCTCCCATCATTTACTTGGACCACCACGAGCCATGATTCCAACCGCAACTTTTAATACTTCCAACCACCTTCGATAGGCAGTCGTACTGTTGTATTCCCCGCCATTCCTAAGAGTTCTGTAGCTTCCAAGCTCACACCGATATGCTTCACGGCGCCCTCCTCGGAAGGCTAACTTTTCGTCCCTTGTTGTCGTTGTAAGCGATGCCAGCAACGCAGACTCTCAATGGTTGTGATCCTGCACAAACATAATGTCGCTACTGTTAAAAGTATACAAGTCGAACTGTCTTCCGTCTTATAGTCTAAAGACCACCTGATACCAAGTCTCCATTCTGAACGTTGTCCATATTCCTAATTGACAATGCCTGATTCCACATGAAGTATCCAGTACCGCACAGTCAGATGCCATCGTTTCTTTGGTCCAGTTGGCTTTTACGTTCAGTGCTTCTTGGCTGGGTAGTGACTGTTGGCATAAAGAGTCGTATAGACTTTCTTCTGATTGGCATCGAATATTTCTTTGGCTGGGCGTGTTTTCGTTGGCACTCCTGGAACTGTTGTTTGTGAATCAGCTCCAACAAAGGAACTAGCTTCGCGGGTGATGGATCGAGTTCCTGTCTGAGCTACTTTTGGAAGCCAAACGGGCCAGACACGAGATACTGTATGCTGAGCGAGGGACATCTTGAGGTTGGTGGATGTCGAGGTTTGCTGAGCGAATTTTTGAGAAGTTCTCGAGGAAATATTTAATGGTTCTTGGGAAGTATTTTTCTTTGCAAAGGACCAGCCAGTGGTTTTAGGAGATGATAGGATGAGTTTGATCGGAAAGCAAGACTGTATGGATTGAGTCCACTTGGATCTGAGAAGTATGAGGCGTACTTATACCTTTACGCAAAAACCATGAGATATTTTTGAGAGCATTGTGTGAAGCGAACACAGCAATTCTTGCCGCAGCCTCTGCCTCAATTGAGGGTATGGGCTTGCAAAATTTACTTGTCGTCTGATTGATGAAACTGCAAATCGCTCACCTGAGAACCCTTTTCGTAAACGAGCGGAGACCCCCGCCCCCACACGTGATACTCCCCCACGTGTGTGGGCGCTCCTTACCTCAGAAGCTGACTTGCATCCTTCCATCACCGCCCGAGAAACCAATTTATAACGCGATCAAATGATGTTATGCCAATCCGGCTGCAGCCCTGATACTGATTTTTTTATTACATCAATGGAGAGTTTGGAATGATGTTCTCAATAACGAGGTAGAATAATCGAATCTTGGCGGTGGTCTGGACGAGATACCAAGCGATGGTATCCATAGATGTCCACGTCCGAGCAAAAGGATTACGTTGCCTCGAGGTTGCAAAGAAACAGAGCCTCACAGAGCTGATATCGCACCGAAGCCAAGATAACAGCCAAAACGCCATGCCAATGACTCTGTGTGAGAGTCGTGAGAGGTTTCCACCCCTATCGCTATTCCTAGTCGTTTCCTTTCCAAGAGACTGAAATGCATTGAAACCACGTTTGGAGAGTGGAGAGCTTCGTTGGACATTGTCTAGGTCACTAATAGCTGAATTTACTCGCCCTTCTTGCCAGATATTCTTTCATCAACAATTCGTTCTACCATCTTTTGCAAAATGGCTGGCTGTCCATTGCTGCCTTGCGAGAAATAGCCCTCGACCGCTTTCTCCACGTACTTGCCAATCTGGTCGACTTCGACATTGACATCGTCCCCGGACCCTTTACTTGATATTATCACCTTCTCTTGGGTGTAGGATATCAGCATAACCTCCCACCAACCTTCTTCATCGTCGACCTTGGTTATAGTCAGACTGGCTCCATCTAGTGTTACGTATCCCTTCTCAACGACGTATCTCAATACTGCTTTATCGCGGGGCTGGAATCGAAAGGTAATCGCGTTTCCGTCCGGCTCTTTCTTCAGAATTTTTGCAACAGTATCGACATGACCTTGCACAAAGTGTCCGCCCATTCGAGTAGTTGACGATACCGCTCTCTCCAGGTTCACCCTGCTCTGCTCCTTTAAAGACCCAAGATTCGTTCGTCTTAACGTCTCGGGCGCAACGCCGACCTTGAAAGATGATTTGTCGAACCAAGTTACCGTCAGGCATGTCCCATTGATACTGATGCTATCACCGAGATGGCAATCGTCAAGGATTTCCGAGGCGCCGCATATGGTGAGTGTTGTGCCACCATCTTCGGATTGGCGGTCGAGCTCCGAGACAACTTCGAGTAGTCAGTAGACATTCGACATTCGGCCGGGCTGCTGCTAACCTCCGATGATTTCGACGATTCCAGTAAACATGGTGAAGATGGGGAAGGAAGTCTTGTGGCGCGTCCCAGGGTTGGTAAGTCATCACAATCATGGATAGGTTTGGATGAACCCACGATCGGAGAGTCTCCGGTTAAATGTTGTCCCGTGGAGCTCGGACTCCTGAATATTGATCACTCCAATCTTACCTATTTTATTCCCTCCTCTGCTATACATCCAGAGACTCGCACGTCTTGGACTTGCAGAAACCCCTCTTTGGTACTACAGAGCCCCATTCCACTGTGCTTCTCTTCGTCCCCTTAATGTAGCGAGCACCGTTTGAGTACAGCGGAATTGCAAGCTCCGTCTACCAAACAGGAATCGCCCTCGGTTAAGCAGTTCAAAGCACGATCTATATGATGAATGGCCGTGTCGTTGATTGTTTTTCTCTAGACTTTATACTCTATCTCACACTATGGCACTCGGGTGTCTCCCGGCCCAGCGGTCCATATTGGCGAGGCTATTCCCCATGAATGACTTCATTTAGCATGATGAATGTAATTTTGCATAGACAGGGCTCAGACACGAAGTCAATGTTATAACTAGAGCCTTACCAGTTTTCTAAACATTTTGCTCTCTCGTTATTCCCAGCGTTTTCAGTTTCTGCTTTCAATAATGTATAAAACTCTTCTGTGGTCTGCTTTTACACTGGGGGCCTTTTCTCAAAGTCCAAATGAGCCCAGCTCCCAAGTAAAAGATGCACTCAGTCCAGCTATCAAGTCCATCTTTCCAAATGGCTCAAACTTGACTGCAGAAATATTAAACACATTTCTTCGTCCAGCCGAAATTGTCCTTAGGAGAAACTCTCACATCTATAGAGATGGCAAGACCCTTAAGCTCCAAGGTGAGCGTTGGACTGCGAGCGGTGCAAATGTCTACTGGCTAGGTTTAGATGAAAATGTTGTACCACCTGCAGGGGCACCATATTACGCACCTCTGCAAGCAAGTTATCCCACTAAGGGAAGGATTACCGAAGCAATGGCAACGTTGGTGACTATGGGAGCTCGAGTTATCAGGAGTCAGACACTTGGGGTCAGCGTGGGCAATCCTTTGAGCTTGATGCCAACCCTAGGTGTGTTCAATGAAGCCGCTTTTGACACGATAGATTGGTCAGTCTTTCAAGCAAGGCAGCATGGGCTTCGGATAATTCCGCCTTTGGTCGATAACTATGTAAGATAGTCCTCTAAGACTCATCTCCATGCTGATGATTGGCTTTAGGACTATTATCATGGTGGAAAGTTCACCTTTTTACGTTGGAGAGGGTTCAATATCACTGGTAGCGACAAACCACTTTCACCAGATGTTATGCAGTTTTACACCAATGCCACCATAATTAGCGACTTCAAGGCCTACATTGAGCACTTGATGACCCACGTCAATCCATACACCGGTCTCACGTACGCGGAGGACCCAACAATCATGGCTTTCGAGACAGGCAATGAACTCAATGGACCTATTTGGGCAGACCAGAATGTACCTAATGAATGGACAAAAGAAATTTGCCAACTCATTAAGACGCTGGGTAAAAAACGAAGCTATCTACTTACTTCTTCTAATGCTAACGCGTGTCTAAGGTCCTCAAAAGCTTTGTGTTGACGGTACTTATGGTATTAACAGCACTCACTTCGAGGTAGCAGAGGTTGACATCTTCTCAAACCACTTCTACCCCCTCAGAACTTCGACTCTCAAATCTGATATCGCAGCGGTCGAGAAATCAGGTCGTGTATACATCGCTGGAGAGCTTGGTTGGCTTGACACAACGGGTGATTCTCTCGCCGATTTCAATGATGTGATTCTACAGCGGCAGAGCCTTGTTGGGAATGAAGTTGCTGCTGGAAGTTTCTTTTGGAGTCTTTTTGGTCGTAATGTTCCTGACTGTTCGGTAAGATACTCTGGAACACTCATCAGACCATAAAGTTGTGCTCAAACCATGTTTGCTGACACGACAGTAGAAATTCGTCGAACATTCAGATAGATTCACGCTTCAGTACAACAACCCGAATAACTCAGCGTCCACAAACTCATTAATCGCACAAATTCGTCAACACTATTTCGCTATGCAGGGCATCGTAGTTGATTCATATCTTCCCGCAGTTCCGTGCCCGCAAAACTATATTCCTGGATATGATGCAGAATATTATTTTTGATGAGCTCCCCAGGAGTAGCTAGCCGAGAAGCTGAAATTAAAATCGGAATCTCTATCAAAGCAACGGGAATGGTCGCTGAAGAAGAGAAAGGGAACATGTTATGGACTAAATAACTAGTAGAACATGCCTGTTATGTACCTAGTAATCATAAAACATTAGGACTTCAGGCCTTGATTACAAAATACATGAATTCAAACCACAATTTAAGAGGTTGTATATTGGTGATACTAGACACCTTTTGAATCCCACGCAAAACAACTCTCACACCTTCATCGCATGCTAGTTAAGATGCTTACGAGGTTATATGTATTCAAAATTGTCAGACATCAAGTTTAGCAGGCGTATCATCCTTCATGGGAAACCAACTTTGTAAAAGCAGGTCAAAGGCCGCAATTGAATCTCGTTGCAGCGAATAGTTAGATGTTTTTGACCTCATGAATTCAATGATAGGATTTTCTTATTCCTTCATTTTGAGTTTGTTGCTGGCCTATTGTAAGATTTCTAGGTCAATAATCCAGTGCGGATGTCTAAATTTGTAGGCGAGGTTTGTCTGGGGCGGGCGTGGTGTCGTGGTCGTGTCGTGGGTTGTCGGTGCGACATGCAACAAAACCCGGACTTCTTCATCGGCCCGGTTTTCGGAATTGCAACGGGAACTGCAACGGTTGTTTATCAATTTCGGCAGCTGTGGCCCAACCGCCAGCAGTGTACTCCGCTGATTATTCTCGCAGACAATGTCTCTCCAACCTGCATACAACATATGGCAGGATGATTTTGAGACACAATAACGTCCTGCCATTATGGCTTCTTTTATTATTTGTCTCTTTCAGTCAAGTATTAGCTTCTAAAGGAGACCAGCGCCCCGAGTTCCGCGAATGCGTCAAGGTATGTCAAATACAACGTCGCATGTCCTAACGAGTACTGAGATATTGTAGGTATGCAAAGAAGAGAACTGCGCAGAAGGAAAAGCTACGACGCCAATTCGTATGGGCGCCACCTTAATATTCCTAATGCAAATCCTGTCTGACAGATTATAGCTCTCTTGCACAAAGTCTTGCTATGGGATTGCCCTGCCGAATGCGACTACACCTGCCAGCATATCGTAACGGATATGCGCGTTGCCGCAGGTGAAGAGATACTTCAATTCCACGGAAAATGGCCTTTCTACCGATTCCTGGGAATGCAAGAACCCTTCTCGGTCTTCTTCTCCTTCCTCAATTTCCTCGCTCACCAGAACGGGCTGTCGAAGATCACCTCGAGCATACCGGCGTCCTACCCATTACGAAAATACTATATTATATTCGCATACTTTGGGATGGCTAGTTGGATCTTCAGCATGATTTTCCATACTCGCGATTTTGCTGCAACAGAGCAATTGGATTACTTCGCCGCTGGGGCAAGCGTGCTATACGGGTTTTATTATACACCAATTCGAATCTTTCGTATGGATCAGGGAGGGAAACGAAGGAAGTCGTTACTTAGGGCGTGGACAGGATTATGCTTATGCATGTATGCAGCGCATGTTATATACCTTAAATGGTACGACTGGGATTACACGTACAACATGGCAGTAAATGTGGTTATTGGGGTGCTGCAGAATTCCCTATGGACATGGTTTAGTATTGGAAGATACAAGAAGTCGGGTCGACTTTGGGCGACATGGCCGGGTCTTGTCGTTGCTTGGATCATGATGGCTATGAGCTTCGAACTGCTCGACTTTCCGCCGTTATGGGGGTGCCTTGATGCACATAGCTTGTGGCATCTGGGGACTGTCGGGCCAGCTATGATCTGGTATAAGTAAGTCTTCCTTGCCAATTTAACAAGAAATCTGCTAACAAATTGAAGCTTTTTGCTGAAAGACGCACAAGACGACATGACAGGCACAAGGTTAAAGAATTGAATAGGTTGGACTCGTGGGCTGTATATACCACATTATTAATAAAGGACGCTTGAATATTCCCATACCCAGTTACAACCATGTCATACGTTCCTGTTCTTCGGTGACTACGTCCAGTGCCAGCTGACGTTTTGATAAGGTTGGACTTCTGGATCTTTGTGCATGCTCCCTCTGTATTATCGTTGTCTATTGTAGGAGTCTAGTTACCAAAGTTTCTTTTCATTGGTAGCCCCTAAATCATCCCTCCTGCATATGTTTCCAACATTTCATGAGACACGTACAGCTTCTCATGAATATCTTGCAATCTTCTTACAGTATCTTACAAAATACACCAAACCCTGAATGTCTACAGCTGATCCAGTAAAGAGTTGACAAAGGTCGGCAACTCCTCGAATGGCACATCCTGACGAACTTTCAATCTCCGGCATTGTACCTCACAGATCTTCTCACTCGCCCATTTTTTCCCGACTACAATAATCACAGGGTATCCCACTAAATCAGCGTCGTTCATCCTCCAAGCGAACCCTCGTTTTCTGTCATCGATAACAAGATCGAGCGGCGCCTGACCAGTAGTTTGCGATTGAAGTAGCGCATCGTAAATTACTTCTGGAGCCTCATCAAGCTGTCCGTTACCAAGTGGGATGATAACAGCATCGAAAGGTGCCATGACGCGAGGCCAATTGAGTCCCTTTTCGTCGGCTAGGGTATCTGCGACGGCTCCTATCATTCGTGAGACCCCGATACCATGGCATCCCATTTGGATCATCGCTTTTCGACTTGATGATTTTTGGCCTTCTTCTGTAAACTCGTAATCTTCCTCGTGGTCCCGAGTGACCTCGACGGGAAGCAATATGTTTGCTTCAAGAGGCTTGCTGTACCTAGATCCTAGATGGAATGTATGTCCGAGCTCGATTGCTTCTTGGACAACGACTTTGTCTTTATTGCATTGCGGACATGTATCGCCGGTCCGAGTTTTCAAGAGACTGAGAGGCTCTTCCGTTTTTGGGTCATGATTCCAAGTTTCAATTATTGCTTCTGTCGAGAGTCGAGCGTCGAAGAGCCTCTCTCTACCCGAGGAGTTGCTGGGCCCCAAAAGTGGAAGCTTTTCCGACATCTCGGAAGATATTCTGCCATCCACCAAATGAATGAGTCTCTGAGTTTGGTCAGATTTTGCCTCTGTTGCTAGCTCCGATCCAGACTGTGGAGCCTGGTGAGCCCAAAACATAGCCTGGGCATTTGGGCTGTCCACCGAACTGTCTAGGTCGGGGTAAACAGCCTTAACGGCACGAATATTGACTTCGGAGACGGGGTTTAGCTCAGAGGTGTCATTGGAAGAAGGATACCAGGCAGTGAGTAATGTCGAACGATCCTGTGATATACCATGCCACTTCCTTATTGACATTTCATCGCAACTACCGGCTTCCTCCGTAGGAAACTTGATGATCGCTTTCTCTTCATTGGACACATAGCCGCAGCTTTTACAGCTAATAATGTGATCTTCGCCCTTTGTTGTGGGAAAATGGAACTCATGACTGAGATTGCCGCCCATGTCGCCAGAATCTGCTTCAGCAACCAGATAAGGTATTTTGAGCTCATCGAACAATTTGGCATATATTGCAGTGACCTCATAATACGTCGAGAGGGCCAGAGGTATGCTTTGATCGAAGGTGTACAGATCCTTCATTATAAATTCCCGGGACCTTAATAAACCATGTCTAGGGCGCAGCTCATCGCGGTATTTTCGAGCTGAGAAAGTATTAATCACCTGATATGTCTCGCCAGCTTTTGCACTTACATATCTGATGGACGCGGACTGGCAGATCTTTGTAAGATTTGAGAGAGCTCGATACTAACGTGGTAACTTCCTCTTCGTGTGTGGGTGAGAGCAGATAACCAGTGTCCTTTCGGTCTTTGAATCGAAAGAGCTGTAATCATTAGCTAAGTCATCAATTCGGACTGATCAAGAGTTACTTCAGAGCCCACTGAACTTAGCCTCCCACTCTTCTCCCAAAGCTTTTCCGAGGTAATTGATGAGAGATCGACCTTAGATGAACCTGCTCGAATTAGTCTGGTTGTCATCCATAGGACATAGGTGCATACCGAGCTTCGCCATGTATCTGTCTATTAATTTTTCTAACTTCTCCTGAACTCTCCGACCTAGTGGCAGCATATGAAAAATTCCTGAGTGGGCCTGTCATCAATTAGCATGATTTGGTAGGAAGCCAAGGTAGTATGCACTTGACGCAGATATCCAGCCCGAATGAGCAATGAATGAGCATCTATTTCCATCAAGTTAGTCATGGATCTAGTTTCATCACAGTCTATATGTGCACCTGTCTCAGTCGATGCAATTCCTCCAGATGGCGCCCATATTGTAGACAGGCGATTTCGCTCGGACTACTATCGAGTTAGCCAAGGTATATGTCCAATTGGAAAGAATCTTGCTTTTTGTTGACCAGTTGAAAACCAAGTTCTCTCAGGCTTATGCAATCGAATCCGGATGAGGCCATCTGATATACATAGTGCCCTTCCGAGTAAAGCTGGGGAGCTATTCCAGGACCGCAAATATCTTGCAAAAGGGGTTTGAGTAATGTTCCTCATTCTATCCTCAGATGAGTCGGATATTGACCCTCCAACCTGTGATATACCCTATCTACTCAAATATAGCACCCACCATGAATTAAAAGTTCGGAATTCATCTTGTCGTAATCTCTAGCCACTACATCCTAAGGTGAGATGAGATTCAACCTTGAGAGTTATGAGAGGTGAGCTTAAGCGAGCATCCTTAGCGCCAGATGTTATCTTATCGCCGATCGAAAAAATTCATTTCTTCCATGAACTGGACCTGCAGTCCAGACGTAAATCCACCATCTCTCGAAGATGGCAAGAAGAAACAATAAAGTTGCAAAGGGGGAGAAGTCTGCTACTGGGGCCAATGGCGATGCACTCCCTACATTCGACGACAATGCACTGTCCGCTTTGACAGCGAAGATTGAAAAAGGATTTGGAGGGGGAGGGCCAGCAAAAGCAGATCGAGTGTCGCATTCCAAAGAGAAGAAAGGAGGAAAATCGAGCAGTGGACCTGGACCGAAAAAGGAAAAGCTCTCGACGCGATCGTCGGCAGCTCCAAGAGGGACGAAGCGCGATGCAAATGGTAATGCGAAAGTGGACGGCAAGTCTAGGCCAGGAAAGAAGGCAAAAGAAAATGGTAGCAAAGATTCGAGGGCTGTCCTATTGGAAGAGATATTGGCTCTGGGAGGAACTGAGGAAGACTTAGACCTCGTAGCGGACGCTGCTTCTGACGAAGAGGAGGACGTAGTTGGAAATACTTCGACCGACAAATCTCTACAGAAAGAACTGGCAAAATTCGTCGCTGGCCTGGGAATCGAAGGGCAAGTTGCAGATGAAGATGACGGCGCAGAAGATGACGAAGCAAACCAAGAAGATGTAAAGAGCGAAGATGAAAATGGATGGGAGGAGGCTTCGGAAGGAGACTCTGCAAGTTCAGACGATACTGCAGAAGCTGTTCCTGAACTAAAGCGGCCAGCTCCAGCATCTCAGAACGCGTTCTCGAAGAATGATGCAAATCGCCTAGTAAGTTTCTTGGTTCTGGGTATGATTGGACTGACTGATTCGTAGCTAGGTCTTTGAAGCTCGTCCTGACTGGCATGCTACCGATCTTCCTCCTTTGCCGTCTGAGAAGGTCCCGAACCCAGCTAAATTCCAAACTGCTATATCGAATCTAAAAGCATACGCCACTACCCTCTTAGAAGCAGACACAAACTTGTACGCTTCCAAACATCTTTCAGCTTCTTCGTCACATCGATTCTTGTCACAAATTATGACTTCCGGTACATTATCAGATAAAGTCTCCGCGTTGACTTTGGTTGTGCAGGAGTCCCCTGTCCACACCACTAAGTCGTTTGAGAATCTTCTTGTTCTAGCGAAAAAGAGGAGTCGTGCTCAGGCTGTCAGTGCACTTGGAGCTCTAAAGGATTTGCTAGGAAATGGTGTTGTTCTACCAGCTGACAGGAGGCTCCGGCTATTTGCCAATCAACCAGGACTTCTTGGGACACTACATGAGGATACTATCACAACCTGGGTAGTTGGCCATCGTCTTCCAGGAAATATCAGTAAAGCACATCTGATATCATGGGCATATGAAGACTGGCTGAAAGATCAATACTTTGAAATGCTTAAAATTCTAGAGGGATGGTGCAACGATGAAGTTCTGTATGCCCGGACGCGAGCTGTTACCTATGTGTATGAGTTGTTGAAGGAAAAGCCTGAACAAGAAGCCAATTTACTCCGTCTCCTGGTTAATAAACTTGGCGACCCAGACAAGAAAATCGCCTCGAGAACGTCTTACCTGCTTCTCCAGTTGCAGACTTCACATCCTTTGATGAAACCAATTATCATCAAATCCATAGAGACGGAGCTTCTACTGAAACCAGGCCAAAGTTCGCATGCCCGCTACTATGCCATCAACACCTTGAATCAGACGATTCTAAGAGCCAATGAAGAGGAGGTCGCTAAGAAGCTCCTAGACATTTACTTTGAGCTTTTTGTCTCTTTGCTAAAGAAGAAGGAACCGAAGCCAGAGCCTACAGGCCCCTCCATAAATCGAAAGGGGCAAGTCCAAGGTGGAGGTGCACCGATGGGAAAGAAGGCCAAAGCGAAGGCGACGAAAGAAGAAGAAGCAAAACTGGCTAGCCAGGAAACAACTGAGAAGATGATTTCCGCCGTTTTGAGCGGTGTTAATCGAGCCTTTCCATTCTCAAAAGCAGATGATCTAAGTCTCGAGAAGCATATGGATACCCTGTTCAGAATCACTCATTCTTCGAATTTCAACACCAGTGTCCAGGCATTGATGTTGATTGAGCAGTTGGCCACAACAAAGCATCTCGCTGTCGAGCGATTCTACCGCACTCTATATGAATCTCTGCTTGACCCAAGACTGATAACGTCTTCCAAGCATGCTTTATACCTCAACTTACTCTTCCGAGCCATTAGAGCGGACATCAACATCAAGCGCGTCAAAGCATTTACGAAGCGACTGCTTCAAGTCGTTACGCTTCACCAACCTCCATTCATCTGTGGTGTAATCTATCTCATACGAGAGCTGGAAACACTTTTCCCAACTCTAAAAACTCTTATTTCTGAGCCTGAACTGGACGATGAAGACGAGGAGGAAGTATTCCGCGATGTACCAGAAGAAGGTGAAGCGCCCATTGCCGAGCAACCGAAGAAATCGAGACTCACTCAGACTTACGATGGCCGGAAGAGGGAGCCTGAGGACAGCAATGCTGATAAAAGCTGCTTATGGGAAATTGTAAGTCATGTCGAACTCGTATCTAAGTCGTTAAACATTCTAACAAGACCAGATACCCTTCCTTGTCCACTTCCATCCGTCTGTTGCCTTGTTCGCTGGTCGCCTTCTGAACAACCAAGCTATGCCACCAAAACCTGACCTTGCGTCGCATACCCTTTCAGCCTTCCTCGATCGCTTTGTATATCGTAACGCAAAAGCTGCATCGGCTGGTCCACGTGGTAGTTCAATTATGCAGCCTCTTTCCGGTGGTGACAGCAAAGCTGTTTTGTTATCTAACAAATCCAGCCATACAACACAACCCCTTAACACGGAAGCTTTCTGGCGCAAGAAAGCCGAAGATGTGGCTGTCGACGAGGCGTTCTTCCACAAATACTTCAGTCAAATCGGCAAGACCAAGCAGGCTCCATCCAAGAAAAAGGTACCCACTGAAGGGGAGGATGGAGAAGGTGAGGATGCAGATGAAGACGAGATCTGGCAAGCGCTTGTGGAGTCTAGACCCGAGGTCGAAGGAAACAGCGACGAGTCAGATATGGAAATGTTGGATCTGGATGATTCTGATATGGAAAATGACTCTGATCTAGATATGTCCGATGGTGGTGTGGAGATTAACATGGATGATGATGAATCTGATGTGGAAGGCGAGGAAGTGGACGAAGACGAGTTTCCGGGCAGCGAGGTCGGCAGTGAACCTGAGATACTTGAGGATGAGGACGATGAGGACGAGGATGCACTGTTTGCCAAAGAATTGAAAAGTGCCCAGCCAGCCGACGAGGACAAGGATGAAAAGGAGACAAGCAGGAAGCGCAAGCAACGGCTCAAGAAATTGCCTATGTTCGCTTCCATGGAAGATTATGCTGCGATGGTGGACAACGACGATGATGAAGATCAGGGGCTATAGACTAGTCATGTTGAATAAACCTTTGATCACTCGATGGATTCTAGGAGGCGTATTTTCCAAAAAAAAATCAAGAGATTCCCCAGCCTTATTCCAGATGACAGTCCTTATTGCCGCCATAAATGCAAACCTAGCGCCTAATCAAATGGTATCAACTACTCTACACATCAAACCACTCCAACTGATCCTTCTCCCCAAAAATCGCCCTAAAATCCTTATCCCCATCACTCTTCTCCGTCTCCTCGAAATGAATGCAATGCAACCTAGCCGACTGCGCCTCTCCCGCAATAAACGCCCTAAACATGATATAACTTCCAGGGCTCGCTGGCAGCTCAACCTTTCCGAAGAGGTGAAGACCGTAGGCCGACGTGGCTACGCGCACTTCTTTTAGGTCTGAGGTGGAGATGTCGGCGAGTTGGTCGTTGGAGAGGGAGGAGACGGGTGCGAAGTATTGGGGCTCGTGCTTGTCGGTTTCGTGGCGGAGGTGGATGAGCTCTTTTTTGAGGGCGGGGAGTATGGCGGAGAATGCTTCTATGGATTCGGATCTGGGGGCTATTAGTACTTAGTTAATTGGCGATTTATCTTTGGAGACGTACTTAGGAGGATGGGCAGCTCCCATTTCGACGGTTTCTGCGGTTGCCATGTTGGTTATGAGTTGTGGTGTGGGGTTGTTTAAGTTAAGTTGAGAGTCTTGTTTCTGAAGGTATTTTGGAAATGTGGGATACAGGCAGTATATATACGTTTACTCAGTATCCAGATTCACGATGGCGGGGAGACCCAGCCTTAAATACCTGGGTACAATGGCCAACTTTCCCAGTCAATGAGAGCTGGGCTGGGAGAGCGGGGATGCTGGCAAGGCACCTCGCACGCATGATTTCATGTGGGAGGTCAGCCGTTTCATGTATTCTGACGATATTGACTGGACAAGTTCGTTTGCAGTGAACTGTAGCTATGTGATTTGGATGGTTGAATTCATCTCGTCAGCCACTGAGGGCTACGAGCATGAAGGCATCCATGGATGGGCTGATGGGCGGGGTGGTACGATGCTCACTTTGATCACATTTCACCACACTGCATCTCTGGCTAGCAATACTACCTAGGTAGTATTTCTAATACTTAGAGCAATTCAGATAGGGGTTGATATTCAAGTGCTGGAAGATGTCTGTGGTCCAACGTTTGCTAGTTGTAAATTGAAACCAAGGGTTCAAGCTCAAGCTGTACCCCTGACTAAAGCACTGACAAGGGGGCAGCATGCGAAGATGACGTCGTGCCTGAGTTTTTCTAGACCAACTCATGCTCCATTTCTAGTTCTAGCAGTCCCGGACTGCGAAAGTTACGATATTCTTGGAAAAAGAATCTTGCAAGAGTACTGAAGGGAGAATGCAGAATCCAATGATCCAACTAATGGACACAGTCACGTGATTGTTTCATGAGTCGTGCAAAGTCGCATCCACTCGTGGATAACGATAAGATCTCGGCCCCAGCGATATCGGGTTTTGACTCGCCGAGGTAACAATATTTCGGAATCCATCTCCTTTGCGCTGTCAACATAAGATAGACCCACAACACATGCCGACACCAATGTCCAAACATACACCGCCATAAATTTCTGGAAAGAAATCTGTTAGAACATGGCCTTGGCAAGCCGCTTGTCGCGGCCGTTCGCCGCCGGTACTGTCAAAAGGGCCGCGTCCGCTGCGTCGGGAACAACGTATAAAAAGAGTATTGTGAGATTCCCAAGGACTTTTACCACGAGTTCGCGTTTGTTTACAGATCAAGGTAAGTCGATTTCTTGCAATTGATATCTTTTGCTAATCTGATTGTCAATAGCAACTGCTTCAATTCCACCTATTGCTCAAAAATCGATTCTCCGCCGAACTCTGGGTTTTTTCTCCATTGCATTTTTCTTTACTACCCTCGGCGTAGCAGTATATATACCCAGTATGGTGGCAAGTGCAAAAGAAATCGCCAAAGGGCCTCCAACAGATGAGGAGACTCTCACGATGTATGTTCCAGCGGATGATGTCGAGCGGGAAATCGAGGAACACATTCGAAACCACCCCGTGGCAGTGGAATTGAGGTCAAGGCCAGAGATGTCAGAATCGAGACCGCATATGAAGATTCCATTCGGTTACAAGGCGCACAACTTCACGGGTGGTACTTTGATGGGACCTGGAAGGGTCGCTGTACCACCGTTTGCTTGGAATGAGGCTGGTGGGAAGAGCATGGTCTCGATATCATACTTGGGAGAGGATCTTTGCGGACACCCGGGAATTATTCATGGTGGTATGCTTGCTACCATGTTAGATGAAGGTCTAGCCAGATGTTGCTTTGCAGCACTACCGAACAAGATTGGAATGACTGCCAATTTGAATATTAATTACCGAGCGCCGGCACCTGCTGGATCATTTGTTGTGTTAAGAGCGGAGACTACTAAGGTTGAGGGAAGGAAAGCGTGGGTCAAAGGTCATATCGAAACTCTTGTTGGGGAAGGGGAGACGCCTGTCATCTTGGTGGAGGCTACTGCACTTTTTATCGAGCCAAAACTCGCAGCTGTAAGTGCAATTCCACTAGGCTTTTGAAGGATCAGTGACTAACGAAGTATAGAAAATGGCGAGGGTATATCCTACCCAGTAGGAAGTTTCTAATGATACAACCAGAAAAAAAATTGTCATCCATAAAAGGACGAGGAGCAGAGGAGACATACAGCTCCTTCCGGATGTCCATAGTAGTGGAAAATGCTAAGGAGCAATTCGCCGGCAGAATAAGAGTTCACGTAGAAAGCGATCATATATTTAGTAATAGATGTCTTATATCGGACCTAGATTTAATGTACAACATTACACACATACATGCGATAACCATGTCTCGCTGCCATCTTGTACCAGCTGAATTAGTTCTGGCCTTCTTCAAATAGAAGCATTGGTAATACAGCACCGAAAGTAAAGTCACACATCCAATACCAAATCTGTATCCTCATCCATTTACTCAGTTCAATATAAAACGCAGACCAGCCAGCACACTTAAATTTGTCTCATCACAAACACCCTTCCACGTGATCCTCCGTACCTGCACCCAAGACCCCTGCAATTGCGCCTTCGAATTACGCAAGATCTTGGCGCTGCCGGCAGCACGCTCGATTTTTTTGGGTGGTCCCGCGACTTGCGAATTAGGTGCTATACTAATAATCGTGGCAGGCCCTTGTCTTCCTGAACTTCTTTGAACATAAATCCATTCTATATTTATTTCAATCGCAATATAAAGTCCACTTATAACTTAGATCTATCATAATGGCAACGTAAGTTCTCAATTCGCATGTCTGAGAAAGACTTTTACCCCGCCAACCCCACCATCTCCTCCCTCGCCATTGAATCCAACTAACAACTCACCTCCAGCAACATCACATGGCACGAAGGTCTCTCGCGCTCCGAGCGCAACGACCTGCGTAAACAAAAGGGCTTTACGCTCTGGTTCACCGGTCTCTCCGCGTCCGGAAAAAGCACCATCGCAACGGCGGCCGAACAACATCTACTTCACTTGGGACTCGCAGCATATCGATTGGATGGTGATAATGTGCGCTTTGGATTGAACAAGGATCTCGGGTTCAGCGAGAAAGATCGTAATGAGAATATCAGACGGATTGGGGAGGTGAGTAGGGAGTGATGGGGAGGAAATTGAGAGTAGGGCTGACTGGATGTTAGGTTGCGAAATTATTCGCTGATTCTTCGACTATCGCTTTGACTTCTTTCATCTCGCCGTATATCTCAGATCGAAAGATTGCGCGGGACTTGCATAGCTCGGATAAGGGTGATGCGTTACCTTTCATTGAGGTTTTCGTCGATATCCCGGTCGAGGTTGCGGAGGCTAGAGATCCAAAGGGATTGTATAAGAAGGCTCGTGCTGGGGAGATTCCAAATTTCACTGGAATTAGTGCGCCATATGAGGCTCCTGAGAACCCAGAAATCCACATCAGGAATGATCAGGTAACGGTTGAGGAAGCAGTTGCCAAGATCATGGAATATTTGTACGAGCACAAGTTGATTGAGAAGTCAGCGTCTGCATAAAGGGCTCTCGTTTTTCGGTTCAAACTTTCAAGGGTTTGGAGGGTACGCGGATAGGATTATATACATTGGCGTTGCTGTTCGATTGGTTTCCAGACGTCAGCTCATGTCATTTGAATTCGTGCTATGTGGAATACCGCATGTGACAATGCTTTCACCAACCCAATTGCGCCATTCTCTAGGGAATACCCCATGCCATCTATAAAATCTCGAACTCATAATAAACATATGCGCTGTACTCTGCGCCCTCTCCGCTAGGGCCGACACCCGCAGCCGCAATCTCTGATGACAAAGCTGAATCATCCTTGGTGACTCTGCCCTTCTTATCTCGCCCGAAAGCGTTACCTCCAAGGTATGAATATGTAGAGTCAAGTGCGTCTTTCGCCTTTTTCGCGAGTTTTGGGGTTGTCTGATGATATGTCAGTAGCTGTCGAATCATACAAAGGGTCAACAAGCAGGTGCCATACCTTGACCAAACCACAAACATAGTCAAGTGGCAACCCGTACCGCAGGACAGTTTCGACAAACACTCTCAGAGTCAAAACATGAATCCAGATCATAACAGCCTCACTCCACCCGGTCCTGCCTAACCGTAAAGCTTCGCCCCAAACTTTTCTCTCCTCTCGACTTACACGCTCGACTTCCTTGCGCTCTTCCTCTTTACCACCCTCAACATACTTATAATCTCTCGGTGTCCATTTCATTTCTCTACATTTGTGTTGAAATTCAGTGCTGAATTTCTTGAAAGTCGTGACGGTATATAAAATATATTCATCGTCCTGCGCAACTTCCACCGATGATCTTGGCACAACCATTGGTGATACGGTTTCGTAACTCTTGAGGAACTCCTTTTTGCTGTTCAATGGTACGACTACCAGGTGTGTTTCGAGGTATTCGGAGTCTTGTATCAACAGTTTGGGATCGACAACTGGCGTAAGGGACTTCGTGGAAAGATTTCCCCTATTTGCTCATTAGATTCTGAAGAGATACTATCGAATGGCAACAAACGTTTGTTTCCTTTGCAGAGCTGTAAGATTGGTTTTTACTGAATTGTATTGGGAGACTTTCGCCTTGACATCATTGTCGATACTAACAAGTTCCTGTAAGACGATGATTAACTTTGTGTATACGAGCGCTTGTTGTGGTTCCACGGACCTTCTGCAATGAATCGATAAGCTCTGCGAGGGGTTTATCGGCGCGGTATTTGACCTTGTTCCATGAAAACGTGCGTAGATATTGATCGGCAGGCTCTATTTGCAGTACTTAGTTGCAGTAAAGAAACTAATGGCAACAGAATCAACCAACTTACTGTCGTTAACAGTCTTCTGCTGGGCTATCTTTGCCTCATCGCCCTCCAGTAAGCTCTTCAGCGATTCTCCAACCTTGGCTACCACACCTTGACAGGCAGATTCGAGTTTAGAAAGGTCGTCTGCCTGCTGTACCAAAGCATCGAGAGTTCCAATCTTAAATTCGGGTATCTTGAAAGGGGCGACAACGCCATTGTTCGTTGTGACTGTCGAACGTAGCGCCGTAAGGGCTTCTTCTCTATCGTTCGTTGGCGAGATGGATGAAGGTAGCGAAACCAGCATGTACTTAGTTGAGTCGGACATTGTTGAGACAGAATATGCCTTGGCTTGTGAGGAAATTGACAGGCAATTCCCAAGAAGCTATCAAGGTGGTCTTGGGCCTGCTGAGCGACTGTAGATGTGAACGGCGGAGCTCTCATGGATCATCAAGCTTGGGAGCTCCAGCCTCGACAAGATGTGGCACGTGCACTTGTGAGTTAAGCGACTTCTTTAACATCGCTCCTTCTCCTTTAATCCAACATCATCGAGTTGTCCGATTTATCCTCCGTCTTTAATTCGGTTGAAGGAGAAACAATGGAATTCCGAGGAAAGATTCTTCTGTTCATACCTACACATCTTGTACATCCTGTACATCTTGTACCAAAAGCTTTGTTAAACTCGCCTCCTTCTGCTCTTCATGGATCCCACTCGAGTTATGGCATCCTACCCTTTTCCTTTTCAGACCTGTCTGAAGTCTGCCCAAACAAATTTGATTTTGTTAATTGCATGTATTCAAGTGAGTTCGAAGGAACTAGTATCACGCCAACCTTTAGTTCGATTGGCCCGGACAGAAATAGGGTAGCTTTCAGGTACCATGCAGCCAACCTCTTCCTACATTACTCTCTCGCTATGCTGGAATTTTTCCATTGACAATGTCCCCAATCTATATAATACTGAATCATGTTGCATGTTTCTCCGCATAGCTTCGTGTGTTATAACGTTGTTTGTTGTATTGACCTAGGTGTGGCGAAGTGTCAAGAGCCAGTCATATTAGCACACAACATGATTTACACTCAAACCTCACTCAAATTGCTCGCTCAAATTGACGGAATCATAGTGATGCTCAGTCTTGCCATAATTTGTTATTATTTTGCTTTACAGTGTTGCTTCAGTATTAAAGCTGACGTGAAAGGTGGGGACGAGGACTGCAGCCACATACGTGAATGTATATTTGCAGTATATTGAACATTCCGTCAGTGAATCAGGGGCGACGTTTCTACAAACGGCTATAAGCGGCAAGCCAGTTGTTGGCTTTAACTTCACTGTCTTGCCGCGATATCACTGTTTTGTGGCTGGTCTGTTCCCTAGGGATTGCTCTAGAACAGTCGGCCTCACCTCTGCTTCGCCAGACTACATATCCCTTCTCGAATCATCAGATCCAACCTTCGAACTCTTGACGAGTAAGATGAGCGCCGACTCATCTTGCTAAGACTTTACAATCGCATAATTCGACAGAAGTATGGCGCAAGCTATCCAGCTTCTGGATGAACGTATCATGGCGTATCGTGCCTGGCGCATGAAGAGCCAAAACCATCATCGACTCGAGCGCGCGTTCTGGTCACTCTTCTCCTTGGATTCATCGGTGCTCGATTTGGACCGACTTGTCGTCTTTTGCGCAGGAACGCGCGCGAAGTACATGTTCGGCAGAAGACAAACATTGGAACACTTTCAAAGCTTGCCAGCTTCTACAACCGCAGTTCAAGTCTGCGACAAATGCGACGAGGCCAAAGTTTGGGCAAATGTGGTCGGCGGGGATGATGCAGGTCAACGGGCTCCAGAAGACGTTTCAAGAACGCCGTGGAAAACGCCAGACTTTGGCATAACCTATCGCTATCGCCAGCATTCTCAGGAATCACTTTTACAGTTGCACTCCACCGTTGGAAGTGGGAAGCCGATCGTTTGTCCTCATTATCCATCATCCAGCTTGGGATCTTCGGATCGCAGTCCCAATACCAGCTATGAATCTTCGCGCAATAGCCCTAATACTTCTCCCCGGGAAATGGGCCATTATCTTGCCAGTTCGCCCGCTGTATCTCCCCCAAATCGGAACAAGACACCACTCAAGTCTTGTTTGAAAAAACAGATAGCAACAAAACCTGAGAAGGTAGAGCCATATGACGACACAATATTTTACAGACTGGCCATTACGAGGATCGAATCCGATCATCCAACATTTGGGCCAAACAGGCTTAATCTAGTAGTCATGAGTCCAGATTCGCCAGACTCTCCGCACACTCACAATGGACGGCCCATTATTTCGTGGGCTCAGGCCCCCGAACTGCCAAAAGATCCCCCCCGGATATTCCCTCCACGGCACAAAAGAGTTCGCTTTGATTCGAGAACATCTTTACCGCATACCAAGATTCCAGAATTGACTTGGCAGCCCACTGCCCGCCTTCCTAAGATACCCAAGCCTCCTGAGGGGTCTGTATTACCATATATTGCGACCGTCTCATATTCGCAGAACTGGAATTTTTCTCAATTCATTGTTACAACCACAGACCCAAGCGATCCAGGCGTTTGCTGGCTGCAACAGAATAACATGGCTGGCCAGGCAATTTTGCGTCCCGACATGCTCAACGTTTGCCACACAAGGCCAAATAGCGCTAAGATGAGAGCTGCAATGGCCTCTCCTTATCTAACGAAGAGACAAAAGGATGCGATTCGTGCAAATTTGGTCAAGAAGACGGTACAAAGAATACCACCATTGAGAACCAAACAGTCAACTCCGGAACAGCCAATCAGCAAATCATACGTAGGTAAGTTGTCAACTTTCTCTTCTGCGAAAAGGTCAAAGCTAACACCGTATTTAGGAGACATCAATCAAGCTTGTGCTTCTACTTTAACCAGAAAGAGCAATGGAGAGACGGTATCTACAGCCGCTGCATTAGCACCTGGGATTCGGCGAGCGAAGAACTGGCAAAAGTCAATTGAAGCTTTCGATAAACTTGAAGAGATTGCTAGTCCCACTAAGGAACCTGACGAGAGAACTATCTCTCGTACAACGGGACGAAGCAACAATCGTCGCCGAAATATCCGATCCTCAAGCAAGCCGTATCAACTTAGCCATACCAAGAGATCTTCCGATGGTTACAGACTCACGGAGAAAGAGAGAGCTAGCCAGGCTGCTGGGGCTGTTCATATTAATCCCCCAGAGCCAGCACGAAAGAAAATTGGCCAGCCAAGCCCCATGGATGGCCAGAATAAGGATACACATATCGTTGGCCAAGAGGAGGATACCCATATCGGCGAGCAGAAGGAGTTCACCAACATGTCAGAGAATACGGAGAGCATGGATACAGCTGTCGGGGGAAAGACGGAAAGTATGAATACCGTCGACATTCCGTTTGCAAGGAGCCCTTCTTCTTTCAAACCATCGTCCATATCGTTACTTTCTCGAACCGTTCGTGAGTCGCGCATGCGTGCCCCGGTGTTAAATTCTACTGGTAAGGATTGTACGTCTGTCAGCTTTGCGCTACCGCCCATTGATGAAAATTGCGCTACGCTTGTCAACAGAACCAGTAGCTCCGTCGGTTCCGGCCAGAGCAATTGTGGCAGTTCTTCAAATGCGAGGAACACATTGGTATCGTCCGAAAGCCCAGAGCCAATTTCATCTTTGGAGGACAACACGACGGATGAACATCGACCGCTGGAGAAGGCGGGAAATGCAGTGTTCACTGTGTCTAAAACCTGTAGTAAGTAGAGATGCCTCTGATAAATCCACCATTCAAATAGCTGGTCTAGAATGGGAGACAAGCTGACACAGATAATTACTACAGCAATTTTCGACTCGGGAGATGACGACTCAAGCAACGAATGGGATCCCAGCTGGTTGCTGGAGAAATCGTCCTGAACTATCACAAGGTTGAAAGATTTTTATGACCATTTACCATTATATCATTTATGGTGGCGCCGTCATGGCGCATAGGATATCACAGCGATGTTTTGTATATGGCTGGTGTATATGTACGACAAGACGACACAACAAGGTTCACTTTTTTGGAACAATTTGAGGAGGACATTTGATGATGATACCCATGCTTCTTAGCATAGCCTTGACACTATTAGGTGTTACAAGGTCGCTTTAATACTTAATTCTAATCAGTTACTTTCAAAGATTCAGGCGCTATTAGGCGTTATAGGAGACGGGGTTATGAGACCACGAGTCACGAAAAGAAATCTAGACGACAATTACAGAAGTGATACGCGATGGGTTTTGTATGGAAACTTCTATAGTAGGCTAAGGCCTCAGTAATCGATAGTTAATTTATAATTTTTTTCAGATCTGCTTTTGATTCTACCGTGACTATGCATCTCCGAACTTTGGAAACCTTTTCTTAGAGCAAGAGTTGTCACTAAAGGCATGCCTGTGAGTTTTAGACATAAGGAAACATAATGTCTACCTTCCGTCTCTATTCTTTGTCTTCCAATTCTGAATACAGCAGTAAGGAAGGAAAATGCAAAGGAGGATTCGTTGTTTATGGGATGCCAAATTCCTGAGCAAGAACAAACAGAGATCATCACAGAAAACAAACGTTGCAAAATTTGGCGATGAGTAATAGATTCTAGGAAATTCATTCCTTTCTTTTTCTTTCCAATAACTGAAGAGAATATGTATCCCTCTATTTTTGTTGCCCCCACCAATTTAGACTCGGTCTTCTAGAGGACGGGTATCAGTCTAATCCCAAAAACAATCCAAACAGCAACGCTTTTTCCTTTCTCGTAAATACAAAGTCATTACTGTCATACACACGCTCATTTTCTAGATGCGCACCAATACTTTCATGCAGCAAGATCAGCACAGCTCTTTGGATACTGCACGCTTCTCTTAATCATCGTCTTTAACTTGTCGCCATCAATCGTATGGACATAAGTGACGTTTCGAACGTTAGGAGGCTTGAAATCGCTCTGGTAAACGTGGATGTTACCGTATCGAGGAGATCCGTAGGCGGTATCAACATCAATGTAGACTATCTCACATTAGTCTTGGAAGAAGAGCAGTCGCAGTCGGAGGAAGGCAAATTACCTGTGCTAGAATTGGTGTTGATAGTTGGGTCGGCAAGCAGAGCCATGGCTGTCTCATCCCAAAATGGGAAGAAGGCTTCCGCTGCGTAGTACTTGTGCATGAGTTCCGAGTAGGGATTCTTGACTTCATACACCTCATCGAGGAACTCCTGTGTAGACATCACTTGATTGGCGACATTGCCAGCAATAACGATATCCGGGAAATCAGCCGTCAAAGCAATCTTTGAACCCTCTGGGTCGATCATAAGATTTATATCAGAGTTAATATCGGCTTGGAGGTAATCTCCAGAGGTCTGAGAGGTGTCGGTTAGCTTGTGGTTTACCACATCATAATAAATCGTGACAACGAACCTGCAGGAGATTGACATCAACATAACCACCCATGATAACCAACTCCTTTGCCAAGCTGGCGAATTGATCATCCATCCTCACAGCAAGCGCAACGTTCGTTAAAGCACCTGCACAGTATATACTCACCTGACCAGGATACTTGCGTACCTGCTCAATCATAAACGCAGCAGCATTCGTACCGGCGGCAGTGATATTCGGAAACCCCTCCACGAACGCAGCAGGAGTAATACGGTTAGGATCATCTCCAGAGGTAGGATCAGAAAAGAGCGCTTCCGCCGTCGCATTGAATTTCTTAAAAGCGCCTTCCCATGGCAAGACTCCATGTACCGATTCCCAGGCCTGGAACAGCTCAGGCGTGTTGATGATAGGGTGAGTAGCACCATAATACACGGGGATACAGCTTAAGTTGCCCACTTCGAGCGTTGCGAGCGCGTGATATGCACCTTGCTTTTGCCAGGTGTTGGCCGTTGCTACGGCCGGCGCGTTAGCTGAGGAGCACCACGATAAGTAAAGTCGGAAGCACTAACACGATGCGATACCAAGGATTTCAATCCCGGCATCGAGGGCCATGAGAAAGGGAATGAATCCTGCTGGCGACCAATCATTGTCTAGAATTGCATAACGCTTTTCTGTTGCGTTTGTTCTCGGGTTGAGAGGAGATGCTTGAATAGATCCCGAAAGAGCGAGAAAAACGCTGGCAAGTGTGGAAAACTGCATATTGATGTTTGTAGAGGAAAACAGAGAGCTGCAAGATGAATTACCGGACCTACTTGGGTATTTATACTTTATACGTGAATTTTCACTTCTAGTAGCACGATACCGTCCGTCCCCACCAGGTCCGTATGCCGAACGACGATACTTTTACATAAATGATGTTTTGGAAGGGCAATCGGCGAGATGCGAAAACGCTATCAGATTAGCTCCCGTGGCCGCGGCTCTTGATGACGTTCGAGATTGAGGTGGTTGAAGATCTCGCTGTTAATAATGGGGTTTATCGAGATACGCGGAGGCTACGTTAGTTTAAGTTAGACTCTCGATAGGCGACATGAATTGTGGAAAATGGAAAAAAAAAACTTACAAAGCCTTGACGACGGTCACAATCTTTACACAATAAAAATATGTCGCTGTATTTGAGTTTCTAATATATGTGATAGCGAAATAATGTGACTAGGGCAAACCTTAAAGTTTTGTGTTTGTAATGAGGAAACATCCGTGAAGTGGCATTATCAACAGAGAAACAGCAATTATTTATTTCTAGACAGTATGCATATAAAAGGAATGCCTTCCAGAAGGAGATGGCCAGCAGGTAATATCTTTCATTGAAGTTGTATTTCGACCGACTTCGAAAAGACCCACGTCCCAAGAATCGACGCAAGCAACGATAATACCAGTCCTGGATCCAAGACATTGGTAGAGCATGGTCAGTATATATATCAGAATAGTTTCCCTTGGTTCCATAAACTCTTTCTAGTATTGTGAGTAGAAGACTAGTGCGGCACAGTCCAAGTGCTTTTGTTGGAGGTAAACCGATCCTTCCCAGCCCCCTTTTTTTAGCGAACTCCTCGTAACTCGTATCCAAATACTCGTAAAACAACCTCACTCTCCCGTTTTCAACCAAGGTGCTGTGTCTTGACTTGTGAAACTAAATGGGCTTTTGGTCATCTCGGGCGATCGCGGACTCATCCGGACAGCGAACAGGTCATCTTCTGCGTTGTCGTCCTGCGAAGGAACATGTCCGCTCGTAACAGCATCTAGAGAGTTGATTCGACTGCCGCTAAGCGATGCGCTTTGCCTCGCCAGAAGATGATCAGGAGGGATTTGTGCGACTATCCGTGGTGGTCGAGCCGATGCACTAGCGCTGTGAAAGAGTGCAAATGAAGATACAGCTACATCGCCCATCTCCGGAGATAAAGGATGCAATGATTGATCCAATTTCGTAGACTCATTGCCTATATTCAATTAGTCGCGACAAAATCGCAGATTGATATTCGCGTACCTGTTGAAGTACTCAATTGAGCAGTGCTGGTTCCCAGCTTAAGCCCCTTAAGCTTTTCCGCTAAACGACCTCCTGAGGGGGATTTCGGACTTGTGGGGGAAATGGGATGCTGAGATTCAGGCACCACCTTTGCGCCAACGCCAAAATGCTCTTCGAGCCATTGTTTCTCTTGTATGGCCATTTCTAATCCTACTCCCTCCCCGTTTAACATCTCTACATCAATCTCTTTCTGTAGGGCAGATAACCGTTGCTTAGCATAAATTGTATGAAGCACGCCTTTCTTGCCAGCAGTTGTCGCACTCACGCCTAGCTCTGGTGGAAAGAGAGCTGGTAATGGATTTGTCTGCATCGTCCTCCCGCCCTTTTGTGCCAGCTTCACTATCCGCGGTACCGTTACTCCTGGGGTCAAGAGAAAATACAATCGATGCAGTTTTCCATCCGCGCCAGCTCTGGCTGGCAGTACTGTGCTTTTTCCCTCCCACGAAATTTCCCAATTGCCAGTGCACACTTCTGCTCCTTCTTCCTCGTCTTCCCATTCTACCATGAGTATCTTGGTTCCATCATTGCCCCTTCCAGCTTCGAACTCGAATCTCGCTAAGGCGCCGGAAGAAGACAGAGCAGGTGCCTGGTCGATGCCAGTCGCAGGATCCAAAGGTAGGATATCGGATTCGAAATGCGCTCTCGAGGGAGAGGGTAGAGACATGATCGCTGCCTATGGATCTTTGTGAGCTTTAAAGGCTGTCAGTCCATGCGGGGGTCTAGATTTGGACACAGCAAGGTGAGGCTGCGTGAGGGTGGGACTGAGTCGTGAGGGCTTTCAGGCTGCTCGGAGGCTCGGTAGTGTGGTAGGAGGAGGAAAGAGTGTGGAAGTTTAAGAAGTCGGAGCAGCCAACAAAGGTACACAGTCAGGGTCTGCGGGTACATTGGTCGAACATCGGAGCTGTGGCGGATGAGTACTTGTACACTCTTCGCCCGATACAGCTGCTGAGGCTGGGCATCACGAAGTATCTCCTCATGCTTCGGCCATCGGACTTCTACGAGGGGGTTCCAGTCCTAAGTCCTTGCGGTTGAGTCTGGGTGGACAGGCAGGAGAGCTGAGAGGCCAGCTGAGTGGACAGAGGCGAGAAAGGGAGTGGCACTTCTCGGTGCACATGTGGGATCATCAAAGGCATGAAAATTGAACTTTGATGAGTTTGCCTGGCTGATCCAATGAAGTGCCGTCCGGCTCCATGGAATGGCTGCACAGCACCAGTCACTCTGCCCGCGCAGGGCTGGAACTGCTGCTAAGAATAGAATAGAACACGCATTGGCCTTCTGGAAGGGGAAAGGCGGATTACGACCACGATATGGTGGGATTGGGAGGTCGACTCGTGCATCTGGTGGCTAAGTCACGAAGCTGCTCATCAAGCGAATGAGGCGTGATACAAAGCAAATTATGATCTTTTGTCTTGGTTTAAAACGTCAATTATAATTGCCAAAGGTTAAGTTCTGACTCTCGATATTGAAGATATAAATAGATTCAACACTGCGTTGGCGAACGAATGAAGTAAGACATCCGCGGGGTATTGGGCCGAAGCGAAAAGTGGGGGGGTCTTGGAGGGGCAATTTCATAGTTTTTATTGTTTTGTTTACGCTAAACAATATTAATGGGAATCTGATATAGACTTGGGGATTCTCCGTAGCTATAATTGATAAGCATGTATCAATATGTTCGCAAGGCGGGTTCGGTGTTGACAAAAACTTGACATACACCTTAACACGGAATGATGTTGCGGATAGAGTCAAGATCATGAGCTCTGACACCTGCCAAATTTGGGCCAATCCCAATAGAGAACATGGTATTATCATTAAACTCAAGTTTCTCTAGGTACATTTTGTCTCTAGCTACGAAGTCTTATTGTGGATTTGCGTGCCGTCAACTCAATGTATGGCCCTTCAAATTCTCGGCTAATCATTTACGGCCTGGAGCGAGTGAGACTATTCCATAAGCTTCAAGCGGGAACGTAGCCTGGACAATTGTCAGCCTCTCGTGACATTGTCGTCGGAAATTTTACACGTACTTAAAGAGTTATTGTGTGTATCAGCTGAATTGTATGCCGCTATATTTCGGGAAATCAATTTCAGCCGTTACCGCCATTTGTGAATATCGCTGCTCAGACCGCCGAGTCAAAAAATATTTCTTTCTAAGTCCTGATCCGAAGCCCTAAATGTACAGTTGGACATTAGATGGGTTCAAACTCGATTCACTACTCTTTGTTATCATCCTCTTCGTTTTCATCATCCTCGTCCTCTTCCTCTTCATCGTCCTCCTCATCGTCCTCCTCGTCAATGCCTTCTTCTTCCGTGTTTTCTTCCTCACCCTCGGTCTCATTTTCGTCCTGCTCATCATCGTCTCCTTCTTCATCGTCTTCGTCTTCGTTGTCTTCTTCTTCTTCTTCATCGTCTTCTCCTTCATCCTCCTCAGTTTCACCTCCTGTCTTTCCAAGCGATAATGACTCTAATAATCCCATCGCACTTGACGCACCCGTTGCAAGTTCGGCAGCGCTGACACCATTAGGGCCCATCTTCTTGAGGATCTCCGTAATACCCGCCATAACCACTGGAGAGGAAGCCATCTTGAGTATTTGATCCATACCAACTGTTTGACCATCTTTGATCGATTCATATAGAATCGTAAATTCTTTGGATTTAAATGCCTTCAAAATGACGTTTGGAACTTTCTGATCGCCATCTTCTTGATCATCAAAGTCTTCGTCCTGGTCGTCTTCATCGTCGTTATCCTCGGCGTTGCTCTCCTCATTCTCTTGGTTCTCTTCTCCCTCGCTTTCCTCATTTCCAGCCATTATTGACTTTACCAGAGAACAGCAATCGGATATATGAATTCAACGGTCGAAATTGTCCCAGGTCTAGTTAATTCGCTGAGAGACGGTAAGTGAAATTCTCAGGTTGAGACTGTGAGATGAAGCGTAAAAGTCGTAGATGAATTTGTTTATCCAGAGACGAAGACGAATTCTCATAGATAACTAAATACCTGAACAGTCGAATTAGAAGCTGACGGGTATTGGGGTATTGTCAGCCTCTTCCCCGGCTAGGGTTCTAATGGGAGTGAAAGAACACTAGTCTTCTACGCACCCGATCTGTCATCGCTCGGTTATTGAGATGTCAGACATAGTGAATGATGAGTCTCTTAAATTCATCAAAACGTGCCCTGAGAAACGTGTGCTATCATACGTACTGAGGCTATTTTCGCCCTCTTTCATATGATAATCAAAACATAAATCTAATTTAGTAATCATGTCAACTGCTTAGAAAGAGTTGTTGACGTTCACCAGTGCATTGTAAGACTGACAGGATTCCCTCCAAAACGAGATCTAACGCTCCTTCCTCGAGAAAGAGATACTTAATCTTTTTTGAAAGGACAATAATGTGTAATTACTTAAAAGGAGTGAGTGACTAGAGCTTTTTGTGAGATCATCGTAACACTAATGCAAGTAGCTTTTCCGTCAGATTTGGAACGCACTGGGGGTCGCTTCCTGGTGAGAGAACAACGAAAGTCGGTTCTGGATACAACACATTATTTCTTGTTGTCTATTGATGTAGCGATCCAGTCACCAGGCCGCTTGCATTACATTAATCAAACGCTTCCAGCTGAGAGCAATATGGCCAAGCGTTAGTCAGAAAGGTGCAGATTTCCACAGATGAGAGAAAGATCAATTTTACAACATTCTCTCATTTCTGTACAGCTTCTAAATCTGTGCAATTTCGTGTAGAGAAAAAAACTCCATTTTCGATTAATGCTAGATTTTGAAGTAGGGAAATGAGAAACCCGATACTTACCAAATTCATCCAAGACACACTGACATGAAGCCCCTCAAAACTGCAAGTAGATAAGATAATCCTTTGCCTGATTGTACTGAAAATTATGTTGTTTAGTATACATTTACCATCTTGTGTTTTTTCCTAACATGGAAGCCAAATTTCCGTTCATCATTAGAATTGTGCTCAATTTACCTTTTTCTAGTGTTTGCCCATTGTTTATGGTTTTTCTCGAGCATAATGATTCAATGTTCACATTCAATGTTCACTTGTAGTCGACTTTAATATAGCTTAATAAACAATTTATGTGAAGGACCATAACAAACACTATGTACCTAACCGTGAACCGGAACTGGAAACCAACTAAACGCGACTGCGTGAACATACTTAGTCTAGGAGAGAACTCTAATCGAATTTCTTCTATTTAAGAAACCACTTCTGCCACTAGAAAGAGAAATCTTATTCCAAGAATAACACTTTATGACAACTCAATCTTTGAACCAAATCTCCTGATTACAACCTCAAGACAAGACGTCAAGACACAATCCAACATCAACAATGGGTAAAGCTCGCCGTAAAACACACAGAGCTCGGAAAGGCCCTATAAGTCGACCAAAGCCCAAGGCTCCACCGAAATCAACACGCGTTCTTCGGAGTGCCTCAAAACCGGATCCACGATCGAGATCAAGACCCAGTCCTAAGGATACTCAGCTTGACACATGCTATCTTATTAAAAGAATCCCAGTTGAGCTACAAGACATGATATTAGTCGAATTCTTCAAAGATGTTCAAATTCGTCGAGAAAAAAAGTACAAGTCAGCAGGCAGAGGCCGGGAAAGTGGTTCCGAGAACACAAGTATAGTGAGAACTTGCCGGTACATGGGACTGCAAGCGACCAAGATAATGTACAACAACCTCACCATGACCAGCGGTTCACTCGCCTGGCTGGCTCGTCCTCTGTCGGTCGTACCCGCAAAGATGATTTCGCAGTTGCGATATATTGAATATGACACAGGGGGACTTGTAACGAATCCTGGATATCTACTACAAAGGGGTTTGAAACTGAAAAGATTGACTATCAACAACTTGAATGATGATCTTCAATTTCATGTCAGTTATCCCCAAGTGTCCCTGCAGTGGGCTGCGATGAAAGATTGGAAAGAACTGGAAATTATATGCAGTGCAAAAAGGATGTCCAGACGTCCATGCTCGTTCGCACGTGTACAACCTCGACACGACTGGGCCAACAACCGAAATACATACCCAGACTGTTGGAATCGATTTCTCGACTTTCCTTGTTCGCTCACAATGTTGTATGAGGATGAATCCTCGCACGCCAAAGCCGACGATCCTTTGATTAAAGTAACGCACGACGGAAAACCAGGAGGCCCTTTCAAGACTGAGACTGGGGAGTCCATTTGGCCCAACTGGTCAGGGATGGGTGTTGTGCATATCATTGTCAAACGACATGGTGATTGAGCAGACTTGCACAATAGGAGTTGGATACTTGTGCCGCAGAGGCAGAACGGTGGACAACAGATCGTGTTTAGCAACATGAATTTAAAGTCCAGATGGGGAGCATTTTCACAGTGGCGGCCATGTTAACGATTTTACGAACACTTTGTATACAATCTTCTGACCGCTTTCCATTTTGTGCGCAGGAAAACTGTTAGAAAACACAAAGAATATAGAGAATCTCTAGGTAGCCAAATATCACATGAACACACAAACTTAAACACTTTCCTCTAACCCATATTCCTTCATCATTTTCTCCACAGCAGTCTGGCCGACTAAGTATGCTGTTGATTGTGTGTGATTGCTAGTAAATGTTAGTTTCGACAAGTTTCAAGCGAACAGTAGTACACTTACCTCACCAAGAAAGGCATGACACTCAAATCGACAACTCTGAGGTTCTTAATGCCACGAAGCCGGAAATCAGTATCTGTAGAAGCAGTGGTATCGTCAGGCTTCCCCATCTTGACTGTACTGCACATGTGCCAGGAACTCGCTAAACAGCCAGAAGCGTAATCCTAAATCACACTAATCAGAAAACGTATCTGGAGATAGAAAAGTCGAAATAAGAATTTACTAACCCAGATTTCTTCATCGCTTCTGCCCTTTGGTACACCGACCATCTGTACGGTATCCTTTTTCAAAACTGGCGCCTCGAGTAATTTCCACATCTCTCGCAGCGCCTCGATAATCACTCTTCTGTCAAAAGGATGGTTTGCAAGATTTGGTTGGATAATTGGATTGGCAGATGGGTCTGCAGATCTCAGCGTAACTGAACCGGTTGCTTGCGGGTTCATGATGAAGGCAAGAGCACAAAGGTAGGCATCGTTGGGCTTGAGTTCGTAGTCTCCCAAATAAAGTGGTGGGATGTGCTAGCATTTTTTAGCGAAATACTTTCCAAAATGGGGAGAAATACATACAGTTGCGATCTCGAAGTGCGGAACTGTCGCCCCATTGATTCTTTCTTGCTCTGCCTTATCAAGTGACTTAAATTCCTCGCTATTGAGAATCGCGTCGCTCTTGAAAAAGCCCATCGGAGTGCTGCAATACATACTATTCAACACACCAGACTTGTCTATGGCATGCTGCTCTCTTAGCTTTTTCACTCCTTCAACATCACCTTCATGAATCATGCGGTCATTCGTTCCTTCCTTTAGAATAAGCGTACTGCCGACGAAAGAGTGATCTTGAAGATTCTGTCCAATTTGAGACATCTCGTGGATGACTGGAATGTTGTGTTTTTCCAGCTCTGAGCGTGGCCCAATACCGGAGAGCAGGAGAAGCTGAGGAGTGTTCAGTGCACCAGCGGAAAGAATAACTTCCTTGTTGGCGTATATTTGGCGGCCATTTATAGTCAAGATTCCCTTTGCCGTTTTTGACTCATCGACGATAACTTTGTGTATTGGTGCATCAGTCATGATCGTCAGGTTCGAAGGCGGATCTTTTAAGAAAACAGCGGCTGTTGTACGAGCTCCGGCATACATGCAACCAGCACCCATTCCCATACCAATCGGATTCCCGCTATTGACTTCCAGAACTATGAGTAAATTGTACAAATGAGCTCAAAAGGTTACTCACCATCTTTGTTAAGTGGCATTCCAACTTCCTCTGCCGCAATAAATACATTCTCTAGTCCCTTTTCCCATGGATCTGCGTAACTCAGATGAAGTGGCCCAGAGGTTCCGTGATCTACATCAAATCAGCAGTGCATTTGTGTAAAATTTTGGTAATACAACCTTCAGGCTTCGGGTCAATGAACTTCCTATGCTCCTCTCTAACTTCAGTATGGTAGGTCGTTATCTTCTTAATCCTCTCTTTCACTCCGTCTTTCCCGTCCCATTTCCACGCATCGTCCCCAGTCATATCAGCCCATGCATCATAATCGTCACTAGAACCCAAAATCCAACAGCTGAAGTTAATAGCAGAGCTTCCACCCAAACCCTTTCCCCTAGAATAATCGACCTCTTGGCCTTTCAGATGAGTCTGGGGGGCCGTTTTGTAACCCCAGTTCAGGGATGGCTGCGAAAAAGCCAGAGAAAACCGGTCTGCGGGTACCGTGTACTCCACATTGTCATTGACCGAGCCTGCTTCGATGAGTAGAACTGATGGCTTTTTACTGGTGCGAGCAAGTCCAGATGCAAGGACTGAGCCAGAGGGACCGGCTTTGAAGATTAGCGAGGTAATTGGCTACGGATGGGGAATACTACCTCCTACGATGACAAAATCGTATTCCTCTCGGATTGAACCCATGATGGTACGTTTGGGATAGGGAGTTGAAATTTTATTGAAACAGAAGCTTGATTTCGATACTTTGAATAACTGGGTGTCTGGTTTCCTGTTTGCTGCAAATTTCGAATGAGAGGTGGTGTGCAATCCGGTTTTGAAGTTGAGTATTTTCGGATTTCCACCTATATAATCAAACACCATTAGTACTGGTTAGAGTTCATAACACTGATTCAAGAGACTCAATATTGGTTGTAACACTATAAGAAGCCTCCAGTCTTTCTAGAATGTCAAAGAAACAACTCACTTCGCAGAAAGCACACTTGGTAAGTTCGTATTATCCAAAAGGGTTGGTAGTTCGCCGCACTCTGCTTTCTCAATACTCTCAGATACAATCGAGAAACACAGTAACCGTCAACCATATATATATCCCCTTCTACAAATAGCAGTGCGGAACCAACGCGGGGGAGCTGATATCGAACTAGGATCTCGTTAGTGAGGGGTACGATCCTTTAGCTCCGCGCCACGGTACCACAGGAGATTCGGGAACTGGAATCGGTTGGTTCGCAAAGGGTGTTTATGAATGACAATTCCCAAGATTGTGGCTTGAGATTGGTCCAGACAAATAATAACAATGACTTTTAACTTTGCTCCATTGGATACCGATGGGTTGTTTTCAACAAAGTCGGACACTTGGCTGGGAGGCCCAAGAGTAATTCTTACACTGTGTCACCGAGAGTGAATGCAAATAGAGGACTTATCTTTCGGGTAAAGGTAAGGTTACAGTATGTATCCTGCAAAGCTGTGGCTCAATTGATTATGCATAAATGTGCGAGGAAAACCAATCTGTGCGAGCTTCGCGCCGTTGACCTGCTCAAAGTTCAAACCAGACAGCCCCGGATATGGGCTTTCTTGGGGCGATCAGACTTCGTCTGGGATTCTACACGTCTTTTTCCTTTTCTGGTGCATAATTCGAGGTTATACGATTGGCTATACGACTGGCTATACCAAGTTCACAACCATTCGCTTAACTTCAAGAACAAATCTCACATAAGCCACTGGACATCACCGAATTATTTTAGGAGCATAAAATTGGCTTGAGCTTGCTGAAACAAGTCGTAAATCAAATCAACAGTCAAGCTTTTGTGTGCTTCGGGTATCAGGAGGTTGGTTCGAAAACGGTCGGTTTCTGTGAGATTCAACCATCACTAGCATAACAGATGACGCATGATGTTACAAGCGTAATGCTATTGGAAATTCTGCCACAGGTACAATTGATAGATAAAATAAAGAAAATGACACTTATGTTTCACATCAAACTTAGCTTCCTTTCCACTAATAGACTCTTTAGTTTTATCCTAACTCTATGTGTAATTGACATCAACTTCTGTCGTCAAGAGAGGGTAGAAGTCATCGAGTATAATATATAATCCCCCTCACTTCCAACTAATTGTCATAGAAGCTTGTTTTTGAACACTATTCTGCTGTTGGTATTGTTGATATCATGTCGTAGAAGCGTGCCGTGAGTGCAGACGCTTCACAAGGTGTGCACTTTGGCCTTTTCGTCCTCCTGTTGTAGGTACACTTCGGTATTGCTCACTCCATGGGAGCAATTGGAAGCCAATTACCATTCCTCGTGAGTCTCTTCATGAGATTCCATAACCATCAGATCAACAACGTGGCATTTCGATTTTTCGTCGCCGACGGGTAGCTCTGAGTCCTTGGCCAACCAGTACAACATTGCTGGCTCAGAAACCTTGGTATCTAAACAAGCTTTGTGCCGTCAGCAATTCGTCTCTTACTCAAATAATCACGTACCAAGCCAGCTACTCCAGATGGGATTATCGTGAGTCAATTTACCCCCAGTAACGTTGAAGTCATCCTTATGCCAAGCAAGTTCTGGTCCCCATTCAATGCTTGGAAATAGTCAGCAGCCACTCTGCCTTCATGCTTTATTCCAAATACTAACAGTTGAATAGCAAGAGGAAGTTGCACGGGCAATCTCAATTCCATGGAGAAAGATTCTAACCAGCTGGGATCTGCGAACATTTGTCGTGAGTCGTCTTCGTCAAACCATGACCATTCTTCGGGTTTCTTGACGAGTGCTACAGGATTGGCAAAATGAGTATTTTGGAGAGTTCCGACTGTAGATTAGGTAAGTCTCTGCAACAACATCAATTTTGGTGGACAATACCAAATAATGTGTTGATATCGTCACTTTTGTCTGAAGCTGCACCAACTACCTTCGCCTGAAGATGATAGTATGTCCTGGTAACAGGGTCTTTTGCTTTCGCAACAGAGGTATATCCCAGGACAAGGAAGCCGAAAACCGTGAATAACCTGACCATCATGGATTGCAGAATGTGGGTCGAGTCAAAACAGGAATGAATAAGTGACTTTGTGGTTTAATCTATAACGGTCCTGTGGAATCGGAACGAGTCGATTCGATAACTTTGAAGTTCCTAACAATGTATGGTTTTTCAAAATTGTGTGGATCTGATACAAAAAGGTGACATAGTCTGCTCGCAATGTTCGTAAGTCGCGAGGTATCTTGGTCGAGATGGAAGGTGCGATCGGTGCGACGAGTCAACGAGTCGACCCCTTTGACCCATATGCACCTCTTTTTTCAGTTTCGAGAGATTTACATTATATATATGAACAGACGTTGCTTATTTACTGGTACAAATAACAATCGACAGAATACGTTGTTATCTATTCTGCTTTCTGGTTCCAGCTTGAACAGTCACTCAACCACTCTCATCTTCGGTAAAATCCAATCTCCATTTCCATCATACAGTGCGATGATTCAACAGCATCTGTTGCAGTAGACGTGGCTAATGTGCACGAGTTCGACTGGCCGCATGAATACGTTCTGTATCGACACTTATCAACATCAATCTATTCAACAACGATTCTCAGTAAGTGACACTTACCCCATGATTTAAGTCTCAATTAGGTCTTTGATTAATCTTGTGTGAAAACGACGAGGACATCATCTCGCTCACTAAAAAGCCCTAGTAACCGACCTACACCAGTATGGTATATATATTTGTATCAGTAGCAAAACAGTTAGTGAAGACAAGGTACCATCCCAAAAGGAAACGGCTGGGGGGACCAAGACATAATACATCAAGTTTACAAAACTGCCTCCAGTGAAGATCTTTACTCGAAGCCCAAAGCTCCATCAATCAATCAGGTACTTCAATATAAGCATCAACAAACAATCTGCCGACTCGGCTAAGATCATTTTCAGCTAAGTAGAAAACTTCAGGCCATCCAGAAACAGGTCTACTTCTTCGATTCCATTTAATTGAGGGCGGTAGATAGCAGATGGCCACTAGTCCTTATAAACCACGTCTCTTCAACTTGGTATAGGAGGAGCGAAGATGGTGTGTTTATTCGAATGTGCTCCAACACATGTAGTCACAATGTGGATGCCAGTTGGAGTGGTCAAACTTGAAGAGCGACTGGACGAGGAGAAATCAGTTTGTACTGCATGATTGTTGGATCCATTTACTAAACCCTGAAAACCCTCAGATATATACAAACATCTTGAACTTTCTCATGATTCAAACTCAGATATTTATAACTGCTTGTACCTCAACTCGTAACAAAAGTTACATTATCCATCTTCACCAAAACTAAATCCAATGTTACAGAGGCACAGACTCTCTCTTTCAATTTAGAAATCACTTATTTCCATTTCTATATGTTCCTGGTGCACCAATGCGCATAATAATCTGTCTTCATACCGTCATTCTGCACCCCAAAGAGTGCTCGTTAAAGCAAGTCTCTGAAATCTGCACACGACACTTCATTCTCAATGTTCGCCGGGGAGTATACATTTCCTAATGATCAGTCTAGATATTAGGGAATATTTTAGTCCAGACCACGCTTTCGTAGACTGTCCATATCACTCTCAAATCCGTAATGACGAAGTGCTGGAATTTCCACAACAACTCGCTTAGCGGTGTTGAAAACCCCAAAGTACATATATATGAGAGGAAATAACTTCAACCTCATCTATATTTAAAAATTCACAGCCACCAACAAAGAATGGACCATCAGCAAATGTTTCTTCAAGTTGATCATTTCCGTTAAAACTCCAAAAGCGGCCCAACCCTCCTATAGTCAGTCAGTGATCTACTGATTTCTCACTTTCTTCCTATCCTTACAATACCCGCTCATAACAAATTTCAACCCCTCATTCTCCTGTCTGTAGACTCTTCAAATAGGGCTATTACTTCCACCCAGATACTACACCACAAAATAACCCACTATTCCTAGACCTATCTCACCCACGGTTGACAGTGGATAATTAAATCCCATCTTCTAGTAGAAAGAACTGATTAGTTTGACATCTTCGCAAGCTATTCCTAACGTCATAGAATTTAAAGCTATCTCTGACTTGGCTGGAAAGATGTGCCATTACAACGACTCACTACTGCTATCCACGAAGATAGGAAGTTCGTCGAGTTATACTACGTAACGGATTGATAGTACTTCGTAAGGGGGGAAAATTTCGTGGCTGGAAGGTGATGTGTTGTAGAATCATAAGTTTCCATAGACGTTCTTTTACTGCTCAATACACATTGCCAACCAAATTTAAAATAATTTAGTAAGCTTTCATGTGTCTTATATAAAACACACAAAATGCTTTAGTCAAGTACTTATAAAAGGGCAAGAGCATATGTAATTTTGTAGATCCAGTCCAGTAAGTATCAAACGTCACGTATTTAGGCAAGGGAGAAAGGTGGTGAACGAAAGGTAGCTTCATTTCAAACTGTCAACGGACAACTTCAATCACAGAATCAAAAGTCTGCCCTCAGCAAAAGACCAAAACAAACAAATCCCTTTCCCAACCCCTCCCATGCACACCATCAACCTCCCTAAACCCAACCCCATCAGGGATACGCGCATAAGAGATTCGGCACCCCGCATCCCCAAAAAGCGCCGAGGACGCCTTCCCCGCAGGAAGTGCCGAAAAATCCGTCGTGCGACCAACCACGCTACCCCATCCACCCTAAGTTTCTAGAGATGAGCGACTAAGGTACTCTATGTATGTAATAGCTTATAGGTTCCTTGTTTCTTCTCGACGTAAATGGTTTCCTTGGGTCTGCTTGCGGTGATATGAGAGATGATTCGTATGTGTTATAGCATTTCTAAACTGCCTGTTCTGGGATGAAAGCTCGTCTTGCTTGGAGGATACAATAGAATGTGATCTACATCTCGTATTCATTTCGTGAATATGATCTGAGATATTCTTCTCCTGGTCAACGACGCAAGCAGAACGACAGATAGAGAGACTAGCTCGGGCCAACTCGGTCGCGTGCAGCTCGTTGAACACGATAGAATCATTTAGGCAAAATTTGAAGCAATGCTCCTTGAACACAGTTCTTGTTCATTTTGTGGTGCAGACATCAGTAGGCATTGCCATCAGGGCCAAGAAATCTCTCACGTTGAACCAAAAGACAGATTCTACTGTCGTCACACAATGTAGCGTATTCAGCAACACTGTGTCGCACTGAAGGGTGTTAACCCGAAGTTTCAGGATTGTGTTTTTGTCTCTTGCATATGACCGTCGGAAGTTCCCCGCAAACGAGTTTAGGAGTGGCGATATAGAACGCTTTCTTAGTACGACCACTCGACCCATGCTGGTCTGTCTGGTCAGCGGAATTGCGAATAGACATACAGTACGATTGCGAACACCAAGAATCCAGGAGTCTTGTGCATTTGAATGAACCCCACGTATGCGTGGTGATGAACTTCGCACTCTGATTGTTGCCGCCTAATAAGCTGAGAGGGTGAATGATAGCGGACCCGGTACATCCGCGAGACGTGATCGAATGGATGATGACGGTCACTAAGCTCAAGTACATCGCAGATGTGTGTTTGTTCATGGGTACAGTTCACATCCATGTTGCTTATCGCCAACCACCAACTCGACCCTCATCCCATCTCTGTTTCCGTTCTTGACGTGAGTAATAAAGTTTCTTTGCTTCGCGGTATCTTCTGACCCATTCAACGACCTCTTTATCAGAAGCAGTACCGCCATCACCTTCAAGAAAGCTCTCCTCTAGAGCCCGACATACATTCTCTTGCTCTTGGACACTTTGATTTAGCATCTGATACAGTGATATGGGGGCAAAGGGCGCTAGCGCACGATCCATTTCTGATTGCTTTTGCTTCCATTGTCGTTCCAGGGCATGGGTCGATAGTAACTGCGCTTGAGTAGATGACCTCAAGTGGGAGAGACGTGCTTCTAGCTCGTTCAGATGTGATGCGAGAGCCACGTTCTCATCCAGAGCAGCTTGCAAGGGTTCTTGAGCAGCAGCAACGGATGGATGAGCAGTGGAAGTTGAGTGAGCCAACGCAGCAAGAAGATCAGGCTTTGCCAAGACGTCTGCGAGGTCGTGCTTACTAGAGAGAACTTAGTCAAGAGCCAAAGAGCAGAAGCGGAAGGGAACCTACGACTTATCCTCGAGAATCTTGGGCAGCCATTGGTCGCCAGGATCCGGTATTTGGTCTATATTCGTGACTTCGGTATTGAATCGGCCCTGTTGCGAGGAGGACTGGGGATCTTCAAGGCCGCGTCCGTAAGTGCCGAAGTTCGCCTGCTGTGGTGGCAGAGGGGGAGGAGGCAGGGGTTGGGAACCCGCCGGTGTACTACGACGACTGACCTCTTGACTGTTCGGCTTGGGTGGAGGTGCAGGAGGACCGTTTGGTGCGTAAGATTGTGAATGGCGATGTGGTTGGTAAGAAGGAAATGCGGGCGAGGATGACATGTCTGCTGCAAGTAGTGAGAGCGCAAAGAGGATCTGTATTGAGGTAGTGATGTGCGCAATGGGCGTAGAATCCGAATGTGAGGCTGGGAATTGAGAGGAGTGGTGAGTGACGAGACCACCAAGTGCAATAACGTCAAGGCGAAGACCGGATTGTAGACTAGTGAGTGGGTATTATCCGTGAGCTTTAGAAAGTAAAGCGAAGCGTCGGGAAGTCGAGAAGAATAATTGCTAGACAAATATGAATTATAGCATGCCGTCTACGTACTCAGAGAATAAGTGCTTGACGGATGCATTGCATTCTAGGTTAACGTGAAGTGTCTCGAACCAAGACAGAAGCGATAACACGTGACCGATTGCAGCTCCAAATTCTGTGTTAGCACGTGATAGCCAGATAGCGACGATAGTGGCAACCCGCCAAAACGCCAAAACAATATCAGATCTATTCTCTGGCCGAGTCAACATCACAAGCAAGAGCCAGAATACTGACTCGGTCTCATCAGCAGAGGCCGTCAGTTCGCGATCTTGTGCCACTTGACACGTCTTGCAGCGGTGATCGAGGCCTCTCGTCGTGCATTTCGCAATATCAACAGCAAACAACATATTTGAGCCTCACCAGCAACACACCAACACCATCAGATACCGTCACTAAATTATCCTATCGGTGGCTCTTTGCTGGCGCACAAGCGCAGTGGATGCTGTTCGCTGACTGCTGGCCCGAATGAGGATCCCTCTGATTTCATACTCCAATCCAAAGTATCCAACTCCATCTCAGCTCCACCTCCATCGATCCGCAACACTTTCCACGTTGTTCAACTCCAAGGCAAGACTTGCGGCTCGCGGGCCTCGCCCTCGATCGTCCTTCCGCTGCACAACTCTTGGCTTTCTTAGTCGTCCAATTCAAGCTTCACAATCATCAAGCGGCTTGGGGTCCCGCCCTAAAGCAGTAATGCGCCGAGAAGGGTCCGGACAGGACGTTTGCTTTCGGTCGTTTACGACTCTGCCGCCGACGATCTCAGATTTCCTCAACGAAAAAGCACCAGAGACATCCATGGGACTGTTGGAGCTCAAACAGCCAACCAGTAGTAGTTGCACCATCCAAACAATTCGCGTCGAATCCGAGCTGTCGACGGCTCTCTGCGTATCAGTGCTTGGAAGGACCTGGAGGTAGCACACGCAATATGCTGATCGCTCAAGCACGGCGCCGCAACAGCTCCAGCTTTTTTCGTCTTGCAGCAACACCACTGGCAATGGCATCACGACCCCAGAGTCCACGCTGTAATCTCCCTCCGCATTCTGCTGTGGGGTTGGGCTTCAAGCGCGGTGGATGTACTCGATACTAGGTGGGGGTTCTACACAGGCTACACGACTGCCCACAACACAATAGTACTCCGTCTGTTTAAGTCATTCTTTGACGTGGATGAACGATGGTGGCTTCAACTCCTCATCTGATGTTGTATGAGTAGATCGACTTGTTTCTCTGAACGCTCTTGTACTCCGCCGTCAAATGACTAAAGTACAGCACCGCACAGCAAGAAGGGAATGCAAATGTTTATACATGCACAGGCACAGGTACAGGCAGGCAAAACATCGACGGACTATCCAATGGCGCGTCATTTTATATGACCTACATCTGCTTGAAGAGCCTGGTCTGTACTGAGGGTGTGTGGTGAGCAGTTGGCTGGTAAGTCTTACTTTTTCCTGTACAAACCTGGACCGGAGTCACTAGCTATGTTGGTTGTATCTTCGTGTGAAGTATAGGGTGTTTGTACCATCGAATGTGCGACTCGCTACTTGTTCGAAGAGCAAACTCGGGAGTGTTGCAAATTTCACCAGCTTCCAGGCTGCTTCATCGCCATATCTCACTCCCCTTCATCCCCGGATTCGATGATCTGTTCTCTCCAGAACTCCACAGAAATGATGTACTTACTCCCCACAACGTGCAAACTACCTTAACCTACAGTAGAGGACCCAGTGAAAGAAGCCTAGAACTGGCAGTGTGATACCGCCGGTCAGTCTGAAGTGACTTGATAGCTACGTCTTCCGGCAGTTCCAAACGCTCTCCCAAGTCAGGAGTTTCGCATTCTTCTCGTGCGTCTGCTTTGCGTATCCTCCCAGGTTGAAAGCGTCCAATTCTGTGGTGATATTGGTTGTGGTCTAATCATGGACACTCGGCGATATTATGTTAAGTTGGTCAGGTCTGAAGATCCACTCGATGGTCTTGTTTGCAGTGTTAAGCATTTACCCAGCATCCGGGTCGTTTCTGCCATATGAGACGGATGAGTGTTGTATTTTACCGGTCTGCTCCCACCCCCTCTGGCCCTGGGGAGTACATGAGAAGGAGAAAGCGGTATGTACGGGTACGCAGCTCACTGAGACTGACGCAGCGATGCAAGGTTGAGGAGTGCAGGAGTGCAGAATTGGGGAGTTTGGACTCTTGGTGCAAGCCCGCCGGATCGAAAGCGACGAGGTATGGAGCCGTACACGGTCAGTCGGTCAGTCGGTCAGTCAGTCAGTATTTGGCCGGAGAGAGACGGTAGTTGAGGCGAGGAGAGATATGAGGAAGAATTGCTTGCGTTTTTGTTTGCGCCGCACACGTACTACGAAGTACGAAGGGAGTGGAAGTTGGAATGCTCAGGACACTTGAGTTTATCTCTCGTCGCCACCGGGGAGCTGGGACCCTTAATGAAGAGGAGCGACAGATATTCAGTCGGGATCAAGCCTCAAGGACGTGGTACGAGAGGTAAAGAAGGGGATATCCCTAATTGCTCGGTATCTTCCTATCTGTGATTCTGTGATAGAATGTCGATTATCATGAATTTTATAATCTACTTGGAATAAAACTACACGTAGTCCCAATTATCTTCCTATCAGTATCCTCAATTTCTCCGTTGGGTCTTCTACGGCGAATAATTGTGTCTAGTTCTCCATCCCTTTCTCACTCCTCTGAGTCCTCTTCCTCTCCCACTCACTCCCTCTCACCCTCCACCACTGGCTGCTGCTGCACTATCCGGCCGCCAGTTCCCCACACTGGAATAAGGCCGAAGCGAATCAGGGCGGGCGGGCCGACTCCACGACTCCACCTCCAGGCTCACTCTCCCACCCTGCGGCGCCGAGGACACCACCGTCGTTCTCGACTCCAGTCTCCAGACCTCCACTGCTTTGTCTCAGACGCAGCGTTGCAGCAAGCAAGTACCAGCGACCGCCGCCCAACTCGCTTCTACCACCGCCTACCACCACATTTTCAACCTCAACCTGCACAACTCTACCCGCGACTAACCTACCAGGCACGAATTTCTTCCGCCCACGACCAACTCCTCCTCCATATCGATTGAGAGACCCCCACGACCATTCTCTCCCCTCCTCTCCAACTCAAGATCGATATCGAGACAGAACATGCGAACCACGATCCCGTAGAAATCGTGACGGAAACCCACCTGTCCCATCCCGATATCTCTTGTGTCCCGGCCAGTCTCCCACCAGCACCACCACCAGCACCACCACCACCACCACCATCTCACAACCTCAAAGAAACACGAACCTCGAAACACCCGGAAGTCACGCTCTTTACCCTCTCCTCCTCCGACGGCCTTTCTCTCGTTCTCACTCCACCGAAGTGAACCTCACTCGCTCACCTCTTTAGCCACGCTTGCTACCGCGGCCCTCCAATACGTCGAGTCCTCACCTACCCAATTCGTCCTCCTCAACACCACAATGCTTGCGTGAGCGCAGATCGTGCGACGACCTCGACTCCAGACGTAAACGTTACCTTGAGTGCCATTGAAGCCTGCCAGACCATCCTTTCGTGGAGCGCGTCGTCCTTCGCGACTTGATATGCTTGATGATCCTCGAACTATTTCCTTTCTGTGACCGAAGGGCATAAGGGCCTCGCGCAGAAACCATGGACCCTCTCCACATCACCGAGTTCGCCTCGGAGCGATACTTTAGTAAATTAAGACAGTTAGATGGTCAGGCAGAGCCTGCGGCGGCGACGGCATCGTCGACGACGAATGTTCCTGAACTACCTGCGGCCCTACGAGCACCCACTTTCACTCTCCCCCTTCGTCGACAACGAAGTGCGGAATCCGACAATGCTGCTCCTGCTCTCCGACCGAGCGATCAGAAGAAGAGATCGCTAGGACACGACCTGACCCCATTGCGGACTCAACGCCGTCCTATTCTTGGTGGGGGACTGGGGGCATTGCGATCGAAAATCAGCGTCACACAGAAACCCATATCCGTGGGTGAGCATCAACAAGCGATCTTGGCCGCTGATCCCACTGCTGCAACCAGGTACGTTTGTTTGAGTATATATATATACTGCCTAGCTAATCTTTCCGGCAAGTTTAAACCTCAGTGAACTCTTCCTGACGCTTCCTGCTGAACTTCAAGCCCAAATCATCGCACCGCTTCCGATACATGCAGTCCTTAACCTTCGTTTAGTCTCAAAAACGTTTCACGCGCTAGTGACTCTCAATGAGTCTCCAATTGCGCGATATCACATCGCTAACAGTCTGCCCAAGTACACCTTGAAACTGTACCCAGTCCCAGACCCTCAATTTATTAACCTCCATTATCTTTGCGGGATATGGCACCGCCTACAGGTAGCGTTGAAGTTGTCAACCATGATAACTCAACAAGCCACCAAGGAGTTATTTTCACGGACAACGGAAGCTGCCCGACTCGAGTTCGAACCACAGAGTCAACGGATGTGTAAACGCTTGACACCTCTCGTCTTCGCCCTTTTCCATTTCTTTGAAACGTATCGAGATCTACATGTCAAGCACCTGACATACGGTGGCGTTCCACTCCGAATGCAGGCCTTCACATTGAATCCGATCGAGACACAGGTCATGGCCATGTACGATGACCACACATTGCTCAAAGTACACCAAGTATTTCCTTTAATCCTCTCATCAATATCTCGCCGATTACGACCCCCATCCTACGCTGGACGAATCGAGCGTTCTATCAAAGGTTATCTCAAAGACCGGCCCGCCGATGAAGTTTACTCTTCTATAGTGCTCGTTGGTGGCCTTCGCCAAGCTCAAAGATTCTGGGAGAAGAAGGGATATAACATTCGAAGAGAGGCGGTCGACGTTTGGTATAGTTACATCACTAAAACTCCTGTCGAAGCTCCACCTCCCAAATCCAAGATGGCTCGACTTGCTACATTTGGACGAAAGAAGACGCAGCCTGTCGTGGATACCTCGAGTTCCGAAAAGATCGGGCATGAGTCAGAGACTTGTAAAGAATGGTTTTGTGTGAAGTCAGCATGTCTCGCCGCTCGTAGACGGCATTCCACAGACAATCTCGTCTTTCATAGCAGCCTTGCTGCTGGTCCACCCATGGGTCCTTTGACCCGAGAGCAACTTCGCCAACTCCTTCCAGATCAACAAGATCTGAAGAACATCTGGGTGCTGACGGCTGAGGCTTTAATACTGCAGAGAAAGATCGTCTCAAGACCACAGGACATCAAACGCAACCACATGGTCCTACTCGAGCTTATCGGCCCCGATGGACCAGAGGTTGACGAATTTACACCAGCACCACCACGCGAGGGTGATGCACTACAGCAAGAAGGCATGGGCGGCGATGGAGGGGTTTCTGATTGAATCAGCCTCCCACGGTGCATGTTTTGTGAACGAATGCAGCATTTCCAGGCGTTATCTGAGCGGATATCAACACGTGCTTTCCCAGTTTAAACCTAATTTATCGCTCACACACACGGCAGGTATTGTACGAAGGGGGGTTCGATCTCGACAAAAAAAAGAGATTTTTTTTACATTATGGAAGAACAGTGCTACTGCTACATAAGGGGTTCCGGGGCGTTTGGGAGGATGGATTATACAAAGTGGGATAGGATCGGCCTTTCCCGCTGTTGACTTTTTCATTTGTTCACGTTTTGAAATCGATATTCTTGCAGCATTTTATCGAGCCTGGGGAAATCATTGCGCCTTTGTTTAGGGATTTTTTGGGGGGCCCGGTGGGCTTATAGATGGGGAAATTCTCTCTTTGATCTTATTGACAACAAGGATGGGATTTGTTTTTTTCTTTCCAAGAGATGGAAATGATTCATGGAGTTTTTTATATATGGTGGGGAATATATTTTGTGTGTGTGTTTTTTTGTGAGATAAGGGTGGTTGTGGTGGGGGGAGGGAGGTGAGAGGGGAGAATGTAGTTAGGGGGTGAATAAAAAAGATTATATTATTTTGACTATACTTGCTTACGTGTTTGGAGCTGTGACTGTGTTATATGGTTGGAATTGACAAGGTCGATTTCGTGAATAGAGGGAATGAAAAGTGGGGCATGACAACTACCTGCCGGCTCGACATGCAAATTTCTTTCTCATCTCATTGGGATCTTGATGACGAGTTTGTAGTAAGATGAAAGACTTGACGAGGAAGAGGAATGTAAATATTTCTAGCCGCGGCAGTTGGTATGGTAGGTGAGAGAAGCCAAAGTTTAGCAAGGAAAAGAGTGAGAACGGTGGATGTATGGAGTAGTCGACGCGCGTAATAGTGAGCAGGGCGAAGGAGAGTAGGACCCACTTGAGGATTGACTATTTGGATGTGGGTAGGTGATGGTTGAGAGTTGGGTTCTAGGTCGAAATGGAGGAATGGTTTGAGGGTGATGGGGTGTTTGTAACTTTGTGTTTTGTTCGGAAAGGTAGGTGGGATATTGTGGGATATTTGATGGGGGGCGGGGGGGGGGGGGAGGTGGAAGATTTAGAGAAGAGGATGATGGTGAAATTTTATTTTCTCTGATATTGGAAACATGAAATTAAATCTGGATGTTCTAGTTAGAATGGAAGTAGGTATGTACCTTTGAATCTCGGGAAGTGAGGGATGAATGAACATAGTTGGTTGTTTTATAATAGGAATCCCCTCATGAATTCTTACCACTTGCCTAGTCGTCCCCACTCTATGGCACTTGTTCCCTTCGACTGCAACCCAACCTCCTATGAGAACTTCATCCAGGGACAGGTACAATCACCAGAAATCTAACTCGTCGCGATGTAGATGAGCTTGAAAAAGGACTTGGGTATTTCAGGGATATGAGGAATGTACCACACCCAAGTATTGAAAGGTGCGGATTAAGTGTCTTGCTTGCGATATATGATAATGAAGATATTAATGGTTACGTGCAATAAGAATAGTTTTAGTGACTTAAACGTATAAAACGTACATATATATTACATCCGCAGGCAGATACTAATTTCCCCATTATATCATCACTATCCTCCACCTCATCTCCTCACTACAGACACATTTGCCAGGATTACTAACAGGGTGGTACAGCGCAAAATCGCAATCTGGTCTAGTAGTACTAAGATGGACTTGCAGTTAGTGATACCGCGTCGTTGTATTCGAGACTATACTGAGCATGAGAAACGTGACTACTTTACTAGTCTAGCGAAGGTCTGATATGTCGCCGATTATTTTCACTTTTCATCGTCGAGTAGGCGGCTTACTCTCACCAATACATTTCACACTTCACCTAAAACGTAATTACACTCAATCGAATCCACCATTCCATTCCAGATACACGTACTTGAACTACTTAAGTACAGAACCCCCATAGCCCCACACGAATCTATACCTAAATCCACAACTATCCCCCCACTCCCCCTCCCCATCACTATATCCATATGCCCCCCTTCTCATCCAAATATCCTCACGTTGAATCTCCCATCATTTAAACACCCCTACGAACTCCCCGCAAAGAAAATCGAAACAGAGAGAGTAAAAGATAAGATCCGAACAAAACGCCATTCCATGTCCCGCATCTCCAAGACCCTCAGAAAAAGCCTGGAGACTATAATTACCGAAACTCAGCTCCAATGCAACTACAATTCCCCAATTTTCCCCGACGCTGTATGGAATTCAAATATACTCTTAACGAATCTTTGGAGAAAAACTTCGCTTGCTTGGAACTCCCCATCCAACAAAAAACAATTATATCATGGAGAAATTTCGAACCATGGAAGAAAGGGGTATCAGTTTTAAACAAAACGCTCTCATCGTCGACCCATGCCCCGAAGTAACTGCTCCCTCATCTCGTGCTCGGTATCAAATGCGTTTCCGAGACTACCACCCGATCGTCCATATGCAGAATGTGTGTTGTGGCCTGAACCCCCAGTCCCTCGAGATACTCTTAAGAGATCTGCTGCGCTGGTATCGTAGCCACTGAGACCTGTGCTATTCGCCGTGCTGTAAAGTCCAGATGTACTACCGGTCGATCGAGATTGGTTGTTAGTCGTATTGTTGCCACCACCCATGCCCACACTCATTCCTTGTCCATAGCCTCCCAAGGAAGCGGTGGTTCCGCTTCCACTATGACCAAGCGATTCAAGAGTTGGCAGATCCATGTAAGAAGAATCAGAGAATTGATTGTAATGTGTCGATGGAGCTTGAGCGTGTGATCTAGCGGTTGAATAGGAGGAAGTGCCCTGTGCCATTGAATGTGTAGCTGGAGTCCTGTACGGATTTTCAGCCTGCGTAAAGGCAGGCGAAGGTTGTGCCAAATTGTGCGCATTCGTGGTTCGATAATTCGACTCTGTCTGAGCAAAGGAGGGTGAAGGCTGAGCAATATGTGGGCTGGCAGTTCTATATGTCTCTGCAGCGGAGAATTGAGGTGAGGCTTGTGCTGCCATACTATTTTGAGACATTGTGTTCTGCGCCAGAGTATGAGAGCTATTAGCCAGAGTGTGGGAGCTATTAGCCAGAGTGTGGCTGCTGTTAGCCAGAGTGTGACTGCTGTTAGTTCTATAATTGTTACTATTGGCGTTACTAAGCTGCGGCGACGAAGATTGCGTATTGTACAACTGTGAGGTTTGGTGGGAAGGATATTGCTGATTATATGAAGATGTGCTTTGACTACGTTGACCATAGTAGTTCGATGGAGCCCTCGTGGTTGCATCCTGGGATACTTTCGAATCACTACGTTGAGTATTCTGCTGTACCCCTTGGGATTTTTGCTGTTGCATCTGTTGGGGTATTGTAGGTGTGGTCTGCTGTGGTGGGAGGGTCGTAGTCTTAGAGTGCTGCCTTACGTGTTGCTGTTGCTGCTGCTGCGGCTGAGATACTGTCGGGGTATTGCTTCGTCCATTCTGTTGTTGGGACAAACTTGCAAACCTCTCGTAGTGTGCCTCTAAACCTTCCGCTGGAGGACGTGTGACTGGTACACTTTGTTGTATACTCTGCTGTGAAGATGTCCCTTGGGAGTCCGGTATCGTGCTCGGGGGTATTTTCGGCGTTGGGACGCTCACAACAGAAGCAGTTTGAGTCCGAGACGGAGGCTCAACAGCAGGAGCAGCTGGTGCTTTAGGCTTACGTTGCCGTTGTCTTTTGGGTGGTGGAGGAGCTGTAGCAGCAGAAGCTTGTTTAGGAGTATTATCTACCGAGGATGCCCATTGCATAGAGTCTTTAGCAATGTTCATCACAAGCTCGTTATTAGCATTTGATAATGCACCATTCTCCGCCGTCTGTAGAGGGCTCTGCTGCACTTGTTGCATCGATTGAACTTGCTGAGTCTGCTGTGGTATCTGCTTCAATTGCTGAGGAGCTTGCTGCGGTTGAGTTTGCAATTGCTGTTGTTGGACCTGAGGGCTAGCTTGTGTTGCATAACTCATTGAACCAGTGATAGGCTTTGGTGGTGGAATTGGAGTGACCTTTGGTTTTGCAGGAACCCTCTTCCGTTTCACGCCACCTTCTGCTGGACCTTTCGTGGACACAACTGGCGAGGGTAAAGCACCTACAGGATTTACAGCATTCATACCTTCAGTTCCATGAACTCTGAATGCTTCGAGCACTGCACGTTCTTCGGGACTCAACTCGTCGGGTACCATATTTGCTGATTGCATGTTATTCTTCTGGGGATGATTTTGCCATGACTGGTCTGGGAATTGTTGAAGCTGTGCACTCTTGGGAGCGGCCTGGTTATTTATTGCTGGATGAAATCCGCTTTGATTCTGATCTTGACCAGACGCGTGCAATGCCGCACCTGCCATTTCTTGCGCCTGATTCGCCTGGCCCTCTGTCGAGGCGTTCCCGCCATTTGTATCTCCAGTAGCCACACCGTTGTAGTCACCTTGAGCATCGCCTTTCATTTTCTTATTCGTAGATCCTTTTGGCCGTCCCCTCCCTCTTCGTTTATTACTCGCAGACGCCGCGTTATTCTGTGCCTCCGTCGCCCCCGGTTGGACAGGTGTATTGGGAGCAAATTGCTGATCTGGCTGCTTCTCTGGTCCACCGTTATTGGTCTCTGTCTGCATCGGCCGATCAGGCACATTCGGAGCTTGAGGATTTGCTTCCGCTAAGTTTGTTGGGAGCCCCCAGGCTGGCGCAGAGATAGCCGGGCCGTATCCATACCCGTTTCTCGAGTTTGGTTCCTCATCAGGTGTTGGCGCTGCTGCATTAGACGAGGAGACTTGGTGCCCTATTGAGGGCCGACTCTTCTTCTTTCCCATTTCTGGTGCTTTCATGATCTCTGGACTAGGAGCCGTCACATTAGGAAATATCTCTGCTAGCCATCCTATGAACAATGCGCCAGTCTCTCTCGTATTGGCGCTCTCAGGGAAAATGCCATCTTCTGGAGGAGGCGCTCCTGGTATTCCACCAAAGTATGCCACCGCTTTACATATCTGGTCGACCACTGTAACAGGATTGATACTTCGTAGTAACGTCAATAATCGAGCTTGCTCGGATTTCGTCTCGTCTGGGGCCAGCGGCCTCGCCTGCCGCTTGTCATCTCTGGCAAAAGGGGAACCGCGATTCGTGTTTCGGGAAGCTTCATTCAAGGTCGCCTCGAGTCCTCGTTTCTTCGGTGGTATATATTTCTCCTGTTGCGCTGCCTTAGCCCTTGATGCGGTATTCTCGCTGGTCCTTCTGGCCGCAGCGTCTCGCTCTGCAGCGGCATCTTTGCCCAGAACCTCGTGGTTTTTGACCCCAGCCATATGCATGACGCCAAAATTGCCCTTCTTGGTGTCCGTCTTTCCTTTCAGTTTACTGGGAACAGGATTCCTTACCCGTCCATCTTTGTTTGGGCCTAGAATGCCTTCGATAATTGACTTCGATGACAGCTCGACCATCTCGAGCGGGCCGGCTCCGATCAACGAGGAATTGACCCCGTCGAGTCCTCCTGACAGAGGGGTATTCCGCGGAGGCAGAATCGCGGGTCGAGGGTCGACATTCTGGCCAGAAGCAGGGCGAGAGGCCTGCGCCGCCATCGCCGGTGAGTTGGTGAAGTCGTGATGCAGGCGGGATGTGAAGCAAGAATTAGAAGTATGGTGCTCGTCAATGGTCGCGTATGGACAAGCGTGGTCGTGGACGGGGACGTGGGCTCTGGCGCGTTCTCGATCTCGACAAATTGGATGGAAAGAAACTGGCCAAAAGACACATCTGAATCTCTGATCCCGTCGCTAGAGAAGCGCGCTCTGCGGCAACTACCATCGACGTCGCGAGCTCGTTGGCATCGCCATCTTTTGGCACAGATGTTGCTTCTGGGAGGTGTTGTCTTGCGACCGCACGCGGGCAATCAGCTTCCTTCTCGCACCGCTTATTCGCACCGCTTAACGCCTCGACACCCAATCGAGGCGGCCAGAATCCTGTCTCGCGGTGTTGCTCGATCACCGCGGCGTCTATCAATAAGTCAAAGTTACGTTCTTCACTACCTTTGAGACTTTATGAATAGAGGAAATATACCACAGGTTTGAGCGGGCTTTCCTGGCATCACACCCATTGTGCAATTACATCTCACGAACGACTCGCTCTCGAATTACTGTTGAATTGGAGTGCTCTAACGTGGCGCAAGTCAGCCATCCAATGCCCTCCCTATGAATCCCGTCTCTGCGTATCACGAAAATCTCGGCACTGGAGCCAATGGCTAATTGTACAAAGTGTGTCATCTCTACTTTCCATAGGCTGACTTTGCATACATCGGCCCAACCATCGACCAGAACCATAACGTGACTTATATCTGACCCACGACCTGCGCGACCCATGTCGCGGCCCCTATTTATACACGCAATACTTGGAAAAGAAGATTTCGCCGCTATTTCATGGTTTGATACTCCATAGATCGTGCGTCCATCCTTTGCTCCGCAGTTTCTTGCTTCTCGACCCCGCCGATTTCTTATCCGAAGAGAGTATGAGCAGCTGCTTGCTCGCCGATGCGAAGGCTTCCACAAGCTCTTGCAGTCTGCCAGTCTTCTCGAAGAGCACTAGAACATCTGATCCCTCCTTTGCAATCTCCGCGGAGAGATCCATGCAGCTAAGAAGAAAGTCCCGCGTGAGCTTTTTGCCTGCAAACTCAAGGACATTGATATATGCGAGTATCGTCTCCGGGAGATATGCCTCTCGGAGGAGTGTGAACTCTGCCATATCATTATCTGTAAATTTCAAACCGAGTTAGAAAGGTCCCAATGGATGGAAACTGGCGAGCCGAGTATTGTACATACCATTTGGTGCCGTAAGAAGCCATCCATCAAGGAGCTTGGGAATTACTGATAGGCATTGTTTCATGGTGTCGGCTAAGCCACTTTTAAAGTGCTTTTTTTCCGCGAAGCTCTGCGTCCTAGAACGTATTAGCGCATATGAAAAGGGACTGGCAAGTGGCTACTCACTCATCCATCAAAGTATACAAGCTATTAGCAGTCTCGATACTATCAAGGGAGGTAACGAAAGCCTCAAAATCGCGGTAATTCCTTGCCTCTCGCACCATGTATGCTTTCAGCTCCCTCATTTGACCAGCCGAGCCGTCCAGAATCTCGGTCAAATCTTCATCATTTTCGTTTTGGTTTTCCAGATCCTCAAATTTATTGTAGCGCCGACCTAACAGAGCTTGTGTTTTATGGATGACGACATCATTGCTGTGTACTTTCAAAAGTAATGTCATCGCAGCACGTAGATGGCCATGTTCTAAAATCGATTAGCTGACGTGTGAAATGTAGATTTGAAGGCATACTGAAAAACCGCAAGTAAAGCATAGTCCCAATCTCGAATGTCTCACTCCAGAGGCCGTCGATAAGGAGGTACCATTCGAGACTCCGGATAAGCAGTAGATCAGGGCGTGGGATATCTTCCGTCTCGTCACCGAAGAAGTCCGGAATAATCTCACGACGCCCATTGTCCCCAGTACGAAGCAATTGGAAACTTCGCGTAGCGGGGTAATCTCTGGTGGTATCTGAAAAATCTTGAAACAAGTATTGTGCCTGCATTCGAACAAATTGTTGCACGTCTAGACCGAGCTCCCTTATGAGGCGAATTTGCGTGACTCGTTGCTCCCTATCTGTAATATCGATGAGATTCCTACTGAGAGTCGCGTATTTTCTGTTCCCTGAAAGTTGGGAACAATAGAGAGGAATTAGTTCCTCCTTGCCAGAGAATCTCAGAAAGCTGATATACGCAACAATAACATTTTCCACGGCAGTTTGGGTCCATATGCCCCCTAGATCGACGTCCAGGCTCATGAAAACAAGGAGTACATGGGCGAAGACTCTTAGACTATCATGGTCATCAAGAGCAACATATTTATTAGCGTTGTCTGGCTCGATGGTTTCAGCTGGAATGAGGTTCGATCGTGACTTGGCGTTTGCAAACTTAGACAGTGCAAGACCTTGTTGATGGATGAATGTCTGGAAATCATTCGCAACCAAGACTCCCTGAAGCATCTTCATTGGTTGAGACATTTCCTTTTTCGTTCGCGGATCATTGCCCACTATTTCAATAAGTCTCTTTCCAGATGAGTGTGACTCACCATGCTTCTGCACAGCATCAGAAATACCAAAAGAACCGACAGTAGCAGCAATGGAGTTATCGTGGAAGATTCTCTGAAGATAATGGTCGAATTGCGTTCGTAGAAGGGCGTTGTAATGTGCAAAGATGAAATCGTCAAAAGTGCGGCAGACAGGCTCAACACTCCCACTATCACCACTCAATATTCCATAAACCGCACACTCGTACTCATCAGTGACTTCATTATGAGCCAAAGCGTAACACATCCGTCTCCACAGAATCCAGGATTCTGGGTCCAGGCCCTCCTCGTTCTCCTCATCCAATTGCTCATCGGGAAGTCCAGCCATGCTCACAGCTCTCCACACCTGGCTCCGCTCGACGCACCATTCACGAACATCGCTCTGGCTTCGTCCCCGACGCAGCATTTCATAACATCCCAACCACACGGCGCGCTCAAAGTATTGATCTTCAGGTTGTATGGCTCTGCCTTGTCTCGTGACCGCGTCGGGGTCAAGTTGCGTGACCAACAACTCTGTTCCAGCAGTGTTCATAAGAGCTGACGCTACGCCTGAACTTGGATCGATTGTTTCTTTGGCAGCTTTTAGGCGCTTCACGTTCTTGATCTGCAGATTTGTGTGTAGCCACCCATGAGCTATCATATCCCCTCTGTCAGCATTGTGCTGCAGTTCTTGAACCATTTCATCGATATCTTCGCCAGATTCGTCCGCAGCATCTTTGAGCCAATCAAGAACGGTTTTGCGCTCAATGGCAAGTTCATCGGTCGCAAGAAAGTCTTCCCAAAGTTCCTTCGCAGTAGAGTATTTGTTGACAGGAGTTGCTTGGGGCTTTTCAGTCTGGGGTTGAAGATACCGTAGTCGGACAAGTCGCGCGAGTAAATCCCAAGTTTGAGCTTCTTGCTCCCATCGTTGCATGTCATCTACAGTCGTATGTCCCAACTTTTCGGAAAACTCCTCTTCGTCAGATTCCTCCGAATCTATCTCGTCGGTTTCTTGAGTAATCTTGATACCGCGCATCTTCTTTCTCCAAGCTTTGCCATTCTTCTTCCGATGATCTGCTGCGTGCTGTTCTCGCAGTCGACCCAGAGTTTCTTTAGCAATTGCATGGTACTGATCAATAAGCTCGATAGTTCGAGCATGCCTCTCTTCCTTCTCTGTTACACGGAGTGGATTATAACCATCTAAGACCTCAGCGAATTTCTCCACCTCGCGACCAACTCGATTTGCAGCTTCGCGAAGGGGATGTAATATGTCTTCGTGATCTTCTGAACCTTGAAGTTGGAGCTGCCTGCCATGATCTGGAATCCCTGTCAGTTGGGCACACTACACGATGAGTTGGGTTTCCCTACAGCCATTTTCTTCTTCGCCAGACATCATCGCATCTTCACCATAGGACGATGCTGGATCCACGGAGACTTCTCGTGTTGAGTCCAGTCGCTAAACCAAACGTCAGTAGGCGTAAGAGACCAAAAATTCGGATACCTGCGTCAACGTATTGCCAGCTTGCTTCGCGATACTGCTACAGAACATGAAAATTAGTAGATTCAGAAGACGCGGAATGCGAAAGCTTACCTCTTTAGGAGGCCGTAAACCTTCTGACATTGCAAGAGGGATTGAGCTTGCGCGCCCACTCCTTGTCATGGGCGCCATGATTAAGTTGCTGTCGTGTATACCGAAAACCCTCTATGCGGTTGCAAGCGCGTTGCGTTTATCTCTGTCACTGCTTGCGATGAGGCTCCATCCAGTAAATAAAGCTTCGAAGCGCAAGGTACACGCTACGCGCCGAACGCTAGCGAGATTCTTAGCGCGTAGCCGCGATTGTCCGAGTATTTGTGCAAATCTCCTCTTCGAAACTTCTTTTGAAAAATATTGAATACGGCCTTCTAATTAGAGTCTCGCACGCAGCCATCAATGCTTCACTGCGCGCTCATGATCGCCAAGAGCAACTCGACTCTTCTTGTTTAACGTTCTCGGACCTTTTGGAATGATGGCGGACAATAAACTTGGAGTGTCACATTTCAGTCATAAAAACTACTATCGACCCGATCGTCTCCACGCCGACACCATACACTACACTACGCACGAAGCATGAAAGCATTGCTCAATTCGTAAATTTGGGAGTGATGCAACCCGTTCTAGCCAGCAGCAGGTATATACAATATCAGTACCAAGACCCTGTCTATTTCTTTTTCGACGATTCTTCCGCCCTCTGCTTCATCTTCAACCTCAATAGGCTTGCTTGTGGGCAATTTACATTTTTCGCCTCGTCTCCATTGCGCTCGTAAAATGAATTGCAACACTCATACAAAGCATCCACCTGGGACTGACATTTGGCTTCATTGTAAGAATTTTTCGCGAGACAGTCTACAGGTCATTAGAAAGTTGGTTTTACACATCATCCATTGAAGCTTGGAGTTGCACATCGTCGTGCAATCCTATGCGCTGTGAGATGTGATTGGCAGACCTTGAATTGCACACTGAAGTTCAGTTAGTTTGCAACATGCGGCGTAAGTGTAAGTGACAAAACGTACCGCTTTTGAGTGGCATACGCCAGATTCGTCTTGGGCAGTCTAAAGGAACCAACGTCAGGATTTTGCTATGCAGTGGATGTGGTTCGGAGTACCATCGTCAACTGACCCTTCCGAGTCAATGCTTTGCCAAATGTAGTTTAATAAGAGCCCTTAAATTGGCACTTTCTGATGAATTCCTCAAACGTGTAGCCGGTATACATCAACACCGAGTGGCAATCGCCAAAGCTGAAGACTGTTGGTGTCACCTCCGAAGCATGACGCTTCCAGAAGGCTCCGCTCATTCGCTAGCGCCATCCAACGCCAAATTCCCAAGCCCAAGTCAGCGCGTGAATTCTACTCCCTCCACCCCACCATCCACATCTTTCCACACACTTTGAGACCGCACCCAACACCACACTTCGTGATAACACCTTTGAAGTCCGAGTTCGACAGATCGCATTTCTCCAGTAACGAAAAAGAACCTTCAGGTAAGTCCACAAGGCTCCTTACCATTTCTCTACGGCAACTTTCTTACAAACGAGATAGGCAACATCACGAAGCCTCGTTATCAAAACTACTTTCGCCGCCACGCAAGATGTCCGGTAACGATGAGAACGGAAGCCCTGGAGCGCAAGAGAAGCCAGAAGGCACTGGACAGTCCGAGCATCTCAATATCAAAGTCACCGACAACAACAACGAGGTATTCTTCAAGATTAAGAGAACAACGGCCCTGAAGAAATTGATGGATGCCTTCTGCGACAGGCAAGGTAAAGCACCATCATCTGTTCGTTTTCTGTTTGATGGTAGCCGTGTCGCACCCACCGATAGTCCGGAAACCGTAAGTCATACTTTGAGGTCTCTTTTCACCCATTTTCATGGCCCTGCCCCTCCTGCCTCTCATTGCACAACTCGTATCGGATTGTATTATTGGAAGCGAGGCTGACCATGACATGAAGCTTGATATGCAAGACGGTGACACTCTTGAAGTTCATCAAGAACAGATCGGTGGCGCCAACTAAACCCTCCTTCAACTACGACGAAACGTGAAACGTGCGCATGGGACCTAGATTTGGTGAAACGGAACTTTCATGGCTTGTAGCTATGCACATCAATGGATATGGGGGGTTGGGTTTATTGCAGGGTATTACTCGGGCGTGCGGGGTGGACTCGTTCCTAAAGGTTGTGTTCGAGACTACCTTTCATGTCCGTCGCGATCTTGCAATATTTGAGGATTTTATACAGCAGGTTACCCTTCCATAGGAGTTAAGGAGTCAATATCATGAAAAGTATTGCCTAAAGCTCTAAAGCTTGGCCCAGAAGGCTGGTAAACCTCGAGCAATATTTGCTATCCGCATCATGAGTATGCGATCTGAAAGAACTCGTCCAAAGTAATGGAGTGAAAGTCACAAAAGTCATTCTTCAACACAAATCTCTAAATCGCTAAATTGCTATAAAAAAATACAACTTTCAAAGCACAATATCACCATCTTCGGCGATTGGAGCGACACTGGGCTGGACAAACGGGAGTAGCTCACAGCATCAGTTAGCCTAGCCAATCGCCACGCGTATACCCCACATGCACTCCGCAATCCACCCTTAGGACGAGGCATAAGACGGAGGTCATGCTGCATGATTGTTATAGCAGTGCCGAATTTGTCTCTGCATATCCCAGTTTCCCTTCCTTCTTTTCATTTCCTCTCAAAGAAACGCGAATACTAATTTACCTTTCCAAGAGAAGCGAAAAAGACTTCTTTCTGCCGGCCGGACGGAACCTATGTAAGTGCAAGTATTCACTCTGCAGCTCTAATGATTGTTGGATTTCAGAGAGCTCGTGACTGACTCGCTGTCAGCTTTTACGTATTTTCCCTCCTCACCCATTCTTTTCTGTACCAGATCACGAGGATGGCAGAACCTAAAGGTACTCAGTGTTCGAAATTAAGCTGATCTAATTACTAAATGTCAATACTAGCCCTCGAGACAACTCTCACGAAGCTCTCCCTCAACCCGACACCTTCCAAGTCTTCTTCCTCGTTTGCGAAGAAACAGAAAGCAGCACCAGCAGATTCCTGGGAAGAAGAAGCTGAGACCTCGGGTTCTGATACCGAAGGACCACTTTCTCCCCAGCAATCGAACGATTATCCATCTGCGCCTCCTCCTACCCCGATTTCCCCAAGTCATAGTCGAAATCAAGGCTTCGAGAACCCATATGGATACACCGACGGGGCCAGCGAGCGGACAGAAGGAAGAAATGCTAGAAGCGATGGTAGAAGACCGGAGAAGACGGATGCGGTTGCGAAACGTCTGATTGCTGGTGCGCTTGGAGTTAGGGCCCCGAAAAGAACGGAGGAGCAGAAGGCATATGACAAGGCTGCGAGAGAGAAGGAGACCAAGCGACGAGAAAAGGAAAAGGCAGATGCTGCGAAGGCAGAATTGGAGAAAGAAAAGGCTAAGGCTGCTGTCTGGGAGGATTGATTGGGTCGACTCTTATGGGAAGGACATCTGATATTGCATCTGAAAGGCGTCGGTTATGGTCTGGGCATTATATTTGAGGAGTGATTTGAGGCTGTTGGGCTGACTGATCTTGGGAAATGTTTGGCATGAAGTAGCCTTTATGGCCATGCTATGTTGAATGATCGCAACAATTTATGTGGTAAGTGTTAAAACATAACGAGTTGAATGGGTATATACAACTGTTACGGTAGCAGGTGCCTCACTCAGCAATGTACCGTTATACAACGTCAATTTATGTTGTAATTGTTACTCTACCGGCATTGGCTGCTTGTTTCCTACTGGCATGTGGTGAGTTTTATAAGCAGTACAGTCCCAGAGTTCATTAAATTACCTAGGAAGCATGTCAGGCAAGTTACCACATGCCAACTACATCTTACCACTTACCACAATTTACCATACTTTGTCCCTTATTCTTGGCTACTCCAAGTGTGGATTAAAGATGGCGATCATTTCATCATTCTGGACCTCGGTAGATCTCATTCAATACCTAAGAACCGAAACCTGTCAACTTTATTCCTCTCCTAGGACAACAACAATGAGGCCCTACCAAGCTCATCGATTTCGACAATTGTACTCCTTACCTTGAAAGTACAATTGCTTAATGTGACAACATCAAAATAATTCTACCTCGGGATCAGATACCCCCACCAAGGGCACGTGCTAACCCCGGATTCATACTGGTTTATTCCCGGCTCTATTTTGGTCCCCTTGTCGATAGACTCAAAGACGCAATAAATTTCTCAAGTTGAGATTTATCTGCGAAGTACAATTCTCATATTTTACATTTTTCGACTCAATCTCTCACATACATTGTCTCATATTCTCATACAAGATCTACAGTTCACTTTTTTATTTGAGAAATGCTTCGGCATACGGTACTGCGGGGTCGTCCCGTAGGTGGAGCCATCAGAAAGAGAGACTTTGGAAGTACCAAAAGGAGATTGGGATATGAGGATACCATAGAAAATTTGAGGATAGGAAAAGATACTAGAGTTATTTTCCAGGGGTTTACAGGTTTGGAATATCTAACGCAGTCCACTTGTTTTTTCTCAATCGCTGACTTAATTTGGTTTTTTTTAGGAAGACAAGTAAGTAGGGAAGGAAGATGAAGTGCTACGTGCGTGAAAGAGTCTCTGATAGAGTGTAGGCCACGGCGAACGCAAAAGAATCTCTGGCATGGGGGACGAATATAGTGGGCGGTGTGACGCCAGGGAAGGATGGCGAACATTTGGGTAAACCAGTTTTACCTACCGTCAGAGAGGTAATCCTCTCCAAAATTGGTTTCAGTCATTGTGGTCACTTATTGATTACAGGCAATGAAACAATTGAAGCCGGACGCCACAGGAATCTACGTGGCAGCTCATCAGGCTCCTGCTGCGATAGAAGAGGCCATTGAAGCGGAAGTTCCATTAATCGTTGCTGTTGCGGAGCACATTCCTATTCATGATATTATGCGAGTACGTTTTCTCTAGTTGTTCTACAACACTTCATTTAGGAAGTAGAGGACAAGTCAAGATGAATGCTAATTGTGACAGATACATTCTATTTTGAAAACTCAGTCGAAATCGAGACTTGTAGGTGCGAATGCCCCAGGTATAATATCTGCAATTGGAAAATGCAGAATTGGCTTCCAACCATTACCTTGTTTTATGCCTGGGCGGGTAGGTATCGTAGCCAAATCTGGGACTTTGAGTTATGAAGGTAGAGTGTGTATATCATAGGCTCCAAGTGGTCACTGACATCCAACAGCGGTTGCATCTACAACTAGAGCGGGACTTGGACAAAGTCTTTGCATAGGAATGGGAGGGGACGTACTCGCAGGAACCAACTTTGTAGATGCACTCAAGATTTTTGAAAATGACGAGGACACCAAAGGGATAGTGCTAATCGGTGAAATTGGTGGGTGGGCTGAGATTGAAGCAGCGGATTGGATTAAAGATTATCGAAAACGAAATTCAAACCCAAAGTAAGGCTCGAGAAGTCATAACACCAGATCGAAAGTAATAGTTGACTTTTCTAAGGCCCATATCAGCTCTTATTGGGGGTGTTAATGCTGCTCCTGGCCGTGTTATGGGACACGCAGGAGCTTTCACCTTGCCAGGAGAGCCAGATGCTCTGATGAAGATAAAAGCGTTGGAGCAAGCTGGGGTTACTGTGGTCAACCATCCTGAGAAATTTGGAGATGCGATGAAAACTTTGTTGGGAAGTTCAGGACGAGCGAGCAGTGGATCGAGTGCAACGGGCTCTCAGAGAAGAGGAATGCATACTATGAGATCTCGTCCAACCAGAGAAGTTCTGACAAAGATTTCGAGCCAGAAAAGATCACTCCATATCAGAGAAAATTTAGCGCTCGATCTTCTGCGAGAAAAGGGTATAAATGCCTCAGAATACTCCGGTACAGGACGAAGACGGATGCTCGCAGTGGGTGTCGACCGAAGTGGCAGATCCCCTTGCATCATTGCCTCGCCAGCTTCAATTCCAGAAAATCCACACAAAGAATCCAAAAGATTTCTATTCGATTACAGGAGGGGATTTGATCCCATCCGAGCAGCAGCAGTTGCCGAGCACTTACATCTTGCGGAATCGGCAAAGGAGTCGTTACCAAAATTGATCAACGGATTGATCGACCTGTTTAAGAAAAAAGAAGCTTTGATTTTAGAAACACTTTTCGTCGAGAGATTAGGAGATCTAAAAGTTGTAGGTGCGAATTTCACATTTGACGATGCTGCATTTCGCAGTACGAAACGTCAAGCCGATATCCACGCACTCCGTCGCATCGAAGACGAAGATCCTCAAGAGGTTGAAGCAGAGGAAGACGGTATCGTATACATCAAATTCGCAGGAGATGGAAACATTGGCACATTGGTCAATGGGGCAGGTCTTGCCATGAACACAGTAGACGCTCTTGCAGATGCGGGAGGTAAAGCGGCGAATTTTCTGGATACAGGCGGGAAGGCTACAAGTGAAACTGTGAAAAAGAGCTTCCAGGTCATATTGCAGGACGAGCGGGTGAAGGTGATCTTTGTGAATATCTTTGGGGGCTTGACGCTGGGTGATATGATTGCGAATGGGGTGTTATTGGCGTTCAAGGAGTTGGAGATGAGAATTCCTGTTGTGGTTAGGATTCGTGGCACTAATGAGGAAGAGGGTCAGAGAATTGTGAGTTTATGAGTTGCTAAGTAGTATGGTTGGAGAGTGACGAATGATTTACTGACTGTTGAGATAGATTGCTGAATCGGGGTTGTCACTTCATGCGTATGACGATTTTGAGGCAGCGGCTGCGAAAGCTATTGAGCTTGCGAATAGTTCTTGAAAGTATTAGACCAAAAAATAGATGATATTCTGTACAAAAGGAGTTCCAGTACTATGGACCTAATTTCATCTGCTTTTGATATATTCAGATCCTCGCTCAACGTTATTTACTTACTGATTTGAGATGATTTCACTTAGCAACATCGGATGATGGATTTAGGTACAGCCGAGTAATCCACGTGATGTCTTTTCTATTACAATAAGTCTCATTAGCTATAGCTTCACCTTCTTTGCACTTTGTTCACCATGGGTTGTATAGCAAGGACATCATCACGAGAGGCAGCTTATTCTTTCGCAATTGGGCAGCCTATAGGTTGTCCACATGGGATATACTTAAACGTTTAAATAAATTTAGTAAAATCTTCCTGCCGATCCTAAATGCTAATAAAAGAAACGATTGTAGAAGTATATCTTCTCAAAATAATTCAAGGGTGTCGAGTTGAGGCAAGTCACATTATCTCCGCACGGAAGTACAAAGCCACACCCGTTTCCCGGGCGCTCGGCGAGAGACGTCATTGAACATTGAGTTTTCAAAATGGCGGGGAACAGGGGGTTCGGAGGTCGTAGGATCTCACGACGTAATTAGGGTCAGGATCCTTGTGAATTGTACCCTCAACGAGAGATGTCGTGGGAAATGTTACGAAAAACGTGAAAATAACAGTTGCAAGTCGTATAGAACGATGAATAATCACATTCATTGTTATAGCAAAGAGTAAGAGAAGAATATATATCTACTTCCTGATCGTCGATTTCCTCTGCCAAGCAAAAGACAAGCAGCCCGGCGCCACATTGCTGCCGACAAGCTTCACAATTGATGTCAAGCCTCTCGCCCAGGAACCCAAGACCGGAGAAGCATGTCAAGAGTTTTTGCAAAGACTCAAGAGGAGCGCCACCATTTTGACATGATTACAAATTGAATGTCGGGCAAGAAATGATTCAAGAGCAACATGTTTCTTCATAAAACTGTCAACTAGAAAAATGGACTAGACATTTAGCACTTCGGCGACAGCGACAGGGCGGCACATTATTGCGTTCTGCAGGCGTCAGGATGGGGATCGGCCCCGCCAGATCCATGGACCAACTCTAGATCTTACTGAGATTCGCCATATCCGCGAACAGTAATTCGTCGTCCAGACGCGGGCTCGCCAACCCTGGATACATCGAAAGGGTCTCTCGCCCAGGGCTCTAAAGATCAGACTAACTGGTCTGGGGATGGCTTGCCTTCATCCTTCCCATATACCTTTCGCAACTCTCTCGTTTCCTCACTTTCTCTAGTCTTCTTTACTTAACAGCACCTACGCCCTCGCGCGCACACCCTCAACCCCCTCGAGTATTATTCCTCTGGAACCGTTCACCGACGCAGCACATGCAGCATAAAGGTCCTTTAGCAGTTCACCTCGCTTATCTTGCACCTATAGTGCACTTCCCGTCGAGAAAATGGCGATGAATAACGACCGCACCGCGCCCAATACCTTGACCAAAGATCCGGAATACGATCATAAACTGCCTTCTTCTTCGCCGGACCGCGATGCTGAAAAGGGTACAAGTGGAGGCAGATTCAGCGCGACTAATAAGGTGGGAGGCAGAATTGCGCCGGTGTTGCCTCACTTGAAGGGATATGATTTCGGAGACAGTGATGGTGGTTCGGATATTCTAGGCAAGCAGATTGAATTGGAGGCTGGAAATGATATCCAATACAGAACTTGCAGTTGGCCAAAGGTATGTTGCGATTTGTTGCGCTGGATGATCCAATGGAGACACCAGCTCCTTGAACCACTTGCTAACCATCAACGCAGACTGCTGCTCTGCTCTTCTCAGAGTATATTTGCTTGGCTATTATGTCCTTCCCATACAGTTACTCGATTCTTGGACTTGTGCCGGGATTGATTTTAACTGTCGTCATTGCCGCACTCGTTCTATACACTTCGCTCGTTGTCTGGTAAGCTCGCACGCACTTGTCTTGCCCTTTCAATTACTTACCTACTTTCAGGGAATTCTGTCTCCGACATCCTGAAGTTCGAGATGTATGCGATATCGGTCAGATGCTGTTCTGGGGTAAAACCTGGGCTTGGTACGCCACCGCTGTCATGTTTGTGCTGAACAACACCTTTATCCAAGTAGGTTCTTCCGCACCTTTATCAGCTATCAATTGCTAATTTTGTAGGGACTGCACGTTCTCGTCAGCGCAAAGTACTTAAATACCATCACCAACCACAGTCAATGCACAGTCACATTCTCCGTCATTGCGGCAATCATCTGTTGGATTTGCTCCCTTCCCAGAACCTTCTCCACACTTGCGAAACTGGCCACGGCGTCCGCGATTTTCACGTTCATCTCAGTCCTTTTGGCTGCCATTTTCGCTGGTATTGAAGATCACCCTGCAAACTACCATGCGGATCCAAATTACGTCGATCCGGCCACTGGAAGCCACTGGGGTGGGGAGCCAATCGTTACCGCAATCCCACTTCCAGGTACCACATTTGTCGCTGGCATGAGTGCTTTCCTCAACATCAGTTACACCTTCATCGGTCAGATCACCATCCCCAGTTTCATTGCTGAAATGAAGGAGCCAAAGGATTTCCCCAAGGCACTTTGGTGCGTCACCATCGCCGAGATTTTCGTCTTCGGAATTGTTGGCGCTGTCGTATACGCTTTCACCGGAAACCAGTACAACACATCTCCAGCATTCGGCTCTTTGGGCAACGATATTTTCAAGAAGGTCGCTTTCTCCTTTATGATTCCAACTCTGATCTTCTTGGGAGTTCTCTACGCCTCTGTCTCTTCTCGATTCATCTTCTTCAGAATCTTCGAGGGAACCAGACACAAGTCATCTCACACCGTCGTCGGCTGGGCAGCATGGGCTGGTATTCTAGCTGCTACATGGCTTGGAGCTTTTATCATCGCTGAGGTTATTCCCTTCTTCTCCGATCTATTGTCGCTCATGTCTTCTCTTTTCGATTCCTTCTTCGGATTCATCTTCTGGGGCGTCGCATACATTCGCATGCGAAAGGCAGATGGGGGTATCAATTGGCTGAAGGACGCAACTCCCTATGGATATGCGATGTTAGCACTTAACGTCTTCATCATCATCATTGGATTCTACTTCCTTGGCGCTGGTACTTATACCAGTGTCCAGAGTATCATTGATAGTTATGCTGCTGGAACTGTCAGTGGGGTTTTCACTTGCGCGAGTAACGGCTTGTAATTGTGTTTGTATTAAGAGGTTGGATAAAAGTTGGACACGTGGTAAATATACAGGCAAGGAAATGGCGTTTTGGGAATAATAGAAATGTTTGAAATGATTCTCGGTATGAACAACTGCATTTTGTGAATAGATCGCGGAAATTCCTCATGCTTTTCAACCCTTGCTACTTCCTTCATCTCTTCCCCACACCGAACAGTAATCACAATTCACGACGGATACTCCTCAACCCAATCTTGTGATTATAGTCTACTTAACTCCCCATTACAAAATCTCTCCACGTTCCTACCTATCACCCCGTGTCAGCTTACTACACAGCATCCTCCAAAGAGCAGCTCTTCTATCTAACACATTCCCGCGCCCTCGCCCAGTGCTTCCATACCTAAATATCATCGTCAACAGCTTAAAATTCCACTCACTCACCCCCCAACATCAAGCCTTACCACAATTTATATAGCATCCTCAGGCCTATCCTTCAGCGCCTCCCTAGCACTATCCGGATGCGTCGGTTTGGTATTCACAATCTTCAACCCTCATAAGCTTTACACTCTAAATCTTGGAATCATGTGTTAACGTACCACTGCACCTGCGGCCTTTTTGGCCATGTCTTTCTTGAGTAAGATGGCTTCTTCTTCTTTGAGTTGTGCGTCGTTTGGAGTGCCTGTGGTGAGCTTTCCTTGGGGATCTTCCATAGCTAGGGGTGATGGCGCTGCTGCGTTGGTGTTTGTTGATGCCATGTTGGGAATTGTGTGAGGAATGGTTGTGTCGACCAAGCGTAACGCACGTTAAACTGGCGATAGTGATTTGATTGTTGGATTGTTTGGTCTAGATGTTTAATTCAAGTTTTTATGATGAAGTTGGAGATAATGAGTCTGAGCTGTGGATATTCAAGGTTGACGTACAATACAAGCGGTCACGCGTGTGTCTTCCTCACGGAAGATCCTACCCTTTCATGCCAAGAACCCATTTTTACATCTACAGAGTTAAACTTCATTTACTAATACTAAAGCTATCTTGATAATGACTACCTACTTATATACATTTCTGTACGCTTAGAAGTTATATTTTATTGTAGTGGTGTTTAATGGCTTAGAACAAGGCATGTTCCCCCACCTTCGTCCACACCCTCTACTTTAACACTAGCGAACTATCTACTGTATATTATTCTTCACACTGTCAAGTATCACTGCATAAGTAGTAAGTAGTAAATACTCTAAACCTCGTTAATATCAGAATATCTAATAATCTGATCTACTCACGAATCTTACACCCCTCCAACAATCTCAACCGCATCCTATCCCATCCATCTCCTCGGAGCAAGTCAAAACCATCACTCCAACTCCAACTCCAACTCCATATACCCATACCCCGATCTCACGCCTGAGTAATCACAATATCCCAAAATAACATATGTCCCAAAAAACTTCCTCATAAGGCATAAGGCTCGTCTCTCGACGTTCGGAGGGGTGGAGGGGTAATGTTTACCCCACATTCATGCGTCATCAGCTGCCGAAATGCTGAATTCGTAATTGTACATGTACCGTGATGAGAAAGGATAGTATGGTTGATTATGCATTCAAAACTAAGGTTTTTCATTTAAGAGGGGTTCGGGATTTGAGTTGCGGGGTTTGAAAGAGCTTGTTATATATATATAGTAGAGTGATGGAATGCTATGCTACTTCATAAACTTCAAAATATCTAAGCTCCAACTACAACTTCAACACCATCCAAACAATCCCAACCCCAATCCAACACAACAATGGCATCAACCTCCTCAATCGTAGCCTACGGCTGGGAAGCCGTCCCTTCAGACCTCAAAACGCTATTGAAGAAACACTCTGAGTCGTCAGGCGCCGCACCCACATACGACATCTCCTCGCTCTCACCCCCAGACACGAAATTAGCGAAAGCAGTCTTTGAATATGCTCAGAAAGAATTGCCGAGAGAGACGTTGCATCATTCGATGAGGGTGTGGTACTACGGTAATTCCCTCCCCTTCCCAAATACAATCCCATCCCAAACTCCAATTTCCAATTTCCAATTCCCAATTTTCAAAAACACATACAGCGAACAAAACACTAACTCGTAAAATAGGCATCGCAATCCTAACCCACACCTTCCCAACCTGGCTCTCCCCCTCCTTCCTAGAAACATACTACCTCACAACCCTCCTCCACGACATCGGCACCGCGCCTCACAACATAAGCAGCACACACCTCTCCTTCGAATTCCACGGCGGATTCCTAACCCACTCCCTGCTCTCCTCACACTCCACACCAACCCCCCAAACCGAATCCGTCGTCGAATCCATAATCCGGCATCAAGACCTCGGTTCGGTGGGAAAACTGTCTCGGATGGGCGCGATCACACAGTTAGCCACGATATTCGATAATATGGGCGAGAACCCCGAACTGGTGAGTAAGGGGACGATTGAGAATGTGGTGAAGGAGTGGCCGAGACTGGGGTGGAGTGGGTGTTTTGCGGCGACGATTAGGAGGGAGTTGGAGTTGAAGCCGTGGGCGCATACGTCGCATCTGGGGGAGAATGCGTTTCCGGAGGGGGTGGAGGGGAATGAGTTGATGAAGCCTTATGATCAGACGGGGTTGTAGGGATACCCGAAGTTTATGAGAAGTAGGTTTATGGGAGTTTAGGGTGACGATGCGGCGGCAGGCAGCTAGAATGGAGAGTATGCTGGAGCTTGTAAGATGGAAAATGAAGGACGGGAGACTAATTTGCAAGAATACATTAACCTAGCTGTTCAAATATGTAACAAATATATTTCATCTCCAAAGATTTATCAAAACAAAAGCGCCAACCCAAACCCTCCCGCTCCATCCCCACCGACCCCTCACACCAGCAATGCAAACCAAAAGACAAATGACAACAGCCCACAAAAGAAACGAAAAGAAATAGCATAATATCGTGAATCTCGACAGAGAATGTGTGTTAGTCCAAGAACGAAAAGAAAATGAAATTCAAAGAGTGTAACCAATCAAGCCTTCAACTGAATCTCCGCACACTTAATACACAACACCACCGTCTCATTCCCAACCTCTTTTGGGTAAAAACACCCATCATCAAATCCATGTTGACAATCATGACAGCGAAAACATTCGTCATGCCATTCTCCACCCAACGCATTCACATACTGTCCAATCACCGGTTTCTTGCACTTTTTACACTTTGGTGCGCGGTTGGCGGTACGTTTCGTTTGGCAGGAAAGACACCAAGCGTAGCCATCCTTCTCGATATGGGTCTGGCCCTTTTCAAACGGATCACCACATTCGGCACAGAAGAAATGTCCGTAATGCCAGTGCTCGCCGAGTGCGATTGTGTGTTCACCGAGGATTGGCGTTTTGCAGTGTTTACATTTTGGAGCAAATGTTTCGTGCCAGTCAAGATGACAGTAGAATCTCATTCTCTCATCCCCATCTTCGGCCATTGTTTGTCCTTCGACCTCAGGGATATCTTCACCACGGGCTCGACGTCTAATTCGATCGACTCGCTCTTCGCGCTTGATGCTTGGTTCGAAACGAATCTCTAGAGACTCAAGACTCGTGCCACAATTGAAGCAAATAAAACATTGGGGATGGAAATGCTCGGATTTACCATGAAGTGCAAGTACTCGCCCTTCAATTGGCAAGGAACATTGATGACATGTTGCTGTTGCTCGATTTCCAACTGGTGCTGCAGGGGACCAATGACCCCTTGAAGTTGGAGGAGTTGCGTATCCACGTGGACGTGGTCGGCTAGAAGCAGCTTTTGGATCTGGAAGTGGTCGCTGGCCGCTATTGGTTGATGGACTTGGGGAGACGTTGATAGTAGGAACTCCAGGCGCTGAGATGGATATTTCAGGGGCGTCAGGAAGATTTATGGTCGGTATAGATGGTGCGGAGTCAGGAAGATTGATAATTGGAATTGACGGCGTGGAGTCAGGAAGATTGATAATTGGAATTGACGGCGTGGAGTCAGGAAAGTTGATGGTTGGAATCGAAGGTTGCGAATCTGAGATACTGATTGTTGGAATTATTGGTGGTGAATCGGGTAGGTTGATCGTAGGAATTGGGGGTCTTGATACAGGCGGGGTACTAATGACTGGAATCGAATTCGCCCGTGGTGGTGTACTGAAAGAAGAATTTGTTACCGGAGTGGTGGTCACAATTGGAATTGAATTTGCTCGTGGTGGTGTATTGAAAGAAGGTCTCGAGAACGGAGACTTTGTGAGGGGCTTTGGTGATTGTGTATGAACAGTTGGGACGGAAGTAGTCCTTGCGAATGGTGATTTGAACATCGAAACAGGAGGTAATACATCGTTGGTGGAAACAGCAGATCGCGAAAATGGAGGTTTGGCTGCTGATACAAGCTGTGACGGACTAGATGTCGAGGTAGAGGCTCTCGAAAAAGGGGATTTGGACGAGGTGATTGGAGGCCGAGGACCGGAAATCGTTGTAGGTAAAGGACTCTTGGATTCGGGTTTCTTAATAGAAAGGACAGAAGGAAGAGTTTCAACTCCATCAGTAGTCGGTGGGTTGGAAGAGCTTTCTACTTGACCTGTGGGTTCAGGAACGAGAACGGTCGGGATAGAGGATGCGACATCCTTCGAATCTGAGCGAGTAGGTATGCCTTGCCTTTGACCTGATGGTCGGTCGAAAGGAGATCTTCTTCGCACTTCTGGCTTCACATCAGCCTCCTTCGGCTTCCAATTATTATCAAAGCTTACGATGGGACGACCTGGTTTGTCACTGACAACCGTAGGTGTCGGGAGCTTTGGACTTCTGTCCTTCAGGCGCATGCTCGTAGCCTGTCTTATCTCATCACTTCTTATTTCAAGTCCATCTTTGGTTAACGGTTTCTCTGTTTCTTCGTCTGTATCGCTGACAGGCTTTGTAGTTGTGATGACAGGCAATGAATTGGCAGTATAAAGTGGGTTGCGAGATTGAGTTGGAGGATTTTGGTGGATCTCGGTCAAGTGAAGCTTCTTTGTCTGTTCTGGAGGTGTGCTACTTGACCGTGCAGCAATATCTTGAGCAAATTGTACTCGATGAAGGGGATTCCGAGGCTTGAGTCGTAGAGGTGCCGGAACGTCTCTATCTTCTTGGGAACGACCTCTAGGCGAACCCTCCTCGGGTTCTTCCCAGATCTGTGAGCCTGTAAATGTGCTTCCAACTTCTCCACTGATGTTTCTTTTCGCACTACTCTTTCTTCTTGACCCCGCTACCTTGGTGCTGCCCACAATGTTGCCATAAGATTTAGAATGCCCCGCTGTCCCCGAGGCCGATCTTGTGGAATCAAGCGATTGGCGAACGGTTGGTTCTGGGCTGAGTGCTCGATCAAAGTTTTCAAAATATCCGCTTGATACTCGTTCTCTAGGAGAACGCGGCGACATCATTCCACCACTACTGGTTGAGCCATTTGAAAACGATCGGGGAGCCAGATCCCGAGCCAGTCCAGTGGCCATTCCAATTCCTCCATATCTACCAACACTTTGTGTTCTTGCATGAGCGTAGCTGTTCTTTCTGAGATGGTCATTGTATCGATATGGCGCATCGGGATTCACAGCTTCCGGATTTTGATGCTGGTAAACAAGTTCTGACGCTTCATCTTGAGCAGCAGCATGAAGCCTGGCCTCTTCTTCCTGCTTTTTCAGATCCATATCTTCCATAGCTTCGCGCAACGATACCGCCTCTTCTTTTTCCATCCATCTCTGGCCACGCTCAATATATGTTGCACTAGGAACGACCTCTGATGGCTTAACGAGGACTGGGGTATTTGAAGATGTTGGCTGCTGCACCGGCTGCCGGCCTGTTCTTGATGTGACTGAATACGAAGACATGGCGGATTCCGCTCTTCTATGGGAGAAAGCACTTGCTGATCTAGAAGCAAAGTCGTTGGAAGACCTTGCGGATGTTTCGTTTGTCTCCGAGGTTGGAGTCGAAGCTTGTGTGGTAGAAGCATGTTTATCGGTCGATTCTCGTCGATTGCTGGGTGGTAGAGGCCTTGCACCACTTGGTCTGGCAACACGATTATTTCTCAACCCAGCGAGATACTCAGCTGGTGGGAAAAGGTTAGCTATACTCGATATCTCGTAATGTTGTTTCAACCGAGCTGAAATAGAGGATTTTGCTCACCGAATTGATCATTTGACATAGCAACTGGGCCAGGTGGTGTCACTTTCCGCGTTCTGTCTTTGGATCTGCCTCGAAGTAGCATCTTGACTGCGGTGGTGCTTCAGTCCGAGGAGGCTTCAATGAGGGAGTAGATTCGGTTGACGTTTTCAAGGGTTCAAGAGAACGTCCAGGGTTTGTGAAAGGCAACAATTGGTTTTATAAAGATATTGAGAGGAAAGATGTGAATGAATGTTATTGACAATCTTTATCGAAGTGTATAGAAGAAATACAAGTTCTCACAAGGTAAACAGTGCAACGAGTGGTGAGTCAGTTACACATGATGTACAACCTGCTTCTGGTTTGTTGATATATTTTCGCAGGTGAAGTTGGCCGGGATACTGTCCAAGCGGGCCTTGCAGAGATCCACAGCAACGTGCTGGAAACTGATACGACGGCTCGCTCACACAACAAAAGTCTCATGATTGAAACAATGACTAGGAAATCGCAGGTTATATTTGGTAATTTTCTTAATGCACTGCTGATTTGATTATATGCTGTTGATGAAGGCTAATTCCATTGAAAACGATCGAGTATTGGGTTGATAGAGTCACGTGACTTCGCGATTGACGACCCGTCGCTTCTCACGGAACATCATTGTTCCCGTCCGCAAACCGCCGGCCAACTGCCCAGGTGCTGTCGCGTCATGCCAGACTTTTCTTCTCCATTCAACCCAGAACTTCTCCATACTTTATTGTGCTTTCATTGTTGTTATCTACTTCGAAGTATGATAGCTTCATCCCATGCGCAAGCTACGGGAATCCGAGACAATTATCAACATCACTCAATTCTCGACAAGATGTTGGACACTGCTATCTCATTAAGTAATAGGCTCTTATTCCCGAGGCCCTTGACTCGGTTGAGACGGCAATTGGAGAAGTTGCCCGGTAGCGCACCAAACCCAGCTCTTGCACCAATTTTGGACGCGGAATATCTGTATGAAATCTGCTTAGTGGGGATTCGAGCTCCTGTAGTGGCGTTGGTTCCCCGCAAAGCAATTGCTTTGTAAATCTAGGTCTCCACTTGGAGTCATTCTGTTCTTTCGCTTCTTTTCGACAGTAATCTGGTCGACGAAGGCATGGTCGTCCGTAAGCAGTTCTTCTTCACCTACCAACTTTTCCAATACTTCCTTTCTTTCATTTAGCATTCATTTGTCCAATTCCTCACAGATCATCGTCGAATTCACCCGCTTGGACGATCTACTTAGGTTTTGGATTTTCCTTAGAAAATTCATCTCATCGAGCAATAGCCTCTTCGATCTACCGTGCCACTTATTCAGTACCCGGCAAGCTAATAACTCCAATTTCGGATTTCTCCTAATCTACGAAATCCATTCTTTGAAAGATCTCAAATTTGGGAGTTTTAGTCGTTGCTCCTACTAAAGCATGAACGACTTATCTTCCAGCAACGGTCACGGCCATGAAGACTTAAAAGTGACTCTTCCCATAGGTGCTGGGACAGCGGCCGACTTGGAATCCGAAAAGACGCCATCCCCGGATAGCAGTGTTGAGGACGTACCGCCAGATGGCGGGTTTGGTTGGATTTGCGTGGCTTGTTGTGCTCTGATAAATGCGCACACATGGGGCATCAATAGTGTAAGTCACTTAGACTGAGCATTGCTAGATTGACTTTCGGGAGCTCACACTCACAGTCTTATGGTGTCTTTCTCGCCCACTATCTTGCGGCCAACACATTTCCCGGGGCAACTTCTCTTGACTATGCCTTCGTTGGTGGTCTATCCATATCATTGGCACTGTTCATCTCCCCGCTAGCAACAGTAGTGGTCAGTAAACATGGCACTAAACCCGCCCTTGCTATCGGGATCGTACTACAAACTGCTGGCCTGTTGGGGGCCTCGTTTGCAAGCCAGATTTGGCACTTGTTTCTATCCCAAGGCATCGCCTTTGGGTTTGGAATGGGCTTTTTGTTCATTGCCAGTGTCAATATTGTTCCTCAGTGGTTCAAAAGAAAGAGGTCATTCGCCAATGCAATCTCCGCTGCGGGCAGTGGAATTGGTGGGTTGATATACTCACTCGCTACCAATGCCATGATTCAATCTATCGGTCTTGGCTGGGCATTCAGGGTTCTGGCGATTGTATCATTCGGGGTCAATGTTGTTTGTACACTGGTAGTCAAAGACGTAAGTGGAGGATTAACATTACTCTCTAGATCCAATGACGTTTGACTGACCTGAAAATATAGAGAAACAAAGCAGTGGGTTCTGTTTTTAATGCTTTCGATCCTAAACTCTTAAAGCTAGTCAATTTTTGGCTTCTAGTAGGATGGGGTTTCTTTAGTATCTTAGGATATGTCGTTCTACTCTTCTCGCTACCGAGTTATGCTAGAAGTGTTGGTTTGACCGCACAACAAGGTTCTGTAATTGGCGCTGTGTTGAATCTAGGACAAGGTAAGAATTTTTCAGCTTAGTTGTGACTGCAAAATGCTAATTGTGTTTAGGTCTTGGCCGCCCACCCGTCGGTTACTTTAGTGATAGCTTTGGTCGTATAAACATGGCCGGAGTATGTACGTTTATCTGCGGTGTCCTCTGTCTCGTATTTGTAAGTCACTCCTTCAACGGCGCGCATTTGGTATTTGCTCCGTTTAAAACAGCTAATTTGTACAGTGGACATTTGCTAAGACATATGCGTCGCTAATCGCTTTCGCACTGATCGTCGGTTGTGTATCTGGAACGTAAGTACACACTTGACAAAACAACGGAATCCCGCTAATTAGATTTTCAGCTTCTGGGCGACCGTTGCACCAGTCGGCGCCGAAGTTGTCGGTATTCAAACTCTCCCATCCGCACTTGCACTCCTTTGGATCTTTCTCGTCCTTCCGTCCACATTTTCTGAGCCGATTGCTCTCAAACTTCGTCGATCGACCGGCAACCAGTTTCTTCACGCCCAATTATTCACGGGTTTTATGTACATCGCTGCCGCGCTTTGTGCCTGGTTCTTACGTGCTTGGAAGATTAGGGAAGAGCAACGACTTCAGGAAGAGCTTCAGCGGAAGAAGGAGGAAGCCGGGGCTGGGGCTGGGCTCCATGGCGGCGACGGTGGTCCTCCCATTTTGAGGAGACATGCCAGTAGGGTTAGTACGATACAGAAAGCTCGAGGCTTCTGGGCGTGGGAACGTGTGTAAAAATAAGAACTTGATATAGCACAGGTATATAATATGAACCACGAGTTTCAAAAGTCGAGGTGTGTCTGCCAGCCTACGACTTCCGCGTTAGAGAAGAACTTGCAAACTGTAATAATTGTCATTTTGTTAATTTCTGGATTTTGATCTTAGCTTTTGGAATAACTAACTACAGTGTTTACTACAGAATCATAGGGCTTTTCTATTTCTACTTAGAGTCCCATGCTCACGAAGAAACTTCAATAATCACGACGCCGCACTTTTGATTTGACAAAGCCTTCCGTCAACTTGTTCTTTCCACGCTTCACTTCCTACACCGGCTTTGGCGTAAAAAACGCCTTGTGGGTCATATTTGTTCTTGATAGTAAGGAGTTTCTTATAATGAGTTCCATAAAATACTGACTGAAAATCAGGTTGGTTAACGTCCGCTTCGTTGGGGTAAGCGCCCCCATTAGGCGTCAGCGCTGCGAGAGCTGGCAGATAGTCGTTTGTTATCTCGTTCTCCCCAGTCTGGCCATTATAATCCGTGTAGTTGAGAGGAACACCCATGAAAACGTTGAAGAGTGAGCTGCGGAAGTATGGATTTACCGCATTTTCATCAGGTGATGAGACACCGTTCTTCACATTGAAACTGACAGCCGAGAAAAGTGTCTTAGAACCAATATGTCGGATGGCTTTGACTAGAGCATCCTTGTTGTTTTTGGCAACGTCGCGAGGGATGAGTCTTCCTCCTGTGCTGTAGTCTGAGACGTTCCAACTTGAGGTCAATGATTTGTATGCGGACAAGAACGTGGGATTTTCTGAGGATGAGTACTGATACCCCAGCTTCAGAGAATCCATAGCGTCTAATGTTGGCTTCAATATTTTGTCCAACTCTCCCTTTCGCAGGGTCGGCGCGAAAGCAGGCATGAGAAAGAATCCAGCCGGGTTGACAACCCAAAGTGCGTACACACCAGCATCGACAATGTTTGGCAATAGCGTCAGAAACGAGCCGATTGCTTTGTATATCGTGTCAGTATTTGTTCCATTGTCGAGAACGGAGAAATAAGCAGTCGAAGCATAACTGTCTGGGTACGCTTTCACGGTCATTGATACCACGACACCGAAAGTCCCCGGGCCACCTCCGCGCAACGCCCAAAACAAATCAGAGTTCTGGTTACAATTTGCCGTAAGTAACTGACCACCTGCAGTGACGACTTCCCACTCCAATACTTGATCAGCACCTAAGCCGTATTTCGAGGCGAGCGGTCCGTGGCCCCCACCTTGCGTGTAACCACCAGCTATGCCCACAGATGGACAGTTGCCGCCAACTACGACAAGTCCTTTGCTGTTTGCAAATGTATAGGCATCAACACCATGAACACCAGCACCTATTTTGACCGCCGGTCCAGAATAGTCTCTCGACTGATACTTGGTCAGCTCCATCGACTTCATGTTATGGGTCCACACCCCAAGAGCATGTGCGCCTGTAGACCTTCCAAGGTAGTCATGACCAGTATTGCGGATCACAAGTCTGATCTTATGAGCCTTAGCAAATTTGACACCTTGCTGAATGTCGCTAGGACCGAGTGCATTGATTGCATACACAACATGACGACCAATAGTGCAAGACACGGCTGGATCTAGCCATGGATTACAGCTATTGTTTGAGAATGCGTAGGCCATAGGCGAAGATGAAGACGCAAGATGAGTTTCCGGAAGGAACCATGAATCTCGAAGTTCTTGGCATTTTTGCTTGTCATAAGATGCTATATCTCCCGTTTGTGAACTGTACGTACGATGGCAGAGAGCTCCGATGGGAATGGTAGCGATGAGTCTCCCGCCGACGGTTTTGTTCAATGCGTTCCAGTCCGCGAGGCTGGGCCATGAATAATCCCCTGGAATTGCCCTGCATCCATCGTAGGAGTCCCTGGGGGGAATCACTTTTCCGTGCACCGACTCGTTTAACAACAGTAAGATTGGCGAAAGCAATCGGAGAGCCTTATGGAACAACATGACGAGGTCTTTGGGGATTGAATTGAAGAGCCAAGATGTGGAGCGTGTGGTGAGTGAGCTGTGTAGTTAAAGTCCTGATAACTCATGTTTATAGATCAATTGGATGATAAGACTACCATGATTCCGTGCCTCTTTCCTATTTACAAGTCCTGTTCTTGTAAATAGGCAAATATATTGATGGTAATACAACTCCACTTTTCTCGCATCATATTCAGATTTACGAAGGAAAAAAGTATTGAGAAGTTCAAGCAGCGTCGTATAATAGAAAGAGGATCACTTCGGATAAACCCGTGTGCGATATCCACATCATTAGGTAGTTACCGGTAGATCTGCATCCTCAACGGCTGTGCTTAGAGATCTCTCGCTTACCTGCTAAAGTCGTAGACTCGTATTTCATAACTACCCAAGTAGGTAGGTAGTAGCCATCCCTGATAGCTGCGTTCTGCATGACACAACTCGCACATTGTTAGATCTGCAGCATTTTTGACCGAGCATCGAAACAACGGTTACATCAAAATGTTGCTGGTAAATTCGAGCATGCGCCGAGGCTCCTTCGATGCATGTACCTATTACTGTGTTCCATTCGAAATCAAATGCCAAGGTTGATGCGCGATAGTGAAGTGTTGCTGGTTTGACGTAATAACGTGGTTGCAAGCATTAGAAAGCATAGATTGTGAGGCTAATTATATGACAGATGAACATCAGACGAAGGTCTGAGAATCAGACCAGGGGTTAGGAACAAGGTTCTTTGGCTGTGCAAAAAGGATGACTTTGCGTTTGCGATTAGACTAGTTTGGGTTTCTCTATTATGTTCTCTATCTAGATTGCTAAAACGCCGCTGCAATGACCAACCTTATTTGTCACCCTATCAAACTGTAACTCCAGTCTTGCAGAGCTTTCCATCAGCTGCAGGTGCCCACGCCTCACTACCTACCACTGTTGGCCCCCAGAAGATAGCGTTCGGATCATACTTCTTCTTGATCGATACCAGCTTCGCATAGTTCGTACCATAGAATGCCGATTGCCAGTTTGCTCGCTTGAAATTGGCTTCATTCAGATAAGCGGCGGGATTGGGGGTCAGCTTATCCAGAGAGGGGTCTAGGACATTGGAAACAGCTTGTTGAGCAACGACATTCGCTGTCAGATTTGATCGGTCGTATACACTGACCAATAAATTAGCCTAGCTCGAGATTTCACTGTAGGGTAAATGCGAAATTGAGGCTCAGACTTACGTTCCAAGGAATGCTAGGAAGAGAGAATCGCGCCAAGCTGGATGAGCGGCGTTAGGTACAGGTGGAGTCTTGCTAACGTCCATTGAAACTCCGGCCAAGATACCACCATTGTCGGTGACTGATTTCAAGCCAGCGACAAGGGCAGTGACGGACTTGTTAGTGGCGACCAGTGAGCGAGGAATTAGACTTCCTCCAAGGTTGAACTCAGTAATGTTCATTTCTGGGTTCAAAGTTTTGAAGGAGTCTTGAAAAGTAGGAAAATCCTTTGATGTAAGGGAATATGGGATCTTTTTCGCATTGAGCGCGTCGAGAGTCGGCTGCAACAGCTTCACTAGATCTTTGGCTGTTCCACCCGGTAAGTATGCTTGGGGCATGTAGAAGAAGTTACCCGGCAGAAGCTGCCAGTACAGAACCGCGCCCGACTTGAGGACGGCGGGGAGGTTTGTAAGAAAGACTTGCAGAATCTGCCAGTACGCATCTGAAGACTCGAGGTATGACAGCGTCACACCAGCGGTTGCCATATTTTTGTACATCCTCACTGTCATGGAGAGTACAGCACCATAGGTACCGCCCCCACCTCCAGCGAGCGCCCAATACAAATCTGTGTTTTGGGTTGGCGTAGCAGTGAGGACTGTTCCAGCCTAATATCACTTGTTAGTAAGTGGGTTTGTAAGTCGCGGAAATATCCCATCGCAGTAAGCGAGAGTTAAGCGAGACGAAAAGGAGGAGGACTTACCCCAGTGACTACCTCCCACTCCAGAACCTGGTCTGCAGCAAGTCCAAACTTAGATCCAAGTGGGCTGGTTCCGCCGCCTTGTGTATAGCCTCCTGCTATCCCCACAGTAGGACAATCGCCTTCGACGACCACGTAGCCTTTGGCGTTTGCTGCTTCTTGTGCCTCGTTGGCTTGCACACCAGCACCGAGTTTTATCGCTTTACCGGTGTAGTAGGATGACTTGTAATCTTTGATTGTGGTGTCTTTGATGCCATGAGTCCACAAGGCAATCGCACCTGCACCGGTGGACTTGCCCATGTAGTCGTGCCCAGTGTTCCTGATGACTAGGCGGATGTTGTATTTGGTCGCGAAGTTGATAGTGGCGCGGTAATCACTATCACAAGAAGCCTTGACAGCATATTGTACATAGCTTCCAATGACACAAGGTGCTGACCGAGGTGTGAAAGGATCACAACTCATGTTGGCGAAGAAGGCGGCCATAGGTGAGTGGGTTGTCTCATCGTGCAATTCTGGACGAGCCCAGTTGCCTTGAACATCGGCACACTTCTTGGCGTTGTAGCTGACTCCAGGGAATGTGTCGTGACATACAGCGCCAATGGGGACTGTCTTAATCAACCTCCCTCCAACGGTGTTGTTGAGAGTATTCCACGTGGAAGTGGATGGCCAGCAGGCGTCACCTGGGAAGCATCGACATTGTGACGCTCCCGATGCGGACGACTCCGACCTTGCGAGCCATACTGACCCCGCAAGAACGAGGAGGGAAGTCAACGCAACCATTTGCAACTGCAGTCTCGTCAGTCCTTTGAACATTTTGGGTAAGCTGATTGGTGGACGCTTAGGGATAGAATGATTAGGGAGAGATTAAGGATGAAAGAAAAAAAGCGTACTTATACTGAATAGCCGGCTAAGAGTTGGTTTCAGAATCACCAGCGGCGAGTTATTAGGAGCAAGGTGCAAGGTGTGTTGCAGAAAAAACGTGGCAGAGAGACGCAGACACCTGTTACTTAAAGCTGTTGGATTCAAAGTGACTCTACATCCTTGGTATCATCTACTTCAGCTTCCCTAGCTGTTTGGTGATAGTGGCAGCTCCACCTTCGTAGGATTGCATTGAATTCAATTCTTTCTATTGACATATGTCGAATTCGCATCAGCTCAGGCCTAATGGAGGTCTTATGATTTTCCCGATGCACATATACCACGCCACGGCCTGACCGAGAGCCTGTTAGACGGGGTTGGAGATCCGCATATAGTAATTTTCATGATTGCTTTGTGAAGCCTGAGCACATGGGCATCACGAAGTCAACCGGGGGACGGGAATGGACGGGAATGGCTGAGATTAAGCTCATTGATTGGCGACCTCGTGGGTGGGAGTTTTGTTGGTGTTGGTGGGGGATTCATTGGATAAGGCAGGTACAGATGCAGGCAGGGGACCCAGTTTCACACTGCAGCATGAAGGATGCGATTAGAAATATAATGTGTGATAGTTGCACCCCATGCGCTGCTACCATAGCAATACATGCTCTCTTATGGCCGTTATCAACATGTAAGAGGGAACGAGAAGAGGATTGGGTGGTTTCGATTCTATGTTTTAATAGTGTTCAAGCCTCAGCTCTTTTGCTTTTGTCATTCGACAGACAATTCCACTAACACTTCACACTTGAAGCTGAAAGAGAAGCCATAAGTACTGGAAAACGCCAAGCATATCGTCTGCTATGTCGTCCCCTACCAAAGCCGCAATCAATCTATTGATTTGGACAATCGTATTCACAGTTGTCGATGTTGTCTTTGTTGGTCTTCGCTTTTTAGCGGCACGCATCAGCCATCGCAAGATCTATGCAGATGATTATTTTATCATATTCGCTATGGTTAGTATTCAGTATACTTTGAGCCATAACATGAATCTAATGACTCTCAGATGAACACTTTTGCGCTTGGAGGCGTTGTGATCTGGGCCGTCTTTAGTAGTGGTATGGGTCACTACGCCGCCGAATTGAGTGCAACTGAGCTCCAGAATGCGCTCAAGCTTATCCCAGCCGCCTACGTTACTTGGACCCTAGGGACAACTTCTTTCAAGCTCTCTGTTCTGTGTCTCTACACCCGCATCTTCTCGATCAAGGCATTCAAGACTTTGTCTTACGTTACCATGGGTCTGACCGTTTCGTACTGCATCTCATTTATGGTGGTTTTTCTCACCACATGTACGCCTGATATCTCCCAATTGTGGAATCCAAGACCGGATGGACATTGTCGCGACCTTAATATTGGCCAGCTGGGCTCCGTCAGTACTAATTTAGCACTCGATGTGATTATCCTTGCACTTCCAATGCCGTTTGTGTGGAATCTAAAGATGGCATTGCGCAACAAGATCATTGTGACTATCGTCTTTAGCTTCAGTCTCCTGTATGTATTGAGAATTGTGTTATGTCCTATAACTATTTGCTAACGTTTCAAAGGACTATTGGTATCATGATTTGGAGAATTGTCGACCTTGTCAAAAATGCCGATGCCGATTTCGTCTATAATATGCCTACTCTGGCTCTTACAACAACACTTGAACTGTGGCTTTGCATTATCATTGGTTGCATTCCAACTCTGGCGCCAATATTCAGGACCTATATCACACCCGCTTTGACCAAGATGACGGGATCCCGAAAGACGATTAGCGCTCGTTCCAATCCTCGCAACATTGTTACCTTTGGTGGAGGACGCGGTAGACGACAAACAAGCTACATAAACATGATGGGAAGCCAAGATCCAATCAAGGCTGATATCGGTGACATTGAGCGGGAAGCAAAGGACAATGCGTTCAGGGAGGACGCGTTCACGACGACTCTTATATCCTCTTCACCTCAACCAGACATACGGCTTGAGACACTCTCTACTAAGAACGCGATTCGTGTTCGTCACGAGGTTGATACTGAGTTCTCCCATTAGTATTGTTGGTATAACTCATGAAGAAATCATGTGTAAAATAATGTGCTATGTGTTTATGAAGTTCCACAAGTAGATAGTTCTAAAGTCAAATACTGAAATATAGACATTTCCCATGCTTAACTTCTTTATCGTTTTTATCCTGTGACTGCCTATGTTAGCCTTGGTTTAGTGTGATGATAGTATAAGTGAAACCGTGAGTAATAGAACGGTACCAAAATTTATGACTCAGAGGGACAATATCATATGTGCTGGTTGTTCCAAAGCTACTATCTTATAAATGAACAACTTAGTTCAAAATCAATGTGTCTATTTCATAAATTCATAAGAACATCTAAAAAATCAAACGCTGCTTAGACTAGATACAACTTGGTATAACACTTCCACTTCTGATATCAATTTCGCACTTCCAAATTCCTCCTCGCTGACAGTCAAAAATTACTTGTTAGTACTGGTAGCGTATAGAGAGACGCATGCCAAAGACACCATAATCTCCACGTTCTGGCGTCTCCCTTGGGTGAACGAATGAAAAGTACACGCAGAATTACAACAGCTGCAGCCACAGCAGTAACAGAATATGCAAGAGGTTCAATGTTCCAGAAATACTCGCACACGCAAGACCAAAAGCATACAAAGAACGCTATAGATGTACGAGAAACTTTTTCTCCGAGAAACAGCGCGATCGTCCTACGCTTTCGAGTCTTGTCTCCCTTCTGATCCTTAAGATCTTGTACTTGCATCGTTGTCAAGATGACCCCGCTCACAATAATCGTCCAGGTGATTCCAAGTGCGCTCAAAGAACACTCAGGTCCAACAGCGATCGTCAAAGATCCGCTGTTGAAAAAGCCGTATGCGATAGCGATGATCAACTCCCGCACAAACACTTCATCCCCACCACCCAGGTCATTGTACAGCCAAGTTAAAATGTGGATGGCAATGCCTTGGTTCCAAGCACCAAGGTAGTAGTTGAGAGCTAAAGTGATCGGAACGACTACGAGCATGAGACGTCGAGTTTGATCGCAGGTAATCTTGCCCCGTGGAATCGGCCGCCATGGCTTGTTGATACGGTCTTCAACTACTGATTGCGGTGATCTTTGGTTGGCAAGATCAAAGACGAGGAGATTTCCCACATTAAAAGCCAGAACTAGCGGCAAGCGTTTGAGAATATCCAATGCTGACGGGATAGTTGAAAGGTCATTACAGATGAGCTTGGTCGAAGCGAAGGCTCCAAAAATGCCGAATGCCGAATTAGGTACCGCAAAGGTGACGAAATCGCTCTCAATGAACTCCCATATCATACGCGCAAAAGACAGTGTCTTTCTCAATGGTTGTAACATCGTTTTGGTAGAAATGTAAAGGTGATCTCTTTTCCAGCTGAGTAATATTGAATGAGCTGACCTGGGCCAAAACTAGGATCACAGACTTTGTGGAGATTGGGAACGGCTTCTATGACGTTCAAAACGAGCGTATTGCCCAGCACCAGGAGGATTCCGGATAGCAATTGTATTGCTCTTCTTTCGAAGCCACATAATTTTATACATCCACCTTTATGAATACGGCCTCGGCATATACTCTCGTCCGATGTGTCATGCTTGCTATCTTATGCTGCGCTGCATGAGATAAAAGTGTGTACCTGCACCTCGGACGCACTCAGGCATATATCCACTTGGGCTATCTTCAGAGAAAGAATGGGCGAAGGGCAATGATGGGGGGCTCCACGTTGCAGACGAAACTGGGTATTCTTGCCAGTCACATAGAGCCAGAAACAACATGACAGGGTTCAAGTGACGACCCACAGTGGCTTTTGATAGAAAGATCGAAGGTACGCTTCGCACATGTCCGAAATCAGGAACGGATTGAAAATATCCCGTAGCCCCCAGGTGAGCGGTTAAGTCGGTAGGTGAAAACTAAGAATGTTACAGTATTATTCTGCCTCGCCACTAAAGCAACTACATCACCCAAAAGAGGTTCATGATTAAAGCTCTTCCTATGTTAGGAACGAAAGCCCATACAAATTAAGAATACCATAGATAAAAAAGTCAACAGCAAATTGTAATCTAGTTCCAAACACATTGCATTGTGGCTTTATTTAGGACAAGTACAAAATTTGAATTTCAAAATAATATAGCAGCCGGTATGCAGCTCGCTGCTTGCCAACCATTTATGAAGTCTTTGGCAACTCTTTGAGTCCAGCTGTCAAAGCCAATCCTGCAAGAATCTGATCTTTAATAGCTATGAGCTCCTCCACATCCCAATTTGCCCACGCACAGCGTCCTCGTAGAAAAGCAGCCTCGGGACTAGCCATCCAAAGCAGAAAATGTGCTGGAAGTTGAACTACAAAGTGAACTCAGTTATAAATTTGCATAAAAGGCAGAGACCAAGATTGAGACCAGCTGTGAGTGGAGTTGTATCATCTTACCTGTATCCATGGGCAAACCCTCAGCTTTCCCACCAGTTCTACGAAAGTTATCTGTTTCAATCATGCCCGGGTTGAGCGTAGCAACGAAAACAGTTGGATTTTCCGCCGCAAGAAACTCGAAAACCTTTGCTTGTGCCAACTTCGATGCGACATAGGACGAGAGTCCGACCAAATATGCAGCCGGAATAAGCGAAACATCAGAAACTACACCAAGGAAAGCGGCTTCAGATGGGTGAGCCGAAGGGAGGAATGCTCTAGCAACTTGAAAGGTTCCTTGGACATTGGTCTACATTGACAGAAGAGTTAGTTTACGAATGTTATGGCTTAATTGGGTTCGTATCAGGGAAAACAGAAACGGATAATACTCACTTCGAAACCTTTCCACCAATCTTCTCCATCAGCAGACGGCACTGCGGAAGGCGTAGAACAGTAACCTGAGGTAAGGACGAGTACGTGCCACTGTCCTACAGCTGCAGCAGCACTCTCCAAGCTTGCCGATTTAGTTAGATCCGCCACATGCGTTGAGCAAGAAGTTTTGCCGCTCGACTTGATCAACTCTGATGTCTCATTGAGAGTGGTATCCGTACGCCCTAGAAGGGCTACATGAGCCGCTCCGGCAGTGGCAAAAGTCAAAGCTGTTTCTCTGCCGATTCCACTTCCCTATGATGGACCAGCCTGGTTAGCCATTGTTATGAGCGCAATTATGAAGACAAGCTTCTTGGAACACAAGAAGCGATCAACATGTTCCTCAAGCTGTGGGACAGAGACCGAGGTGACAAATGGAAACTGTCGAGGGGTAAAAGAAAAAGACTCGACCGGTGTTGACAGAAGATACACTTACCCCTCCAATAACGATTACGGTCTTACCCGCAACGCTCAGTTCTTTGCGAGATGGTGAGATACTCGCGTATGTATCGTTGCGCCACGTAGCAGTCGGGCATGGAAACGGAGGTTGCATCTTGAAAAGATTGGAGTTTTGTGAGAATCTAGAATTATGTTTCCGATCTTTGAGTGACGAGAGTTGCGCCTTCATTTCTAGTTTATAAGTGATCCTTGCAATCGACAGTGTAACACCAACCGCAGGAGGTGAACTGCCGGAAAGTAACACCGATTAGATCACCCCCTGAAGCTCGCTTATGCAATGGCCGTTGAAACTAACGCTACGTGGTTTACTTAGCCGGGAGACGCATGTAGTATTCTTAGTACTTTTCCTATCAGGATTTTGGCCCCGGAAGGATCTGGAATACTGCTATCAGCAGCTCAAAGTAGAAGGCTGTACCGATGTAGATCGACCAATCCGTAAAGCCTTTCTCAAGTAGAGAACCTTAGCAACGGAACATGTGAAAAGGGCCAGGTCCACTTCTCTCACTTATTCGGCATATTTACTGGTACCTGGAACCTCCCACAATTTGGCAAAGGATTCTGTATTGTGACTTACTGTCAATCCGTCGGACTCGTTCCCACAGCAACATATTCCTTGTTAGTCAATCACCATCATCATGGCCATTGATCTCGGCAGCTACGGCTTAGAGGTTAGAACTGTACGGCTCAACATCATCAGCATCGTCCTTGGAATAGGAATTGGCCTATATGGCCATCTTGGCCTCTTCATCCATGGCGAATGGCACATCCAGGCGCCTTTTATCTTTCTCTTCCATCTCATCCTCTACTCTGGTCTTGCTGCTGGAACTGTGGCTTCTCAGTACTATGGCTTTGACTCGAAACTATGGATTGCTGGACTTATCACCAGTGTCAGCTACCTTGTAACGATGCTCTCGAGTATTTTTATTTATCGTGTATTTTTTCACCGTTTGACTCGGGCTGGATTCAAAGGACCTTTTACCATGCGAGTATCGAAACTTTTCCACGTCTGGAGTTGTCGAGCATCTGGAAATCATCACCTCCTAGGAGGTCTACAAAAGCAGTATGGTGACTTCATTAGAACAGGTAATTACTTACATCCTTGTGGTCTACCATTTGCGCTCCCTCGTAACTATGTGGCTCGCTAAGACGTTTGACTACAAAGGTCCTTCAGAAATCACCATCTTCCATCCAGATGTCTTTGTAGCAACGGATGGTCCCAGAACAGAATGCGTCAAATCCGAATGGTATGATCTCCTTTTCCCGGAGAGCTCTCTCCTGACCACCCGGGCCCGTGATCTCCACGATGCTCGCCGGCGAGACTGGAAGGAATGCTTCGGCCCACAAGCACAAGCACACCACTTTGCCAAAACAGTCAAGCATGTTGAAATGCTCAGCGATATGATTGAAAACCAGATCGAGGAAGCAAACCCATCTCAGATGCGTGACTGGTTCTATTGGCTCGGATTCGACATCATGGGGGACTTTGTTTTCAGCAAATCGTTCAATATGCTACGAGATCATGAGTGGCATCATATGGTGATCCGTCTCCAGCGAGCTTTGTCGTTACTAGGGCCGGCGAGCCCTGCTCCGTGGTTGATCCAGATCGCTTTCCGAGTCGCACCGAGGATCGGCCAGATTGGCGATTGGTTCGAGATGACCTCTTGGACCCATAAACAAATAAGCGCGCGGCTGGAAGCTGGTGGAGAGAAGCAGTCGGCCCCTGATCTGGTGCATTATCTGCTCGAGAAAAGCGCAGAACCCCGTTCCGCAGAAGGTGTCCGACGAATGCGGGGGGATAGTCTCAATGCTATTGTTGCTGGCAGGTCCGTCCACCTATTCCGGATAAACTCCAAGATAGAGATTGTTTGCTGACATTACAAAAAGTGAACCGATCCCCGTGGTCCTTCTTGGCATATTCGCTGAGCTGGCTCGGAAACCTCATCATGTGGAGTTGATCTATGCTGAACTGGCTGAGAGGGATATCACCGATACCAAGGTGCTCAGTGCACTACCACACCTTAACGCTGTAATCCAGGAGGCGCTGCGTTTATATACTGTTCTTCCCACGGCAGGATCGAGGAAGACGGGAAAAAACGGGGTCACGATCGGCGGAGTTTTTATTCCTCCCTACACGACCATCGTGAACCCCCGCTATTGCATCCATCGAAGTACGTTACAGCTGTTACGATTTATGCAATCTGTTGTAGGTTTTAAGTATCAAGCTGACCCATATTATAGGAGAAGATTGCTTTGAGCAGGCCACCGAATTCATTCCTGAACGATGGACCACCCGTCGGGAAATGGTGCGCAATGTAGCGGCCTATAGCCCTTGGGGAACAGGTCAGAATTTCCCCACAGATTCTGTGAGCTGTAATATTAGTAATATGCTGACTCCGTTGTAGCGCATCACAGCTGCATTGCTCGCGTCATGGCCATTGATGTATTGAGAATCACAGCCGCTCAACTCATCAAGAAATATCGCTTCAACCTGGCCCCTGGCGAGACAGGCCACCGTGTGCTCGAAGATATGAAGGACCAATTGGCACCCAATCCGGGTCATTTGGCATTGATTTTTGAGAAGAGATAGTTCTGCAATAGTTCCGAATGTTACAACATACATAGCAATATCATTTAAAATTTTTACCATCATGACTATCTTTTTTGACTTCTAGAGAAAATGATGATCATTATATCAATTGGAATAGAGGATCGACAGTTTACAATTTTGCAAACTGATGAGCGTAGGATACCTAGCTGGTTGTTTGTTGCTTGGACTTCGCTTGTGGCAGAAGGTTAGGAATTTGACTTCTAATTTGTCAACAAAACTCGCTTAATTAAAAGGGGGCCCTAGTCCAATGGCTTACCCCTCCAGCATCTGCTGCTGAGCATCACATGTTTCTGTCTGAGTTTGTACCTTGCTCAAAACAAAATGATGATATTAGAAGGATTCGAAACCTTGTCTGAGATAAGCTCGCAATTGACAGCATTTGCCGGCATGAGACGTTGGCAACAGAGCACGCAACAAACAGGCACAGTATCATGACTAAGTTACGATTACATCGATCAAATCGTTCTTTCCGTATACGTTCTTTTGATGGTGATGGTTCCAACATCTGTGCCTCAAACGCTGGCCAAAGGCTAATTGTTGAGTGCACAAAGCCTTTCTTAACGTTCGAGCCATGGTCTCAAAGCAGAAGTTGGAAAACATTTAACCGAAATATGGAAGGTCACTATGCGTTGTTTGTGAGCAACTGCTACAGTAGCAGTTACGCCCGTATTTCTAACTCTGCAAGTGGAACGCTTTCAGTTTATGCATACTTGGGGCGCTGCAATCACCACCCCTTGATCTCTCGCGTATCTCCGTGTGCGACGGAACCACGTGTAGCCGGACTTGCACAAGATCCGCAGCCGCACCCTGAAAACTTTATGATATCAGGAAAATACTAGGGTGTGTTTTTAGCAGAGCGATATTTCAGTTTAGCGATGCAGGGTCTAAGTTGATGGTTGTGTCGAAGAGCAGGGCCCTTACCCTCGAAGAGCGCTCTGAGCGGTCGCACACTTACGAGATATAGTGTCCTGCTGGTCAGTCGGACGGAGGAGCCTATAGGAGAACCTTCTCTTCGGCGCAGAGCATTTGGCTTGGAGAAATGGCATGGATTAAGAAACTAAAGGCGACGCGGACCGCGGCGGAGCGCAACGAAGCGCTGTTCTGTAAACTTCGTATATCGTAAATAAGAGCAAGGGGTAGTTGCCGGCAGTGGGCGCACGAGTGTGAGTGTACAGCAGAAGCCAAAAAGGCCCGAAAGGGCGGTGCTGGGAAGAATGCACATCATCGTCGTTATCACATTGTTGGTGATACTCGAGTATTCAGTAGATCAAGACGACGTTTGATAGCAAGAATTTGACAACCCGAACTTCAGAAAGGCTAACTTTGGAACAAGGAGCTCTGATAGAAATTAGCCGGAGACTATCACTATGTGCAGAGGAGGCAAAGGAATTGGGAGACATCTTGCGTGATGAGATCCTCTTGCCATTTTAACTCTTTTCCGTTTTTCCTGCTTTCGTTAGCTTACTGTAACGAAAGAGACCTGTAAATGTAAAATAACTACCGCAAGGGTAGTATTGATGATATCTATCTTCCTTCCAACTTGGAAAGGTTCTAGGCCTACAAAGTTCAGCGGAGCTCAGACCTGTCACGGCACAAAGCTCCTAGTCGACCGCCTGGGCACCTGGGTATTGTCCAGTGATGACAAGCGTGGCTGCGTGGGGAAACTCTTTCGTTCCCATGGATCCATCTCACGGATCCATGGAGTTTCGAGGGGAAATCAGCTATTGCTCACCTGTCATAGTCAGTAATAGAGACAAACTATAAGTACACTGGAAACGCGTGACTGAGGTGGTGAATTTGAACGCAACAAACGCTTAGAAAACTTTATGTCCCAAAAGAGTAGAATGACGGGAATGGCTTTTGACTTCCCTACATGAGTGTTATCAGATTTGCAGATAATCTTCAAGATGCACGTGGCACCGATCATTGAAATGTGTCGGTGAAACATCGGTTGAACTTATCATCAATTTGACAAAAAGTTCTAGCTTTTGTACAAAGCCCCAAAAATACACTATGCCACCTCCAAACAAATTGAAATTACCCAAACAACTGATTGAACAATTGGGAGGTGAAGGTTAGTAGTGCTTTTGATTGATTTCAAGAAAAGTAAGCTAATGCTAGTACGTAGATGCCCTTTCCAGGAAAAGAAAAGGTGGTAGTGGTGGTGGAAGACCAACAGCGAGGAAAGACCTGAGAAAAGCTGCGAGAGCTGAGAAGAAAGAATTGAGATCCGGACCACCTCCTGCGAAGAGATCGAAGATTCAGCATCACCGAGATTCTGCGCCACGTTCCGAGGCGCCCAGCAAACGCGAGTCCAATTATCGGCCCGCAGAACAGCATAGCAAATCTAGCATAGAAGCTAAACCTAAATCTATCCTCAAAACTACGAAGAAGCGCGACCCCGTACCGCGGCAAGATTCGCGGTCTATAAGTCCACCACCAAGAAGAGTCCCTCAGATAGTCAAGGATAAGCTGGCGGATGAAGACGCTGAGATCGCCGCATTGGAAAAGAAACTAGGATTAAAAGGAAAGAAGAAGAAGCCTGGTGGGTTCGATGAAGACGGGCTTGACGATCTGCTGGGTGATTTGGATGAGGCAGAAGATGAGGATGTTGTAGAGAAAGAGAAAGCGAAAGCTGAAGGTGATGAGTGGCTTGAGAAGAAGAGGAAGGAGGCGAGAGAGAGGGGGTCTGCCCGAAATCTGGCCAAAATATCCGAAGTGAGAAATGATATCGACAATAGCGACAGCAATTCCGACGATAGTGAGGGCGATGACGATATAAGTGGCCTCTCAGAAATATCATTGGATGCGGATGAAGATCTATTCCCTGACGACGATTCAGGAGACGGATCAGTTGATGAAGACACTGGAGATGTTCTGTTTAGTGACGCAAACGAAAGTGACGCCTCTGGTGGCTTTGATGAGTCTGAGGAAGAGGGCGAGCTTGAGAATCCAACCCAACGAGTACGAGAAAATCCCTATGTTGCGCCAACGAACGGAGGAGAAAAGCCTCAAAAGTACATACCCCCTTCACTTCGAAAGCCTGCAGCATCTGAATCAGAGTCTTTGACTCGCTTACGGAGACAGACCCAAGGTCTGGTTAACCGATTAACAGAGGCAAATTTGATTTCCATCTTAGGAGAAATAGAAAATTTATACAGACAAAATGCGCGGCAGCATGTTACTTCAACACTGGTTGATTTGTTGCTGAACTCAGTCTGCGAGCCCACGAGCTTACCTGATACGCTCATCATACTCCCCGCTGGGTTTATTGCTGCTGTTTACAAAATCATTGGAATGGACTTTGGCGCGCAGGTTGTCCAAAGGGTTGTGGAACTATTTGACGAACATTATGAAAGAGCTAGTGCCACCCCAGAGAGCAGCAAGGAGACATCAAACTTGGTCATGCTGTTGTCGGAACTATATAACTTTCAGGTTATCGGTAGTAATCTCATTTATGACTATTTCAAGCTATTCCTTGGGAAATTATCGGAACTCAATGCAGAGTTATTATTGAAGATTATTCGAGCTTCAGGTCCACAACTGCGGCAAGATGATCCATCGTCATTGAAGGACATTGTAGCCATGTTACGGCCAGCAATCACAAGTGCAGGTGGGGAGGAGAACATGTCGGTACGAACGAAATTCATGATTGAAACGATCAACGACCTGAAAAACAACAAAATGAGGACTGGCCAAGCGGCATCGGCGGTTAATTCGGAGCACACTATCCGTATGAAGAAAACTTTAGGCACGTTAAATACGCGAAGTATCAAGGCCAGCGAACCACTTAGGATGGGACTTAAAGACATCAAGGATTCCGATAAAAAGGGCAAATGGTGGCTCGTTGGAGCAAGTTGGGCCGGAAACAGCACAAATGATAAAACGCCAGGCGATAGTCACATCAGCAACACAGCTCAAGTTGAAGACAGCGGAACTTCCGACCTCCTCGTCCTCGCCCGCGAACAGCGTATGAACACTGATGTTCGTCGGGCAATTTTCATAACCATCATGTCTGCCACCGATTTTCAAGACGCATACCTCAAACTTCTGAAACTCAAACTTAAAAAGGTCCAAGAGTACGAGATTCCGAAAGTCCTCATCCGTTGCTCTGGCGCGGAGAAGAGTTACAATCCTTATTATACTTTGATTGCAAAGAAGACCTGCGGAGATCGAAGGTTGAAAACAGCTTTCCAATTTTGTCTATGGGATCTTTTCAAGAAACTTGGAGAAGGTGACGAAGACGTTGATGATGTTGATGAGGATGAGGAGATTGATATGAGACATATTGTCAATCTCGCCAAGATGTTCGGGAATTTAATCGCTGAGAATTGTCTCAATCTTACCGCCCTCAAGAATCTGAATCTTGCGTATCTCCAACCCAAGACTAAAACTTTTATTGAGGTGTTGCTCGTTACGGTCCTCTTGCAATCTCAGAAGAGCGCGAAAGGAAACGATGAACAGGCCGTTATTTCTTTGATCAGCAAGGTGAAGGACACTCCGTCACTCATTACGGGACTGCAGTATTTCTTGAGGAAAGTGGTTGGTAAAACGGATATCGCAGGGGGGAAGGAGCAGAAACTTACTGTCAAGTGGGCATGTAAAGTTGCGAGAGAGGCGTTGGAAGCTATGGCTGCCATGGATACTGTAAAGTTTTGAGCGATTAGTGAGCTTTGACCAATTGTCAACTACACATGATTTTAGATGGCACCCAAAAAGCACGAAAGCTGATATCGGTGCTTCTTCCCGGTGAAGTGTTCGAGCATCGAATATACTAAACTCACAAATTGCTTCTCAAAATATACTTTCCACTTTATATAGCTAAATCCCAAGCTGAGATAAGCCGAGATAGATTACAAATCCCATTAATATGTTTTTATTCTGACTCTAGTCACTAGAATTTTATCAAACTTGACTCGCAATCAAACGTGAAAAGAAGACGACTCATCAGCGGAAATGCGAGGACGCCAAATCATACTTTGATATTCACACCAAATAGTAAATCGAGTATGACGGTGTAACTTTCATTCACAATCAAACATTTCTATGGTCCCGAACTCGTCTTATATTTGCTTTCACTGTAACTTAGCAAGATTTCCAGGTTCTCCTTAAATTAAATTAACTCACTTACTTTTTCTACTTTTAAATTAGAGTAAATTGTAGATAATAAGATTAAGTTTTAAAATAATATGCGATAAAATAAAACTAGTCAAATAATCTATCTAAATTTTGAAGTTAAGAAAGGTCCAAAAAAGACGAAGGCAGGGGTGGTCATAGCCGACATTCACCCGAGAACTCCACCCCCACCATGTCATGCCTCCCAAAAGTCCCCTTCATACACATCCGTCGTCACAAATTGTACCTCTACACACACACTCACAATGACGAAACCTCTCAGCAATGATGAAGTAAGTCCACCTCACCCCCCTCAACCAATGCGCTCACCATGAATCCTCCTCGAACATGACTAACACACAAACAGTTCTTCACCCAACTCACCTCCCTCTTCCAAAGCACAACCCACGGCTCCGTATACCTAACACAAAAACGCAGTGCGTCCTCACCCCCTTCCTCTCCAAACGCCCTCTAACCCTTCCTCAGTGCCCACGCCCCAATCCGCCCCGTCACCGACAGCCGAAGTGCCATTCCCAGACCTCGCGCCCAGCGCACCCACATCCATCTTAATCCGCGCGACGAACGGGGAGAACGCGAAGGGACGGAAGGAAGGGAAGAAAGTGAAGCTGTCGACGGTGGTGGAGAGTGAGGCGATAGAAGGCTTCTATGCGCGGTATGCGGAGGTGTGTAAGGGGGGGATGGTGGGGGGACTGAAGAAGAGGGATCGGAGCAAGGCGAAGGAGAAGTTGAAGGCTAAGAAGAGGAAAATGGGTGGGGAGGTTAAGGTTGAGGGGAAAGCGTGAGGGGGTGCCGGTTGGAGCAAAAGTGCCGTGAGCATGGGGATTCATATGGCATGGGCAGGAAAGGCAAAACGTGGGATACATATGGCTTGTGCGAATTGCATAGCATTTGGCGCGAGGAGGCGTTAGTATGGCAAAAGGGACGTCAAGATACCATTGCTCTGAGGGCTATCATACCGTTTACGGCCCTGCATATTCACAGATCAGAAGACACAAAGTTGGAAACATGGACTGCGTATGTAGGTGACTGAAATTCTGCGAGCTATATGTGAAACAGCTTCGTTGTAACCAGAATTGAACCGATGTCTCTACGCTGATTACCAACGCAGATTCGACGATTCAGAGCGTAACAACTCTAGGGTCTTATGCAATGCTAAATATCTATGTAAAACAAAATGGAAAGAAAAATATGCCCCATAAATCTCGCCCGCCCAACCTCCGCTATGCAAGCAATTATACAGCTTCGATGCTCTCCTGCCCTCCCACCTCCCGAACAAAAGAAAAAACGCCGAAAATGCTTGAAGCCTATGTGATCCCCAGTGCGCCTCCACCGAATGCATCTAAGTCCGTTACCCAACATGCTTAAACGAGTGTGTATGGTGTGTAGTATTGATGTACAATATATCTGCAGGCTTTCCTTCAAGATATGTACTTCATGTTCTCTTGCAAAACCAGACTGCGCGATGTACGTACGTGGTTGAAAGTAGTTACAGAGAAAGTTGACGCTCGTCAAGATGGCATATGACGAGATGCCCGAAAGGAACGATGTGGAATGCGAATGCCGGGGATAAAATATGTTTGGAGCGAGAATGCGAAAATGCGAAAATGCGAAATGGAAACGCCGGATGCTATGTGTAATGGTACTTGCCCTGATGATGATAGTAGGTTAAGTGTAGAATATGCTGATAATGATGTCTGATGTAACCTAGCTTGTCTATCTCTCAAGGGAGCAGAGGCCGGTCGAGGTGTCTGATTAATGTAATAAGATAAATGGTTGGGTGGTGGCGTGGGTTAGGTATCAAGAACTGCCAAATATGATCTCAGTGTTCTTGTGACGCGAATGGCATCAGTCGAGGAGATAGCTCTACGAGTCTTTCTATGAGAGAAAACCCGCTGCCAGTCTAGGAAAAACTTATGCGTAGTTATTCTGAGACTTAGGAAGCTCTGGATAGCCCTCGAGATGTCGCTGCTCGTCGTCTTTAACCGTTTCATGGGGAGTTGTCGACTGAAACAGCTGATCGTTAGTCTGGGAGTTGCCTTCATGTCTAACAAATTGGCCATTCCAGTCGGGCGTGAAATCGTGATAGCCGGACGGACTTTGCTGCATGGAAGTGACGCTATTCATGTCGTATGGTAGCCCCTGTATATTCGATCGTTGATTAGCCTGGGAACTGAGTAGACTCCACGTTAGTGATTTCACGTACATGGTGAGAAACAAAAGCTGAATCAGCCACATCTTGCGAGTGGTCAAAGTTGGCTGCTATTGCTTCATTCTGAGGGTAATGCTGGTGAAACTGGTTCGGTTCGGCTATGTCCTCTTCCATCAAGTTATTACTACCGGGTAGATGACTGGCGAAATAGTCGTTGTTTGGTGGAGAGTCTTGAGGAGTCTGCATATTGCTATGGAAAGGGGAGCCTAGCTTGGGGCTGCGATGTTGAGGATATGCGCTCGTTTTTGGACTACTCTCCATCTTCGTCAGAGGACTACTTGTATGTGGCTGATGGGGCGGTGAATGAAACTGTCTAGAAGAACCATTGTTGGCAGTGCTTCGCGTTGTCGGCAGATTGGCTGCATACCCGGCGTGGCTCATCCCGTGGAAAGAGTGATGGTCGACTTGCAAATGGCTTTGTGAAGGTGTAGGCTGATTCGGATACATGGGAGAAGATGTATTGTTGGCCCCAAACGGGCTCTGGATGAAGTTTTCGGAACCGGCAGGAGAAGGCAAGGCGCCTGGACCGGAAGGTGGGAATCCAGGAGGGCTGGAGATGTCGTAAAATGAGCTGTTAGATGAAACGGAATTTGGTCTTGCTCGTGGAGAGTGGTTATATGGTTTGGTAACTCTCCCAGGGGTTCTGAGGCTCGCTGATCTGGTGGTCCTTGTAGTAGACTCTTTCTTGATTTCTTTTCCCTTTCCCTTGGCTCTCTTCTTCACGTCATAAAGTGACTCCGGCCGTGCGTGAGTCTTCTTATGTCGCTGTGCCGAATATGTCGAACGTCCCATCGCAGGTGATGCTTCCGAAACAGTTTCCAAAGCTTCTCCCAGAGCCTCCCGTGCATCAGGCCGCTTCGATCCACACGTCCCACAGCCGTATGTGCTTTGGCAAGAACAACATGCACCGGCCGCCTCGATCTCACGTCTTCTCTCTTGGGGAGTTCTCTCCTGCAAACCAAGCGTTGTTTTCGCAAAGTTGAAGTGCGGTTGAAGATGTGGCATGTTCTTGCACCTCCAGCACCCTCCGGTGTCTCTTTGCTGGAGGTCGGATGGGGCGACTACGATACACAAGTCTCCTGGGCATCTCTCTTTACCCCACGATGCCGGGCAGCTGGGCGTACGTTCTATGTCCCAAGACAGAAGACCGCAACATGACAGTGTAAAAGGTTTAATTTGGCACATCTTGGAGAGGTGCCAGTAAGACTGACTTGCCGTTCAAGGGTGAAGTCCTATCGCTTTGAAAGCGTGGAGCTGCCAAGCCTGGTGTAGTCGATACACAAGCTTCAAATGCTTCGTTGCCAAGTAGATGACTGGTTAGGATAGGATGAGGTTGGTGTGGAGTGATCGATGTGGTCGAGGATGAAGTGGTTGAGGATAAAAAGATGGAAGGGTATTGATGTGACCGGTATCGTGCTCGTTAACAATACGATCTGATTTCCTAGGCGAACCGATATCGCAAGCGCGAACCCTTCAAATGTACAAAAACAATGGTGAATGCCCGATAAATGTTCTAGGTCGGTGGTTTCTAATAGTCTTAGTTGATGATGTGTAGTGGGATGAGTCTGTAAAAATATTGAAGTTATTGGATATTCCAAGGATTGGGTAAACTGGGTAGGTATGATAGAAGGATAGCTATGGGAGAGTTGAAGAATCCTTATAGAATTTGTCATTAGATGACTGTCGGGGAATATGAGTGAATAACTCACCTGAGTACTTGATACCTCCGAAGTGATTCATAACAACAACAGATAGCATTGTCGCTTTGTGATCTAATAACATCACGCCCTCTGATTGTTGAGAGATGATCTTCAGTTAGAATGTATTCGAGAGCTTGCTCATCTGGACATCTGGATTCACAGGAGCGCCTGTGTTGTTACAAGTGCATCAAAACAATTACCAGAGATACATTGGAACCGGAAGTAAAGTCCGATAAGTCTTCTATTGTCTGCACTACCGTTCCAGACTCTGTTGCAAATTGAGGGAAACTTTTTTTTGAAGTAGACCATTGTAGAAACATTTCCACCCAAACCCATTCCCACGACCTATGTTGCAATTCGTCAAAGCACAGAATACAAAAAGAAAATACGGATTATTATGAAAGAAATAGTTTATTACAAACTATCCAGCCCTCATATCTTAATTCGATAACCTCCGGAGTTGTCTATGTTCGGATCGAGGATATTGATTCGTTAAGTCGACTTCTTGAGTGTGAAGAGATAGTGGAGCCTTTTTAAGACGCATTGTATGACAATTTGTGTGAGAATTTGGTACATGTGAGTGATAGCCAGGGAAGACACTGTTGCGGTGACACCCGCAGAATCAAACACCAAGATGTCGTCCTCGAGAAGTGACCAAAGCATTTACATGATCTGGTCTTGTGTCAAACTGGTCGCCTCGGTGTCCATCGCGTCGCCACCAGCACCAGGAGTTTGGTATTTGACAAAGGTCAAGCCCAAAGGCCGGCCACCATATTGATATCCAGAAAATTTCTCAATAGCTGTCTCGGCATTCTCAGCAGAATCGAACCGGACAACACCAGTTCCACGAGATCGTCCATTGGGCTCGTATTGAATCTCGGCCTGCTCGACTTTACCGATAGTGGTAAATAGCTCCACAAGATCCTCGTTGCTTGTAGACCATGGCAGCTAAAGAGGGATGTCAGTATGCATGTTACCACAAGGAGGTTTACAGTCCATAGCGTGAGACTTACATTGCGAACATAGATGATCTCGCTTCTTTCGGTTCCTGCAGTAGCGAAATCGGTAAATGGGTTTGGTGGGGCAGAAGAAGCTCCTCCGGCACTAGGATCAAAACCACCACCACCAGCGCCATAACCCCCCCCAAATCCACCGCGTCCACCGCCGAAACCACCTCCAAACCCACCACGTCCGCCAAACCCTCCTCTGGCACCAAAGCCTCCTCCAAATCCGCCACGAGCACCGAAGCCTCCACGACCCCCTCCAAAGCCACCTGGAGCAGATCCAGCAAATCTATCTTCGCGGACTTCAAGAGGGCGTCCTTGCCAATCGTAACCATTGAATTGTTGAATAGCGTTACGGGCATCATCAGGAGATTCAAATACGACAATACCAGAGCCCTTGGGTCGCCCGTCGGGTCCAACGTGGACATCCGCACGAATGACAGTGCCGTTGCGAGCTACAAAATACAGGGTTAATGACGCGCTCTACTATATGCAAGTTAGTAATAAGGGCAGTACTCACTAGCTTGGCGAAATAGATCTTTGAGGTCTTGCCATCCAACCGTATAGGGTAGCTAAGAATCAGAGTTAAAATCAGTTTTTCCCATAAAGAGCAAAATCAGTAGGGAGGTTGTAACAAACGTTGGAGACGTAGATTTGGCGGCCACCACCACCACCTCCTGCAGCCATGCCGCCTCCAAATCCACCTCCTCCGAATCCACCTCGTCCTGGTCCTCCTTCGTATCCGCCGCGGGCTCCACCAGCGGGTGGCCCAGTAAATCGAGGTTCGGCCTCACGGTCCTAGAGCAAAGGTAAGTAAAGCCGCATGATACAAGAGAATCATACAAATACGTACTTCACGGACATAGACAAGTCTCCCCATGAGGTTTTGATTGCTGAGAGTGTTGACAGCCTGTTGAGCTTGTTCCCTAGTAGCATATTCTACAATGCTGAAAGCAGTTAGTAATTGCGCTTCAAGATTCAAGATTTTAACTTACCCGCATCCCTACATATCCCGTGGAACAACGTCCAATCCGTCAATCCAACATTCCATCAATGACCAAGAAAGAAAAGATGCAAAAAGCCAGCTACGTATAGGCGCCCACCTTCGACATTCCGTTTGGAAGTAACAACACGTCTGCAAATAAAACCTCCCCAGCTGCAGAAAAATAACCCAGTTAGCCCATCTCCTTCCGCACCAATAGCCGTCCTCAAAACTAACCAGATCTCATAAAGTCTTTGAGATGATGCCATTTTACATCGTATGATAAGTTGCCGACGTAGACACGACGGTCTTGTTGCGAAGATTCTCGGAGACTGCTCATCATCTGCTCTCTCGCAGCGGCGCGTTCCTCGAAAGTCCTGTGTGGACCACCGCCGTAAGCTGAACCACCCGAGCCCGCACCAGCACCACCTGCGCCCGACATTGGAGAGCGAGATCTGCGGTTGTCACGCGAACGAGATCGTCTTGGTGAATATGAACGACGTCTGCTTCGTCGTGGAGAACGGGAACGAGAGCGAGACCTCTCGCGATTCTGAAAGTTCTCCGTTAGTATCTCTGTCATGAAGAAGGATTGTCTAATCTTTCTGTTGGAAGGTGAATGATGGGGAGAAGTTGGGTTTTGAGGGAGAAGTATGGTTTTGTGGGTTAGCTCGCCCATCAGGGTGTGGCTTAGGCTGGAAACAGATTGCAAGTTGGATCTGCATGGAACCGCGACAACAAGGCTGCAACGCTTTGCGCCTAGGTCTGGGGCGATGGTGAAAGACTGTCTTCTGGAGATGGTGAGTAGAAGAAGAGCAACTCACGTTTGGTCGATAACTATCGTCAGCTACGTGAATCAGGATGAAATTAGCAAAAGCCCAAGCTAGATGGAGGAGGATGTTGTTGTTGAAGTTGAAGGGTGGAGGAGTAGGAGTCGGCTTAGGTGTTGGGCTCGGTATCCACTTTGGCTGAAGCAGTGAATGCAACGATTGATGCAAGCGTTGGGAACCTGGAGGGCTAGGAGGAGGGAGCACAACATACCCATGTTGATTTTGGTTTTAGATTGTCCTCTTGTGATGGAACAACACTACGCTGCTGAGCTGCCGGAGGCTCTGAAATCGCGCTGTGCACCAGGATATGAGAAGGGAAAAATCTGTAGCAACCACGAGTTAGTGGGACGGTCTCTAAGGTCGCAGATGAGGAGGTAAGGCTCCAATCAGAGCCGGGATTCGATGGCGAGGGATCCAATAACGTGCCACGGCTTTGCAAAGGCGGATGGCACAATGAGTGGGTGGTTCTTGCTTGCGTCCCACAACCTCCTGCCTGTCCTGATATTGCTGCACCACTGACTGGTATCCTGAGGAGCGAACAGCTGGCAGCAAGGCCGACGGAGCAGAGCAGCTGTGAGGGCTCGTAGGTGGTCGGCTTGGCTGAAGCCGTTTCCTCCTCCACGCATCTTGCAGCAGAGAAGCAGCCGGGCGACAGAACGATGCCGTGCATAACACATCACACCCGCTGAACCATCCATCCCTTCCCTTTCCATCATCGCTCGGCGTGGGTGCTGGAGGAGCTCATACCTAATTCGCTGAAGGTGGAAGTGCGGTTCTCTTGCGGTTTTGTGACCAGATTTCCGGAGCGAAGGGCCAATTGCCTGAAGAGACGTGAGCGAGAGCGCGACCCAGGGCTACGGACCGTCTGCTGTACGAAAGCTGCAGTTCGTTCGCTCATGGAGGGGGCAGCATACCTTTTCGAGTGGTGATACAATCAATCCAGGGCGGCAGCTGCTGCAACCAAGTCTCAAAGCGGAGAAGGTCGGCTCAGTCGACAATTCGCGATGGGTGACGGTGAATAATGCGGATGGCAGATGCAGGACTGGAGACGATGCGGATGCGAAAACGCGTCGAGGAGAAGTGTGTGTCAAGGTAGTTACGAGCCTAAGGCCGCTAGAGTGAAAACTGGCTGACAGTGCCAATCAGCGCCGGTGATGGAAGCTTTGTAGACCCACTCATGCAAAGCCGCAAGCCGAAGTCGTCGTCGGTGGATGCTGAGTGAGTGCGCTCTGCTGCTTTGGTCTGCCAGTCTGCTTCTGCTCCTGCTCCTGCTTCTTTACCCGTCTCGCCCGTCCGTCCAGCATGCCATGTGTGAACAACTCTCCTGCGCACGCCTACCTCGGTGCGGCCCGCGGAGGCAGAGGACTGTCTATGATCACTTCACTCTAACTCCTCCAGTCCAGAGACACACTGCTGACCCATGCGTGGCTAACACCCTTCCAGACAGTTACAGGAAGACTACTGTGCGTGGCATGAAGCCGGCCCCAATCTATTTGGAAATACCCGTATACGCCGGCTTCTGACTGCATTAAGTAAGAAATCTCTAATCCAGCAGAAATCCAACGCGATCAGCTCTGGTTATTGGAAGGACGTGAACCCGATATGCACCCAGTAGGCAGAGGTGCCTGACTACAGATCTTCCGGCTCAGTACGAGGGCACAGCGTCAATTACCCAGCTACCTCCTACTCTTTACATAAAGTAGTCGTAAGAATCTTGCTGAACGGCCCTTGCTCTTCCTCGTACACTTTCCACTAACAATGTGGTAGCGATACTCACCGAGTCTCACCCTCTGCCCTCGCCACTGAGGGTTGGGACTGCTTCATGAGAGCAATGGGTTCCATCTAGGGTTAACACTTTCTCGCTGAGTGGTCCTTCACTGAGTCTTGTTCTGCATTGCCCTAGCCAGCGTTGCATCGGCAGGTGGTTAAGACAAGCCCACAATTTTCTTTTCCAAATTTTGGAAGATACCTGCCCTTCTGCTCTACCTACCCAATTGTGCGAGAGGATCTCATGAGTGTCCAGAAAGAGCAGTTGACACCTGCAGGAATTGGCAGAGGGCACAGTGTGCATGCCACTGGAAGGTCCTTTATGCAAGAGTTCACGTGCATTTTGCTACTTGTACAACAATGGCCCCCACCAGCTTCAAGAACAAACTCTCCGAGTTCAAAAGTGATCACGATCGCCGATGAAGCGACATCCAACCTCAACCCCGTCTTCAAGAAGGCTGTGTCTGATGAAAGCGCTACTCCACACAGGTTCAATTATCCTTGATACTTTCGGCAGCCCTTCAAAATGAGACTCAAGAACTATTTATGATTTGATAGCAACTTAGTGCATCTACATGAGGCCCGGCTTGATTAGATAATCCCTCCAGTTTCTAAATGAAGGAATTGTCATTTAGCTGTGCTGCTCGTAAACATCAAGATAGGTATACCTCCTCAACGATAATCGAAACTCACTTTCCGACAAGACTAGTGATTACACGTTACAAAACGTTCCAACAACTTCATCCTAAGCAGTGGCTACCGACTATATAAGCAGAATTATGTGTTTCTTAGTATCCTTTAACTCAGCTACCATACTTGGTTCTTTAAAATCGGTGGAAGATCCGCGACTTAGCCTTCACTTTGGGACCTGTAATAACTTTGACAATTGCTAGGCATAAGGTGTTTGTCAGCTGTCTACGGCTTATGCCCAACATTCGGTAATATGAAACTATGGTTATGCCGTTCTTAACCAGCGATCTTGACGTCTTCTTGTTGTTTGATACCGGTTTAAATTATTCAGCGTGATTTCGAGCTCTTTTTTAGACAAGGGATCCCAACACCTGTAAACAATTAACCTTAGTCTAATATACCCTCTCTCTCTCATCAGTCTCTAGGAATTGGTCAACCTTGGAGTTCATGCTCAAACTCGTCATTCCCCCAAAAAGAGGGCTTTTTCTAATACTATATTGAGTAGAATCTGGAAAGCAGACACCTTCCTAAATTCATAGAGATAGCCGTATTACTTATTCTTCAAATCAGTTTAAAATTAATCTATAATTCAGAAGTAGAAAAATTTTGAGGCTCAACTGTATGGATTGTACTCGCTGGAGAGCCTGGGCGCTGGCCCTCATCCTGAGGCAGGTCCGAGCTTCTTAGCGCCGAATGAAGCGAACAACAGCGTGGACAAACGAACCTCATCTTCCGAAGACGCGCAACCACACGGCTGAGGATCATTGCACAACCGCTTCTGCCTTGACTGTATTTGTATAACTCGGCTCATCACAGATCTTCAGATTCTCTGTTAACGCTGAACCTCAAGCTTTGTACTTGATAGCAAGCTCCGTCGCCATTAGTTTCGTCAAACCGATTCTCCATCCAATCCCGCCACTATCCTTAAGCATCATTATCTAGACTAGTCGGGCCGCCAATCACGATACTTCATCTATCATTCCTTATTCGGACTCTAAGACAACATTGGGCCGACTCTATTAAGAGCTCCTGCACTATTACCATTGTAAACTCCAGCTCTTACTAGGGAGGTTAACCCTCAGCGCAACCCAGCAATCTATCTCCCGTTGAGTCAAAACAGCACACCTACGTTAGTTCGAGTAGATCATAAGGCCGAAATAGCATCCTCAAGCTATGGCGTCTTCTTCATTCAGAGAATCTATGAACTCACTCGGATGGTCACGCCGTGACCCGGATGTTCCGGTGAACACTGCTCAGCAATCCGGCCTTCTATCATCCATCAAATCTTTAAATCCATTTGGCGACAGCGGCTATGTCAGGCTTCCCACAACTGAAGGGCCTGGAGCACCTTTACCAGCTAGGACTCGGCGAGAAGAAGAGGAAGGATGGTTTGCATGTGAGTGAACACGTTTTTCTCACCACATATCTATCAATGAGCACCGCAGTGTCCTCCATACACATTCAAGGCAGCAAAGCTGATTATCATTACTATTAGTGAGCAGATGGGATCGACTCCTGGTTTTCACAGGCTGTAATCTTGGAGCACTTGCATGCTTCGTTATTTGCTTCGTTTTGTGGCCAGTGATGATGACTCGGCCAAGAAAGTTCGCGATATTGTAGGTGAAGCAGATGTCTTTGTACTGTAAGTATGAATTATCGCAAGAGCTAATTACGAGACTTCAGATGGTCGCTAGGCTCCCTTCTCTTTTTGTGTTCTTGGGGGGCAATGCTAGGTCCCATGAACTATATCAAGCATCTGATGTCAACGCCACGTCTGCCTTTCACAGGCGCATACTTTGGATCTATCGGTCTTACTATGTATTTTAGTCTTGGAGTAAGTTCCTTATTAGAATCCGAATGATCTCGTTCTGACAGTTGATTGCTAGCTTCACTCGACTATTCTGACACTTATATCTGCTTTGGTACAAATGGGCTGTTTGATATGGTACTTGGTCTCTTATTTTCCAATGGGATCCAGTGGTTTGAGACTTGCTACAAGTTTCGGTGCCTCAAGAGCTGCCGCGTAAGTATTTCGCAAGCCTACAATTATTGGAGACAATCTGACTCGATTTAGCTGGATGACGGGATAAGTCCATACTATATCGCGAGCACCAGTCAAGAATGACGCTGCATGGTTATGACTTGAGCCATCTCGGTCTAGGTGCCATTTGTATATGTTGTAAAATTAAGCAATCATGTGACTGCCCTCAATTCTGTTGATATTGTTCTTAATAGATCCCGCTGCGGTCAGCCATAGCCGGAAGCTTGACTGAGAACCAAATTGAAATCTTCATAGCAGAACACAAAGTCATAACATAAATTACCAATGAGAGACGTCTCATCATTGCGTGGAAATGATTTGTCTATGGAAGAATGGGTACTTGCAAGTCGACGAATAAGGGAAGCAGGTAACGGTAAATAGGTAAAATGCCCAAGATAGAAACTGGCTGGAAATGGACAGGGTTTAGGGCAGGCATGGCACTCTATCGAGCTATGAAGCTTCCTCTTGCTTGAACCGTACGCGAATAATCAAGAATAATCAATACCAATTAAGAATTGCCGTATTGGGCCTTTTTCATCAAACCTAACGCACAATTACGCGAAGCCAAATTCATTGATACAATGATATTACTAGAGCAGTTGGCGGCATTTTACCTCTGATATAATTTTCTACCACGCAATATTCTAGTCGCATCGAAGCTATTGTTTGATCTGACTATGACATGTTGAATTATGGGCCCGGGAACTTGAGTTTACGACGGCTTGATTTTTGAGCAGGAAACTGGCAATCGACATTAAATTGCCGCCAAGAAGATAGCTACTTTTGATTCAATTCAAGATGATAGATTAAAAAAATGGAGCGTGCTCAAATTCAGTAAAACTACGTTTGAAAAGAGTCCATCGATCAGGTCAAACTCAACGTCTGCTAGGTCACTCATTTGGCCGAAGCATACAAGCTTCGAATCGGCTCAAGGTACGGTCTGACAAGGAACAACATACACAGGCAAATATGCAATCTTTCGCGTGCAAGCAAGCACTTTGGTATGCGACGGAGCGTCGTAGTGACGATGCCAGATGAAGAGAGGCCAGCAGGCCAAGCAGTTGCTATCAATAGCACCGGCGGCCCTGGAAACCCCTCAATAAGGGCTATTCAGCCGTGCAAAACGAGGAATGACACGGTGCACAAGCCATAAATAAATCAAAAACGTAGCAATCAAGATACGCGTGGGAAGGCAGAATAATTTTTGCAAATGCAACATGAATTGTGGAAATGAAAAGTTTGTGTATGTAAGAGCAGGTTGCCCAGGTATGGAAGGTTCGGTTGCTGCAAAGCGGAGTTGGGAGAGTTCTTTTCCAAGCTAATTTTTTCTACTCGTTAAGTCCAATATTCAATTCCATACCCTAAATAAACCAACGAAATCTTTCTGCCACCTCCCCCCATCTCCCTCCCTCCTTCTACCCTTGGCCATTTCGAGCAATCGCGGTGAACGGTCTCTGCGAACCCTCCTCCAACCTTTGTTTCCTTTTATTTCTTCCACGTTTCGAATATTTGTCGCCTTTGCCTCGGAACGTGCCATTCCACCGGCCTCCCGACACCTCGCGGTATCCTTCAGGTCGAAACGTACCACTCAGATACATTCTGCATCTTACGAAGCATATTCCTGGTTTCCGCTGGCTTGCTGGACGTCCAATCCGTCGAGGTTTGTCTTCCCCGCCTTGTTCAAGCTCACCATTGAGCTCCTACTCCTCGCAGCGTGAATATTCGCGCATTCAGGGCCTCGAAAAAGTTTTGGTGCAATCTCCACGTACTCATTTTCTGCTGGCTAACATTTTTCTGCGTTCAGCATCTGTGCGGCTTTCGGCATTCACCCTCACTTTGGTTGACAGCAGTTTTCGTGTCATCAAACATTACGGCTTGTTTCGATCTACGCGAGCCACTCTACCTTCCACATCCAAGTGTGAACCGCAGATAGCTGATTTCAACCTCATATTCGAAGAAGTCCCCAGGTAACTAAATTGCGTCTCACGCTCCCCTGCGTGGAACAAAGTTTTAGTCGAAATCACATTCGAGCCCGTTCTCGACCATCCCTCGAATCCACATCGCCGCCTAGTCCGCGCAATACTTTTACAGCTCCTCAGCGACAAGCAATTGGTTGGCGCAGTGGGAAATCGTGCGGAGAGGTCGAGTACACCTCTCCGGACATCAACTGGAGGTGGTCGAAGATCACCAGCCGGTGTCTGTTAGATCTGGACAAATTCGGTCCTCTGCTTCCGTGAAGCACGCTTCGGCAACAAATTCCTACAAACTTGTTCAAAACTCCACCATGAGTTCCACTACATCCAGATCAGCCGGTGAGGCGACTGCCACACCTCCAGTATTTTCTTATGCCCAGGCAGCGAAGGGTCGTACTGCCGTAACTACGAACTCAGGTGCTACCTCGAATCAGGCAACATCCGGAGTCAGCACGCCAGCTAAAACCTCGAATTCAACGGTCAATACCCCATCAGTTGGATCGGAGCGGGGCGAGCAAAGCGTAAATGGCAGTATTGATATTCCGACCAAGTCGGAACAGCCTGTCGAAGTAAAGTCTGAGGTTATGGGGACAACACCCACGAAATCAAGCTCGCGCCCTAGCTCACCCACTTTGGAAGTGGCATCGAATCCTGCGCTTCACACAGAGGAGAAGGATGACTTCATACTTGTTGGTGGTCATGCGGCAGAAGCCTCGCGTGAGCGAAGCTCACATACTGGTGGTGCCGACAAAGGTGCGGAGGTCACCGAGGGCAAGAGAGGAAAGAAGGGTAAGAAGCAAAAGAATGCCGAGAAGGAAGCCCTCGAAAAGGAAAAGGCTGCGGAGGAAGCAAAACTACAGGAACAACTTGTTCCAGCTCCATTACCTGCCGTGAACTTTTGGCTTCAGAGGAAGGAGGAAGCTGCCAAAACCAAACCCAATCCCGCTCCTACCTCAACCACACAAGCGCCTGCTGAAACCGTATCTGGTGTAGACTCTCTAAAGAGTCCAGACACGAAGAGACGAAGCGGAAAACCAAACACGAGTGACGACTCGGAGAAGCCTACTGGGGGTAATCAAAATGGCACCACCAAGGAATTGCCAAATGGCACTAAATCTCAGAAGAAGCCTAACGAAGCCTCAAGTAAACTGAGGGATGACCAAGCTCCAAAGCGAGCTGGTCCGCGGGGTGGTAGAGTAGGCGAGAAAGAGGAAAAGTCTCCAGTCACACAATTACCACCACCGGTCGAAGATGCTACATCTTGGCCTACACCCGAAACCGCATTGGAGGAAGAGAAGCGCAAAGCTACTGAGAAGTCAGAGAAGGAAGAGAAGGATGATTCTACGTCAAACAAGCCACGGCCTAAAGAGAAATGGCAGACACTACCGTATGTCCCATCTGTTGCATTCAACACTCCTCTACCTTCCAGAGGAGGTAGAGGGCGAGGCGGTGCTCGTGGTGGTGCTCGCGCAGAAGGAGGCCGTACTACCAACACAAATGCCAACGGCATTGCCGGTGAAAAAGCGCCAAACGCTTCCACCAGTACTGCACCTGGGACTGATGCGGATAAGCGATTGAGCAGAGGGGATGCTCCAAGAGCTGCGTCTCTTCCGCCGAATCAGAAGAGACCTTCGAGCGACCCTTCCAGTGCTAGGGATCAGAGAAAACCAGCGTCTGTTGAGAAGTCAAGAGGTGGTATGAACAGGGGGGGGTCAAGTGACGTTAGAAACACTCCGTATGGAGAACAGGCTTCTGAAATCGGTGCTGACCAAAACTATGCCCGTGGGGACGGACGGACAATGAAGCAAGATCCAGCCGCATCTCAAGATGCGCATGTTCACTCAAGATCTAGTGCAGAGAGGCGAAGTGAACCAAATGTTAGATCTGGTTTTGAGCAATCAACACGAACAGAAGGTCGACAAGATCGTGGTCGTGGAGGGTTCCGAGGTCGTGGAAGCCACAATTACCAGAATGGCCAACATCCTCCGCCGCATCTCTACACAAACGGCCACACAAATGGTTATCCTGGACGACAAGGTTCTGGCCCTTATAGCCCACCTCTACAAGGCCCACCATACAATAGCCAATACACCATGACCAACTCGCGAGGTGGCCGAGGCAATCCACGCTCCCAGTCGATACCAAATCCTGCAGCGTATTCACGCTTTTCAAATGGCGGGCAAGGTCAACATATGCCTCCACCGCTACAGACTTCTAACATGTATGACTACACACAACCTTTGCAGTCAATGAGCGCAGCACCTTTCAATACTTACGTCGATCATGCTTCTGTATTAGCCATGGTCAAGATGCAGTTGGAATACTACTTCTCGATTGACAATCTTTGCAAAGATGTATTCTTAAGAAAGCACATGGACAACCAGGGTTTTGTGTTCCTGAACTTTATTGCCAGCTTCAAGCGCATTCAAGCGTTGACCCAGGATTTTGAGCTGCTTTACTATGCCTGTCACGAGTCTGAGGTCATCGAGCAGATACGAGGCGAGGACGGTATCGATAGAATGCGGAGAAAGGACGGGTGGGAGAAATGGGTACTTCCAGTTGAAGAAAGAGATGAATCCGCCAGAAATGCTGGACCTTCCACTCATTGGAGACCTCCACCACAACACATGAGGGGTCAGATGATCATGTCTGGCAACCATTCGATGTCTCCCCCGCCATTCTCTCCGAATGGAAATGAAGGTGGATTTCGGCCTTATGGAAATGGTAGCCCTGCAACAGCGAACATGAATGGAAACGGTAATGGCTATCATCCAGAGACTCCTCTGTCGGCGGCCGTGCCCGACTTTGCTCCTGGTCTTCTTCTGGTCAATGGCTCGGGAGATTCTGTCGAGACATTTACTGACGAAGAGGTTGCGAATTTGACACTTGTCTTCACTCCCGCAAAGGTTGCCGATGACTCCAAACCTAAAGCACCATATCATACATCGGCATCTAGAACCTTTTCCAATGGTTCAATCGATGGTAGATCGATAGCAGAGGAGATGAACGATGATGGCCGTCAGGGTCGCGCATTGACCAATGGCTCTCGAGCACCTGAAGCGTAAGTCTTCTACCGTCATTCTAGGCTGCTCCAAATACTGATTTTCATATTATAGTTCCCCTGAGTCCCTCCGTCGTTCCAGGAGTCCGTTTACGCCACTCTCGCCGACAGCATCGGCTCATAGCAATAGCCCACCTGTGATGTGGGTGAAAGGTCAACGTCAACAGGCCCCAGTTTCTGAGTACCAATCACGCGAACCATATTTCACGTTCCGTGCTCGTGCATTGAAGCATCGTGAGACCTCTGCCGCTGGGCAGACTCACTCGGATATGAAACTTTTGTACGAGTTTTGGTCGCATTTCTTGTGTCGAAATTTCAACACGACAATGTATACCGAGTTCCGCCAATACGCCCTTGAAGATGCACAATCCCACGCCTTAAGTGGAATGAAGAACTTGATCTCTTATTATGACGAGATGTTGATCAGCAAGAAAAAGCCAATCCCAGACACCTTGGCCGGTCATTATGTTGATCTGGTGAAAGGAGAAAACTCTGGTGACAGACCGGCCTTTGAGCGTCTGCGTGCGGCTTGGCGGAACGGAGCTCTTGATTTGAGGAGCCGAAAGAAGATTGACAGCTTGGTCGATCAGAAACTACGAGAAGAGCTTGAGCAAGCACCGAAGCAGAAACAGGAACTATCTTGATCTTGATATCGGGTTTTTGGGTCATTATTCTTTTAGCCGAACAATGTGTGCGATCGTGCCTCTTAGGGCATGAGAAATCTTCAAAACGATATTGATACGACCGTCCATTCTCTTGGTCGGGTCAATATCTCACCTATAGTCTGCGACAAGGCAGATGGTTAGTGTTGGGTTCACAACAACAATTGTATCTACGAGTTTTGTTTTAAGTTATTACCGGCGTTTGAGATGGGCTCACAGGAGATTGGAGAACTCTACGGAATCTTCTTATTGAGTTTCAAATTCTCTTCGCTTTTCGAGCACGAGCATGGCTATCGAGACACGAACCATTTTGATTTTATATGTTCATATTCTGGCATAGCTTCGGTCCAGCTTCTTTCCCACAAAAGTACAGGCAGACTCTTCTCAGGCGTAATGCTTTTTCCTCTGGTAATGCCTGCATGCATGTGTCGGACTTGCGATTTGTTCTCTTTTAGAAAAAAATGTTGGCTTCTGCACGCGAGTCTCTTATGTCTCGTCACCTTGATGAAGGAGGGAGGTCAGCTACATATTATAGAAAGAAAAACCTTGCTTAATTGTATCATAGCCATCGTAGCAAAAATGACAGCGACCAATTTAACTCACGCCGCATTCTTGGGCATCGAATAAATGATTCGCGATAAAATAGAGTGTGAGTACATGAGTACATGTCACCAGCGGATGTAGTGTCGTTTACGCCAAATCTCGATAAAGTTGGAGCTTGCACATAACTACGAATCAGATAATCCTACTCCTACTCCAATAGTAGGGTTTAAAACGTTGATCAATGACATTGCTGTTAATTAGTAGTCGGATATTTTACAATTACCCATCTTTTGCACTTTCGGAGTGATACCATGTTGAATCGCGCTTGCTTCTACAATTTGGGTTTTTTGGCACCTTGCTCCAATATTCGACATGACCTCACCTTCCTTCGATGCGACTGTTGATTAGGTTTTTCTTATCTGCATTAACTTGCTCACCTTCACTTCAAACTCAGAATATGCCCTAGGAATTCAGTTTACATTCTACAACGGACGCTCTCTCATGCCACTGTTTACCTTCGCTGGTTGCATACTTCTTCATCCTGATAAATCACACCACCATGTCTACTTTTACGCCAGATAACCAGAATACTGTTCGCGATATTGTGGATATCAAGAATAGGATTCAGGTTACTGAGAATGCCGACCTCATCGATCTCACAAGTGACGATGAGCGATCTGACCCGACAAGATCCGGTGGAACTTACAGCAACGAAGTGATTTCGATCTCAGACAGTGAAAGGGGATCTCCTGGAAATGCTTCCAAAAAGCCGACAATGGTGACACCGGAAGAGCTGGCGGAAATTCTAGAGAAGCATAGTATCACGGGCGACCCCAGAGAAGCACGAATGGAACCTGCGTCAAAATTCGTCAGGGCGTACCTGATCAAGAATGAGCCAAAATTTGTGAGAGTTATGGAATACAGAAATCGGGTATGTGCTAGTGGCGTGAATCGTTGCAGAATACCAATAGGCTGATTCTTTCCAGGGTTGGATTGAGAATAAGGAAAAGGGGGACGCGCACTTCAAGGCACAGCGAGCAAAGGCAGATCAAGCGGACCATTCTGGAGCGGAGAGATTCTACATAATGATGCAGCAGATTGCGAAAGAGATGCATATGGTTACTGGAGCTCTAGAGCCCCGTCAGCAAGAAGAACAACTGAAGTGTCTTGACATTTGCATGGCACCAGGAGGCTATACAGCAGCGGTACTCGAACGCCATCCCAATGCCAAATGTTTTGGTATTACATTACCTACGAAACAAGGTGGTCATCCTCTGTACGTTTCCACCAATGTACTGGCTGGCCTTAAACAGTTCGACGTCACTATGCTGGCGAACGAGTATTCGACAGGAGCTATTCCAAGAAACCATCCCGCGTATTCCGAGTTTATTCATCTGCGCCCCTTCAACCATTACAAATTCGACCTCATATTTTGTGATGGTATGGTCCTGAGGACTCAAGAGCGTCCTTCATATCGCGAACAAGTGGAGGTCACACGTCTAGCCTGTTCTCAAATGATTCTGGCACTTCAAAGAATTGCCGCTGGCGGTACAATTGTAATGCTACTACACAAAATTGATTCTTTCCAAGCTGCTTTTATACTATACACGTTTAGCAAATTTGCGGAGGTCGATTCGTTCAAACCAGCGAGAAAGCATGGTTCTAGATCTTCCTTCTATATGGTTGCAAAGAATGTTAAGCCTCAAAGTACCGCTGCCATATCAGCAATTGTGGAATGGAAAAGCTCATGGTGGCAGGCCACATTTGGAGGTGAGGATGGAACCGGTGAGCGCAAAGAGGACCCGCCAGAGAGTGTAGTTCGCCAGATGCTTGAGGAGTACGGAGAGCGACTTATTGAGATGGGTCGACCAGTTTGGCGTATTCAAGCAGATAACTTGAGTCGAACAGACTACGCTGGCGATGGTTCTGCTCAAGTCTTCCAGGACCGACGAGCATCTTTGGGCTCTTCGCATGAACGGACACCCAGAACGCCAATTAGCGGCAAGAATTTTGACTGGGGAAGAGCTAGAAAGGAAAATGTTGCTCCTGTTAGTCCTTTAGCTATGAAAATGTCTGATATGGATGGTTCTCCTTCAATGAGTGGAGACTAACACTGTGCGGAGTTAAGAGGATTGGAAGATTATATTCGCTTAACGACATAGCAGTGGGAAGTTTCGGCGTTATGGCTTTGAGGGACATACGATCAATATACTGATGTGTTGCGCATATTGCTAGTTTATTAAAGGAGCAATTAGTCCAGAATACCACCAACATCCAGTCCACATAATTCGTCCATATCGTGAGTGCATATGTGCTCTCTGCCTCCAACGTCCCAAATGCATGCACCGAGACCCTTGTGGGGCACCATTATTCGTTGCCAACGCAACCAGTTGAAGAACCCTGCACAGCAACTCTTCTCTCCACCACCAAGAGCTACAGTGCGTCTAACTTGCTTTTCATCGCCTGTTCCTGTTCTCTGATTTTCTAAAAGACCATTCTTGACTTCAAGGTTCCGGACTGTCTCCCATTCTCCAACGAAGTGGAACATTTTGTGCTCACCAAGTCTTAGGGTCATCGAGGTTGCGGGGCACATTCTGGAAAGTCAACAATCGCATTTTCACAAGCAAGCCGTGGGAGTACCCGCAGCGCAACGCAAAGATGCGGTCAACAATTCTCACATTCCTGATCCCGTCCATATCAGCACTCCAACTCGCGGCCTTCTACGAGCCTCACTACATCAGTAATGACGCCAACGACACCTCTTCCCTCGAACCTCCTCCATTCCACAACAACGAATTGCTTAAACGAGATGGCGGTTGTCCCGTCCAATTCAATTCCTGCTCAACACTCAACGCCAACTACGGAGGAGCATGCTGTACAGTCGGAAGCACATGTAGTATCGACGGCGGAAGAAACGTAGCTTGCTGTCCCATCGGCGCTCTCTGTACCGGCTCCATCACAGCCGCAACAGCGACAACAACAGGCGGTGTCATAATCGGCGGAGCCACTACCTCTGGCATCACAAACACACCCGCAACAACCACAGGCGCCGTGCCCACAATCACAAGCGCCGCAGGCATAGTAGCGAACCCCTACTTCCCCTTCCCCATCATCCAAACGACCTTCGCAAACGCAGCAGCATGTTCGCAGGCCTACTCGGCCTGCCAGGGCAACTACGCAGCTTGCACGGCGAATCTCCAGGGCGGCGCCTTTGGCGTGACGGTCGTGGCGCCGCAGGGTGGTGTGACGGTTGCGCCGACGGCGCAGAATCTGGGACCAGCGGCCGCGACGTCGATTTGTTCGAGCTTGAGCCAGGCGGCGTGTATGAATCTTGCGGAGGGGAATTGTGCGCAATATGGTGGTGCGACGACTGGGGGCAGCTTTGTGGTGGGAGGCTCAGCGAATGCGGCGCCTAGACAGACGGCGGGGTGTGTGGCGGCGATGGGGGTTATGGCGGGTTTGGGGATGGGGGTTGTTGGACGGATGGTATGAGTGTGGTTGTGAAGATATAGCAGATTTTGAAAATTGGGAATTGGGATCGCTTAATGTTTCGGATCCGGCGTTTGTGGTATATTTGGACTTCGACATATAGAGCATTTGGGAGGAGCTTGCTTGTCCTATGATATTATGATGTGGATGAGAATTTGAATTTGGTATCAAGTCATATATGAACCAGTCCTCACCCGACTCCGACTTTGTGGACTGGAATTTGAATCTTGGCTTTGTTGCATCATGGCATCAAAAACTCACCTAATGGACCACAAGTATCCACAGCCATCGCTCTGACGTTGACCATGCCGGAAGTCTGGGAAACCTTTAATGGAACTGACAAAAAGACCATAGAATCTACTTCACATCACACAATCAGTTATCGAGGTCTCATTTCTCCTAAAGTTGCAGCGATCAATATCTGTACATGACGTGGTACCTGCTTGCTCTCAATTGGCACCGCCGGAAACTCATCGCTATTACACTGGAAGTGCCCTGCATAGAGAATTGGAGTTCAAAGAAGGATATCAAGTCTGCTATGACCTGCTGTGTCACTATTCCGAAAAGTAAAAAAACCAAATCAAATATTCCTATAGTTGAGATTACCATCACCACTCACACACCAAAGAATATATACAAGCCCGTCGTTCTGTCAACTCTTCATAACCAGCTAATATTACTACTATCCCTATAAGTCACCGCTCCCTCCCATGCTGATTCTGCGTCGTCGTCTTCGTGTGGAAAATCCACACGTATATATATTCAAATGGTATAACCCCTTAACTCCCTAAATGCGCAGTGCTGCCGCCCAAATGCTATTCAACCTTTGCTTCATATATCATCGGTTCGTTGGAAATGCACGGCCGCACTGAGTCGGCTTTTTCGTGATGTTCTTCATACTGGGTCCATTGACCCAATACTAGCATGTTCGGGATGCATGTCCCTAGAATGGTGATTGACAATCGAGTGATATCGGTTATCTCATCGCTTCTCGATGCCCATATCTACCACGTTCATCCCAGCGCTCTCAGAATCAACTTCTGCGGCATGACCTTCCTCTTCCCTCATCTCCCGGATCCAGATGCTCTTTGCATATTCTCTCACATATAGCGCTCCAACAAATTGCAATAACGTAGCTGCAAAGCAACCCGCAGCAAGAGTGAATTGCGCCAATGTGACTATCCGTTTGCATCCGTCCACACTCCACTCAGCAGCGATTCCTTGCAGACCAGATTCTATTGGAGATGACCCAGAGAGGTCTGAAATTTGGGATGGGGTTTGTAGGTTCGAAGCTGTATAGTAGGATTGAGGGTCAAAGTCATTCGTACTACATAGGCTGCTCGAAAATTGTTGCAGGCAGGTCAGGACGAGAAATCGCGGAATCGCAGAGAAAAAGGTGTCGATTATAAGGTAGTTGGAGAAGATGGCTATGCTCAAGGCATGTTTCTGTTTCGCGTTAGCTGTCATGGTCCAGAATACGGCGCCAGGACACTTACTCTTAGTGCGCCAATAAACCCAAATACGCTCAGGATGTTGGCGAAATGTAAATACCACCCGAAGTTGCTCGCTAGATGGAATGGATCATCTGGTAACTGGGAAAAGAGAATTGAGGAGAGAGTATTGGAGACGAGTGTTGCAACTGCCACTGCTATCGTAATACTCCTATACAAATTAGCGACTAACTATACCAAAGCAGTGAGATGATTACAAACCTTGACTTTGAAATTGCCATTTTGAATCAAACGTTCGAGAAAGGCAAACACAAAACTCTGTATAGTTTTGTGCTAAATTCTACAGAGGAATTTCGAGCTCTTTTGTTGTTGTAGATGCGGCTTGATGATAAATCTCGACAAATCCCGATGGTTCCGGTAGTGTTTATGCAAGCCAAACAACGGAACAGTAACCGCGATTAATCTCCAACAATAAGCACCAACAAGTCTATATTTCCACGAGCAACTTCGAGAAAAGAACAAACTTCCTTCTATTGACGTAGGTAAATGAGCATCGTGATCTCTGTGCCACGAGGGTGTCGCTATCGGCATATAAGGTATCGTTCATGAGCACACGATGACGTGCCGGTGTTTGGACCGCAGAGAGGGGAGCTCCGTGGTCGAGAGAATTGGAAATGCATTACTAGCGTGCCGTGCTAGCGGGGCCGAAAGTGCCGCCCGCGATGAAGAGGCTCTGTCGATACCGTGCAGCCAATGAGAATTCATACGTCTTGCATTTGATCGCGCCCTGGAGAAGTCTAAAAGTCCGGCTTGCTTGGCTGTGATATTTTTGTTCGTGACTGACTAGACAGCACGATGACAGTATTGGTACGAGATTGGAGATATATGGTCGACCGGGTTCGCGGGTCAAATTATAACTACGATTAGCCTGTCACGAGAGTAATAAATTCGTACTGGTAGGTTGTGAATTACCGCAGCTAACATCTGATGAGATCAATTGAGTAGGTATGATGTGGTGGTTCTTTTAAGCTCATGTTCTGGCCCAGGTCTTCTGCTCGTGTGGTCGGTTTGAGGATTTAGCGGAAAGCCTTTGCATTTAGCATTTACCTTTTTGGTTCCAAAAAAAAAAGGCGGATTTTGTCTCTCCCAAAGGACTTTGAATATTAAATTGCAGCTGAAAAAATACAGTGGTGGTATCTCGTGGAGATTGTACCCGTGGGTGTTTCCCCAGCTCTATGACTTTGTCACACACAAATCATATCTGATGCAGCAAAAGTCGAGTGTTGGGCGTCATATGTGAGATTTTTCAGTCACAAAGGCATCTTGCAGCAGTTGCCTCGAATCTGGTGGTGACACTAACATATTTTTCCACTTCCATATTGCATCGCCTCGTCTGGAGTCGAGTGGGGATTCTTTGTCCAACAGCCCTAGGCGTTGTCAATCCGGCTTTCGACTCTCAAGCGTCATACTTCGAAATGAAGGACATGATCGAAATGACTGATTAATGAATTCAATGTTCATTCAATTGCAAGTGCGATCCCAAATCATTGCCTTCTTGGATGGCTCCTCAATTCTACTTAAAATATCAGTAGCAGCCTCTGTCCGTACCAGGTTTCCTAAAAGCCACTTTAGTAGAAATGCACCACGTTGTGTTAGACAAGTCTCATACTTTTTAACCAGGTTCGGAACTTCCCAGCGGGAGCGACGGCTTGGAGATTGCTTAAAACCGACACCGTTTTTGTCTAAAGTACGGTTACGCGGTACCAGCCTTTCTCCCTTTCTTGGCTACCTACAAAACCAAGCCTCCAGATCTTGAACAAAGACAGGAGCCACAGATCTCTCCTTACGGGTTTTGTGAACGATCCCCGGCTGGAATCTGTGATGTGGCTTGATGTGGATGATCGAAAGAAGTTAAATAGAAGATTGTTGGAACCTTTTAAAACTCTCGGTTGCTTCTTCGATTCTCGCTTGGGTCTAAGTGGTGGAATTTATTTCCCATTCTCATGTACAGCAAGTCATCGTGTAGCAAATGTTCCGTCTTTCATAGTCTTTTGAGCCTAAATGTAGTCTTGCTTTGCTGGGGAAATCTGAGGGTTCTTTGCGTTTGCTTCAACGTGGTTCATCTGTGTAGTATCGTCTTCTCTCTCAGGAGACTTTGAACAAATTTAACGTCGTCTGAACACTTACTACAAATCGTAACAGAACTAACTTCAAATTGAAACTGTTAATTTGCTTGCCTTCCTTAGAGCTTCACATGATTCATAGCACATCTAGACGACCCAATAATGTTGAGATGTTCGCTTATATACTTGGAGCGATCTTTACACAGCTGGCCTCGGCCAGGTTAGGAAGTCGATGACATGGCCGCAGCCTTGATGAGGCCGCCGTTACAAGCGAACCTTATGACAGAGGCAGAAGTCGTGTGGTAGGAACTTTTAATGGCTCCAGTGGTCTGAAGTAAGAGCTAATGCCACCGTCAGATCTGCTTGTCAGAAACGACCGGTACTGCAAAACCTACGACCCTGCGATTCAAAATTCTTGCTGATTCCAAGCTTTGCGTAGGAAAATAGTAAAGACGATGGGGTAAGATCCAATGACTGCATTGAAGTAAGCATGAGTACACGAGGTACATGAAGTACACTTCGTGTCGGCGCTTTAACATCGGATAGAAGAAAAACACGAATATATAGTGCACGGGACTAGGTAATTCGATTTCGTATTACTCGATAAATTGAGGATGCTAGATCGTGGTTTCTCGTATGCTAAAAACAACGGCGCGTGCCTCAGAAGCTGAACGATGTTGCACAAATAGAGCAGGGCCGAAGAAAACGAGTGGGATAATTGTTTGGCCAAGTATCCCAAGATCTGCTGCTGCCGAAACTGTGAAGTAATCCGATTGATATGCTTGCGAGGCATCACTCTCATAGTATTCGCCGTCTCGGCCTGGAAGGAAGCGTCTCTGCCTGCAGTCAGCGTCGGGTGTGAGAAGAACTGGTCAATCCCTCAGATGGATCTTATGAAAAAGTTGTCCATCTTCCTGCACCTGAGAAGCTGAGTAGAGACAGCGTCGTGCCGATACTCAACAGCTTCGGAAGAGCTGATGGCTGAGGTTGAGTTGTGAGCTCGTCTGTGGGCGCCTTATGGCTGGGAGAGGCCCACGGGTCGATTGAGGTTGCTGACTGGACGAGGGTTCTCCGAATCACAAAGAGGGCTTGTAAAGAAAGACATGAAACACCAAATAAGAATCTCGCATTGGCTTGGCCACATCACCGTCACAAAGACAGTCTGTCGACTGATCCCAAATAAGTAGTTTCAAGAATGAAGCCGCGGAGTCGAAAGGGACCGTCGTCTGCTGGGCCTGTTGGTCAATGGCGGTCTTTGTGCTGGCCATGGCGGGGGGGTCGTTGGTGAGTACAGTGCGTCTGCATGGAATCGTTGTAGCCGGTAAGGTAGCTGGTGACTGGTAACTGGTAACATTGAATCATGGGAGTATGTCCGTCCTCAGGGCGTCGATGTTCCCGAGGCTGTGTAAATGGGACCGAGTGAAGCCAGCCAGGAGCGATGGTGGTATATTTCTGATAATGGTTCCTTGAGGATGAAGCAATTAAAAGAGAACGTCGACGATGAGATGAGGAGTTATGCCGAGCGTGTTTTGGCCACTTTATTCACCACTGCAATCTGCCCGTAACTCTCTGCTCTGCCGCGGGTGTGTGGTGTGGTCTCCTTAGGTTGGAGCCCCTTGTCGGCCTCCAGTAGAACTAGCGTGCCTGTTTGGTCCATCAGGTCCTGGCAACCTCACTCTCGTTATTCGAACATTGTGGTGGTACACAACCCTCTCCCTCAGACAAAGCAAATCCCGCTCGCGCAGCTTCAATCATAGCAATAGGCAGCGTGTGTACATCTTTTTGTTGCCTTCTTTCTCTTGAGTTAAATACAATACAAAAAGTCGGCCGGTCTTGCTCTCTTCACACCCCTCTCGCACCGCCAACGGTCCTTTCGCGAACACCACCAAAATACCCCGTTCCTGAGAAGGGGTCTCGAACGCAATTAATTACACACGACGAGTATACATCCCCTCGCAGAGCGACATAACACCACGCTATCCTCGCATTCGTCTGCTATATGCCGACACCTGTTCTGTGAATCAGAAATCGCGTCTGAACGTTGACACACATCGTTCCTCTCGTTTCGAATTGGGGCAGCCATCCGCCAGCCCTTGGTTCTGCAAAGGACAATCACACAGCACTAACACGCTGGAGTATTGCTGAATTATATGGAGGGCCTGCCTTCCTCGGTCATTTCTCAGTATCAATACCAGTGGTCGCGGCTCGTGCGCCGAAATACTCTTACAGACCCGAATACCCTTCCTCCATCGAGTCGTGCTACATCTCTCCAGCATCTTCCCCAACCAGACATCATACCGATTCTCCTTCCGCAACAACCTTCGTTCCACCAGGCACAGCTCGCGCACTACAACAGGTTGATATCCTCAGGTCGAGCCACCCAACTACAATCTTCGCCACTCCCTCCTCTCTTATCTGCTCAACATATTCAGGCTGTGCCTGGCCAGCGGTCCGGCTCAAGTGGCGGCAGCACGGCAAGAACCTCGAAAAATACGGCTCGGGTTGGTCATGGGAATAAGGAGTCTCGTAAATCCAGTAAAGGCGAGCGCGCGCTCATAGCAGAGAAGGAAAAAATAGCTACCATGCCAGGGAAGAGGTTGGACATGTCCAGCCAGCTACCACATCGGCCCCATATACAACACACGAATACAAATATCTCACAACAATCGAATTCTGTTCCCTCGACACCGCACCAACACCCTCGCGATTTCTCTTTCGAGTCGAGAGAGCCTTCCCCAACCGCGCCTCATGGCCACTCCCCGCGTTCGGCGTATTCTGAATCAAATATTGTTCTGCCCTCTGTGAGACGTGTACCCCAGGGTGGTTGTCAGTATGAGACTGCTCAGGCGCACACGAAGCGACGGATGCCGTATAGCATTGGCAGTGAAAGACTCGAAAATCAAGATACGGCAACAATCAAGAGTAAACTCTCGGAAGATGAAGAACGAATTCTATCTACAGATATGCGAGAGCTCTACGATCGGTTATTACCGACACAGCAGAGTGAAGCGCGAAGAAAAGAGTTGATAGTCAAGTTGGAGAGATTGTTCAATGAGGAATGGCCTGGGCATGTTATTAAGGTCCATGTCTTTGGCTCTTCGGGGAACTTGCTCTGTACAGACGAGTCCGACGGTCAGTTTGTTAGCATCAGTTTTCTCGAACTCTACTAACACGATCCCAGTCGATATCTGCATTACCACGGATGCCAAAGAAATGGAAGGTGTCTGTTTGATTGCAGATCTTCTTGCGAGAAGTAAGAAGCCCGCGGCATGTTGAACGTTAAGCTGACTCACGTATTAGATGGAATGCAGAAGGTCATTTGTGTTTCAACGGCGAAGGTGCCCATTGTCAAGATATGGGACCCCGAGCTGCGATTGTCATGCGATATGAATGTCAATAATCCACTCGCTCTTGAGAATACCCGAATGATCAAGACATATGTTCAAATCGACCCACGAGTAAGACCTCTAGCGATGATAGTGAAGCATTGGACGAAGCGAAGGATAGTGAATGACGCTGGTAAGTACCAATGGCCTCTGCACATGCTGAGGGCCTTGCTAATATTGCACAGCATTTGGTGGCACACTGAGCTCATATACATGGATATGCATGATCATATATTTCCTCCAGAACCGCACGCCTCCTGTACTGCCAGCACTGCACCAACGACCGCATATGAAGCTGCCAGCGAAGGACGGGTCCGAAAGTTCATTTGCAGACGATCTGAATGCACTACAGGGATATGGCAAGGGAAACAAAGAATCCATTGGAGAGCTTCTATTTCATTTCTTCAGGTTCTACGGGCACGAGTTTGATTACGACAAGCACGTTGTTTCTGTTAGAAATGGTAAACAGATATCCAAGATTGAGAAGAAATGGCACTTGGCCAACAACAATACGCTGTGTGTCGAGGAACCTTTTAATGTCGGACGGAATCTTGGTAACACCGCTGATGATACATCATTTCGAGGATTGCACCTAGAGATCAGACGAGCTTTTGATCTTGTGTCACAGGGGAAGCTGGAGGAATGTTGCGAGCAGTTTGAGTTTCCGAAAGAAGAGGAACGAGTATGGGAACGGCCACCTCCGAAGCCCAGACCAGTCTTGAGGAGCACTTCACAGTCGAACAGAGGCGGAAGAAGTGGAAACCGAGGTGGTGGGCGCCATAATAATGCGCACCCCCGCAATAGTGGAAATAGTAACAGAAGAGCCTCGAGTGCGGGATTTGACAAGGCACCTTACGCACCTGCCACCCTCGGTCCCAACATGACTCCTCAAGATATCTGGATGCAGCAGCAAGCACAGGCACAGTTACACAACGACTTATATGCTACGTACTCGGTACTGCAAGCTCAGGAGAACAGTTTGCGGTTGCAGTTATATAACCAATCACAAGGCTATATGCAGGCTCGGCAAAACCATCCATATGCTCAGTCTCAATCAGGTCAGAGCAGCAACGGTTCCACGAAACAGCCATCTTCGGATCGGAATCGGACGAGCTCTTTCGATCAACCTCCACTGACAGCTCCAATACGACCAGATATGTACTACTATCCGATTAGTGGATATTCTGGCTCCCCTATGTTTGGATACCAGACGCCTAGCACCAACCCTTCCTCGCCTTCGTTGAGCGCTGCTGTCCCTGAGTTGAGAAGGAGCATCCACAGGTCGTCGGTCACAAACGGAGGGCAAAATGCTCAGTCGAGCAGCTCACTTCGGTCGCACTCCCAGCCAGCAGCACGATCTGCTACTGCGCATATGGCCATGCAAGGTGCTCCAATACCTCCTCAAGGGCTTGGCATTTACCAACAGTCACGGCCAGCCAATGGGCTTCCAATTCCCAATTTCATTGCGGACGAGAATGCTGAAGCGACTGTTGACATGAGTACTACTGCTCTTCCTTCAACTACACCTCCAGATTATCATGCTCCTAAGGAATATGTAGGATATTACGTCAACAATAGTCGGCAAATGCAACCACTTCGGAGAGAGTCAGCACTATCAATACCTGCTTTTGGCGATTTAGGCCATAGCGGCCGTAGACGGCTCTCCACAGATCAGCTTCCACAATCAATTCTGGATCGGTTGAAGCGACCTTCTCGTTCTCCATCACCCTTGGGGCATGACCGCTCCTACTCCACTGGCGCCCCTTCGGCGCCCTTTCCGGGTGCTCAAGCAGTACACGGAATCTCGAGCTCGAATCTTCGGGCACTCAACACTCAAGCGCCTATCGTAGTCAATGGGTCGAATGTCCCCACCTCAGTGTCAATACCTAACTGGCAAGCCTCGATCAATGGAGGAGGTTTGAGTGATGACCGAGCTAGTGATGTTGCAGTGGGATCTTTGGATTCAGTCTCTCAAGCATCTGGAACCACAGCCGAAAGCAGTCTGGAGCTCCCGGGCCAACTGACACCAAGAGATGTGAGAGCTGAGGAGCGGACAGAACCGCCCATGGTAGTGAACGGGTCGACCACCCAGATCCTCCCATCTCTTCCGGTCGTAAACGGCTCCCCTTCTTTTGTCGGTGTTGTAGCTACCCCACCGAACGGGATAATTGTTTCAGATCCATTTACCACACCTACTCAACGATTGTCGCCAACTTCCCGTGAGAGGATGCGATTATCACGACAGAACGGGGGAATGTCTCCTCTTGATATAGGAGGTCGCCACGACACTTTGCGAGAGGATTTGCCCCATCTTTCTCCCGTCTATGAGACCCGGACACCATCACCTGCCGCAAGTCGGAAGCTTGAGCAGACTGCGATCCCAAAGGGGGGGCGGGTGCCACCAAAAAACACGGATGATGTTGAAACGTCTGGCAAGCAGATTCCCAAGTCTGGGCTGGCCAACGGCCACTCAGGAAAACAAGCTATCGCTGCCCAGAAATCCAACAGCCATACTCGAGCCTCGAAGAGCGAAGGAGGCTCGTCGGGTACATGGCAGAAGATACCCAAGGGCAAGAAGAAAGGTGGTGCTGCAGAGATGAAGACCGCCATCAATGGACAGCCTCAAAGCGAAAAGTTACCCAGTAACGAATCCGAGCGTAAAGGGGGCTAAGAAACCGAGAAAAAAACCAGAATGGCGTCACCCACGTTGCGCCTGGTCTAAAGAGTATGGACTACGGCCGCCACCTGTGGTTAGCGAGTTGTCGGCTGCATCTGAATCAGAATGCGAAAAATATGCCGTTAGGAGCTACCGACCAGCTCCAATCTTGCTTCGCGCTCTCACTACCCCCTTCAGACTCTAGTCTGACGTGTTTAACACTCCTTCATATTTCTGAAATCTCCAATCGGGATAAGTTGAGGGAAAGGCATATTCTCTCAATTCCCACCTCGAGAGGACCCTTTCCAGAGTTCCATATTTCATAAAAGCCTGTTGAACAGCACTTGGTCTGTTATGAGGGAATCGACGGATTCCAGATCTCTCGAATAGAGAAGAGTACTTTTGTTTGTGTAATTGAAGCATTTCCAAGCGTTTGATGCCGGACGGATCGTTTTCCATTTTTCTTTGCGTTGGGTCTGGGTTGGTCTGGTCTTGATATACATTGCATGGGTCTGAACTGGCATACTACATTTTACTGCGTACACTCCGAGTCACACATATGGGTGTGCTGGCAGATTTGATGATTTAGCACAGCACTTGTCGGGGCGATGCAAAGCAGGTGCAAAAGAGAAAAGGGTGTCAATATAAGGGCATCCCTGTGTATGTTTATAGCGGAAAGGGTTTCATGAGATGAATAGAGAGCGATACCATGGTGGCACCTGCTGCCACCGACGGCTAAAAATAAAAGAAATTTAAAAATTAGCTTAAGAGTCTGTGGACTGTACCTCATTTATGCGACAAATCTAAGAATGAGCAGCGAATCGCCTCATAGGTCACAGAAGTAGTACTCCAAGTTAGGATGCTTTCAAGAAGCTAATCTCCGGCCGTTGGTTTGTCCAATGGAGCAATTAACCTGTAAATATGTTGACTGCAAGTGCCGACAAGTTTACCCCACAAATCGTCAGGCAAGAGGGGATCAATATATTTTCCACTACCCGCAGAGTAATGAGCAGCTTTCGAGCGAGTTTTGCCAGTGCCGATTGATTGATGGTAGAATTATCAATGCAACAATGCTTCGAGCGTGCAATTGGCATGCTGAATTGATCTATGGCTCTACAGCTCCCATGTAGGTCCCACAAGTGTGCGGTATTGATTTATATCTCTCATCCCCTTTCCAAGCAAGTTGATTGTTTATTACAACATATCAAGAAGTTTTCAGTGTCCAATCTCTTCCAGTATTTCGAACTACTGATACAAGATGCTTACACCAGTCATTGCCGCGCTGGCTCTCACCAGTACAGTAACAGCACAATGCACTCGCGAGTCCCTAAAATCAGCTACCCAAACCCTCCTCTCCTCATACATGTCGGGATCCGCAACCTCACTCTCATCTCCCGAGACAATCTACACCGAAAATGAAATCAACAAAACAATCACCACAGGAATCTTCTCCCACGCCTTGAAAATCGCACACAACCGTTCCTCGTTCGACACCACCCAATGCGCCACTTACACCGAAATCATCGTCACCGATTCAGCTCATCCATATGTCATCGGCACGCAGATGCGATTCGACTCTTCCAACACTAGTCTGAGCAAGATCGAGACCATCGTGACGGAAACGGGGGATTGGTTGTTTAACGCGGCGAATACGCTGAAGTATGCGGCTTCGGAAGATGGCCTTTGGGGTGAGATTGCGGCGGCGAAGAGGGATACCAGAAAGGTTATTCAGGCGGCAGCGGATGCTTATTTGGATGTTTTTAATGATAAGAATGTTAAGGTTCCGTGGGGGATTCCGTGTGCCAGACTTGAGGGGGGTGCGTATACGGGGAAGGGAAGTCCTAATGATAGTGAGTGGAGAGGATTTCTTTGGTAGTTTGTGATGTTGTATCAGATGAAAAATGGGAGAGCTGTTATGAGGATATACTAATATGGTTGATAGCTTGCGAAGTTGGTATTCCAACTGGGGTGGTGATCAATAACCGAAGATACATCATCGATGAGGTATTGGGAACGGTCGACGTCTTCTGTACTTTTTCTGGAATTGCTGTATGTATTCTTCTTACTTTTTGACTCCTGAGACAGTTTGCGAATACTGATAATGAACAGGATACGCACGAATTCCGTATTCAAGAGGGCAAGATCAGATTCGTCCATACTATGACCAACACTGGGAAGTGATCTGGAAGTCGATCGACACAAAATCATGAGCGGTCAGTAGATAGGACAAAAGGGCATGAAAGAGTGTAGTTTGGAATGCATACATTAAAGGTCATTCAAACTACCGTCTAGGGCAAATATGCGCTAGTGAATTCTTGTCGATCGATTTATTAGTGTAAAAGTATCCTTTCAAAACCCATTATTTGCTTGATATCTTCTTGATTTCATATTTGTGGTTGAGATTAAGCACAACGAAGAGAGGGGTGCGGAGCTGACGAGGCCATTCGAAAGGGTTCGGAAGATATATACTTCAGAAGATGTTAGCAACTTGTGCTTCCCTGATATTCGATTTTCGACATAAAATTCCATTTTCCACTTTTGGACAACTCGGAGTTCAAACACATTTCACTCTCATCCATCTTACCACTTGCACTTGTAAGTTGTTGATCTATGCATTCATAGGGCGCAGGGTGTCTCTTATCTGTCTCCTGTAGGAATGATCTGCACTGCTGGCTAGATTTAAAACATGCTTGTTTCTCTCATCTCTGGGTTTGTATGGTGCGCCAGAACAAGTATCATTCAAAATGACGAACGAGAGCTCGCTTAATTAGGTACGGGGTACCTGCGAATTCCGTATCTCCGCTACCAGTGCGTTATCAAACCCCTTTTGAATTCCGAGATCTTACATGGAAGGGTTGCCTGGATTCGAGGCGCGTAAGATAGGTCGGTAACATATAAGTTGCAAGATGTCAGCGTCTTGAAATTCTTTTGGAATTTGCACCTCAAGAAGGATCTCGCTTTTGCTTATCGACAACGTCCAACTCTCCGTTCACCGCTGATGAGTGGCATCGCTAACAGGACCTTGAATGGTTCCGACGAGACGACAAACCTCCTTCCAGAATCTCCAAAGTCACCAGCGAAATGGGATTGGAAGACCATAACATTCCTATGCATTGTTCTGTGCATTACCTTCGATATCGGTGATTATCTGATTCAAGCACCTCGATTACGTCTCTACGAATCTATAATTTGTGACGAGTACTACAGCACCCACAACATCAGCTTACCACAAACAGTCCCAACTGGAGGACCCATTCCGGAACAGCATTGCAAACTTGACGAGATTCAGGATGAGTTGGCGATGATCCAAGGTTGGCAAGTTGCGTTCGATAGTATATCCAGTATCTTGTTGGCGGTGCCGTATGGATGGGTCGCTGATAAGTATGGACGGAAACTGGTCATTACTGCTGCGCTTGGAGGCTGCATTATGGCATACGTGTGGACACTCTTGGTCGTAAGTAAATTGGTGCGATTGGAGAAGATGGAAGTCAAGCTGATCAATCTATCTTTAGGCGGGATGGTGGCATCTACCATTGCGATGGGTATGGGTTTCGTCTATCTTTTTAATGATAGGCGGAGGGAATGTTACTGCAACCAGTCCGTATTTTTCCTTTGTTTCTCCCTTCAAATTCTGGTTCCTAGTGGCCAGGAGCATGTCTCATCTTTAGACACGGCTCTCGGTTCCGGAGCGAACAAGAAAAACGTATGCTAATTTATTGGATAGCTATGGCGTCAACAATTGTTGCTGATGTTGCGCCGCTTGACATGAGGTATTGAAACTTTTTTGGACTTCAACCAGGGTCAATATGCTGACATAATAACTAGGAGTACCGCATTTTTGTATCGATTCACAAGCGATCTGGTCGCCGAGTGTCTAACTCCTCCAATTGCTTCAATGCTTATGACAAAATCAGTATGGATTCCTCTTTTAGCGGCTCTAGGTTTCGAACTACTTGGGTATGCTTTCATAATTCCGTTACCAGAGACTTTGCCTCAAAAGACACCCGAGGATACTGCTGAAAGTTCACGATCATCTGAAGCTCTGGTAGAGGAGGAGGAACAGAGACCGCTACTTGAAGCAGATGAGAGTGATCCTAAAAAGCCGTCAAGATTAAGCGATATGAAGGAATCCTTCAGCTTCTTGACGAGAGACAAAGCTGTTGCTGCTCTTGTTTTCACCTTTCTTGTTTCGAAGGTTGGCAGGCAATCAACCAACCTGATAATCCAATATGTCTCGAAGCGATATCACTGGTCCATAGCCAAGGTAGGGTGATCTCCCACATGTTTATTTGCGGTACTAACAAATCCGTCGTAGGCTGGTCTGCTTCTCTCCCTAAGAGCGGCTGTAAACATTATTCTTTTCCTATTGGTGCTACCAGCAATTTCCACCTACGCCTTTCCTGGGGCCACTGCAGCATTTAAAGACCTCACAATCTCGAGAGTAAGCATATTGCTTATGATCTTTGGGACTCTCGTTCTCTCAGTCTCACCTACGCCTGCGCTCATGATTATCGGTCTTGTGATTTACACATTAGGAACTGGGTTCGTGCCGGTTGTACGTAGTCTCATAACCTCTCTAGCAGAGTCACATCACGCCAGCAAGACTAGCGACGTAGGAAGGCTGTATGCTATTATCGGTGTTATGGAAAGTATTGGGAGTTTGCTAGCTGGACCTGGCATGGCGATTGCTTTCCGCTTGGGTATGAAGATAGGACAGGCTTGGTTGGGTCTGCCTTTCTTGGTCGCTTCAGCGTTATTTGGAAGTGTTGCTGGAGTCGTATTTTGGGTTAAAGTATAGAGTCTTTGTAGAAATAAACCACAGAAATACATTGTTCAAGATTTCAATGCGAATGGAATAGAATGGCAAGCAATGGTATGTGCTCCGATTTACGGGCCGGCCCGGAATCCGCCTGAAAGTTGTCGCGGTCAGATACGCCAAGTCGTCCCTGCATCTTCAACCGCGTCTTCCCCAGGCACAGAACAGAAACACCTCCTGATCTGGCGACAAGTTGTTTCAAGCGAGCTGGCTCCTCTATGTTGAAACAAATCCATCCGGGGATTTGAACTACTATTTCCTCTCTTTCCACCTCAGACTATCTTTCTTTACCATCTTCATTCAATTATACCAGTCGTTGCAAGTCCTTTCTCAACTATACCCAGCCATGTTTGCCAAACTTACCACCAAAATCGCTATGCGTAAAGCTGGCATACCGTCTAGCGCCCTCTCTATGCCAGACACAAAATCATTTTCAAATAGCGACGGTACCGTCAACACGCCAATTACGAATCCGTTTGCGAATCTATCGGTCCCTAAAAGCTGGCAGTCTTGGGCTACGCCTCCACCGCCACCTGTTGAAGTCGCGCCAACACCCGTAGTCGGGAAACAAGCGCCGGCTACCGCAAAGTTACGACTGCCGCCAATGGATGGAAGACCGGCAGTTGTGGTGTTTTTGAGGCATGCCGGTTGTCCTTGTAAGTCAATTGCATCTGTAGGTTACGGCATGGGCTAATTGGCGCTTCGTGAAGTTGCAGAGAAAACATTCATTGAGTTGAGGCGTTTAGCGAACAAATATACCCGTCTCCAGTTTTTTGCAGTCTCACATAGCTCGAAGCAAGCTACCGATCGGTGGATAAGCCAAATGGGCGGTGCGTGGAGTGTGCAAATTGTGGTTGATGAGGAAAGAGAGGTGTACGCGGCATGGGGATTGGGAATCAGTACAACGTACCACCTGTTGAATCCTTGGACACAAATTGCAAGGACAAAGCTGGGAAAAGAAGAAGGGAATTGGGGAAGAGAGGTTGATCCAAGCGGGAACAGATGGCAGACTGGCGGTGCATGGTCTACAGATGAGTACGAAACATTCTCCTTTCGATGTTCATGACGAGAAGGGTTTCCTCGCCAAAGTCAGGCTCCTAGAAATAAGATAGCGGTTTCTCATGTTCTTCGGAAGTCCGAGACCTTCGACGATACATGCTAACAATCATCTAATTTTGAAGCGGAATCGAAACTGACATCGAGGTTTAGGTTGGGTCTCGTAAGATGGGGAGCTGCCAATAACACTGCCGACGATTTGCCCAATTTGATAGAGGCATGCAGAGCGCTGGGCGCTGCATAGTAATCTCGTGGGATGTTTTACTGGACAGGAGCTCTCAGACAAGTCAATGCTGGGTTGCACAATTATCACATGCTGGGGTTTGTTTTAAATATAGGTATGGCATCATGGAGTATGGAGTATGGGCCCACGGAATTCTCCTATACTTCGAAGTACAATCGTTCCAACATGACGAAGTCTCCAACTACTTCTCTGTTCCTTCCCCTTCGGATTTGTTTTCTTATTTCTATCACCGAGGTCTCCGAACGCGACATTATCGTCACTTATACGTATATGTCCACGCATGAAGACTACTCAAATAGTCAACGCAACCGTCGATTAAGCACGCTCAACATGACGCTATCAGAGAACCCTCTCGACTGATCTTGAGGCTCGCGGGATCCACTACCATACGAGCCATATCACATTCATGGATGGGTTGCATAGGGCTTGGCCATAGCTTCAAGCGATCCCTTCTCTTCTAATCGGTGCGATTTATAGTCCTGATAAGCAGCAGCGTTTGGTCCACCTCGAAGGCCACTGATTTCTATTTCTGATGGGAAATTTCCACAAAAGTGGATGGCCCTACGTCGGCGTGGAGAATTTGTTCTGAGCTTATTTTGCAAAATTTCGCGTTGCCGCCCAATTAGCGGCAACCGTGCCTGTGGCCCGAGCCTCCGATTACCCTGTGCGGCGACTGGAACGTCTTGGAACTTCCTGAACCAAACCTGTCTCCATTCTACCCGCAAATTGTTGATAAGGAGCTGATATATATGGTTATGTCTCCCATAGCTTCCCAACCTGGTTGATCTTTCTCCTTTCTCTTGATTTCTTATTTACTCGCGTTTCACATCTTTCGTAATTTGTCGACTTTTTCCCGCTTGATTTAAAGCAACCACCTATATTTGAGTCCGGTTTACAATAATTCTTAAATTATTGATATACCTACTCATATTGCGGACGACTCTCAGACTTAATCGTTAAATCTCAAGCCATGGCGGATCGGAGTGGAAGTATAGAGCGGCCACGAAGTCTCGATAAACCTCGTGGAAGTACGACTGAAGACAATGCATCTTCGTCTCAGGAACCTCAAACCCTAGGAAGACCGGATTTCTCTATTTTACCATCCATCTTGGAAACAAAGACTCCACCGATGAGTAGAGCACCGTCAATAGCCGAGAATAATAGGATAGCGCCTATGATCCAGGAAACCGCACCTACTCCTCAGACTGAAGAGCCCAACCCTTTTGGTGACGATGCTGAGCCAGTCAACCAAGACGAAGAAGACCCGAGAGTCACGCACCTTTCCAGAGCTGGAACATCACCTGTGCCTCCGAGAAGTGCTCGCAGTCCTACGACAGCATTCCCATTAACCACCCGACCTCGAGGCAGGACCGAGTCTTCACGAAATCCTAGCATACGATCGCGACCCATATCACCTCATTCTCAGAACCTCCGAAGGCAAGCTTCGTCCATTGTGACGTCTCCTGGACTGGCTTCCCAAGATTATTCCTTGGATAGGAGGGAGAGTGAGGTATCACATTCTCGTAGGCAGAGACCACGAGCAAATACTGCCTCTCAAGCCTTTGTCTCTCCAGGTCTGACAAAAAGAGGAACCTGGGCAACAGTTTCTCGCAATCGAGGCAATTCCATAAGAAGGAGGCCCACAGTAGTCATAGCATCCGGACGCGATGCAGATTCTCAATCGATTCCTGGTGACTTCAGTTTGGCAGGGCCACCACCAGTGGAGGTTTTGGCTTCCAATCAACCGTATGTCGACCCAGGATATGCGGAGCTGAACCCAGCTTACGACCAACCACCTAACACACGCCCGGTATGGGGACTTGCTGGACCTCTACCCAGGGTTGTTCGACCTGGAATGATACCAACGAGGAGCGAACTGAATCTCGGCAACGAAACTGGCAACGAAAAGGTGGACGAGGATGAGCATCCAGACTTGGAACAAGGCCGGATTGAACCTACCTTCCGTCTAGATCGGATATCGTCGCAGCTTCAGAGTGCGAGACAGAGAAGGGAAGAAAATTTGATGCGGACGTATAGCCGCACGAACTCCTTCGCTCCTTCAGTAACTTCTCCGATCACGCCGAGTGGAAGAATAAATCCTAGCATTGATGTGGCACTGGATGAACAAGACCCTAATTTGACGAAATTACAAAGTATACAAGAAATCCCTCCATCGAACGAACCCCAGCTTTATCCCGACGATGCTTCCACTACGACTACTGAACATGAACATGATCATGACCATGAACATGATGGTTTTGATGATGACGGTCATTGGGTCGAGGACTATGAGATAAAACCAAACTATGGCATGGCTGAGGATGAAATTCATAATCTGCACACCCATTGGAGTGTCATCCGATTAAGATTTAGAGAGCCCTTAGCTGAGCTGCTTGCTGTTATTGTCCAGCTTACTCTTGGATTCTGCGCCAATCTTGCGGTTACCACATCCAATGGATCAGCCGGCGTGGCAGACACGACATGCTGGGCATGGGGTCTTGCAACAATGGTCGCAATCTACATAGCTGGTGGTATATCTGGTGCTCACCTCAATCCAGCTATCTCTCTGATGCTTTACATCTACCGCGGATTTCCGCTTCGCAAGATCCCAATTTATGTCTTCGCCCAGTTGCTCGGTGCTTTTATCGCTGCTCTAATCGCATTCGGTGTCTTTCGGGCAGACATAGTCAACTACGGTGGTGCAAATCTGGCAACTGGACATACACTCAGCAGTTTCATCACGTATCCTCGACACGTGTGGATTGATGCCTCAACAGCTTTCTTTACAGAATTCACCGCGACTTCCATACTAGCGGTTGCCGTACTCGCTCTTGGAGACGATGCCAATGCACCGCCTGGAGCAGGCATGTCTGCATTGATCATTGGTCTCTTGATCACTGTTCTTTCAATGGCATTCGGCTACAATACTGGATGTGCCATGAATCCTGCACGCGATCTTGGTCCTCGCTTAGCAGTTCTTGCTCTGGGTTATGGCGGTGGTAATACATTTGGCAACAGTTATTGGGTTTGGGGCCCTTGGTGTGCGACAATCAGCGGCGCGATATTTGGTGCTTTCTTATATGATGCTCTCATATTTGTTGGAGGCGAGAGTCCAGTCAATTATCCAAGGAAGCGAATCAAGCGAGCAGGAACTAAGTGGAAGAGGAGATGGGCTGGTAGAATCAAAAATGCCAAGAAGAAGATGAAGTCTGGGGGTGTGAAGGCTTGAGGATGAACTTGCAGTAATTACTGCATAACGTTGTTTGCTTTGGTTGGGAGTGATCTGCTGCAATCTTCGTTGGTAGGGTTGTAATATCTTGTTGCGAATGCTCTTGTTCTGGAGAACTTTTAGACTTGTCAATTTAGCGTGGATTTCAGCGATGTTTAGATTTATGTTATTTCGATTGTGGGGGCATAATTAGATGGCACGAGGTTGGATGATTGGAGTTATTAGATTATAGACTATTAGACTTAGAACTTAGAACTTAGTAGACTGATGATTGATGAGAATAGCCGGGGTAGATTTTGGATAGAACTTGACGAGCAGTGCTCAATTAATGAAACTTAAGCATGAAAAAGGAGACTTCTAAATTACTAGACAGATTTTATTATTTTTGAGCAAAGAGCTGTTCTTATGTAAAACTATCAGCACGACTATTGTGTACTTAAAGATTCCAATACAGGAGTTATTGATTTCCAATACTGATTTCCAATACTGATTTCCAATACTGATTTCCAATACTGATTTAGACTCCTGCAATGCTCTATTACTACTAATTACTCAACTCTAATGCCAAACAATAAATGAAATTCGTTAAATTCGTAACGTCCCATTACCCCCCAGATACTGATCACACATCTACTTCGGACTAGCCCCACTGCAGAACCCCCGTCCATAAGGCACAATAGTCTCCACCCCCTCAATCTTCTCAATCACATTCTGTCCCTCAGGCATAACCCTACACTCCAAAATCTCCAACGTCTTCGTATTGCCCGTCCCCGGAACCACGAAAGGCTGAACAGTCACACTGTTAAACGCCACAAACATATCTGGATGAGCTTTGGTGGATGTGCGACATTGGATGAGCGCGTATTGCGCGGGGCTTATCTCGCCGGTGTTGGAGCAGATGTCGATGGCGAGGTCGCCGATGGAACAGTTGTCGCCGTTCTTGGTGGAGCAGACGAAGGGCGTGTCGAGTTGGATGGAGATGGAGGTGCGGGTGAGGTTTGTGTCTTTGAATGTGTAGCCGAAGGGGAAGTTGGCTATGCTGATTTTTTTGCCTGCGAGAGCGCCGGAGTTGGGAGGGAAGGGAATGGTGGTTGGGGAGTCGCTTCTAACTTCCTCTGTGGTTGTTGTTGATGGTTCTGTGGAGAGTTTTGTGTCGTATTTGTTTGGTGTCCATGATCCGTCATCAGCTGCTTGAGGTGTTGGACTGGCAGTTGATAAACCAGCAAGAGCAAAGAGAGAAGCGAGAATTGTAGTGGAATGCATTTTGAAAGCTTTGATGTATGTTCGAATCTGCTTGTAACTGGTAATGAAGAATTCGATTGAAATTGAAATGGAATTGCAATGAGATGATGAAGACTTGTAATGCTTATGAGAGTGACTGAGAATGAAGTGATAGAGATACTTTTTTCAATGCGAATACTCACAGCTATATACTCCCAACTCAACTCACCTACTTCTAACCTTCACGAACTTCAATTTGCCTCTTCGCCATGCTCACGGCACAGCACGACTGCGGGTCAAACATCTCGGAGGCAAACGACACCCGAAGAACAGTCTTGCCGCAGCCACACCCGATTCATATCGTGACACCAATAAGCCTGCGTCTGCGATTTCCGTTGGAAGGCTTGGTTATGCAGGCCGCTCCGATGATTCGTGGAGTTTGTTTTGTTTGATATGCGACTGCCGGCACCGTTAGGGAGGCAGGGAGATCCGGGGCCGAAGGATCAAAATAGATTGTTTGTTATGTTGTGTAACACTTGTCTTGTTAGATTATCGGATGCCTTTTCTCATTGATGTTGGAATATGCGATTATTGGTTGATACGTAAAAAGAAAAGATGTGGCTGGAGAGGTAAGCATAAGAGGCAAACAAGCTGGGTCATGTGGTTCCGGAGCAGAGGCGATTTCTTGATTTACGAAGTACGCGCTGAACCATCTCACGAACTTCGCAAATGTCACATGGCTAGGTCATATCAAAAGTCATTGGTGCTCATTTCTTTAATTGTATCCATTAATTCATTAATCATGTATCTAATTCATAATCCTCGTTCGTGTCTCGGAGGAAAGCTGATTTTTTACGTTGATCTTCTTATGTTCCATTACGCTTCTTAATCAGATCTGCGGCCTAGAAGCATTGAGTCAGTAAGATGCTACGTAAAGAGTTGAAGTTGCCACTTACTTTTTCGGCGGCGGCGTAAAGTGTACTCGAAGGCGCAGAGCCAACAGTTAAGGGGAATGTACTGACACCAGCAACACTCAAGTTACTCGTTCCATACACGGTAAGATCGTTAGCCAAAACACCTCCATACTCCAATTTCATCATTGGGGTAGTGCAGCATTGATGAGCGTTCGATGGTTGAATGCTTCCCCTCAAAGCAGTTTCCACAACTGCGGGGTTGGTCGCTCCATTTGCAGGAGTCAATTCAGTTGGTCCAAGAACCTTCATTGATGGTTGCTTCATGATCTCTCGGTTCTTTGCGAACATTGCAAGAGTCATCTTGAGATCCGTGTCATCACTAAGAGTACGGAAATCAAGGGACACTGGCACTGTCACATCCGGGGCGACAATGTTGATCGTACCACGACTCAATGGTCTAAGCATATAAATTGTTGTGGTTGATCCGGTGTTCCAGAAGACTGATGCAATAGGCGATCCGGGCGATGCTAGTTGGGCATACTGCTGTTGACGTTGGGCGGCGTATCCAGCGAGAACTGTTGGATGGGTTCCATTTGGATAAATGTCAGATGGCTTTTGTGCTTTTGCGTATGCGATGATGGAAGCGTAATCCGTGGTAGCGTTCTGAAGAGAAAATGCAATGGCTTGGTTTGCGGTACTGGCGCACAATGTCAATGCACCTTTGCGTGTGGCATTGTATATGGCTTCTTGCTCAGCACGATAGGTGACGTTGTTTACCAAAGAATCAGTATTTGGCATGATTGGGTTGGTATCTACGCTGTTGTCAGTAAAGTGCTTGATCAGCTTTAAGAATGGTAACCTACAGTTGTAATTGATCGCAAGACTTGACTGATCTTGGAAGTTCTGACCGACACCAGGGAGATCCACAACCACGGGTATACCTAAGCTTTGAAGAAGAGCTTTTGGTCCAACTCCCGATAATTGGAGAATTTGAGGTGTGAACACGCCTCCAGCAGAGACAACGACTTCGCGTTTTGCGGTTACGTTCTTTTTGATATTTGTAGCAGGATCAAGAATTTCAACACCGATAGCTTTCTTGTTCTTGAAGAGAACTTTGCTGACAAGCGTCGATGGGAGAATGCTATAGTTTGGCCGGGTTGCCTTGACTCGGTCATAATGCTCAGTACGAGCATATGAACGAGTGCCGGTCTTTGGGTTCAATGCACGGAGAAGGTTGAAAAGGCCAACGGCATCTCCGTTGTTGATGTCTTTTGCTTTCTTCTGTCCGATCGACAAACCTGCCGTCCAGAAGTTTGCTTTAAGTAATTAGCCTCGAGAGTCTCGGTAGATGCTGGACAATAACTCACCTCCACCTGGATAGTCGTACTCCGCGTAACTTGAGTGGATTGGGCCACTAGTACCGTGGATGCTGTCTTGATACGAGATGTTATGAGCGGCGGCATAAGCAGCATTGGGGGGACTGAAAGTTTCGCTCTGCTTATGGTCAGTACTTTGTGCTCTACTGATGCCGATGCAAGTTTATTAACCTTCTTCCAGTATGGTAGCAAGTCACTGTAGCCCCAGCCTTTGGCACCTAATGCTTCCCAACTACGATACCGAATTAGCGGAGTTTCAAAAAGCGAGATGAGTAGGTACTCACGAAGCCATTTCTTCTGCGGCAGGTCTGTGAAGAAACATCGCATTGATCGTCGAACCACCTCCCACTACTTTGCCCGCGATAACAAAGAATACTTGATTCAGTAATCCAGCAATCGGAGCAGAAATAGTGTTGTACCAAAAATATGGTGATGGGTTATAATCGCCAGGCACAAGGACACCGTCCTCCTGCCCGTCGAAGGGGCCTGCTTCTACCACAAGCACCTTGACTAATAATTGTTAGGAAAATATACCACGGGGATTCTTGATTTCACTTGCCTTTAGGATTCTCTGTCAGACGATCGGCTATCGTAAGTCCTGCCAGACCGCCACCTGCGATGATATAGTCATAGTCACTACTGGCGACGGACGAAGAGTCGACAACAACAGCATTTCTGCCCGTTGCGCGAGCGTCAATTTGAACAGCGGCAGCTATCAAGAGCGTAAACAGAGATCGCACCATGATGATTGATAGAGAGCAGTGATCAAAAGCTGGCTGGCCTTTCCAATCCGCTCGGGGAGACCTCTTTATCAACAATTCCAACCTCCCCGTCCCTGTCTCCCAGATATTCGGTTGCTCGCCATAAGCACTAAATGTTTGAATGCCAACTCCATGGTACGGTACCTTTTTGCTCAATCCGTCCTGCAATCCGAGTATATTGCATGCGGCACGCAAGGCTCACCTACTGTTCTAGGAAGAATGGAGTCGGCATGGCGCCTGTTCTGCATAGAGCCCCATGCTGATGCCGAGTAGAAACACGCGAGATGGGCTGGACCTGGAATGGAACCGGGTGGGCTCCGGGACGGCCCTGACGACGTTCCATGGGCGTTGAGATGCGTCGAAATGGAAGGGGAGAGATGCTGGAATCATGCTGGGGATGCGGAGGGGCTGAAGAATCGAAAACCCCGGGCTGCTGTTGGTTCCAGTAAAACAATTTTGCAGCGGCACCCGCATCAACTCCATGCAAAATCACCTCCACCATCCTCGCCAATAGTGGGGTTGAAATACCTCCAACAAAGAGGGGTTACTTTCTGCGCCGCATTCAATAAATTACTGTGCAAACGTTGTCAATTGTGCATACAATAGTGCCCGTCTGTATCTAAAATATGGGTCTACTATGAGCGGGACAATGTGAGCGAAGGGAGAAAAAAGCTGGTTGAAATATCCAAAGAGCGAGCTTGCCAATGGAGAAATGGAGCTGATAAAAATATGGATAATGGCAAAATTGCCGCAGAAAATCAGAAAATCTTTAGATACTTTACCGTACAACTTGCCGTAATCTATATCCCATACTAGAGAACCACCAGTGAAGTCTTCTACTCGGCAGCTCTTCTCCTCTTCTCCTCGTCTATTTGCGTAAAGTCGCTTACGCTTACATGGCAAAGCAACCAACATCAGATCCGTCAAAGGTTACATTTGAGGTGATCCAGACTGCTGACTCGTGGCTAACGCCCGGTGGCGAATGCAGTTGGAAGAGCTAGTTCGGCTATCTCTGTTGGGAATCAATATACTCCGCATTACGAAGAAATACCTCAGTTGGGCATTTGTTCGTGATAGTTTGCACTGTACTCGAGGAGTCGGTGTGCGGGTGCGAGACATGGCATTTACTTTTGTCCAGGTAAGCGAAATTATGTGAGGCCATTATCATCTATTGACTTGGGACGATGCTTTGATGTTTTTGAGGCTGATGGCAGTGAGGGTAAACTTGCTGTCGGTAGAGAGGTGAGCCTTGCTCGAGCCATACACATCAGCTACCGACTAAATTATAGCATTGTTTTAAGTTTCGAATGCTCAATGGCTTGTTTGAATTGTAATTTGCCAATGCCGTTGCATGACAGTTTGACGCTATATCAGCCCTACTAATTCGCATGTCTACAGGGGGTGACAACTTCACCGAGTTCCATGGATTTGGTAGCGACTAACAATTCCGTGGGGGTTAATTCAAGCGTCAGGTGGTAGTGGAAGGAGCTAAACATAGATGTTCCAAGACCACTCAGGACTGGCCAACGAGTATTCCAATGTAACTTCCTCCCAGGCGGGCCAATGAGAAGCATCAAATTTTGTTATTCGCAACAGTTCCTTGTTTTAGTGGTTGATCAAGGTAGCTTTTATCCTGTTAACATTACCAGATTTTGTCAGAAAAGGGCGAAGGAATTGATCAGGGACGCCGTTGGTGGTTTTATATTTATTAATGGCAACCGTTTTCTTACACCAGAATCTCAAAAGCTATGTGCGAATTCTAGGCTGAATAATGATGCTTGACGTGAACCCAGACTTGAGTCCTTCTGGTACTGCATTGTCGTCAACGTCGCGGCAGATCGACATATAGAACAAAGTAATACTCCACCACCGTAAGCTGAGACATGCCGATCAAAACGTTGTAAACGAGATGCTCTGGACTTCGAAGTAAAACCATACACAGAATTGTTTTGGTACTTCAAATTTACCATCAAATGGATAGATTTAATGAAAGAAATATTTCACAATCATAAGTAAGGGGCTTCTGGTCGGAGTTGATGCCAAACGAAGAACCTCCTGCGAAATCACTACTGCCGAGAAATTTGACCAATAGGATAAGAGTTGGAAATTGACCGGAAACAAAATTGCTTGTCGCGAACTGGGAGGGTTTTGCTGTGGCACAAGCGGATATCTTCAGAAATTGGCGGTGGCACAGTAACCTTAAGGGAGTTGAAAGCCGGTAAGGGACCTGGTCAAATTTCATTCACTCACGAGTGAGTCCGAGGTAAACATTTAATATGAAACATAGTTCAAGCCTAGGGAACAAGGACTTTTTAATTGTATACTTTACTGTGTCTTACTGTCTACACATATCCTCTGAGCATGTTGAATTAAAGCAAGATACATATATTTTGTGAACTCCCTTTAGCAATCATCGCCTTGTAGTCTCTATTGAGATTTGTTGATAACTTGATATAGAATATCACCTGTTATTGACTATGATGACCTATTTGAAAGCCCAGTTTCCATGTCATTATTAGTATTTGTCTTGCCCATGGTTCGCATATCTGCAGGTCTGAAGACCACCCGTTCATGCTACTTGTCACCATTGTTGTACTCAGATAACTCTTTTGATTTCTTGATACAGCGTTTTTTTATAACCCTGGCAGCGCCACATTTTTGGGTTCTATTTTATTTGCTTGAAAACAGCTTTGCTTGACGATGATGGTGCTAATGAGGTTTCAAGATAAAAAGCTCAACATTCAGGCAGGTGAATATGTCCTAAACGGGCTATCAAGAACGATTAATTTGGTGGTCAACAAAAGTGGAACGTGTTAGTGTATTCTGTTAATCATTCACTGTCTAGAATTTGTTCTTAGCGTGAAGTGAAGGATGCAGCCCCTCAGATCGCCTCGCAGTTAATGCATCCGTTCATCCGTTTTTGCATATAGGGCAGGCGAAAAATTACCCATAAGGAGGTCAATCATTATTCTAAAAGAGAAATTGTTCACACATGGGTGGTATTGGAGGGCCTCGCACGGTATATATATCCTTTCCAATATTCTTTCCAATATCAGAGCTCACTCCTTCAATTTTCTTGCAATGAAGCTCTTGGTCATCAATAGATATGCATTCCTAGACTAACCGTATGTTTAGGGAGGGGTGATGAGCAACAAAACGAGAGAAAAGTATAATTCGGATGTCAAGACAATCCAAAAGCAATGGCAAGTTTTGACCAACTTGGAAGATGTCTTTCCAGTCGCAATTCGCCCCGAACGAGAGTTGAGTGTCATAGACGTACATAATCTGTCGTCGATCTCTAAAACAACAACTTTGGACGAAGCCAGGGCTCTCTTTGTTGCTGAATGCCAGACGTCAAGTGGGCCTAGGCCAATACAGCCGGCCGATTTGGTCAATATCGATACATGCTTGAACACACGGCAAATTTCTCCGGACGACTCGAATATTGTCGTTATTACAGACGAGTCTTCAGATGAAGCTGGGAATGCGAATGAAAAGCCAAATCAGGGTGCTGCAGGAAATATCAACACAACCCGAAAACAAACAAACGACAGACGAGAGTTACCCGAAAAAGGCAGTGTTCCTAATGGAATGGAGAAATCCTTAAAAGTAAATCCACGATCTCAACAACCCACGACGACTCTCAATTCGAAGAAAAGAGATTTAGCAAATAGTGAAATTGCCAAAATCGGACTAAACACTGGGAATAGTGCCATGAACGAGAAAAGCAGTTCTGGAGCGTCTGGACTAATAGTAAGACCTTTTGGAAAATACAAAACATCAAAAGCCCCACCAAAAGCCTCGAGCGACAGTTTATCTGGTCGTCAACAAGCAATTACTAATGATAGCAGTGAGGGCGTGTCCGCCACCCTCCCGGACGTCCCCCCCTCCACTCAGTGTTACTGGAGCCCAATCTCAACCTTTCCTTAACAACAATGGTAACACGACCGATAGATGCATTGGCAGCAACAAAGGCAAGCGAAAGTTAGGGGAGAAAGACAACCAACCAAGAAGAGCGAAAGCATCTCCTTACGAATCAGCTACCTCACAAGTTGGCAACAACAACCATGACACAGCGAACAGCGAACGTATGGCGCGACTGGCAGAGCATGTAGAGCGTATCATGGATACTGTCGGAGATGTCGCATCAGTCATTGAGAAAGGTTCAAATGAAAAGCTGAAGAATGAACTTATGCTTGTGATCGCAGCTACCGCCAAATACTTTCGGGGTGACGTTGAATCTATCATGAAAAAAGCGTGAAAATGGAGTTATTGAAGAAGAGAGGTCTGATTGCAGAGCAGAGCAGTGGCCTCAAGACGCGGAGAACCTCTCAAGTAGCTTGCTGAGGATAGTGCTACGGGGCGAGGGAGGGTTGGGAGTTGCTTTCTGGTAACGATTGGTTTGGCGGACTCGAGATTTTTTCGATAAGATGGATGTTTGGAGGTCGATGGTCGATAGTCGATGGCCACCAGCTGATAATAACAGAATTCTCAGGTCACCAGTGCGTTACAAAACTCATTGGACACCGTCGAATGCAATGTTATTCAAAAAACAACTTTCCAACGATCCTTCCTCCATAGATATAATGTTTCGGATCAAAAAGCGATATCATGTGTTTACTCAAACAAGCCGAGTAATGATCAGTTTCTGGACAAGCAACACACTGGTGGGTGGCTTTCGTTGATTTGCAGTTGGATGTTTTCTATGTTGTTGCTCGTGACTCAGCACAGAACCCGTATTGTTGGCTCATTGCAAGTAGAACAATACTAATAGCTCAGTCGACGATGATGAAATGAATGATTAAAAAATGTAAGACTTTCATATATTGATGAAATTTGGTAACTCTGGCAGAGTTCTCGGAAATCGTTCTGTTATATCCGAATGTAACATACTATCGCCGAAACATCAAGTTCATAGAACCTTTCTCAAGACTATGCAGTTTGGTCTTCCCAACTACTCGTCACTATACAAACGAGTTTAGATCATACCAATGATCAAACCTCATTCTTAGCTAATTTTTAGTAACTGTGAGCCAACTGTTGGAAGCGCCCTTTGACCGCCCAGCCACTTCATATTCGAATCATGGGGCATGTTGGGGTCAACTCCAAACTTTTCATTACTACAACCTCCATTCGGGAACACAGAGCAGCCGCTTGACTCACGACCTGTTTGTTTGTTCTTGTTATAATCAACTCATGACCATTGTCGATGCCTGGTGTTTATGCCATGAATCACAAACCTCGAGTATATAAACTGCGTCCCTCGAGGCTGTTCCACAAGTCTCACACACAATCCAGTCTTCTTCCGCAGCCTAGCACACCCAAGCAACCGAATATAACACAGCCTCAGAATCTTTCAACTACTTTCAAGAATTATTCTCTTGAAGCGCCTGGATCACGCTTGCCGTTTCGTACATTTACCAGATTTTTCCACATCAAGTCAGCAGAATCGAAGATTCACAACATGTCGTCAACCAAGGCTGAAGATGTATTGATCACTATTCAGTGCGATAACCTTAAGGAGGAGGAGGTCCGCGAGTGGAAGCATTTTAAGGTAAACACCCCCATTTTTTAAAAGCCGTTGCACATGTACTTGTAGGACTGACTCATTCTAGGCTTGGTTGGAACGCCTCAAGAAGAACCTGTCTTTACAACCTGACTCAATTGAATCCTACAAACTCAAGTCGATCACAGTCGAACACTGTACAAGATTCGGCAAAGCCCTGGGATTCGTGAAATTTACAGCTCTCATCCAAAATGGTAAGGGAGAGACCTTGTCAGGGACGATCTTTATGCGTGGCCCTTCAGTGGGAATGCTCTTAATTTTGCAACTGGACGACGCCCAAGGAGATGAGGGGAAATACGTGGTCATGACTGTACAGCCACGTCCAGCCGCCACGAGCATGAACTTTGTGGAGTTGCCGGCGGGAATGCTAGACAATGACACTTTTAAAGGAGCTGCTGCTAAAGAGATTAAAGAGGAGACAAGTCTTATCATTAAAGAAGAAGAATTGATCAACATGAGTGAGTTGGCAATCAAAGCGACTGATGCTAGCGACATTGAAGAGGACTTGCCACGAGCAATGTGGCCAAGCGCCGGGGGGTGTGACGAGCAGATCCAGCTTTTTTTGCATGAACAACGGATCTCCCAAGAGGAATTGGATAAGCTGAAGGGCAAATTGACGGGACTGAGGGATGAGGGAGAGAAAATTAAGTTGAAGTTGGTGAAACTTGAAGATCTCTGGTGGGAGGGAGCAAGGGATGCGAAAGCATTGTGTGCATTGGCTCTGTATGAAAATCTCAAGAAGGCCGGACAGCTTGATCGTGTGTAATCGTGTCCTCGCAAGGCCAGGGATGAAATTCGCCCGCCTCTTCGAGACGTGGGTGGGGGGGGGGGGGGCGAGCTCGAGGAATTATGTCTTTCTTATCGGTTTGATTAAGAGATATTTCATTTGACTGTTACGTCAGAAAGTTATGCTTTGCGTGGCAGCAATCCAGATCCTTTCCATGCTATGGAGCCCAGCTTCGTTCTATGTTATAAGTGCTGTAAAATTAGTCCTACAATTTCCATCGTTTGGCGATCTCGATTCCTTCTGCGAGCGTGCCCACACGAGCATCAATCGCATAGCCTTCTTTCTCAAACTTCGCACACTCTGCCCACAAGTCCTGTAAAGGTAATGTAAACACTTCGATGAATTCCCCCTCCTCCAACTCGGCCTTTGGGTTCTGGTTCTCCGGGAGCGACATATCAACCGATACGTGGATCATCTTCAGGTTGGTATTACAGAATCCTGGGTCTAGACATGTATTAGCAATGGCATACGGACCATGCAGTTATAACTCGTGCCGTTGAACATAACCGGACTACTCTCGCTGACAACCCCAACATAACCGGTTTCCTCCTTTAATTCTCTTACGGCTGCTTGCTCGGCTGTCTCTCCCGCATCGACCAGACCGGCTGGAACTTCGATCACGACCTTATCAAGTGGTGGCCTATACTGCTTTTGAAGAACAATCTCACTTCCTAGGTTCTCTTAGAGCAATATCTTGCTATACCAACCCGATGTTCATACCGCTTGGCTTCTCAAGAATAGCAACGATGCCGACTCCATCTATATCTGAGCCCTTTGGACGCGTCTTTCGTTCTGCATGCTCCCATGTTCGTTCTTTGCCTCGAGCGTCTGAGTAAGTCGTTCTGTCGGATATGCTGTTAGCTGAAAGCAGAAACAAAATCGAAACTATGTAGCGGAGTATTACAAAATCAGCTTGGTCCATCGTGCGTCTTCCTCTTTCTATTTTGCGGAACAAGTCAGCATAAGACTATCAACTTGAATTCATGTACACCTTGTATCGAACAATGCGGGGTAGCTAGGAGGGGAATACCAGAGGTGCGGTCTTCAAGACCTTCGCGTCAGCGGCAGACATCTTACGAAGAAGCTCGAAGCTGGATGGCGAGGTTGAGAATTGGTGTTTGTGAATTTGGGAATTTGAAGAGGATGTGGTGGTTGTGATAGCTTCTGAAGCACGCGAGACGCGTTTGAGGGAACGACACTGAAGATTCACGATGCGACCAACAGTCCCAGAAAGCATCTCCTGCAATGACTGTGGTCAGAAGTTCTGCTATAATTCAGAAACACATACAAGAACTCAATTAACCTATTTCATACCTAAAACATCTAATTACTAGCAAATACCCAAGTTGGAGTTTCTTGCCAAGACCGAACTCCATGACGTATCATATTCGAGGATTGTACAGTGCAAGAAGATATTGCTCGCTCTGTAGGATGTTCATTTTACCTCCTCACAAACATCTGCAGCTTCCTAAAAACCACCATGTCTCCATCAAGAGGAGTTTCCGAGCTACAATCGCCGACCTCTGAAGCAACCACTGAAGCCCAGGCTGAAGTCCGTTCCTCCTCGGCCCTTAAATCAGCGAAACAAAACATACAATTCCTCTTCTCCCCCGATTCTCCCAATGCGCCGCGTCCCGCACGTCTTCGAACCCGCGCCCTCCTCCGATCGCTGCGCTACATTGGTGTGTTCGTGTTCTGGCGCATTGTTCGATATGCAAAATATGCCCTTGTTGGTAGCGTTGTCGCAGCTATAGGAGCGACCGCGTTTGGAGGCGCGATCAGTGGTGCCGCGTTTCTACTTGCACCACCGACGCTTGCGACGAGTGCTGGTGTAGGTCTGATTTGGGCGATGGGGAAATGGGGGTTCAGAAAGCTGCGGGTCAAAGATATGGCCGCTGTCGAAATGAAAGACAGTCATAAGAAGACCGTTGTTGATGGGCAATATAGAGACGTATCGGGCCCAACGGCTGTTCCATGGTGATACTGAAGCGGTATGAAAAGACAATGGAGGTATTCTCGCAAGAGAAGGGACGAGAGTTTGATACTTGCCAGCTTACATTCCTCATGGTAATATAATCCATATACCAAGATCTGCCGCAGGGTCCTAGGTCCAGTATTTCAGACTGGGGCAGTACGCAACATTTACTGGGGAAATCAAGAAGTCTCAGCTTGGCTCTGAGGTTGAAGTTGCCCGAGTCTATAAGGATAGCGTGCTTGAAATATTAATTATCTTCTATATACAGCACAATTCTTTCGTATCTATCATACACAAACTTGGAATGTATTTTAGATATCCCTACAAAAATGAGCACCAGCCAATGTACATACCGGCCAAGTAGAATTGATTCGTCGCCTGTTGTATCAATTCATCAACCTGGCCTTCGACACCCAGCGGTACACTTTCACCGTTTAGTAAACCTTTAACCTTTCTTTGAATTGTATCGAGCACACCCTGGGCGGTTTGAGCAACAGCGAAAGTGCCATCCTTTCTCTTCTTTTCTGTCTTCTTTAACAGGTCAAGCGTCGGGTCGTAAATGAAAGCCTCCAAAATTGTCATGAGAGTTTCTTGGTGCTGTCGTAACAAGGTGAGAGTCAGTTCGGAAGACTTTCTAAAAGGACCCTCATACCCATACATGCCCATTGCGTCCACCATGTTGTGGGTCAAACGGAAAGGAACTCGCTCTGGCTTGGCAAATGTCAGTCCCTTTTCAAAGAGACAGTTGAAGTCAACGTGGAAAGTCCCGCCATTCCCTTCTTCGAAGAGAATATTTTCTCCGTGACGATCTCCCAGTCCCAGGATCGTTCCAACCATGGACATTACAGCACAAGATCTGGTGTACCGAAGGCGAGCAGCAAACCAAGTTGACGGTTCAGGAAATTGTTGGACAAACCATAAGTGGAATATGGCGGGGAACTGCCCTAGAACTTTGCTCGTGAACCAAGGCAACGTTTCGGGCGCCTCTGCTTTGACTCGATCACAGCATGCCTCGATATCCCTATAATTGACGGAGATACCTTGGGATTTGTAGAGACCGAGGAGGATATCCCGAAGGGTCTTTAGCCCTTCCACCCACTCGATCAGTCCACACTCCTCGTTTAGTGGGGTGACAGCATAGGTCTTGATGTACAGCTGCCGCCTGCTTGCCTCTGCGTCTCGTTTCAAAGCTCGATTTATCATGCTGTTGAATTCCATTAGACGTTGATCTTTCCGGAGATCATCCTTCGGCTTGCACATAAGCCCGTACTCCTCCCCATCAGATCCGTATGCCACAAGTTTGCGGGGTTTTTGAAGCGAACTCAAAACCAAAACCTTGTCCGAGAACGAGTTAATGGTGACTATATCCCTTGAAAATGCTTTGTGGCCAAGAACATTCGTTGCAAGAGTTGGGAGAGTAGCAGTAAGAACACGCTCCGCTGGAACAGCTAGTGGGTTTGGAATGCACGATTTCTGATTGAACCCAAGGTCCCGCGTGAGACTGGCAGTGGTTGTTCGATTGCCGGTAAAATCTCCTGCATTGCATGCTAGCAATAGTTGATCGGTGAGTCGCTCACCACTTCTGATCATAGATTTTAGATCTGTTTGACTGGGATCCGGCCTGTCCGACTTCTTGCTTGAAGTCGTTCGAAGCATTTGTATAATGCTTGCACCTCTAGTTTTGCGCTCTATCTGCGTAGAAGCGCAGACGGCGAACACACTCCATAGAGCTTGTTGTGGGTGGGCAACAACAACCTTATAGATCAGGAGCGATAGCTGTCTGTTGACGTCTGGATTTGGGTGAGTAATCCGAGCGACAATCTGGGGTAGAGCGGTGTAAAACATGTAGGCTGGCAACCTTTGAACGTGTTTATTCATGCGGTTATGGATGCTACTCAGATGACTTTTGCGACCCTCAGTGACTTTGGTAAGGAATTCTCTTGTATGGCCATGCCGGGGATCCACAGGCTGGGTAACCTGTGTACCTAGATCAAGCCACAGGGTCAAAATTCGAGGCAACGTCTGGTAGAGATATTTTGTGCCATACGTTAGCGACCGAAGATAACTCTCAATGACTAGCTTTGCTGTCTCTCCACTGAGGTACTTCAGGGACTGCTTTTCTGGTGTTAAGTTCTTTTCCGTCTCAAGAAGGTTGTTGTAATGGCGGCCAAGATAATAATGGCCCTTTTCCCATTTCAAATGAGTTCTCGCCGCAAGCTGGTATTGAGACTGCAATTTCGATGATTGTGTCTGCCCAGCGCTATCGAGCCATTTTGCCAGCAGAAGGTGTGCTCTCGCAGTGAGGAAGTTTTGCTGATCCGAGGCGTTGACACCAGTATATGTCATGTCAACGGCTCTATTGTGCGAGATAAAGCTGTTGTTTTCGATTGCAGTTTGAAGATTTTGAATGGCTTTGCGGTGATGGCCTTCCTTCCACAGAAGCCGAGCGTGCTCAATAGTGGCTGAATCGTCTTTGAGCTGGGATGCATGAAGAACTGCATTAAACGACTGATGTATATTGTTACCTTTTCTCGCAAGCCGGGCACTTGTCAGCCAAGCAGAAGCCACGTCCCCTTCTGTAAAATACGAACTGTAACTATCAGTATGTAACGCTGCACTAATGAAAGAAGACGAACCTCGACAGCTGCATTGCAGCTCGTCTAATGCTGAGCAGATATTGTTTGTCATTCAAATGTGCACCCAGGGTCTCGAGTCGGCGGTTCAAAGATGCAAGAACCTTTGGCCGGTCGAGTTGCGAGGACATACCAGTGCCTCCGACCATCTCCAGCTCCGTAAGGACGTGTAGTTTGAGCATCGTGTCGTGACAAGCCCCGAGCGATGATGTATTCGCTGCGGAGAGCGAGCTTGCAATTTGTTTCCTTGTTAGTTTTATGTTGCTTTTAAAGCCCTCGTTGTCCCTGGCGTGAAGCGCAAGCAGCGTCCGGCCAATTCTAATATTGAAATCTTCGCTCATCTCCTTCGGAGCCATGGATGCATATTTATTTAGTGCATTCCATCTCCCCGTTGACCAGGAAGCTTCTGTGGCAAATGGGAGGAGACGATGAGAAGTTTCGCTCGCGGTTCGCATACCTTCTACATAATTCAGCAAGACATCTGGTAATAATTGTTAGTATGTTTCAGCATTCAGAGATTTCTACGTACCATGCTGGCCAGACTCTTTAAGGCAAGTCAAAAGATTCACTTGAACATCAAGATCATCCGGAACCTCTGCGAGCTTAATTTCATACCAACTTTGCGCTGCGGTCCATCGTCCAGCTTTGCGATGACCGAGGATCTGTTGCTCAATATCAAGGACATGAAGATGGGCTGATATGCCCTCAATCCCATCTGGCTCGTCTATCTGGGTATAAATGGTCTGAAGTCTCTCTAGGAGCGAAGCATCGGATATCGTATTGTCTTCGTTATTACGTGTCTTACGGATGTGCTGTTCCCAATAAAATAGCGCGCGAGAATATGACTTGCACTCAACAGCGCGTTGAGACACAATTTCAGACGGTACCATGTCTACAACACTTTGTACATGTTGCAACTGAATTAATGCTTCTGATGGAAGGTTGCCACTCCGACCAGACGAGACAGTCTTTGCTTGTGCCCACCGAGAAAGGTAATCAAGCACACGAAACACGGCCTGTTGGTACATGTTAGATTCGAACTTGGAGTCTGGTGCAAGCACAAACCTCAATACATAATTTCAACTCCTCGCGGCGTACTTTCGAATCCATCTCTGGCTCGTAGACGAGAACTCGAAGAAGCTCATCTCCGATTTCGCGGCGCTGCTGGTCACTTCCAAGAAGTATAGTGTGCAATGCCACGTATGGGAGTAAAAAGCTAGCAATCGATATATCCTTGATCCTGATGGCTCGACATAATGGTGGAAAGATGACGCTAGCATGCAGATTTAGTGATTTCTGAAGAAGGTCTAAAACAAATGCTCGAAGCCAGACGTTATAGATCTTGTCTGAAATCATATTCCCAGGGGAGAATATTGGATATGAGTATTTAGGTAGATCTCGCTCAGAAATTAGATATTTCGAGGTCAAGAATGGAGTCAAAGTATTCCGCACAGTGATAGGCAGAGTACACCACTTCTCCCATATTTGATCTTTAGAGTCTTTTTGCCCACTTGCGATGATTGGGGCACAGACTTCTTTGAAGTCGCATTTCCAAAGCAGTTCCTGCATCACATAGGACAGAAACCCCTGCCACACTGTGTCTGTGGCCGAGAGGAATGCTTTGACAATTACCTCTTCCAGCATGAAGAGCACAAAATCGGTGGTTTCTCCGGCATCCTCGAAATTGGACACGACGACCATCTCTCTCTGTTCTCGTACTGACTCAACCCTATTTGAGTCCAAACAACCAATCAATCCAATGCATTCTGCCGAAAGCGTGGATATATGTGTATCAAAGCTGTTGAATCTCACACTGGTATCTAGGATGGACCGAACAAGACCACCCACCACAGGATCTGGTTGTTCGCTGATTGCTGACGACTGCAAAAAGTCCTGATTTAAGAAAAGATATTCCTTAAGTTCAGCGAGGGCCTGCGCGACGACTCCCGCGTTTTCATGGGCAATTCGCCGGCAATAGATCTGAAAGCCATTGCCAATATCTGTCGCTTGTCTCCAACTGTTTATTTGATCTTCTATGTGCGACAGCTCTGAAAACTGTCCTAGAGATGGCAAATTCACAATAGTATTTCGGATGAGATGGCCTCGTTCGTCGATCAAGTACTGAAGTACCGCCACGGTATGATGTCTGATTGCTTGATCAAATGTGTCCCAATGCTCAATAACGATGGAGAAAGTACTTTCCAACATTGCTGCAACGTCGTCATCGTCCAGATTTCTAAGCATCATGGCCCAGCTGCGGAACGCGGACGATTGGAGCTTAGTGTTTCCCAAAGCTGATTGTAGGCACGCACATATCTATTGTTTGTCAGAATGATCCCTTTGGATAGATAGGGGTGGCCCGACATACTTGTGGTCGAGCTACTCTTGTATGAGCTTTAGCTGCCCTTACTAACTCGGCAAAAGCCTTCACACATCGATCTTTTTCCTTGACTGGATGCGTGTCCCTGGAATCATTGATTACCTCAGAGAAACGGGCCACAAGACCAAGGATATGTTGCTCAAGAAAACGCCCAACAACATCCTTTTTGCTATGAGAGTTTTCCACCCCGATGCTGGTATTCTTTGCCAGTATGTTTAGTGCTCCATGAATCTGCGCGTAGTTAGCTATATGTGATGAATACAGGCTAACAAAGAATTACCCTGGCCTTTTTAGCCTCATCTGCCTCACCAGCAGCTTTTAGGAGATAGAAAACCTGAGATGCAGGCTCAACACTCATCAACTCTGAAAATGGGATTTCCTTGAATTTTGAAGAAATCGCCTTTAAGTGAGACATTATAAAATTTTCGATGTCGCCAGACCTCTGAGCAAGTAAGAATGCGAGTATCGCCACCATGTTCGACGTTTCCAAGCACGCAAACCAACCTTCCTTATCCTTGCGGGCATCGGCAATCCTCTCAATGACATCGGCTTTACCTAGCAAGACTAACCAAGGTAACGTAGAAGTCTGGGTGTGAATGAGAAATTCGGAGACGGAGACGCCTAGTAATTCTGCCATTAATTGAGTTGTTTGTGGCCGGACCAAGAGATCTTTGACCGTTTCGATAGCAACTGTATTCCAATACGGGCTGAACATTCGCTCAACAGTCACGCCACTAACCTTGCAAAGTTGAAGGATCTAACACATTAGCGAAGACCTCCCTCTGAAGCTATGAGCTTACCTCATTGAATGCGACCCCCGAGATGACTGGATTACTATGCCCCAGATACGCGACTAGTCTCAAGAGCACAATGTTGAGCTCTTCATCGGTAGATATTCTGGCAATTTTAGCGACCCGAGCCAAATAATCATGGTCAAAGGATATTTCAAACTAACCGGCCAACTTGGCCCCAAGCAAGGACCATGGTTTCTTGAAGGTGGTCGCCTACTTCTTCCGAGTAATCTCTAAGCAATTCTAAGACATTGAAACGATTTCTTCGTATTACATCCTGGGGAGCACCACTGCAATTAAGAAATTCGACCAAAGTACGCCTATTCAGCAGATTAACAGAAGGTAGCATGAATTCTTGGGTGGAGATTGTACCCAGCAGCAACCCGGAGTTCTCGTACTGAGCTTCGTAATGATGTCAAACACCACTGGCCAAGTCTAGAGACTTCAAGATCAATGAGCTCTGTGTTAGAGAAATGAAGAGCAAATCTACGAAGGGCGAACATCGCTACGACCCTACATCTCCTAGACTGTTGAAAACTAGGCGAATTAAAAACAGCTTCGAAAGTCGCAATAGCCTCGACGCTGACATCCTGATGTCTCGACTCGGAAGTCTCAACGATTAGCGTACGCTGGGATTCTTCACACACAGCACAATTGTATTCTCGAATACTCATATCTTTGTTTTTGGTTATGCTGAGGGTTCCAGAAGAGGCGCAAGGTACCCGAGCAAGCGCATTGATGGCTTTGCATCGATCAGCTTCACTTATGACGGAAAAGGAGGTCCTTCAAGACGTTAGTCGGACAAGTTCAGGAAAAGGGAAATAAACATGCTCTGCGATTTGACTCAACTCGGAGATTTCGACTGCTTTCTGGGCCCCTAAAATTGAGTACAGGTCGCTGGTTACTTCATCAAAACTATCGTAGGTTCTCTCAACCTTCCGCCGCTTTGAAGGCGGACCGATGTCCGCAGACTTGTTATGATGTTTCTCGATTCCAAGATTCAGGAATTCAGCATTGAGCTCCATACTGTCGTAGCTATCAACGGTAGCAAGCTCCGGAACGTTGAGGAATTCTGCGTTACAACAATTCCGGAGGGTTGTAGCAGCGCCCTATTGAATGTGAGCCTTCATGAATCAGAGGTGAAAATTGTAGGTACCTTAAGATCGAGCCTAAGGGTCTCGAGTCCACCATCTTCTTCTAATAGCTTATCGACAAGGGGGACCAAGTGGAGAGATACGTATCGATGTATAGAACTGTACTTGTGGCAAGACTCAATTAATATGCTGATGCTGTCACGAATACCGACTATAGTAGACTCGCTATACTGCCGTGATGGCGTGTCAAGTAGATCTGCCAAGAGATTTGAGAGTGTCATAAAACCTTTGCGTCGGATAGCTTCTGGCAAAGAGCTGTTAACTAAAGATAACAATACTTGCATTGCACAAAGAGCCATGACTTCGACATTACTGCAAGTTTCTTGGAGCTTTGGAATCGACCTCAAGCGTTTCTGCAATTCGTGCATGGCAGAGAAAGTGTCTATTAGCCACGCAAGGTAGTCGTCAAAGGCAGACATCGCATCGTAAAGGGCGCCGGCTTCCACCGATATGTCAACGAGCATAGTTAGTAGTATGTAGAGGTGCTGTATCGCATGGGGTGTGTCATCAATGGTATAAGTGTAGACCAAGTCTGTCTCTTGAAGCCTTATTTTGACATACAATGCTAGGAAAAAATCCCTCTCATTGGTAGGCAATACCACCGCCGACATGTTCCCGTGAGGAATAATCGCGGCATTTTGAAGATGGCTCGAGAGAACTAGGATCTGTCAGTCAAGATGAGCACCGGAACTGAAATTTACATACCCGTTATACATTCCTTCAGGTACTTGAAGAAATCTGTTGCCAGATCCCAGAGTTTTGGAGACCGAGCCACGACTTGGAAAGAAACGTAAAAGAATTCGCGGATCTTGTCCGTTAATCCTTCGCACCCTTGCCGGCCCAAAACCGCGAGGACCCTTGGGAATAGCCATATCCAAAGGGGTTCCTGCCCACGATGCTGAAGGATTTGGCCATCGGGTATGGAGTACCCAAGAACGCTAGGTGTTTCTCTAATTGTAGAAATGAAGATATCGAAAGCTTCGAAAGACTGGGATACGAGTTGCGTAATGTTGTTGAAAGGATCATCACTGCAAAGCCTGTCCAGGACAGCACGAGCAAAGACGTAAATCAACTTATGCTTGTGCTCAAGGTTCGATTTTACATTAGTGTGTGACTGTGGACTACTTTCGGTCTCTGAAATCTCTGTCATTAATCGCTTCAAATCATCCAGTTCAGGTTCTTGTGACCGCCTATTATTGGTTGTCGCTAGATTGTTAATCAGTTGGACAGCCATAGTCGATGGCGGAGCCTCGAATACGCTACGTGCATGGCCATTAAGCTGGCCATTTGTGTGTATATTCTGGGGGCCAGTTTGTGCGGTAGGTGCCATTATGCCATTTTGGTGTTGATGGTTTGAAAGATGGTAAACTCTGGACGCGATATGGCCACGTCGGCACGTGATGTAATTAACCTAAGCAGTTTAGTGGCCTTTAGAAAGTTATGGACCCACTACCTACTGTGTGTATCCAAATATCGACAGTTCACCTCGCCGCCGATCATAGATCTCGCGACTACCATGGCGGTGTTTTCTAACAAAAAGTTCCGCTCCTCCAAGGAGGCTAACACTATTGCGTCAAGATACCGAGCACAATTAGCGCGGCATCCATTTTTACTTTTCGGCTTTCCCTTCATTGCGACAATGGTAGCTGGATCGTTCTTTCTCACCCCCGCCACTGCCATCAGATATGAAAAGCATGACAGACGAGTTCGGAGGCTAAGCAAGGAGGAGGAATTAGGGATAGGAAAAGGGAGCCGAAAGGTGGATATGAAAGAAGAATACTATGTTAGTCATGTTATTTGCCTCCCTAAACCCATAGCTAATACAATATCAACAGCGACTGGCAGCAAAAGACTTGGACGATTGGGAACAGAAACGTGTAAAGAGACTCCCTGGAGAGCACGATGGCGTTATCTAGATGCCGGTACGCTCAGAATTCATAACAATGCAATCCCCCTACACTCGAATTCAGTCCAATCACGAATCATGAGGTCTATCTCGAATACTTTGAATACTCGAGCAATTGTACTCTGCACCATACGGAAGCTACGAATTATAACCGTTTACGAGATACTCTCATGTGGGACATGTTGGATCGAATTAACACTTTCACACCCTGGGTTGATAGCTATTCTGCCTGGTACGACCGTTCTACGCAGTAAGCTTCTCGATCTTCATTGGAAGTCTCGTTCCGAATGTCCATATGCACTGCGTTCAATCATCATGGACTCGCATCGTACAGTCCCCTGACCATCTCCATTAATGCCCAGGCTCCTGGATCTGGCAGGTGTTGCTCTTCTCCTCCCGCACCCACATAACTGGCTCTACCAAATTTGGGCTTCAATCCTCGGGTTCCCTCAGCAGCCTTCTCGGCCTCTCTCACTGCTTTCTCGAAATCTCTGGCACTTTCTAAAGTCTCCTGGAACGGGAGCAATACATCCATTACCGTCCTATCCCCTACCCTGGCACCCGTATGGTTCTTTAGGGCCCCGACGGCCTGTGTTAGGGCTGGCGCGAATACATCCAATAAACTACCATCTCCCTTTTGCTTCTCTGTCCGAAGAGAAGAGGCCAGGGCTGCAAGGAGTATTCCGAATATAGCGCCTAGTGTTCCGCCCATGTCGTCAACCGCATCGATGACGGCGTATAATAGCTCAAAAACTGAACCAGACTTCGCAGTCCCGTTGTCGAGAATTTTTAGTACAGCTAGCAAGTTAATGTTAAGGATCTCTCCTGGCACTAGATGATTGGCGACATACCTTCACAGACCCCTTTCACCGCCTCCCCACAGTCTCCGTCGCCCATAACCATATCCCACTTTGTGAGATCCGGCTCCGACTTTATTGCCCGCTCACAAGCTAGGCGAACAGTTGCTTCTAAGTTGGTTGGGTCGACTAGCAAAGTTGTCAGCCCTTTCTTTCATCATTAATTCCTATCATTAGTACCTGTAATGTCTTCTTCTGTGGATATTGGTGTCTGTTTTTCAATATCAACAACCGGCGTTGGCTTCCGTTCTGCTTTGGTCGATGTATTGGAAAGAACATTTGGCCACGCAGGAGCTTTGGTTTCATAAGCCAACAATCCTAGCAACTCGTCTACGGATGTGTTGCTCTCTTTTGCAGCTATAGTAAGATTACACAGCGTGATCGAAAAACCTGGACCATTTAGAGAAGTCTCAAAGGGAGCAGCGTATATCTTTGTTGGTTTTATCCGCCACTTGGATTCTGAGCTTTGTTAGCCGGAGACATGATGCGAATGGTGAATCTTTGCTTACCGAGTTGGGACAGTGTCTCTTGGGTCAAGGCACCTAACTCCAAGTTGGACAACCCGCCGTAGTTGTTGATCAAAAGAACTGTGTCATCGTTGTCACTGAATCTAACGAAACCTCGCTCTGGATCTTTTTGATCACATATCAGAGTCAATAGTTGAGCAATTAGGTCCTCTACGGATGGAAATGGTGACACTTTTTGCGCCCCCTGCTGAACGTCAATAAATGTGCCCTCCTCCGAGCAACGGACTTACCGGTTCATTGTGTATTCCGGCCCCAACTACACAAACGTCGTCACCAATCTCATCATGGTTTTGGCGGCCTGGTACGTGGCAATGATCTAAAGCGGAACCGATTGAAACCAACTGATTGTTGACTGCTTTTCCGATGTCGACTAGTCTTTCATAACTGTATTCTTGGCTGGCGGCTGCCCCAAGGACCTTCATGGCTACATTATTCAACATGACTTCAAGTGTGTTCTGAGTATTTGTACTTACTGATCACATTGCCCGCTAACCCTCTTCTTCCGACCTTTTCGCACCTACTGCGCCCGATCGACACATCGTCCGTGGCTGGAAGAACGACCACCTTTTTAGCAAATCCAGCAGCTAGGGCTCGCTCAGCAGCCAGCCCGAAATGCAACTTATCCCCGGTGTAATTTGTAATTAAGAGTATGGTGCCTTTCTCTGAGGGAACGGAAGCAATTGCAGCAAGTACTTGTTTCATGCTTGGACTAGCAAAAATGTCCCCACAAGCGACAGCTGATAGAAGGCCATCACCAACATAACCTGACCAAGCTGGCTCATGACCGCTACCTCCTCCAGAAATCAAAGCAACATTTGAGGACTTGTGTGTGGTGTTTAGTACAACACGGTGCTCATCGAGGAAGGAGAGTGATGGGTTGGCAGCTACCAGAGCTTGCAGAGCTCTTGGGACTAGTGTATTTACTGCCGTCTCAGGGAAGTAATGTTTGGAAGACATTACTTTGTGCGTAAATGGCGGTTAGAGGAGCTTACTTCCACAAATGTGTCAAAGGTGGTTTGCGGTTAGGTTTCTGGTGGCCAGTCGGGCGTGGTTGTCTTCTAGTGGCGCGGCAAATAAATATAACGGAGGTTAAGGGGACAGGGCAAAATGACTTGCTATGCGAAATAAAGTCAGAAGAAATCTGCTGAAGGAACCATCTGACTGAAGAATTCTAGCAAATCATGTAGGAGGCTCATTTTGCTTTCCTACGAGTTCCTCATAGCTTTTGTCACTCACTGGTGGAACCTACCCCACATCCCAGACCCCGCGTTGACGGAAGACTATAAACGGCAAACCGGGATTTCGAGAGCCTCAATTCAGCCTATTTTCATTCACCATGGTCGACCAGACATAGAGTGGAACCGTGGAAATCTCTGCGCAATATAATTGCGACTCTCTCTCGCTACTACGGAAAGAAAATTTATGGCTGTTGTCTCATGGTACCTCACGGACGGATACCAATTGGGGATGGGTAAAGTAGAGCTTCCACAACCTCGGTTTAATCGAGATTTACATGATATGAATGTTCGCAGCCTATCAAGTGAAGAAAATTTCGTCCGAACGGATGCCCTAAATTGTTCTGCGAGGATGAAAAAACCTGGCGTTGATGTGAGCGCCTTCCAGGTTGTGGGTAATTCGCTACGATTTCTCAGAAAAAGGAGCTTATTTTGATATACTTTAAGTTCTGTTAGTAAGATTACATCTAAGAAACAACCTGTAAATCTTCCGGACTAATGTTCGATGGTGGCTAGAAAAACCTTATGATACTTCTTTTGACAACACTTTCTTGAATGGCGAACGGTCTAAAATCTTGCATATACCATTTCACGTAATGTTACAATTTGGTCAATGCATCCAGAGCATAAAGCCAATCACATCGAGAAAGGTGATCCACATGTTCTTGGAACTTCAACGTCGTGCGAAGATGGCTTTGAAAGTATGAACACTGGCTTGAAAGCAAAAACCTGTTGAAGCGATATTCTCAAAGGCACTTGAAACACATCATGGCTTCGATCACCTCCATGCCAGTCGAGATCCTCCATCTCATATTTCGCGCCCTTCAAGACGTCACAGCTGGGCCAAGATATGTCATTCGGAAACCTCTCGAGCAGGAAGAAACAAATGCTTCCTGTGTATCAGACGATGACCCCAAAAAGCAAGCCAGATGGACTTTGTCTGACGCCGGTCCTCTTCACCTTGCCGCATCGTGCAAAAGCCTTCGAGAAATATATTTTTCGCCCTACATCCCATTCAACCTCGTCATGGAAGTACCAGATCCTCCAGGTACTGGACTTGCCAAAAGGTTTTACGATTTTTGGTACACAGGATACGGAGAAGGGAGTCTGGAGCATCATTTGAGGCGCCTAAGGAAATCATTTCGGGGGAAACCATTGACAAGATTTGAGTTTCAATGGAAATGGAAATGGGAATCAGAATATCTGAATGAACATTTGGTGTGTATGCAGCTGTGGACTGAGACTTTGAGGGATGTCAGTGAAGTGTTTGGGGATGAACTAGCTGTCGTCGTGTGTTCCCGCGGAGTAGATGTGGAAACCGATTTTATGAGCCACGCACCCAAAAGGATTCGGGCTCTCGAAGATAGAAGCAGGAGCTTTCCTGGGCGAGATCCGTTGCTTCTCAGACCCACAGTGGATTGCATCCAACCGGAGTCGGATATAGATGGAGGCAAGGTGACCACAGGCAGTGAGAACAACCAAATTCTCGAAGATTTACCACTGCCTCCCGTTCGTAATGCAGCACCTCGTCGGGCGGAACTTGGTACTTTAACACCTCTAGCCCTGCATGTATATTTTGGCCATGGGCAGCCTACGGCAGACGTACTGATGGGTTGCGTCCTCGAAATGTTTGCTAACAAAAATCTGCGATCATTCTACATCTGTTCCGACCCCAATAATTTCGGAGTTCATAGACACAACAGGCGTGCAATTGAGGGCCGAGATCTGTACCAAATCAAAAATCCGTATACAGTGGGGAATCCATGGCGATTTTTACTGCCTTCAATTAGTCAAGCCTGCAAGACCCTCGAATCGATCACCCTAGACTGTGCTCTTTTCTGGTCAGAAATAGCCTATTGCCTTCCTTATCTCTCCAAGCTCAAACACTTTGACTGCGAACTTATGTTGATGTACACAGAGCCGGTCCATCCTCCAAAGCTCGAAGGAAGAGAGAAGGCCAGGGAAAGGGTCAGCAATACTTTGGCTCTGAGAGATGCTGAAATCGTCAAGCAAATGAAATTTAAGAAGAACAAGAACAAGAAATGGTTAGGTATTGAAGATGAGGGAGTGCGATTTCCGAAAATAGAACCTCGCAAGGTTGATATGGGACCGGAGCCACGGTCGAGATTTGTCAACGTTCAGATGGAGGTTTGTTTGCAACTTGGAAAAGAAAGGATGTTCAAGGGCAGGAGAAGCTAAGGCAATGCTTGAGACGGTACATGTTTTGGGAAGGCCCCTTTTACTCAATTGTGCGTGATAACATATTCCAGGGGAACTGAAGACGAAGAGAAGCCAGCAAGTAGTGTCTGCGTTCAAATTTGCATTAAATCTTGGACGGTTCCTAGGTGACAAAATCAGCACTTGCTATCGTTCAAAACCAAGCAACTTTTGATCCAGCCGTCCAATTCACAACTTCAGGGGACTACAATTTGACACATTTTGGGCTTTTTTTTATATAGATTTATAGATTATACTTGAGAAATATAAATACAAAAGACGTAACAAAATTGCCTAGAGACTTCACAGCATCGCATGCCGTGTAACGCAAAGGAATTCTGGGCTGTTGGGCGAATGAAGTGGGGGCCTAGATTGTCGCTAAAGTCCCTGTTCGGTTGGCGCTAGAACCACCACTGCCCGACCTGAGAATAGAAGGGTTCGCGACGACTTCCTTCCATTTTCAACTCTCAACACTTCAAACGTCTTTCTTGTGTCACGGGTGAAAGTGAGTTCTTAAGTGACTTGAGATTAGGATTTTCTCTGGAAGGAAACAATTCCAATTTGTAGCCTTCCACAATTCCATCACAAACGGGACCGGCCCGACGCGTCTTTTCGACAGTCTCTAGACTGGTGTCCAAGACTTGTCAGACGAGCTCAAGGCTTTAATTACTGCGACTTCATCAAGTCGGGTTTTCGGAGATGTCGTACCGAGTTGGTAAGTATGAAGTCTATTTAATTCGTTCCTGCAAGGATTTCAGTAAATTTCAACGCTGTTGATGGTGTGACTGACATCACCACATCTCTACTGTGTAATATTTCCAACACGACTAACTCTAACGAACAGAGACCGCCTCTTCTAACCGCGCTGTATGCGTTGCTACTGAGTGCAAAAAGGCTAAGATCAAAATCAACAAAGGTGATCTTCGGTTTGGGGTTTGGGTCACTTTTCAAGACACGGCAAGCTGGAAATGGAAACATTGGTTAGTAGTGTTTCTCATGTCAAGACGAAGTGAGTTCTATTGCTAATGTTATTTCAGGGGATGTGTTACAGGAGCTCAGATTAAGGGCGTCAGAGAAGTACTTGAAGACCCCGAGCATCCTGGTGTTTATCGCTGGGATTTCTTGGACGGCTACGAAGGCGATGAAAAGAACAGTCTTAGCCACTTCCCAGATCTTCAACAGAAAGTCCGCGAAGTCGTTGAGCAGGGACATATTCATCCAGAGGATTTCAATGGGGTACGAAATATTTCCTTTGAATTTTTGTCCCCCTTCCCCCAATTATAGTCTTTTGACAGAACGCTCCGGAAATCTCTCCTCATATTGTGTTGCTAACTTCGAAAAGGACCCAGAAATGAATAAGCTTGGTGAAAAGGGCCTGCACACAAAAGCCACCATGAAGAAATTCCGAGATGCCGCAAAAGGTCGAGCAGAGGAGGTCGGCGAGATGACCGAAAAGCTTGCTAGTCTTGAAGCGGAGAAAGAGCTCCTTCGTCAAGGGGGCACTGTTCGATCAGGATTGAGCCCTGAGATACAAAGCCTCAAAGACGAGATTGAAGGAATTACGGAATTCAAGAACAAGACTTCAGTGACCCACATTAGACCAGAGGGCGACGAGGAAGAGGAAGTTAAGCCTGCCAAGAAAAAGCGAGCTACCAAAGCCAAGGTCAAAAAAGAAGCGGATGACGGGGAGGAGGAAGCCAAACCTGTAAAAAGAAAACGAGCGGCTAAATCCAAAGTCAAGGATGAAACCGATGACGAAGAAGATGGAGAAATCATGCCAGCGAAGAAACAGCGAGGAAAGAAAGAAGTTGTTAAGAAGGAAGCGAGCGAAGACGAAAAGGAAAGCAAAACCACCGCGAAACAGCAAGCGCCGACCAAGGGCAAAGTTAAGAAAGAAATCGTTGAAGCTGAGGTCCCAAAGGCAGCGCCATCCACCAGGAAATCTCGAGTGAAGAAGGAGATTAAGAGCGAGGCAAACGGCGATGAGCAGGTAAGAGCACTTGTGTTGATATTGTTATACTGCTAATAGGGTTCTTATAGATGGTTGATACCATTGAGAGTGAAGCGCAGCCACCATCAGCTGCAATTAAGAAACCTAGGGGAAAAGCGGCAATAAAGAAGGAGGAAGAGGCTCAAGTTGCAAAGGACGAAGAGGAATCGGATACTCTAGCTGTCGCTGCTGTTCCTAAGAGACGTACATCTCGCAGCAAGAAAATGATCCAGGCCGAAGCAGAAGTGGAGTCTGAGACCGGGAACGTTAAAAAGGCATCCCAAGCAAAAGGAAACACGAAGAAAGGACACAAAAGTGCCGCTAAAAATGATTTATCTGAAGGTAGTGATGTCGATATGAATGACATCCCAGAGGCTTCAGCAGACATGAAGAACGGAGGTCTCTCTTCTGCGCAAGAGCCCGTGGTTACCGCAAATGAGGAAGATGCTTCTACATCTGTTCCGGCGCCCAAGACAGGACGACGTTCCAAGAGGTAAGACCCCGAACAATTGGCAAAAAAATTAATTTAACGGAAGAAACAGTAACCAAACAACTACATCATCGGGACGTGTTTCTCGAGGACGCAGAGCATCGGGAACTTGAACGCTCATGTCCACGACCATCGAAATCCACTATTTCGATATTTGTACAACACTTCTTGCACGTATGCAACATTCTGAGAGACTCTTCATTCGATTTACATCACAAGCTTCGGGCTCTGTAAAGTTGCTTTGCGTTATACTTGCTATAATTAGCCGTGAGATTGTACTAAAGGTTTATCAGACAGTATGGGATGTATCAACATTGTGTTGCTGGGAAAGTTGCTTCTTGTTAGACAAAATATGGGAATCGGAATTACAGATTCAAGGTGGTCATGAAACACGCTTAATATTATCAGATCAAGACATTCATGCTTTATTAATCGACCTGATTGTGCTTTTTGGTGTCTCCCGCTATCCGTTACTCCCGCGTAGATGAGATGTGCTTGCATCATTCATATATATCGAGGGTCTACACATTGAGAGGAGAAGGAGCTACACAACTATCAGCCATGATACGTGTACATCTATGTACGAGTACCTGTAGTCGATATCTTGAAAAAACTGACACGGGTTTTGGACACTAGCACTGCTCGATCAAAGTTGTTTAAGCTAACTACGAGGCTACGGAATTCAGGATTCAATTCCTACTAGCTTTCTAAGTTCGACCAGCAAGAACACTCTACAGCATAATCGCCCTATTGTCGTGTATACGCGCCAAAACAGAAGATTCTATTGCTAGCTGCTTAGAAATCGGGCAAGGGAATTCCTACCAAAAGACTGACAGAATGAATGTATTGGAGTACAAATATTCGTTCAATGGCAGCATGTACGTTACAACCAGGCACTGATATTACGACCATTCTAAATTGAAAATCTAGCGTAACAATCCTTTTCTCTTGCCGCTCGCGCTGGAGCCCCGAAATCTATCTGCCCACTTCCATTATTTGGCAACGACATAGCGTGATTATCCCCTAAATCCACTTTTGAATTTCCAGGCATTTCCACAGCAATATCCTAGATAGCTTCGCCTAAACATAAACCCACTTCCCAGCCTGCTCAACCACATCATCCAAACTCCTAACCACCTCTTCCAACCCTCCTTCACTCGGTTCTTTCCTCTTCACGCGCCACTCATAAACACCCTCTCCCTTGCTTTTCCGCTCCTGATCAAGTGCTTTCCCAGTACTCGTCCCAAAGGGATCAAGTCTCATCCAATCCCACCCAACTCTAAGTCTTATTCCCTTCTTAGGATGATCACTAACATCGACAATCATCTGCTTCGCCGTTCCGCCCTCGAAATTCTTGCGGAGCACATTCGGTTGGATGGTGAGATGCCATCCTTCCGAGCCTCGAGAGGACTTGGGTGTTTCTTCGCCTTCGAGCGGGTATAGGGTTTTGGCGATGGAGGCTGAGAGGACGGAGGTTGTGGCGTAGAAGACGTATTCTGTTATTGCTTCGATGTTGTAGACCATCCAGTTGGGATGAGGTGCGATCGTGGTTAGAGGAGAGTCTGGGTTGACTGTGAGGAGAAACTGGCTTACGCCTGTTGATAGTTGCTGGGTTTGTAATATTATGTTTATGGTAGTTGATGGGTTTGGAGAGAACGTCGCCACGGACTCCAGACGTTCTGTAAGGGAGAGGATGGTGCGCTCCGAGTTTGCGAGGTTGATATTTGAAGGGAGTTGTGGTTGATTGTGGGTTATGCTGAATTTTGCTTCGAGAGAAGCGGATGTGAGGAGTGAAGTGAGATCTCTTAGTAGTGTAGTCAACGTGTTTACTGTTCGTTGGTGACCAAGCCTTGTGATTATTGGGCGGAGAAGATTATATGGAGGATTGGTGCGCTTCTGACCGGAGATTGGAGGGGGTGGTAACGTCCTACGACGATGGTTCTGTCTATGCGCGTAACTTAGAAGCAATTGTAAAGACAAACATAGACCTTGCGCTATATGATCGTCTTCCTGAGGCGCGGGAGCCTCGAGATCCGCTATGTTTACGAGATCCAAAATAATTCGTTTCTCCGAATTTAAAGGTAATATTAAACTGTCCTCGGTAGCTTTTACATCTGCTCCACCAAGATTCCGCGATTCTCGATTAAGCTCTTGCCATAGCTCTGTGAAGAATATAGTATTGCGCGCTTGTTGGATCAACGATTCTACCGAAGCGTCCTCGCCAGTAGCTTTTGGTACCTGTGATGTTCCTGTATAGATCTCGCCCACTTGAACGCGGACTCGCAAGATCTTTGGCTCCGAACCCGTGAAGCCTTGGTCAAGAAAAATTGAGCCATCTGCGTTTCTCCGCAGAGCTGCTAAGCTTTGATTTCTGAAAGTCATTGAAGCCTCCAAAAACCCAAATCGTACACCTAAGGTATGTCTTTCACTAGGCAGTCGACATAAAGACCATCCCTTTTCGCTCACAGAAACTACTTCCTCCCAGTATTTGGTCTCGCTTTCTACCTCGTTTTTAAAACGTGTAGCAGCATTCAAGATTGAATCGATAGTCTTATCGACATTTTGAACCTTCCATCCCTTCGCAATACGTTTGTTATCCAACATCTGAGCCCGGTTTATTTGAGGTCCGTTGAGTTTATCCGCACCCAGAGTCCCGGTTGGCACTGCCAGCTTAATGTCTTGGGACATTGTTGAAGCTGCCTGCACGGGATTGTCTTTCGACTGGAGTAGGGACAAGAAATCGAGGGTCACCGCAGAAGAGACGTAGGCACTTCTAGAAAACAGTTAGCTTTTTCCAAATGCTAGCATTCGACGGTCTTACTCTAAAAGGCCCAGCATCTCTCCCTTGGCCTCCATAAGCTCTCTCAGCTTATCCGGCTGCTCTTCGTCCTCGTCCTCATTCTCACTTGTGTCGTCCTCATCCATCTTAGTTTCTGCTTCTGCTGCAATCTCCTGGCGCAAGCTTTCCTCCGTGAGGCCCTGTATTCCTCCTCGTTCGCCATTGATTCGTTGGAAGAGGGTTGAGAGCGAGGTCGCGTCGGAGTTCTTTGAGGAGGGCCATGATCGAAGGGATATAGGAAATGAGTTCGTCGTAGTACTCATGTTGGGTATATTGGTTCAAGAACCGTAGAGAATACAAGAGCGCTTTGCAGACAGTCTCAAGCTTGTTGGATCTTTCTCAGAGCCTGACTACTGGGCAGCGACAGAGAAACGCAGCGATGGTATATCGTTTGGCACAGATATAACCGGTTGACAATATTTTGTGGATTGTGTAGACAGTTGCAGTTTAGTTTATTACGACATGAGCGAATGATCCCCTTTTTTTGCCAATTGTCCTATGTATTCCTCGCTGGGTATTAGGTGAATCTGCTTCTTTCTTGTCCTCTAGCAGAAGAAATGACACGCGCTCAAATGCTGGAGAGACTTCCGCGCATCCCAAGCGGGAGTTTGAGGTATTGGATCACACTAGAGCACCTCTTGAGAGAAGTTTATCTGTACAGGGCCTTTGTTCGGTCGTTCCGCTCGTGGATAAATGTCGCTTTCGATGTAAGTTGATGGCTCTCACTTTCACTGGTGGTTCTGGGTGTTGGAAGGACCAGGTTCAGCCTGCAGGTCACAGTGCGACCCAGACCCAGGCACACGTCTTCCCTACTGGTGCCCCCTAGCTGCTCCCAGGGGCCGTTGATTCGACGTCAGAAGCCCCGAATGCACCCCCACATCGCGTAATGAAAGCTCTGTTCGGCGGGACCAGTGGACCGGCGAGGCTGAGATAAAGCTCAATTTAGCGGACCTTTTCCTTATCGGCGCCCTGATGCGCTCTGTTTTCACGATTCATTATTCACCGACGTCCTCAACAACGTGGAGACCAGTACTGGTTCTGCCTCACCTCATCCAGCGTTTTCCTATACTCTTACGCCCTACTGCATTCTTACTGCATCCTTACTGCATCCTGTCCCACCCCGATAAAGATCTGACCTGGCTCATGATCCACCTCCCGTGCTGCAAAACCTATTTTCTTTTGCTCGTACACAGCACACAGCACACAGCTTCGAAGCTCGCACCTCGTCATTGCCCGAAAACCCCTCAGCCCTGCCCCGCGTGAGAGCAAGACGAAAATTCTTCCATCATCTCCAATATTCATTCTTTCTCACTCCTGGCGTGCCTTCCTCTACCTCTTCTCAGACCACCCTTTTCTCTACATAGCTCGCGAATATACCTGTTCGTTGTGAGCAGACTATCGACATGGCTCCCCTCCAACCCCCTCCCCCGCTCGAAGGAAAGAAACGCCGCATTGGTATGATGACCAGTGGAGGAGACTCTCCCGGAATGAACGGAGCGATCAGAGCTGTGGTTCGAACTGCAATTGACGCTGGCTGTGAGGTCTACTGTATCTACGAGGGCTACGAGGGTCTTGTCAAAGGGAAAGACTTCATCCGAAAGTTCGAATGGCCTTTCGTCCGTGGCTGGCTTTCCGAGGGCGGTACATTGATTGGTACAGCAAGATGTATGGAGTTCTACGAGCGTCCTGGTAGACTGTTGGGTGCGAAAAACATGGTTCTCAATGGCATTGATGCACTCATCATCTGTGGTGGTGATGGCTCTTTGACTGGAGCTGACAAGTTCAGAGCAGAGTGGCCCGGCTTGCTCGAGGAACTCGTTCAGACAGGAGAGCTTACTGCAGAACAGACCAAACCATTCAAACATCTCAATATTGTTGGTCTAGTTGGGTCAATTGATAATGACATGTCGGGAACCGATGCTACAATCGGTTGTTACTCCGCCTTGGGCAGAATTTGCGAGATGGTAGATTATATTGAAGCAACAGCCTCTTCCCATTCCAGAGCTTTTGTTATTGAGGTCATGGGCAGGCATTGTGGGTGGTTGGCTCTCATGGCAGGCGTTGCAACTGGAGCTGATTTCGTTTTCATTCCCGAGAAACCAAGAGCAGAAAACTGGAAAGAAGAAATGTGCGGACTTATCGCCGAGGTGAGTGCTACTAAATCAGTGACTGTAGGTTAAACGCTAAGAACTCGCAGCATCGAAAATTTGGAAAACGAAAGACAATCGTGATAGTTGCTGAAGGCGCGCACGACCAGGATGGAGGGAAAATTACTTGCGAAATGATCAAAGACCTTCTAGCAGACAAGAAAGGTTTGGCCTTGGACACCCGAATAACGACTCTTGGGCATGTGCAACGAGGAGGAACGGCATGTGCTTATGATCGTATGATCGCAACTCTACAAGGTGTAGAGGCTGTCAAGGCGGTGCTTGATGCTACACCAGATACGCCAACTCCATTTATTGCCATCAACGAGAACAAAATCACACGAAAGCCTCTCGTACAAGCAGTTATCGACACCAAAGAGGTTGCGAAAGCGATAGAAGCCCGAGATTTCAAGAAAGCTATGGGACTTAGGGATACCGAGTTTATAGACATGTACGATTCGTATATGACAACAACTGCGACGAGCTTGAATAAGAGCATGCTTCTCCCTGGAGACAAGGTATGAAAACCCGTGACCTATTCAAAGTAGACTTACTCATTTGTTCTAGCACATGAGAATTGCAATCATTCACGTAGGCGCACCAGCTGGAGGGGTGAATGCTGCAACTCGTGCAGCTGTTGCGTACTGTTTGACTCGTGGACACACTCCAATTGCTATCCACAATGGTTTTGCTGGTTTCGCACGTCATCACGATGATAAGCCAGAGGGAGCGGTCCGAGAATTCAACTGGCTCGAGGTTGATGGCTGGGCGAGTAAAGGTGGTTCAGAAATCGGTATGAACCGTGAAACCCCAGAGGAGTCCGGAATGGAGTTGATTGCTTCTCTCATTGCAAAATACAAAATAGACGGTCTATTTATCATTGGAGGATTTGAGGCATTCCATTCTTTGTCACAACTTCGACAAGCTCGGAAGGACTACTCTTCACTTTGCATCCCTATGACTCTACTTCCTGCAACGATATCCAATAACGTCCCCGGGACTGAATACAGTCTAGGTTCAGACACTTGTCTGAACGAGTTGATGAACTATTGCGACAAGATCAAACAGTCTGCCTCCGCATCCAGACGGAGAGTTTTCGTCATTGAGACTCAAGGCGGGAAATCCGGTTATATTGCTACACTCGCTGGTCTCTGCGTCGGTGCCGTTGCGGTGTATACACACGAGGAAGGAATCAGCATTGCCATGTTAGCAGCTGACATCGACCACTTGCGTAAAGCATTCGAGTCAGATTCAGGTCAATCACGAGCTGGTCGTCTTATTCTCGTCAATGAGAAAGCAAGCAAAGTCTACACTGCGAGGCTTATTGCGGATATGATTCGCGAAGAAGCACATGATCGATTCGAGTCTCGTGATTCTATTCCTGGCCATGTTCAACAAGGAGGCGTACCATCTCCTATGGACCGTACGCGTGCTGTAAGGCTTGCTATCAAATGCATTGAACATCTTGAGGGGTTTCAAGATCGAAGAGATTCAACTATATTAGACGATGATCAGTCATGTACTGTGATTGGAATTAAAGGAGCCAGCGTTGTTTTCACGCCCATGAAAGAAGTAGAAGAGAAGGACACCGATTGGAAGAATCGTAGACCACTAAACGAGTTCTGGTCTCCGCTAAAGCACATCGTAGATGTTTTGAGCGGACGACCAGAAGTTCCGCGGCCAGAGAGGAATTTAGAGGGGTTCAAGGCCAAGGACAAGAAAAGAGGAATTGCATAGACGGAGTTTCGCAGAGAGCCTATTAACGTTGGGGTTTGGATTTATTGGGAGCTTGAGCGAAATTGTTGCTGGTGCTGGGTACTTGCGGAATTGGAGAAGGCATCGGAATCAACCTAAGACCATGACTTTATGAAATTTGTAGATTGTTTGTAGAATCACCTTGGAATCATGTGGAGTGCTAGTAGGACGTGACATATTGTTACTCGATCATAGGTAAACAATAATCACGAGTATGTTTTTTAGGATTGTGAATCTAGCTTATGAGAATCAGACAAAAGGAAATCAGCAGCAATACCAAAATCAATTATGGTCAAATCTGATCTGGGAGGGAATACACAATGTCACAATCTTATGTGGATGGAGGACTACCGCACGAACCATTAGACGCAGGGATGGAACAACATTCTTTGTCAGACCCAACTCTTCCTTTCTACAACTATACCACCCACTCGTTCGACTAGGCTGCATGTGCTTCGGAGCTTGCTCTTAAAATCCTGAATCTCCAAACACATTGCCAATATTTCTAGCATTAAACAATCCGTGTTCGGAAATCGGTTTTCAACTTTCGCCAAGTCGAGCCAGCCCAGCTCTCACCGTCCAGGGTCTTTTGGCGTCCAACATCGTTAGCCATCTTCGGTAGCACGTTCGAGGCCAATTGACATCGTGACACGTATTCCAATACATATACATAGAAACGGTATTCGTAAGGATATTACAGTCGTTCTGCGTTCTCATATTCAACATTATTCTATCTCAACTCTTGGTTCCACGTCCAGCTCAGTCAGCTCCGACCTTCTCCACATATCACGTCGGCGTACTCCGACACTTACGAAGTAATTCGAGGTAGTTTGCTAGCTTCACATCACCGCTCCCGTCCAGAATCAAATCAATTGACCGTGTAGAGGAGTTGGACGGACGGACATTGAGGAGCTCTACTCGAACCTTGGAGGCTGGGCAACGGTTGTACGAAAGTCGCTGCCACAATGACGACGCGATACCGTGTAGAGTGTTTGTATACTCACACTGAACCAACATATACATAGAACTAACATTTTTAGATGCTCTCAAAACCCATCGTCGTGATCAATTCATAGGTAAACTCTCCCCATATCGCCAGCGGCCCCTCAATATCACGTGTCTGTGATATGTGAATTTCTCTGGCTGACCTATATTGATTAGAATGGGTTAAAGGCTTGCTTGCTGTGCCTTTTGTGCTTCATTCCCAGCCAACTGGCGTCTTCGAAACGAGAAGTAATTCGGTACAACAGATGGCGGCGGAGGCACACCGTCGATATAAAGAAATCATGCGAGATGTGGAAGGGATGATTGACGACCACAGTGAGTTACTAGTTTGCTACCATTATCTGGAGTCTACATGAAAGCCATAACTTGGCAGGTGTCCTAAATATAAAAGTGACATTTTTTGTACTCTGAAGTCTTTTGCTTCAAATATCCATCTTTCCCGCAGTTCATGCTTTGAACTAACTCGCATAGTTGAGCATCAGAAGGACAATACTCATGGCCAATCGAAGCTCAAATTACTAGTGCCAACTATTGGCACCTTTTTCACACGTCTACCTCTTGCAGACGCTTTTGAGTACCAGGATAAAAAGAGATTCATCTCCTCAAGAAGATTTGTACCCCCGTCTTTCAACGATGTTCGCTTGATCTTGAATACTGCTCAGCTTATGGGCTTAACTGCAACTGGTAGTCTTGACCTTGCTACTTTCGATGGAGATGTTACTCTGTAAGAATGAAACATATCGATAATCATGAGAGACAAGCTAAATAACCATAGCTATGATGACGGGCAGAGTTTATTACCCTCTAATCCTGTTATTCAGAGGATCATCGGTAGGTTCTTGCCTGTGAGCGTTGTATACATATGATCCCCGTACTGACTTGATAATCTCAGATCTCATGAGCAACGACACAAAAATTGGTATTGTTACGGCGGCAGGATATACTGAAGCGGAAAAATACCATGGGAGATTACATGGACTCCTTACAGCAGTCAATACATCTACTGTGCTTACAGAGCAACAGAAAAATAATCTGATAATTATGGGTAAGTTCCTCTTTACTCGGACACCTCTTCAGTCAGCTGCAATATTTATTCTTAAACAGGCGGCGAGTCGAACTTCCTTTTCACATTTGATTCAAGCTCTCCATACCTTCTTTCCCATCTCCCACGACGAGAGTGGATCCTACCAACCATGAAGACCTCCTGGTTACAACCAACCATCACTGAACTCCTCGACGTAGCCGAATCCTCGCTCCGCGAATGCGTTCAAAATCTATCCTTAGCAGCCACAGTCCTGCGAAAAGAACGAGCCGTAGGTATCATCCCCACCGTCCCCGACTACAAGTTCCCCCGCGAGAGTCTCGAAGAAACAGTCTTAGTCGTGCAGAAGAAACTCGAAATGAGTGAAGTCGGGCGACTCCTACCCTTCTGCGCTTTCAACGGTGGAAACGACGTATTCGTTGATATTGGGGATAAATCGTGGGGTGTACTCGTTTGTCAGAACTTTTTCGGGAGTCGTGGGAAAGCGACTGGTGAGGTCGATGAAGAAACGGAGGCTATTCTGGGCGAGCGCACGCTTCATGTCGGTGACCAGTTTTTGAGCGCTGGGAGTAATGATTTTAAGGCGAGGGTAGTGGGTACTACTGCGTGGATTGCTAATCCGACCGAGACCGTGGAGCTTTTGGATGAGTTGGTGGGACTTATTGGGATGAAGAGGAAGGAGTGATGGTCCCACGTTAGGATATATGGGTTGAGGGGTTGTCATATGTTTGAAAATTTAGTAAGGGCACTCGAAGTTTCCAATATAGTTGGGTACATGGTAAATGAGCTGCAGTTCGTTAGAAACCTTGGAATCCTAGGTGGTCTCCGGCGAATGGGAATACAATAAATTGTAAGACCGCTGTAAAGGTGCCGTTGCCATTTAGGAGGGTACTGGTAAGTAGTTCGAAGTCTGGATATCGAAATATAGGAGGAAAAGCAATCTTGACACTTGTGAATTGGGAAATTAAAAGAAGAATTTAGGGTATAAATGCTAGATTATGCTTGATCACTAGTAGAATGCATTCTGTACAAACATGTCTACTTACGACCTTTACGCCAAATTTTCATGTCCCAACGGAAAGGATACCTGATGTGGCTACCTTGACGGCGCGCTCTACTTATGCTATTTCCTGGTGTTGTGGCGGCCATGCTGACTCTTCATTATCGCTGATCATTTGTTTTAAAACTCGACCTACATTTGACAGGCGTCAGAAAGTGATCAGACAGTCAGTAAAATGAAAGGGCGACATACCAAAGGGATCTTAGAGTATAATGCATCGTAGTTGTTTCCTATCCACCCATCCGCCAGCCCACCTCGGCCAACAACACCCAGTCCACCTGACATCCATAGTGTCGCAACGGCGACCGTCACCGCGTGGATGGACCACCATCTCCGCTTCGCTTTCTTTGTAGTTCCTACTGGTATCCATCCGTTCCATTTGGCAGCACCCCATACGAAATGTGCTGACGCCACACTGACCAAAGCAGCGTAAGACACCCATGATACAAATGGGTGTTTTGCAAACCCATGGCTAACGTAGCCCAGTCCTACACTCTCCGAGCCTCCTTCGTATATCCAAGGAATCGAGCGATTTACTAGAGCATGCCCAATGACCAATGGCGCAAGCACATATCCAGACAGACTGTTCCACGACACTGTAGGCCACACTTGTAATCTCTGCTCTAGCCTGGCTCTTATTGGCAAGTTTGCTGCTCCATATCGAATGAGATTGGCATTGCGCCGCTGAATTCTTAGAGCCAGTCCTGAAAGAATGTGTGTTGCGATTGGAAGGGTAATGAGTAGTGGTTCGAGAGGAAAGGATTGGTAGTATGGGCGCGTGAGGAGGAGGTACTTTTCGGAAGCAGGGACGGAGCCCGTTATAAGTGGTATTATGGAGGTGTTGGTAATGTGGAATGAAGCGAATACTGTAAATGCGTATGAGGAATACTTTTGCAATCGAGTTACTGATGGGTGTCAGTACTAGTTTACTTTTCCTCGTTCGCAATTGGAAGATATTCACGGTAGTATGTAGTGCCATGTTGGCCACTGCCGCTCAAACCCAAGTGAGTAGTTTTGGGCGGCGACACAGAACGTGGTAACTCTCCCAGTTGTTTCTCGAGATCCTCTTCCGGTGATTCAATAGGAGAAGGGTCGAGTTGTTGTAATGATGTGAAGGTCTCCTGCGACGCGGTAGACTCTCGACGGTCCATGGCCAAGGCTTCTTCGCATATATGCAGATACAACACTTGAGTACGGACCGGACCCTTTAGGTGAAGGATGTCGCGTCGCCGAGGCCAATCCGATAGAAAGCTCAGACCACACCTCAAAATAATGTTCCAGGGGGACAATGAAATCCGGATTATCTATATACCGTGTCCTGAGCTAGGACAGATGCGGCAATATTGGTATCGTATTTTCTCCGCCATTGCGTGTGTTGATCCGCTTTTCCACGCAGCCAGCACCGACACGACACGCCAGGGCGACCCCAAGGCTCCGCTGCTAAATTAATCGGGATTAGTTCTTTTGTCGCAGGCAAGACAGCAACCTCAGCGACCTCCTTTAATTCGCACTGCGCGTCCTTCATACTACCCTTTGTTCACCACGACGAGTTGAAGAACAATCACCATCATCTTCATTATTCTCCATCACGGCTGCCGCTGCATTGGCATGTGGTGACAAGATCTAAGGCCGCTTGTACACCTTTATTCACATCCCTTTTCGACTCGGCTTCGCAGCACTTGGCGCTCGTTTGCCAGTGTCGTCCGGTTGAAGACAGATCTGGTTATATCAGATCAATTCGTCCTTCCTTCACCTTCGAGACAATCCGAAGAACATCTAAGCAGCTATGGCCTCGGGATCTGCGAGATATCTGAGATATATTCTCTTCGCCTTTTTCGTAAGTTCTCGTGTAATTACCTTGTTTGCTATAAAACACCTCGACTAACAGGGTTCACGCAGGGACTGGCTGTTATCTACTTCATCTCATCCTCATCGACACAGCGGATACCGACAGCAGGCACATCATGGGGTGGAATGCCTACAAAGCCTAATGCGGGAGCGGAACCTGTCGCTACGGGGGCAACTCCGAATACTCCATCAACACTTCCACCAGCGACCGATGCCGGTCCAAGAATGAATGCGACGTTTGTTACTCTGGCCAGGAACTCTGATATTTGGGAAATTGCAAGATCTATCCGACAAGTTGAGGACAGATTCAACAAGAAATTCCACTACGATTGGGTTTTCCTGAACGACAAGCCGTTCGATGCAACATTCAAGAAGGTCACTACCTCATTGGTCTCAGGAACAACGCACTATGGAGAGATTCCTAAGGAGCATTGGTCCTTCCCAGAGCACATTGACCAGGAAAAAGCAAAGAAGGTTCGCGAGGATATGGCCCAGCGCAAGATTATCTACGGAGACTCCGTCAGTTACCGCCACATGTGCCGATTCGAGTCTGGTTTCTTTTTCCAACAGCCACTTATGCTCAACTACGAATGGTACTGGCGCGTTGAGCCAAGCATTGAACTCTTCTGCGACATTGACTACGATGCATTCAAGTTCATGGCGGACAACAAGAAGAAATACAGTTTCGTTCTCAGTTTGTACGAGTACGTTGAGACTATCCCAACGCTTTGGGACAGCACAAAGAAATTCATGAAAAAGTACCCACAGCACGTTGTTGAGGGTAACTCTATGGGGTTCTTGAGTGACGATGGTGGTGACACTTACAACCACTGCCACATGGTAAGTCTCATTTCAAGCTTGAACTGGAGCAAAGCTAACATATTTTAGTGGTCCAATTTTGAAATCGGTAACCTCAACTGGCTGCGGTCACAAGCTTACACCGACTTCTTCAATACACTTGACCAGGATGGTGGATTCTTCTATGAGCGTTGGGGCGACGCTCCAGTTCATTCGATTGCTGCCGGTATTCTCTTGAAGAAAGAGGAAATCCATTTCTTCAACGACATTGCCTACTACCATGTCCCATTTACCCACTGCCCAACCGGCGAGAAGACAAGATTGGATCTGAAGTGTCACTGCAATCCAAAGGACAACTTCGATTGGAAAGGATACTCCTGTACCTCTCGATTCTTTGAGATCAACGGCATGGAGAAACCAGAGGGTTATGAAAACCAACAGGATTAAGAAAACGAAAACCCTGTTCAAAGGTGTTATTGTGGGACAACAGTGGATTTAATGGAGTTCCTTGATGATCTATATTACATTCATGCATGGTTGGGGGAAATAGGCGTTGGTGTGCTTCGAAATCCTGTCAATTCAGGTTGTAGATATATGCTTTATTGGATTGGAGGCAATAGCAAAAAAGCCTGGAAACTGGAAGCTGGAAGCCGATAGCACTAGAATGGGCATTTTGGTTGCATAAAATTGTGCACTCTACTACATGACTTTCGTGGTCTTTTTATTTTGGAAAAAATCCGGATGTATCTGCTTGCCACGTTATCACGAGCCCATACGAGCTCCAAGTATTCACCGAAAAAACGGATTTGTGCAACAGTGCATGTGACATTAATTCAGTCGTGGATCTCGGAAAGTATATTGAAGCTACTTGCCTAGTTGCTCAGCACTACCTGATGGTGTCAAACTTACAATACGAGGTTCCTCCAGACCCGTGCCATACGATGTTTGAACATACTCCAGTCTTTCCAGCGACCAGGACGGATCCACCAGCTGTAGCTTTACAGACATCCTCGATCACCTTTAGCTCGGCTAGGGAGGTCGCTCGAAAGGGGTGTCGACGGTTACACCTCGCTTATTACTATGGACGTACGAAAGGTACATTGATTGATTAGACATCAGATGATTGAAGTTACTTTGTTTCTACTTTCTTCTACCCTGACATTGGTTCGTGTATTGTTTTACTGGGATAAATCGAAAGATCTGTGACTGAATTTCAGGAATACAACAACTTTTCAGTGGAAAACTCAAGGAACACTTTTGTGCAGTGGGTTTGTTTACAACGAAGTGTGATGATAGAATGGAATATGTGTGCTTCAATGGGCTAATTTACAGAGAGAAGTCTTGCCTAGAATGGTCGCAATTTTTGTTGATCTTTGAATTATCATTAAGATCTCTGAAAACTAGGCAATAACTTGAAGAGATCAGATGGTGAAGGTAAACAAATTTCCATTTTCTTGATAAGCAATGACGATCCTATATATATCGTATAATAAATGAGTGTAAGCGTGGCATAATACCACATAAGTAAGCAATCCATGTAACCCAAAAATCAATATCAGTCTCCAACACAACACATGTATTCAATAATTTCCCTTGGTCTAAGATGACTTTCAGAGCCTGTTTCGCTCTGAGGTACTCATCTCAAAACCATTGCTGTTTTAGTAAACAACACTGATCTTCCATCCAACACGCAATACCCTTGCTGCGATGAGACAAGCAAGAGCCGCAACGTAGGACATCCCGGCAAAGATGATCACACCCTCATATTTGCCACCAGAGACGGTAAGAATCTGACCTGCAATTGGCAAGCCGGTGAGCGTGCCGAAGGCAACTACCATCCAGCACGTCGCAAAGTACCTGCCATAATTTTCTGTCTTGCACATTTGGCCGACACAGACCGGACTTAGGCTCAAGTTGCTTCCACTGACGAAGCCGAAAATGACAGCGAATACGACGATCATTGGTGTGGAGTCGCCAGCTGGTAACCACTGTAATAAATTAGTATACGTTTGCTCGCTAGCTTTAAGGCCAAGAGGCGCTCGCAAAGAAAAATGAAGGAAATTTTACATACCAGACCGAAACATGTAACGATGCAGAAGGCAATAGATATGATCAAGGTATTGACCCGACCAATCATGTCAGCAACTATACCAGCGAGTAAACGGCCAAAGAATGATCCGCCGTTCATAATGGCGAGAATCTGAAAGCCGAATTCTGCACTATGACCATGCATAGTGGTGTATGAGGTGATATAAGTAAGGGGAACGAAGATACCCCATTCCATCAGGAATATTCCAATGGTCACAAACGTGAAGGGCAGATCCTTGAACGTTGTGAAGTCTGGAGCAACCTTTTTCATGCTCACCAATGGCTTCCGTGGAAGTCGGCTTCGAACAAGTAGGTTTGTCATTGCAAGAAGGAACAATAAGATAAATCCTAGGATCCTGGTCGCCCATGCGAAACCAACGGTTGGGAAAAGCTTCTGCAGCATTAGAGGAAAGATGATTCCACCAATGCTACCAGACGTCATGGCTATTCCTGTAGCGTTTCCACGCTTAACAAGGAAATAGTGACCAATTGAGGCAATGCATGGGGTGTTGATGAGACATCCACCAATTCCGTTTAGAAGACTGTACACAATAAAGAAGTGCCAATATTCTAAAAGAGAATTAGCTCAAAGTATGGAGGCATTGAGGCAACTCAAACTTACGCGAGCATAGTCCTAGGAGGAATATAGAGACTAAGAGTAAAATGCTTCCAGCAAATATCAAGGCCCTTGGGCCATAGGCATCAAATATCGGGCCAATTGGTGCACCACAGAAGAAACTGAATGACACATTAGCTCAATTCGAGGGTGGGGGTTGGGTCTCTCACGTCAGGAACAATGCCGTTCCAAAAATCCATCCGAGAGCACTTGGAGAGTACTCTTTTAATTGGTTCTGCTGAAGATAGTCGAGAAGAATAGCCGTGCTATTGATGATCCCAAAGACTGAGAATGATCCGCAGAAAGAACCGAGCACAACACTCCATCCTTTCAGACCGCCTTCTGGGAAATCGTCCTTGTCATCCTCGCCGTTGACGGTAGAGTTGTCGGACTCTGGTGTTTGATTGGCGTACAATATGCCTTTCTCGTTGGGAATTGGGTTTGGTTGAGAATTCACAGGCTGTATGCCCGGACTCTCGACCTTTTTCACCCCGCCTTTTTCGACATCAGGATCCTCATTCTTGTTGATGACGCCGGCATCTTGAGAGTGGTATTTTATGAAGCAGCTGTCCTCTGCTAAATATGAACCATCTTGATTCATTCGCCACCAAGCTCAGTTCAAAGAGATTGCAACAATGATGTGAGAGTTTTGAGTCTCTCAGAATCCGGGGAAGCTTTTGTTTTATGAACAAAATGAGAGGAAGGATGGGGAAAATAAAATCTTCCCCGGGCTTGGGATCGGCCAACAACGGCCGGGCCCGGGGATAGTTCTTTTTTCGCTATCCACTAGAACGGTTTCAACGAGAGGGGCCGTCCACGTGATTAATCATATCTTCGGCTACCTCCTATCCAACCGAAAGATGTCTGCTGGACTCCAAATTTGAACAAGTATTGGCTCTTCAATAATCAGTTCTGAGGATAGGCGTGTTCCGTAACTTCTTGCAAGAAAAGGGAGACCATGACGACCTGTACAACCACCTTTACCTAGATGCAAGCACAAAATCGGTGCTGTAAACTAAATTGAAAACAATTTCGAACCCTGGGCTTCAGAATTAAGTGGCAACATTGAATTACATGTGGTGCTGACTTCCTTCCTCGATGATCGCTAACCGAGACTTTAAAGGGGTGTTTGAACAGGGAAGATTATAAGCGAGTAACTTTGTGTAATATGAATCGAGAAAGATAGTTCGTCCTTTGAGTATATGGGTGTTACAAAACAGCGTAGCAAGCTGACTCGTAAGAAGTTGACACAATAGGGACAGAATTCATTGCATTGCTGCCGCATTACTTACTTCGAAGCATTTGTATCCTTTGATGGGAACGACCCGGTTGAGCCGAACGGCGGCCAAACCGTACTTTGGATGCTAATACGACTGGCCGCAAATTCCGATTACATCCAAAGAGCTGGCTGAGTGAATGGTCCTCGGATAGTTCCCTAGAAGTAGGGCCGTTGTGCTGGCCAATGCCATTTTTGGAGGTAATAACATGTAACGAAAAGTCAGCGTGACTGAGATATAAACGCGGTATTTGAGGAATGGCTAGCCCAAGCCTAGGTAGCCAGGCCAAGTTGCAACCTGGGCCTAGAAGCACGACTACGTTATTTCGGCCGAAAATACAGCTGGTTTTTCGGACTTGTTCTCTAACCACCTTTACCGATAAAGACTCCGTAGTAGCCAGTCCCAGCAACAGAACTCAAAGAACCATCATACGAGACTATTATCTTATATTAATAATACAAGCGAACTGCGACTTCTGTTGAAAAGTCAATTCTGCTTCGGGCAAAATTAATTACAGTCAGTAGTGAGCTGGAATTCGCTCGTCTTAAACACTACACTTTATTAGTTGGGGTGACTTCCCGAAAACGCCAATCTCCTTCGTCTAACACAATCTCCCTTCCTAGTTCTGTTGAAAACTAGTAAGCATTATTCTATGCCAAATCTAGAAATTATTGTCAGTCGGTGAGTGCCCAGATGCTTTCAAATCCAAGCCACTCGTTGTGGCTTTGTCTTCCACCATCCGCTCTTAAATCCGGTCTAAAATTGGACCCTTGCATGGAGACCATCACCATGACGCGCAGATGGCCACCGCATTCAGACAGTGCGCATTGTTTACGGAGAGAGCCTCACAATCACGATCTATCATCCGATGCGGACTCTAGTCGTCGGGCATACAAGAAAGTGTTGTGAGCTGGAGAAAAAATCGGATTTAAGAGATGCTGAGAAGCTATGTGAACAAATTTCTTCGGGTTCTGGTGTAGATCCACCACCTCCGGCAAGTGAGTAGATTCACTAGCAATGAGATCATTAAAAAGCCAGACTGAAGCGTAGTCCATAAAAGGAGAGCGCCCCAGGATCTTGTTTACATTTTCATAATCATATTTCATTTAATCTACATCGACCCCAAGCACCAACGATTATTTTCACAGTAACTCAATCTCTTCAACAATCATGCCTTTCCCGCCACAACCTCCAAAGGAGCGTCCACTCGGCAATTATCGCATGCTCGCCCCTACCGCAGCGGTTCGCGTGTCTCAACTTTGCTTGGGTGCTATGAATTTTGGAGACGAATGGGTCGATTTCATGGGAAAGTGTGACCAGAAGGATACCGAGGAGATCCTGGATTATTTTGTTGAAGCTGGCGGAAACTTTATTGACACTGCGAATAACTATCAAGTGAGCATCACAAAGTTCCTAACTTATCAAGCCCACAGAGTTGACAAAACAATAGGATGAGCAATCGGAGAAGTGGATTGGAGAGTAAGTTCTTAGATTTCCAAATAGTGTACGAAAAGTCGCTAACAGCATTCGAGATGGATGGAGAAACGCAACAACAGAGACCAAATGGTCATTGCAACCAAATTTACAACTGCGTTCAGAGCCGGAAAGGGCGATGAAGAGATTATCATCAACTCCACTGGCAATGGAACCAAATCCCTCCATGTCTCGCTGAACGCTAGTCTTAAGAAACTTAAAACCGACTATATTGATCTGCTTTACGTTCACTGGTGGGACTTTACCTGCTCCATCCCAGAATTGATGCAGTCTCTGAACATTGCGGTCAACCAAGGCAAAGTCTTGTATTTGGGAGTCTCTGATACCCCTGCATGGATTGTGTCAAAAGCAAATGAGTATGCTCGTCAGAATGGACTCCGTCAATTCTCGGTTTATCAGGGCAGATGGTCAGCTCAGAACCGTGATTTTGAGAGAGACATCGTGCAGATGGTAATTATCATACACTCGAGAGTAATAGCTTTTGCTGACATCTTAATAGTGCGCATCAGAAGGAATGGGTATGGCACCATGGGGTGCTCTCGGCGGTGGAAACTTCAAGACGGAGGAGCAAAGAAAAAGCTCTGAGGGAAGGAATGCGTCAACATTTGGTGGAGTTCCCGAAGCCGCCATCAAAGTCAGCAAAGTCCTTGAGAAGATTGCAAACAACAAGAAAACATTGTTGACCAGTGTTGCTCTGGCCTATGTACGATCGAAGGCGCCGTACGTTTTCCCAATTGTTGGTGGAAGGAAGATAGATCACCTGAAAGGCAATATCGAGGCATTGAGTTTGCAATTGACGGAGGAGGAGATTGAAGAAATTGAAAGTGCCAACGAATTTGATATTGGTTTCCCACACAACTTCTTGGGTGGTGAAAAGGGTGTCAAACAACCTAGCGATGTCTGGTTGGTTGGAATGGCCGGGAAAACCGAGCATGTCCCTTGGCCTAAGGTAAGATCCTACCACTCCAACTACTCGATGACTATGATTTTTACTAACACTCATTAGGCTATTGGAAACAACTAGTGTCTTGAGGGTCTACCGAGTAGTATAGAACCGGATATAAAGCAAATTGATCTATATGTCACTCACATTTCATGCCTAGACCGTACGTTGAACAGAAATGACATAATGAAGCGATCCTATTACCAGCTTCAATAATGCTTTACTCATTATATAAGGTTCCTGCGGTGTCCGGGGAAGTCTTGGCCACAAGACCTCTATATTTATAATTGAGCGCATGAAATAGTCCGTTTTCCCTTTAAACTTACAACCTATAGCGACAAGTTAGGAGCAATTAAAAGTGTACGTCGGTTTCGCTAGAGAAATAATATATATACAGAAAGTCTTGTATTCTCACACAATGTGTTTTTTATGACAATTCATATTTCACTAGAAAATGTGACCGCCCGTCAACTTGAAAAAATAGTACGCAAAGCTGGGTATATCACGGTGTATGTAATGGCTGTGCCACAACAGCAACGTAATAGCTTTTTTGGGGTAAGAGATCGCTCCAGTTCAACTAGTATGAAGTCTCGAATTTGGTCTCGAGTGATGTAACTTGTTCAATGGTGCGTATTCTGTTGAAATAGATGTAAGAGACTTGACAATTTTTATAATGAGCGTAGGCCTATAGTCAAGACAATAGTGTCCTCTTTAATATGTCAACGAAGATTAAGTTATTTCAGCTCAGATGTTCTCTAACCTATTAACTCAATTATGTAACGTGTGATTTATAGTCAGAACTCAATATGTGCAGCAGCTCCGGCAATAGATTCCGTTCCCGTTCCCGTTCCGGAAGCGACTAAAGGCACGAATCCGGGGTAGGGTCCGAGCGCCATCTTTGAAGGTGAATGACAACGTTTTGGGAAACGAATTGTTTGCGCTAATATCAAAACAGCCACGCCTCGTCGAACAATGGAATACTCATTTCCATACAAGAGACCACATGTAACTTACAACATCAAATCGATCTTTTCGTCCTTTAATACGTGCGCCAACAACATCAAACCTGGACAAGCTCTGCGAACGTCAATATTGACATTCAGCTGGTAGGCAACGAGGGGCACGACCCTTCGCAACTCGAACTTCAATAAATTCGCGCCCAACGACAACCTGCTTGACGTCGATCTGCAGCCGACTGCATTATTCTCAGTATGGATCAACTCGCTCGACTAAAAGATACTGTCCTAGATTACTTTTCCCCTAAACGCCGCCGAACAATCGGACCAGTACCAGGTACCCCTAGCAGTCAAGATGTACATATCTTTGTTCGACCGTTTTCGGACCCGCAGATTATAAAAAGCCGCGATGCTCTGGGAAGCAACGAAAGAACTTGGTCGCCATCAGAGAAACACCCGCGTAAGAGGCGAAGAGACGAAAGCGAGATCGTTTTTCGACGGGAGCGCGAGACCATTGAACCAGACGATTCGATATCCCAAGTTGTCACTTCTTTCGAACAAGAGACCATTCTCCTTACACACGGAAAACGGAGTATGGGTGCTTTAGCCCTTAACGGAGTCGAAGAGAATGTCGAAGCTGGTTCAGAAGATAGCAGAGATACGGAACACAGTGACAGCATGGAGCTCGAATCTAATAGCCTTTCCGAAGAAGATGTAGATCCAGAATATGAGGTTTTTGTTGATCGAAACGCCGTGACTTCTGCTTCGGGCCGGTACAAGAGAGAATCTCTGGGTGAAGAAGTAGAGGAATCGGAGCAATTGATGGATAGTGTTGAGGACGATGACGAGAGCAGCTCGGGCGTGGTAGCAGCATATAACCCATCATCTGAGGAAGATGAGAGTGAAGACGATCCAGAGTTGGTGGCCGAAGCGAAGGCCCAGGAGCTTCTCACCCGCCAAACTTTACTTGCCCGTAGGCAGGACGCAATCTCAAGATTCAAGGTAGAAGGCGGCTGGCATCCAGACGCAATGAATGTATTTGAAAGACTCGAAATGCGCAGCTATGAAGCTATTTTTCCTTGGAGCTGGAAGATGGACTTTCCTACCCTTCCAGACCTGCTCTTCTCTACAGAAGGAAACACCTTCATAACAAACAACGAAAAGAATGCCGCTAGTGGTAAGTAAATCTGCTCTGTTCATCTAATCGTATTTCTAATTTGTCTCTAGGTGCTAAGGCGCTACAACCGTTGTTGAGTCTCAGTCTTACCGTACATGAAAAGATTGAAGCCAATGTACCGGAAGACAGGATTAATATGTTTATTGCACGAGAAATCAAGCACTACGTAACATGGTCAGAACGGGACGGGGGGTTCTTTGGTAAACGCTTCATCCCAGCTCTTTACGTCCACAGAGCCAAAGCAATTGATAAGTTCGACTTTATCAGCAAAGTTGCCAGCGAACAGATGATGTTGTTGGCTCAGAGGCATCGCGAGGCGCTAGGCATATTTGAGGACGCAAACGGCAATGTACACATCGACCCCAATGGGAGAGCGCCACCTCTGATTTACGGGATTATCATTGCTCAGGAAAAGGTCTTTTTCATGACCCATGACTCGGCAGATCCGAGAGCTACAGTAAAGCTTCTTCATCACTTCGACCTTAGCGACAAAGACGAAGGGGTCTGGAATGGTATCGCCATCGCCCTGCTTGTTGTCGCAGCGCGGCAATACAATATGGCTATCAAGGACGAATTGGAGACCGATGATGACCCATTGACTGACGTTGATGCGTAAGGCTAGTGTTGATCATGAGTGAGGAACGCGTATAGATTACCATATTATACTTGTGGTCTTGACAGTTGTTTTGTTGAAGGGCGGGCACGGAAGTTCCCATTGGAATAGTCACTTAGCTAAGTGAGGCGACATTATTTTGTACTTTGGAGTCAGGATTTGGTAAAGCGGGCATTATAATGCTTCGTGTGGCGCATTGTATCAAATACCCCAACCGCGGCTACATCTATGTAGCGTTATTGTTCTTTTACTCGGAAATATGATATTGATGTATTCAACAATTTTCTTCTCTGATATACTGCCTCCCTATCTAGATGTGATAGTAACTATACTCAAGCTAAATTTTACAATATCCTTCATCCGCATAATGTTGATCCGTCAATAGATTAGTTTGGAGAGATTCAACGGAGGTTGTACTCGGATCACTGGGCAAATATGATTGAAGTGTTTCGAAATGCATTCTTGGATCTTTTGTACAACGGCATCTGCTAGCACCCTCTCGTCTACACAATTCCCCACCCTCCATCTATCGTCCCCCAACAAAAGAAAAGCATGGATTCCACAAATTACAAATCTGGCGCGCTCTAACCAATTACAAGCGAGTTATCCTCTGGGAAGTCATATGCCGGAATTTCAAGATTGAGAGGTGCTGGGCCCTTTCTTATACGGCCAGAGATATCGTAATGGGATCCGTGACATGGGCAGAACCATCCTCCGTAATCACCAGCCTCGCCAATTGGTACACAACCCAAGTGTGTGCAGACACCTACGAATTGTGTTAGTCAAAGGGTCATCATTTAATCTAAAAAGCTCCTGTTGCGCCAACTTACCAACCATAACCAGCCACTCTGGCTTTTGAACACGGTCTGCGTCCGATTGTGGATCTCGTAGTGACTCGACCTTAACGTTCTCAGCCTGCTTGATCTCGTCGGCGGTTCTGTGGCGAATGAAGACTGGCTTTCCGCGCCATTTGATGATGACCTGTTACAATCAGCAACTTTGTTCATATTTAAACCCGATTTGAATTGCGATCACATACGTTCTTGCCCTCCGCGATGGTTGAAAGATCAACTTCAACCTTGGCCATAGCCAAAACATCGGCGGATGCAGACATGTTAACCAAGAAATCTGGAAGTCGCAATACGTCAGCACTTCAGCCCCATTGATTCCAATACACTTCCTATGCCCCCAGACTACGCCCAATATCGCAGACGAATTCCCAACCCGTATCGTCCAATTGCATGTCCATCCGATTAAAACTCACCTTGTACGGTAGCTTTTGCCCCCGCCGCTGTCAACGCTCCCATCGTTCCGACCATGAAGTATTGAAAGACTAGATTGCTGTTTGTTCCACTCTTGCTTCTGTATTTGCCAAAATCTGGGATCTTTGAAGCCTGGTCATTGCCCATGCCACGGAAGGGACTGTCGAAGGAGCTTGTGGTGTCGGCTTTCTTGGAAGAGGTGGAGAGGGCCCGGATGGGAAGGGCCGTTGGATTGGCACGACGAGGAAGCGCGCGCAATAGGGTGCGGGAGGTATGGGATAGTGAGGCCATGGCGATGGATTGTGTTGTTGTCGTGCAATTCCGGCGTTGCGTCGATGATCTGAGGTTTTTGATGGTCTTCGGCAAGCTTAGGAATTGCGGGAGCTGATTCGCTGGAATATCAATGCAATATCATTGGTCCAAACCTTTCTCGACCCACAACTACAAAAGCTAGGTAGTACGAGTAGGTACCGAAGTGAAATCTACTTGATCTGAGAGCTAGGAGTTGGAAGTTGGGACGTGACGAGCATGCCATAACGTCTCTGAACTAAGTTCACATATCTCATCTTGTTCCGGGACATTCTAGCACGCTGTGAAAATAAACTATGTTGTAGACAGGTGGTATATCATGAAGCGCTATATTCACACATGTCTAATAGTAGCTGATATTATTACACATCATCAAATTTTCCATTCAGCTCCAAACACCTTGCCATAATCACTACTCATCAATGTCCATGTCCATCATCCTCCCCTCTTTGTTCCTTGTCTAACTGGATCATGGTGTCAATCCTCATGATCGAGATACAGGCCTCAACGGCAGATTTGAGTTGTCGAATTTTGCTCATGCTTGGCTCCAATACGCCAGCCTTCACCTCGTCGACAACCTTGCCCTTCATGAGATCAAGGCCGTAATTCTTGTAGTTCTTCTTTTTGGCAATGGTCTTTTCATCTTCATTTGCATCTCCGTCCTGAATACGCTGGGAAAGGGCGTGACGAGACCGGAGCTGTGCAACGAGCTCTGAGGAATCTTTCGCAGCGTTGACTGCAAGAGTTTTGGGAATAACCAGAAGAGCCTGGGCGAATTCGCCAATAGCCAGTTGTTCCCTTGAGCCAACTGTGCCAGCAAATTCTTCGAGGTAGATATGAAGAGCAGTCTCCACCGCTCCACCCCCTGGAACGATGCTTCCACTCTCGAGCGTTCGCTTAACGGCACAAAGTGAGTCGTGTACTGATCTCTCCATCTCGTCGAGCTGGTAGTCATTTGGCCCACGAAGAATAATAGACGCCGAAGTGTGGACCTTGGTACCTTTCACCAAAATGCACTCATCATCTGAAATTCTCTCCTGAACCACCTCCTCGGCATGTCCCAAAGAGGATGCCTCGAATTTCTCGTCACCATTCAAATCAGAAAGCGAACTGACAAGCGTAGCTCCAGTCGCTTTGGCTATACGTCGGAGGTCCTCCTTCTTACATCTTCTAACTGCCATAGCTCCCTTCTCGATGAAAAGTTTGAGGCACAAATCATCAATTCCCTTTGTTGTAAAGACAACATTTGCTCCTGCTTTGAGGATCATCTCTACCCTCTCCATGACCATACCGGATTCTCTTTGTCGAATTTGTTCCAACTGCGTTGGGTCGTCGATCGTGATGTGAACTCCGAGCTTCATTCTTTCCTTTTGCAAATTCATGTCCAAAACAGCAATCTTCGCATCCGTAACTCTGGTAACCATAGCCTGCGACGCTACAGTACAATTTATCGCATATCCCTTGACGAGCATCGATTCTAACGCTCCTTTTCCGTGCGCCTTAAGAATATTGACTGCTTTTACTGGGTATTTGACTTCCTGTCTGTTGTTGGTTGACTTGACGGCCTGCATAGCATCAACTACCATATTTGAGAAGAATTCAGAGTCTGATCCAATAATCTTGCTGGACATGGAGGTTTTGGCGATGTTGACGAGAGATTCGCGGCCGAGCTGATCAACCTTAACACTGATGTTCTCGTGCATGTATTTCACAGCTTCGCGGAGGGCCAAACGATACCCGGTGATGATCGTGGTCGGATGTATTCGATTCTTCATAAGCTCGTTCGCCCGTCGCAGCAGTTCCGCCGCGATAATGACCACAGATGTCGTTCCATCACCAACTTCCTTATCTTGCTGCTGTGCCAAATCGACAAGAATTTTCCCTGCTGGATGCTCGACGGCTAGTAAGCTTAGGATAGTTGCGCCGTCGTTAGTGACTGTGACATCCTAAAACCAGTAAGTATTATAGCTTGTAACCAGCCAAAATCTAACAAACCCCAATATCGTCCACCATCATCTTGTCCAGGCCGCTAGGGCCAAATGAGCTTTTAACGACATTTGCAATAGCTTGCGTAGCGAGAACTATATATCCTCGGATTAGTCCCTCGTGCCAAAAGAGCTTATTGCTTCCATACCATTCTGATCTCGAATATCAGAACCACTGATTTTCTGGCCGCCAAGGACTGCATTTTTGTTTGATTAGTACAAGTCCCTGCTAATATCCACAGACATCTTACACAAAGTCCCGGCATTTCTTGGTTGTTCAAAAAGAGATCCCATTGTGATATTCTGGTGTTGACTGGTAGCTTGCCTCGACCAAAATATTCTTCGGGTCGCGAGAAAGCTCAACGCGTTGTGGCGTAAATTTACACGTGATGGCAGCCTTGTGGATGTGGGGCTGTGGCTGATTAGGAGTTTAACGTGTATGCTTACTTACTAAGGTAAGTCAATACCTGAACAATCTATATATATTGGATTTTGAGCTCAAAGTATTGCCTCACTGTCGAGATCGTAAATAATAACTTTCTTCTCATGATATAATCTGAGTATACATAGCATGCCGTTGAGCAAGAATAGCTTGGATAAAATTGCAATTAAGACGGGCTTGTAGCTTCCTACTTCTCAATGTTGCCACTCAGGCAAGTCGCAACGAATTCACTATCATTCTATTTGCTTCATGGAGCTTTGCGTATTCGCGGTTGTGTCAGGTCTGCTTGTTTACTTGATAAGAAGCCGAGAGGGAAGCAAAGGGGTCTTTAGCGAGAAAACGAGGGGAGAAGTTGTGGCCCGTGCACTCAATGGAGGGGCACAAATTCCAACGTGGAATTCGACTCATCCAACGCGACTCAAAACACACCATAAGAACGCACGATCCTTCCATAACCACCATCTAATTTGCAAACATGGCGGACAATCCAGCCGAGCCCTCCAAGAGCGCCCTTAAAAAGGCAGAAAAGCAAGCCAAGATGGCCGCAGACAAAGCCGCAAAAGCTGCGAAGCAAGCGACAGTAGCCGTCGTAGGAGGAAAGAAAACCGACGATATCATCGGTATCACAGTCTCCAAGACAGACAATTTCTCAGCTTGGTATCAGGAAGTTGTTTTGAAGGCGGAAATGATTGAATACTATACCGAAATCTCTGGATTCTTCATTCTGCGCCCGTCATCCATGTATATCTGGAACACGATCCGAAAATGGTTCCAGGAGCGCATTGAAGCTATGGATGTTGAGGAGGCTAGTTTTCCCATGTTCTTGTCGTCAAAATCTTTAGAGAAGGAGAAGGATCACGTTGAGGGGTTTGCTCCAGAACTTGCTTGGGTCACGAAAGCGTACGTTGATAACGTTCCCTGCCACGCGCAAAGCTGACATTGAATAGTGGTGATAAGGATCTCGAAGTCCCAGTCGCCGTTCGTCCCACCTCCGAAGCCGTAATGTATCCATACTACTCAAAGTGGATTAGGAGTCATCGAGATCTTCCGTTGCGACTCAACCAGTGGAATAGTGTTGTACGATGGGAGGCAAAGCAAACTACCCCCTTCCTTCGAGCGAGAGAGTTTTTGTGGCAAGAAGGTCACACGGCGCATTTCACAGAAGAATTGGCTGGTGAAGAGGTTCTCCAAATTCTCGAATTGTATGCAGGTGTCTATGAGCAGCTGCTTGCTGTTCCTGTTGTTCGAGGCCGAAAGACCGAGAAGGAGAAGTTCGCGGGAGGTTATTACACTACAACTGTGGAGGGTTACATTCCATCTAATGGACGTGGTATCCAAGGTGCGACATCTCATTGCTTAGGTCAAAATTTCAGCAAGATGTTTGATATCACAGTTGAGGACCCAACTCCAAAAGCCGACGGCGTAGAGAAATCTCCACCAATTCACGTATGGCAAAACTCCTGGGGTTTATCCACTCGAGTCATTGGAGTCATGGTAATGATCCACGGTGATGACAAGGGCCTTGTTCTTCCCCCAAGAATCTCAAAACTACAAGTTATTATCATTCCCGTTGGAATAAACAAGAAGACTACCCCAGAGGAAAAGTCGAAACACTACGACCAACTTCAAGAACTAAAGGACACGCTCAAGAAGGAAGGTGTCCGCGCCGATTACGATATTCGAGACAGTTATACCCCAGCTTGGAAATTCAATGACTGGGAACTCAAGGGTGTTCCAATCCGACTCGAATACGGACCTCGTGACGCCGCCGAAAAGCAAGTTTCCTACGCTCGTCGCGATACTGGCGAGAAAGGAAGTCTTAAAATCGACAGCCTAGCGTCTACCGTCCCAGCTCTTCTTGAGAAAATCCAAAACGATATGTACACCAAGGCCGAAGCCAATTTCCGAGCTCATCGCATTGTAATTAACAAATGGGAAGAGGTCGTGCCTGCTCTCGACGCCAAGAACGTTGTATTGATTCCTCACTGTCTAGCCGAGAAGTGCGAGGACAAGATTAAGAATTTGACGACTGGAACACAAGAGGAAGCTGAAGGACCAGCGGAATTGAAAGCGCCCAGTATGGGAATGAAGAGTTTGTGTATTCCGTTCGAGCAACCAGAGGGCCTGGTTAAGGGAGAGACCAAATGTTTGAACCCTGAATGTACCGCTTTGGCGGAGAAGTGGTGTATGTTCGGGAGGAGTTATTAGGGTTGCTACGAGATATGGAAACGGAATACGAGCAATATGAGGCATATGAGTGATGAAGGCCAGGTGGGGTTGTCTTTTTGTGAACAATTGGCAGTTAATATGCCGATAGTAGTTGAGATGATTTCAGAAGCAGTTGCGAGCGATGGTGTTGATACATCGCAGTCAATGAGAACCACTTACACATCCGTTCGTGACATATAGCCACGAGTATACTCCTAGCGGCCTGCAGTGCACCTTCAACCCTAGAAGACATAGGTACCGAGGCATGGGGTTTATCATTATGAGAAGCTTATAATCTATTAAGAGGGCCATAAAAAGGCTGCTAATTTAAAAGGGCCAAGGGACCTCGTCTCCTCGCCAGAGATTTCCCGTCTAGAAGTGAATGGGAATCGCAAATTTTGCTAGGTGATCTCATTACACACAACAAATACTATCAGACTTTTCGTTTCTAACGTCTATGCGACACATAGGCGTGTGGCGGCCCAAGCTTGAGGGCTGTTCCTAATGCCTTGGCTCAGGCGTGTCACTTTCCCTGGTATGGAGAGAAGGACTGTCATGAATTTATGCTTGTCAATTTCCCAAGAGGGAGAGAATGCTGGCTCAAACGAAGTCGGCCGAATATGAGAAGCCACGGAATTCTTCCTGCATGGCTTGTGATAAGACTGGCATACCAGTTAGCAAGAACATACTAATATGGAACGAAAACTTACCTGACTGTACTGGTGTTAGAACTGGAGTCACGCTTGTAAATTCGGAATCGAAATTGCTGGTGTCTGTGGCACTGGTAATCTCGGGCTTGAAAGGAGGAGGAAGTCTCTTGTGAAGGACATCATCCCAATTGATGTTGCGGAAGAAGGGCTGGTTCATGATCTCCTGAGCATCTGTTGGGCCACTACCGAGCCGCTGATCAGGCTCTCGGTGCAGTAGTTTTTGGAGTATCGAGACTGAGTCTCGTGGCATATGAATTGGGTACAAAGGTTCATCGGAAAGAATGGCATCGTAAATTTCATCCTCGTCTTCTCCTCGGAATGGAGATTGTTGGAGCAACATTTGATAGATGAGAACGCCAAACGCCCACCAGTCGACTGCCCGGCCATATTTCTTGTCCAGCAAGATCTTGAAGAGTTAGTCATTGTCAAGCTGCACGATAAAGAGTCTTACTTCAGGCGCCATAAACTCAGGGGTACCACAGAAAGTGCTGGTTGTGGACCCGTACCACATATCTTCTTTACACAGACCATAATCTGCAATTTTAATGTGACCATCTAAGGTCAAAAGAATGTTGTCCAGTTTCAAATCACGGTAAATAACTCCATTTTCGTGAAAGTATTTCAATGCTAGGCATACTTCAGCGGCGTAGAACCTAAGCGAATCATTAGCAGAAGCCTGGAAGATGGAAATGGACGACGAACTGTGCTCGCTTGGTTCCAAACTGTCCTCGCTGGATATGTAACATCAGATCGCCACCACTGATGTATTCCATTACAAAGTAGACTCTAGTCTCTGTCTGAAAACACGCGTGCAAGGTGAGCAAGAACGGATGACGCTCTTTGTTCGCGATGAGAAATACTCTTTTCTCGGACCGAGTACTTTCGACTTCATCATTTTCGATGATGAATTCCTTTTTCAAAACTTTAATCGCATAAAGCTGCTTTGTTTGTTTGGCCTCTGCCAACATGACCTTACCAAAGTTACCTTTCCCTAGAACCGCCAAGAAGTTGAAATGATCTAAGCCAATACGTCGACCAGTACCGGCGTCGTTGGCAGGTGGTGCAGCTTTCCGTGGGACGGTGGCGGCAGACACAGAAGGTGGTGCAGGCTCTGAAACTGGTGGGGCTACCGGGCTATAAAGGGCTTGGGTTGGAGATTGCTGTTGTTGCTGCTGATGCGGTTGATGGATTAGAGGTTGTATCTGTGGTTGTGGCTGCTGCTGCTGCAGTTGTTGCGGCTGTTGCGGCTGTGTGGGATAGCCACTTACTTGAGCATAGGCTGCAGGATTATAGCTTGGAGTCGACGAAGCTTGTGGTCTAGTAGGGGCACCATATCCGGCAAGAGGTTCCTCAGCGTGGGTGTTAAGTGAAGGTGCTGCACCATAACCCCCTCCAGCCGCAGGCCTTGAAGCTTGGTTATAGTCAGTAGAAGAACGGACGTATGGATCTCTTTGGGAGGACTGTGGCCGGGAGCCCGTCATTGCAGCTGCCGCCGCCGCAGCGGCACTCGACGATGCCGTCCGATCTGGACCAATTGGCCTCTGTGTAGGTGATATGGGGCCTTGTTGTTGCTGTTGCTGTTGTTGAGCGTACATAGTTTTAGCCGCTTCTTGAGCTTCCAGCGAAGATGGTCCATATGACTGGCTGCGAGGTGGTCGAGCACTTTCTGGAGAGCCGTACGATGCGCGAACGTTCCCTGACTGACCCCCATCTGGCCCTTTGCCAGATATTGGCCGCAGTGTACGATCGCTCATGGGTGATGGCTGTGTACTCCTGCGAATGTCGGCTGTCTTTCGAATGTTTTGCAGAATAACATTGGCATCGGACATTTTCATGCCGCAGAAATCAGGTACTAAATGTACACATCCCGCATGGCAAGTGAGTTGGCATTCTACAACGATATTATTAGCCACAAGATCAGGTTTGGGGAGTGGTTACGGATATTTACCAGAACACTTCCGTGAGTTCTTCTTGCCAAAGGGTAACATGTATCCACAATGACAACACCAGTTTGCGCTCATATTGGAGAATTTCTCGAAACGATGTGGTATGCGATGGTTTATTTTCTCCTCATCAGGATCGGTATCTGCGTTAGACTTGCTAATACATTTCGTAACAACCTTCGAATAACACTTAGTATGGCAGGTATATTTGCAGTCCTCGCATTGCATGCCGGCAGAGTATTTGAGAAATTCGCCGCACAAAGCACAACGCATGATGTTGTAAAATTGTTGCTGGACGAATTTGTGGCCATACATCTCATGAACCTCTTCTTTACGTTGACGGATGGCTCCTTTTCGGCCTAGTCCTAAGTCGAATGGCCGACTGTTCTTCGCCTGCTTCTGGAATCCTACTGTAAGATGGGCTGCTCCAGTTGGCTCCAACGCGAACCAAGCATCGATTGGCTGAGCAGCAACCATTGGAGCTTGACCCCCCAAGCCGCCAGCATTCATAGCTCCCATTCCTCCTCCAATTTGAGTTTGCCCTCCAAATTGCTGTTGACTTGGGCTCATATTAAATTGCGACGGTGGTGGCCCTCCTGGCATGCCACCGCCCGCCATTCGATCAGCGGAAACCCAACCGGAGCTGTTTATTTCGGCCTCGATCTTTCTTCGACGCATCTCCTCCACGATATCAGATATGCGGATCCATAAAAGCCCAATCGGAAGTGGGTGCTCTCCAGGTTTATCATAAACGGTAATCTCAATTTCATTTGCCTTGTCTACTTCTAGGTTGAAGTTCTCGGTCTCCCATCTATCGTTACGAGATGCTCTTGTACGGGCTACGACGTTGTCTTCGACTTTCACGGAAACCGATGTTTCAGGGCCACGGGCGAATCGACTTGTTGTGGCATGATCCACATCTTTGACGGCATGAACCCGGATAGTGAGAAGTCCAGTCAATGGTTTTCGCATGTTTGGTGTATTGATGCTATCATCTGTGAAAAATATGAGCCTTGCTACCATATTTGACAAAAGTTGAACGAGATTAGCCTACCGTCTGGAGCATCTGCACTGCTTTCCATATCGATATGTAAGTCTTCATATCTTTTGAGCGCTTGCTTAAGAAGCTGGATTTTCTGAGAGCTCTCCTTGAGACGTGTGTTGGCGTCATTTCTGCTTTTTCTGTCGCCCTCCATCTGGTATAGCTGAACCATTTTCTCAATACCTTTGAGGTATTGCTTTTCAACATTGAGTTTGAATTCCAATTGCGACAACATTAATTGAATGCGGGGTCCCAAATGGGGGGTATCGTACTTGATGAGGTCTATTGACATGATTAGTGTGACGAAATCGTATTTGCCTGAGCGATGATAAATTGTAACGCACCTAGCTTCGTGTAATTCGGACGTGATTTTGGCATGGCGGAACCAGGTCCCGGGGGAGCATATGGGTGTCTTGGAGGCATCATGTTTCCATGCCCTCCGATTTGACTGTAGTCCTCAGTCCCATAACCACCTCTGTCGCCCGGTTGGTCTATATAGTTCCCTCTTGAGTCTTTGGGTGGTGGTGTAGGAGGAGCATCTCTATCATTTCGCATTCCTGCGCCTGGTGCTCTACCAGACGGTCCTGGACCGCCCGGTCCTAGATTCATATCGCCCATTCCTTGACCCATCTTCCGCGTCCGTAGCTCTTGCATTCGCTCCTCCAGATACTGGATATTTCGGCGGCCTTCCCGCATCTGGGTGTCCAATCTCGCCTTGACCTGTTCATTTTGTGTTTGCTGCCTCATCTGGTTCGCGGCGTTGAGGAGCGCCCTCTCGCGCTCGATCTTCTTGTAGACCGAGGTGAGGGCATCATCGTCATTATTCATGATAGCGGTTGGTCGAGCGCGTCTCTACGCGCGGACGAGAGAGGTTGCTGTTCGTCGGTGGTGGGGGTGGGAGGGGAAATATCGAGCGAACAAGCTTGTGTTTTGCGGGTTGAAGCCCAGGAGTGCTCTGACGAAGTGGGGTTGATTGATGAAGAATGGAGCGAGGTCCTGGGCTGGCGAGACACAACAACAACAACAACAACCACAACCACGAGGTGATGCGACGGGAGCCGACCTTTCTTGCTTGCGATGCGTTCAAAGAACTGCTTCTTGCGGTTGCGATTCGTCGCTTGAAGTGAAGATCCCTCGTATCGCGTCTCGAAGTATTTTTTTGGAGAATTTATTCATGCACACGCGAGGTGAATCTCGATGTTCGTAAGGTCCTCTCCTGCGAAACTGTGATTGAGGTTTAGGGTATGGCAGGTATGGTACGGGACTCAGCCACGCGCGTCTGTTGGATTTTTGGTTGACTGCTCGGGGTCTGCGAAGGCAAAAGGCAAAAAACGAAGACGCAAGAAACACGGCAGTTGGAGGCAAACCGGACTAGTTCTATGGCGAGCTTATGGCAGAGAAGAGAAGATTCCAACGCAGGAGGGGTAGGAAGGCAGGAAGAAGAGATTATTTGGAAGTCCTGTTGGGCTCCTGGACCAATAGGTGAAGCTCCATTTCAGCGCTCCAGTATCAGACTATCAACACGCTCATCGCATCCGGATAGTCATAGAAGACGTTGGGTTGCTGCTGCCTCGGACCTGAGCGGCGAACGATGGAGAGCAGGTGAGCCTGATGATTCAGCTTCTTTATTGTCCTGCCTTACCAAATATTGTACCTGCTGCTGGCACCAGCTAGTGGAAATGAATAAAACTATTCTAGATTGGTGGTTGAGTTGGTTTCTAGTTTCAGATAGCCAGTTCTTGTAAGATCTTACTTGATTTTATGCCCAGGACCGCTTGAGGGAAACTTGGTTTGTCTAATACCTATCTGTTTAGCGTAGTGATAGTGTGTAAAGATGAGTAGCCCTTTGTATAGCACAATCACATAACAAAATAAGCATTAAAGATGACTGTTTGTCCTGTTCAACCCTCGATATCGTTTGTTAAAACACCGAGCTGCAGTTTAAGCATCGCATCGCACCGTCTTACCGTACCGATAACGGAGATTGATTTAGCTTCGGCCCGCAACGTCAATTATCGGCGGAAGCTCGGGTATGCTTACGTCCCCAGCCACTGTTGGTCCGTGCAGCGTTGCTGCTTGTGGAGCCGGCATCAGTGCTCAAATTGTGCGTGCGCTTTCGCCTCTTTGGGTCTGACGTCAACCCCACGCCCGCCTCTTTAGGTTGGGCCCAGATTCTCCTGGCTCGTTGAAACCAAGGAAACGTAAAAGGCCATGTAGCTAGCATCGTCGATTCGCATGTGCGACTTACGGCTACGACAACATTAGATCAGAAGAATATGCAGTAACACACCACAAAGTGCCACCTAGTAGTACGAGCCAATCAGTATCTCCCTATCCTATAGCTCTCTTCCCAACTCGTACGTCGAGGGCAACTAGCTTCTAGGTTCTCCTCAATTGCTATCCACGGGTGTTACGAACTCGCATCCGCTTGGCTACTTAGTCCGTCATCACCAAATAGAGGGAGAATTCAGTCGAGATCCCCCCCTTGGCAGCTTCTGCAGATATAAGTCCTCTCCCTGGAGGATTTCTGCAGCTTTAAATCTTATCACCAAAAACGACCTCGAATCTAGAGCGAGCTCAGATTCCAACATCTACCCACAAAATGTCGACCTGTTTTGGTTCTCGCAAAAAGTCGCATCGAAATGGCGAAAGAGAGCCTCTGCTACCCGTGTACGAAGATGATACCTCCCTCCAACGCACGGCACATCAGAAGCTTCACTCCTATCAGCAGTTTAGAGCTATGTCGAAAGGATACATGCCAAGCACCGAACAGATAATTGCGAATCTACGAACCTTTCTCGCAGCAGACATATTAAATCCTAATACGCCAGGATTGACTGATTCGGGGAGATTGTTGACCAAATACACAAAACAATGGTTGCAAGAGTTCATCGAGCTCTCTGGAAACAAAAATCGTGAAGACCAGATCCAGGATTTCATATGGTACCTGCTTCATGCGAGAGTCGAAGTGGATGTAGAAGATATTGTAAAGCAAGCTGGAAAGACCCGTGTGAAAGCCGATGCATCTGCAGGTAAGGACATCCTGGGCGCTGCAGTATCACTACAGTGTCACTGAACTTATGTTTTTTTAGTCTATGAATCCCTTCGAACGATATCGACTCTCCTCTTAACCAATTCCTCATTCCGGCTTTTCCTCTCTGATCTTACGACTATTTCCAAGCAAGTATTTGCCGACACAGCCAATACCCTCTCTACTGTCGCCGCCGAAGCAGCCGAAAACCTCGAGCCGTCTTCTTCAGAGAACAAAGCTCTCAAGAGCGCCGAAAATGGAACAGGGAAAGCCACCGCGAATGGCAAGAAATCCACCAGCAATGGCGCCACCCCCAGTGCAGACGACTTGGAGGAAAATGTTGGACAAATTGCTGAAGTTTTAAAAGATGGCTTGAAAAAGACTACCGATGAAGCCATTATTTCGACACACGATAAAATTACAGATCAAAATGCAAAACAAACTATGCTCAAGCATCTCAAAACGGCAGTGGGTCGTCTAGCAAAGCGGCCAGACTACAATGACTCAGTTTCAACAATTTCGACTCTCCTTCAACGATATGCAAAAGTCTATTCTCGTGCCCTCGACAAGACAGTCGCTACCGTGCAAGACGATGTTGATACCAACGCTGAGTTAGATCGGGCTGTCAAGAACGGATGGTTGTTATTAGCAAACTTCGGCGATAAATCTGAATGGGAGTCATTAGAGAAGAAGTTCAATGCAGTCATGGCTCATTCGCAAAAAGACCCAGAATTTGAAAAGATGATGGAAGAGCTGACAGGCTCACTACAAAAAATGCTAACAGATCCCGAGTTCTTCGACGAACCTTCAAACGCCGTCGAAGCCATCAAAGAGAAATACGAAGAGGTCGGTCAAAGCACCTCGGACTCGACCATGAAAAAGGACGTTGAGGAGCTCCTCAAGCAAATCAAACGGACCTTCCACTCCGTCCTTAACGACCAAGACGTCTCCAAGCTTCTCTCCACATCCTTCAAACTATGGAGCATTCTCAACCCCCTCAATATCCACTCCAACAAAGAACTCTTCCAAGACGCCTATACCATCTTCATCCCTATGCTCATCACCGCCATCCAATATCTCCCGATCCCCCGTCTCGAGATCTCGGCTCCGGAAGTCGATCTCCTGCTTGAAAACGTGATTATCGAACCTGGAAAAACGGTTAATAACAGCAGTTTCTTGCCGTTTAGGTTGAAGGTTGAGACGTATAATGATTTGACGATTCATAAGAGGAAGTTTAGGACTGTTAGCTCGGTGGCTAGTTTGGTTACGGTTAAGGTTCAGGGTCTGAGTGTTAGGGCTGACGAGGTAAGATCCTTCTCTTGTTTTGTCTTTCCTTATAGCTACTTTTTCCGTCTTGTCCCGTGATCGCACTTTGTGACCGAACATTGTGCTTCGATAAATCCAAGTGGATAGAGGAAATGCGGGGACTATGCCAAACGTGGCCACTCAATCCATTTTCGAGTGTATCTTGGAAGATATGCCTTCCCACATCCCAACCTGAAGATCACCTCAAACACGTTTAGAAGACAATGAATTATGAGAGGAGAGTTGAACCCCAATACCAGAGGCGCAGCTCCTTCCACAGTGGTCAGACCAGAGGTGCTTGCGAGTTTTTCAGATCAATGGCACTCATCTAGTATAAACCTGGAAAACACTCTCAAATGCCCTATTCTGGGATCTTGTGGTTCACTGGACGCTTAAAGCACGAAAGAGCATTGAGACAAGATAGTCAATTGTTGATCGGTTATATTTATCTGAGAGACTATCTAATATAATTTGTACTCCCGAACGCCAAACTAATGCCTTCCAGATTGGTTACTGGATGCGAGCCCACAAGGGCTTGATCCGCTTAGCAGATGAAGGAATAGCATCATTTGAATTAGATGACAGGGGTATCGATATTGAAATGGACATTGAAGTTGGCAAAGACCGACTTGAAAAGGTTCTCTCCCTCCGCAACGTCCGCGTGAAAATCCACCACCTCTCCTACAAGCTCAGGCGTAGTAAGTTCACCCTGTTCGGGTGGCTTTTCAAACCTTTCTTGCGCCCCATCATTCGAAAGGTGCTCGAAAGACAACTCGCCACAGCCATCGAGGACTTCGTCCACGCTGCCAACAGAGAAGTGTTGTTCGCCAGAGAAAGGCTTAGGGCCACAAGAATCAGCGAGCCTAAGGATATCATGACGTTCATCAGAGCGGTAATGACCAGATTGAAGCCCGCAGAAGATCCAGACCTATATGCGAGTGTCGGTGTTACCGGTACCAGCGACGTCCGAGGATCCGTCTTCGCTGGTCGGTATGCACCGGGTTCGCTTGTCAAGCTCTGGGAAGAGGGAGCGAGAAGAGCGGGCGAGGTTGTGGAGGAGAACGCCACCGGTGTCGGGGGTTGGCGCAATGAGATATTCGATGTCCCAACTGCTTCTCCAATATTGTAAGATATCAGGGCTTTGTTAATGGAAACATCGTTACCACAAACGTGGGTTGAGGAGGATAACCATGTCGGAATGGACAGGATTCGGTTGGTGCTGGGGCGGTCATTCTGTGTCTGGTGTATACTTAGTAGCCCAATTGATTGGCTTCTCGGATTCTTCTCAAATCCAGGTGTGTGTTCTGAGCCACGTGAGGTAACCGCTGAAGCTTGTCTTGAGCCAATACGCGTCAGTGATTGTTGATCTGATTGTAATTGAGTTGCGTTCCAGCGACTCGGTAACTGTCGATTCAATCTTGATTGACTGTCCAACTGCTCTTGAGTTCCAGCGAGAGGTTTCAAACCATCCGAGGCATAGCCAGCGGATTGAGGTGAGCCATCTCGGCTCAGTTGGGTTTGATTCATGCTTGAGCCCTCGGAGCCATAGGATTCTATGTGTTCACTCAGTTGTCTCGTTTGATCGAGTGTCGGTTGTAGGAAGCGGTCAGAATTTCTGTCCAGCGATCCGCTGGATTGTGAGCTGTCTAGTCTGTAGCTCTGCGGTTTCTGGCTCGATTGCCGCGAATCATCTGATGAATCGAGTACCGCCAGGGCGTTCGGCATGACCCCTTGTAGACGGGAGCCTGCCTGGCTAGACGGATTCAACACATCGAGTGGCGAGGGCGAGAAGTCATTCACGGTACTACCACGTGCTCGTTCCATGTGCGAGCTGTCTAATGGTTGGATCTGCAATTGTGGACTCCATTGACCACATTGATCAGACACGTCGAATGCGGATTGTGCTTCAGCGCTCGAGTACCAAGGACTGAAATATGGAGCGGCCATTGGTGGGTAATCGGCCAATCCATTAATGTCGAAGTTGAAGTGGCTCAGGTCTGTTTCCTCGACAGGCCCCAAGTCAAAATCGTTCCATGCGACATTATCTTCGGGGAAGAGAACGAAATCGTCGATTGTGTTAAATGACGGTGTTGTCTCAAATGATGGTGGGGTCGCTTGCTGTGAGGATGAAGGGGTTGAGATTGATGTAGAGAATGAAGGACCACCACTACCACTCGTGCTTCCGCTTGAAGGACTATTTTTGGATCCTGATGAGCTGCTATTACTAGTGCTTGTGGAAACAGTTGATGATCGTGATGGTTCAGCTGCGCGGCGGTGAGATGGATCACACTGAGAAAAAGTAAGTAGAGCTCAAAATCTAATTCGCTTAATTGATTGAGTTGACTTACTCGGATCTTCTTCTTCTTGCACGCATCACAAGCCTTCATGATGCGCATGAGATGGGCATGCTCTCTCTGCTCCTTGGTTTTGGTGCCCCGACCGGCGGTTGAGGTAACATCGACCCCGTCCTTGGTCATGATTGAGAATCCCGGGAGACGCACTTCGGCTGCCTTCTTGGTTTCCTTCTTGCTCGAAGCCTTCTTGGACACTCGGCCAGTCGACTTTCGCGAAGAATGGGTTATGCCTCCAACCGAGATAGACCCAGATCCAAAATCGCTCACCATAGCTGAGGATGCTGGCGAGGGTGTGTAGAATGCTGGACCTATATTTGTGTAAGCATGATAAGGCTCTCTCAATGCATGTCTACAGGAACACGAAGATTGAAACATGGGCGGAGGAACCGCATGTTTTTCTTTTCTATGATTCGGAAAATTGCAGGTTTAAATGTGTAAACTTACTGAAGCCAGATGAGTAAGACTCGGTTGGTGACTGCTCCAAAGCATCCCAAAGCGGGAACACATGGTAAGTGCGAACCAAGGCACCATTGGTTAGATCAACAATGGCATTATTGTAGAAGTCAATGGTGACTTCAGAAAGCTTCTCAGCCTTGGAGCCGTTGCCGAGGACGTAGACGTCGACCAATTGCTCCAACTCCTTCGAGCCAAGTGCGGGAGTAAATTGAAGGGGGGCACCCAGGAAGGCCTGAGTGATGGTGAAGGATTGAACTGGTTGGGTGTTGTTGATGGACTGCATTGCGAGTGATATCACGGATTTCCGGTGGAAAGTAATTTTGGTAGCCTTGTGGATAGGGAGTGGTGGGAGATTGTTTTGGGCGAGGAGGAGTGAGGAATTGAGCAATTGGATGTTCTCGGATATTCTCGACCGGATGACTCTTACCGTCTGGCGTGAAGACGTGAGAGCTGGGAGAACTGCGAGGGACAAAGGGATCAGTGAATCTTGATAGAAGATTTAACAAGAAGAAGGAAAGGAAAAAAAGTTTGTGCCTGAAGGGAATTCGGTATTCTTAACAACCGCGTGAGGGCCAGACAGACTGGCGCCGACAGCCCTCGACACCCGCAGAACCCTCGCCGTTACCGAATCGAGCTCGCCGTGCCAAGCTCCACGCACCTAGCCAATCAGGCACGACGGGTGGAGTAATACCCGCGCCTTGTGGTTGGTCTGTCGCTGACCTGCATGACACAGCCTGCCATCAGTCTGTGACTCCCCCCTCCCCCACCATTCTGCCCTCACTCCCGCGATCTCAAGAGGGCATTCGCACCTGGCTGTCAGCTAAGCTCGCGGATTGACCAATGACTCGACACGTTTCCAGCGACATCTCGCGCATTTTCGAGGACGGTTATTGTCAACAGGGCAGCACTACCTATATACTCCAGCGAGGAGGGACCGAGGGAGGACTAGCTAATGGGAGAGAGCGTCGAGTAATCTTGCGACAGACGGGCTGAGTCTGACTCACCTAAGTTCGTGTCATAGCCACGAAACCTCTTGCTATACGGGAGGCCCCCTCGGCCCCTTTCAATCTCTCGTCTACTCATAGCATCGATCAGGCAGGAAGAATGAGATCTCAGAGAACAAGAACACAGCGAGAGCATCAAATATGTATTGGAATTTTATACAGAATCTACCAACGATGAACTATTTTTATAAGCCTGGCCCAGACATCCGTGTCCCAACGGCAACTATCTCCACAACCGAGTGTTTGTACAAAATAAGAGGAGTGCTGGTAAAGATACACATGATGTCTGTAAAATAAAACAATGGAAAGTCTAAAAGGCTATCTACAGAGGGTATATTGCGCAAAAAAGTCCCATTAGCCGCCGGTCCCTATTAGAAAAAGAAAGTCGTTTTAAAGCGTAAAGCTGCCAAAGGAGTCGACGTCTCCTTCTATCTCAAAGATTGCCAGAGGCCCAGTGGAGCTTATCATCCGTGAAGAAAGAAGGCGCCGTCGTCAAGCCAAAGTAGGGGTTGGTGCATGCCGACAACCTCGCTCCGACAGTAACTCGGATCAACACTGCTGTCGACATGATCTTGGGCCTCGGATCGGAAGGTACGGGCGAGGAGAGGCAGGCCTACCCGATTGAGTACCGCAAAAAAGTCCACCGCTGCTCTTTGTTCGTCGCACTGCACAGTCGAGAACAGGTGTACGACGAAGACTCGCGCTACGTAGTGGCTGCGGGAATCTGCCTTCATGAAGATGGTATCCGAGTTTGACTCTAGCGGAACCGAGCAACAGTTGACTTGACTGGCCTGGTATTCTTCCTACATTTCTTTGTGCTCTGCCGAACTGTGCAAACATGACAGAGGATCCCAATCTCAGGAACCACTTGGATATGAAGATAAAGAGGTCTCCGAGTGATCTTCCGGTTTCGTGTTTCAAGAATTCAAGTTGTCGTACACCCCACCTGATGCGCCATATCCATTTGCATTATGAACGGAGGGCCAACCAGCTGACGGAATAGCCGAGGGATCCCTTTCTTGGCTAAAAGTTTCTTCCCTAAATGAGCCGTCCCGATCGTCGACATAGCTCAATGCTGGGGTGTGTAGGGTCTGGTGCTCGGAGCCAATGAACTGCTGATTGAATTCATAGTCGAAGCTGCCATCATATTGATCTTGCTGGAAACTATCGGTGGTCATGCTTGGACCATTGTATAAATTGATGCTTGGGGACTCGTAACTGGGGGCATATTGCGAGGTAGTTGTAGGCGTGTATTGGAAAAAATCTTGTTCATCCGAGGAATAGCGCCCGTGAGAAGCTGAGTATATCAACTGGCCGTAAACACAAAGCTCAAATTGAGAGGAATCTCCACATTGACGACATTGACTGTCAGCCATGTGATTCCCCACATACTCGCATGATGTACATCGAACTCGAAGAGGTTGCTCAAGCCGTGAAACCGGCAAGTGATTACCCTCGAAATGAAGTTGTAGCTCCTCAATTTTCTGAAACAAGAGATCACAACCATCGTGTCGGCAATGGTAAGATCTACTTCTGATATCACCAATGAGGACCATAGTTGCATTGTCCTGCTGGGAATACGCATCCTGGGTAATAGTTGGAAGAGTTTGAGCGGCTTGGTATAGCGGCGCCGGGCTTAGTAAATTTTCATCCACTCCTTCGCCCAGGTCCATATTGAGCTCCGATATATAAGCTTGTGGATTTGGCCGAAGTCGTTGGTCGTATCCTTCACTCTGACCTTGGCCCAATCCCAAGAACAGGGCGTCGCTCTGAGATGGTGGTGGTGCAACCTGCTCACGAGAGACAGATCGTCTATGCTTTCTATTCAATTTCTGGGCATCTGGCAAAGGGCGTTGATGTTTCCGCGACGTTGTGCTAGAGGAACTTGGGAACTTGTCAGGCTGAGGACGGACCTCGTTTTTGGTGTTGCTCAATTTGTGTTGATGAAGGCGGTCGAGTATCTTCATGTCGTAGTGTTCTAGTGGACACTACACTATCATTAGCTGGTACCGTAAAGGCTGGGATGGCATGCTTACAGATACTGCACGCTTCCTACATGCTGGACAGGAACCAAGGTAACGAATCAAAGCTGCTTTTGCTTTTGCTTTTGGTGCCAGCCTTTTTCTCGATCTTTGCTTCACTGTCTGTCCGTGATAAGTTTTCAACTCTTTCTGTTCGAGGGTGGCAGAGGAGGGGCTCTCGTCCGGTTCGAATGACATGACGGAAGACATCTCTGTAGGATCGTATGTAGATACCGAAGGCGTATTGCGATGTCTTGGTGAGCCCACAGATGAAGTCGACATAGTCACGGAATGTCCTGGGACCGAGAGGTAGCCATCTATCGCAGATACAGGATCATTTCCCCGTTGAACTAACCCTTCCTCCAGTTCGGCCGACTGGTAGTCGGTGTATAACTTCAAAGCTCTCTCCTGCTTCTCGGGGGGAATAGGCAAGGGATAGTGAGGTGTTGGGACATCGGACGAGGCAGATAGCGGAGTCTGATGATGATGGTGGGGTGGTGAGCGTCCGTGATGCGGAGTCGAGGTATTGACAGACAGCGACGGATGGCTTTGTCTCGGCCTTCCAGAGTTATAGGGACCTTGCCCTAGTCGATGGTTGCTCATCATGCGGCAAAGGTGTGAGGTTTCGTTGATTCTCGACTCCGAGGCTGAGTGGGTGGGTGGGGGGGATGTCGATGTCGATGTCGAGACGATGAAGGCGTTCAATGGCAGATGGATATCCAAGGACAAGAGCGTAGTTGTGGATGAGGTTCGGCGCGAAGCGTGGGAGACAAAACGAATGGAGACTCACACTCGAGATGCAGCGACGGTAAGGAGGGTGTGGATGGCTACTTAAGCACCGTCGAGCAAGGCTCTCTCATCAGGCTGAGAGTGCGCCCCATTTTGACCATCACCAGATAGGGGACCTTCGGTGTGAGCGGTGGTCGCGAATGCACCAACAACCACTGGGTCGCGATGCATATCAATGACATATGGCGGGGCCACGCTGCACTGAAATGCGATGCACGATGGTCCGCGTTTCGAGTGTTGAGGATGTGGTTGTGGTTGTTGTTCCGCTTCGATGGGTGTTGCAACTGGATGGTGTTGGTGCGAATGCAAACATCGCAAGCTGGGGGAGGGAGAAGCGGAGGTGAGTGGAGCAATGGGAGGCTCAATGAGTGAAAGGGCGGTGGGGGAAAGCGACAACACACGCTACCCAGGCGAGTCCACTCTGCAACGTCGGACAAAGACATTGAAGGGTGCATAGACGGTATGTACTCAAGTAGACAGTTCTAATAGACATTCGAAGTTCGAAGTACCAAATTACCAATACAACATATTTCGGGAAGAGACAACTTGAGGGTACACTAGACATCGGTGCCATTGTTATCTCCCCCTACTGCTGCTATTGCTTCCATCTTCTCAATTGGGGCGCAGACGCGGTCACTAGAGGTATCCTCCCTTGCACAGAAGTTGCACTTGCATTTCCCTTAGCTTAGAGAAGAGCTTGACAGAAGCTTCCCGATAAGAGGGCGACTATGGTGCAGAGGGCGACAGACACATGCGTGGCAAAAAGCTTAGAACGGGCCTTGGTTTGTTTCAGAAACAGTTTCTGGCTCTACCTTCCACCTACTTGTGCCCTTTCCCGGGAGCTGTGGCTGACGACCGCAGAGCCCGCAAGACGGACATGGTACTGACCAGAATCTGGGTCACGACCACGGGAATGTGCGTTTTGACAGGCTTGTTCTGTGTCTAATAGATTTCAAGGTGCTAGGAGGGAAACTTCGTCAGAAGCGATGTTTTCAGCGGAGTGTGAACCTTTCCCAAAAAGGCAAATTACGCATCCAACACAGAGTAACTGCGTAACTCTAAAAACACAATCTCGGACCATACTGGCATACTCAAGGGTAATGTGCCACAACGTGTGTAATTCTAGGCTCTGACAGTAAACTTTAAGAATGTCAAGCCAGATGCAGATGCTCAGCAAGCCAAGCGCTCTTGGCCATTCGTAGAACTCTATATAAATGTATTAACCAGACAAGCAGTCATGCTTTAGAATTTGCTTACTTGTAACACAACATGTGCCACACTACCTTATATTGAAACCCGGCACAAGCAAGCAAGGCTTCAAACGGAAATATATTTTTACCTGGATGGGAAAAGGGGATGAAAACGCAGAGCGGACGTAATTCATCTCACCTAGGACACGTAACAAACGGCCCCCACGCCCAAACGCTTCGGAATCTGCAAATGTGCAGGAAAAGTACAGGGACTCTCCAAGTCGAACTAACACAAATTGGACACATTCGGTATAGAGACAGCCAAATAGTGTCACCGCAAGGGTGGAATGTGATTGTCGTACAAGATCGTAGTTCCAAACCCGCGGGAATGAATTGCAGATTGTAGAAAATGGACAGCCTTACTTGAGTATTGACTCATCTACCACTACCACAACCCAAGACGCGCGGCGAGTCACCAAAGTTGCAAGTCCATGGCAGGAGAAAAATTGAATGAGATAATGCAGCAAACTGAAAGATATCAGCCAAATGGCCATTGTGTGGTCACCGGTGCTTTCCCGTTATATGGAATGCGCGTTCAATGACCATGCTCGCGTCGTTCGGCAGAGCTGCGAGCCATTTTCCATCAATCATAGACCTATGTAGTTTCTGAACCTACCTAATATGTAGCGTAGCTTGCAGTGTACCTTCCAGGGTGTACTATTACCGGTTGTCTCGCTTAACTGCACGACCTCCTTGACTTGTGGTATTTCCAATTGCTGTAAACGCAGCACATACAGAAAACTAGTACATGATCCAGAAAGATTTGAGCTAAGTTTGCTTAGAGAATTGCTTTGAACGTGATTGAACAACAGCACCCAGACACACGTGCAAAGTTCTCCTTGAACGAGCTACTCCACCGCTCCTCCGCAACCAAAATTGACCATCGGAGTTGTAGCGTCATTTCTCAAAGTCCGAAGCTTGGCCGGGGCTTTGGTAGGGTGTGGGAAAATCACAGGTTCTCTGGCAATCATAAAGCAACTCGAACGCACGCCGTATTAGAGCTACCTAGTGATTGATTGGCGATCCGTGACAAGATTACTATACTCCCCGTTGCAGAGAAGGCTCCATGTGATGTGCTTCCGTGACGAAACCGGCCCACTCGCTGTTGATTGTTGGTACGTTGTTATTATGGTACTGAGTTACCAAAGCTCATTGGAGATTTGAGCTTCGTCATCAGTAGCAACTGAGAGATTGTTCATAAAGCAATATCCCGCACGTAGGCGTAGACCCGTTATAGTAGGTTAAAGACGCTTGACTCTTACACGAATCATGTGCCGTTTTTATGGCCGCTAATAGGCTTCCAGGATCCAAATAGATCGAAAGCCTCCCGGCTCCATGGTCCAGTAGAGGTTACAGGCATTCCATTATCGTCAGCCACATCGGCAGGCTTTGAACTTAACCTTGCGGGTGGTGGTCCTAAGGGCTGAGCTCGCGGAACAGGTTTCGATAGTTTGAATTTAGACTGATTTACGGTCGTAATACTCAAAGCGAAGTCTGAGTTGTTGCTATTGTCTGATCCTTGCCATCGCGAACCAAAGTTGCTTGCTGTTCGTACAGTACAGGGTTGTAGAGAACTTTCGGTATGAGCAGTCGTCGACTCATGAACGCCGGACACTTCCTTAGCTGATGCGAAAGTTTGATTTTCTGGAGATTGAATAGTCACATGCGCGGACTGTTCATCACTAGGATCTTCAACTAACATCTCTACATCTGGCAGAGTTGACTTGGGTGATGTCGACTTAATCACTTCACGATGCTCCTCTTCAATGTGAGGGGGAGCTATGTTGTTTTCATGCGGCAATTTTCCACACGTAGTCTCCTCTTTTGAGCTGTGTTGATTTTGTGGCGCTCTGCCTTTTTCCATTGTAGTATCTAATATGGGCTGCTCATTGTTTTGCCCACATGAAAACGCATGTCGTGGATTAGATGGGATTTCACTGCTGCCGAATCCTGATACTTTGACTGGAAATCGATCGTCCCTAGTAGATATTGAACCATCCTTGCTTTGAATGCTAGTCGTTGATCTGTCGTCACTGATACGATTGACAGGTATATAACTGTCCTCTGGTACAGAAGTAGTCATTATAGTATCCTGTGGCATATCAATAGGTTGTGGTGCTCCCCTAGTTCCAGCCGGCAAAGCCATCTCAACAACAGATGACAACGCTTTTGACAGGTTGGCTACTGCTTCTTTATTATCTTGAGCAGACGGTGTTCGAGACACGACATGAACATCCTCACCAAAAGTGCCAGTCGACGAAGGTATATTCATTGAAACCGATCCAAGCCGGCTAGTCCCGGACACTAGATCTGATTCAGGAGGTTGACTCTTAAGGGAACGTGCTTCAATTTCTGGTAGTACTGAAGAAGATACGGTGGGTGGATCGATAGATCCTTGTACGGAAGTATGAGCTGGTGTCCTTTTGCTCGACGAACTTTTTGACAAAACGGCAGAGGTTGTCTTTGACGTGTTCTGAGCGATGCCATGATCCGTTATGTGCGATGTTAGATCTTCCCGATCAATGCTCGGTCGACTTCGTGATTTGCTAAGTCGACTCTGGATTCTCTCCTGTTGTCGCTGGATTAGAGAGTCAAGCTCAACTGTGGCTTGGGATTGCACGGGGTCTCTAGTAGCTACCGAGTGACCAGCCCTGTGATTTGTAATGTCTCTTGAAGGGCTTTTACGGGTGGAAATGGGAGGGCCCGGACGGCTCATGAACATCATCATCTTCTTAGGTTGGCGGGACCTGATCCTCAAGGTAGGAACAGGTTTGTCCGACTCGCTTGTAGCCATCAAGGACGACTCGGAAGTATTCTTATTCGGCTTTGGACCGACTTCGAAAGGGTCTGTTGCATCATATTCTGGGGTTCTCTCCTTTCCGGTAGGCCGAATATTTCTCAGCGAAGAGCTGCTGGTCGTGGGTATGGCGGAGCTCTTATGCCTTTCCTGTACCGACGACCGCATATGCGGAACCTCAGAACTACTTCCACCTTCACGAGGTTGCTGATTGATTTCCGCTCTGGCCTTTACCAATCGACTTTTATTCTCTCCAGCCAAAGAGCCCAATGAGTTGGATGGTTTGGACACTTTGTGATCTGGCATTTTTGCGTCTTTTGCTGCTGTGAACAATGGCCGTGATTTTCGACTATCTATGGAGCCATTACCTTCAGCACCTACAAATAGGTTTGCACCAACATTCAGAGCTAGTGGCGTCGTCTTAGCTGCACCATCTAGAGATGGGGCCGAGACGGACTTTGCAATGCTTTTGACAACTCTGCGAATATTTGCGCTGTCATCCGGTATCGCAATAGCTGGAGGGGACGATGATCTTGGCTTGAGGGTCTTCCTAGGGTGAGTAGAGTTATTGGAACTGTTGTCCTTTCTGTGCAGAGTGCCCAACGGGTTGCGATTTACCAAGCTTGTCTCGGGGACAGAGGAGCCAGCATCACCCTCCCCTTGACCTTCCTCTCTCGACATGGAGTTTTCATCGAACTGCGAGTCGTTCATTTTTCCACCCCGCGATACCCCTATAGGTCGAAGAGCAGTTGAAGGTGGAGGTCTGCTCAACGATAACATAACTCCAGTAAGATTACTAGCATAGCCGCTCTGTTCAGAAGCAGATTTATTCTGCCTAGATTTGTGTGGTCTCGCTTGCGTTTTCGCAGTCTTGTCACGGCGTTGAGGTAGCTCCTCGTGTCGGCCGGGCATACCAGTATCGTCATCCAAGGTGAGATCAATTGCGGCAACCTGCTGTTGCGGTACAGAGAATTTGGGCTTGAATGTGTCATATCGTATCGTGGGCGTGCTCGAAGGCTTTGAGGAAGTCAAATTCAACATAGCCCCGGTCAGGTTTTGTGCAAACCCGCTTTTAGAGTCCTGGGGTTCGTGACATTTTCGTCTCTTCGATGGTCGCTGTTCCTCGTGAATGGGCAGAGTCACGCTTTCGATATTCCTCCGGTCTTCGAAAGGCGATGTGATTGGGATCTGTGCTCTGCCATGATGACCAGAGGGAGTCAACAATCGATTGAGAGATTTGGGCATTGCCGTATGCGCTGGAGTTCCAAAATTCTGAGTTTTCCCAAATGATCCAGGCGATCCATTCGCAGTCCTAGCTGCGGCGCGAGCCTCCTTCTCTTTGCGCGGCTTGTCCACCAGCTCCGAAAGGTCTTGATTATGTGTTTCTAGTTTTTCCTCCACTTGAACTAAGATCCCTCCACGCTCGAGTTGAAGTTCGTCACCATCACACAATTCGTGGTCCTCGCGCCAGTGTACATCGCCAACGAAATTCGACCTTTCATCGTATACCATCACCCGCTTGTTGAAGCTGTGGTATTTAAGCCGGCCATCCCGCCATCGTTTTTGTTTCCGACGTAGGTCTGCGGTGTACAGACACTTGAACTCGAAGACTGGTGCGGTGTTCTGACTGCGGGGAACGTCAAATGACTCGCTCATGTTGGGAAATAATGGCAATGAGATCTATTTGGCAGGCTGCCGTGTTTCTCATGATTCCTCATTGCATCTGGCGTCGATATACGTGTGTTGTGATGGGGGGTTGCCACTGCTTTAGGCTTCTTGAGAGAGTTGACGTTGCGGCTGCTAGATGTCGCGACGCGTAGCTCTCTACGCGCTAGCACGTGCCGTACCTTTCGTACAACATCTCACCTAAGGGTCTAAGCATAGGAGCTAGAGTAGTCCTTTATATTAACGGCGAACTGCATTAGTGGTGCCAATCAATATAGATCTTCAAATAGCTCTCTTTCCGGCTGAAGCGTCATTGGCACGTATTATTATATTCGCAATGTCCGATGATTTGCGAATTAAGTGAATCACAGTCCCACTGGATTTATCCTCGTATACAGTACAAGTATCGGCAGGGGGTCTGAAGTTGGCTTGATCGACCCCGCGAACTGTTTCAAACTGTGCTGACTCTGGACGGAACAGCGTGCCGCACCGCACCGCAGCACACCAACCAGCAAGTTCTCGCTCCGCGCATTTGAAGTAATTCTGGCCCAGATTTTATCACCAGCGCGAGGCTGTGCCGACCGTCAATGACATTATACCCCTTCCTAGTTTTGTTGACTGTACACCTGTTGTCTTCTCCCAACTCTCAGCGGACTCAATTCGCGTTCTCAATACCAGACTAATCAGATATCCAATCCAAAACCACGTGTGTTTGGCAGGCACCAGTCGTTGAGTTTAGTCCCACTCCATTTGGGGAAAGAGAATTTGCAGCACCATGAATTCTGTGCAGAGACAGTACGCACGGGCAAGGGGCAAGGGAGGAGCAGATACTGCCAAAGTCTCGGTGCTTCTTAATGATTTCGAAGATGCAGATAAACTGTTGACAAAGGTTCGTGGTCAAGACGCCAGGCCAGCAAACTAGCTTCTGCAAAAGACCTGCTAACAAAGTCCCTAGATCATCGAGGCGTCCAAATCTTGGAGGGATAGCTGGGTCTCCATTCTCAATATACAACTGGGTTTAGTGACACTATTCGAAGAATTATACGATCCAATTGTTGGCGCGTCAGACGGCCATGGCCATGAACCAGTCATGACATCTCCAGAGCAGCTCGATCGGACCCGAAAGCTCCAGGCTGTCTATGCGGATCTTAAGACGGATTTGCTACAGGAGGTTGCCATGATGGACGCTAGAATCATAAAGCCAGCTGTGGAAGCGAAGGATTGTTTGCAACCCTTACGAAAGACAATCAAGAAACGGGAAAATAAACGGGTCGATTGGGAACGGTATATCGATAAAGTTAATACTCTGCAGTCGAAAAAGCTGAAACGCACGGATCGGGAGAATATGGCATTGGCGAAGGCGGAGGAGGAGCTGGCGGGAGCTGCAGACGTAAGGCTTTACTTGTGTTGATCCTCAACCGATGGCTAATTCAAAGCAGGCCTTCAAAATTGCTGACGACAATCTCAAAGTGAAGCTTCCACCATTAATTCAAGCAGCATTTTCAATAATCCCACATCTCCTTGGTGTTCAGATCATGATCCAGAACACTCTTCTCGCACAATACTATACCGTCTTACACAATTACTGTGAAGACACAGGCTTCCCATCGCCAGCTCCTCCAATGACGGAAGTTATATCTTTGTGGGAAGTAGACTTCAACCCAATAAAAGACCAGGTTGAAAGAATAAATTGCATTGCCCGAGGTAAGGTGATCCATCAGTCCATGATATTGGGGGACGATCCAGGTCGCAAATCGGGTTCTTCTACCACCACTGGATTGAACATACGCAACGGATTTCAACGACGAACCCCTTCCATGGGACGGGTGTCTGCACCTGCATCTCCTCAGCCTGAGCCTGCTGACGCTCCTCGCGGCCGTCCAATGCGGATATCATCCAACACAGTTGTTCCCGCCCACTCGCGACCAGATCCATCCCCATCACCCGAACCGTATTCCACTCACCTAACACCTGCCTCCACTTTCTCTTCACACTCACCAGCAAACTCATCCAGCGACTACTTCCAACGTTCCGCTGCTGGAAAGAAGAAACCGCCACCACCACCTCCCAAAAGGATAGGCAGTCAAAGTAATGGTCTCTATGCTACCGCATTATACGCATTTGAAGGCCAGAGTAATGGAGATCTGAGCTTCAATGAGGGCGATCAGATCAAGGTACTCAAGAAAACGGACAGTACCGATGATTGGTGGGAAGGAGAACTGAGAGGGAGGAAAGGCAGTTTCCCAGCAAACTATTGTAAATTATGAGTTCTTCTGGGTGGATTATGATGAGACGACAAACAAGTGATATTCGTGGATGACTGAATGAATTGATGATGGATATGACGGTAAATTGGGGTAAGGCGTATAGTTTAGAAACTCGGTATGAGAAATGCTTGAGGTCCCGTCAGTTTGGACAGAAAAGCATTTTTTGGCAGCCTATATTGGAAAGCTCATAAAGGAATGGGTGCTGTGGAAATCTTGACCGTGAGCGTGAGGACGAGCTTTTCGGTCTGGTCCGCAACAATGTCAGGTTCTTTTCTCGTGGGAAGTGTCGCATTTGATATTTCATTGTGCTCTAGCACGTTGGAAGGAGGGTAGACTAAATGAGACAAATTGGCCAGACCACACTCACTGCATGTTTGTTCAATTTGTCACTCGTCAGAGAACACAAGATAGGCAATTATCAAAGTTACAAATCAACACCCTGTACAGTTTCCCATTCTCCCCCCGGCAGCCATTACTATAAGTACCTCGCATCCAGTAAGTTTACTGTGCACACGCTCCTAATTACATCTCCATCCCAATTTCAAATTCGCAATTCCAGATTCCATACAAACATGCCGAATGAGCAACACCCCTCAGACCTCCCTGTACAAACAAAAGCCAGAACCCCAAAAAGGAAAAAGTAAAGAAACGGCGATCCATGAACACTCCCAATTTCCCACCATTTCCAGACCCATTCCCCAGACCATACGCAATGCCAGGAAATAAAGAAATCAAAGCACACGCCTGCCGTACAAATGCTATCCCACTTCCCACCTGGCTGCTTCCACATTATAACTTTTTTGAATTTTTGTGTCCATTCCATCCTCGAAGCGCGAAATCCCCGAGTGATTGTGAAAGCAGACAACACCAATTTGACCCGCGCAAAAAGTTGTGACGACCCAGAGAGGCAAAGTAAAGCAGAGAGTGGATATCCAGCAAAAAGATCCCGTCACTCCACCAATGCAACTGAAACACCACGAAAAAAACTCAGCCCAGACCCCGAAAAATACCCAGTCATCAAGCCTGATCCGCGGGTAGGTCGAAGCAAACAAGGCGAGAAAGAGTATTGGCAACGATTCCTTTGGCCATGATCGCGATATTGCCTCGCCGCGCCAGATTGCCCCGTCTTCCTTCCCAAACCGAAAAAGCCAAACACCATCCCCTATATTCAAATCCGCATTCTTTGATATTTTATCCCCAAACGGAGGCTTGCACACCAAGAGATTTACCACCCCACACGCCGCTTTTGCTACCCCATCCCAAACCGTGATCTTGTTGATTTTGTTGACCATTTGCGTTGGATCCTGCAGATGGTGTACGTTCATTCTTTTCGCCAGCTACCTTACTCTCATCGTTGGCCGCGAATCCATAACTCAGTGGAGATGGAAGAGGAGTAGTAGAGCGTTTGTTCAATGCAGGGTTCTGTGCTTGTGCTGGACGAGTGCCAATTGGAGCGACGCCAGAGCCTGTCGGTGCCTTTCCTTGCCGAGGAGGAGACCCCCCGGGCGAAGATGTAGATGTTCGGCTAGATTGCTGAGCAGCGGACTCGAACAAGCTAAAGCTACTGGTTGGGTTGGATGCCGGCGACGAATTGCTGTTAGCACGAGATCGTGTTTGCCCTGGTGCTTGACTGGTAGCAGACTGAGGCTCAGCGATTGCTTGTTGACTTGTGCTTTCAGCTTGGCTACCTTGAGCATTATTGAAGTGGTCAAATGCTAGGGGTGAATGGCCACGAATTCCAGTAGCCGATTGTCTTCCGGTACCCTGAGTTCCTGGACGAGGTGTTCCGTTCTCATCGGCTCCATTTTCGGAAAAAGCTGGACCTTCACCATACAATGCGTTGCGCTGGCGGGCGATTAACTCTCGGCGTTCTTCCTCGCTCATTCCACTGCCTGGACTCATGGTACGGTCAGGTTTGCCTCCAAAAGATGACACTTCAGCTACAACGCCTTATTCTAGTCAGTAAGTGCAGATGTAATGTGTAGAACGGATGGTATATGATAGGCAGGGAAGATGAGAAATCACACAAGGGCATCGAAGGCAAGAGGAGAAAAATATTTATAACAGGGTAATGAAGGTATGTGAACCGCTGGGTACAAAATATTGACATGACAGGTGTTATTGTGATACAGAAGAGGGTGGCCTACTTCGATTGTACTGTTGTTCTTGGTGATAGTTTCGCAGCTCTCTCTCGCGCTGGGCTGCCATCCTTCGCTTTGCCTGCATCACTTGTTCGGCCTCATTTGCGCCACGCGATGGTTGGTGACGTTGACTGGCGTAAAAATTTTGTAGATTCGCTCCTGGGGAGAATGCTCGCGCATCATTACCGCCGAATTCGCTGACCGAGTGGTGTCTAGGAGGGCCTCCACCCATACGGGGATCTATCAAATTGTAAGCTGCTGAGATCGGTTCATGGAATAAAAATACATACCGAACTGGTCGGGAAAGTTGCTTCTCCCAGCACCAGACATTGGCAAGGACTCCCGACGGCCAGACATGCCAAACATCTTTCCACTCTTGACAAGATTATCAATCGCACGATCAACCTCTGCATTTTGTCGTTAGTTGAATCGTTCTAGAAGGTCGCAGAGCACGTGGCTGCCGACACCACCTTGAGACAAAATTTGGCCCAAGGAATGTCACATATCCCCTATCTCTTAATTTTCTCAACGTACCCTCTAGTTGTGTGCTAAAAGCGGTCGAGTCCTCGCGAGGAACTGCTGAGCTGGCACCTGCAACACCGTCAATTGGCACATCCTCACCTTCAAATTTTGGATATTTCATACCGGATCTTGCTGGCGGAGTCTGCTGTTCCCAAGCAGGCTGGCTGGTGGCTGGCCATTGCTGGTTATCGTAGTAAGACATATTTGATATCTAGCTGCTTCGAGAACTGAGGCCTGCAGTGTCGATCGAGTGATGGTGAGGTAGGGTAAGGAACGTATAAAGCGACGAGGTCGCAAAAGGGGAACGTTGTCGAATCTAGAAGGAAGGATGTTAGAGTTCTATCCCGATCTCATAGTATGCGGGAGGTGACTGCCACCAGTGCAGTAGTAGTGGCTTGGGATGTTTTTTAAGATTTGCGCGCGTAGAAAAAAAAACTACGTAGCCGAGGAGGAAAATCTGGACACGGCGAGAGCAGCGGGATTGGGGGTCGATGTAGGGAAGTCGTGTCTCACTTACCGAACGAAAATGCAGCGAGAAAACGGGGATGCGACACAGAAAGGAAGAAGCAGAGTTCAATTCGCAACGACGACGCGATGTCTAGAGCTGCAGCGGAGGATCAATGGGATCAAACTGGGGGGGCAGAGCAAAGAAGATGTCGGAAAAGAGAGGAGCGACAGCGAAGTGGTTTTAGTTCGGGGTGAGGAGTGGGAGGAGGAGGGATGGGGGGGAGGTGGGAGATGGGAGATGGGAGATGGCACATTCAAGTTCTGCCAGTGGAAGGACGATGAGATGGTCCATTCGGGTCGTGGGTACTGTAGCTGTACTAGCGTAGTACTCGGTCGAGGGGGTGATTGGCGGAAGGAACAGAAAAGGCGGGCCATTGGGACATTTGTGTGGGTGTGGTCGGGGATTGGTGAGGGTCGCCGTAGATTGTCGATGTTGAACAGGTGTTGACCGGGGGGATTCAATTTTGCTAGTCGAGTCGAGGAGGGCCGGGGGTTGGACTAGTAATTTGCTGAGAGGCAGAAGTGCAGAATCGAAGATGATAACTATGGTGGAGGGAAGGATACAGAGGGAAGGATAAAGAGTAAAGTCTAGAGGTGTCAAAAGTGGTGAGCTTTTTCCCGGCAAGTACAAGACATTATTTGATGAGAATAGGTCAAAAGATTAGAAATTACCAGCGATCATGGTCGACGTGTGGAAGAAAAGAGGTGGGGGTCAAGAAAGGCGAAAAGGGGTCATGCAAGTCACGTCCGTATAGATTTGGCAGGTAGTGGTATCTATCCGCGGTGGGACTTGATATATAATCTTAATCTGTTTGAGCGATTATAGTTAAATTTATATCGACAAAATTGTATGTCAATACAATTCTGTCTTCGTACTCGTACACATACAAGTCACAGATTCACGACTCACTACACCCTCAAGCCAAGTCAACAGACACCTGCACACACGACTATCTCCCGCTCCCACGCACCGCAGGTACATGTTCTGCGTATGTATAATTATGGATATCCCAGTGCGCGCTGCACGGCAAGCGGAAGCTCGAGCGTTGAAGCAACCGGCCGCATCCTGGACTCCTGGAGTTCGAATCTCAATAATTGTTGAATCTTGGGTGACCGAGATGAACAGGCTAGCCGAGACCCGTCTTGGTTGGTCCGTTGCTTCAACCTACTTGAGCTATGATTGATTACCTGAGCCATTATTGACTTCCAGGACCCTTGTTCGCATCTCTAGTCTTCGTCGTTTTCACGCTTGTGTGTATAGATCGCAAAAGCTATCTATCAAGTGTCAAAATTTCTCCTATGGCTATACACACCTTCATCCAAAAATGCACATCAAGAGTAAATACTCCCAGTCTCTCAGCGACGGCTAGTCACACTCCGAGACGTCTCTCCAGCGGCCACCCGTTATTCGTTATCAGCCACGAAACCGTCGCCGATCGGACTTTATCTGACTATAGCCACTCCTACAATGGATAGCTATCAGTACCGCCGGCTTACGAGTATCATTCCGTATTCTTCCATTCCAAGTAGCTGTGACTTCCTCTCACATCTTGTTACGACTTTCTCATTTCCAACGGGAAACACCAGATCCAGAAATAGGATCAATCACTGTACACCACAACGGCTCTCTTTTTCCGTCCATATGATGCGTTACCGTTCGGTTGGCTATTCGGCTCAAGTGCTTTGCGAGAATCCTGCGGTTGGATGGGCATGAAGTTGAGCTCCCCTCACTCCTTTTTCTTCCAGAGGAAGCGTTCATCAATCACCTCAGCCCGCCGTCTAGACAAGTTACAAGGTGGTTCAACGAGCAACGGTGCCTTGTACGTTGCACTTTCTCACGCTACAACATCTACTATTGCTCCGGCACATGGCACTCTGTGTACTCGTGGGAATCTGAGAGAAACGAACCGGCCGCACATGCACCCCACCAGCCGGAGGCACTCTGAGGTTGCTGGATGGATCATGAATTTACGGCGCTCCGTCGACAACATGCAGTATGAGTGCCAAAATGGTCAAGTCGTGCAGCCGCCACACCACAACGTCGAGGTTGGGCAACACGCTTTTGCAGGCTTAACTCCGTCATTGATGTCAAATCCCGTCAATTTTCGTTTTGGTGTCGACAGACTCTGCAGCCTGTCGTACAGAGCGTGAAAATACCCAGCCCTCTAACCGGCACTTTACTGGTCTTGTTTCGAGTATGAAAATCTTAGCCGCGTGCTCTTGATCAGCTTAAGTAGGATTGATTAATCGCAGAGCTTCCTCCAGTCTATTTCTAACAACGGTCTTTTGCTAACGCTTTAAGGTTCTCAAGCGCGCTCGGCAGCAGAACTTCTTCTCATCAGATTACTATCCCCTACTCATCTAGGCTGCTATTCTCAACGGGCTATCAAAATTTCATCACTACCATGGACTCGGAGGTACAGTACTGACAGTGTTTCCAAGGCTTTGGGCACGTTCTCAGGGGAACCTCATTGGATCAGTTGGGCAGGCTCAGCTTGGTCCATCATGTCAATTTGTCGGAACTGAGACTTAGTACTCCGTACAACTCCCAATATGTTTCATTCCCTTCCTATCACATCCTCCTCGGCCAAATCATGTCTTTGGAGGTTGCGAGTCAGCCTGGGCATCTATGCATATAGGCTCTCACGTGCCATCTGCAGGAAGTGTCACGGTTGTCCGCATCTCGCTTCCAGGACGAGAGGAATAGCGATTTCCAAGTAATCGCTATGCAATACTTTAAAAGTCGTTGTAGGATTGCGCGGATTCAAATATGTTTAAGGGTGCTTTTGAGAGAAGTGTCTAGCGATTGACACACCCCAACGTGGCATTTGGTTCCGCATATCTCTCCTGCAGCTTACATACAGCTTACTTACCGAATCATCCAGTCAACGTTCTGCAACACCCCACCATCAATCAGAAGAGCCTGGATATGACGCGAGCTTAAATTCCAGGACCGATAGGATGATCTTGATGTGTCGATGCTACAAATAGAATCATCTTAATCTTTGCGGTGGTGACGACCTGCGGTTATACTCGGTCATCCAATAAAGGCATCGGTCCCATTCCGTAGAAAGCTATTCGTCGATACTGTTACCGCCAATCTTTCACAATATGTTTTCCCCGCACCTCGGGACCATCAACTGGCAGATCTATCTCAATTATCGTTAGTGAGTTGGTCCCGAAAGAATTCCAGATCTGGCTTCAAAGTAAATAGTCATGTCAATAGAGCCATACGAGTCAAAAACACTTCTCGCTAGAGCCTCATGCCTGCTTTTCTACGAAGGCTTACTTGTCAATAGTCGCTTGTATTGTACAGTACAAGACGGTGGCTCCCTATTTTGATATTTTTCAAGCTTGACACCTACCCACATCTGATCCGCGATGACTCGCTCTCTTTACGGTTCAGTGTAATATACAGCTTCCCTGTGCTAACTGCTTCACACACATGCGATATAAAGTCCAAGAGCGATGTCGTAACGGTTAAATTATACTCGTACGCGGTTGAACAAATCTTGAGATCGTTAATATACGCAATTATCATCCAGAAAATAATGCCCATGGGACGTCTACAAGCACTTGGAAACAAGTTGAGACATACAGCACATTCGCGTATCAAGAGCTGGACAAAAGTCAGCATCGAACAATAGCTATTATATATCCCGTATGTAGGATTACCAATTTCGCAATATGGTAGCATAAAAACCTACCACAAACCCTTATGCCAATCTTCTAAAGTCAAAATCATATCGGGAAACAATCATAACAATACAACTTGGATCATTGATCAAGTGTTGTAGGTGCGTGATATGAATATACACCGAGATAATAGTTGAAGCGACAACAACATGTCACCCTTAGCATTCCAATCTTGAATGTTTCTTTCGATAAACATTGAAGCTGCCAATGGACGTATCATTTGGCAAAAGAATCGCACTAAGGCAACCGTAATCAGGACAAAAAAATCGTCGCGAGCAGGATTTGAACCTACGAGGCCGAAACCATAAGATATCTGATGCAGACGCATTCAAGTCTTACCCATTAACCACTCTGGCATCGCGACCGATTTGAGGTTGGTATGACTAATCATAGCTTATTCAAAGTTATAAAGCTAAACACCAAGCTCCGAGATTGTTCCGTTGTCCAGGTGAAGTTTGCTATGATTGTTTTTATCATTCGGAAAAGGCTTGTTCCAGTGGTCATAGAAATCATATCCGTAGGGTAGGGCCCGGCAGCTAGTTTCATCTGGCAGTAATCGATTTACTAATATTTCAGACCCAGCTTCGAGATGTAATACTCATGGGTTTAGGTTGACAATCAACATGTGTTCCGCTTTTCTGTAGAAATAGACTGCATCTTTGTACGGATACCATTCTCTTACAGTTTAATGCTCGTCCGTCGAGCTCCTTCAGCAACTAACCCGCGAACAAATCTCAAGACCTCAAAATTTCACACCCTCTAAGCCCTATCATTTCCTCGCCTCGCCGCCAACCACTCTCCTCTTCTCAGCCTCCGAGAAGCCATTCGTGCCCTGCTGCAAAGCATGAACCAGGATCTCCAGCGCATCACCAGTGAAATCCCCAGCATTCCTTACAGCATCAAGATCTTCAGCGAATTCCACGGTCGCGCGTTGCATGTAGAATTTTGTGAATGCGGCTGAAACCTCTGCGTTTTCAGAAGATTTCAGCGATGGAGATGGTTTGGAGATCTGGATGGATGTAAGTATAAGTATATGTGATCACGAGGAATGACATTACAGGTTCTGTGGGTTCTGATGTCGTTGCTGGTGCGGATGTTGGTTTTTCGATCTCATACTCACTATCGGAGTCCGAGTTGACTTTGTGAAAATTAGTAAAGTACCCCTCAACATACTCGATCTGCAACTTACCATGGGTTCTGGACTTATTCTTCTTACGCCGTTTGGGCTTTGATTCTCTTTTGGCGTCTGCCATACTCACGGCTTTTTGTGATGAAGGCGAAGAGCATGAATCTCAAGCGGAAAAGCTTCAATATTTCACATTTGTCACGTGAACGTCAAGTTTTTATGCTTGAAATTTTTTCGAACTCGGCCAATCTAAAAAGTAAATATTGTCGAAATCCTATCATTATGCACATTGTTACTCTCGCGTACATACACTCAGTCAAGAAAGTAGGCGGGCAAGTCATAAAATGCCATGGATTTTGAGGACACATCCGTCGATGCTGGAATTCATCAACTCCTTGGTAATAGTAGAATATATCTAGTATTCTTGATCCAGAAACCCTTTTTATTGCAAATTAACTATAGAACGGGGTTTAAATCCGGAAGATATATATCAACCCCACTTGCATTGATTGAAATGAATTTTGAGAATGGACTCAATGGAGTAAGCTAACAACCTTAGAGTGACTGAAATTTAGGACATATCTAATGAAACACAAAGACACCTTGCCCTATTCCAAGCAAGCTTGCTCTCTAAATTTATCATCCAGAACACCAATTCATGGTAGGATGATTTGCTGATCTTCCCGTCTGGGTTGAGAGCAAATCCAAAACCCACACTCGCGCCTTCCTCACATAGAACGCGAACATCTCACACAACAGAGTGTTCGAGCTGCAATTCTCACAGATGTAATTTGCAGGACTACTCTTGAAATCACACCCCACCATGTATTCTAATTGACTCTCGCTCCTACAATTTTATATCGATAAACCCTCGCTCATCAGGTCATCATGTTTATGGATTTCTTTGGATTTTGCCATTCAATTTCGATCTTTCTCTTATCCTAGCCAATTCGCTTCTTCGAAAAAGTCCATTTCTTCTCTGAAGAATTCAGGTCGGCTTCACTGAATAGAGCTATTATTTTACGCATTAACTAACTTATAAAGTCTTACAGTACATCAGCCCGCGGCAAGCTGAATCTATTGGCACCGCCAACATGTCCCCACCCCATTTCGAGTACCGCCCCTGTGAAAAGACACACTGTCCATACAGTGATGATCCGCATCAGCATCGCACGCTGATAGTTGATGGACCCGATCCTTTCAGAAATTTCCAACCTCTTTCTCCAGTCTCGACCAGTTCAAGCTCTATATCAGAGCACTCGGTAATACGCCGCTTCCAAGCTGCACAAAACCGACGACAAGCAATGGCAAGGATTGCGGCAGTATCAACATGGAGACTGAACAGAATATGGAATTCTATGAGTGGCCCATTGTCTCTCCTGCGTCGCAGAACACTGGCTCGCTTAACAAATCGGCTTCAGGAGAGAGAAAGATCCAACTTTAGGGGTAATTCGTGGTCTACAGCATCTTCATACTTTTCTCTCTCACGCAAACACCTGCTCAGCAAGTCACCTTCAATGAAGAGTGAGTCCTTGGATGAACAGCACAATTTGGAGTCTTGCGACAACGTTGACCACAACAACTGGACGCTCTACCTTAAGCCTGTCAAACAGAGCTTGGAAAAACCGACCATAAATATATTCGTACTACCAGGGTTCAGCTTACATGAACTAGCATTCCTCGTTGAAGACCTAACAGTTATGCAAGTTCGTGTTCCTGACAGTCTAGCCTATTGTGATCCTCTATTCGTGAACCACAATCGCTCGACTGTATTATGTCCTCAGACACCTGAAATCAGAGTGGTGTCTCCCAGTCCAGACGCCCAAGGAAGAGTCACTGTGGAAAGTGATTATTTCGGTAGTGGAGGTCAAGTGCGAGACGGGAAACTCGATATTCCTTCAAGGCTGCTGTCTATCGATGAAACACAGTCGCTTGAGTTCCCAAAACCCAAAGAGCCTCGAGCAGAAAACGGACACGTGAAAGTTGGCCATCTTCAGGTCCCCGAGCGACCCCTAGTGAATCCTCACAACCAAGTTCGAGTTCCTGACGGAGATCAACAGGAAGCGCATACTTTAGCATCCGAGAGAGGGATCGAAGGTGTTGACTTTATACCGGTAACAGACTCGATTAAGGAGCGTGAGACTCAACGTGTACCTAGGCAGATCGACAAAGATCACAGCGCCCTCCGAGAAGGCGAGACGTCATTGAATCGACTCACAAAGAGAACTAGAGAATGCTGCCGAGCACTTATGAGAAGGATAGTTCCGCTTTCGAGACAGCCCAAGACCTCAGCGACATCAAACTCAGTGAAGTCCCTCGGTGTTCAAGCTCCTGCTGAGCGGGAGATTATTGTTAGAACCTACGAGGTTGATGTCTCCAGCAACGCTCAACAAGGTGCCCAGCAACTTGAGCAGCAAACGACTTTGACATCGCATGAGCATCGCGGCCGTTCGGATGCTCTAGTTTCGTCAAGTTCGCCACTTGAGCATCAATTGTCTGATAAAACTACGGACGACAAGGACGTGCTTTCAAAAGTGCGTAGTTCGTTGTCAAAACGAAAACAGGGGTGGCAACGAGTGGCATCACTACGGTCCAGGCGACGCTCACTGGTAGCATTTCGGGGAAGCTTTTCATTTGTGGCTGCCGAAAACGATTGCGCCGACTCGATGACTGAGAACCGAGAAGTGGAGCGTTCTATATCTCCTCGCACTTGTCCAGCGTGAGCACAAGTGTTTCCACCTGGTCTTCAGTTGCATATGAGAAGACGTTTTTTGTTTGTATATGGAAGATTAGCTTCAAGAGTTAAGGGAGGTCGGATGTGGATTATTCAAGGCGTCCAAAGCGCGCATCTAGGAGGCGAAGCGTCAACATAATTCACAATTCAGCGTAAATAACATATTCTGTGTCACTGCATCCGTTGACACATGAGTGTGAGTGTATTCGTTGTATTAAACAACTAGATTCCGCCAAAGATATCCATTCGTTGCATTTAAGCAGCAATGGTAACCTCCACCTCGACACCAGCCTCGATGTTGATGATAATCTGCTTGACAACTTCGGTAGGAGCGTTAAGACTGGGATAAATTAGCTAAAGATATTTCAAACGTAGGTTGCTAAGCTTACTCGATAAGGCGCTTGTGGATTCTCATCTCGAAAGTATCCCAGGTCTTGGAACCTTCACCACAAGGAGTCTTTCTGGTGGTGATCTTGAGAGTCTTGGTTGGGAGACGGACAGGGCCCTTGACACGGAGGTCCTTGGACTTAGCACGCTCGATGAGCTCCTGGCAGACCTTCTCGAGGGATGCGACCTTTCGGGAGGTGAGGGTGATACGGATCTTGTGGGTTTTCTGGAAGTGCAAGTTAGCTCAGGACCGTCAAATAATTATTTTCTGCAACGGGATTTCTTACTGGGCCCTCTCCGAATTCTCCCTTTTCTGGTTTGTTGTATGACATCTTGACTTGATTGATAATCCTTCACGACTCGATCGTTTGATGCGGCAAAGTGATGAAGGGACCGTTGACGTTGGTTGTTAGACGGTTCTAAGGAGAAAAGGTCGTCCCGATATTTTAGAATTTAAGATGTGGGATGAACTCTTGGCGTCGGGACTAAGCGAGGTGGGTGCGGCTACAGCGTCGAGCCTCGTTATTCAGCCGTCATCACTCATAGATATTGAGTACATCCATACAGAACGGCGTGAATCGCAAGATCTGATTCTATATAGGTTGAAGTCGTGGATTACAGCCGGTTCTGAGATGTATTTATAAACGGATCATTTACAACATTAGTAACAAAGGACGCTTTTCAGTCTACTCCATACCGACCTCCTGACCCTCGATTCAAGGACATCATCCTTATGGCTCCCAAAGCCTCACCACTTCCGCCATTGGCCCCCTATCCAGAAACTGCATGGAGGAAACATCTTGGACCGCAAGAATGGGAAGGCTGTCTGGACGCATGGGTTAGTATCGCTGGAGCACATCTACTGTATTCTATCTCGGATTTCAATCGATTCTCTGTCAAAGATGAATCTCTGTCCATCTTCCTCGCATCTTACATGTCTGAGACAGCTTCAAGTAGTGATGCATCGAATTTCTCTGATGGCTCAAAATCCCAACTGCTTCGAAAACAAAGCTTTCTCTTGTCATACAAACTACTAGATGTAGTATCTCCACCCGAGCTACTCGTCGAGTGGGAATTTCTTGCAGACCTCAGCAAAGTCTATGGCCGTCGACAAGGAGGAAAAACTCTACATCTGGGTTTCAAAAAGCATACTGGGCTTCTCGAGACGGGCCTGAATGTCCTTAGGAACCGGCTCATCAAGGAACTCGACGCTGGGCTCAGAGGGGATCTCAAAATAGTGGAGATACAGCTCAAGAAATTGAACCATCTCTTACATGCTTCACCTGACGCCTGTGCATTTTTCATGGCTGGAAGCGACTTCCTTGACTCTCTTATCAGCTGCTATAAGATTATGAACCCCCCTTTGCGGAAGACTATCATTTCCACGACATACTTGTGTCTGATTGGACTTACAGAAGATCCTAAGCCAAGGTTGACGACCTTGATTGATCAACTCTATTCGCTGGACGCTGCTGCTAAAGCCCACAAAGAAGGACCAACTAATGTCAATGATTCCCTGGTCGCTGAGTTAGTTACTATTACTCCAATCTTGAAATTGGTTCGAGAAAGAATAGCAGCGAGTGAAGTCGGTCCCGGAAGAGCCAACTCTGTTCTCCTTTCTTTGGAGAATTTCAAGAAAGCTGGAGCGAATCACAAACCGCCTAGACGGCTAAAACGGCGCATTGACAAAGGGAAATCGAGAGCGAAGGGGACGAGTGATGATGATCTAGCTGGGAGTTCGAATGGACAGATTCATGTGCATCGAATGAGTTTGATATCTCAAATACAAGATCTCTTCCCAGACTTGGGATCTGGGTTTGTTATGAAGTTACTGGATGAGTATAAAGAGAACGTGGAAGAGGTGATATCTCATTTGCTCGAGGATTCCATCCCTCCACATCTCAAAATAAGCGATCATTCAGAAGAGCTGTAAGTGTTCCCTACCGCTAAGTTTTATCATGAAGATTCTAACAGCGACAGTGAACCCACCTCGCAGCCATCTAGAGACCTAGTACCGAATATGGAACCTCATCGTACTGCTCCTCCACCCAGCTTTATACCTAATCGGCGTAACGTCTTCGATGACGATGAACTTGACAATCTAGCAATGGACACTTCAAAGCTGCACTTTGGCCGTCGTAACCCTACAATCACAGCCGATGATGTCCTAGAAGACAAGTCTCAAGCTCCAAACAAGGCCGCAATTCTAGCAGCATTAGCTACTTTTGACTCAGATGACGATGAAAGGGATGATTCCTACGATGTTGAAGATGTTGGTGGGACTGTCGACTCGGCTATTCCAGGAAATGACCCACAAGAAAGTATTATCGACGTTAAGGATGGACAAGATGAAGTGTTATTCCGTGCTTATAAAACGAATCAAGGCGTATTTGCGAGAGATTCCGCGACAAGGCGTGGCGCTCCAAGGACGAGACTGAAAGAAGAAACAGGAATGACAGATGAATCTATTGAAGGCTGGGCACTAATGCTCTCTCGAGACCCTCGTCAAATGCGTAGACTTGAGAGCAAATTCTCGTCCTTCGGAGGAGAGCAACGGGAGCTTAAAGCGAGCTCTTGGAAAGCTGCTCCAGGTGGCAGCGGAACCGAGGACTCGGATGTTGATGTGAATGCCAGAGGTCGTGGCGGGAGATTGTTGAGGGGTGGAAGAGGTGGCGGACGAGGAAGGGGAAGAGGCAACGTAGCTGGACCAACAGGAGAGCGAGAAACGGAGGCTGCGAGACGAGGAAAGGAGGCTAATAAAGGGTCAAGGGCGAATCATAATCGCAGAGACCAGAGAGCGAAAAAGATGGCCAGGGGTGGATTTCCGGGTTGATTAGTGGCGTCAACATTGCAGCAGCGAATGCCACTCAGCAGACAAAGTGCAAAAGCCATACCTTTGCTAAATCTCAAGATGGCTGATACATAAGGATGGCTATCCAAAACATACTTAGAGCGAATGTGATGTGATATTCCTAAGGACCATAGCGGACTACTACTCTAACAATAGATAGATATTAGCCAGCTGACATGTGGTATGTCACTTAGGTTTTATAACATGTACCAATTCCATTCTATGCAAATATACCGGACGCCTCCATGCTACCATCGTTTTCCAAAAACAAACACCGAAAATGACAATACCCATACCCAAATGCTCATTATAAATACAACACTTCATGTTAAATCATACACTGAAAAATATACCGTTAGTAAATATAGTACAACACACGACTAGCGCTAGTTGTCAGTCGACTTCCCAACTTCCGCCAGCATCGCTGGCATTCGATTTAGGTTTCCGAGGGAGGCTGGAGCGAGGGAGGGTAACCCCATAGTCATCTTCTGGGCTATAAGGACTTCGTCCATATTCATCTTCGAAGTCCCAGTGCACCTCTTCCCCATATCCCGAAAATAAGAAGCCTCTCCACTCTCCTGCTGCGATCTTAGAAGCAACACTTATCATCAAAGTAAATAGATGGCTTGGTGGACTAAGCAAGATTTCGCAAGTTTTCTGAATGATAGCAGTCGGCAAGTGCCGTGTAGTTTGGAGTCGCCTGGATCGTCTGGCGGGTGGGGGAGAAAACAAGTTCACCGCCGCTGGCAATGGAGAAAGTTCTCGACGGCGGGAGTTACTGCTGGTGGTTGCGCGATGTCGTATGGTCGTTTCGACGACTGTTGGTGAAGCAGTTCCGATCTGATCATCGTGGGGTGAGAAATTGGAGCCATCGAGAACAGGCGTTTTGGGTTGGGGTGACTGGCACATTGAGCTTGAATCACCGTCATCACTTGCCGGGGGGCTTTTCCAAGCCCCAGGGGTTTCTACAACAAAGTCGGGATTTTTATGGTTGTTGCTACGCTTAGGCAGAACGATGTTGTCGTGGGGATAAGGATAACTAGGGCTCTCAGATGAGGACTGCGGCGATCCTGGTGAGGTCGGGTCTAGTGGTGAGTGCCATGAGTGGAGTGAGTGAAACGACCCTACGGTTGATGATTGACTCGAGCTTTCTTCCGAAAGAGCAGAATCCCGAGGAGGTGATTTACTCCGCTGCTTCGAAGGTGGGCTAGTAATAAGAGAGAGAATAGGTGGTGCTGTTGTAGACCTGGCAGTGTTTCGCATGGCTTGCGGCTTTTCGCAGCTTTCTGTTTCTGCTTGATGGGGTTCGAATTCAGGCTGGGAAATACCGGTTGGAGTGTCATTTGAATCTTCCGTAGTCTCGCTCGTGAAACCACTGTCGTCAGATTCAATGTGTACATTGCGTGGTCTATCATTCCTTGTGGAGCCCCCATCTTCTTCTTCTGCCACAGCAGTCAACGACTCGGCGCCAGTAGCTCGTGGTGTGGCGGACGATAACGCAGAAACACGAGACTTATCTGGAGTGCATGGCGGCGAGGTATTCATCGACGTCTGGCGCAGAGGGGTGCTGGGCACGGGTGGATTAGCTGGAGGGGTTGCCAAAGGTGAATGGGGCGGCGAAAGGTTGTCGGGTTTGGGTGCCTGCTTCTGGGGCACTTTAACATCCGCTGAGACAACTGAAGACTTCGAAGGGGAGCGCATAGGAGTAGGTGGTCTTTGGGGACTTTGCTGTGTTCGTTGCGGCGTCGCTGCTGGCGACTGGGCACGGGGTGATGAAGCTCTAGATGACCTAGAGTCGTCGTCATTTATAGATTTGTTCCCATATGATGGCGAGGAGAACAGCTGCGGGCCTTGAACTGGTCTCCATGGCCTTCTCGTCACTGGCGTCTTAGGAGCTTCTGGCAATTCAACCACAAAATCTCTTTTGAATGGGCAAGGGGTTTTCTCAAACAGCAACACCTGAGAAAGCACCGATTTAAGTTCCGTAACTCTAGCCTTTTCCTCTTCATTGTTGCTTGGAACCTCTATTCTCCAATATTCCGGTCTTCGTATTTGAAGCACAAAGGTGCCCTCTCGATCCACACACCATGATTGCGATTTTGGGAGTATCGGCCGAAGCGCACTTGCACAGTTCAAGAACGCAACTGATCCTGGAGCTCTATATATTCGAAGAGGACCTATATTCGTACTTAGCAGGTATAAAAGTAGAGCGTAAACAGTGAGCCAAGGTGGTGATAGGCAGCACAAGAGACAAAACATCCACATGTGGGGGAGGTATTTCATGCGCAAATTTCCCGAACAACATTGCAAATACATAAACATAAAATTCCCCATGGCCGCTCAGATTTGACAGATCACAGACGAAGCAACCGATCGTGATACGTACCAACAGCTAAGGTTCTTTCGACGCGGGACACCCAAGGCAATGTCCCTGGCTTATCCTCCACCGCAGGACTTCCACTTCTCGATTCCGGCCGAACTGAAGGACTCGTGGTTGAAAACGCGATGATTCGAACGGAGGGTAGGTTGAACAGGACCTCGACTTGTGGATCGGGAGATGTATAGGATCTGGGTGGTGGAAGACTGAACGACCGCCGGGGATTGTCCATCGCAAGCTCTTTCACTTGCGATTACCGCGTAACCATCGCTTACGAGGCAAAGTCGAACAGAATAGGAGGAGTGTATCCAGGACCTCGATGTCGCGTAGGCTTTGATAGTCGATGTGATGAAATGGAAAGCGTTTGGCGTTTGGCGTTTGGTGGATTGAGCGTTTCTCGTTCGCACAAAAGGTGGAAACCCCACGGGCGACGGCAAGGGGACAGTAGACGGTTACCTTATACACAGGACGAGATGCAAATAAGGAAGGGCCTCTGGCGCATAAGGAGCGTTTGACACAGGAACAAAGCTACCTAAGGAGCGACAGAAGCTAAAGATGCTGTTTCAATTGTCGCAGCGACATATTCTCAGCATACTGAATAGAGATCCTGACAAATGGGCCTTGCGTGGTTGAAGCTCTACTCCGTACCCAAACTCGAAAAGGCTGGAGGCAGCACGCGAGCTTGAGGCGCGTCGGCGAGTCGACGAAGGTCCCGTCGCTGCAGCTCCTCGCTTTCTTACCCCTGCAATCAACTACGTAGTTGTCGCGAGCTTCCAGGTTGAACGCTCAACTCGACAGTACGTTTTGCTCCTCCAACAATAAAGCTGTCTCAATTCCTTCTCAAGCGACATTCATCGTGGTATCCTGAATCACAATGGCCCAGAAACCTCTAATAACGCAAGAAAAGCTGAAAGAGAAGCTTCAAGTCTCCAATTTCGAGCCAAATGCGATCTTACGCGGGGCACAACTGACCATTGTTGGAGGTACTGTTTTCGAACTCGAACCTGCATCTAGACGTCAAACTGACACGACCATCAGCTCACCGTGCACTGCAAAATCCGAAGCTCTTCACTTCTGATCATTATAAACAAGCTGCAATAGCTGTCGGGGTTGGCATCGCCATACGTCTAGCCATCACAATCCCTGTGCGTCCATCAGTGTTCGATCTGCATCATCCTTCTAATGTTGTATACAGGTAATTGGGATAAAAGTGTTGCTATGGGTACTGTCCTTCGTGGTCAATTTCGAACATGCTACTTGGGACGAAAAAGTGATTAATGGATTGGACTTTATGCAAAACTACGTCCTCCAAGTTCCACTGTTTCTTATGACATTAATGAGATATGTCACTCCGACCTTGGATAATATGTAAGTTCTCATTGCGTAAATTACATCCTCATTATAATGCTGACCAGTACCTTAGGTTTATGGACTCGTAAGTCAAGTCAATCTCACCTTACACCACTACTAACATCCCTCTGGTTTGGCATGGGTAGACGATACATACTATGCGAAACACAAAGGCGAAAATCCTTCGACTCTACGAGCCGAATACTATCCTAATCTGCGAAAACAAGCTGTCAGAGATGGAAGCACGCACACTACAAGCACAGCAGAGGCAATTTCAATGTTTCTTATGCGATTTGGCAAGAAGGCTGCGATATCACTTGTGGTATTTGGTCTATCTTACCTGCCCTATGTAGGGCGTCTTGTTTTACCAGCGGCCAGTTTCTATACATTCAACTCGGTCGCTGGGCTGGGGCCCGCTGCTGTTGTATTTGGGACAGGTATTTTCCTTCCCCGGAGGTTTTTAGTCATCTTCCTGCAAAGTTACTTTGCGAGTCGAAGTCTGATGAGAGAGTTACTCGAACCATACTTCTCCCGTATTCGTTTCACCAAAGAAGAGAAGAAGAGCTGGTTCCACGAACGGGAAGGCATTCTTTTCGGCTTCGGAGTCGGTTTCTACATATTCCAGAGGATTCCTCTCCTTGGTGTCTTGATTTATGGTATTGCTGAAGCATCGACGGCATATCTCATCACAAAAATAACCGACCCACCTCCCCCGCCATCTCAAATTGAGGACTTTGCTGCTAGCCAAAAGCACTGGAAGAATAAGCACGAATTCCTGAACTTGAGGCTCTCAGATCTCGACTCCAGCAAGGACTCGTCCCGCAACCAGAGCGAACAGGTTGCTGAGACTGGGGCAATATCATCAGCGGTACCATCGGAACCACCGCCCTCTTATACCGAGCTCAAATCGCGATGATCTCAATCTTGGCTCTTCCCCAGACCACTATCAATAAGTATTTGCTGGATGAGCTGTCTGGTGTGGCAGCTGATAACCCCATCCTGCTGGGGAGAGTGGGTTGGATCCATGATATATAGACTTAATCCCTAGCTTAAGTCATCTGGAATATGAGTTGGAGGAGCAAAATCGCTTCTCAACACCCAATAATTCGGATAAGCTAATCACGTCTGATGAATATGTAAATCTACAAAAACGCCTGTGTGCAAAGACATCGAACCCCGCATTCATTCTTTCCGGGTTTGCAGAATGGACCTTCGAGCGGGGAAAGTGGGGCACTATCCGATAAGGGGGCGGTTTCGCAGCAAGAGTAGGACTATTACTGCCTCGTAATAACTTGCGGGGCACCTTTGAAGATAGAAGATGTAATCGAATAGATAGTTCAATCGAGCTTGATATTTAATAAACCCCCTTCTCTAAATTTATCATCATCCCCTTCTTTTTGAGAGCCAATTGACTTGATCTCACTTTCTTCATCTTCACTAATCCGCCACTTTATTATATTCAAGCATCCACGATGGGTTTAACGGAGATCCGAAAGGTCTGCGAAGTATCGCTTGAGACTCCAGCAGAAGAGCAACCCAAGTTACATAACAGATGGCATCCAGATATTCCCTTTGCGGATACGATCAAAAATGGAGAAACCGTGAAGATTGAATGCGTGAGACACCTTCCAACGTCAAGCATACAAGAACTAATCTAGAGATATAGATCGATTGGACTGGAGGGCAAATTGGTATTGATGCTGGTATCTGTGTCCACAGCAAATTTTGATAATTCTTGCAGGAAACAATGACAGTGCCGATGACATGAAGAATGTTGACCTCACCCGGATCCATTATCTTTCTGGTCCCTTTGAAATAGAGACTGCCGAACCTGGGGATGTCCTCCTAGTCGAGATTATGGATGTGCAGCCAATGGAGAAACAGCCAGTAAGTGCGTCGATTTGAGTGTTCGTTCTTTTGCTGACGATTCAACAGTGGGGATTGTGAGTTCGTTGGGTTCGTATGGTCAATCCATTTACTGACAATTGAATAGTTCTGGTTTGTATTCAAACTATGTATGGAAATATGCTGGATGTGATGGTTAATGGAGTTAGGTGTTTTTGACAAGAATAATGGTGGTGGATTTTTGGATGAAATATATCCAACCGCGTAAGTGATATTGATCTTGGTATTCTTCAACATACCTATCGATGCCTCAATGCAGCCTCATACCTTCTTATGAAAGAACTACTTGTCCAAGCTCAGAGATATCCACTAATTACTTATACAGAGCCAAAGCAATTTGGGACTTCGAAGGCATCTACTGCACTTCTCGCCATATCCCGCACGTCAAGTTCCCAGGGTTGATCCATCCTGGAATTTTAGGATGTGCTCCATCGGCAGAAGTTCTTGCTACCTGGAACAAGCGTGAAGGGGAACTCATTGCTGCCAATAAGCTCGATCGTATTGTGGCACAACCACCAAATCCTCAGAATGTTCATGCTGGAACATCGGACGCCGCGCTCAAAGAGAAGGTGGGAAAGGAAGGTGCTAGGACGATTCCTGGTAAGAAGGAACTGAGAACTTAGGGTTTGTAAAGATCCTACTAATTATTCTCTAGGACGACCCGAACATGGTGGTAATTGTGACATCAAGAACCTCTCCAGGGGAAGCAAAGTTTATCTCCCAGTTCATGTTAAAGGTGCCAAGTTTAGTGTGGGAGACTTGCATTTCTCGCAAGGTGACGGTATGTTGTGATCTGTTGATAGCTATGGACCGAACTGACTTTGTATGTTAGGCGAGATCTCATTTTGCGGAGCCATTGAAATGGCAGGAGTGGTAATAGAATTTCCTTTCAGCCCATGCTGTAGGATGAAGTATTGAGTAGCCACTAACACTTGTCCGACAGGTCACCATCAATTTTAAAGTTATGAAGAATGGCATTGCCGACTTGGGAATGAAGTCTCCACTCTACCTCCCAGGTCCAGTTGAGCCACACTACGGCCCTGGCCGCTATTTGACCTTCGAAGGCTTTTCTGTTGATGAGCACGGAAAGCAGGTATGTATCAAACTTCCAGATTCCTACATTGGGCATAGTGGCTCACAGTTCTCAAGCATTACATGGACGTGACTGTAGCATATCGCCAAACCACTCTTCGTAAGCTGCCCAATGTCCCACTCCTGAGGTCTCTTCTAATCCGAAGAAATAGGTGTTATTGAGTACCTCCGTCGCTTCGGTTACTCTGACTATCAAGTTTATCTGCTTCTATCATGCGCTCCAGTCCAGGGGCACGTCGCAGGTGAGTTATCCGCGTTTGGTAGTAATGAGGTCAAAGGAATTACACAAACTAACTATATGTCGCAGGTATCGTCGATATTCCAAAGTTCGTCTTTCTCTATGAACTTCATTCATTCTTTCACTGATAATCTCTTAGTGCCTGTACAACATTAGGTCTTCCAATGGACATCTTCGACTTCGACATCTCACCTACTGGGCCAGCAAAGAAGTTGGAAATGGGCAGTTGTGCTTTTGAAACTGGCGTTACGGAAGGCAAAGTCACGCAAGGAGGAAAGAATAGTGAGATTAGCTGGGGTGGGGGTTTGACGTACAAGACTAAGGAAGAATCTAAGTAAGGGAATTACTGAGTTTGGGCCAGATTCGACGTATGTAGAATAATCGAGGAGAGAGTCGAGCTGCCAACACCGCTATAGCGTATGAAAAAACTCTACATAAGCTTCATTAACCCATTGCTTTCAGAACTTCGGCCATAGTATAAATCATGGAAGTTTGCGCGGAGCCCAGAGCGCATAGTTGAAGCGTGATGATAGTGGACCTGAGAAAGTCGAGAAACAAGTAATGATAAAGCAAACCCGAGGTTAAGGTGTAGGCATATTCTTAGCCTTTTCTTATAAAGATCTACTTATACACGCCCGAGCCCCGCAGTCACAAACGCCATGCTATGCTTATTACGCAGCCCAAACATCCTGTCCCTTTGTCTCGATCCAGTTACCTAACTGATTGACACTCGAGTCCCATTCTTGTAGTCTTGTCCGCATGCCGTCAATCTGGCTCATATCTAGTACCTTCGGCTGTACCCAGTTGATACGTGCAATCTCATCTACTTGGTCGATACTTCCGCGCAGTAGTCCCAAGCTCAGTGCCTTCATAACCAAATGTTCGATTTCGTCAGGTCTAACCTTGGTCTCCTCAGCGATTGTGCGGAACGACATAGCTCGGTCGTGAGGCGGCCTTCGGAAAATGGTTTCAGTAAGAGCGGCTAGATAGATCTTTTGTCGAAGACCGTCGCGATGTTCGGAGAGCAGCGAATTTGAAGAAATGTGCCCAGCCAGAACGTCATATGCAGCAAGATCCCCCCGGTTGAAGGCAAACAAAAGGTCTCGAAGCCATGCATCGTCTTTCGTCAAGGTATCGAGGATAGGGTGTAACAAGAGTTCTCCAAAATTGTAGATTGTATCCGAAATTAGAGCTGCTATGCTCAGATCGTATGCACGGTTTCTTCGTTCTTCGGGAGTCAACTGGTTTAGGTCGATACACGCCAGGTATAGGAGCGCATTGCGATAGTATGCGGCAAAATCTGCTTTGGACTGGTCCGATTAGTCTGACTCTTACTCACGGGGCGTTGACAAACCTGATAGTACTCCGCGTTGACTCTGTAGAAAGCGGCGTGGACGATAGTTTCAACGGAATCGAACCCATCTAGAATCTTCTCCGATTTGTCCAGATCCTTTCTTGTACCCTCCAAATCCTTAAGCTCCAACTTCACAGTCGCGACAGCAACCGTAGCATAAACAAAGGCGTCCTGGCTATTGGGGTTGTCAACCTTCTTCGCCGCAGCCTCCAGGAAAGATAGTCGTTCTTGTGAGTCCCGACACTGGGATGCGGCCCCGAGAGCAAGAGTGACAAGCTTCAGTTGATTGATCTTATCAGCGAATGTGAGGATGAAGGTTTTGTAGAATTGAAGTCGCTGAGGTGCACTTTCTTCGGTATTGAAAAACTCGAGCAGGGCGTCTGTCAACTGATGCCATAACTTTCGCTCCCACAGATCCTCGAAAGTCATATACAGATGTTGCGAGTCCGCTGGTGCTTCATCACGCTTCCCCTCCAAGAAATCTGATATGGTATCGGCGTTCATATTGAGTGGTTGTTTGCGTGAGATGGCAGAAGCTCGAGAGGTTGTCGGAATCGAGTCTTCTTGAACGCCCAAATAATGTGAGCTTGTTATGGTGTTGAGGCTCGATGCAACAATTCGCGGCTCTGACAGCCTTGAGCTCCCGCGACTGCTAATTCAGTGGCCCGAGCTTACCCCTGCTTTGGCCCTGCTGATAAAGCGGCTTCCGAAGACTTTTTGGCGCTCGACCCAAGGGGCAAGGAAACGATTCACGACGCTGCCCTAACAACAAACCAATCCCCAGCATTGTGTTTGACGACGGTTTAGACATCAACGACCTCATTCCCATAGAGCTCACTCAATTGATCTTGAGTTTTCCCCGCAGCAATGCAGAAGTCCTGCGGAGCGTCCACTATGAACGGTCTTCGAACTGCGGCGCGCCTGAAGACTGGGGCCGTCGCCAATGCCAATGCTATTCCACGGAGGCATATCAGCGATATTTCCATCACCAGAACGGGCAAGGCAAGTCCAGGACCTCTCCAACATTGAACGAAGCTATTGCTGACATTTAATATAGCCAATTATACGAACGCAAGGTGGAAGATCGTCTCTTGGAGGTAACTGGGCGCGAACGAATTCTGGAATTGCGATATTTACTGGAACATAGGTCACACTGTTACGGTCTTCGGCGCAACTGGATTCTTGGGACGATACATTGTAAACAGACTTGGTACGGATGCACAATTAGGCGGGCTGCAAACTTAAAGACTAATATGGTCGCAACAGCCCGGCAAGGATGTACGGTCATAGTCCCATTCCGGGAGGAAATGGCCAAACGCCATCTTAAAGTCACTGGAGATCTGGGGAGAGTTATATTTATGGTACTATGGTTGCTGCTGCTTGTAACGGGACGCTGACGGACCGTAGGAATACGATCTAAGAAATACACCTTCTCTGGAAGAGAGTGTCCGACATTCTGACACTGTATACAACCTCATCGGCAGGAATTACCCCACCAAGTGAGTGAAGACGTCGATGTTAGTTTTTAAGCGTATCACTGAACTGGCTGTAGAAATTTCACTCTGGAAGATGTCCACGTAGAAGGCGTCGAGCGAATTGCTGAAGTTGTAGCCAAGTACGACGTCGACCGCTTTATTCACGTATCTTCGCATAACGCAGACTTGAACTCTCCTTCTGAGTTCTTCCGCACCAAGGTAAGTAATGAACTCTCAAACTCATTTACACAAGCTTACGTGAGAAGGCGCAAGGTGAAAAGGTCGCGCGGGATATCTTCCCAGAGACAACTATTGTTAGACCTGCGCCAATGTTTGGCTTTGAAGATAGACTACTTCATAAGCTGGCTGGAGTGACGAATTTCTTGACTTCAAACCACATGCAGGAACGGTTCAACCCAGTTCATGCTATTGATGTTGGAAAGGCACTGGAGAAGATGATTCAGGATGATAGCACCGCTCAGCAAACATATGAGCTGTACGGACCTACGAATTATTCGACTGCAGAAATTGCCGAATTGGTAGACAAGGAAATAATCAAGAGGCGACGACATATCAATGTCCCAAAGAAAGTTCTGCAACCTATTGCTAAGATTCTCAACCAAGCACTTTGGTGGCCCACGACTTCTGCTGACGAGATTGAGCGGGAATTTATTGACCAAAAGATTGATCCATCAGCCAAGACCTTTGCAGACCTCGGAATTGAGCCAGCTGAGCTGGCAAGCTTGACCTTTCATTATCTGGTACGTTTATCTTTACGAAACAGATGATTTCCAGTCATTAACATGCATATAGCAAGGATACAGAAGCGCGTCGTTCAATGATTTACCACCAGCGACAGAGCGCGAAAAGAGAGAGGAAAAAAAATACTTGCATGTACTCGACGACCAGTAGATTGTTTCTTAGTGAAGCATGTGTTTACATAGGTGTTGCAACTGTATATAGAGGGAAATTTCAAATAATAAGCTTCAAAACTGCGTGCTGTCCACCCTGAGCAATACGTATCCTTGAACCCAGAGTAGAATATTAAATCAATTAGTGGTGAATTGGCATCTTATTCGTGTTGGGGCTGAAAGAGGGTGGTTGTCATAATGTCAATATTATCCACTTGTCAATTCCATTACAAAAATTGCCCCTCTGATTCTCGACTCGCCAAATATTTCACTAACTGGGTGGGCAACCTTAAAATATCAGAACTACAACACAACTACCAAAAATGGCCCCCGACGACGACGAACCCATGTAACCCTACTCGTTCCCCGAACTTCTGAGAGCATAATCAAAGTCTAATCGTCCACACAGCACACTCTCCGGAAACGCCCTCTCGGCCCTCCAAGAATTCTACTCCGACCGCGACGCACTAGCCCAAAAATTCGAGGATCTGAAGAAAGTCGCCGAAGATGACTTTGACGGCGATGGGCAGAAAGAGGTCAAGACCTTGAGCATGGATGCTTTTGGGGAGAGTTGGCAGGATTCGCAGTTTTGGGTTCGTCACGTTTTTTTCTTTTGCTCGCAAGGATCAAAAGATAGGTGGATGTGTGAGATGAGGTGGATTATGCTAATGAAGAAATTTGAGGAGTAGTATTCAGATGAGACGGCTACGCTTTTGGCGGAACAGCTTCTTGAGGGTGCGACGGCTGAGACTACTATTGCGGTTGTTTCGGCTCCGAGCACGTTTATACAGATTAAGAATATTTTGGTAGGGTTGTGTTTCTCGTCACATCTTCATTTCTGTTCTTTCTAAAGTAATGAGTTACTGATGACTACGTCCCAGAACAAAGAAGGCAAGCCCCTTTCTGAGCGGCCGAAGGTCTGGTTGTTGGAGTACGATAAGCGATTCGAAGTATTCAAAGATGAATTCCTGTTTTACGACTTCAAGTTCCCATTGAAACTACCACGTTAGTGAACTACTCCTGGATTAGGAATAATTACGATGAAAACTAATCTCAAACTAGCGAACATGGTAAAGACAGTCGATAGATTCATAATTGATCCACCATTTTTAAGTGAAGATTGCCAGACAAAAGGTACTTGTGTACTGCTCTAATTGTCTTAGATGGTCAAGCTAACATAATGGATAGCGGCAATGACGGTACGATACCTCGCAAAGTCATGGCCAACTTCTGCTCCGCAAGATTCACGTCTTATAGTCTGTACTGGGGAGCGAATGGAGACATTAATCAACAAGCTTTACCGCCCAACGGGAATAGCGACAACGGATTACCTACCAGTACACTCCAAAGGATTGAGCAATGAGTTCTTCTGTTATGCCAATTTTGAATGTAGTGCATGGAAATGGAAAGCTGAGGAGAAGAAGAGTAATGAGTCATGATTATCATTCTCATTGTCGAATTCTCTCCGAAATGGTTTGCGACAATTGTATATAGATAGGTCTAACTGTGAGCCTGCTGTGGGGTATAGAGTACATTGTTGGACGATCTATACTCCTGTTACGCCTATGTATATGCATTATGATTGAGTTTTCCATAAAAGTTTCCTACCAAATGTATATCCTGTAAGCAGTATTATGCCAAAGAGCGAACGACGTAGAATAATAGGAAGGCCTGTTCATTCAGTACTTGCGACTTCGTCGCCAAGGTGACATTATGATCGTTAAATTTGAACCACTGGTTCCCGACTCTCGAGTATGAGACATAGTGACCTATTTGATTAGCCATGTGGATTACCATACAGGCCTAGCCCAACCTACCTGTTTCTAAATTCCCTACATGTACAACCACACTTTGTAGATCGTAGGTACAAGATCTTGCTAACTCGTAACTTTGTTTAGTTTCCTGGTTTTTCGCTCGGTTGGTGTATGGGAACATTTCGAGCTTGAGAGGAAATGATACTTTGGTATCAATTTTCGAAGCGATTCCATTGTTTTGCTTGAATCGCTATTTTCACGAAATGTGAGCAATCAAGTCTGAGAAATGGATTGCACAAGAAAAAGAAGTATGAGCGAAGCTTCGAAGGTCGAAGATGAAAAATAGAGGAGATAGATACGAACCTTTAGTTGAATACAGAGCACATTCGGTAAGCTCTTGATGCTGAGCTGCTTCTTCGCCTCTTGAGTATTGCACTTCCGGCAACTGTACTCGCAGCGTTCGGGTCTGCTGTATTCTTCGTCGAGGCACTTTTGAAGGCTCAAAGCTGTCGCTTTCAAACTCTTTTTCTTGGATAGTACATCCAATCCCAAACTCAAGTCAAGGAATGACTCAATAGAGGTATTGATGTCTCCACAGCTTTGACAGGTGATCGTGCTCTGCAATTTTCCGTAGAAGGTTTGGTGAACAATACACTTACAGTCTGGATCACTATCAGACTTCGACTTTTTCACGGGACTGTCTTCAGAGTCAGAAGGTCGGCCACCGCCATTGATTTCATGCAACTCCTCTGTGAGAAACTGGAAGAACTCATGAGCATCCTGCTCCTTATTGCTCGCCAACTCCTCGTAAGCTTTACGTTTCGAAAGCCAGAAGCTTGCCAAAATATTCGACGCAGAGTATCCAGTTGTCGTTTCCTGGGCGTAGAAGTCTTGAAACATATCCTCCATAGCACAGCTCATACAATTCTCATAGGAGCATTCGGTTCTCTGGTGTCCGTCGCTGAGGTAGAAGTTCCGTAACAGAGGATTGTGAACAAAGGATTGTAGTATGACATTCATGTAGCACGTAGCCCCCATATTATAAATACCTCTTATGCCACTCGCTCGGCAAGGAGCCTCGACAGTGTTGGTTGAAATAAATCTTGGATCTTCTTTGATCGGGTCTGTAAAGAGGTCATCGAGCTTTCTTTTTCGAGCTATTAAAGAATAACTATTAGCGCAAAACTCGGCTAAAAGACAGGTTATCTCACTTAGACCTTTTCCAGACTTCCTCAACCTCAAATCTTCCAACGTGGGGTCAAAAACAAAATCATCACACATCTGGCAATAAAGACACCCATTCCTTGACTCCACATCTATAGCAATTCGTTAGGCCACACCTTTTCCTTGTACTAGAATATCTTACAAAATCGATGTGACGTCTCTCTGCCATGTTCGATCCTTCCTCCCTCTGTCGTCGTGGCTGAACATTGCAAACACAGATAATTCGGCGTCAAAGTCGTAAACGGAAAGCCTTTCGTCGTTTTACTCGTCTGCGGGACAATTGGTGTATTTTCAAAGATAACTCTTAGACAAGTTTTATAGTTGTGGATACTCTTGTTCATGCGCTCGGCACCGCCGGCACTGAGGAGAAGTTGTGTATGTTCTGTGATGTACAATTAGCACGTAGTTTAGACGAGGCTGAAGAATAATTGGAAGATCATGAACGAACCGCAGCCAAACAGAGGAACGCCGGGTTGAGGGTCTTTGATTTTGAATGTCTTGGGGGACGCCGGTGTGGCCGGTGTTGTTGGACGAGATGAAGGCATGGTAACGCTCACCCCCCGTAACAGATTATATTCACTTGTTACGTCCCCTCCTCAAATGCAACGGGTCGAGGCCATTCGCAGAAGGCTTGTAAGTATCGGCGGATGTTGGTCCAAAAGCCGAGGGCGAAAGGCGGTGACTGTGTCTGATAGGCAGAAATAATTTTTATTTCCCAGCGCCGCAGAGTCTGGTGTAATTTCGCAAGTACTCGAGTATGAGGAACACAATAATTTAGAAAAGGCAAGGTCGAAGCGTTTTTCTAGTACGAGTCGCGAGTGATATTGTAGGTCACAACTATCTTGAACGAGCTCAGATTTTGGTAGAATGGTGATGTGTTACTCTACCAGACATAGCTATATAACCATTTCCAACCACGGTTAATCCAAAACAGGAACTGTTCGACAGGACCAATATTATAGATATATAATCTTTTCAGAAACAATACAAAGAAGCGAAGGTGGTAAGTATATGTCGTGTTCCACTGTTCCCCGTGTTCATCATACGTTAGAGGTACATGTCGATGCATCTGTACATTACAGGCCGTTCTTCTTTAACGACAGTCATGGCCTTGAAAAGGCCCATCCCATTAAGTCCTTCAAGCGGATTTATCCCACATGTCACGATAACATCGTTTCCTGGACTCGGCGTTTTCCACTCCTGAGCATTCTACCTGATAGGGTTGATCTCAGACATGCGTCCTCAAGAGGAGCTAGTCGTTCACAAAGCTCATTCAAGCCTTCTTTCCATTTGCCTTTCGTTTCGTCGTCCCTTCTTGATAGGTCTCTGCCGAAGTGGTCTTCCCATTGGTCAATTTCGATGAAGCGCTCGCGATTGCATTTGACGCGCTGTCTAGAGCCAATTGCTTTTGCCTCTGAATATAATCAAGAGCCTGTTCTGCATTGAATTCATTCTCATCGTTGTCGCTACGATCGTCATCCAGAGCATTCAAAAAGACGAACCGGTATGCGATTCGGAATATGTGGTATAACCAGAAGAGGTTTAAGGCTTGTAAACTTGCCAAGAGAGCTGTGGAGATGTAGTGTGAGATCCAGCATTTGTATTGTTCTGTCACCCAATTGAGCTCATATGGGCCAACTGTCTTAAACTCGTTGAATTCTGACCATAGGACTTTCAAATTTAGGTAATGGCGAAGGTATATCCAGGCGATCATGAAGAAACCGAAGTAAGGGCCGACAAGAGGATGATCGAGGTAATTAAGCGTTTTGGAAGTCTACTCTTACGTTAGCTGGTGTTCCTCTCGGACCTGGATTTCACTTACGGCAAGGAAGAAGTCACTAATATCATGAGTAACGTAGACAGCCAATCCCATGTATGTGAAATGAAATCGGTAACTGAGCGCAATCAGGAAAAGCGTAGTGATGTGGTGCCCGACCAATTCCTTGTAATCTTTTCTAGGCTTCTCCATCCCCAGTGAAAGGACAATTGCTTGTTGTGCCCAATATGCCGCTTGGAAGAGATAGTAAAACTTGAAGTATGCCTCGTGTGTCTTATGAGGAAAGCCTTCGTACATTCCTCGAGTGTTGAAGTACCAGACTGGCGTCCGACTCATAACGAACAATCCGACAGGACCTAAGATCGCAAAGTAAATCGCCGTGTACATTTGTTCCATGAACCTTGATTGTTTCGCGCGACTCTTGAGACCACTGTTCTTAGCCCAGGGCCGGAGGAACTTCTGCATGATGAACTCGCGTGTGAAGGACAGCACAATGATGTAAAATGAGACAAATGCCAAATCCCATCGACCTTTTCCATAATGATCTGGTGTTCCTTCAGGCGTCCCTGGTTCGGCTGGTATCCGGTATGAAAGGAAGATAAAATGGTGTATAGGATTCGACTCGGTAGGATTGACGGCAAAGAGGGCAAGAAAGATTCCTATGAGCACCAACGGCGTCACCCAAGTATGTTTCAACGCGTATCGTTTCCATCTTCGCAATAATGATCTCGCTTTCCGTCTTTTCGAGAATGGTTTGGCTTGGTCCCTATCGTTTTGCGCCTGGGTGTGTGTTAGATGCGAAAAGGGGGTTTGGAATGATGGCAACACTAACTTTCAAGGTCCCAGGAGAAGGCGGTCGCACATCTAGAGTGGCCAATGCCGGTGCGCTCGTGTCGCCAGCTCTGATTTCTCCTCCAAGTCCACTTGAACGTCGTCGAACGCGTGGTTTCTCGGTGATCGTGTGCCCTCCTAGGGGGGCCAGCTTATCGTCGCTGGAAAGCAGCGGAAATGCTTCTGTTGGGTGCATGGCTGTGATCTAAAGTGTAATCATCCGTAGAAAAGTTTGGAAAATGCTATCACAAAGCACTTGAGGCTGCAAGCAAGTTCGTGGTGAGATTATGGTGATTTGAAGCGGAAGTTAGTAGTGACTTGTGAAATTACCAGAATTCGTTACCCGATGATGCACGTTCCCCACAACATGCCGGTCCTCGACCCTGAGTCCGAGTACGAGTTTTAAACTACTCGAGTACGACCTCTGCATATACAAAACTGCATACAATACAGCAACTACAACAGCAATGCGAAGTTTAAGTTAGACGATACCTATTTCACAAAACAAGCATCGTTCCCTAGGACTACTCCCATTATTCATCCGAGATTTCGGTTTTCCTTATGCACAGTAAGCCATTCTCCTGTACATCAGCAGTCTCACGCCAAGTATTAAGCTTATTTCTCCATAGCCGAGCCTTACTTCCTCTGATCACGGATTTCAGATTTCTACAGAGCCAAACGACTAACCGGAAATACCTCAAGCGATACTAAGAAACTAGGAATACAAACTTCTACAGAAGGTCTGATTTAGAGGAGCTTTTATAACAACAAAGCTACTTCACATAGAGGAAATATTAGTTAAACTTCGTATGAACAATCTTCTGAGCAAACGGTTGGCGCTACGAAACATGAATTAGGTGAGGGTCAAGTTTATTTTGAGGCTTAAAAACAGTCTATCCTCAGCACTCCACTAGACCGCTAAAAGCAAAATTGAAAGCGTATCAAAACACAGGAACATGGCAAGTAGATACTTAAGTAATCGTTATTTCTTTTATTATTCAAGCTCCTACTTTTGCAAGTAACTACGCGTCATCCAAGACGGCCATTAGTCGTTATGTAAATACAGTTATATCGCTCGTCATGTCATGTTCCAAAGGGGCTGGTGAGACCAGTGCCACTTTTCCCACCTCAGTACCATATGTACAGAATGCACCCAACTCCGGATATCCACAATGACTTATTCCCATATTCCATCTAGTTACCCAAACCAAAACGCCATGCTCGCTGCCATAATACAAGTCTATACCACGCTTTTGCAAAATTATTTTGACACCCATTGAATCAGTCGCAACATAGGATGGAATTAATCGTCCTCGGGTGTTCGAGGCCGACGAGGCGGGGCTGGAATAGTCCTGACAGTCAATCCTTCTCGAGATGAAGATGTTGGTGTCCGCATGGGAGTCGTACTGCTTCCAGCGCTCAGAGTCCTATCCCTCGAAGCTTCAGTCGGTGCAATTGGGGATACAGGAGAGATAAGGTCATTATCTGGCCTATTCTGCTGTTCCCGCTCTGATGTCAGAAAGGATATTGCACCCCTCTGGTGTATTGAATGCCGTCCAAGGTCGTCCGGGGTATATGGATCGCTGAAGCGTTGGGGCTGTCTTACATGACCGATGTCATCCTGGCTGGCCTGCGTCACCGTGATCTCTGGCGAGAACGGACGTGAGTCTGGAATCGGTCTTCCTTCAGCCTCTTCCAACTCTCGTAGGGTCGCATGAAGATTTCGCCGTCTGGGAGGGGCGGGTATAACCATAAGTGGCAAGGGGGCAGCAGTGTCGTTTGGTCGGCCCTTATCTCGAAACTTGTCTGCTTGGGTAGCCGCAAACTCTTCGAAGCGACCACGGACATCCCATTTGTTGTTAGATCCGTGACTCTCCATCGATTCGGTTGATTTGACCTGCTGCGCGGAAACCTCAGGAGGCGGCGCTTGAGTCTTTTTCCTGAAAGGATTCACTTTCGCAAGGTTTTGCCATGTATTTGGCTTGGTGGTTTCGGGGACATCCCCCGTGCCCTCCTCCATCTGTTCGATTGTTACAGGCTTGTCAAAATTCATTTCTGATTCTCCGGTGGCATCGGGGGCAGGAGCAGCAGTGTTTTCCAAGGTATCAGTCTCTACAACACCTTCAGGCCTGCTAGCTTCCCTTGCTGGCGGTGTTGCTTCACTGATGGGGTGATAGCGGACCGCATACACAGTACTCTCTGCACTAGCGGTATCTGTCCGGCTTACGGGAGTTGCTGCGGGGAGAGGTCGTGTAGGCCACAATGGGGGCCGAACTCTAGCAATACGTTTCTTGGTGTTTCGGAAGGTTGTCGATTGGGCACCTGTTTTTTCCACGTCCTTCACATTTGGTTCCCGTGATCGATAGCGGTTTGCAATGCTAGACATCCCTGGCCAACGCCTTCCACTTGAGCCACTTGTCGCTCCTGTCCCACCGTCGCCGTCATTGTCCCCCCTTCGGCCCCTGATCCTCTGCCATGCCGACTCTGATGAAGGCGTGGTATCCAGCATCTCATCTCCATCAAAAATTTCTCTTCCCAAAACTCCATCTTTTTTCTCGTTGCGCTCTAGAGCTTCAATACGTTCTACCCATTCCCAAACAACGACACTAGCGGCAGCTGCACCTACCCATCGAATGTAGTCCCCCCACCCTGCAAGATCCGGCTTCGATATGTCTAAGACGAAGAATACAGTAGGTACCAATACTGATATGACGGATAGAAGCGCTACTAGACACATATTTTTCATCTGTGGGTGATAAAATGCGTAGCGTTTTTTGGTAATACCATAATAAATGACCCAGGCGGAATATAGTAGACTTAAAGCGAGTTGGAAGAGATATGATAACGCTGGAATGGCATCCACAAAACTTCGGGGCCGCGAATTGCCGTTGTAAACGAAGTTGTTCAGAATGCTGAAGAGAACGTCTAGAGTGATGAGGGCAAAGGCGGTATACTTGATAATAATTTTCTCGCGCTGTCGGGGAAATAATCGTATGAGCGTTTGGGCTTGCGCAAGCCAAAGAAATGTGTCGGAGATGACTCGAATAACCTTTAATTCGGTACCGTCCTCCACTTCGCTTTGCAAGGCCGACGCGTCCATGTAACCGACCTGGTACTGCTTCTCAGCGACTCGAAAGGTGTCCGCCGTCGCGATTGTGAGAGATATGGCCACCGTCATTGCTGCGACTTTTTGTAACCATGGTCTGCCTCCCACACCAATTCCAGCATCACTCCCAGACGGGCCATTGGTAAAACCACGGCGTCCTAGTATGACGATTCCATCATGTAAAAATGTCCGTGGAGTAATCAAGAGCATAATGACGAGCATGTAGGCTATCACCGTTGCAGAGGCGAGTGCGTAGCATTCTGGAATGGTGGAAGCGTAGAACGGATCGCGAAAATCAAGACTCGTCGACGGCGAGCCACCAGCATTAGCGAGGATCACTTCGCTCGACCCGGTGCACTCGGGTTTGAAGATGGCATCTTCGGTGAGGGTCAGAACGGACGAGACTCCCAGAGTCAATACCCCGTTCGAGGGAAGCGTGAAGGGGGTGCAATGCGGTTTCGATGTTGTTGTCGCGCTCGAGCTTGTCGTCGATAATCGACCGATGTTGATAAGTTGGCGAGCGTCCATGTTTAACTAGATCTTCGCGGCCCGGCCGCAAGTCGTGATGGGGTGCGCTCAATAGTAGAGTAATTTGTTCGACATTGTCCGCGAGGTTCGATGAGGCGGGTGTGGCGACAGGACTCGACGTCGACTCGATCGAGGGGATTCGCGGGCGGTGGTGTGGTCTACGGGGATGCTCTCATCTGTGTGCGACCAGAAGGAGTGATAAGGATGCGAATGCAGACGGCGCTGCAGATATGGATGCAGTGCGAGATAGGGTCTAGGGCGAAGCTTTTCGCGTCTGTGAAGATGTGAAGGGTTGAAGCTGGTGTCGTTTCACGCTCAGGCTGTTACGAGTCTTCGAGTCTTCGAGTCGTAGTGCCGTTGGGGTCGTGGTGGATTTTGGGGCAGCCTGTCGGATGGCACTTGGGGTTCCATCGCCAGCCTGCATGGCAAGGAATCCCCACCACCATGACCCCATGAGGACGGAGTAACAGTCGATGCGCTCGCCGAAATGACGGGCAAAGCGATCGCAGAAGAGGGGGTGTGGATGGGGGATGATGCGACGAGCGATTATGAGGAATTTCTCAAATATTTATTCTCACTTTATTTCTTTGTCGCACCGTCATATAGCATTGTATGTTAGTATTTTGCCAGTTCTGTCCCAACTATGGGGCTTTGGGCTTGGGGTTGCAGTTGCTTGCTTCTACCAAGCTTCTACGCTCTCACGACCACCTTTTCACCCTCCCAAACGTTCGATTCGGCGGCGTCTCACGCAAGAAACAAGACACATTTTGCTTGGAGGGCCGCTTGGCAAAGCTTGACTGGCCGCTGTGCCAGCAGATAAGCTCTCTGGGAAGCGGCAGGCTGGGCATCTGTCTCTTGGAAACGGCGCATCATCGAAATCGTCCCTTGGAGAAGACTGCCATCGATGTGGAGGAGGCTCAGATGTACGTTGCTTGTTGACTTCGGATGGATGTTGTGAATGATCATGGTTGTGCTCTGCAAGACGGCGTCCGCCTTCTCGTGTGTCGCCGAAGGCCCCGAAGGAGAATGAGACGTGGTGGATCTGGCCTGGCCTGGTCTGGTGTGGTTTGGTGCCAACTCAAATCAAAAGAGGAAGGAAACACGGGCGAGTTGGACATTTCTGCACGCCCCACACTTCAGCCATTCTCTCCAATCAGGGAGCCGTCAGCTCTCCCCTCCTTGAACGACTCTTTTTCCCAAACGCCTCGACGATGCAGAATCATACCATGATTGCTAATGCCCAAAGATCCATGGATGACCTCGGAATGAAAGATTTATTGAACGACAAGTTACTTTTGTGCATAAAGCAGACATTTGAACAGATCAGGATCTCGTCTGCGGACCGTTAGCCCACCAATCTGTAACCGCTAATGGATATTGGACGCCTAACCTTTTGCATCTACATACAACATTGTAGAACCTGTATTCAACAGCTCTTTTTCTCTTGGGTATTCCAAAATTACGTTCCTGACATTCCATTTCTCAATGCATCTACTCAGATTTGCCAGAAATACTTCTGCCTCTTAGCACCATGATACCGCTGATAGAGGAGGCTCTTATACGATATGCTAGCTTAACCATCGGTAATGTTAATATTTGTTGAAGCTTCACTAAAACATTTTGAAAGTCATTTTCCTTCCATCCCATATTCGAGGCACAACCAAATCGCTTATGGTAATGACCGAAGGCTCAAGGTTATGCAAGTACAACCTTATAACATGTTACTCGGTACTTGTTCGATCGCTTTGGGCGTTTCGACTTGTGGGAGTCGAGGATTAATCATGTGGCTGAATTTCAAGATATCATTCTCATGTTATCCACTGCTTATGTTTCGAAGCTAATACGACATCAGAACACATTACCTGAGTACTATAATCCCACATGTTCTGCATCGAATCTGTAATGAATAAATGTTGTAAATCCCCTCCAAAGGGAAGTGTCTTATCTGAGGCATATAGGGAGAACTTTTCCAGAGTTTTTTTCACTAGGTGACGACCGTATGGGGTCATTCAAGGGCTCCACATTTTGACAAAAACAATAAATATCTCACATGAGTTGAACCATATCTATTATAGTTGCAGCAGCTGAATGGGACTGTGTTTGTCTGGCTGTGGCGTCTCGCAGATCTGAATGAGTTGAAGCTCTGCAAGTGAAAGAGCCGATGATAATCTAAGTCTTGGAGTCTAGCTATATTCCAAGTGATGTCCAAAACAGACGCGGTGAAGGAAAAGGTAAGTTATTGGATTTTATAAGTATGACAATGAAAGTTATTGTCAAATATGTCCAAAGAACAGGCACTACATTGTGAGCAAGTATAGCTCAATAAAACTCAATAAAACATACAGCTGTATATCTTTTCCACTTTTGGTCACAAGTATTCGGCAATGTCATATTCAACTGCCTTGGTCGAAGACGTTGCCAAGCTGGCTCTGATTCCTGTAGCCTTTGGAAATGAAGAGCAAACGACTTCATGGTAATTCCACCTAGCGAGGTTATTTCAAAGGTAGAGAGCGGATTGATGAATATTATCAAGAATGTCTATAAGGCGAAGAAAAATTATTTACTCACAAACACATGTATGAATAATGCGTAATTTAATCATCAGACATGGAATTATAGAACTCCGTTCCTGTTAATCAACTTTGGGTGTTGGACAGTATATCGCTTAGCACTACAACCCACAATTGTTTCCGGTCTCTCTATTAAACATGGCGATCAAGTCACCCGGTCCAGGTGTCGGTGAGTTAAGGCATACGACACATGGATAAACTTTAAGCATTCCGTTGTAGTAGCAGCTGTCACATCTGTCCCAGTCAATTGATTACTTAGCTGGCAAACTAACATCTGCTATTCAAAGTCTACAGTACTTATAGGAAATAGGTATTGGAGAACATCATTGACCATTGTGTGCCCGCGACTACTTTCTTTCTATTGTAACCAATTAAACCCTGTGCACTTGACTCCCTTACAATAGTACTACAGCTGTTGGCATAAAATGCCGGGCATTTCGCCTATCGACAGTCGAGAAACGAAAATTACTCTACAAGCGGCTTAGCGGGAGTTTTACCCATAGGCTTTTGGCACTTTGTTGCTTTAGCTAGTAGGTAGTTTGTTGGCCAAATCTGTGGTCTGTTCGAGACCTATGCACCTTCTAGACCTAATTCAAGGCATCAAGCTGAGTCAAGACGCAGTCCTGACCGAGCTTTATTGTGACAACAAGCTGGAAGAGGAGAGAATGTGGGGTGGAGGAGTCGATCGAAGGATTTGTTTCCAAATGTTTCTCGTGGATTACTAACACCTCTAAGCCCTCCATGTTTTGAATTTACTTTTGTTCGGTAGCTGGATCCAGAGAGTGTCCGAATTTAACCCCTCACCAGTTCTTGGCAGCATCTCACACCTCGACCAAGATATAAACATTCGCATTATCGACATGTGTCGATGAGCTTCTGCTTCGTAGATATCTCCGTAGAAGAGGTTGGCCAGGAGGGGAAAGGCACTACCAAGGTAGGTTATATTTAGTGCAGTAGGAATGTGAAGCGAACCACTCATAAGCACCAGGCAGGCGGCCCCGACCCCATCTCCTTCCAGGTTTCTGAAACGAGAATTGAGAAACACAAGTCAATGGAAATGTTTCCCAGCCAGGCCTGGCACAGCAGATTGTCCTCGTAGTTTTGAACTTTTGCACCACACTCGCCCACACTTCAGTCTTTTTCCTTTCTAGCATCTCGCCGAACCGACAACTCGTCGAAGTAATATATTCTTTTGTCATCTTGCGCGCGCCTTTCGCCAGCGCAATCTTGTCTTTGGCAATCATTCGCCCTTCTTTGCCTTCGAGGACGGTCTCCAACCTATTGCGCAACGGTAAAACTCCCGTTGCTTTCCAGCGCGAAAACGAAAGTCATCACACCCGCGCCGAGGTCGCAAAATCCAATAAGAAGTGGCGCTTGTTTGGATAACTTGGACGACCCGGCTACTCGCATTGATAATTAATCTCAGGAGGGCACGCGATACTTCAGCTCAGAATCGGAGTATCTATGCTTCTACAACATCATGACGAGACCAGAAATTATTCGAGCTGGTAGTTACGTCCATTACCTCTAAGGTCCAAGTTTTGTTAACACTGCTAGATTCCATTGATCTCCAGGATCAGTCCTCCCCATCTGCGCAAGATCACACACGACAACCAACAAAGGCAGCCCCCCTTGGCCTTGGTCCCCCGGCGCCACATCAAGCGGAGGCATTGCGAGAAGTAGCTGCAGAAGTGGCAGAGCAAAATGGTCGAAGTCCGCGAGTGTCAAAAGAATGGACGTCTGGCGAGGCTCAACAGATGCAGAGCTATGGAGAGGACGACTTGGTTGCGGGAGTAAATTCGAAACTCAATGGCACCAACGGCCAGCAACAAGATGATTTGGCTGTTGCGCAGAATGGTGGCCTGACGGGATCCACCGCTGAGGATGCGGATATGGCAGATGCTGAAGGTGACGACGGAATGGACGACGATATGATGGACAAAATCTCAAGTTCACCCTCAATCGACGATGGTGGGTATTCTCTTACGAACTTATGGCCAATGAGGTCCACCTCTCTTTCTTGCGCTCCAGAAACGAAACTACATCGTTCACAAGCGTGCGGTATAAGTTCACCAGTCGTAGTAACTCCTGATCGCTATCCGTTCCAGCTTCGACAAGGGAAACTCGATGTTGGTGACGTAGACAGTGATCAGGTGAATCAAAATCATCATCTTCGGGGTGAGTATCTGGATGGAGAAACCGAGGAGGACGAGGACTTGAGCAATTACGAAGAGCTTACGAGTGAGATTGAGCCACCATCACCTATGTTTGTTCAGCAGACGGGTCCTTACCACGAAGCGCACGGCGACCCTTTCTCCGACGATACCCCTGAGACGTCTCCCGAAAAACCTCTAACTATACACAATCCGGATGAGCTAGAACCCAGTGACAACGATGAAATGATGGTTACCTACCAAAGCTCAGAAGAAGATGATGATTTTGAAATCCCCTACAATACTGATTCTAGATATGTCGATTCTGGATGGGGAGGAGAATGCTTACGAGATACAGAGGACATTGATTTTGAGTTCGTTTACGCCCTTCATACTTTCGTCGCGACGGTCGAAGGACAGGCAAATGCCACAAAGGGAGATACGATGGTTCTCTTGGATGACAGTAACAGCTATTGGTGGCTTGTTAGAGTGGTGAAAGATAGCAGTATTGGTGAGCCTAATGTGGTTTTGCCCAACTCTTCAAAATACTGAGCGGTTTTAGGATATTTACCAGCAGAACATATCGAAACACCTACTGAGAGATTGGCACGTTTGAACAAACACAGAAATATTGATGTATGGTCTAGACGAGTTCGTATCGCTTAGCCATTATACTAACAGTATTAGCTTACATCGACTATGCTTGGTGACCAAGCAGAAAAATCAAAAAACCCCTTGAAGAAGGCTATGCGAAGACGGAACGCCAAAACTGTGCAGTTTGCGGCTCCAACTTATGTCGAAGCTTCGGACATAGACTACTCCAGCGATGAAGAGGATGGAGAGGGAGAGTTTTACAGGTCAAACGCAGCGCAAGAACAGGCTGGTACAGATCAGGAGACAGCGGAAGATGACGATGATGTGAATACTGTGCAGCCTTTGAAGCCGAGAGCAGAAATCCGCGAGGTAAAGTCAGATCCCGCGGAAACAGACGCGAAAGCAGGAGCTTTGGTTTCCAACGGATCAGCTGAAGGCACCCGGACGAGCGACGAGATTTTTGATGGCAAGCCGGAAAGTAAATCACGCAATGGTACTGTCAGAAATACAGATTCTTTCTTCAAGGATGATTCTGTTGAGACTAGGAAGATCACACTCACACCGAATTTGCTCCGCGATGATTCTAGCACTTCAACGCGAACTTCAAATGATTCGAAGGAATTTAGCAAGCGACCGAGTCTTGACAAACTTGAGAAAGACTCATCTTCGGACAAGTCGAAAGATAAAAAGGATAAAAAGGACAAAAAGGAGAAGGAGAAAAAACCAGGCATGCTCAGTGGCCTGTTCAAGAGGAAAGAAAAGAAGAGCAAAGCTACTGACGACGAAATGGATGAAAGCATGGCAAGCAAACAGTCAACAGACAATCCTAGAGGCTCGCCGGTTCCAAGCAAAGATTCGGACGAAATCGCTTATGCAGACGAAAGTTCCCAGGTATCTTCAGTTGAAGTACAACGCCAGCCAAGCAAGTTGCACAAACAGCCCCCACCAGAGGTGTCATTGAGTCAGAAATCGCTATCAAGCAAAGAACCAAAAGCAGCCGAGCAGGTGCAACAAGCGCCTGCACCTGAGCGACCACCTCCAGCAAACTCTGCCCAGACTCCATCGATGCGCTTGGTTCAGTCCGAACCTGATACACTTTCACAACAGCCACGTTCAGCAGAGTCTTTCGATAAGCCCAAAACACTTTCTCCTATCATCACCACACAAAAAGAACAGAAGCCCGCCGGTACTATCTCTAAGATCCTACGTTCTGCAAGTGGAAGTACCTCGGAACCTAAACCGATCAAGGCGAAAAAGGCCAAAGAACGTGTTGAGTTGGATGACTTCGATTCCACGCCTGAGCAGTCTCCAGTCGACGAACCTGAACGAACACCACCAAGCAAACAAACTCGTCCAATCCCTGGTAGCTTTCCCGAAAGCTACATGAGTGAAAGGCCCACTGCGACTGAAGACAGACTGTCCGAGTCACCAGTTCAAGTATCACCAATTACTCCTACTCAATCATATCCACCGCCTCTCATGGTTGATAATTCTAGTCAAGACGAACCGCCATCACCTCAATCTTCTCCGTCTCCTGAACTCATTGATGTCGATGAGACCCAAGATAAGAAGGGTCCTGGTAGTTCTACAACGTCTCGATCAACACCTACTTGGAGCGACTCCCATCTCAGAACGTTCTTTGATGACGATGCGGATATCAAAGACCTACTTGTCGTGGTTTATGATAAATCCGGTGTTGTACCCGCTGGTCCGGACCATCCAGTCAGTGGTAACCTTTTCCGCGAAGAGAATGCCAAGCTGGCAGATATCACTAATGTAAGTTTCTCCTATTGTTTATCATCTTCTATGCTAATACTGTTACCTCCAGCGCTTAGATGGCATGCTTGGCGATTGGTTAGCTCGCAAAATGAGGACACAAGGGTCTCGATAAAGGCTTTTGGGTTGTATATGAATCATTATGATAATGACTACTGGAAAGGCATGCGGCGTCGTTTTTGGAGGGCGTAGACGGTCTGAAGTTTTGGGGCCTTGGAGTATTATTGGTCTATGGCATAAAAGGGGCACCACACGGATACCAAACTTGGATGTTACTATAACTTCTGTATAATTCCTTTTGTTCAAATACCTATATGTAACACATTTCGAATTCAGCATTTTTTAAAAAAAACAGGAGAGTCTTTGAAGCTTGCTGTGATGAGTTGCTAGGTATTGTAACACTAAATCATGGTGTCAAGTTGTTCATCTTTTAAGTTGGTTTTAAAACCGCTCATATAGCTTGGTTTACCTTCAGAAAAGGGCCCATATATGGATTTCTGCAAGACAAACAAAAGTGGAATTTGTAAAAACTTCCCACATTTAGACTGCCTACATCAACGCAGGAATTCCTTTATATTCCCACAATATTAGGCTCTATTTTGGAGGAGTGGGGGGATAGATGATTGCGTTGGGTTGAGCGCCGCTGGAACCAATAAGAGAAAGATCCCACAAGTAGTAAATAGAAACTCATGTTGGAATCAATATTTCACCAAATTGAACAGGCAGTCATTCATATTAAATCCAGCCACTACCAGACGCAATCAACTGATATACCTCAAATACATACAAAAAACATAGTAATGCTGAGACCACCAACACCTAGCCATGCTGCCAAACACCTCAAGTCCCCCATATTGATACAACGACTACACTCGACCATCAAGCCAATACGCTTTTCAAAGGAAATTCATTTTTACACGGAAGACTAGTTGTATTGCAACTCGCCGCTGCCACTCCCCTTAGCAGCTTTACCTTGCATAGATTGTTGGTATTGGTGATACTGCTGGAACTGTGCCTGAACTAGTTGCTGGGGTGTCTGGTAGTTCTTTTGCAGAGGTGGGAAGTCTTCATATGCCACGGCTGCGTTGTAAGATGGGGTGGTACCAGCGTTGTTCTTTTCGCCAACATCGTCCAGAGATCGATATCCGTGGTGGCCACCTCCACCTCCTCTTCCACCACGGCCTCTTCCTCCATTACCACGGCCACCACGCCCGTTGTTATTGCCGCGGTTGCCACGATTCCCTCGTCCATTGCCACGGCCTCCATGATTTTCTTTCTGATTATTGTTATTTCTCCCACCTCCATGTCCACCATTGCCGTGGGAGCCACTTGACTGCCTCGTCTCGTTCTCGTCTTCATGCTTTCGTTTGAATGTTTTATTCGGGAAAAGACTTTCGTACTCATTCTCTGTGGGGTTCTCCTCTTCGATGCGAAGCAAGACTTTTTCTCCCACAGTGCTTTCGAAAACGAACTGCTTTTCTGGGGACACAGGCTGCCAGTTCTGGATCTTACCTGCGTCAATGGGACGAGCGCCTTTGCGAAGTGCAAGAACGACAATTGGTGTCGGATTTTCCGTATAGTACTTTTTAGTTTCTGGTACTGGTCGAACACTCGCAGCCCAGATCTTGCTCTCGTATACAGCAGTGCCTGTGACTTCCCAGGTAGTCTTGCTACCCATTCCGCCAACCTTTTCAAGAATGCTCTCGGGACAAGGGCGAGGGGTTATCAAAACGTTATTTGCTAAGAACTTCATTTCAGTATCTGGCATATTGGGCGGTAACTGAGCTAATGTAAGCAGCTTTTGGGTGTCAGCATTACTGATCAAATATCCAGTATAGAAAACAGTCTTCTTTATCTGAAGACGTGTGCCTCGTCTGGCTTTTGTGACATGAGTATTATGATCATTGATCAAACGCTGTACTTCAGCTGTCTCCACGATCGGGTCAAGTTGCGTTGTTCCGTCCGCAACCTGAATAACCTCAGCGAGGATAGGGCTACGATTATGCGGATTACCCATGTTGTTTTGCAGGCGTGTATTGTAGAGAGTAAAGTAATCCCTGAATGCCTTAACATGACGAGGGCGATCTTCGTATACTCGAATCTCGTCAGCGTTTTTGTACGTCTCGGTCAAACTTTCCAAGAACGCCTGTTTAAAGTTCATAGTGCTTGAAAATCGCTCATTATTGGGGCCGGAGACCGGCTTCAAGGACATCAAATCAAATTCTAGCCCTTTGGCTGTGACCATCCTGTTGATGAGTTCCGCGAACGCAGGTTCAGCTCTGCCAGTAAGGAGGACCGTAAGTGCATCTTTTTGTTCCATACTAAGCTGTATAAGCTCAACGATTCGTTCATTCCACCAACCTTTCCAGGCGCGAGGCTCCTCTTTCTCAATGCCCTCACCAGTCGCACCAAGTATTCTGGCATCGTGCCACCAGCCCCCGGATGCGAACGTGTCTTGTGTTTGTAGGAAACCAATTGTTGGGCCGTTCCATAGCTTGGGATTGGGGAGAGGGCTGTTGAAAACTATGTATTGTCAATATGACTCAAGCGCAAAGCGTGGTATGACTTACGTGTATTATCAAAATCATAAACGTGCAACGCCTTGATTTTGTCCACAGCTGGTAGCACGTAAGTAGGAACACTCGCAAAGGAGTAGTCAGCGCTCACATGGAAGCTGCTTGTTTGCTATTGACCATCTATTTAGGGATGTGACGGTATGCTGGATGCCGTTTCCATTCGATCTTGTGGCCATCTTCCCTCTAAATTTTGCGCGAGACTGCGCAACTCGCCTGACCAAGCAAGCCGTGATGGATTCGCGAAACAAATCTGTTTCGAAACTCTAGAGGACACTTGATCTTGACGCTACCGAGTGATGAGGTCAACGATGGCGCATTGGACGAAATTTGTTCTGAAGTTTGAAAGTCGAGAGCTAGGTACAAATAACACCCTTGTAGGAGTGTACGCTAATGAAGCATGCCCCGAGCCGAGGGTCTTACTCACAGGCGCTCCTTCAACACGCAAGCCTCATTATTCTAAGCAGCGTCAACAACGCTTCCAATCAACGCTTAAGTCTTGTTGTTCTCTCATCTTGCACTCAGAAAAACAGATTGAAGTCACCAAACGAGGGGTTCAACTAGAAAATGGCGTGAGGAAAGTTAGCAGTTCTTTGCATATACATCTGTATTACATCGCAAACAGATCGAGATACATGCCTAGCCTTCTGGTACATGGCTCCATTACCTGCAATCCGCTACGTAGCCGCCACTGCAAAGTCGGTATTGGGTACCATACACTTGCAATGTCATGTTAAACCAGGCGCTAGCAAACAGCGACAGGGCATCATCTCGATATCCGAAAATCTCATAGAGGTTTGTGTCGCGGCTCAAGCTCGCGAAGGTGAAGCTAATAAGGCTGTACGAGAAGTCTTTAGCACAGTGAGGGTTTTCAATTTTCCTGGTCTGGGTCTTTAATTATAACCAGACTTTGTTAAGAGTTACATGCTAAGCTCTTTATAATGGTTTAGGCTCTCCAGTGCCCGAAGTCGGATATTGAAGTTGTTCGTGGGCTGAAATCGAGGGACAAGACGCTAGCTGTGACTAGGAGAAACGTCAATGAGGATGTAGAACAAGCAGTATTGGATGTTCAAACACGGATAGAAACTTCTATTATGGGCTAACCGAATGTCTGGGGAGTCTGTAGATTTTGTAGGTGTAAGTAAGCTTTTCTGGTCTACCAATTTCATAAGCTTATTATATTGATCTACACTGTAGCCATGATTGGATGGAGTTGAAGCAAATCTCTGGCAAAGCAGATGCCAATGGACAAAGGCAATATTAAGATCATTTACTCAACAGCAACCTCGAATGTACTCGCTGTTTCAATAATAGAAGCATAACACGTCTCCCGCTAATCTGGCTAGTAACGAGCGGCAAACAGTGAGTACTGGCTTCGTCGTGATAAATGCCATAAACTCCTCTCTTAAGACCAGAAGTATCAGCAGCACAATGTACCGCCGTACACATGAGATAATTTGACTTCTGTCAGTAGTGAAGCTAGGCAAGTGAGTCCTGAAGGCTTATGCTCGCCTGGGAAGGGGGCTGAAGAGCCATGAGCTAAAGCTACTTATTCTGTGGGTAAAATCGACCGATGTATGCAACTATTCAAATAGGGCTAGTATGATACCCCGAGTTGAGTAGTAATCACTACTGAGGGGACTTTCCAAACGCATTTTCACAAGTCTTTGTTGACCATTGAAATTCGCGTCACTTCGGCTCAGACAACGAGGCAGTAGGGCAGCTCATCCCATGGACAAACTGGCGCACAGTTAAAAATGAAGTCGCTTCCTAACGGCAAGACTCGATTGTTCTTAATGGTCTCGATCGCTTAGTTGCTCCGCAGCCGTTAGAGGCCTTCAGACACCAAGAAGCCGCTTTCGAACTAAGAAAGGTACTTAAACCCAGCCACATGTAAACATTCTCGGCAGTAGAAGTTTACCACACACAATGTTTACAGCTTGCACAATATTCGCGCTACAGTATTATGGCTCGGTCTTCCGGGAAAGATCATTTTCTTTGGGCATAGTACCAGTAATGTTCACGGTCGATCATTTCTTTCGGGACTCTCGCCAGGTTGCCATTGGCGAATAGGCCTCTGGCAGTCGTCGACAAGCTGCCTGAAATCCAATAGCACAGCGGGAAGAGATATCCCGGACCACGTAGAAGCTGAATAGCCAGATTGGGACGCCAGCAAGATGCCCTATTCGTTGACATTTGTTTGAGTTCGACTCTGCGTTGGCGGTCCAGCATTGGTATTTATCATTGTTGATGACAGACGTCGAGTCTTACAAACAGTAATCGATGCGGCGGTATATTGGCACTGGATATCCAAAACAGTCCTCACCGCGTTACTCGAATAGTGCTGCTGATATTTGGGCACTTCGCTTCGCCTACGTCACTTCTCAGCTTGATAGTGTGGTTGTCGAATGATGGGGATTTGAGCCTTCCAACGCGACTCGTAGTTGAAGGAATACTTCTAGCAGTCAAGGCTAAATCGAAATATAAACAAAACGCACACCAAATCAATGTGTGAAAACAAACCGCCTGCAAGCTGAGTATTATTTAGTTGCTTTTTGCGGGCACAGTGCCGTTCTGATTTACGACAGAAACACATTTAGGACGATCGATGCCCCTTTGGCAAGGAGCCCTTGTATGTTGTAACACGAATTCTCGCCAAGCGGGTGTGTGAGAGAAGAGATTGAGGGTGCCTCTAATTGAAGAAGACCGGCTCCCTTAGCCGAGTCGGCGGAGATGCTGTCATCGTATCTCACATTGGCTGCCGTGCCACTCATGATTGCATCAATTCTGGCCAGCAGGTGTCGTGCTATCAAGACCCCTAACTCTTCATCTCCAAGCAGCAAAGTGGATCTGATGGCCACACCCTGATCGCTGTAGATCACTCGACGCTCTGAGCAACGAGGGCGAGAGCGACCGAGGAGCAGACGTGACCGGTGGTGCGGGTGCAGAGACTAGAAGCTTAGACTTGACCTACGACCGGTACTCCATAATTGGTCTCTTCCTGGTCCGAACTGTCCAGTTCTCGACAACCTTTTTCACACACCAAAGGTCAGGACTCGAGAACTGGCTGTTTCTCTCCTGTCTGGAAGCTCGAGTGAGACACATCTCTTCAGGAATCCAACCCCAGGGACGGTGGAAGAGAGAAGAGACCGCGCTTACATAACCGTCTCCCGCTGCTTGGGCCAGCCTGGAAGTGTTCGAAGGCTCAGTCTGGACTTGCGGTGCCATCATCGCGCATCCCCACGGGCTTCACGCTTTTGTGTACCAACAGCTCTACATCAGCATCAACGGCGCATTCGAAGACAACACGAGCACGTAGACCGTGGGATCACGGTCGCTCATAGTCCGCCCTACCATGGATAAGTCTGGCGAGATGGCAGGAGCCTCGTCGGCCAACAATTCCAGCGATTTTGTGAGTTTCGTCGTTACCTCAAATTATCGCCGATCGCATCTAATCACCAGCTCCAGGTTCGCAAGTTGTACAAGTAAGGCCTCGTTCTAGTCTTGCACTGACAGAGCAGGATGTCCCCTCATCTTCCGAGACTAATCATAATTTGTAGGATGTTAGAAGACCCTACCTATGAAAACATTGTTAGGTGGGGGGAAGGTGGTGAAAGCTTCGTCGTTCTTGAGGTAGGGGGTACCAGCGAGCGGCCCAGCCCCGATCAGTTATTGACATTCCTTTCAGAACGAGAAATTTACCAAGTCCATTCTTCCCAAACATTTCAAGCACAGCAACTTTGCTAGCTTCGTGCGACAGCTGAACAAGTATGACTTCCATAAGGTCAGGCAGAATAACGAGGACAATGCCCCTTCGCCATATGGACCCAACGTCAGTCATTCTACCTACTGACATCACCCCTCATGCTGACGATTGATCAGGCATGGGAGTTCAAGCACCCGGAGTTTCAAGCAAACAAAAAAGACAATTTAGATAATATTCGACGAAAGGCCCCCGCGCCACGAAAATCGGCGCAAAATTCAGACGAGGGTTTTGCCAATCAGCAGATTGAGTTGCTCCAATCTCAGCTGATGGCTACTCAGCAACAAGTCACCAATCTCAACGACAAATTTAATGATCTTGCGCAAGGCCACGTAGTATTGCTACAGCAGGTAGTGTCACTCCAGAAACTGGTGAAGAACCATGATGGAGCCATGCGTAAAGTGCTCGGCTTTTTGCACAGCACAGATGCTGAAAGACGGAATAGTCGGGTCGATGGGCGTTTCGCGAATGGGACATCTGGTCTAGGTGCTGAAGGTGCACCAAATGATGTTGATGATCACCCTCCGTCTCCTTTGCAACAGGCAACAGAACTGCTTGGCGTCTTCTCAGCAGCGAACCTACCCGACAAAACTCTGGAAGCGATGACCCATGATTACAGTCACCTTCGTAGTGACTACTCAACGCCTCCAAATGAACATGGGAATGCTCACATCGTACCTCCTTCAGATGCTTCAAGCAATCATCTGGGCTATTCCGTGGCAAGCGATCTCGATAGCATGGTTTATCCAGTTGGACATACAAATGGTATCGATCCAGTCAACGCTGAGCATATCCACAACATACCGTATTCCTTGCCGCCCCAGATGCCGCAGAGTATCGTGACAGAAACAGAAGCCGAAACACAAATGTTTCCCGGTAGGAAAAGGAGCGTGCATGAGCAAGTCTGGGGTATAAACAAGCCCCGCATTCTGCTTGTAGAGGATGACAAAATGTGCGCAAGAATTGGTTCGAAGTTCTTGCAGCTTTACGAGTGTGGGGTAGAAATTGCTGTAAGTGTGCCGACGATACTTTCTTTGCGGGGTTATTAATGTCTTGTAGCGCGATGGACTAGAGGCAGTCAACAAAATCAACCAGGCTGGCACAGGTCCTCATACGTACAACCTGATTCTCATGGACATCATAATGCCCAATCTCGATGGAGTTTCTGCCACGGTTTGTATCCGAGAAATTCTGCCGAATACTCCAATCATCGCTATGACATCCAACATTAGAGCGGACGACATTGACATGTACTTCAGATACGGTAAGTAAAAAAGCGACAGGTTATTTAGTCAGGCCTAACCTTGTGTAGGCATGAATGACGTGCTACCCAAACCTTTTACCAAGGAGGGTATGCTTAAAGCACTTCAGAAACACCTACCTGGTTTTCTGAAGGAGGCTCAGGGTCAGCCTCATCCTCAGTACCAACCCCAGGCCCAACTTTCGCATCCCGGAGGTGGATTCTCTACACCAAGTTCCACGCAACCGCCTCTTGGTTTGAATATGGGGCAATTATCCGCCGCTCAGTCGTTGAAGGATGAAACTTCACCAGGAAAATCGCCAGCCACAGCAACGTCCTGGCACTCGCCAAACCAGATACCCGGCCAGTCTCCCATTGGAAATGGGCCAATTGGTTTTATACCACAACAGCCAATGCAACAGCCCATGAGGGATCACCACTACGGAGCTATGACTCCTACTCACCCCCATCCACAAGCGGGCTACCCCCCTCCGCCAAATACACCTCTTGGTCCGCCGAGAGGTCCTCCACATAAGCGAGTGCTGTCGGAAATGTCAAGTGGTCCTGAAGAACATCCCGACAGCAGACGGCGAATGTACGCGCAAAATCCACCAAGTTACCATCCGTAGTTGAAACCTGTTGGACAGCTCACAAAAACCCATTCGGACTAGCCAGGACCTCTTTCGGTCTCCAACACCTAGCTTCTTGTATATTTTATAACCGACTCATAATGTAGTATAGCCGACCGGCAGAAAGCAGTGCAAGAACACAACGAGACATAGATGTCCATGAGATTCGTGGAATAGAGAGAGGGCGTATTGCCGCAACGAGTCTGTCGTTGGCGTCTGGTTTGGTGCATGTTGGAAGTCATGTTGGATGATTGCATGGTTCAGGAGTCTGCGTGTAGACGGGCGTTCGTGAGGTTGCTTGACGATAAAAATATTCTTAGCCAACTGGTTGGAGGACAATGCTTATCCAGCATCTGGGAATTGTTATCTAACTCCAGAGTAGTAGAAAAGCAAAATGATTTTAACATCTGCAAAATGTCAGCTTCTCATGCATTGCGAGTTCAGAATACCAGAAACTCACCTGGCAGACTTATGCATTTCGCAACATCGGAACGAGCAAGCAGAAAGCAGGACATGTCGTTCTATTAAAGTAATCCCACAATCGTGAAAGACAGATCTAGAACATCCTCCCTCGCAGCCCAGGCTCCCCTGATAAGTCTCCAGGGTGTTTGTGGCAGGTCTAGATCGATATCGCCCTACGAATGGGGCCACTCTTCCTGTACGAATCCTGGCGGGGCGTCAGCGAGGGGACGTGCGTCGGGGTGCATATTGGACTGCCATGCCACCACATCGGTTAGCTGCACCACGGCGGGTAGTTGTGTTCTAGATTTTAGATTTGAAAGATGTGGGATAATGTGAGATGAGGGAAGATCTCGGAATGAGAGAGGAACCAATAGTTAAGGGATTCAGTTTCATAACCCGTTCCTTGTCGCAGAGAATTGCAAGCGAGCTTTGTTCAGTTGCGCATCACGGGACAACACTTCAACCATGGTACATATGATATGTACATTAAAGATCAATTCTATAGTACAGGCGAATTGAGACTGTTTATTCATTTCACATCTCTGATCTAATACTTCTGGTAATCCAAATATAAATCTCCTTCTATCTATGTCTAATGAATCTATGTGCTCGGGTATCATTACAAATACTAAACATTCTTCTCAACAACCCTCCTCTCAGGATCTAGTTCTCTCATTATCCATTCGTAAACCGCCCACTGAGCGGCATTCACGATGAATGCTCTAAAGCTACAGACGCCTAATCCTCTAAAGAAAACGCCCATCCCTTCAACTCGATATGCATTCTGTGCTATCTCAATGGCTCCTAATCTGCGCTGTGGTGTACTTGCTATTAAGGGCTCGCCCTCGACAGCATATTGAGGGACCGAAATTTGCGTTTGAACTCGGGTCTTGATCATGTCGAGTGGGAAAATGGAGGCCCACGTTATGACACCAGCCAAACCACCACAAAGAAGGACTTGAGCTGCTTCTTGGGCTGTAGAGTTTGTCTCGTTGCCAAATCTCGACTTTAGAGACCTAGTGCTCAGCTCATAAGACCAGAAGTAGAACCCATAACCAATACTGTCTCTCAATGCTGTGACAATTCCACCAAAGTAGAGTCCGCGCAACCCCTCGGCCCGTATGATGTCTTTTGTGATGCCCCAGCTCGATGATGTACTGGCTGAAGTGGACATTTGAGCTCGACATTTCACCAACTCAGTCGGAGTACTGACTACCCAGGTCGCCAATCCGCCAATGGCACCTGCGAGCCATGTTGTCCATAAGTTGGGAGGGAGCCCCGAAGGACTTGTATTCAAGAAGGTATTACTTCGGTTGTATGTCATGAACAAGAGCGCATTGAGAGCGCCATAGCCAAGGATTGGAGCTGTGGCTCCCCGAATGAGAGACCCCGCAGTAGAGAACTGTGAGGTGTAACTGGAAGGGGCTGTTGTAACAGGTGTGCCAGCCTGAAGACGAACTTTGATAACGTCCAGTGGGTTGCCAATGAGAATTCCTGCGGCGCCGCTGATATATCCTGCCCAGAAGTCTGCAGACATCGTGCCCAAATATATAAGAAAATGTAGTGGAGTTTTTTCTGCGTTCAAAATAGCAAATATGGTACAATGTACAAGACAAGCATCGAGTCGACTGCTTAAATATCGTCTCTGACTTCCCAAGGTTTCCTTTGCCGAGACTGCGCCAGCACTGGATCGTTGTAGTCCCTCACCGCGTTAACGGCTTGCTTCGATAGAGTAATCTGTGTCAACAAGCCGAGGAAAACAAATCCCCACGCAAAGCCAGCACGTAGTGGCCGGGGAAGGTACGTCGTACGAGTTGTGCTTGCGACTGAAGCTGTAGCTGACTCTGTCCTCCTCATGTACTGGTGATGGCACACTTGCGTAGCAAAGGCCCCAAACAGAATCGGGGTTTGATTGTTGGCAAAGAATTGGTCCACCCTCGAAGGCAGTGGAGGGGCCATTCCTGCGGGGTAGCGGAAATGTGGGTTTGGGTGGTGGTGTGAGTTGAATGAGATCGGATGTTGTGTACGTGACACTTTTTCGTAACTGAATGATCAAAAACTGTAAGATGTTCAAAGCAAAATCTAATAACTTTTCTGAAAGTCTTAAGAGTATCTGGGAGACAAAGAAACAATTAAAACAGAAAGAAAATTTGAGATCGGGGAATCGCGGAAATAATTACTGTAGAAATTTCTCGGTGACATGCACCTGAACCCTATAAGTCGGGTCACGTGCTGACCTGCCTAAATGTTGTTGCCGATTCTCCGACGTCGCGTCTCAAGCGCGTCTGTGCCTGTCACTCGCCACCAAGGTTCAAAGCTCATAGCATTGTATACTTCTCGCTGCCGACCTGGAGGATAGTGTTCAAACAAGATTCCAAATCAGGTCTAACTGTTCCGATATACAAGAAGATTTCCATGATGATTATCACACCGCCCGACGAACCTGCAAGCACTCCATTCGCGGCGAAGAAACGACTGGGGACCGTCGCAGGAACCCCGACAAGTGCAAGCAGCTTGAAGAAACCATTCTCTCTTACTTTGAGCGATGATAAGGAGAACACTCCAATATCCAAACCGTTCTCATCACAGCGCCTGCAAAATCGTACACCTCTGTCAGCAGACAGACTAGCTAAACCGTTCAAATGTCCCGGATCTGCGACCATAAGCAGAGCGTCTGTAAAACCGGCAAGGAAAAGGAGGAAGGTAGACTATGGAGGAGCAGATGGTGAGAAGGAAGACGGAGAGAAGCCATGGACGAATGAAGATCGACTGGCATTAGCCAATAGAGATGTCAACAAGTTTCCAGTTTTCGAAGTCAAGGATAAAGATACAATGTTTCGAAAGCGATTCGCGGTTCCATTGATCAACAAGGATTCTGTCACATATAACCCAAATCGACCCCCTCCAACTCTAGGACTTAGGCAAGGGGCTGTATTTATTGCCAAAGCTCTTCACGACCCCAGCGGCGAGTTTGCCATTGTCCTCTACGATCCTACAATCGATGAAAAACCGAAGACGATCGAGGAAGCGAAAAAGGCAGATGCACCGGAGGCTCCGAAAATCGATGCACCGTTAGTCCATAAAACCCTAGCTGAGATACTGGGTATCAAAAAGGTTGTGGAAGGCGAACGACCAAAAGTTCCCGTGGTGATAGACCCAAGGCTTTCCAAAGTGCTCAGACCCCATCAGATTGAGGGAGTTAAATTCATGTATAAGTGTGTAACTGGAATGATTGAAGAGAAAGCGAATGGCTGCATAATGGCCGGTAAGTTTCCTCGCCTGGGTGTTGTTTCTCAAACCATACTAATAAGTTAGATGAAATGGGGTTGGGGAAAACTTTGCAATGCATCACCTTGATGTGGACGTTGTTGAAACAGTCGCCTGATGCAGGAAAGGGAACGATACAAAAAGCAATCATTGCATGTCCATCAAGTTTGGTCAGAAACTGGGCAAATGAGTTGGTTAAGTGGCTCGGTCCAGATGCCATCCAGCCTTTCGCGATAGATGGAAAGCTATCGAAGGAGGAACTCACATCACAAATTCGGCAATGGGCCATTGCCAGCGGAAGAGCTGTTACCCGGCCAGTCATTATTGTATCGTATGAAACACTACGACTTAATGTTGGGGAGCTGAAAAACACCAAAATTGGTCTCATGCTTTGCGACGAAGGTCATCGCCTGAAGAATGGAGACAGTCAAACATTTACCGCTCTAAACGAGCTGAATGTTACAAGAAGAGTTATCCTATCTGGTACGCCTATTCAGAATGATCTCTCCGAGTACTTCGCATTGATCAGTTTTGCGAACCCTGGGCTGCTAGGAACTCGTCTGGAGTTTCGAAAACAGTACGAAATCCCTATCTTGAAAGGGCGAGATGCTGCTGGAAGTGATAAAGATCGACAAAAGGGCGACGAGAGACTTCGCGAGCTTCTAAATGTTGTCAACAAGTTCATCATCCGAAGGACGAACGATATTCTCTCCAAATACTTGCCGGTCAAGTACGAACACGTCGTTTTCTGCAACCTTGCACCCTTTCAACTCGATTTATACAACCACTTCATCAGCAGTCCAGACATCAAAGCACTTTTGCGTGGCAAAGGCAGCCAACCGCTCAAGGCTATTGGTATGCTTAAGAAGCTTTGCAATCATCCAGATTTACTCAACTTACCAGATGATCTACCTGGATGCGAAAACTTCTATCCAGAAGATTACGTTCCAAAGGATGCACGTGGTAGAGACCGAGACATCAAGCCATGGTATTCTGGCAAAATGCAAGTCCTCGACCGCATGCTCGCTCGAATTCGCCAAGATACAAACGACAAGATTGTATTGATAAGCAACTACACTCAGACACTTGACATGTTCGACAAGCTTTGCCGTCATAGGGGTTACGGTAGTCTACGCTTGGACGGCACTATGAATGTTTCGAAAAGACAGAAGCTAGTCGATAAATTCAACGACCCAGACGGCGCTGAGTTTGTTTTCCTTCTCAGTAGTAAAGCTGGTGGTTGTGGCCTCAACCTCATTGGTGCAAATCGACTTGTTCTCTTTGATCCAGATTGGAATCCGGCCGCAGATCAACAAGCGCTCGCCAGAGTATGGCGTGATGGACAAAAGAAGGACTGCTTCGTGTATCGTTTCATTGCAACGGGTACCATTGAAGAAAAGATTTTCCAACGGCAGTCCCACAAGCAATCTCTTTCCTCGTGCGTCGTTGACTCGGCGGAGGACGTTGAGCGCCATTTCACACTCGACAGTCTGCGGGAGCTATTTCAGTATCACGGTAAGACGACCAGTGACACCCACGATACGTTTAAGTGCAAACGTTGTAAGCCGGATGGAAAACAATACATCAAAGCTCCCGCGATGATGTACGGCGATACAAGTACGTGGAACCACTTCATCAACGAGAACATGAAAAACATCCAAGATTTGCTGTTACGTCAAGAAGTTGGCGCGGATGAGGTTTCCGCTGTGTTCCAATATATTTCTCATTGACGGAAATCATGTAGAACCTTGTATCACTTACTAGCAGCGATGTTATTCTTTGTTTGGCGTCTGGGGTTCATAAGCGAGGATTAAAGGGGGAAACATCACGAATATACTTAGCGGCTACTATATCATGGGACTGCTTTTGTTCCCAAATGAATATTGAAATTTTGTAATTTACTCCAGCACGAGGCAGCCAACGCTGTGTGAAACCTGTGCGACATAGTATTGTAGTTCAATTTATGCTGACGCCTGACGGTAACTCATTCGTAGCACGCATTGCCGCACAAAACTGGTTGGGCTGTAAACCTTAATTTTCAACTGATGTGACTGGACTAATGAGAGAAAGTACAAGAGATCGAAGACCTAACATATTCCCCCAATAAAATTGTAACGAGCGGAATGGAACTAAAGCAGACGATATTCCTACAAGCTGAGATTTAAACCTCACTTCGTATAGGTTCTACCTTTCCTAGATTTCCCTCGTTTTAACGAATGGGATATTCCCCGATACTTTAAAGCAACTTCAGAATTGACTTTTCCTGTGCCCCGACTAGTACTTCATGAGAAGCTGGTCTGACAAGTTGCTCATGTCTCGCTCAAGCGCCAAGGAGTCCACCAGCGACAACAGGGCAGGAGACCTGTAGAACATTGATCGGACCGTTGAGAATAGAGATGAGCTAGAATAATATAAGTCAGTTCCTATATTACGCATACTGACGGTGAATGTGAACGTACAGCTGGATCTTGGTGCGAAGCTTGCGCGGTGGCGCGGGACATACAGCATACGGCTGTTTGTTTTCCACAACTACCTCCAGATCCAAGGACGCCTGTGCCTGTTCATTCTTAGTCTTTGCTCTCGCCATTTGATAACCAATTTGTTCAACTTGGACGGATAGAAAGGTCACTACTAACATCCAATTCCGATAGCCTTGGTGTTGACGGGCAAAATGCTCAAGTTGACAGTGACTCCATATATCAAACTCAACAGAGGCCCCAAGAGTGGCATTTGAATTAAAACACTGCCGTTTAATTCGTCGCCGTATTTGGCGTTGCAGCAAGAGATTTGTCCGCCAGCATTAGTACATGCTTGTGGGTCTGGAGCATTGGTTGGGGGATAAGTGCGGGCTTGAAGAGACGAGCCATGGGGAGTTGCTTGGACGAGTGTTGCCACGGAGAGGGCGAGGACGGAGACGAGAGTGGTAGAACGCATTGTGGTAGTGATTTGAGGTTTGTAGGTGATCAAAGACGGATGATTTATCAAGTGATCGCCTGCTTAGATGAATAGGTGAAGCTGAAGAGGAATCGTTGGCAGATGAGAAGCTCAGCGGGTGGTTGAAGACAATTTATATTGTAAAGAGGCTAACATTGTGTTCAATGAGTTCACCGAAGCTGCACCCAATTCCAGTTCCCGTTCCCAAAAGTTTAAAAGTAGGTGTAACTCTGCACCCCACATGCCGTGACCGATGTAGTGTAATAGTAAAGCCCTGAAGATGACGTGCGCTCAGCTATGCTCGTCTCCAAGAATGTAGTCTATTTCCAGGGCTATTCTTGGAACACTTGGTACCCAAGGATAACAACAAGTACGGCCTAGGTACCATATTGTCCTCGTGATACTTCTTTTATCTTTCTCGTGACATTTTAGCCTTGAGGATTCTTGCATCCGAGACACTACGAAAAGCATGGAGGGTTCTCGGGTTCGGATGTAGTGTCTCGGGTATGTCATTTTCATTTCAAGTACATGAAGGGAGAAGATTCGAAAACTGTAACCCAATGAAGATTATCATCAATCCTACGTGCCAGTCTATCTAGGACCTGGTAAGTAGCATTGGTGAACCATCTTTACAAAATAGGTTCGACGATCGAAATTGTAAGAGTGATCGATGATTTTCATTTCTCGAGCATGTCCAATGTATTCGAAACACAGAACTAGAGATAAGGAAGTCCCTTGATATCTCGGGAATGTTGCTCGTCCATTTTGGTACGTCATTTGCTGCAATGCTGCCATGTGTTAGATAACATGCGAAGGAAACCATGAAGGGTGATTATTCGATGGTAATCGAACATGTGATTCCATAATGGGACGTAGGAAAGAGTCATCGCAACGCACGCGGACCTAACCAACGAAACATAAAGCAAATGCAATATATAGATAAGCTTTATTAGTATTCAAATATAGATGGCAAGATCCAAAACTTGAGATTGACATAAAAACGCCTGAGATGCTTTCCGAAATAAGGAAGATTCACCGAAAATCAGCTTCCCACACGCTCCACCAAACACCCATGTTGGCTGCAACAACAAGATCGAGCATTTTGAATCCCTCGTCGTGGATAACAAGCTTTCCTAGTTTTGCTCTCTTACCCCGGTTTCCACCTCCTGCCTTCTCTTGGCCAAGACTCAGATCCAGCCGGCCATCATCTTCATCGTGCCCTGGGTGAGACTTGTGACGGACATCATAATCGTCGTCCTCCCCATTTAGATTATCAGCAAACGAAGAGTAATTCGATCGTGGTGATAAAGGGGGTCGATCTTGCGGATCTTCCGAATCCGTGAAATAGCGAGAAGAATTGGGTGGCCTAGGTGGTAGAGCTGGCGAATTCTCCGAGGATAACTTATTGCGTATATGGCTGAATTTTGGAACGCGAAAATGCTTTGTACCTTGCTCCTTCGTGTGGGCTACGAAGGAGGCAAATATATCAGAGGATGGAAGATTGAAGCGAAGCTCGCTTACAGGTGCGGGTGGGGGGGCAGCAGCCATAGATTCATAAGCATGACTTGTGGACGTATTGTTTGCTAAAATGTGTTTACATCGCAGACTTCGACCTCCCGAACCAGTTGTGAACTTACAACGGCCTCCCCACAGACTTGTAAACATGTAACCCTTTTCGTCTGATTCGTCTGAAGAATGCCTTGTATGGGATGTTCTGGTAGTACCTTCAGGCATCCCGGTCGTGGAGGTGCTACTTTCATCTTGCACCCGAGTCGCACTTTTCAATGCGAGGTCCGAAGCTGTCCTTTTGTGTTGCATCGCAGACCGCGCCCAGAATCCAGACCCTTCCATGCTAACCTGCCGATGGAAGCTGGAACTCAAAGTGGACCCTCGCTGCTGATCTGCCTTAATTTGATCGGCAATGAAGGATTGTTTGTCGGGTAGTTTGGCGCTTGTTGTGCCGTCTGTTGGTTGTGAGTTTGTGTGTGATGCCCGAAAAGGTGCATAGCCTGGAGATGTGATGTCGACAGAGATATCAAAATATGGTTTCTTCGTCTTTGGAGGAGACCTTGACCCGCTGTCAGGTTTGAGTCCTACAGCAGGACGTCCACTCACTTCTCCAATATTCCACTGAGCTCCAGAAGTCGGATCTCGCCGTATAATCGTTATCGAGAAGTCATCGATGGGGTTTCTCCCACCGTAGTTGGCTGACTGCTCGGATACTCCGAGCTCCATGCTTCTGCTTGAATCGCTGCTGACTTTAGCTGATCGTCCTAGGTTTTGTGAAGGTAGTGATGCTTCATCTTCAGCTTGAGGCACCGAGTCACTTGTGGCACCTGAATTGGATATCGGCAAGCGAGGACCCACTGGTCGCCGGCGTATAGAATGCTGGGTAGAGATGTTGGTGAGGGGTGATTTAGACGTAGTGTGAGTACGGGCATTGACTCCTCCCGAAGCTAAATCAGCTTGAGATACTTCCAGAGAAGCTCGAGCTGACTCGGGAAGAGGTTTCCGAGAAAGAGGCTTATGGAGAGATGTGCTCCTCGCAAGCTCTGCTGGATCCGGAGGCAAGCTTGTCCGAACTTCCTCTGAAATTCGCAAATCATCTGCTGTATTGAAATGCAGGTAGTATAAAGAGCTTGCGACATCCTGAGCGGTCACATTCTTAAGTTGCGGCTTGAGTGTAGTGAGAATAATATCTGTAATCATGGTTAGCAGCATGAAGATAGAGCTAAGAAATGTGTCTACCTCTCGTCCCAGGTACTCGAGCAATATAAAGAGTTAAAGGTGATCGCTTCTGCGCAGTTGGATTTCGAGGATATCGTGGAGGGTTCGACGCTAACTGAGTTATATCCGAGAGCGAGTGTGCTTCTACAAAGAGAGAGGCCATTTTGTTGGTCGTAGTGGTGAAATGCGAGATTTTCCGTGAGATCTTCCAAGTTTGTTACCTCGTACTGATAGAGATCGCTGTAGGGTGTCAAGGCACCGAAATAGGAAATGAAATGATGATACGTCTATAACGTGATGGTGCTCGTGGTCTTTCCAAGATTCATAAGAGCAACACCTTGTGATTAATATTATTCGGTCTGGTGAAACTTCAATGACAATATTCTTTTGATCCTTAAAACGATCCTGATGCTGCTGCTGTTCCGGGAAGGCGACCAAGAAAATCCATATGTGGAATTGACAGCAATGTTGAGCCGTAAAGTAGGCCGCCTTATTCTTTGTGCGTGGCTCTACAACCTTTGTATCTCAGCCATCTTGCGCGTCTGGGAGAGGCTGAGCTGGCCGTCGATGTTGTCAGCCAGCTAGGTAGGCTAGGTAATAATAAATTTACCTATTATGCGTTTGATGACGCGCAGCTGCTCACCGGTGCTCAATCAAGAGCTGGACATTTTGCTGTCTTTAATTTAATGTGGATAAGTGGAAAGTGTACAAAGAAATTCGATCAATTAACATCAAGGTCGTGTTTATTTACAGCAACATCCATGGCGTCGGTTGAAGCTTGGACTGGGGTGCAATCAAAAGCCAATCGGGGCGTCATTAAAGGTGGGGCACAAAAAGTTCGACTCCCACCGCAAGGTTTCGTGAATTTCATGGACGATACCGTCGATTGGAGCATTTTATTCTGCCAGTCCCCGATTGTCTTGTAAAGTTAATAATCAAAACTGTCGCAATTATTGTATCGCTTCTGGGTCCTATACTCAAAACGAAACTCCCATCGCCATGGCCGACAGTACTCTGGAGGTCGGTCTTTGATCTTCCCCGCCATTTAAGACTTTCGCGCATTTGCTAACATCGATTTGTAGGAACGATTGCGAGAACACGCAGACTCATTTGACAGTCTACTGTCACTAATTCCCGCGAAGCACTATTATGGCGAAGATAACAGTGTATGTCAACCCATCTATGATTGCTTTAAAATTCGAAAGATGATTTACGAACCCCACATAGGATCAATGGAAGAAGAAGAAACAGACCAAAGAACAAGCCGCCGCCGCGAGAAGAGCTAAACTGGACCCCGACTCTGCGAAAACCGCAAAGGATGTCATGGACGAAAGAGTGCGGAAGAGGAAACTCGAGGAGTTGGAGGAACAGGAGGACTCGGATATTGAGGGTGTAGAGAAGGAAAAGCCGAAGCAAGGCATGAAACAACCCCAGGAAAAGAAAACCAAGAAGCAGAAGGTGGATCAAAAGCAAGGGGAAAATCAAAACTCTCAAAGTGCAGAGTCTAAGATAGCTATCGCCACCGAAAAGTCGAGGCTCAAGCAGGAGCGAAAAAAAGAGAAAAAGGCAAACAAACTCAAAAAGGCCGAAGAAAAAAAGGAGGTCGTGCAGGGTTCAGATTCTAAAGCAACGAAAATACCGGCGGCCAACGACGTTGCAAAGTCGAAACAGAAAGTAGTCACTAACAAGCACGCTGAGACTGCTGTGGATCATGAGGAGGAGGAACTCGCAGAAGGAGAGAAAATAAACTTTGAAGCAGATGGATTAGAAGGCGAAACTCAAGACTCTACAGCTTCTCCCAGCTCAGCACCACCTTCGCCTACATTTGATAATTCCAATCAAGAAACAAGTACCAGTACCTCTACATCTTCCACCATACCCCCAGCAACTGTTCCGAAACACATAAAACTCCCAACAAATCCCGAGCTATTACAAGCTAGATTAGCATCAAAGATAGAGGCATTACGAGCCGCTCGCAAAGCCGATGGCCCTGATGGAGCGCCAGCACGAAATCGACAAGAACTGTTGGAGATACGGAGGAAGAAGGAGGACCAACGGCGCGCGCATAAGAAGGAGCTACGCCTAAAAGCTAAGATCGAGGAGGATGCGCGGCGGGAGGCAGCTTTAGCATCGGCACGAGACTCACCAGCTTCGAGCATGATGAGCCCATCCATTCAATCCCCACCTCAAAATTTCTCTTTTGGGAGGGTTTCATTCGCTGATGGACAGCAACTGGCTGATGACATGACGAGTACTCGTGATGCTCCAAAAAAGCGCGGTCCACAAGACGCAGCGAGTGCGTTAGCAGCCACTGAAAAGAAACGTCTTCGGTTGGCGGGACTGGACGACGAGAAACGAGCTGACATCGAAGAGAAAGATCTCTGGCTGAATGCGAAGAAGAAGGCCCATGGAGAGAAAGTACGGGACGATACCTCTCTTCTCAAGAAAACGCTTAAGCGGAAGGAGAAGATGAAGACGAAGAGCGCGACGGAGTGGAATACGAGAAAGGAGGGCGTTGCGAAAAGCCAAGCGATGAAGCAGAAGAAGCGTGAAGAGAATCTCAAAAAACGACGAGATGAGAAAGGAGTAAAGGGCAAAAAGGTTAAGAACAAGAAGACCAAGGCGAAAAGTAGGCCGGGGTTTGAAGGGAGTTTTGGATCAAGTAAAAGGAAATAAGGGAGTTTCGGCACTGTAAATAGTTGATACTGTTTGTTTCTAAAGTAAATGGTTTTAGGTGATACCATCTTGGCACTAGCTGTCTCAACAAAATAAATTACTACTGTTCACAATCACGTCTATTCTTACTTCGCTACCACATCAAGAGATTCCGTGAAGTATGGCATATGAATTATCATTTTCGCTCCATTTTCCCTATGTAAGAAAAGCATAGTATCGTGCCTCGTACACTGTATAGAAGTCAAAAGCCCCTCCCGCGATTTGCTTTCTTTCGCTGCCACAATATCACATGTAGCAGAAACCCCAGTAACCTAGCGCCTTTTGCAAAAACAGGTATACTCCTTGCATTGAAAAAATCTTTGGTATTTTAATAGGCGCTATTAAGACAAGGTAGAAGTCCCGCCACACCCGTTCCGTTGGCGCATCTCTCGCTTCGCGGTTGTCCCTTCGAAATATGTCTCTTCTGTTATAGGAGCGAGTCCAGTCTTGTGAACACGCTAAGACAAGCTGCTACCACCTGGATATCTGTTAGTACCATACTCAAATCATGTAAACCCTATGAGAACTTACCTCAAGTTGCAGCTCTTCATCCTTGCCATTGGCAACTTCTTCTGCAATAACCTGTCCCAAGTTCGCGCCAACACCGCCGGAAGCCCCTCCAGCTCTCTTTCCAAAAGGCCATTGGCTGTACTCTGCTAGTAATTCGTCCACCTGGGCAAAGGCCCTTTCTCTAGACTCATGACCTAAGCTTGCGAGCGCATTCTCGAGCACGTTCGCGGCATAAGCTGCGCATACCATTGCAATGGTACGAGTGTATCTGAATTTGAGATTTTCTGGGAGGAATTGACTGCCTGGAAGAACCACTGTTCGCTGTGTCAAAACGTTCCTAACCCTACGGCGTATTTCCTCCTTTGCGCCTCCGTCTGCAACTGGATGTGTCGCCATATCGAATAGCAGGAAATTTCTCTTCTCGGTTCGGAGGATTCCCTTATCAACAAGGCCTTTTGCGAGACGCTCGCGAACCTGTTTTAATTGATATCCGATTTTCATAAGATTCCAAGTTTCACCTAAACTTGCGGTCAGAATGATTTTACGTTACCTACCCCTTTTACGACATTGGATTGTATTTACCACTCATCAAGTCAATCCACGAGCTAACGCTCATCTTCTCACTAGCTTTCATCATCTTAAGCGCCTCGTCCAGCAGAACTTCACCGGTCAATGTGTCGTCGATGACCTCAATAACACGATCGGCGAGGGGGAATCGGCGCCTAGAGGAATCTTTCTGCATACTAACCCGCCCTCGAAATGCGAGTTCGATAACGATACATCCTCGAAGCGCGTAAGATATATTGTCGTTCCAAAAGGAGAGGTATCCCTACAAACCATTAAATTGAGCGCAAAGTAAAATATTCCCTCACACCACCTACCTGCTTGTCTTTCAACCCCAATAGCAGCACCTCCTCCATCAGCGTAAGCTTAGGCTGCTTGCTGCGCTCAGTACTCTCGCTGATATCCCTGGGATCAAATGCGATTTTGTGTCCATTTTCACCGCTCTCGTATGATGTTTCTGGTCCGCCGGTATCTCGAGACCCTCCAGCCTTTGGTGCCGGTGAAGCCACCCGAGAGGAATCCCCATTCTCGTTCTCGGCACTAGCACCCCCACCACCACCTCTTCTTCGTGTAAGTCCCGTTGACATATCAAGGGGGTGGGGTGTAATCGTCCGTTGATGTTGTTGTTGGGGGATTGCACAAAGGAGCAAGTCGAAGCTCAGTGGGCTGCGAGTAAGACAGGTATCTCTCCGATTGCCATGCACGAACTGGATCCCTTCGAAAATCGATGAGGCCACAACCTTTTGCTGATATCGCGACTAGTTCCGAGAGAATGCGATTACGACTTTCGACAAGTGGATGTTGCGCAAGGTTAGTGAATTATGCTCTGAAGAGCGACTCGTACTCTTGAAAGCTGTGATGAAGTTGGTGCACGGGCAGGGGACCGACACTAGCGAGACTATTTTCGGACGAGGCTCAGAAAAAAGATCCAGCGACCATATTTTGTAGCACCATGAAAGGCCGAGGCCAGACAAGCATTTTGTGGACTTAGCATGGATTTCTACCTTACCTCTCTTAAGTGATTTCCAGTATCTTGCTGCAGGTAAATCTACACTGGGGAGTATTTAACATAGCAGACGAAGATGTGGTTTTGGGCTTCCACCATCATTGTTATCACATTACAGTTTGAAACAGAGATATCTCACGTTGGACTATTTTCTAGCAACATTCGACAGAGTAGATATTTGAACATTTACATGCGCACGAATTCATTACTTCCTTACGAGACAAACACTGTACAAAAGCTCTTCGCCCTAACCACATTCAATGGCCATGGATTCTCCTGTTTGTCCAGATACCCTCTAAAAACCCCTAATATACAATTCAACCACCTAGTGAGCTTTTCAAAAGTTAGCTTGTCTCTTGCGCTCTGTAGCGGAAACACTTACCATCTGGCTGCGCAAGAATGTACTCTACGGCCTTGTCAACTGTTATGAGATGGTTAGCTTCTCCTCGCACTTTACACCACGCCACCGAGGATCCTTACTACTGTGGATAGCATCCGCCTCCTTGTCCGGGATCTCGATACTAAACTCCTATATACCATCAGTACACCTTGAATTGGAACGCAATGTCATATCCTAACTAACCTCCTCGATCGCCATCACAACCTCAACGGTATCCAAACTGTCCAAGGCAAGATCGTTTGCGAAGTGAGATGTAGAAGTAATCTGTATATCATTAAACACTGAACTTCTCAAAGTTATTTGGTGTTTTATCGTACTTTACTTGGGTCGGTGACCTAGAGAAATGTTAGAAACGTGGTAGTGGGCTCTGTGGGCAGACTGACTTTATCAAAGTTCTTCAATAAATCGACTATTCTTCCTTCTACCTCCTGCTTCTTGAGACCGGCCGCGGCAGAATAGCATCTTAACCCTTGGAACGCAGTCGGGGCGAATTGTGATTTGGTGACGAAAGCACCGGAAACAGCTGGGCGAGCAATTGGCGCTGACCACCGTACAGCCTGGCATGTAGCGCTACGCGCGGATTTGAGAAGAGCTGTTCGGAACATTGTGGGGGAGGATGGACTTGTGGAGTGGTATGATGGCAGAAGAGATATTGCTTGACGATGAAGCTCTCTCGGCTTGTCACTTCATCTGGAACTAAGCTAATGACATCACGTGGTCTGGCCTATGAATTGCAGGGGTTAAAGGCAACACCATCTGAACCATATGGCAGAGGGACTTTATCAAAAAAATTAATGTATAGGTTTTGTACCTTGTCCAACGTAAAGAAAGTATATTTTTGTCAATTTTTTCTTCTAAGATCCAAGTTAGGTGGCAATTGGAGCTATCTGACGCTAGCCAATCAGAAGCGCCGCATTTTGAATCCACGACCTCAGTGCTCGGAATTTCGAGACTACAACTGACACTTCTTCAACAACATTGCCACGAGTAAATACATAATGGCATCCGCGAAGCCTTTGACGATGCTCGTGGCTCGAAGCCGACCAACTGCGAGGGTTTCGAGCGCTGTGCGCACCTTCAATCTGAGTGCAGCAAACATCGCAGCGCTTTCCACGACTTGCGCCCGCGCATACGCCACTCCATCAGGACCACCGCCACCAGGCTTTCGATTAGCAAGACCAGAGAGATGGGATGAAGGAAAGGAGTCTTCGTTAGACAAGGCTGGGAAATACTTTCTCCTGACAGAAATGGCAAGGGGAATGTATGTGGCGTTGGAACAGTTCTTCAGACCTCCGTATGTTTTGGTATCAGGCTTTGAGAAGGTAGATCAGAAGTTGCTAACTGCCTGCAGTTATACCATATTTTATCCATACGAAAAGGTAACGAACTCGAAGGAAACTAGTCGGCAGACTTCTAACACGTTTTCAGGGCCCTATATCTCCACGGTTCAGAGGCGAGCACGCTTTACGGCGATATCCTACCGGAGAGGAACGTTGCATAGCCTGCAAGTTATGTGAGGCTGTATGTATCCGCCGACATATACAGGAGGCACATGCTGATTTCATTTTAGATTTGCCCCGCTCAAGCTATTACAATCGAAGCCGAGGAGCGTGAAGATGGAAGCAGGAGGACGACACGATATGATATTGATATGACCAAGTGTATCTACTGCGGATTCTGCCAGGAGAGTTGCCCAGTTGACGCCATTGTTGAATCACCAAATGCGGAATATGCTACTGAAACGAGAGAGGAGTTATTGTACAACAAGGTACGTTTATTTCTGTCAGCTTTGAGAATTATGACTAATTATAATCAGGAGAAACTGCTTGCGAATGGAGACAAGTGGGAACCAGAACTGGCGGCGGTTGCTAGAGCAGACGCTCCTTACAGATAGTTTCATTTTCTAAATCTCTTGTACATAAAAAACAATGTTCATACATCTCATGGGCAGATGCTATTAAGCAACCCTTTATGCTCAATTTTAGATTTCTCATGAACATTTATGAAATTAATTTGACGTGTCACTCGATTTGTAGAAGGGCGCTGCTAAGACCTCCTCCTGTTCAGTGCTTTCTTGCTTTAGCAAAAGCTTTAATAGATACTGCGACCCGTACACTTACAAGCTGTACTTAAAGAGTTATCTGTTATCTACTGGCACCATATCATAGACGTAAAAGGACATTTAAATATGCTTCGTGGAAGGAGTCCTCTCATCGAATCCGACTATTAGCGAATTGAAGTCTACGAACTTCAACAAACTAAGAGCTGTTACCCCGATACTGACGCAATTCAATAAGAGTTATAGTGTCATCGCGGCCTGGAAACTCGTAGGAATTGAGTTGCTTGACAGCAGGATCTAGTTTTAAAAACTCATCGATAGTTATGAACGGACGAACTTCAGTCCTTCCACGAGCATTCTGCAGTGCTCCTCGGGCTCTGGAAACTCCACCACGGAAAACTAAGTAGATTACTTGACATTGAGGATGGCACTGCGTTCAATTATAAAGATGCGGCATTTCCAACGTCAACAGGTATTTAACTCTACACTAAGAGATACTACAGATATCTTGTTCAAAAGGTATGTATATTCAGGCTAAGATGCAAGGTGAAAAGGTTCAGTAGTCATGTATTCCAGTTCGTTATTCTGTAGAGACTTAGTAAATCAGCTGTTTGCTAGCATCCCTAGGGACGGCGCATTAAAATCTTGATGAATGGATGTAAACAATGAAAAGAATTCAAAAAAGAGAAGATATCATGAAGTTGAATTTTTTCCTTTTGCATTGTTCTAACCAGGGACATATCTCAAATGTGAAACTGAGAAGCTTGTCCTAATGTTTGAATTGAGAAACCTTCAATCAGCGTCAACAAGGAAAATAGGAATTCGCTTGAAGATAACTTAGAAGGGCCTCAACTGACTCTTACGAGAACTTAATTTAATGACAAGGTCAAAATATCAAGATGTGTTACCCAAATCTCTGGATTTATATAGACAGATACCTGTAAATAGTCACAGTTGTGAGCCTTCAAAACATGTAGCGTAAGGATTTACAACAAATAAGTGAAGCAAAATTTTAATTGCCATGGTTAAGAACCCACAAAGATGATATGAAGTGACTTCATTACCAGTTTTCGGCCTCCGTTGTATGTTCTATTCAGTACATAAAATTTAGGGAGCTACACACTCATGAACAGACGTCTGCTAGGTGGCTCCTTCCACTAACAGCTAATTCGTTTGCAACCAATTCTGACGCCTGACGTATACCTAGGTACTACCTACCTATTCTCCCAATCCTAATCAACAAAATTTTCAAAAGAATTACAGATAATGAAGATGGCAAAGGTGAAAGCCGAGAAGATCCATGGATTCTTGGGGTAAGTGTTCCTAATTCCCCAAACAACCACAAAAGCAAGTGACAATGTTGACAACTCGCAGTCAATTCGGCATAGAAATGGTCGATTTATTCGTCGGGCCTACGAAACAGCAATTCAGAGTCCACAAGGCGCTTCTTTGCTCCCGAGTCGAATACTTCAAACAGATGTTCGACAGCGGTTTCATCGAAGCGGAGGAGAATTCGGGATTCCTGCCAGACGAAGATCCAATTGTGTTTAGCTTGTTTCTTGAATACATATACGGTGGAGGGCGCTTGGGACCGGTAGATATCGAGAGGAGCACGACAGCCACAGGACCGGTGATTGACAGGATCAAATTGTATGGATTCGCAGAAAGGATAGCGTTGGTGGATTTGGCAGACTATGTTATGACGAACTTGGTTTCGAATCTGGCTTACTATGAGAGGACACCGAGTAAGGATGGGATGAGACTGGCATACGAAGTGACGAAACCTGGTTCGCCTTTGAGGAATTATATGAGCCACAGCTTATACTACATCATGAAATTCGATGACGAGGAGAGCGCCTGGTCGACACGAACACTATGCGATACGCTCAAGGAGACTGATGACTTACTGTTCGACCTCATTGCGGTTACTAGGAAGCATGAAGCAGCCCAGCCAGCCTCGACTAAAAGGTCTATTGATCCGAGAGTCGGATCAAAGTGTCGATGGCATTCGCACCCAGATGGAAAGCATTGCATATTGCAGGGAGAGATACTGTAGCGAGGTTAGACGAAGATGTACATTTAACGGACGGTGGGCTATTACTGGGGGTTCGGTTGAATATTCAAGCACGTAGGAAATAATGACAGCATCGGTGGCCTTATCACAATTATGAACTGACATGATGGGTACGAAGCGTAATAAGTCCAGTGAAATCAGAGGCCCAAAACCATCAAATATAATTTGACAAGCTCAATTCGCTTTCCATCGCTTGCCGCCTCCTTTCTGCCACAACCAAGCAGCTTCTACAGCGTACACTTTACTTCCCTGGTGGCCACCCTCTGCGCTAGCAGCTTCTTCGAGAGTCTGAACAATCTTGCCCTCCTCCACACATCTCCACAAGCCCTTAGTTATTTCATTATCCTCATCTCCCCACTCTCCTCTACCCAGCCTGTACAAAAGTCTCCCAAGGGTCTGAAAGGCGATACAACGCTGAGCAGGGTAAGCGGATCGCGAAAGTCTTGCTAGTTCGGGTACAGTGTATCCGGCAGCTTCTGGTGCTTCGCCATGGTGGTGTAGGCCCTTTGTGATAGGCATGGCTCTTGAAATACGTGGGGGTAAAATCCCGCCTCTGAAGTCAAACCGCAAAGCCGACGCTGGCAAAGCTTCATGTGCTGGGTAATATGGGGATTCTTGGTCTGCAATAGAACCGTGTGTAGGTATGGGGGCCATCCAAGCCAATTTCGAGGGATCGTTGGGGAGGTCGGGGAAATATTTACTGTGTAAATTCTCAAGAAATGATGGGTCCGAAGGATCTAGATCTGCGACTGGAGGAGCAGATGGAAAATGCACATCTGGTACGTTTTCGTGGCCTATGCTGGAGTTCAGTCCACTCGCCTCGGGCTCCTTCGTCTCCTCGTCCTCTTCGAACCGTACTGACTTCGATGGCTCTACCAGCCGTCCAGCTGGCTTAGGTGCAGGTGTGATTTTTGATTCCCTCTCCAAGTTTGCGTCCTCTCCTCCCTCAAGAGCCTTGGTCGGACTTGGCAGATCTATGCCAGTATCACCTCGCCCTTCGTCCAAATTCGCCCGCTTTAGGAGTCGCTCGATTAAAGAAGGGTTCAATCCGGCCAAAAGCTCCTGTCTCTCTTCATCTATCTCTGTGGTTGACATGGCTGCAAGCCGCTGCTTATTCTCCTCATCGATCCGTTTTCGTTCGTCATCGTCGAAAGATTGTGCGGTTTGACGCGAGGAAACCCCCCTTGCTGGCTGTAAATCGCCCCCATTCGGTCTATCAAATACTACAGGTGTCCTCGAAGGAGCGGCAGCTTGTGTTCTCTGTTGCTTGAAAGCTGATATTCTTGTCCTCTTTTTGTGTTCAGGAAATCCAGTAGGAGTTTTCTTCAAAGTTGGGGCGGAGGGAGGTGCTGTAACGCGCTCTTGGATGTCGCTCACGAAGGGCAGTGATGGTAGCGCACCATTTGGTATTCTTGACGTTGATGCAATCTCATTTTCGTCGTCAGAGAGGTCTATTTCAAACCGCTGTCCCTTGAGATCCATTTGAGGCGATTGTTTTTGTTTGCTCGATAAAAATATCCAGGCGGGTCCAAAAAGATGGCTGCAGGATGATGTCCCGACCCGACACCTGCAAGTTTAGGGCTGACAAACGCTTCGCTTAACCCCACCATTCCACCCCGCGCCCCCTGGACGGGGCACCAATACGAAGTACTTTGTACTTGCTTACGGGGGTAATTTTTCAAAGTATCTTGTAAAATTAGTTCTCAACAAGTCGTTTAATATTCGTTAACCATGAAGAGAATCTCACTGCATTAATCTACTAATGTATTCGATCGCACGAGAAAACAAAAAGTGATTAGTATCTATCAAGAAGAGTTGGAATTTACGGATGTGTATTGTGATCAATATTATCATTTTCTTTATCATGATACCGCTCATGAATATAGCATAGTATACATTATTGGTTATGCAAGGCCTATTTCTTCAAATCTTCCCAGCTCTAGACTCGATTTTCTGTCCCTTATCGAATGTATCATCCTACATTCGTGCGTCTCCCCGGCGGGAGAAGCAATAGCTTTTGAAGTAGTGAACACGATTTTTCAGTTGTTTGATATCGGATCACTAAGATAGGCCATTGTCTGCCGAATTATTCTGGAAACGAAATTGAAGGAACATTTTTTGGTTTTTTGTAATCAATATCCAGACTTCATTTACAGTGGAAAACACTAGGTATTGAGGATTTGCCAGAATCGATATTTGTCCAAATCATAGATACAGAATGACATCGCATTTCTGCTGAATGGGAGGACATCGTAAAGCCTACTGGATTTTGTTTTGTCAAGTGATGATGACGAGATTGGTTCTATCGTTCTGTAAATCGGCAAGATAATTGTTCCTCTCTATTGTCAATAGAAAGTTGGCCGGTGATATGTAGTCATTGGTGCTTCTTCTGAGATGACTTCGCATATGGACTTTCCTCCAAATAACACTAAGAGTACATTTGCAAAATACGACCTCAGAGAGATTATTCCTATCAGAATCTCAAGCACCTTTGCTTCTTCAAATGTAGCAAATTTAACTTATATATTAGCGCAGCTGCGCTTGAAATAAAATGAAAACTCCTTGTAATCTCTGATCATCAAGTTATTGGATCATGAATGTTAAGACAATCGATAAGGTGAAGTGATTGTTACTCATCCGAAGTTTGATGAGGAAAAAACAAATCCATACTCTGGCTCTGTTGCATAGCTCTGCTAAGACAGTGTTTACGTTCATTACAACATCTCCGAGAATGGCCTCGAAAACGGCGATGAATCTTCTGGAAAATATCTTTACTAAATGAAACTAGTTCTTACATTAGTTTTTTAAACATAGGAAATTCAAATGTTCATTTTTGCAAGGACGATTGGAACGTAATTGCACCGAAACTGTCTACGCGGCGAGACATAAATGATCTTACGAAAAAGCAAGAACGGTTGAAAGACAGATAGAATTATTGACCACTTATCGTCATTACTGCCCCCACTGTTTCATGTCTTTGTTCGAGCATAATAAGAGAGCGCACACGATTGCAATATTAATGTGAGATCAACTCGGAACAATCACAGTGAGATTCGTGGAAAACATATCATGGAGGTATGCACCAGTGTAAGATTCAAGTGAGTATTCCTAGTTCTGCCAAGCTTGTGAACAACAGATGCATTACAAATCCTGAGGATTAAATTTACACAAAGAAGAGCTGGCAGGGATATGCAAAGTTTTTTGGTATGTTCTAAAGCCCTCCCAAAATTGTCTTCAAAATAAGACCTCGGGACAATCGGGCACCCACTTAGCAACGAGTGACTCTAATGAAAACAAATTTGGCACTACACCACACTTACGGCAATCCATGATTATTGTATACTGAAAACAACATGGTGGAATGCACGTAAAGCTTGAAACTTTTGTTTATCGTCTACGGTTGGTTTGGTTTTATGCCCTTACGTTTTCCGAGTGTTGGCTTGTTGGTTACACATAAGCGGACAAATACCCGATGAAGAAGAAAAGAATGGAGCTATGAATAGGCTTGTGCATCTGTCCCATTCCCAATGAAACGAAAAAGGACTTTGAATAGGCCGCAGGAAGTTGGAATACTCCTTAAAACCAAGCCTAGCACGATGTGAGTGGTCAGCTGGTCAGCTTGGTGCAATGCGATGTCAACTAGACGCTAACAAACCTTGAACGTCTTTTGGTTGTCCCACCAGTAGAAAGTACTACTTCATCAAGTATCCGAATGCTAGGTGAATTCTTATGACTCGCAAGGCGTCAAGAAATGATTGTACGAGGACCTGTTACGCAGATTCATGAGTTGTGCATGTTGGAGACAGGGGTTGGGTTGAACCTTGGGAAGATCAGAAACGCATGTGGCGCTCCGTCGCCATTCCAAGCCAACGAGCAGAGCAGTGTCTCAATGGGGAATCTTACACAATTTCTAGGAAATTCCGTGTAGTGATTAATCTAAGCATAATAGAGCATATAAAAAGATATCAATGATTCAGCCAACGGTGAAGAGCAATTACTAGCGCCATACGCATCCCCATATCGTCTCGGCTGTCAATATCACATAGTCTAAATCCACCTAACGCCAATAGCCAAGCTGATTGGCCGCAAGTAAATGCAACAGCCGGAACTTTGGCAGTCGCCCCGTATCCTTGTCCCCTTATTGTCAGTCTGAGTACGGCAGGCAAAGGCAGGCTCGTTCCAAGCAGGGCATCTCAGATTAGCTCAATTCTGTGGTTCCCAGCACGGATATATCGCAGAAAAATCGCCAAAACTCACCCTACTTATTAGGCGCAGACTCTTTTAATCCAACATCATCCGCTCTCCTCTTTCGACCCCGTCGTTCCCTCCCTTTTTCATGATGGTTTTTTATCAACTACCACTTTAATATCATCAATCGCGACCCGTCTTTCGGTCAAAACGTGCGCACCGCTCCCACTTACCTTTTCCTCGAGTTCGGAGGGCCCCTGGCCTACCCGTGAGCCGCCGCAACCGCATTTGCGTGTTCCTCGTCGTCCTGCGTGTCCTTTTTTGCAAAACGAAGCCATTCGCAAGTCGTTTATCAAGTCACGCGTTTCAGATTCACAACGTACGAACCTCTGCACCCACCCCCTTTTGGGACATTAGGTGTATAAGTTAAAAACACACCACAACTACTAGCAATCGTGCGCTGCACATTGTTTCGACATGGCCTCCAATGCTCCGGGCGCGGTATCTGACGATTCTCTATCCTCACCACCACACTCTCCCTCGCCTGAGCCGCTTCGCCATGCGAGTGCTAGCGTCCATATCGCCCCACTAGGTATTAATGCCTCCAACAGTACAACCACATCAGAACCCGCCGTCAAGGCCAGAAGGAAGCCGGGAAGAAAACCACGAAATTATGTTCCTGGCCCAAATTCTCCTCCCCCTAAACAACGAAAGCCGAGACGGCCCAAGGATCCCGATGCACCCCCCGTGCAACGCAAGCGGAAGAGTGGAGCAACCCCAGCTCCTGAAGCTCGCTCGTCTTTGCCCTCAGGGTCCTTCTTCACCGACGGTGGGAAGAGCGAAGTAGTAACTTCAACGGTTCCCAATAATGCTAGCTTTTTCGATCCTACGGCTCAGCAGCAACAGCATGCCCCACCTTATCAAGCACCACGTTCATCTGGTCAAAATTATGATCCTATCCGATCTAATTATGATCCAGTAAGGGAGACAGTCGTGAGCCACAACCCTTTCAGCTCACAGGTTTCTCCTCAACACCATAACGCTCAAAAATCACCATCAATCTCTTCTTTGGTAGATCCTCCTGGACACTCACCATCTATTGCAAGCCAGTCATTCTTCAACCAACAGCAAGCGGCCAGGTTGCACCAAGAAGCGCAACCGTCACCTACAGCAAACAGACTTGCACCTTCTGCTGTCATTGAATCACCATCTCAACCTCACCCACAACCTCCAACACTTGTTTCAAGGAAATCTGATACTATGGTACCTGGTCCCACCCCCATGGTGAAGAGAGCCTCGTTAGGTCATGGTAGTACTGCAACGTCATCAACGGCAGCTTCGCCCAAGCCGCCGAAGCTCAAGGAAGCCAAAGATGTATATCCCCCTCCACCTCCACTTCCTGGATCAGGCCTGATGCAGCTTGGTGGGATTGGTGGCGGCCCTACAGATGGTGGTACCGAGTTTCGTGCTCCTACTGTCGTCCTACACATTCCTATGAATGGAGAATCTAACAAAGTCATAAATTTCACGCGGATGGCAGAAGAGCGTTATGGTTGGGACGCACTTCACCCTCGTCTTGCTGCTCAGCGGGATCGCCTTGCCCGTGTTGCTGCAGCGGGTGCCGCTCTGGAGCGAAATGGCTCCAGCCGAGACAGTGGTGATGACATGTCACTCGACTCTGAAGGTGAAGGGAGTAACGTTGAAATGGGTGGTATGAGTGATGGTCGAGCTGGCACGGATAGCGGAGTTAAGAAAGTCGTCCGTAAAAGAAAGATGAAGGAGGATGATTACGACAAGGACGATGGATTTGTTGACGACTCAGAGCTGCTTTGGGAAGAACAAGCTGCCGCAGCGGACGGTGGTTTCTTCGTTTATTCGGGACCACTTGTCCCAGAAGGCGAGAAGCCTGCATTAGACCTAAGGTATGCACAAGGAATCTGTATTTTGACATATTGCTAACTTCTATTCAGAGCCGATGGTGCACCAAAACGTGGGCGTGGACGTGGCTCAAGAGGTGGCCGAGGAGGACTCAGTCGTGGTGCCAGTGCTGCTGCTGCTGCATCTGCTGCCAACGCTGCCGCGGGCGGTGTTGGAATTAATGCTAAGACTGGACTTCCTTTGTCAGGACCTGGATCTCGTGGGGGTTCAACGACCCGTAAACCTCGAATTACTAAAGCAGATCGCCAGCGTATGGAGCAAGAGAAGCTTGATCGTGAAAAGATGGGAACCATGACCCCTGCGCCCGCTGGTTACAATGGCATGGCCCAACTTGCTAGCGCAGCTAATATGGGCAATACCCCTATGGTCTTCAACCAGTAGAGTAGGAGATTTGTGAAGAACTGGTTTGTATTATTGGAGTCAATTTGGCTGTTACTGTCATAAAACGGGGCGGCGTTCTTTGAGGCATTGCCAGGGACTTTAGTTGACCTGATCAATGTTCTGAACGGTACTTGAGTGTACAATATTTAACCTCCAAACTGCATGGCGTTGGGTCTATCTGTAGATTACAAGATAATATTACAATTTTCCATATAGAAAATGGTCTGGGTGCCTCGAAAGATTGACATTGCTACTGTGCGCATAGAAAGAACGACAAGCTCAGCATAGAAATTCGAGGAAGACGCAAACGTCAGATGTAATAGAAGACTGAAGTTTTTATTTAACTCAAACAAGTAGAAGGGTTTAGTCTTCTGTTTGGCATGATCGAAATACAACATACCTTGATAGATGGATTTCGACTAAAAGCGGCGATGCCCTTAAGCCGAGTATTCTGAATCACGATCTACAATTTTTGAGCAAACGTTCGGTATACGAAAATGGCCACACAACAAGAGAAAAAGAGGGAGCGCCCTAGTGCGCTACGTTCCATTATCGCTGGATCTACTGCTGGAGCTGTAGAAATAGGTAAGGGATAAACACCCCATACGATCAAGCTGGTAGCTACAGGCCGCCATGAGCTATCACGTATCATCCCAAGTCTTTGCTAACATAATGATATAGCTATAACATACCCAGCCGAGTGTACGTCAGCTATTCCATGTCTATTAGGCCTTCAAGCAGACTACCGCCACTAACAAACCATCGCAGTCGCAAAGACAAGAACACAATTGAATCGCAGATTAGCAGACTCCGCGAAGCTCCCATGGCCGCCGTTTGGGAAAGCATGGTATGCAGGATGTACAACGCTTATTATTGGAAACTCGTTGAAAGCCGGAATCCGGTTCGTGGCGTTTGATCAATACAAGTCGATGTTACAGGATGAGAATGGGAATATATCTGGACCTAGAACTGTCATTGCGGGGTTTGGAGCTGGATTTACGGAGTCTTTGCTCGCTGTCACACCCTTTGAGAGTATCAAGACTACATTGTAAGATTGATGAATGCAATTGGCCTAGGTAAAGCTAATTGATGTGTTAGAATTGATGATCGGAAAAGCGCGAACCCACGATTGCGAGGGTTTCTTCATGCCGTACCCATAATAGCACGAGAACGAGGAATTCGGGGATTCTTCCAAGGCTTCGTTCCCACAACTGCTCGACAAGCTGCAAATAGCGCCGTTCGATTCGGATCATATACATTCCTTCGTCAATTGGCACAATCATATACAGCCCCAGGAGAAAAGTTGGGAGCTATATCCACGTTTGGAATTGGTGGTATTGCTGGACTTATTACCGTCTACGTCACACAACCCCTCGATACGGTTAAGACGAGAATGCAAAGTATTGAGGCAAGAAGTCTATACAAAAACAGTTTCGCTTGTGCTGCTCTGATTGCAAAGAATGAGGGGATCTTGACTTTCTGGAGTGGGGCACTTCCTAGATTGGTTCGGTTGATGCTGAGTGGAGGTATCGTCTTTACAATGTACGAGAAGAGTATTGATCTTATGGATAGGCTGGATCCGGAAAAGAGGTACATATAAATCGTCTAAATCCGGAAATATCTTGTAAGAATTTGAAGGGCTCAAGCATGGAGTTTATGGCGTTGATAGATCAAGTTATCGATTTGAACATTCTTCTTCCTTGCGCTGTAATACAACATGCACCTTCCAATGCAAACCCCATAACTCCAGTATATGCACAAACAATGTTACAGCGTAATTGTACAATCATGACACAATCCCTTCAACTTAAGCGTAACGATCCCTTCCACTTATTCAACATACTACTAAACCAGGACCGATTTGGCGCCTCCTCTAATTCCCTTACAAGGTCCTTGTAGTGTGTTGGGTTGCTTGTTGGTTTCATGAATGAAGAACCCAACGGATACTGTTGAATCATCAGTACAGTACCAGAAACCTTCCCTGGCCTCAGCAATCCATACCTGCTTTGTATACCTATTGTTGATCAGAGAATATATCGCATTGACTTGATCCATTTCCGCCTTCTCATTTATCGTTACTGCTCCCGCCGGCTTGCCATCTGGCACATTCTTTGAAGGGTTGAATTTCCGTTCAATTCGCTTCTGCATCACATCTTCGAATCTACATTCGGGTCGCAAAGCATCTTTCGGCCATTTCGAGAGCGCGCGAAGATAATGTTTGTAAACAACCTGTTTATAATTAGCCAATGTTTGCTCTCAAATGATATAAACTTACTGATTGGGACATTATTACGTGGATGTAAAGCAGTTCGTGGTCATGAATAACAAAAGTTCGTAATGACCCTGACAAGTCTTGACGTGGGTTAGTCGCATGTGCATATTCGGAACAACCAAATGACCGGTCCGGCTGCGCCAACCGCCTTCCAAGGTTGACCGTGTGATTAGCAACTCTGCGACGACTCAGGAGTTGGCATCTACTTCTCACAACACCCATTTCATCTCCTTCGTTATCACCCAGGCTCATCCTGAGTTAGAGCCTCTATTCTCTATTCCTTTTGTCTCTTCACTTTGATTTTACGATGAGCTCACAAAGATACGAACGGGTACGTCGCCTTTCAACCTTTCCATCTGATTGCGTGGCGAGCCAAGCCTCGCAATCCCATGAATGCCTTCAATGCTAACAGACAACATAGGTATCTGCCAACGACGACGATACCCCGACGAGCCCTCAAGCTCAAGTTCCGCAATCCCCTCCTCCCTCTTTTCGATCCAGAGACGCCTCACCCAGCTCCGGACGCATATCTCATAGTCCCCATACGTCCGTAAATCAGAATCTTGCGGATACATTCGATGCAGATGGATCGGACAGTGATGAGGATAATGATGGCGATGATAGACAGAGACTCATGAGAGGGACCCCATCGACATCTTCCGCCGAACAAACAACCACCGAGTCGACATCGACGACTCGACCACCTGTGATAGAACGTCGCGATACCCATATCCCCGCCTTTGTACCACCACGGCCAAGTGGAAGAGTTTATGGAGGAGGTTCAGGATCTGATGGTGTATTTGCGAACCTGAGTGCGAAACCTGAAAGGGGCGCCGAAAAGGAGGAACATCCACCTGTAAGTTTTTCAAGATAATCGGGATTGTAAACAACGCTAAGATAATTAGACATACGAACAAGCCGCAGCAGATGCAGCACCTCCATATTGGGAAACAACAATCTTAGCTCCTGGACTTGGAGGACCTGATGAAGTGTATATCGAAGGTCTCCCTGTTGGATCTGTCTTCTCCTTCCTATGGAATGGCATGATTTCCATGTCTTTCCAACTTGTCGGCTTCCTCCTTACATATCTGTTACACACCACCCACGCAGCCAAGAATGGATCTCGTGCTGGTTTGGGAATTACGTTGGTACAATATGGCTTCTACATGAAAGGATCAGGTTCTATCGTTCCCCCTGCTGGTAATTCGGATCCATCCTACGTACCGCCCCCGGACCCCAACAGTCACGACTTCGACCCAAATCAAGTACAAGCCGGAACAGCTGGAATGGATAATTCCGATTCTACCGGAGGGATTGGTGATGTTGCAGGAAGTGAATGGTTAGCATATGTTTTAATGGTTGTTGGATGGTTCATTCTTATCAGAGCTGTGAGCGATTTCTTAAGGGCGAGGAGGCATGAGCAATTGGTACTGCAAAGTCCAGATCGAGGTTTGCCTGTTCCTGTTATCGCGACTGGAGAGGAAGCTGAGACTGTTGTTTAATACCCACAACTTTGAAGCTAGGAGTTTCTTTGTGTTTTGGATTAGGAAGGAGTGGGCGAAGGGTACGGTTATTTGACATTTGGGAGCGGGGCGTTATTGGACGTGGGCTCACTCAATCACTTGATAGACAATCGAGAAACGGAATTTCCTAGGGTATATTTATGTTATTACTTTGAGTGGACTTGAACAAAATGAGCTAGTCAGAAGTCTCTATCTGCAAATTCGGTGAGGCTTTTGGCCATTTTTTGCGTCAACAAGACTCTTGCAGGTCCCAGTCTTCGTATTTTCATCGGATATCAACCCAATTATTTGAATGGTGCATCCGAGATTTTATCTCGGTCACATCTTCACTTGGAAATGTTACAGATTCGATAGAACAAGGTAGTTGTTAAAGAGACGAGCTAACACTTTGAACTTACCTAGTAGATATTTAACGGATATCAAGTCCTTCAATCCTAAAAAGTGTTTATTTTCTTTGTTTTAAGGAATTCTGAATGGAGAGCGTGGTGTAAGAAGCTAATCTTATCTTGCCATTCACGCTAGCATAAGGCTGCATATGTCAACCCCTCCTCTCCGCATTTGGGTTTCTTGACATCATGTTGAACGATATAAATCCAATTACACTGTGAGTTTTAATGATTTATTAATTTGCATCATTTATCATTTCACTCCGAGTACGCGCTCTGACCAATTGTCCCTTCGTTCTCATCAATGAGGGGTATTAAAGTTACCCCACCAGAGCTCCAACATACATCTACAACCTCACTTCTCTACCTACCTACCTATCCGTGCAACTTCAATCTCCGAACTTTCACAACCAAAACCATCCACATCCACATCCATTCAATCTGCCTCCCCTCCTCCCCCTCCTCGCGCGCTCAACGCGTCGCCTCCTCTCCCAATCCTATTCCAAAATGGCATGGCAATGCAGCGGCGAAACAAACACCGAGTTAATAACAAACCTCTACAACAACAACCTCATCACCGAACCCCGGATCCGAGACGCAATGCTCAATGTACCTCCCCTCTTCCTTCCCCTCCCTTTCCTCCTCATAGCTAACATAAGACATCTTAGGTCGACCGCGCCCACTACGCCCCGACATCGCCCTACACAGATTCCCCTCAACCCATTGGCCACGCTGCTACTAGTACGCTACCCTCCCTCCCCTATCAACACCTACGCTAACATGATACAGTATCAGCACCACACATGCACGCCTCCGCCGCCTCGGCCCTCCTCCCCTTCCTGTACCCCGGCGCAAGAGTCCTGGATATAGGCTCCGGGAGCGGGTATCTGACGGCTGTGTTTGCGGAGCTGGTTTGTGCGGACGGAAAGGGGAAGGTGGTGGGGTTGGAACATATTGAGGCGTTGAGGGAGCTTGGGGAGGGGAATATACGGAAGGGTGAGAGGGGGAAAGCGTACTTGGAGGGAGGGGGGGTGGAGTTTGTTAGGGGGGATGGGCGGAGGGGTTGGAAGGGGAAGGGAGGGGGAGATGGGGAGGGGTGGGATGGTATTCGTGAGTGGAGTTTTTTCTTGTTTGAGGCTTTGGAGGTGGTGGGTTGAGGGTGTTTTGATCTGAGATGAGGAGTCATGTGTGAGTGATGTGAAAAGGGTATACTGACTTATCCCAGACGTCGGAGCCGCAGCCGTAGAATTACACGAAGAATTAATCGAGCAATTGAAAGCGCCGGGACGGTATGTTCTCTACTTCTCTCCTCTTCATTAAACGCAACAAACTAACCCCGACCCCAGGATTTTCATCCCCGTAGAAGACTCCCGAGGAGACCAGTACATCTGGATCGTAGATAAAGATAAAGAGGGCAAGGTGACGAAGAAGAGGAGTATGGGCGTTCGATATGTGCCGTTGACTGATGCGCCTGTTTGATTTGTATGTATGGTTTGGGCTTTATGGGAGTTGAGGAGAATGGTCTTGAAATTTATGAACTGGATTTTTTGGGTTTAAATCGCAGGCATGCGCAGGGGAGGGTGTCTGTTTATCGAGGCGATTAAGTTCGAGGTACTTGATAAGTGACTGGGTATTGTGATTTGCTATTTACTAGGATTATAGGGTAGGAAATCTATAACCACTATGACTCATAAAGTTTATAACTCAGAACCTCTTATTTAAAACTGTTGGCTTAAGAAACAAGTCTAGCTTCACGGTACAATTAGAGATATCCTCTTAGCCCCAATAGGAGATTTCTTACCCCTTCCCTTAACGCTTAAGCTGTTCAAGGCTTCAAGCATTTATAAAACGAAACCGGCTCAAGGAAACGATTTAACCTCCATGAAAACGATTCGAAGAGGTAGATCTCTTAAATTAGTTAGGATCTATAAGATGTTCAAATCGTTTGCGTGAGGAATTTCTTATTGTTTGAAAGTACTTGAATTTCGGGTTGTCGCTGTACATTTCAACTTTGAGTAGGTTATATTGGTAAACAGGTTTTTGACTTTACGGATCTGCGAAGGAAGACGGCAGAGCAACTTACACGGGAGGTTAAATTAAAGGATAACAGCATCTCTACAGAAGTGTGAAGTTCCCTAATAGACTCTACTGACGGATTCATACTATTAAACCCAGAGCCTACCTCACATGGCAGTCATGAGAACTTCGTGTAAGTTAAGCATTTTCAAGCGATTGGTCCTCCGTCACCATGAGTCGAAAGGACGACTGGAAGCTTAAGATCGGCACACAGTGCTCCTTCCCAAATAGTGAGCTGCAAGTGTAAAGTAACTTCTTCCTCTATTAGCGAGCGAGAGAAAGGAAAACTCTAGCTTATCTTCTCATAACAGGTTATTATTCAGCGCTTGATTCAAGTAGAATAACAATGTAAGACTTTACGACTATAAACGACGTCACTTGGGATAAATCCATTTCGTAAACACACGTCGTAGAGAATGTTGGGTGCTTGAATCAAGTCATATAGATAACCACTCGGTCTTCCTGGAATAAGATGTAAGTACGTGCTTCGAGATGTACAAAAATCCGAAATCTGATAAACTTACTTGTAGAATAATTCCATTCCAAGGATAAAACCTGTGATTCTGTTCATTGCTAGTAAATATATTCCTCAAGATACAAATATTCTTTCTCACTATACAATAGCAATCTACTTTCCGCTTAGTACGATCTACTTAATACGAATTTAAGACCTTTAATTCCTTAAGACCTAGAATTGAAACAAGTTTTCTTATAGATATAGTATAATTACTATGTTGATTTACATAAATGCTGAAATCGTCTAAGCTTTAAATATATAGTATATTCGTACAGGTATGAACAACGCCGACGAAGTCTGAAATGGGCATGATATAACAACAGTTCAAACCAACGACCTCTGCAGTTAGAATTACAAGTGGCTAGATTATCTGCAATAGAACCTGTGTCGACTGAAATCGAGACACTTCTGGCCTTGAACACTTCGCTGAAGAGAGACACCCTGGTACATTATATAGCCAAATTTATCCTGTGATATAGAATGTTGAACTCGTGTTTAATTTGAAAGGATCTAGAGGTTGGACAGCCTCATGTATAGCTACGATAGATTTTGCGACGAATAGTGACTCTATGGATCATAGGTAACCATGGCATCGACACTTTCTTGTAGAAGGATAATATAGCTTCATCTCTGGTCAAAACAGTCTCAATGCTTGAGCATTCAAACTTTGGTGATTCGGAAAAAAGTCTTGTTCCATGTTGCTTTTCTTTATCATAGTAGCAATATCATCCGACATTCAACGTCAAGGAAGTCGTGCTCGCCTTTTGTTAAAACCTATTATCGACAGCGTCGCCCTGTAACGTTGACGAAGTGTGGAATGGAAGAAACATGAGACAATGGTAACTACCAATAGCAAAGCAAATATTGCGACTGTTCAGTTGAACGATATGACAGTCCTTGACAACATGGATACTATGTTTGACGAACAGTAAACAATGTCTGAAAGCCATGATGCTCTTAATTTGAGGGCTTAGATAGCGATAAATTGATTAAATATGTTGCCCAATTGGCATCGCAAGGTAGGAGATTGAATTAGCGTTGAATTCGCAGAAGAGCAGAATAAAAAGAGTGTTTAAACAAATCAAGGATACTTTCAGGAACAGTGACTATGTTGAAGCCGAGCTTGAAATCGAGCTTATTCCTGATTCTCATTCTTGGGGAGTGCTGTCGCCTCAATTGCGTGCCACAGAACGCTTCTGGTGGTTGTACTTGGATGTTGACCCAAACGTGAGCAATTTCTGATGGTGGGACCGAATAGCACAGAAAGATAACAGTTCTGTATTCCGAAGAAAAAGAATCGCACAGAACCAGGCAAATCGTCGTTACAGTTCTTCTAGAATAAACGATCAACAGCGTAGCAATGAAATATGCTCAAGGTCAAGACGCGAAGAACCCATTCGAACAAACGCGGGGATGCTCAGAAGGTCGCACAAAGATCTGGACCCCGCCTAGGGTGTCGCGATCGAAAACATGAGATCCAAAATAGATAACTGGGAATAGTAACAAAAACCAAGCAATGGTACCGATCTGATGAGATGGGAAATCAGACGATATGATGTAAAAGAATAATGTCGAGATCGGCGATAGCTTTATTTCTCGCGAGGGGCCTCGCGATCGGTCGAGGCTGCAAATAGGCACGATGTTGGTGGAGAGGGGAGGAGAAGATCACGTTGTTCTAGAAAACGGGTGACGTTTTGGGCGCGACGGGAAATAGCAGACCGCGCCCACGGTTGAAGGGAGTAGGAGGAGTCGGCATATTTATTCCTCCGCGTTCGGTGCCGAGATGATGGAGTGGCGGCGGCAGAGGCAGACGGACCAGAGACCAGAGACCAGAGAACTTAGAGAAACCCACACGCCAGATCCCGCGCGGTTGTTGTGACAAAGCTTTCGTGTGGGATCTCGTCGTCCCGCGAATAGTTCGGACTGATTCCGGAGTGTGGACATGAGCGGAAGAAAAAGGGTATGACGCCACTCGTCGCGGGTCCAGTGAAGAACGAGCACGAAAGCGAATCCCCAAGAATGATAGACGAGATCTGGCGGGGCCCAAGCGGCCAAAGCCCCAGTGTCCCGCCCACAGCAAATCTGAAAATGCCATGTTGGAAAAGATGCGTTTTCGAGATCGAAGCTAATCCCATTGCGGTAGGCAAGGGAGTTGACCCTGGTTGCCTCAGTAGTTCTGTTGCACAAAAAGAAGAAACCCCGCATGTCGATATTAATTATATTATAGAGGGCTTCCGACTTCCCTTTTCGGACAACTTTGCGAGTGCTTGTGATTTGAGTAGAACGAATCTTTAATTCTCACTTGAGTTTGAGTATAAACTCGCACTCCAACGATATCGCTCCGCCCAACGTCACCCGAATACTTGTCGTTGAAAATGAAAATCGCGCAAGCCATCAGCGTTAGAGGAACGGCATCTCGAAAGCAGAAAAGAAGATGTTTGGGTCTGGAATGACTTGGGTAAAAGCCGTGGAGGTATCCAAACTTGGAAATGGTTGGCTCTTTCTGTCCTAGCTGGGAAGAGATGGAGCGACACGTGACTCGTATTCGTGTGTCTGCCTGTGATATCAGGTGGAAGGTCCCGCTGCCACTGGCTGCCGTTGGGCGCCTCCCTCCTCCCTTCCGAGCTGGTCCTGGTTTTTGCTTCCAAATTCCAGGTCTGACGTTGCCTTGCGCTCCAGACGGTCGATCTCTCGTTTTGGATGGGGAACCCCCAAGCCGCGGCTATAAGCATGGCGGTTGGAAATGCCCTCTTATGTCCGAACAGCCCATGCTGTTATCGAGGTGAGAGGACTCGAGATGGGATCAGCTTCACCCATCACAGCTCAAAACTCAGATGCGACCGTGGTCAACGTGACGGCCCGTACCCAGCGGCTTCATTGGAACGGAAAAAAAGGTCCTTCATCTCCATGCTTTGCGACACTTCAAACATCCACTCAGAATTCAATCACAAAAGAATTCGCCAGGGCGTGCAGGGCCATCCACGGCCGTGAATTACATCCACCCACACCCCTGGTGAGTAACATCGGCAATCTACAGTCCATCGACGCTAGTACGTTCCCAGTGCAGCCATGTTGATTGTTCGGATTTTGTGTCCCCCAATGATATTGAGATACGGTACGTTAGCACGATACAATGCTTGGTGGTGACAAACAATGGACGATCTCGACGGGAGGGAAGGGCTGAAGCGTTGGTGCAGGATCGCGAACGCGAAAGGAGTGAATTATGAGGTAGGTGTGGTAGGTGTGGTTGGTGTGGATTGGAAATACTGGTGTTGGACGTTCGAGGGTTTGGCTTCACGCTCATTGTTTGAAGTATTCCGGGGAAGCTCTGAAGCTCTGAAGCTTTGAAGCTCTGATGCTTGGCGATACGAATTCGAGATTTGCCACGCTGTGCTGTGCCCTACAGATCTCAAATCTGGAGAACAACGGGAAGCACAGCGTCACTGGCTTGGCTGGCTGGCTGGCTGGCCTTTTCCTTTGTTGCAAATCCCGTCGCACCTAAGCACCCCAGAGTAGTGGCAGTTTATCGCTAGCGCTGCGTAGGAGATACTGGACGTGCTCAGACGGGTTCCAAACTCGTTCTCGTGCTCGTATTTGCGGTGCGCAGTGAACTTGACGTGTGAGTGTTTGGTGCTCGTGGTGGTATGCTGCTTTACCCTCCGTCCCTCACACGCGAACGCGGACATCCGTTTTCTCCCTGGATCGTCACGCCTTTCGACGCTTGTTGCTCCGTAGCCAATGTGCAGGACGGGAGCCAACATGGGATTCTCTTCCAAGCTGCGCTGTGGTCGCAGCTTGGTGGTGGGTGGACATGCGATAGTGCAGCAGATGCGGCCTCCTCATCCACCATCACCTCGACAATCTCAAAAGCATCTCTAGGCAAGGGGCTAGGACCGATCCAGGACGCTGGCAAGCTCTAGACGGGTGGGGGTGCAGCGGTTTGAGCCAGCTTCAATGGGCGGCTGGTTCTCCGGGAAAAGGTTAATTGAGCAATCTGCAGGTTTGGGGATGATAACAGTTCCAGTGATGCGAGAGGAGGGTGTTGCGGCGTGGAGGGTTGGTTGTGTATCTTTCGCGAGTTGCTGGTGGTGAGTTTGCTGGTAGTAACTTTTCTGGTGGTGATTTTGCATCGTAATCATAAGAGTTGGCCGGAGCGGTATCAAACTACGGAGAGTAGAGGATCCCAAGCAGGATTATTTGTATTAGAAAACAGCCATGATTGCTACAGCAAGATGGCGCTTCAATAACATATCGTCGTCCCTTAACCCAGCTTGCTATTGGTAGAAACTCCCGTCCTCGTAACTCCGTGCTTCCAGTCCTAGCCAGATTCTGCGGTCGAGTCGCTCTCGCTTATCGTCCTCGGCCGATGTACTGTGCACCGCTGCCCTTTCGACCCTTTGACCCACCCCAGCTCCCTGCTAGCACCCCCTCAGGCTTTGCCCTGCCTGCGCTCCCCTCCCAGCAAAAGCGACCGCCAAAACCTCCTGCCAAAAGCTCTCCGTACGGCGCACGTTTAGGACGAGCTCTTCCCCTCAAAACCCACCCTCCCCCCATCGGTATTCCTACTCTTCTTGCAAAGCTTTCTCTGACATTGATTCTCGATTTCATCTGAATTAAGTTGCGTCAAACTCCAGCTACTATTCTTGTATCTTCACCAAGACCAGTTACTCTCACCCAAAGCACTATACCTCGGCTGGCCTGCTCGCTAGTTCTGCACAGAAACCCGCGATCCCGAGCCCATCCCCCATCCCTCTGCCATCGACTCTTGGAAAGCCAAAGAAGTCGAAAACACAAATAACACAGCCCCATTCCTCAAACTCCCAATCGGCACCTCGACGGTTCTTGGTCCGCAGATTCACTCGCCGGCCACCAATTCACTCTTAACCACAGCCTTTCCCGTGCAAAGCGGAGACGTTCCCTACCGTGACTTTTGCATCGTCAAAGCCGTGCCGCAAATCTCCCACTTAAGTTCTGGATGAACTTGAGCCACGACACTTCATACACAACAAACCTTTTCAGTCCTTCGCTCAAGCGTAGGATGCCTCCGTTGAGAACCATGCCTCCCGCCAAAGCTATTAAGGTATGCATTTATTTGCTGCTACTCTGAAAGCAATCTAACTGTTCCAGACCGAGCGTACCCACGAAGAAAACCAAGAGCGTGCATATATTGCCGCGTCGAGACGAAGTGACCGTAGTTTGGAGGCTCGTGTCGAGTCCGCTCGGAGAGCTTCTGAGATCCACAAAAGACGAACAGGTCGCTCATTACGTGTGACTGAGCAGGATGTAGTCAACGAGGAGATGTACGAGGAGGAGGATGATGACCTTCCGGGCCAGTATCGACGACTCACCGCCCATCTACAGACACCTTCTGCGGACTTCAACAGAAAGTTGTCTGCGTATCTCACGACAAACATCTCCATGAGAGCTGCCGTCGAACAGGCCGTGTTCAATTCCTACGCTCAACAACAGCAGCAGAATGGCGGTATGCCACAGTTCGGAAACTCCATGTACCCATCACCGATGATTGCGCATCAAGCACAACAACAACTCCAGTCACCTATTAGTCCATCTATGCGGAGCCCAAGCTTCCGACAGGCTCCATATCCTCCTCGACCTCAACAACAGCAACAACAACAAATGCAAGCCAATCAACTCGCCCAGTCGCATCAACGGTCGGCGACTTTGGCCAACATTCACGATGTGTCAGCTAATGCTCGACCATCACCAATTGTGACCGATACCGAGCGCAGACAGTCATTGCCTGTCATTGCTGCTGCAAGGTCTCCGGTCGAGACAAGATCGCCTCTATCGGCAACGGCAACGACGCCAAAAGAGAGACCTTCCTTCCCACCAGGATCCTTCACTCAATCAAACATCCAAAAGGGACAAAACACATTCTCGATGCAACAGCCTTTCGAGATGAACTCATTCCCAACCAATACAGGTGTGAATTACGGCCCAATGAACACAGCTATGACAGGCGATGCTCAAGGATTCCTAGGTTCATCGATGAATCCTAACGACCAAATGTCAAATATGATGATGGTTGGCAACACTTCCGTGACTCCAAACTTCTTCGGCTTCGAGCAGCAAGCGTCAAGTACTGGCCTGGGCAAATATCAGACCCACCCAACACAAAGTGGTTTACACTCTACGCTCGCTCCTTCAGACCTGGACGCTAACCCTCCACTCGAGAATGACTTTTTGCAGAGCAACAGCTTCTTTGATGATGCTCTCAATGCCGGAAGCAACGGTCAAACACCTGTTCTGACACCTGGTGATCCTTGGGAGTCTTACGTAAACTTTGATGACTGGAACAACAATCCAATGGGTTCGCAGTCGTCACAGTAGTCGTTTCATACCAGTTATTCAGATACCTATTTGTATCATTATTTATTGGCCCATAGCATATGTGTTATGGTTGTCGTTCGGCGTTTGGGTTCTGGTGTTTTTAACGGCCTAGGCGACACAAAAGACCTAGTTGGGGGTTTGCTTTCTGTTCTACCTCAGGGATGCAACCTACACCTCATCAGACTTGTCACTTGAACTTCCAAGTTCAATGGCAGTCTAGCTTCGGTATTGTTAAGAAGCGAAACAGGTTCTCCTTGTGTGTGTCTTTCTTTCTTTCTTGGTTCTTCACAAATCTCCACTTGCGATTGATTTCGATACCGAATCTTAGTTTTGGCGTCACTGTGGTTGGCGACCATTATGTCCATTCCTGCTAGGAGGAAGTGGGACATTCATTCGTACATATTTTGGTGCGGGTTCACTGGCCTGGTGATAGGTGCTGGTGCTCGACAGCCTTGATGGTGGGAGCGGGAAACACATACAACGATATGATGATGGCAACTTTTTAGTTGTGATGAAAAGCGAGGGGATGATGGCGTTGACACATATCAATGCATCTTGATAACGTTCAAGCGGAAGAAATAATATAGTAATAAATCCTTTTGGAAACAAATTCATTGTCTTCTCTTGACTTTTGTGGCGTGATATCTCTTAGTCCCCACGATTCAATTTCATACCTCATAACTCAGCTCAGCATAGAGAGCCTTTTCCGGGCACGTGAAAACGTTCGCGTGTCTTTGGAATGGAACAGGCCTCGCGTACCGCAGTAGCAGTAATGGATTCGAAATTCATATCAGGAAAATCCTGGAATCAAGCTCATCAAACTCAACGCCAGCTCGACGCCAGCTCGACGCTCGAACCAAAAAGCCTCTAACCCAACACGCAGTATGTCCATACAACTCGCGATAATCACGCTCAAGCTAATTAGCAAACCTCACTCGTCAAACCCGAAATCAATTAAATCACTTTTCTACGGCAGTCCAAAGGACCAGTACCACAACTCGTTTGTTTGTTTCTGGAGACGTGGGGATGAGGGATTCGGTGGTGGAGAGGGAATTGGTGGTATAGTTGTGATTGATTTTTGGATTGTGGGAGAGTGGGAGAGGGGTTGATGGGTTAGGTTTCTGAGGGTTGTTTGAGTGGGTGGTTTTGAATTTGGGTTTAGGGATGGAGGTTAACGGGGGAGAGGGGGGGAGAGGAGGAGAGTTCAGGTTCCTTTGCCGTAACGCTTTTGTGTCTATGGTGGAGTTTATTGGGGTAGATGGATAAATCGCCTTTTGAGGAGTAAAGTCAGGTTAAAGTTTTTTTCTTTTTCTCAAAGCGCGTTCGAATCTTGTTACGAAGTGGTTCATCCCCCTCGAGATTTTTATAAGCAGAAGTTTTCACATACGACAGATGCAAAGTATCATAACCACGCTAGGTTTTTGAATACGCGAATGCAGCCGATTTTTGAATACGCTGATATATAAACTTCCATCGTCATAATCTAACTGTATACAAAGTTGATGAACGAGTTTTTTTGGTGGTGGTAGCGAAGTAGGACTCAATATTTTTGGGTTAAAAATGATTTAGGGGTTGAGATAGTGTGATTAAGTGTGAGATTAGTTAATGTAACTTGTATTTGTTTGTAATTTAGTGGATTTAGTAATATTGAGAATCGGTAGTGAAAATGGAATCGGCAGCAAGGTTGTTTTTGTAGTTTGAGTTTTAATGTGTTTCCCAAAGGAATGGATGCTTGCGATATGGTATTTAAGCTTGAATAGCTTTTGTTTACCTCCGTCAGTCGGGGGCTACTTGTTTGTTCGACAGAGGAGTCTTGCTTGGTCCTCTAGTAGATCTGCCCACTCTGGTGTATATGATTTTCGTGGTTTGTGGGAGTATATAAACGGTACTTTCTAAGGATGAATGCGAAATTCGTGGGTTTGAAAACACTTGATTGTATTTTCTAAGAAAACCTCGCCTTTACAGTTTCGTATATGTAGAAAGTATCGCTACGACGACGAAACTTTAAGGAAGCGGCTTCAGCAGTACACTCTAGCCTATAAATCCTCTATATCCACTAAGTTATCGCATTAGCACACTATCAAACCAGTAAAGTCTTACACCTACACACTTATTGTCGACGCTAAGACACTCTAGAGTTGGATTTCAAGTAGTTGTCCAGTACTGAATTTGCCGATTGTCCCAAGTTTTGAATTCGCGGCTTTGTTCGTTCCTAGTTCATGGGGAGTGAAAAGGAATTCGGTAGCAACTTGGACATGAGGTTAAATGGTTGGTGGGGGGGAGTATGGATGTTGTTTATAGTGACCTCGGGGGAAATTTGGGAATGAAGGATAGGTTTTTGTTTGATGTTTTGTGAATAGGGTGGAGAAGAGCGAGATAGAGAGAGAGCGCAGTCGTGATGATAATACATTTGCTGTACAGTTACTTTGCAATCTATAGTTGCGGTTATATAAATGTCTTTTTGCAAGATAATTCTTGGTATAGTAATTCCTTCCTTTTAAACCCCGCCAGAATATATCTCAAAGCCTCCTTCTACTTCCGATCGACTCTATTACAAATACCATTAACACATATGCCTAGCATCGTGGATAAGTCGAATCCTTGAATCCATCAACTCCATCCAATCTTACACACTCCGGTATATAAAGTTCCAGCATCACAAAGTGAAGCCCAGGAACAACAACCAAAACCAACAGCCGAGGAGGATTCGATTTGTATACTGTTTATCAAATGTTAAGAAGCTAGGTGTTTAGAACGGGGTAGGAGATATTTATCACTACTTGTAGGTGGATATTATAGTTGTAGTGGGGTGTTTAGTGTCGGAAGTTGAGGAGAGGTTGTTAAATCGGTGATAATAATAGAATCGGGAGCAAAGTCATATTTAATAAATGCGAGTTATAGATTTAAAGACCTCCTTAAGGTTTTACTCCTAACTTCTTAACACTACCCCCCTTCCCTTTACCCCGACCGAAAATCTTGTACTTCCGACAAGACACTTCTACTATAAACTTTAATCTAAATAGATATATATATCTGCCTTTTTTAAGAGCGGGTAGTGGGGAGATTTAGAGAAGTGATATACTAAACTATTAAAGAATCCTTTGTTAGCTAATTAAGTATTCTTACAACATCCGCGCTTCGCGCCTCCTCGACTACTGCAAAACACTACACATTGGCATTAACTAAGTTAACATATAACAATCTACACGAGCCTAAGACACCTGACATGAGAGGCGACGAAGACGTCAACAAGTCTAACTCTTTGGAGGAATATAAAGTATCGGAGCGCGAAGCAATAAACGTCGTGCCTACTCCCAAGGAAACTAAGAATGAATCTTCGATTGTTGTGACATGACTTCGAGGTGAAGTTACAAGACCGGTGGTAAAAAAAAGACCAAGACCAAATAAATTTTGAGGTGAGGTTACGCGATCGGCGGTGAAAGAAAATTCGGCGGCAATGTTGTATCTGGATTTGGATTTTGTTAGGGAGCTTGGTAGAGGTAAGAGGTTTTGGAGTTCTAGGTTTATCGGCTTCGTATTATATATTTGAATAAGATGACTAGGTGTTAAGAAGGAACTAAGACGGAGACTAAGAGAAAGCGGGTCGACTGAGCGGCTCCATCACTTGTTGTATGTCGGTTCTATAATCTGTGGAAGTAAAGGTATATTTATAAATGCTACTTAGAACAGTATAATTGTTATGATAGGTTTGTGTTTTTCTTGTAAGCTGTAGAAATATAAATGATTTAAATGCCCCCTCCTCGTAACTAGTAACTCTGGCTTTATTGTACGTATATAATAACACATTAAAATTTATATTAAACATAACGTAATAGCTACACTCACCTGGTTTAAGTTTAATAAACCTTCTAGCATATAACTTCCTCTACCCTATAAAAACATAAAACTATTAACATTAGCCTACTACTACTACTATCACCACCACCTACCATTACCGCCACTAGAAAACAAACATTTCAATGCGCTTAATGTTTGACACGGGCAAGAGTCAATGTTGTGCTCTGTAGAAGTCTTTTCTAACGTGCTTAGTTGTAGGGTTTTTGGGGTTTGTGTTCGAGGCTTCAGAAATTGTGTGTAAGAGATATAGCTTCGGTGACGAAGCAGAAATCGGTAGTAGAGTCTTCATGGCCGTTTAAAATCTTCTGCTTATATCCCAGTCCCGGTGTATTCTTCTGTACCTTCCCGGTACAATGGATCTCTTCGGTAGACGCTAGCGACTGAGGGAGAAACCACTCTTTTTCGTGGACGTAAGTAGCGATGTATTTGAGTGCTTCTTCTGGCATAATTATTTTCAGATTTACGGTCTACAGGAGGTTAATAGTTGAATGTGTGCACTTTCAGCTTTCAAAGCTCTTTAGTTTTACCTTGAATTTTGATTCGAAATATCGATGCTAAATAGAGAAATGACTAATGTTAAACAGAGACTAGTCAGAAAGAGCTTTGCTTACTGATCTGTTCTGTAAAAGTAAATACATAAAGGTGGATATTCAAATATGCCTTTCTATAATAGAAGCCTTAGTGTAACTATTTTTTTCCTTTTGAAATCCACTAGAACGTACGTTGACTGCTTCGGCTTCCGAGAGACTAAATTGCCATTAGTAGGTCTTACTCTATTAAACAAACACAAGCACTAAAATCACGCCTATATAAAAGACAAAGACTATAATGACCTTAGTGAAATTCTAAATACACTCTCCTATATAACACTCCACCTCTACCAGAACTAAACCCATATCATCAGCCCTCCATCATTTACACTAGAGCGATTCTCAAATGGCAACTAAACCCAAGCGCTTTGTATTCGAGCTTACGACGCTCTAGAGTTATATCCTTAGTGGTGGTTGAACAATTTGTTAAATTGTTCCGAATTCTAATATCTCGACTTTAAGGAGAAGCTATAGATTTGGTGGCAAGGATAGAATAGACAGCAACTTTCTTATTTGAAGTTGGATTTCCAAAACTCTGCAAATAGTAGAAAAACATAGGTGCTTTAAGATCGTTCAGCTTTGTGCCCGAATCTAAATTTTGATCTATAACTGGGGTTTCAATAAGAAGACTGAGATAGTGGAATCTGACATAGAGGAATTCTCGACAGACTGGGCAGGGACTGAGCAAGCAGATTGTGCTTCTCCATCGCTTTTTGTAGGTCGTTTTCATAAACCTTAAAAATGTACACTTAAAATCCTTTTTACCAGAGAACTGCACAAGCATGACACTTAATTCATAAGAAAGTCAACGACCGTATCCACTCAACCTAAATTCCACATACGCAGCTCTGCTTAAAAACTCTCTAACGTCATAAAGTCTACGCCAGCAACACCAGCCGATCACTATAACTAGTACCATTAGATGACGACTCATTTCAGACACGTTATATTAGACATTAGAAAGCTTTGGAATCAAAATTGGTGCAGACTATCACGTTTGTATTAAAGCGTAATCAAAATTTGTGTTACTGAATCTGTAGGTTTATGTGTACTACTAGTTAAATCGACAGCAAAGAAGGAATTGGCAGCAGATTCATAATCTTTATTGTATGTTGAAAAAGCCGATAAGCTATAAGTGTCCGACATGTGCCTTTATCCACTGTATAACTGGCAAACGTAGTTGCATGCGAAGATCCTGTGCTCTAAATGGTACGCATATTCGATTGCTCAGTCGCTGTTATAATGTATGCCTCGGTATCTGCAAAAGACCATTTTTGCCTTGCCACAAACTATGGGGATATATACATCCAATCACCAAGATTCACTCCCCGTCTCGGAGTCGTCTTGATTATACTAATCTATATAGTGCAAATATTTCACGTTTCCAAGCAGCTATCTATCTCAATTTAAAGACCGGGTTTCACTTTACTCTTACTCTATCAAAATTGCCTTTTCTTATCTTACACCTTCTATTCATTCTTTTCCTCTAGCCTAAGTACGAAACTGACATACCCCGAAAAACACTAAGATGGTAATGAAGTTGAACAAGCTTGTTTAGCACCCTTGGTATAACTATAATAGTAACCAATACCCTTTGCCCTAAACATTCTCAGTTGATCCCTTATAGGAAGGAAATTATGGTAACAGACTTTATATGTGCCTTTTACAAGTGATGTAATTTTGATATCTTCGACACCAGTAGGGATCCATGATAATCATTCTTTCATTCTCTAAGGCATAACAATTACTAGCTCTCACTTCACACATACACATATACAGGACTCAAACCCACGTGAAAGACAACGACTAATTAGACATTCGACCTCCACTCTCGTTTACCTATATAAACGCTTGCAACCGCAAAATCTACACTACACACGCCACTCCCTCACCATTTTCTCCCATTAGCATCCAGACTCTCTGTATCCTGCCACCCCTGCACCGGTTTCGGCCTAATCGGTCTCGGCCTGACATGCTCAACATGTCTCTCACCCTCCTCATCATCCAGCTCAATAAGGGCCTGCTCCTCCTCCCCACTAACATCCACCATCTCAACATTCCGCGACTCGGGAACCTCTCTACAGACTGCTTCCACGAGCTCATTACGATCCGCGCTCCGTACATACGCAAGATAGTAAGGGGTCCCGCTGGAAGTGCCTAGGTCTTCAAAGATGCGTCGACGGTCTTTGACTTCGGTGACGTACTCATCATTGTATTCGCGCCAGATATCATTATCGAAATCGTAGATGTAGACCCAGTAATGACCTCCACCTGCCTCACCACGATGAATGAATACGGCTTGTAATTTATACTCCTGTTCTCTCATATCCGTGAACTGTTCGTTGAGTTTCTTCTTTAAGTCGGATATTTCGGTTTGGATACTCTCGAGCTCCTCGCTAACTTCCATCGTCCTCTCATCCAAGGAATCAGAAAGAGCGGCATCTACCAGAACCCCATCAATCTCCTCTTCCAAAAGTTTCGACACATAATCTTTCGTAGCGATCAAGGCATCTTTGACGGAAACGTCGGCGATCGTAGTGTTTAGCGCTGCTTCCCTGGCTTCTAAGATGCGGAGTTGCGATTTCCATTTCCAGGTTTCACGGCGACGTCGCATGAGGGTTGAAGACGGGTCAGAAGAGTCCATGTATCTGTCGAGATAAATTGTTTCGGGGAAGACGACAGCATTGCGATTCTTAGATGCAACTTGTCGAACGGGATCAAATGCCGTTCGTTGGATTTGAATGTGGATGATTGGGGGGAGTTGGCTGATCGAAGCGTGTTGTGCTGCTGTGGTATTGTCGATTTCCACCATCTGCTCGTCGAACACCACGTCGAGCGCTTCGTAGATGTCGCGGGGCCCCTGTGGTGCCGGGAAAACAATTAGATTAGCCCATGCTTCTACCTTCTTCTCGAGTGTGGATGCTTTTTGCAAATAGACTGCGTTTGCGCCGTATAAAGTATCTCTAACAATATCCATCTGTTCGCCTGATTGCTCATCGATACTGGTTGGCTTCAAGGCGCATAGTAACCTAAAATTGACATTGCCAATAACTTCTGTGACGTCCTGTTGCGATCCAAACTTCCACAATTCGTCGTCGGATATTGAGGTTTTATTGTCGTTAGTCTGGATGACCAGCCCTGCTTTATTTCGCGGAGGTAAAGGGGGCTGCTTTTCAGGAGGAGGCTTGAACTTAGTTGTCTCTCCAATTGCGTGGTCGCCGTCAACCATAACAGCGTCTTCATCCAATCCTACTTGCTCGAGATTCTTCTTATCAGCTCTCAACGACTTCGGCTCCGCTTGGGAAACAGAATCTTCATAAGAAGGCAGTAGTTCTGGCAAATCAACTAGCGTAGTTTCGCTACTGTCATCGTCGATAACCTTGTCGACAGGATGATCAATCATTTCAATGTCATCTTCAACTGGTACTGGTGGCGGCGGTATTGGTGGTGGAGGTAACTGCGGCCCATACACTGGGCTGTTCAGGATGGACGCAAGATTTGGTGGTCCACTTGGGCTGCTTATTGAAGCTCTCCGAAAGTTAGCTTCGGCGGCAGAACTAAATATCGTCAATTCGGCAAGCTCGCGAGTGGGTTTCACCGAATGCGTTGAAGCTGTCTTGAGGTTTTCGAAGAGTCTATGTAGCTCATCCACGACTGAAATGCAATTAGCTTAGTTTCCCGCCGATGGATTGTAACTTACACTTCTGGGCTTTGATGACTTCCGACTTCGCCACAATTCTGCCTCCAACCCTCTTTTTCTTGATGTCTTCATCGTTTAAGGCCATTCGATGGTTCTGAAAATCCATTACCACATTTCGCACAGGTTTTACAGTGTAGTAATACTGGAGAAGACTGTTTAGGTAACATGTATTACCGATGTTGTCAAGTCCAACCGGTTGATTGGCTGTACTTGGCTCCGAAGGAACAACTGCGTTCGGATCATCGAGTTTTGAGAGTAAAAAGTTGCTTCCGCGGTCAATTGCAATGACTCTTAGCGCTTCAGCGTAGCTATCCTTAGAGCCTTGACCAGCATCTTGAAGTAACGACGTGTAGTAAGAGAGGACCGTCTCATCTGGTACATGACGCACGGCTATTTGTAGTCGCTTGTATGCATCGCCGACATCTAGCGTTGATCCCGTATTTCCAGTCTCTAAGTTCATAGCTGCTCGCTGAAGAATAGGGTCCGCGCGAGCGTTTGCAACAACTCTCAGGGCGCGGGCAACCTTTGACGTATCGCCATCAAATGACTGGGTTCGTTAGCACTGTATCAGAAGAAAACAAAAAGCGTTTTAGGCATGGTAGAGAAATCTCACCATCGAAACAGCTACGGCCTCAAGACTGTCAGAATCAATGTTTGCTGGAGCATCAAAAAATTCCAATGCTTCCTCCAGAGTCATGGCCCTATCATTTGCCACAGCCCTGATCTTTTCAGAGTCTCTTGCCTTTGCAATTGCCAAAAGAGAGTTTCTCGCTTCTTCCTTCTGCCGGGGTGCTGATTCGATTCTTGACTTGTAGACACCAATAATGTGATCATCTCCCTCGTTTGTATCTGGATATAAGCCGAAAAACCTATATGCATCATGTATTGCTTTTAAGCCATATTCACCAGAAGAGGTTATCATCACAACTTTCGTCTGAAGGTCAGAACTTTCCCGACCATTTGCAATAGACGACAGGCAATCAAGATAATAAGGTACGTTATCGGGATCACAAGCACACTGTCTATCATAGGCCCATATCAAATAATCGTCTCGAAAATCACGATCAGCACCTAAGCTGATATAGTGTGGGTGGTCTGGTTCGTCGGGGTCAAGATTGATGATACGCGATCTTGTAGGGTAATCGAGATAACCAAGAACAATCTGAATAAAACGCTCGGCAGGTACAGGAACGAAGTTGAAAGCAGTTTTTGAGACTGCCTTCTCGGGAAGTGGTCGTAATAGAAGCTGGAGGCTGATTTCCGTTGTTATATCATCGAAGAAAGGTCTAGTCTCTTCGGTTATTTTTGGTTGTTGCCAGAAGTAATTTGGCTCGCCTCCCTTGAACAACAGTGTTAGTGAATATGACACTGATGATAGACAGGCCAAGATAAAAAATCAAACTTGATGACTTTTGGTTTACTCAATGCCGTTTTTGACAACATAAATCAGGCCTTATGGGGGACTATCAACTCACTTCAACATCCGGCTCTTCTTTTATCGTCGTAAATTCCAAATACTCGAACAGGTCTTCACATTCAGCCCCAAAGGACAATGCGAATTTCTTGTTTCGCTTTGCAATTCTTTTCGGGATTGTTGGCCCTTGCTGCGCGGCTTTCGCATCACTGACATATTGTCTCAGGAACCCTAGAGCTTGGAAAGGCGTGACTGGTGACAGATCTTCATATCTAGTTGGTTCATGATGTATCTCTCTGAGTCCTCGCTCCCGCACTTTGTGGCTATCTAATATTGGTGCTAGTAGATTTATGCTTAGTCTCGGGGTGGAAATGTTTATTTGAACATGGATGGGGCAATTCTTTTGCGAACAACAGAAATGATGCTCTTCGATGATAGGGTTGTACTTGGTTCTGGGTTTTGACAACCGTGATGGTTGGTCCTTTGCATATATCGTCTCGACAAGTTGAAAGTGATGTAGCGGGTTCTTAGGATCTGATAGCTTGCAGGGCGTTTGCCCCTCCTTCCAACCAGTGTAGTCGACTATCAGATCGAAATAGAAATGACAGTCATCGCAAAAGGTAGATACCACGTAGGTACTGGAAGCGTCCGGTGGCACATCATTCGTCTGAGGGTGTACAGATCGCTCTGGGATCTTCTTCAGCTTGTGCCGGCAGTCGTTCTCCCCACGTCTGACGAATGTTGTTTCATCGTCAATTTCCTTCTCTGCTTGATCTGCCAACAAGTTCTTGCCTCCACGGTGTTCTCGTTTTCGCGGGTCGTAATCTAGCAAGTCTTTGATGAGGCGGGGAGATGTTTTTCCTAGAGCCACGGGGTCAGTTGGATTGTTTTACGTGGTAGCAAAGACCAAGAAGAGCATAGCTGGAGGTGCAAAGGATACCAACCTGGGCCAAAGGGCAGACGACGTTCCCCCATTCTGTTCTCAGACCTGCAGCGAACGTCTTCTCCCAAATGTTGTGCCCGAGCGTGCCACACTTTCTACTGCCTTTAAAAAGTCGAAATCGTTCCTAGCTGTACTGAAGTCTGCTCAAGCTAGCTGGCCGTGAATCACGAAAACAGGGACTATGCGTTGGCTAGAGCGGTGTCGTAAATGCGTTTGCGAAACTTGAAGTTACCTGGGCGTTGGCGAATGATACTTTATTGCTCGTGTAACGTGGCGCTGCAAAATAACAAGAGTTCAAAGGTTGATTCAAGGCCCAAACGAGGCTAGACTTGAGCACAAACGAGACCATTAGAATTCAAGATTTGGTATATTCATGTACACTCATTCGCGTTTGTGTACGACGCAGTTGCCTTCATAGGCACCCTAAAAGTAAGCACCTGTACTCGTAGTTGTCGCAAGGCCCAGATAGAGCTCCAATCAGTCCGCTTAGGTCAACAAACGCTCGGAGCTTCGTCGTCAAGCTCCGACCTCCACCGACCAACGTCCTCAAAATAGGAATCAATCCATCACAAACAGAATTGAGAACCCGCCGTTACCGAAATAAAAATGGCGGCCGATGAGGACCATCACTTCCATCCAAAGGATTCGCTGAAGAATGCGACCTACTCGGGCGCTGCCACTGGCGCAGGAGGTCTTTGCTTTGCTGCCATTCAGAACAGCTTAGCCAAGACCAATGTTGGAGCATGGTCAGTTATCACAAGGGGTGGAGGAACAATTACATATTTCGGTAGGGCTCTTCGCTGTTGGTAGATGTTCTGGTAGAGGAAAGCTAACTTGTTACCAGCTGCCATTGGCGGCGCGTACCAGTTTACGATGGATGCCGCTGCCAATCTACGAGAAAAGGACGACAGTTATAACCCAGCAATTGGAGGATTGGTTGCAGGTGCAGTGATGGGCCTAAGATGTAATACACACCCCTCGAACCAACGCAAAGGTTGGCTAACGAGCGTATAGCTCGCTCTATTCCACAAGTACTAGGTCTCAGTGTGATGACTTCCGTTCTAATGGGCGCGTTCGACTACACTGGTGGAGCTTTGACCGGCCCAAAGAAGAACAAGGAGAGGGATGAATTTGAGCACAAGGAGTACCTGAGAAAGAATAGACGCATCCCACTAGACGAAACGATTGCACAATTAGGGGAGGGAAGAGGTAAGCATCAGCCGACTTTTGGTAGCTCAATTTCTAAAACATAGCCTAGGAATTTACGCCCCAGGATACGACGAGCGGAGGCAGCAGAGAATTAAGGAGAACTACGGAATCGATGTACCAGCGAAGTCTACGCATAGCTAGATGGCGCGACTGCTCTTTTGAATTGTATTGTACATATGGATATGTCCCGGCTATGGTCTAGTAACTCATACGTATCGAGTATTCTATACTTGCACGGATCAGTTTCGAGTTGCTTTTGATCCCAATCCCAACCGTACTGGCTGGGGACATATGCGAGGGACTTTTGGACATTTTGAAAACGACAGATTTCGCAGACCACAAATAAGCTCCTCATGCTCAAGTTGCTATGTGGCCGTTGTTTCTCATCGGCCTCCAGAGTGATTTTGTTCGGCATTTTTCTTGTAAGACTGCTAAAAGCTCTTCCAGCTTGTCTCAGTCCCAACCAAATACCTATTTACGCTGTTGGATATCGAGTTGCCAAAGAAGTTGGGTATGGACAGTCTTAGCTACACGCATTTCTAAAGAACCTCTGTATTAGGAAGAACTAACCGCGATGGACAGCTTAATTCCACTATGCTGCAAAGTTATCGTACCTACCTAGGCGTGGCTTGGCATGCCTGTAAATAAATCACGTGCTAAATATTTGAGCATCCACGAGAGGAACCGGGTTTCTACCCCGCAATTTTCTTAGGCTGACCCCACCCCCACCAGTCTCTGATATCTAGTTTTGATGACACTTAGAGTTGATGTACTAAATATCTTGACGTGCAGAGATAGTGGCGCTCTCGAACATTGAGTCTTAAACACCAGAATCCCTAGTGCGGATAGTATATTCACTGCAGCGAAAAGCAATCGAGACATCAACAGAATATTGAGCTATAGATTTGAACTTCCATCCTCGTCTTACTGGGAATACTCAGATACAATAAAAATCCACTAGGGAACGGAACATCAATATCTAGCCTCAAATTAAACTGTAGTGTTTGCATTAAGTGTTCAAGCAAGATGGCAACTGGCGTGACCAAGGAATTCGACCGCGGTGGACCACAGTCCGATGTCAAAGAACGATTCTATAAGTACTTCCAGGAAGCTTGCATAGGTAGATCAAAAGCTTGCCTCATTATAACCGTACTGACACTATTTAGAAATTCAAGAACAGATCGGGCAGCTAGAGTCGCATGCTATAGTTGGTGGTGAGAGAAAAGATGCAGTGGATCATCTCAACGCCCGAATATCTAGGCTGTCGGACGATGTCGCAGATTTAACAGGTTTCGTACCTCCATATGACCAACGGATCTATTCACAGGTAACAGAGATCGCGCCGCCTAATGAGCCAGACTGACAATTTTAGGCTATCAAGGGACTTGTGGAGAAACTCCAAGAAACTCGTGCAAAATTTGATCCTAAACCGAAATTTGCGTTCAAAACTTCACAGAAAAATGGTTCTGCAGTGTCCATTGGCGACGCAGCAGAGCTTGCCAGTCAACAAAATCGATTGAAAACCAAGTTTTTGTCTTCTAATGACTCGTCCATGGCCACAACACCAGCCAGCCTCCAGACACCACCTGGCGAACCCAGAGATGTAGTGGGAGAACTGCCTGCATTTTCAAAGAATTACAACCAAGAATTGGGAGCAGCTGGCCCTGGTGGACCAATAAGGAAGCCCAGCTTTTCCCAAGCTTCCAATGTTAATATATCTGGCCACACTGGACTCCATATCATCCTACCATCTTCAGCATCACGTGCGACTGCTTCAGGTAGCTTGACGGCATTGAAGAGATGTATAGTAGATATGTCTGTTCCTACAGCTAATGGAGCTCCTTTCGCCGGCTTGGCTTTGAAGAATATCAGGCAATCCCTAATCATAGCTGGTAATGTTGCTGGAGCGGCACATATTACCAACGTCGTGGATAGTATCATTGTGGTCAATTCGCGGCAGGTTCGGATGCATGATTGCAAAAATGTAGATATTTATCTTCAATGCACCAGTCGGCCAATTATTGAAGACTGTTCCAATGTTCGATTCTCTCCTATCCCCAAAAGCCAGGTCGGTCTGACCTCCGATATCTCTTTGCCTACGCTAATCAGAAACCAGGGAGACAGTACAGTGGAATCGACGAACCAGTGGGATCAAGTTGATGACTTTAAATGGCTCAAAATGGAACATAGCCCTAATTGGAGTGTTTTGCCAGAGGAAAAAAGACTCGGAGAAAATATTTGGACAGATGTCGTTCCGGGCGGACCAGGCGTTGGTCTTGAGGATATCTTAAAAAAGATCGGAATTAATGCTTATTAAGAGGAGTAAGACAATGAATAGTCTGATGATAGTTTAGCTTTTCATACATCGTATTGTAAATTTGAGCCGTGGCTGATCCAGATCTCCGTCCTGGCTGCTCCAATGGAATCCGAAATAGTTCCCCTTTGCTTTCTGACAATGAATACGTTGTGTACTTATAGCCATTTCCTGTCGTAGGGACAGTACTCGACGTAGCCAGTCCTAGAATTCGATCACCTCTGTATATTATGCTACGCGGGCCTACCCGGTATTCAGGATCGCGACTTCCATGCCTATGTCCTGGTGCTCTGTGGCTGCGAAGCGATATCTCTGCCAGCTAGCTCAGTAGCTTTCAGCATGGCGGTGCTCCACATTGTCTTGTTCCCTCACCGTCACCAATCCACCAAGAGCAACAGTCTAGACTTGTGGGCCGTCCCCTTAATCCAATTCGCTTAGCCGGATGATTCTATTCCATTGAAATATCAAAGATCTTTGTAACCACCAGATTACTTCTCCTTCTCTGTTTTGACGGCGTTACCCACATCTGCCAGTCCTCTCAAGACCTCTTTCTGCTCCCTGATCTTCTCCTGCAATTCTCTGATTTCCTCCTCCTGCTCCGCGATGGTCCTTTCCACGTCTGGGAACCCCTTCACTTCCTTCCGCGCCTTCTGTAGCTTATGTTTTACGCCATCAGTTGCAATGGGGATGTCCTTTAACCTCAAGGGGGCCGTTGGATCCGCGAGTGAGGGTGTGTTAATGGAAGGTGTCGCGGCTGGTGGGGAGCCGGCGGCACCTGAGGAGGCGGGTGGCTGGAGTCGTGAGAGGAGGGCATAGAGAACGGGAAGTGTGTCGATTTCCAGAGATGCAGTCGAGGGTGGTGCGAATTGAGGAGGGGTCGCCATATTGAATGAACTATCCTCAAGCCTCTAGAATATATCTGAAGTCTGGCCAAGCGAGCTCTGTGATGCGATGCCGGACTCAGTCATACAGTCGATGATATATCTTGTAATGCTGAAGTTGCTTTTTGAATTGTTCTTCGTTGTTGGAGTCACATCGAAATGTCGACTGCGGGAGCAAGGGTTGATGCTTCAAGGCTAGTCGTGCTAGTGCCCTGTGGTGTAGCCTTATCGGGGCGATTGATTGCTTTTGGAGGGGCAAGCTTGGAAAACCCCCACCTCAACAGAGTCTACCTGCGTCAAACAAATTCGTTTCAGCTGTCTTTCGTCCTAAGAAATCCCTCATTTATAGATTTCCTTACACCTTAGTATATTTTTACCCAAGAGTCACCTCTTGTGAGTAAGTACTAGCTTTTTCTTTCCCCGAAATTCATCTTCACAGTGAATAAAGCGCAAGCATAGCTGACACAGCCTAACTCAGATTCGCCAAAATGACCGTGGATAATAAAGCCTGCTTAAGTACGTTCCACGTATCCTTTATCTCCCCTTCCGCAATCAAAGCACACAATAGACACGACTACTATCTTTTCCCTATGTCGCACAATTTCGTCCTTGTGGTTGCTCTTTCAATTGGCAATGGCGCTCAATTATCGCACACCCGAATCCCCGAGAGCGAAAATCATAAGATACCCGTCGAACGCGAAGAAGAAGACAGACTACATACTCGCCTTTCTTTTTGTTCTCTTGTATCTGGAGTTGGCATGGCTAACGGTGATGGTATGGCGTAGTTGTTATTGACGGTTGGGGAATTCCGTCGGAGTCTTCTCCCAAAAATGGCGACGCAATTGCTGCCGCTGAAACACCGGTGATGGATGCTTTTGCCAAAAATGCAGATGGATACACTGAGCTTGAAGCCTCCTCTCTTGCTGTTGGGTTACCAGAAGGTCTAATGGGAAACTCTGAGGTTGGGCATTTGAACATTGGTGCCGGTAGAGTTGTTTGGCAAGATGTTGTGCGCATTGATCAGACTATCAAAAACAATGAACTCAACAAGAATGAGGTTATCATGAAGGTTTTCAACGATGCTAAATCCGGCAATGGTCGTCTTCACTTGTGCGGACTGATCTCTGATGGTGGTGTGGTGAGTGGAGTTTACCTCAGATTGGAAATTTGCCAGACTAACACATATCTCAGCATGCCAAGCAAGATCATCTTTACGCACTTCTCAAGCTTGCCAAAGAAGTCGGAGTTCCAAAAGTATTCATTCACTTCTTTGGTGACGGGCGTGATACCGACCCAAAATCTGGTGCTGGGTATATGCAGGGCCTCCTTGACCAAATAAAGCAGATTGGCATTGGTGAAATCGCCTCTGTCACAGGGAGATATTATGCTATGGACCGTGACAAGCGATGGGAACGAGTTGAAGTTGGTCTCAATGCTTTGTGCATTGGAGACGGCGAGGAGAGCAGTGACCCAGTAAAGACAATTAAGGAGCGCTATGAGAAGGGTGAGAACGATGAGTTCTTGAAGCCAATTATCATTGGTGGAAAGGAAGCCCGTATCAGCGGTAAGTTTATCGAACAATTTTTTGATTGAGGAACTAACGATTTTCACAGAGGGTGACCAAGTATTCTTCTTCAACTATCGATCAGATCGCGTGCGGGAAATTACTCAATTGCTCGGTGACGCTGATCGCTCTCCTCTCGAGGACTTCGCCTACCCAAAGAACATTACGCTCACTACTATGACACAATACAAGCTGGACTACCCATTCCCAATTGCTTTCAAGCCACAACACATGGGTAATGTTCTTGCTGAGACCTTGGGTGAACAAGGCGTTGAGCAAGTACACGTCGCTGAAACCGAGAAATATGCTCACGTAACCTTCTTTTTCAATGGTGGTGTTGAGAAGTCTTTCCCTCTCGAGACTAGAGATGAATCTCAAGATTTAGTACCATCGAATAAGAGCGTTGCGACATACGATCTAGCACCAGAAATGAGTGCAATGGGTGTTGCTAAGCAGGTCTCCAAGCGTATCGCGGAGGGTAAATTCCCTTTCGTCATGAACAACTTTGCTCCTCCAGATATGGTTGGTCACACCGGTGTTTATGAGGCTGCTATTGTTGGTGTCGCCACCACCGATAAGGGAATTGGTGAGATCTACGAGACTTGCAAGAAGGAGGGTTACTTGCTCTTTATCACCTCAGATCACGGGTAAATCTCTTCCTGATTCTGTTCTAGTACACACACTGACATTTACAGAAATGCCGAAGAAATGAAATTCGAGGATGGAAAACCAAAGACCTCCCACACGACTAACAAAGTTCCATTTGTCATGGCTAATGCACCAAAAGGCTGGTCATTAAAGAAGACTGATGGTGTCCTTGGTGATGTCGCACCGACGATTCTCGAGGCAATGGGCCTTAAGCAACCAGAGGAGATGACTGGAAAGAGTCTCCTGGTGAAAAGTTAGAATACCCTACCTAGTCTTGCATTATGCGAATCTTTTCACTGTTTTGAATTTATGACCCCTTGACTCTTTTGCATCTGCCATTTATAAATTAATGAAGCTAAATTTTGGCTGGCTGCAGGTAAAAAGCGTGCGCATGACGAATAGATTCACGACTGACGACCGAGCTTGTAAATGACTGAAGCGTAGATGGAGTTGGGAGAGTGGTAAGGTGTAAGGATTGAATTGGGTAGACGGGTCTAGGTATAGAAAAGCACTGATGAATGGAATGGGTGAGTTGGTATATGAATCAATAGAGTAAATTATAAGCGGCATGCCCCGTAGCCTTTTATTGCGTCTAAAACCTGAACTGCCTGCCAAGTGTTAAGGTACCGATCACAGCACGAAAAATGGTGGAAAGACAGTCCAAATGACTTGAAAGCCTTAATATATCTTCTAATTTCTTACGTAGTGTATGTCCAAGTTCTAACAAGTTCGACAAAATATCTAATCCAACCCTTATCCCAAAACAACTCTTCATCAAGTCGTATCCATCTTCTCCCCCTCGCCCGCCTCCACAGCAGGACCCTCAATCTTCCTCATCTGATAAGCCATCATCCCCCAAACAATCTGCATGGCCTCCACCCTCTCCTCCGCCAAAAACAAATCATACCATTTACTCCTCCACATCACAACCCTCTCCCACTCCCTCGTCCCACCCTCAAGCACCTCCAACAACGCCTCCGGAACCCTCACGCGGATAATGGAAACGTGATGGTTAATCGCCGACACCAAAAAGATATCATCGTAGCCCTGGCTAGGTACTGGTTTACCAATCGGCATGTACCGCGTGCGCCGGTCCCATGTCGCGGACGGCGGCAGCATCTTGCGGTAGTTCTCGTAGATTTGCATGTTCCCCTCCTTCAACCTTTTCGCACGCTTACCCGGGAGCGAGGCGTTGATGCCGAACATGCGTTTTGTTTCGGCGGCGATGGAGCGGAGGGGCTCGGAGACTGCCGGGGGCGTGGCTTCTTCGACGGCGCTGGCTAACTTGGTGGTAGATGATGGCTCGTCGGATTTCTCAGCTTCGCGGCCGATGGGTCCGCCGGGCCCGCCTCCCCAGCGCGGTTTGGTCGCCCACCAGGCGTTCTCGCCGAAGCGCTTTTCGGTTCGGCCTGAGCGGGAGCGATGTTGGGCTGTGAGGAGGACGGCGACGACTTCGCGGGCGAGATCGAGACGGGATTCGGCTTCGGTTGCGAAGACGGTGCTGGTGCGGCAGGAGATGGAGGCGACGGGTCCTTCTACGATGCCGCCGCGGGCGGAGGAGCGGTCGGTGGGAGTGCGGAAGATGAAGGTTGCGGAGGAGTTGAAGTGGGATGTTGGTTTGGAGGGGGAGGGTGGGGTGAGGTAGAGACGGGGTTCGCTGCGGGGGAGAGAGACGTTGCAACCAAAGTCGTAGGCGACGAGTTTGACGAAGGAGGTTAGGAGGTGTTGACGGTATTCTGGGGGGAGTTGGGCGCCGTTGCCGGTGCGTTGATGAGTGGAAAGATGAGCTGGGACTGGATCCTCTTTTGAGAAGAGGTCGATTTCATCTGTTCCCTTTTCTCCATCTTCGGATGAGGGGAGAGGGTTTTCAGATGATGTCGCTTCTGGCTCTTCCTTCCTCGGCGGCAACGACGTGTCGTCCCAAAAGCCCGAGAAGAATTCCAGGTTCTTGAAGAACTCAAATGCATGACCCAGCCGTGCTGCAGATTCCCCAGTTGGTGGTGGGATGCGTCGGATGCTACGGAAAGCTGCCGTGTTGTCTATCCTCAGCTCATCTTGACGCTCTCGGTAGGTCTGAACGCCTGGAGAGATGTTACCATTGCAAAGGGGTCTCCTTGTCGCGTCGTTTGCTTCTTGTAGATTGTCTGATTCAATAGCGTTCCATGCCTTGATCGGTGGCAAATAGCTAGGCTCAGGGATGATATCTTCTGGTTTTGAATCTGATATCACGTGGAGACCGAGTGCCTCGAAGTGATCGAGCTTGATGTCTGCTGGTCTTTGAATCGTCTGGAGCAAGGGGACCAACGGTTTCTGCAGTCCATTTGACGATCCTCTTGGCTTTTCATCTGCAGTAGGTGCGCATTGTGGAAACCTCACAGGCGTCTGAGGAGGAAGTTTTCGTGGCGTGGCCGTTGGTGTCGACGAGGAAGGTTGAACTACGAAGTGTGTGAGTGGTACCCAGAAACGATCCTCGACCAAAGCCTAGATGCCAATGCGAGTTTGGTCCATATGACATAAGAAGTACAGAATATATGAAACGTTTAACGTGCAAAAATGAAAGACATTGTGCTTGAGATGGCGAGGCCCGTCTGATGAATATCTGAAGGCATAATTTTGCTGTCTATCAACCATGCCTTAGCGGTGAGAGGGACGAGTCGCTGCCAAACGAGGATGCTCTTGGTTGCCAGGCTCTGCGCTTTATGTAGATTGGTGTGATGAGAAGAAACATCGTGGAGAGCTTACAAGCGCTGGGTATCGTTGCAAACATGACTAACCCCTATACGAGTCTAGGTACTGCACCGGCCGGTAGTCTCTGATGTTGCGAGAATTGGAGGTTGAAAGCTCAGACGATGTTATTATGAGTCCATGCTATCGACTCTACTGTAGCGACTCTATCAATGATGCTTTGGTGAAATGATACTTTTGAATGACCTTTGCTCCCTTTAGAGCTCGTCTCTATCGGTCGAAACGATTGCGGCTGGACTTTGTGGTGTTGTGGTTTGGAGTGGCTTCGCATTAAGGTTTGTCGTGTCATAAAAGGCGCGGGTTTAATGCACGTCCGCCAGAAGTTACAGGGGTGATTGTTGGCGAGTTGGGAATAATCTTCATACGAACTGAGTTGGCGTGAAGAGTTATGAACGCGATATACAAATGATACTACATTGTTGTCTTTTGACCTGAAGATTCATTCGATGTGTTCAATATCTTGTAATTGGCAGCGTTAGACTATTCATAATGTTATTGTAGATTAGTCCCAACATCAACATCTAATGGTTGGTGGTTGCTGGCCGCTTTGCTGTATCTTACCCCACAGCTGCTGAACTTATCGCCTATCTGCTGGTTTAGCTAAATGACCTACTACAGTAGGTAGGTAGAGATAGCAATTCCTATTACATTACTCGAGTAAACTATCAACATTATATTTCCATCCATCAAATAGGGCAAGTACGTTTTCTCGCAACTCTGTCTGCACCACGCGTATTCTCTGAACAGGCTTTATCTTTAAAGGCACAAAGTATTTCTATGCTCTGGCTCTGAATCACTGATTACATTCGCTTACTCCGGACGTGTAGGAGTTTTGAAAACGACGAGACTTGGCTCAGATGACATGATATATCTCTAACAAAATCCGAAGACCGTGAAGCATAGACCTAGTAGCAATCTAGACAAGACAAGCCATGTACAAAATACATCAGAAGAACATGATTCTGTATGTGCGAGCTGTGGCGTTTGCAAGTATCTTCAAGTACCGCTGTCCTGGGACTAAGACCTATGGATCCGCCAGTGTTTCCCCGTTTGTCGGTGATCCTTCTCCGGGAGATCGTCCCCGCTGTTTTGCTCCTTCTACCGGTTTCCATTGGTGAAGCCTTTGCCGCTTTGACAAGCGAGGACGGACCGTCAAAGGCACAACGGCCATTTGACTGGACATCCCGACTTCATCATGGAAACATCATTTATTCTTCAACCGCTCACCCAGGCGAATGTGATGGATCTCATTGCTACAGTATTACGAATTCACGATCGACAGGTTTGAATGACTGCCTATTGGCGAGAGAAGAAGCGTATACTTTCTTTGCTCGAATCGCTTTCCTCTTTCGCTTCCCTTCCTCTTTCTACCTCATCTCTTTCCAAATCCAAATATCTTCTTCCACATCATGGCGCTTGATCATGATATTCTGGTCTTCGGAACAGCCCTCTCCAAGAACATTCCAAGTTGACAGTCACCGCCAGTGCGGCAGTGCCACACAAAAACCTTAAAGTTCCAAGCTGGATTGATCGTGCGCAGCGTCAAAGTCGTCTCAGAAGGCCATCACCGGTCTCCCGCGCAGGGTATCGCAGGGGCTTGAAACTCGACCCCTCCATCACCAAACTCGGTCCATCTTCAATGGCCAACGACAGTCCGCCCTCTCAGACTCCCGTTCTGTCCTCCACCAAGGAATCCCATTCAGATCATGTCCCACTTGGACGTCTAGCGTTTGAGGTATGGAGATGCTCGTTTCTCCCATCACTCCACACTATTCCTTCTGTCCTTCCATACCGATACTGGCTTTCGCACTTTCGCAAACATCCCATCGTCGAACTATGCCGCCTACGACGACGAGGACGTTGAGGGATTCTAGGACGGTGATTTGATCTATGGCTTGACGCCTTATCTACAGAACCTCGCCTTGACGGTTGACGTTCTCTTTATTTGTGCGCCTTGCACGCGCCTTTACCTTCATTATGGCGAACCTGCCGGCAGGTAATTTCATCACCAATGTAGCTGGAAAACAATGTACAGCCGTTCCACGATCAATAGGAGGCGGAGGAGGGGGAGGAGGAGGAGCGGCTTCAAGTGCTGCAGCGGTCACCACGACAGCAGCGGCAGATACAACCACGAGCACGCCGCCGCCAGCAGCAGAAACGACAGCAATTCAACCACCGCCAGTAGTGCCGCCAGTTGCAGTTCCGACAAGTGCACCTTCTCCCCCATCACCACCAACTCCACCAAACCCACCATCTCCTCCATCTTCACCTCCGCCTGGGCCACTTCTCTCAGCACCGGCACCACCGCCACCTCCAGGAGCTGCTAAGACTTCTTCATCCACTTCTGTAGCCGCGGCCCCTCCATCTTCAACACCGATCCCTTCTCCAACTTCACTAACTCCCGTGGAGAGCCCTACCTCTGTCGTGTCGCCCATCGCTGTACCTGTTACCACGAGCGCCCCTGAACTCAGCTCTGCGACCACGAAGCCCCTATCAATATCGAGCTCTGTCCCACTCGCGAACTTAACCCCAAGACCTGTGATTAGTTCTGAAAGTACTGCGTCAAAATCTACAACTCCGACGACATCTTTTGGTACTCCTTTAGCGCAGCTTCAGAGCGACCTTCGGTCAAATGTAACCCCTTCTCCTACTACTTTCTCCACAGAACAAGCTAGTAAGACCGGGCTGAGTTCTCTTGAACTATCTCTACCTACATCGAGTTCGAATTCTGTACCTGGAACTGAGGCTTCCGCTACAGACGGTGGAATCTCGTCAAACCCTAAAGCATCAGCTGCGCCATTGGTGGGTGGTCTTTTGGGAGCCATGGGGTTCATTGCCGGAATAGCGCTGTTGTTCTTCTTCTTGAAGAAAAGGAGAGCTAGAAGGGATTCTTTACTGACACCAATGGATTCTGGCGCCCAAAACGATTTCTACAGAGATGAGAAATCACAGCGGCCTGCTCAGTTTGACGAGAAATGGGACCCAGATATGACGAATCGGACTCAAGGAAGTCATATAAAAATTTCCGCTGCTGCATTCACGTCGAAAGTAGTAGGAATAGGCGCCACGATCAAAGCAAAGGTTATCAGAAATCGGAGTGCAAGTCCTAGTGTGAACTTGAACCGAGGAAACTCTCAATTCTTGGATGGCCCTATCCCACAACACTCCCGTAACAACTCGATGCTTTCTGGAAGTACCAACAAGCTCGCCGCAAAGGATCGTTTTACCAATTGGATTTCCCGAATTCGGGACGGCGCTGCTCAGAAAATTGGGTTGCGAAAGGCGAGCAAGCCTTTCGATCCCTTTGCAGGCGCTCGTACTGGTAGCCAGAAGCAAACTCAGTCGAATCCTCAACCTGACTTTTCACAGCTTCTAGGGATGGATGATAGAGAACTTCAATTAGAATCCGAACGTCGACGTGCCAACCTGGGGAAAACTCAATCGAACTCATCCCTTCCACCGCTTGGAAGTTTGGGTCTAAGTTTCTCGACCATGAAAGATGTCTTTGCGGACCCCGTCAAAGCGCCTGCCCCCAATTCAAACCCATTCACGGATCCAATCGTTCAGCCCAAGTATCCATTTGGAGAACCTGTATCTACACCACAGCCATCAATGGCCAAACAGAACACTTATGTCGCTGACGTTAGACGATCCCGTGGGCAATCCCTAGACGCTGGCGGAGCATTACTCGTTGCCAATACCAGACCACCATCTGGCGAGCCCGTCTCCAGATATCCCTCCAGTATTGCCCCAAGTCACGATAGCTACCGTGATACTGTCTTCTCCTCGTTTTCGGCCAATGTCCGTAAAGGGAAAGGCCGATCTGATCCATTTGACCTCGAGCGTCCGGAACTCTGGCAACCGCCAAATTCCGGACCTCCTAATCCACGGGCATCCGGACGTCCCCGAGGAGCAAGCATATCTAATGTCAGAGGGAGCAACGCGCGTCTTCCTCCTCTGACAACCAGCAATCTGCGCACTCAAGATCCATCTGGTTATGGCCAACCACGTGTAGTATCACAAGCAGATGCATCTAGAAACTCAAATACTGGTACTTATGAAAGCAAGTACAGCAGCGGAGTTTCCAGCCTTGATGCCTGGGGTGATCCTGGACCGGATCTTGGCCCTGGAAGCACGAATACAAGTATGAGAGGGAATGTGAGCAGCAACGGAGGTAGTCAAGATTTTGGCCGAATGGGCGTTGGTGCTGGTGATGTCAGCCCTCTCAGCGTCGACAGTGGTCGGGAAAACAAAAATCGTGTCGGCACAGCAATGTAGTAGTGGTTGATGAGCTTATTAGCCCTTACCGTAAGACTAATATGTTAATTCAGCATCCGCTGCTCAGAGACTACGCGTCTTAAGTTCATTGATTGGGTATTTTCGAGATGCAAAAGGGACAGACAGTGTAGGAGCATAATGAACCACACTCTTTCAACTGTCATCCCGCCTGATGAGGTTGGTGGAAAGGGAGGTCCTCGGTAATGGTGTTCTGGGTCCACATTAACTTATAACTTCTTTTGTTGGAGGGTATATTGAAAAGCTGTTGAGATTTGGGGAGCGGATATATGCATTGGCGTAAGTCTTTCCATGTACATACAGTGCTGGGTGAAGCAGCAGAAACGAGGAGGATTCGATCTAGGAACAAGGGTTTCTTTTCTCGATTTTTTGTGTGTTAGATTAGGATTAGGATTTTTTGTAAGGACGTAGATATTAGCTTTTAGTATCAAGATATTTCTCATACATGTGCTTTGCCTTTTCGGATGCGAACGTGAAGTGGGCATGCCGCACTGGCAGTGACTTTCCATCTGAGTTCCAGAATAAAGATATTCTCAAGCTATGTATTAGGTATTACACATCTTTGACACTCAAATCTCACCACAATATTCTGCTTGACAGAAGGGTTGTCATTTAGTTGGGCAGAGGCTACATTCTGTTCAGCTGATTTAAGAAAAAGAGGTCCGAACGACTTTTTAGAAACAACGTACACACATGTCGATGCGGTTGACATTATACGCGGCAGTCCCGAGTTTTGCTTGATCATGTTGACACAATATCACATATTCCGTCAATTACGTTGACAGTTGTCATATAATTCGTCAACTTGATTGAATGGCCATCTGGTATTCCATCAGTCGACTTGAAACAACCGCACATATTGCGTCAATCAAGCTAGCGGAATGTCGCACATCTAGTCTATTAAATTGACACAACATGGTGTTTCGTCGATGATTTCCAGCAAATAAGACATTTTCAGACACGATGTTAAAAAAGTTGAAAAAACTAAGACTTACGACTAACTAAAAATTGACCGAGTCACAATCTAGGAAAGCTCCTCCCCCTCACATAATCATCACAAAACACCCTACTCCACCCCCTCAATCTTCCCCAAAACCCCCTGCACAACCCGACTCTTCCCCGCAACCATCGCTCCTAGTTCCTTGAAACTCGTATCCCCCAAAATCTCAAAAATCGGCACATCAGCATCCACAGCCTGCGAGAACCAATTCCGCAACTCCACCGCGACGAGCGAGTCCACGCCATACGCATGCATCGGCTTGCTGGAATCCAGGTTCTCAAGGGGCAGCGCGAGGGCTTTACTTAGTTTCGCCATAAGGGCGGCGGAGATGAGGTCTGCGGCCTCGTCGAGGGAGGTGATGGATTGTAGGGTCTTGATGATTGAAGGGCCCGCGGAGTCGTCGGTGTCGGGTTGGGAAGAGCCATCTTTGATACCCCGGATCGCCGTCATGTTGTAGAAATGGCGGAAGGCGGGACGGCGCATGAAGGTTGGGGGGTGGACTGCGTGGGCTTTGAGGGAGGCGGGTACGTCGATGCCTACGACGATTTGGGTTTTGAGGGGGGTTGATAGGGGGAGGGAGGGGTCGCAGTGGTGTTCTAGGAGAGCGTAGAGTTCGGGTTGGGTTATGCTGATGAGGTAGCCTGTTCGTTTTAGGATGCCTAAAAGTCTGGAGTTTTCGGTCAATACACCGTCGTCGACCATCACGCCGAGGTTGAATGTTGTGGCTTTCTCGCCGATGTCTACGCGGTGGCGGGCGAGCGCATCTTGATAGGAACATCCTGCGGCGTAATTGGATTGTGTGGTTGACCCAACGGCGCCGGCTATGGATGACAACATGATGAAGAAATCCATACCACGTGGTAGGATTTCATGGAGATTGTGGGAGCCTTGCACTTTTGGTGCTACTGCTGCTGACCAGTTCTGATGGGACATTGTTTCGAAGGGACAGTCGGCTAGGACCATGGAAGACTGGACGCAGCCTTTGATGGGCGGCATTGTCTTCTGCAAATCTTCGATCGTAGTTTTAAGTAACTCGTGATTGGCAATGTCTACCGCAGGCACCTCGACGGACACTCCTTGCTCCTTGAGCTCCTGAAGTAGAGAGTGTGCGGCATCAGTGCGAGGACCAAGTCTCGAGAGGAGAATAAGATGTTTTGCGCCTCGCTTTACCAACCATCTAGCAATACTGCGGCCAATACCTCCCAGCCCTCCTGCTATCAGATAAGTGAGATGCTCTTCAAAAGTCCAAGCAGGTTTGATATCCAGGAGAGTCTGTAGAATTAGCTAGATGTTATGGAGTCGAGACCTGGAGGTACTTACTGGAACCATGTCGTCAGGCCGCATCTCTACAACTGTCTTACCTGTATTCTTCCCTCCTTGGAGATATCGGAATGCATCTTCGACCTCAGAAATACCGTAAATATGAAGTGGTCTGGACGGTTGGATTTTTCCTTCGAACAACAACGAGACTATAGCCTCCTTCAGTTCTTGGCATAAGGCGGGCTTATACTTTTGGACATCTTTGAGATCGATAGCATGGAACGAGACGTTCTTGGCAAATGGAAACATCGGCAAGGACCTGTTCTCAAGGATATCTCTTTTGCCGATTTCAAGAAATCGCCCAAAGGGAGCCATGCACTGCCACGTGCTGATAAGAGAATCTCCGCCGAGGGAGTTGAGAACAATATCAACGCCTCCATTCTTTTCAGTCATTCTCTTAATCCCTTCAGCGAAGGACTGATTTCGGCTGTAGAATATGTGATCCTTAGGAATGTGATAAAGGTCTTGAAGGAGCTGGCTCTTTTCTTCTGATCCAACGGTAACAAATACCTCCGCTTTGTACAGTTGAGCAAGTTGAATGGCTGCTTGTCCTGTGCCACCAGCGGCAGAATGAATCAGGACGGACTCACCCTCCCTAATCCTAGCCACATGACAGAGCGCATAATAAGCTGTTGTGAAGACGGTTGGCAAAGCAGCACCCTCAGTGAAACTCAAATGATCTGGCAGACGCATGACTTGGACCAATTTACATCGACCAAATGTTTGGTAAGTACCCAGAACATTTGCACAGACCCTGTCCCCGGCTTTGAACTCTGTGCAATCTGATCCAACGCGATGAACTGTTCCTGCACATTCAAAACCAAAAAAGTCGCCTTGGAGTCGTCCAAGAGCAATCAAACAATCTCGAAAGTTCACACCGCTAGCATGAATCTTAATCTCGACTTCGTCAGCACTCAGTGCTGTAATTGCCTCTTTGTCTTCGATGAACTCTAGAGTATCTAGCAATCCAGGAGAGCCAATGCTCAGCTTAACAGGTACATCACCGCTGAATGTTTTCGGCTGACGTTGTCGAGTTAACATTCGAGACGGGATCTCCTTGTTAAGATACTCCGCTTCAACGAATCTTCCAATACCCAATATCCCATCAAGCGTTACGTACTCGGCCTCACAATCATCAGGAGATGCGTTAGCTGTGTTTCCATAGACCTGCATAATCGATTCGACATAGGTCGAAGGGTTGTTTTGTTTAGTCTCCAGCGCAAGTGTGACAAGTTTCATCTTAGGCCTCTCCTGACGAACAGTTCTGGCAAGCCCGTTGATAGTATAAAAGTCCGGTGATCCTATAAACTCGCCGCCCCCACCAGTGACCCAAATGACATTTTCGACGCTTGTGAGGAGTTCGCGAATCGACAAGAAAATTCCAGAGTTGATGTCGCAAAGAACTGGACGGTCAAGTTCATTGAGAACGAAACAGAAAGAGCTTGCAGTTTTACCAGTCGATGAGGCATCTTTTAGTGATGAGATCTCGGTAGATGAGAAGCCGGAATCCTCAAGCCTCTTTTGCAAGTCTTGGGCGATATTTAGTTGAACGGAAGAAGTTGCGTCGATAATAATTCGACCACTGACAGCAGCTGTTTGAGTGGTAACTTTGGGTGACGAGCCCAAGGCTGTTGTGATGAGGGCACTGAACTCATGGAATTCCTCGTCGACATAGTCTGGTACGTTCACATCTAAGCCAGAAAACCCGACTTTTAGGAATATTTTATTCCAGACGTCCGGCGTAACTAACGCGCTCAAGTCACGGTAATTATCGATCGCTACAAACAAAATGTCAGCAAGCTTCCAACTATTTCCAATTATTTGCAACAAAAGCCTACCTCGCCACCAGCCTGGCAATAGACCAAAAGCAAACCCGCTCTTCAACGCCTCTGGGTTCATTGCCTCAACCAGCATCAACTTTCCTCCTCTAAGTTTACAAATTAGCTTCTTTGCACTTAAATTCCAAGGGAACTTACACTGTGAGGAGCTTTCGCACATTTGCCATCGATTCATCGAGGCTCCTGGTTGCATGGATAACCTAGGCCAGTTAGTAACGTCGAACTGTTTGCTTCCAGGTACTTACGTTATCCGCAATAATCAGGTCGTAGCTCCCTTCCTCAAACCCTTGTGCCGTGGGATCCTTCTCAATATCCAGATTCTTGAAGGTAACTCTGTCCTCCATCCCGACAAAGATCTCTTGAGCGGCATTAAAAAAAGACGATGACACATCTGTATATGTGTAGTGCTTGAATCTAGGAACCCGTGATTCGTGCTCGCCATACTGGTTCAAAGTCTTCAAGATAGCTCGTGTCATTCCCCCAGTTCCGGCTCCGATTTCCAGTATTCTGAGATCTGGTCGTTTGTGCACTAACGCATCCAGATATTTCAAGAAGGATTTCACGTTCTTTGTCATCTCGTTGGTTTCCGTATAATAATCCTTGACAAGAGTGGATCCGAAAAATAGGTTCAAGGCATTGACTTTGCCGTAGAGAATGTTCGTGATATTCTTTCCAACCTCCACAATAAATTTGCCAGTCAAACTGCGCTGTCGTACCGTATCGAAAAGATTCCCTATAGCACTTTCATCATCTAGCATCAAGCTTAGCTCACGAAATTTGTCTGGTTGGATGTGTCGTCTTCTGTGTTCCATCCATCTGATGTACTTCTGCTGATGCTTCGCGAAATCCTTCTGATCGACTGATCCTATCTCTTTAAGACCTAATAAAATGCAAAGATTCATGGCGAGCTCCCACTCTCTGTGAAGGTCCTTATTCGGTGCTACGAGAGAGCTAGAAGCTCGTGTATATTTTTCGAACGCTGGTTGGTCCAGGAAGTCAACGTCTGGTCTGTATTCCATATTGAAACACCGGGTTGGTGGCGGTACGCTCTCCGCGGGACCTCCTGCACCCAATGCGATCATCTCATATCCTTCCATAAACATGAGGGCCCGCTGCTCCGATGAGTCAAGTGCTACAGCGGTCGATTGAACCTCTCGAAAACCACGCGACAGACACACGCTTGTCGCCTTAATTGATGAGTTTTCGGGATTGCTCAAACCCCCATGCGCGACCCAAAGCTTTTTGATGCTGGCTGGAACAAAGCTGGATATGCTCTTTCCGCCCCCTTCGGACATGGCGAGATATGGGAGCTGAAGTAGACCATCCAAAGCTGTCGGGTGTACGACGTAAGGCCGCTGATAAGATTCGCCATGTTCTGATTTCCAACTATGCAGCTTGATGTCCGCAATTGCCTCACCTTCCAGACTGAAAGATGCATTTGCGACAGATTGAAAGGCGGGGCCAAACCCTAAGCCAGCAGAATCGAACGCCTTATAAGCCTTTTCCATGTCTACACTAATGTCACAAGAGACGGTGCGATGGCGCAAAAGATGTTGGAAGGCAGACAAACTCTGTTTTGACTCTCTCCCTTCGTCCACCTCTGTGACTTCTACTTCGTGTTCAACACTGATGGATCCTCGACAGATCTCGGCCCAATTGTCTTGCTCACAGACGTAGAGATGAAACTCTTCCCAAATAGCATCCTTGTCCGAGGCGTGTCGGGTCGGCCGGAGGTGGAACTCTACCTCAACACCATCAGAATCCGTCGTCAAGCTTAGTGACTTCAAAAAGACGACATCTTTGATCGTGTAGCCACGGATATCGATTTTCCCTCTTGCTTGAGACATTTGCGTTGCGGCTTCGATAGCCATGACAAGCATAGCGGCTGCTGGAAAAAGAACAATCTGAAGAATCTTCATTTACGATCATTAGTCCAAGTTTCTGTCAAAGGCACTAGGGGAGATCTTACCTTATGATGTTCTAGCCATTGACTTTCGGCAAGTCTAATTTTTCGACGCCAGATGGCATGCAATGGATTCCAATCAGGGACGGGAACACCAAGGAATGGGTTACGAGGCTGACTTCGTAAACGATAATTCTTGCTGATTCTCGATTCGCGCCAGAAAGACCTTGAGTGATCAAATGGGTATTCTGGAAGGTCGTTCAAAATGGGCGGTAAAGCGTCTGAGGACGATTGTCCGTTGACCTTACCGAGGTCGACTGGGTAGCCTCGACAGTACAGCAAGCCCACTGTGTCGAGCATGGAGTCAGCTGCAGAAACAAAACGGGTAAGAGTAGATGAATATTCCACTGTCGTTGATTTTTTACTGCTCTTGATGATTTCTCGTATTGGGGCTTGCAGTGCGGAATGCGGTCCTATCTCGACGATGCTGCCTACTGACTGCAAATTGAGAACCTGTAGAAGTGCTTCAGAAAAGCGTACGGGCGATACGAGGTTGTCTGCCCAATAAGCAGGCTGCTTGAGCTCGTCTGATGTTACGATTTCGGTCGTAACTGAAGATACCATTACCACGGGATTGGATTTGTCCTGGCTTGTGAGAGTCCCCAAAGCTTTCTTATACTCGTCAACCATGCCATTCAAGAAAGGAGAATGATACGCAACGTTGACAGCAAGCTTTCGTGAAAAAATATTGTCCTGGTCCAAAAGGGTTTTCAGGAAAAGAATCTGAATTTCTTCGCCAGTGATTGTTAAGCTCTGTGGACTGTTGATACACCCAACGAATATATGAATTTCTCCATGTCGATCTTTCACTTGAAGAAAGTAATGCTCGATATCACGTTCAGACAAAGCGACAGCAAGCATAGTGAGTGCTACTGGGTGCTCGTGAGCCAAGCGCTCAGTGAGGGCACCTCTGTGGAAGGAAACTTTAATTGCCGATTCCCGATCGAGCGCTCCCAAGCAGTATCTTTAGAGGTAAGCAGCTGAATACAAAAATTCGAAGACCAGGTATGCTACTTACGCTGCTGCGATTTCTCCGGATGAATGGCCGACTATAAGATCAGGCTTGATGCCAAAGCTATGGAGAAGATCGAGTACTGCAATCTGGATGGCTGTACATAGAGGCTGGCTAAATGCCGGTTTGTTGACATTTGTGCTCTTGTCGTCTCGTTTGAGCTCCTCTTATATGATATTAGCAGATGCTTCATAGTGATTGTAGGACATTTGCGTCTGACTTACCCAATAAAGACCACCATACGCCAAACTCTTGCAAATGACCGTCCATCAGAGCCAGACTCTCTCGGAACACAGAATACTGCATCAATTCTCGTCCCATTGCATACCATTGTGCGCCCTGCCCCGTAAAGACGAACACCAACTTTTGGCCACTCTGCACCCGCATAGGTTTAGAAACGCTCAGCTTACCTGGACGGGAGATATCGGCGATTGTAGTCAATCTTGTAAAAGATCGCCATATCAGTGAGCTTCGTCGATGGTTTAGAGTGTAGGCTAGGCGCGCAAGATAGTTACGAGTATGGCCGCTGGATTCGGACATCAGAGATTCCAAATGTTCAGTGTATAGCGTTGCCAATCGGGTTATGCCAGGCTCGTCGGAAGCAGAAAAGATGAGAATGAGAGGATGAGAACTTTCGCCTCCCTGGATTGCAGTATATGTTGTGCTTTCGAGGGGATCATTTTCCTTACGGATCTGCTCTGAAATAGCGCAGTCATCGCTGGCCAGTGACTGGCAATCTGACCGAGATACTGACTTCTTTATTTCTATGAAGTCTTCTGAGCATAAGGAAGGATCTTTAACGGCCAACTCCTGGCTGACGGCTGTGGCGCTGGAGCTGTCCGAATCAGACATTTGTTCAGTATTTTTTGTCCAGTCATGACCATTATTGTTAACTAGCTCATCCCTTTCATTCGAGCTGAACGTCAATATGTCGTCCTTCGTCACGCGAGCTGCGTCGCTCTCACAGGTAACGGCTGCGGTGAAAGACTCCGCTGTAGGTTCGACATTGCTGGACTGGACGGTCGAATCAACCTCATCCCGTGATAAGTTCTCATCTTTTGAAGCTTCTCTTTCGGTGAGAGCATCTCTACAAGTGCTATGGTTACCAGTGAGACTGTGACTTAGAAGATAATGGTACGCATCGTCCAAGATCACGTGTGCGTTTGTTCCACCAAATCCGAAAGAATTGACTGAGATTCGCCGCAATCCTACAGATGGCCAGGGAGTAGGGTGTATCGGAAACTGTTAGTTAGCAATGGTTAGCTGAATCCGTATTACTTAAGATATTTCAAGTCCTTTCTCTCTGGTCGATTCCGACCCACCTTTAGATTCAACCCCTTTTCGTCGATATTTGGATTGACGCGTTCGAACCCAGCATTAGGAGGAATAATGCCTTTTTCGAGGATCAGGATACTCTTGATGACACCAGCGATACCACTGGCACCTTCTAAGTGACCGACATTAGCTTTAATGGACCCAATGAACAGTGGCTCATGTTCGCTTCGATATTCTTTGAAAACAGCGCCAAGAGCGCCAGCTTCGATGGGATCTGGTATGCACATGACTTAGTAAATGTTCAACTCGGTAAGGTTACTGTGACAACCAACCGCCTACAGGCGTCCCCGTGCCGTGGGCTTCGACGTATCTCGTCAAGTCCGGAGTGAGACCTGCTCCTCGATAGGTATCTCTTATCAATTGCTCTTGCGCCCGTTGACTTGGCTGAGTTATACCTACAGATTCCCAAAAGAATGGTTATTTGATGCACGTCGAGCCTATAGCTGCGCGACTTACCTGGCGTTCTGCCATCCTGATTTGACCCAGTCCCTCGAATCACCGCTCTGATATTATCATTGTCTTTGAGAGCATCACTTAAACGCTTGAGCACTAGCATCCCAAATCCCTCGCCGCGCGAGTATCCATTGGCGCGATGGTCGAACGAGAAGCACCTACTACTCGGTGAAAGAAAGTTTTGATTGCTCAACGCGATAATCATGTCCGGATTAAAAATCAAGCTACCACCGCCAACTAGAGCCTGTATGTCCATGTCAGGAGATACTTCTGGATTAGTAGCACTCTAACATACCATTTTGCTGTCGTGTGCGATCAATCCACGGCAGGCGAGATGGAGCGCGACTAAGCTGCTGGAACATGCGGTATCTAGGTTGAAACTTGTACCGGTGAGATTTAATGCCCAGCTGATTCTATTAGCATTCATATTGGGAGCAACACCACTGCCAGAGTATTGTCCGGCCGACTCAGGATCCTTGTGAAAAAGAGCCTTATAGTCGTCGGAAAAACTTCCGACGTAGACCGCTGTATTGGTACCGGCGGCGTTTTCCAAGGGGATTCCAGCTGTTGAGTTGTAAGTGGAAGTAGAACTCCTAATGTTGCAAGACCACTTACCATTTTCAAGTGCTCTGTATGAACATTCAAGCAGACCTCGCTGAAGCGGGTCCATCTCTGATGCCTCAGCTGGCGATATTGAGAAAAATGGAGCGTCAAATGCGGAAATATCGCCTTCCAGGAAATGGCCACCTCGAAGTGGAAACTACACCATCCCGTAAGCCTCTTTGCACTGGATTTCGCTTCTTGGTGTCCAAAAGATTCATTTCTGAAACATCTCAAAAACAAACGCCATAGAAGATATGAACGTACCCCATTTAGTTTTGTCGTGTCAGGATCATAAAAATTATCTACATTTAATCTGCTCTGGGGAATTTCTGTCATAGCGGATTTCCTTTTCAGCAAAGTGTCCCATAATGAGTCGAGGGATTTTAGATTCTGAGGAAAGTTGATAGACAGTCCAACGATCGCGATCGCCTCTTGGCCATCTGATTCTTGGACGCATCGTTGCAATCCAGCTGGATCAAATTGATTATGGACTTCAACATCCTCAAATCCATTGCCTTTGGCACACCCATTGGAAGAGTACGAATTGTTTGTGTCCGGCATGCTTCGCGTGATGATTGTTGCGACACGGCACTTATTATCAATAATATATGTTTAAGGGAATATGTAGCAACAAATTTAAAGAAAGGCTGAGCACTAGTCATGAGAATTGCACACTCCTCCAGAATACATGGACTACTACTTAAAACTACAAAAATAAGAGCAACCAGCCAATCTTTAGTGATTATGGATTTTAATTGTAACACATACACAATTCTCATATTCCAAAGTCAACCTTAGAGAACCGCCATGGATCTTCCAACAGGTTTCCTTATCCTCGCATGTGATTGTACTGCAGGGAGAATAGTAGCGCACTCGAATAGACCGATGAATAACACTAAGTTAGGTAACTCTGCGCCTGTGCCTCATTGTGCGAACGCAATCGTATCAAATCCAACTCGCCATGAACAATCGGTGGTAACAACACTACATAAGAAGAAGGTCCACTCTCGTTTACCCCAACCAACCGGCTGTTGTAAAGAGGGTCAATCTGTAAATGGAATCCAAAGTCTCAGATCGTGGGAAAATGGCGTTTCCGAGCAGAGACATTCTACTGGAGTAAAATGGTAATTTACAACATCACAAGCGTTACATGCATACATCCAACTCCAATGGCAGAGAAGTTTAGACGCCAACAACGGTTGTATGCAAGGTGTACGAGATGTGCGATTTGGTCCGCTCCGTGGATCTCGATGTGTCCATCGTTCCGATGCAATGTAACCCCAGAGCCAGATTATGCTTGATCGAATGTGAGGCGCAGATTTTAACCGGGTATGCAATGTCACCTTGTTTGCTGCAATCTATTTGGGCCCCAAAGAATACTGATATGCTTCAATAGGCCTAGACCGGGTCAAGATGAGCGGGGGAGCCTCATATTGTAAAACATATACCGGGAGATGATTAGCCCGCCTTAAAAGTTCTGAGCGCGCCTCATTTATTCAAAATCACAGACGAAATATACGAAAGCCTGTGGTTCGATCGCCATTTTCTTACTTTTTCCAAGAACCTCCAAATTTCATTCGCTACCGTATCATCCTCCTGTTCTCATACATAGTGTTCCATCGCTCGAATATTTTTATTTGTGTAAACCATGCCACAAGTGAGATACAGAAATTTCGGTTGAGATTTCAATAACTGTTTTGTTACCATTGAGTAACCAATCAAATCACTCCAGTTAGGTCATCATCCAAATTAAAGTGCTCGAATCACCAGTATGTTGCAAGACTGATAGGACACCTTCTTGCGATACAATGACCATACGTTCTACTCTCTACCCAGGAGCTACCTTTACTCCAATTTTCAGAGCCAATTTACTATGATGTTCTTTTTAGATAGTACAAATTAGCTTGTTAGGGAACGACTGTTAGGGAAATCGCTTTTGTAGCATCGTTGTACTTGCAGGGTGTTCCCTTAGTCTGGCAACGCACTGGTGGTGGTCGAACATCTTAATGTTATTAGTGCTACACGACTTCTGATCTAGAAGATCTTGAGAATGTGTTTCTGTTATATTTTTTACTATCTATCTTGGAATCTTTCTGGGCGTCTTTTCCCACATAAGGAGAATCGACAAGAATTGCAATGTGGTAAAGCCCAGAACTGCACCAGTTCCAATTTTGTACCCATCAGCGAAGACGAGTCTTACTTTGTCCTGAGTAGGAGGATCCAGAAATTCAATGGCTTGAGTAGTTTCAAGAATAAGCCGAACTGCGTAGGGCGGCAAGATAGATGCCAAACTTGCTTTGACATGACTATTCAGTAAATTGGTGACCATCGATACGCCCACTGTCCCACCGAGTACACGCAATTGAGTAACGCCACTAAGAGCAACGGCTTAAAAAAACCATCAGTATGTATACGGGATTCCGAATTAATGGCTTACCTCGATCAGGACCCTCCACCGCAAATCCGGCAATTGACAGTAGAGTTGTAAGAGTCAGGCCAACACCAAAGCCAACAAGTGCCTCATATCCATACTGAGGTGCTGGCACACGAAGAGAAGTATTTACTGAAAACTCTAAAGCTAACCCAACTGTTTGTAAAATCGTCCCTGCTAACACAACAAAAATTGGAGGTATCCTCAAGCTTGAAGTTAGACCGCCAGTGAGTGCGGATCCAAGAGCACAAGGAAGAGAAAATGGCAGCAGTCTCACGCCCGCATTCAACGAAGACGCACAGTTGACGACTTGAAATCTTTGAGGGTATTCAATTATTATTGCTGTGAACGGAACACCAGCAAATAAAGCAGTTCTGAAAATAATGTGTCAGTCGGTAAGCTAAGTTTAATTGACACCTCATCAAATAGTTCGTCAAATATGGTGTAACACTTGATGAAAATATTATTTAGATGACTTACAAAAAAGCGCCCATTAGTACTCTATGTTTAAGAAATTTCCATGGTAAGACAGGCTCCCTTGCGCTCTGTCGCTTTGCAATGAATCTTTGCCAAGCGAACAATAGCATCCAGCAAACCGCTGAGATGGTAAGAAAGCTGATCACTAACGCAGAAGACCACGCATATTCAGTTCCGGCTTCTTGCAACGCACAGACGAGCAAGAGACTAGATATCAAAAATAATAGAAACCCGGGAAAGTCGATCCGTATGGAAGCATCACGAAACAATGAGTGCTCTCGTTGCAGAGGCTGCTGGTGATTTGGAAAATTTGTTGGCATAGACACTAGGGCAAGGACTGCCGCGACTGTTCCAACTGGAAGACTGGTATTTTATTAGAACACTTGCAACTTCAAGTCTGAGCACTCACTTGATAAAGAATATCCATCTCCAGCTCAATCTGTCGCTAATTACCCCCCCAACTAATGGACCCATCAAAAATGATATACCAATAGCAGATGAGGCAAGCGCATTGTATTTAGCAAATTTGTTGGAAGGCACCATCTCTGCTATAATAGCTGGTGTCATGGCAAAAATTCCCGCGCCGCCGACTCCCTGAAATGCTCGAAATATTATCCTGTACGTGTTAGAATGAATATGAATTAGGTTCATAGAGACTCACAGCTGAATCAATGTTTTGGCGCCTCCGCATACGCCTGAAAATAAAAGGAAGAGCACAAGTGCGATAGTCAAAAATGTCTTTCTCCCAAAGATATCACTGAGCTTAGCCCATACAATTATAAAGCCTGAAAGCAAATGAGTAAGTTATTCTGGGTAGGACTTGGTTGGGACCTACTGGAATATGTAAGAAGATAACTGGAAACAATCCACGAAGCCTGATCAGATACATGAAAGTCATTTGCAATCGCAGCTAGCGAAGTGCTGACGATGGTTATGTCAAGTGAAGACAGAAAAACACTGAGACAAAGACTTTTGAAACCGTCAGTAAATGATCATGAGACGAAAGCCCCTACGAACCCAGTGGTGAGTAAGTATAGCCTCCAACCTGTAAGATGTCGGATCTGATTCTCCTCTGCGATGGAAATGATAGGCGGTTGAGATAATTTCATCATTTCGCTTGAGCTCATGCTCTTCTCAATTTTCTCCGTGTTTTCATCATCCCTGTGATTTGTTGCAGTGATAGTCTCTTCTACCCGTTTGACATGATTATCTTCCATCTGGAAACATGAATATACTGAAGATGAGGTCGTGATCGCTCTGGAAATAGCGTTTCCTCGATATCGAGCGCTGTTACAACCTTGGCAAAGTATCGAAATAGTCTGTTGGCGGAAAAAGTGTTATTTTGCAAATGGAGCCTTACTTGGATGGGGGCTAAATCTGTTCAGTTTTCGTTGATGAATTAGATTGTATATTATAAACCCTTGTGCAAGGTTTATAAACATGGTGGGTGATTAATTTATAGCTCGTAAAAGTTTCCCAATGAGATGACCTCGCTTGGGTAATACAGGTTTGTCCAGCCCTGTATGGATTAGACTTCCATTTGAGTTGCAGGAGATCAAAATCCTTCTTTCCTGCAGCCCAAAAACGATGTACTCGTACCGAAATGGAAGGTTTGACCAACACTGCCACCATACAGCTTTCGAACCCTGGCTGACATGCGACCGCCGGGCGTAACCCTATCTACATCAAAGCTGGAATCATGACACTCAGAATCACCAATCAGCATTACACCCTCCTGAATACAAGTAAACCTTGTATTGCCACGTTTTTGTCTCATCTGTGCCCACATTTCTGACTTCGACTTTCGATCAGTCTTTCATCCGACTTCGCCGCCAGATCAGGAGTCTGCCCCGACCCAAACCTCTCTTCCCTCGTACTCCACGAAGACCATGACACTGGAACTCAACTCTATCGGCTTTTCTTCATTTGTTGTTAGCATCGTGCTATCGTTTCTAGCAACTTTAGCTGTTGTCATCAGATTTTACACCAGAGGAAAGCTCAATAATGGACTTGGATTGGATGACTGGTTAATTCTAGCATCATTACCTTTCTTTTATTTATATGTGGTGGATGTATTATATGGTCCGTGAGCTCATACTTTCCCATGAAAATAGTACTAATCCCCTCACAGGCGTGATCATTTATGCCGGTGTCGAAGAGTGGAAAAGTCTGGATACCCAAGTCGATCATCTAACAAAATACCTCAAGGCAAGTGAGGAATTTACGATTGCTAATGAAAGGCGTTTAACACATTATAGTCTTTGTACTTCCTAGCACCAGCGTATGGAATCCCAATAACCTTCGTAAAACTTTCGATCATCGCATTCTACCGTCGATTATTTACAGTCGGACACTTCCCAAAGATTTCAGGAATTGTTGGGATAATATGTTTTGCTTGGTTCATTGCTGGCTTCATTGCCGGTTTCCTTTATTGCATACCCATGCATAAGTTCTGGGATATAGCTGCAGAAGGTCACTGCTACAATTTCAACACCTTCTTTCTTACAATGGAGATTCTCAACCTTTTGCTCGACGTCGCCATTCTGGGCCTTCCGATTCGCATGATTTCGAAACTGAAATTGCCAATGAGAAAGAAGGTGATGATCAGTGGAATATTTCTGTTGGGGGGCTTGTAAGTACCTCCACCTAGCTGTTTTGAGGAGAAACTTACAAGAGTAGTGTTTGTGTCACTGGTGTTCTTCGAATCATTCTTGTCTACAAACCCAATAATGTTTTCAGTAAGTACCAAGCCTCCGAACTGTAGATCCGTGCTTACTTCTATGTCAGTTTCTTTTACAGGAGGTGCACTATGGACTGCTGTTCAGCTTGGTGTCGCGATCATTTGCGCCTGCCTTCCAACATACGGACCGCTTTGGCCTCCTATCAAATCGTTTGGCAGTTCACTCCGGAACATTTACGCTTCAATGCTCGGCACTAGCACTAGACAAGGGACATCCACCACAGTTACAGAGTCTGGAAATGGCATACCAGGAACAAACTCATATTACAAAAAGATGGACGGTTCCAACAATGATCACATTCATCTTACGGAAATCTCGGGAATGAAACATGATCAGGATAGCACTTCGAGCGATGAACTAGCTATTCAAGGGATTCGTGTGAAAAGGGAAGTTGATGTTGTTTAAAGGCTTTGTAACGTCCAACCGGTCACCTCTTATTTGTTATGAAGTCACAAGAGTTGAACCGAGACTTGTGAGATCTAGTAGAACATGTAACTAGCTTTGAATGAACTAGTTTCAACTCTTATGTGTCTGTACTACTGCACTCTCAATTTGGTGCAAAATCGATCATGTTAGCGGCAAACGGAGCGGAAATTGTGCACCAATTGCTGGAGACACTTCGGGTATGCCGAATTTCGAAAGAACACCCCCAATCACCAACCTTCAGGTTATCCACCCATCGGGATGATCGGTCGATTGCACCCGGTCATTTACACCGGCTCTCTTGTGTGATTTTGTGGGAAATGATCACCCATGTCCTGATTGGCCGTTTCCCGGTAGACAAATAATAGAAAAAGGCGAAATCCAAAACTTCCTCTGTGAAGTTGACGAAATGTAGTAAATTGTGTGACTGGTTCTCAATAAATGAGACTACTCTCTCAAATGCTACTTTGAAAAAGCGAAAATTTTGATAGTGTTTGCCCCCACTACTACATGCTCTGCGTTGGTATGAATAGTTAGGTGGTTGGGGCTCGTTTGCCCTCCGGCGAGTTGGCGGCTGATAAAGAAGACTGGGCTATTAAGAGCTGTTGCTTTTCGATCATGTACCTCGCGGGGTGAATTCTTTATATGAGACAACTTGATTTGTCCGCTTAAGCTGCTCGCGCGCTTGAAGTACACACCCGCTCGGCAACGAGGTAATGTAACGCGGCTTTCCTGTTGCCGACTGTTGGTCTTTCCTAAATCGACATCGATCTACCTCAACAACATCAACATACTGAAAGGTTTGAAGTTTCGTTGATTCTCTGCTTCAACTCGAGCGTGGAAGAGGCGTTGCTCTTACTTCTCAGCGAAATCAAGTATTTGTCATCATTGTCAACATGGATTGGCAATCAAAAGCAGCCATCGGTAACATAGTAGATATGATTCGTTCTTCGGTTTGTGCAATTGCAGAGAATACAACAATTTCTCAGCAACAAAAGACTTCGTTCAGGACTTCTGAAGCGATTCCAGCCTGGGTAGCTAAGTTCAGCTTCGTACCCCCACAGGAAACATCAATTCAACGAATGTTCTTCGGAGTCATCGACAAATACAATCACCATGGTTGCCCATATTTTCGACCCCAACATACTGAAATAGTTCTGGAATGGATCGGACCTGATAAAAGTTTTGAGAAAAATAGCACAAGCACAAACTACTCGGAGACCGACAAGTATCACCACATGATGCAAGGTCTCAGCGGCTCGGGCACAGTGTTTTTCGTATATGGGGGTGCATTCTAGTGAGTCTACATATCTTCGGCCATTATTCAACAGTTCTCACCTAATATCTCTCTCCACTAGCATGAATAGGCAGGCCAACTATAGAAAGATAGTTTCCCAGCTATCGAGCAAGACTGGATTACCTTGTGTCACAGTTGATCAGCGTTTGGCACCTCAGCATCCCTTCCCCGCGGCACTTTTGGATGTTTTCCTTGCCTACATGGCCTTACTGTCACCACCTCCGGGTTCCCCTCATCCACAAATTCCAGCTTCCTCCATTGTCATAGCAGGCGATAGCTCAGGTGGTTGTCTAGCCTTGGGTCTACTTCAATTGTTGTTGGAAATCAAACGCAGTGGTATCACTTCCATCAAGTGCTATGGTCGGAATATCCAACTGGAGCTACCAGCGGGCTTGACTATACTTAGTGGGGTCGCAGATCTCACCAACAGTCTTCCTTCCTATCAATTGAATGCAAAAACTGATGTTTTTCCTCTCGGACCACCTCCCTCTTCGCTTCCAGGCTTTCCGTGCTGTGAAATATGGCCTTCAAAGCCTCCTCGTGGAAACGTCTACTGCGAAACTGAAATGCTATGCCATCCAATCTGTTGTCCTATCATGGCAGAGGACTGGACAGGTGCACCCCCGCTGTGGTTCGCCAGTGGACAAGAGCAAGTTATAGATGGAATCAAAATCGTTGCTAAGACAGCATCAAGCCAAGGGGTAGAAGTGATCTTCTACGAGTACGAATCAATGCCCCATACCTTCATGTGGGTGCTTTCCGAATCTCCCCAGCACCAGAAATGTTGGGACGATTGGATTGAAGCCTGCATGATGCTTGTCAAAGGAGCATCTCCTCCCTCACGTGGTGGATTCGTGGAGGTCTTGGGCCTGACAACAAAGCATGTCAAGATAGAGGAGCTGACGCACCTCACGGCAAAAGAAGCCCGTGATTTAGTATATAAGGCTTTGCGCGCCTTTCCGGTTTTTGTAGGGCAACCACATGCAGCGCCCAAACTATAGAAAAGCGAGAATTGTGTTGGATTAGGCTCTTGAGTCGCACCTCAAGGCATCTCAGGTAACATCGTGGTATTCTGCAGGCTGGGCTACACACCCCTAGTAGTTCCTCAAGACAACATTACCAATTTCTTCTTCAGTATTTTTGAGGCATACTATACGTCCTGCAAGTGATCGACTGACCGTCACTCGCAAATTGCCTTCTTGGGATGTCAACGATAAGTTATTTCTTATCCGGCTACACTCATGACATGCTACCAGGAATTGCTGCACAAGCATATGGAGCCATCCAACAGTACATGAGTTTGCGCGTACTGTGTGTAAGCGGCGTAAGCCCATTTCGTGATGAGCGACAAGCTTCCGGAAGGATTGATGATTTAACCGGCATAATTATGTGCTGAAAACGTCTTTCTACCACGGGAACCACTAGATGTCTTGCTCGTATCATTTTATTGCGCCACCAACCTTGGAATGCTAGTCTTGTGTCTTATGACAGGGTATACTGGTGTCCAATCCGGAGCTCCAGAAGGCGTGCTTACTTTCATCAATTAGCAGGGTAGTCCTAAGGCTGAAAGACCCTTCTTTACCTAGGTACTAAATCTTAATTATCGTGAATCTGTGGGTGGGTTCACCAACGTAGATTGAAAATCATTTTAGGTTGCTCCAACGAACAGCTGGTCCATATCGCACTAAGCATTTGAGACGCATCCAGTAACAATCCGACCTCAGTGTGATCTAGTTATGGAATTGTTTCACCTTGTCGAAGCGTTTGCTGTTCTCTTTGGCGTTTGGGTCATTTCTACCGTCATCTACAGATTATACCTTCATCCTTTAGCAAGCTTTCCCGGTCCACGACTGGCATGCGCTACCTTCGCATATGAGTGGTACTACGATCTTGCGCTCGTCGGCAGGTACACTTTCAAGATAAAAGACCTTCACAAGAAGTACGGCAAGTTCATCATTCGTTGTATAAAAGAAGGTTTTATTGACTTCTTTCAGGCCCAGTTGTACGAATTAACCCAGACGAACTCCACTTCAACGACCCAGATTACTTCGATGAGATTTTCAATGTCACTAATGGAAGGGCGGATAAGCTGTACAGGGTGGCGAATGCCTTTGGGCCATATCCTGCGGTAAGTAGATTCAATGCATACAACAGTTCAACACTGATCATGAAAGACAATTGGGACAATGGACCACGAAACACATCGATTACGACGAGCGGCCGTGAATGTTTTCTTCTCCAAGCGGTCAGTTGGTCAATTGACTCCCTACATTCAGACTATCATCACGAAACTTTGCGATCGTTTAGGCGAAGCATCGAAAACAGGAGAGCCAGTAAACTTGAAATATGCCTATGCAGCCTTGACACTTGACATCATGAACGAGTATTGTTTCTCCGCAGATTCTAAAATTGTATTGCAACCTGATTTTGGACGCAAGGTCTTCGATGATATAGATTCTTTCCTAATTGTGAGCTTGGTGGTACGTTTAACTCGCGTATATCATCGAGCGCATACTTACAGTTCTCTAGAATTCAAATATACCATGGCTCATGAAGTCATTGTATGCTTTGCCAGTAAGATCATTCCATAGGATATCCTCTCCCATTTGCTGACTATTTGTAGGATAGTATCGTTAGAGTCATCAACCCCGCTATGGCAGATATACTCGATATGCGTGAGGTGAGAGCATCATTTATCGTATAATTGCAAACGTCTATTAACGTGAAGTGTAGAACCTCGCAAAACAGGTCGAAGATATTCGTCAAGAAAAGGATCTATCCCATCTTGAATCTGGTCATCGGACAGTATTTCACGACCTTCTCCAAAGCAAATTACCTAATTCAGAAAAGTCCCAGTCTCGTCTTCGGGATGAGGCTTTCAGTCTTGTGACGGCGGGCTCGGGTACCTCGGCTCTTGCTATGAAGAATATATCCTACTTCATAGCGGCAAACCCTCACGTCCAACAGAAGTTGTTGCAGGAGCTGAAGACAGTGATGGCACTACCTGACTCTCCTACGAGTCTCCAAGATATTGAGACCCTTCCATATCTTAATGCTGTAATACGTGAAGGCCTCAGATTAGGTCATGCTGTTTCGCATCGTTTGTCTCGAATCTTTCCAGAAAAGACCCTCGAATACGGCAAATACACGATACCCCCCGGAACAAATGTAAACATGACGACAATGCTTATTCATGAAAATGAAGATATATTCCCGGATCCTCAAGTTTATCGTCCGGAGAGATGGTTGAATGACATCTCTTTGCAGCGATATCTTTTACCATTTGGAAAAGGCCCAAGATCGTGTTTGGGCATTAACCTGGCATGGGCAGAATTATACCTGATCACTGCCATGATTTTTCGAAGATTCAACTTTGACGTGTCGGGGGTAGATAGAGAGAGGGACGTGAATGTTGACAAGGATATCGTCATGGGTGTTCCGAGATGGGATTCTCCAGGAATCATAGTGAAAGTTCTTGAGAATGATTCTTAAGTTGTGAGCATACTATTATGTTGAAGTGTGCTTTTCACCACCACGATCAGAATAATCAACCAGATAGATACTTTTCAGTGTATTAAGTATAGTTTATAAAACTAGTACGGCGTACATATCTCAAGACTTCCCAAACTTGCGACACTACCCCGGTGTATTGCAAGTCTGAAGAGGCGTCTTCTAAAGACACTATCAAAGACCGGCATTCAAGCACTCCAGCCTCAAAAGGTATGTTTAGCCTTCTGGATCGAGGAATTGATATACAAAATCCGCAAAGCGAAAAACCAGATTACCTAAAATATCTGTCGTGAACATAAAACTCTTATCTTCTGTTGTTTTACACTAAAATATATAATGATGATAAAACCGTTGGTAAAAGACGCCACAGTCCATGCAGACACAAGGCGCCAAACAATCACAGTAGTGTACCAGGTTTGTGATTTAACCGTTAATTGTGTGAACCTTGGCAAGGGCCCTTACAGCACCTGTGCATGAGGGGCAGCAAAAGCAACATAGTTACATGGCCAATTTGAATCTATAGAAGCGCGGCGATGGCGATCCTCACAGCCTCGCCGTTATTCTTCAGGGTCAGGTACGGTTCCCATGTTTACGGAATAATTTGTTCTTTGACTTCTCTGAAGCCCAATTCAAGCTCCAGACAAGTGTTATTTTTATCTTTCGTCATCATCAACAAATACAAACTAACCATCTTGTCAACAAGTTCTTTCAATTCTTAAAAATCAGCCTTCAAAATGAATTGCAAATCTCCAATTATTCCTGTTCTCATTATTGGAGCAGGAGCATCAGGAATTGCGATGGGCTGCAAATTGCAAAGAAAATACGGATTCGGCGATTACACGATCTTCGAAAAGCAGTCCGAAATAGGAGGTAAGCTACATTGCATATTTGTGTTCCGGGCGATATCTAATAAAAATTTGGAAAGGTGCTTGGACAAGCAACAAATATCCCGGTATTGTGAGCAAATGCCCTGGAGATACTTGACGACGCCAGCTGACCCTGAGTTAGGCATGTGATGTGTGAGTTCAATTGCAGAATGCAAGACAGCTTCAAAACTTATGCGAATCGATTGGCACCGTTTTGCTAAGATATTGAACAGACCAATGGCCCTATACTCTTTCTCGTTCGCACCCAAATTCACATCCAAATCAATCTATCCTTCAGGCGCCGAATACTTGGAATATCTTCAGGATGTTGCTCGAAGCCATGGAGTAGACTCTAAAATACAATTTAACACCGAAGTGACAGACCTCCAATACCTCGAGGAGTCGTCAACGTGGCAGGTTACGATCTCGCGTCTTGTACCTCATGATCACAAGTCTACGAGCTCGCAAGAAAGTAGTTCAAACTCTGGAATTCTAAAAACGGAAAAGATTCTGGCAAACGTTGTTATCAGTTGTGTCGGGATTCTGGTCAAACCGAATGTCTGGCCTTCAAGTGTTCCAGGCAATGAAACGTTTGAAGGAGAGATCATTCACTCATCGCATTTGACTGACAGTGTCAATATGCACGACAAAAAGGTGGTCGTTATAGGATCCGGTTGTAGCGCGGCCCAAATTGTGCCAACATTACTACAACGGGATGAAATTGCGTCTTTAACACAAATTATGAGAACTCCCCCATGGGTGGAGCCCCGATTAGAAGAACCGTTGGGGAAAGCTATGTATTCTCGGTATGCGCCAAATTTGTTTCGCTACATGCAACCGCTCGGTTGGATCTTTCGAGTTTTCATCTACATCTACACAGAGATAGAATGGGCGACCATTTTCCAGAGACGAAGTACATTTCTACGTGGATTAGCTGAAAAAGCAGCAACCAAACACATGAAAGCCAAAGCTCCCGAAAAATACCACGCAGTAATGACGCCGAAGTACAGCTATGGTTGTAAGCGTCGAGTATTCGACAGCTCATGGCTGGAGAGCATGAGAAATCCCAAGTTTTCACTGACAACAAGTTCACTTACATCATTGGGACCTGACAGTGTGTATGTGAGGCAAGATAGTGCGCTTACAGGTGAAGGATCCACGAAGGTGCATCCAGACCGCAATGACCAAATCCAGGCCGATATCATCATACTCGCCAATGGCTTCCAGGCAACCAAATTCCTGCACGCTATAAGTGTACACGGACGTGGTGATCTGACTCTTCACACGGAGTGGAAAAATCGCGGTGGTGAACAAGCTTATTTAGGAACGGCAATGGATAAATTTCCAAACTTGTTCTTCGTTATAGGTCCCAACACTTTTGTTGGGCACTCATCGGTAATTATAAGTATCGAAAACACAGTTGATCTTATTTTAAAGATAATGAAGCCGATAATAAAGGGAAAGTCGAGGACAGTAGAGGTGAAGAAAGAGGCAGTTGTCAAGTGGACAGCAGACATTCAAAATGCGTTGTGTGGTACAGTGTTTTCGGGCTGCAAAAGCTGGTACAGCAATGAACGTGGTTGGAACTCGGTTATCTATCCGTATGCTCCTTGCGATTCTTTGCTATGACGGAGCTAATTTCAAGACACAGGCGTTCTCAAATCGACTTCTGGTACCGTTGCAAGTTTCCAATTTACGAAGACTGGACTTATACATGATGAAAGAGGTTTACACGGTCCATGCGTGGCGAAACTTTTCGATTGAGCTTGGTTGTAGATAGCTTATATCAATTTCCAAGGAATAAATTCATCAAATCGAGAGGCGTAATCGAGAGATGTGAGAGTATATCGACAAGCGTCCATTCGGCTTTGACGTGCTGTCGACAGACCCCACTCTATAGTAGAAGTCTAAGAAGTTCATATCAACAAAGAACTGAGCTGTTTGCCAGGCATGGTTTTCAAATATTCACCACAAGTACGAGAGCAAGGGTCTTCACTCTCCCCATTCTAGTTCCCCTCCATTTTTTGCCCGTTGTAATGCCACCTTGCGCGCCGTGTGGAAAACTGAATCAAAACATATTGTCGGGAGTATGGCGATCGAAGTCGTGAGATTGGGGCAAGCAAATTACGTTATCCTTTACGATTCTGAGGTACTTTCCCGAATCCAATCCCTTCAAATAGTGCTTTGCGTATTACTAATGAATGACATTCTCAGTAACAACTATATCGCTCTGAGTGTTACTGGCTTTCCCTTAGCCGTTATAACCTTGAGGGCATGTGCCCAGTTCAACGTTCTTGGTAAGACTACTAGTGCGTTGTGAGGCAGATTTGAAACCCTCCAGATACAATGTCAAAACGACTTTTCTACGCTCCTTTCCATCAAAGACATCTGGAATATTGTTACAAAAGATGAAAATTTGTATTTGCTCCAATAATTTTGGAATAACATATAGATTTTGGAGCAGAATTCATCGCTATCCAACGATAAAGAGGTGTCTAGTCAAACTTTCAATAAAATACTACTTATTAATAACATTAGACAGTGGACACAGAACATCACACTGTTAGCCAGGAGCAATCCTCACTGCTTCGTAAGATATTTCAGCTCATTTCGTCAATATCCTTCATGTCGTATCTGTATGATTCTTACTGATCTTCAAGAATCCCCTCACAAGCCTCATTCCCTTTTATACCTCCAAATCGAAACTCGAAAGAGTACTGGGGCGGTCAATGTGATAGAGACCAGGTTCGGCAATTGATTTCAACCATCATATTCCGCATCGAATTAATATTGTTCTCGACCAGACTTTCGGCATTTCTCCCAGTCCGATTATATTTCCAACGCAACTTCGAGCACGTGTCAAACAACGCATCAAGTCCATTGCTGTTCAGTAATTTTGGGTGATGGTGATGCATTCAAGGCAGGAATAGCATTGACGATACCATCTGTTGTGACGTTGCTGGCTGTCCGACTGGCCGAGAAGTAGAAACTTTTCCGGACTGAGCAAAGATCCGCGATTCTAAGCCGGCAATGGATTTTCCGAATCCCCACCTGCCTCATTAATGCCGGTCACGATGGGTTAAAAAAGCCTTCGGAATTTGGACAGATCGAAGAACCACTCCAAGATGGGGGGGTTGCCTCAGCGATTTAAGCTTGACAGAAAACTGTCCAATACAACTTCTCTTCTCGAATAACCGTACTTGGAGAGGAGTGAATCTGGTCAGTTACTTCTATTCAAACTGTTCTCCCTGTCTGCTGAACAGACAGAGTTTTTGGGTATGCGACCTATGAGCCTTTCTCCCACGAGGCGTGTCGGTCATCCTTACACCGCTCCGCCAAAGCTCATCCTACGAGCGTATACTCGGTACTCGTAGAGTCAAATGTGTGTTCTCTCCGCTTTCTCTGGGCATATCAAGGGTCGTTTGATCCATAATCTGGGGTGTCTAGCCAATACAGCTCTACAGTTTAGATCCACAATAATCGCCAAGATGTCGAAAAAACCGTCTCAAATGGTGGCGCTTTGAACAAGATTGGCAGAGCTAGGGTACTCTACTCTACCAAGACTCTACTCTACCGAGACTCTACTCTACCGAGACTCTACTCTAAAGAATCTACCCAATAAGTACCCCTACTTCTAGAGATCTCCTTCGTCGTTCAAAAACGTTACATTTCCCGTATTTTACAGTAGAGAGAACACACATTTGATACCGAGCACATGTACGTTTCAAGAGTCTGTTCGCTCCCACTCCTGGCCAATCTTGCACACCCAATAGCACAACACGAATGGAGCTTTCATGGAGTAAATCGAAAGGTGTTGAAAACACCCTCTCCAAACACGACATTCTTCGTTAAGAGCGTGTTCTTTGCGGTACTGTTCGCACAGTACGGAGTAACTAGGTAGGTAATCTTCGCCGTGGCACAGTCACGCAGAGGCAATTGCTCAGCCAAAAAGTCTGTTATGTTCAACTTCAGAGCGTCGAATCAGTCAGCAAGATTGGTGAAATATTCCGGCGGAGCCAATGGGATGATAAAGTCTCACTTTCTGGAGAATCAACTTGACGTGATTTTCACGCCAGCGACAAGGTAAATACCCTTTATATCCGGGGTGCAGACGATGAGCCGCTTCTTCTCCCTTTAAGCCAATCACGCCCCCATTTTCGTATGCAAACACGAACGAACAAAACCCTGAAAACGTGTGCACGTGCTTCAACACGAACGCATGTTGGGTTGTCAAGTATGTACGGAGTTGGAGTATTGGAAAAATTGCCATGTATCCCTCGGAAAATGCTCAGAAGCGCCCCGCAATTGCAACTGTCACTAGGACCCAATTCAGTCTAACTGTCACCGAGTAATACATTCTCCACCGAGGCCCTCCGGGCCGTGCCGTACATGCACACATGGTTGTACTTAGTGGCCCTGGTTCAGCGCCATTGAGGAAGCTTAAGTGCAAAGTAGGTCGCCCTAAAAAAGCCCCCAGAGTCATCGCTTCACTTCGTCTCTGCAGCCGCATCACTTAGCGTGCCTCTTATTCTTGGAATTCCGAAGAATAAAGAATAAACACGAGATGAATCAGTCTAGTATTAGTCTAAAGATTCCAAGTAGTGAAGGACTACAAGACTCCGATCCAGCTACCAAAAAACGTATTCAAAATCGAATTGCACAACGAAATTATAGTAAGGAGCCACTCATTATTTCTGACTTCTTTCTGCCTCTGCTTTTGCTTTATTTTCTCACTTTTTATTGCGTTGCTTGGTTAATCGAGGAATTCTTTGCTTATATTTGGTCCCAAGGACGGAATCAAAAGAGGCGCATTGCGGAGCTTGAGCGACATGTAGCAGGCAGAATGGGCCAAGAATACCCTGGTGGTTACAACTATGGACAATCTTACGATGCAGCTTGGCTTGGTCAGGAGCCGTCATTTAGTCAAGGCGAAAGTGACCACAACATTCAGTTGACGCCGCCAGAAATTCGGCGACAAAGTTTTCCAGTACCTCCTCCGCACTTGGACCGTATCCTTCCTCCAGCTTTAGATACTGACTCTAATCCAATTGGGGACATCGTTTTCTCGAATGAGCCAAGAACAAGTAGGTCACTCTGATTAATCATACGATAGATAATAACAGTTATGTTTAGAAATCTCCGATAGTGTTCAAACAATTTCGAGGAATAAGGTGCTTAACAACCCTGTCAATGACTATACGATATTGTTTAACTCTACACCTGAGGCTGTTCTAAATCAGGAATTTGGGGAAGATCTGCGGAAGAAGGGTGAGGGGGGTTGGCACTCCAATCTCCTCGTCGAGGACATGGACAGTTCAAGCACTTCTCGCGACCACGATACCCCCCAGGAAGACGACAACCAGGATTGCAGCGAAGTGTCCTCCGACCAGAGAAATGCACGTCAAACAAGAAATCTCACTAATAACATATCGCTAGCAAATTCTCGTTGTCATGCCTCGCAGATTGCTTCACTCAACACATCTACTTCCTCCCCCAAAATATCTGAGAGCGCCACTTCTGAGATTTCGGCCGAGGCGTTCATCGAAGATCGTTTTGCATATGTACTCCAGAGTGCGAGGAAATGTGGATTCGACAGCCTTGAAGCTATGATTACTACCTATTATGTTTCCGACTTCAGTGATAATCCAGCGCTAGCAAATGCGCAACGCCTGGGTCGTAACCGACAGCTTCCTGGAATTATAGCGGGTCTCCGCGGTAGCATCGATTCCTGGTCTACTTGGGAAGCGCAGGGCTGCAAAGAAGAAGTTCTCAAATTTTCAGAACAAGTCCTCTTAAATGAGTACCGTGGTAACGCGAGATCGCACGATCTTAGACGCTTTTTGGGTACTTTGAACGGGTTAGATAGGAAGGGTGTTCCAGAGGACGAACATTCTCGCAAGGAACATGTCTCCAAGGTCGGGAAATTATATCAAGATGAAGTTAGTCCATCGTTGTCCCTATTTCCCATTTCACATTCGCCTACCACTCACAAAAGTCTAATCTAAATATATCGCAACTAGCTTCCGAATTTATGGGCATTTATCAATACATTGTCTGATAATCAACCTCCCTCTGCGCCTGGGGTAGATAATACACACTCACTTCTTGCTGCAATCTGTCTTTATTACCTTTCTAGCAGAGCGTCTTCCGAAAGACTTTAGATATATTTAAGGAAGAGCCAATTATCCGAACGAATTAAGTCGTTTTGGTCAAATCAGGACGCCCACGGGCGCTCCAGACGAGGATATATAGACTAGACAAAGGGAGAGAGAGTTTTGTTAACACATCCTTATCACCATGACATAACACGAGGAACACTTGACAAGCAGTGATTACGAGAAAAAAAATGTTAATTTGTCAAAGGCTTTCAGGAAATGTGATAAATTTGAATCGGATTAAAGTAAGTACTGGAACGCATCAACGGACTTTCATAGCGTGAGGCAAAGCAAGTCACTGACGCTAAGTAGCAGGTTATTGACACTAAATTTGATCATCGCGAGTTTACCAAATTGGTTATTGAAGATAGTCTCAGACGGAGTAGACACTATCATTTTCTTCTTCGAAACATCAACTCCACCGTCTCACTTGGCAGATTCATGCCTCCTTTGATCATATTTTTAGGTCTTCCAGCACTTGGATCGATTAGCCGCAGATCAAATTCCTCGAGCAAGTGGACGAGGATTGATTTGATGGCCGCGCTAGCAAAGAATCGTCCTGGGCATGCTTGCCTGCCGTACCCGAAGTGCATCGTTCTCGGTGATGTTGTAGTAAACTGATCCTTGTGTGCATCATCGGCGGTTGTCGCGGAGGCACGCTTCTCATGAAAACGAAAGCCCCTGAATTCATTCGGAGAGGGATACAGAACCGGATCTAGAGAGACCATAGCTGCGGGAACGAGGATATGCGTGCCAGCAGGAAGATGTAACCCAGTGGAAAGTGTTACAGGTCGACGGACGAGCCGAGAAAAGGAAGCTATAAAGACATTAGAATCTGGGGAATCTGGTTTGAAAAATACCCACTTAATGTTGCTGGATTCAAGCGCTGCGATTCTTTCATGAAACTGTCAAGCTTGCTGAGGCTGTTAACCAACAAAGCTTGCTTGTCATCTAAACCCGAATACTTAGCCCTTGCAGTCCGATACTCCTCACGAATCTGGTCCACATATTCTTGATGAGCTGCAAGATCTAAAACTATGTTTACCAGAGTTTGAGTTGCAGCATGTAATGCTGCAAATACTACTACGAGACAAAGCTCGGCCAGATTTTTATCTGTCCTAGTTGGAGAAGCTTTTGCCCCGTTATCCATCAGCCATTGCACCATATCGTTTGGTTTCTGATATTTGCTGCCGGTTGCTTGGGCGTGAGCTTCTGCAGCACGTCGAGAGCGTATCATGGGAATAAGCAGTCGTCTAGCAACAGCTTGCTGTTTCCATACGCCTCGTACACCAGGTACTAAGCCGCGTGAAATCAATGGTCTAACGAACTGGGAATACTTCTTGAGTTCCCAACCAGCAATAAAGATTCCCTCGACAAATTTAGCCATAGTCATGAGCCATTCTTCGTTTCGACTGAGCGTTGGGCCAACGATCATGAGAGAGACAACAAGTGACATGATGCGCAGCATTTTTGGGTGGACGGCTAAAGGCGTCCAGTCTGAGAGACTGTGAGTCAATTCATCCGGTCTGGGCGATGAAAGAGCACTTACCTTGACATTTAGGGAATTCGCATTCCATCGCATACTCAATTTCTTTATTTATAGATGGCAGAATTGTGCCTTGGTGTGGGTGTGAGTATCTCACGTTTTAGGGGTGTCAGCACATACCAATTTGTCGTGTTAGGTCTGTGAGAATTGTATGCGCCTCCATAGAGTCCGTAATTTTCAACCATTCGTATTCTCCTATGACACGCTAAAATTATGTCAGTATTTAAATTTCAATACTGGGCCCGTGATGGAATAATACCCTTTGGCTTGCTGCATGGAAGTCTAAAACCTCAGTGCCAAGTGCATTTAACTCCTCAACAAGATCAGGGGTCACAATTAATATGTAACCGTCTAGGCTCCTGTATCATGAATTCTAGTGTCAATCTAAAGTTTTTTAAAGAAGAGAAAGGAACTTCCGAGCCGTATTTTTGGATGTAGAGCGAGTAACAACATCGTCCAGGTTAAATTGTTACATCAAGAAGCTGAGCCTTGAGAAATTCTTGTGACATACCATACTTGGTAAACTCCATGCTTTGATTTCTGGTATCCTTCTTGCAAAAGATCTTTGAAGTGGTACAGATACTTTTCGTGAGCATCGTCAAAATTCCTGTCAGCCCCCAGATTGATCACAGGTACATCAACCTGTGGGGTTTGCAGTCGTCGAAGTCGCAAATAGCGCCCTATCAACGGCGTCAAGATGTATAAAACTACCAGAAAACATAACGAGTAAAGAATCTGCGGCTTGATAAGCTCATTTGATTGGTTCAAAAGTGGCATGTTATGATAGTTGGTGCAAGCGACGTGAGGCAAAGAGTTGGGCGAAGAAAATTAGACATTCGTAGTAGTGCGACAAGTAGCAATCACCTATATTGGAAGACTAGATACTGATTACTCTACAATTGTGGACTTCCGACGTAATTTTCTTCATGCAAATTATCGCTACCTACATATCTGTATCGTCATATGAGTAACATCGGACTATAAACTCTTCATTACAGTAAAGTGTCAAAGTAAAATGTAACTTGTAAGGAATGATCATCCGTTGCGTGGTGCTCACAGTCGATATTAGTCTAACATGACTAAAATTACTGCATGGATGAGAAATGCACAAATCGCTGTGAATACTTGCGCAACTCGCTTAGGCTAGGAACTAAGCTCAACGTGGATGCTGGGACTCGGTGTCAACAAAGTGTTAGTCTTTCGAGCCTCATGCCGGCCAGCGTGGGGCATTAGCATTGTCAACCGTAAATGACTTGCTCGCTGGACTTTAGTAACGATCCCGCCAGTAAAGCCTTCCAAAAAATTCCGAAAGAAGTAACCTTAGACTTCGGGGCTTTGAGGAGCCCGAATTTCTCATTATTGTACTTGATAGAAATTATAAAGATTACCGACACGCAATGGGGGTTTACTTCGGGTATTGAGCTCTCGTATTTCGTGGATGCAGAAAGATTTTAAATTTTGAATCAATTGGTACCCACACCGGCTATACCCATTTATTTCATCTTGAAAATTACAGCAGCTGCCATTGGCAAAGATATGGAAAATACCTGGTGCCGAGCACAACCCACTTACAAAGAAGATCATCGAACATCAATAATTAACGCCATGCTTGCGTTTAGCCATACCGGCCCTATGCCTTTATGAATGATCTTGAATCTAATTGATCGTGAATCAACAGTATCCTCTTTAGTAAAACGCCATAAAAGTTGAATTGAAACTCTGTGCAAAACCACCCCTAGTCTTTCTCAAAAATGCATGTTATTCGAGGAATTGCGGCATTTCTCAATCTTTCAACAGATAGGAAAAACATCTAAAATACTCAAGTATGTTGACGGACATATCGTTGGGTTTGGCAAATTTTGGCATCTGAAAGGGCTCTCTTTCGCGGAGGTGAAAGTACGTCGATAGGTATTTCGTACACTTCAGTGGCAGCTTTTACAGGGGCTTTCTTGGCTAGAATTTCTAAACCCCCTCTGATGCTCGCGGTGGCAGTCCCTTTATCTGTACAATTGTTAGTACTATTGTCTTCTGATGCACTAAACAAAATCAGCATAACTTACTGGGGGACACTTTCGCCGTGTAAGTCAAATCAATCGAAACCACAGGATTGAGCCCAGAGATTCTTCGTACGTGAGATACATAAACTGCACTCATGATATGTGCTGGTACGCTATGGTCGTCAAGGTTCGATGCAAGTTCGCTACAATTCTTTTTGCCCTCCAGAAAATCAGTGGCCTCCCAGAGAATCCCACGCTTGACGTTCTCCGAATAGATACCAGGAAGTTTTGAGTCGTAGCGCTTATCAAGTTCCGCAACGGAATACGATACCAATGGCTTCTCCTCCCCGAGGAGCTCGGAGTTTCGGAATACATGGACCTCAAAGTGATTATCTGTTCCGATCTTGGCTGTGCTGGGCTTTGACCGGTCATGTTTGTCGTTGGCTTGTCTTGAATCAACAACAATAGTTTGAAACGGACCGCTCTTAATCTCGTGAAACTCATGCTTCACTCTTCCAATGCCTTTATAGAGATCTGCACCCGGTGTGACCCAACTCCTTCTACTGAAGCCATTATGCTGCAAATTGACCTGAGCAAGGCAGATAGGCTCGTTGTTTTTGATGAAAGTTATTTGTAACGCAGCGTCAACTTCGCCAAATGTCGCCATTAACTTTTCGAGTTCTTCGTCCGAGTACTTCGAAACTTTGGCATATGTTTCTGCACCAAAAGCCTTCTTGTAGTCTTCATGATTGAAGCATTTCTGGAATCCGTTCGGCATCATAAAACTAGAAACCACTTCAATCTTGTCTGGCTTTTTTTCTTCGGTCCACCCAGACTTTAAAAATCTATATACCATATCTAAGAAGTGATAGCCGCTGTGAGATACTTTCCCATAACCTGTGTTGAAAGTGTGATATTTTTGATCAACCATTTCGCTAGGCAGCCGCCACATACCTAACGTGGAAATGTTAGTCATTTCTTTGGAAACAGCGCGTTCATTCAGGTGTTACAAGAATGACCTACCGTCACAGTGGGTTGATATGATATTAGTGACTGGGCAATCTACCCTATCAGTCACTTCTCTAAGCATGTCAAATGTGCAATAGAGACCAGGATGATACCTGCGGTGGCTAGAAATGAGAAACATGGTCTCGTTACGTTGCTGTAGCTCTGAATAAGCTTTCGCCAAGTCGTCATAGTCTTCTGCAATCTTGTACGCTTGCTCAACACTCGTGGTCACTCCCTTTTGCGTTGTAATAGGCTTGTCCTAAGCATTTAATGTGAAATTAGCATAGCTCTAAGAATATCTGAGTTGAATCGAAAAGTATGAGATATTTTTTACAAAGAATGTGAAACTGCCACCTGATCTACGAGAACATGTTGTAACTGAACGCGAGGGTAGAGAGTTCGGCTCACCATGATGACATTGAAACCTTGAGATACAGCCCATAATCCATAAGCTTTGTGGGCCAGAGGCTCGGTACTGATAATTACACATGACACTCTCAGGCGGTGTGCTAAAGCAGACAATTGCTCAGAAACACTTTTTGGCATGCCATCCGTGAAGAACGGAACAAAAGCGAGCTCTACACTAGCGCAGATCCGATCTCGATACTCTGTAATTATTTGCTCATCTACAGAAATAGAGAAGTGAGCCTTTTAGTATTCGGGACGTTTTGAGAGGTGTAACGAAATGGGTAGCGTATCATAGGGGCTGACTTGATTTTCCCCATATCTGTTGTTTCTAGATATCTGAGGGAACAAGAGTGCAGATGCGATTTGATTGCCATGCTAGCTCTTATTGAGATCTGTTTCTCTGGTCTATGCTCTTTGACTCTTTGCAACATTAAATATCCAGATAAGAAAAAGTTGATTTCATATGTCTTCGAAAAAAATGGAGAATCAAATACATACTACCTTGGCAATCAACTGCACAAACAAGCCTCGCCCGACCCTCCTTTTCGAGTTCATTCAAGTGTGGTATGTAGATTCGTTTGGCGTGAGGTCCAACACCAATAAGGAGGTAGCGTTTGGGTTCGTCGTACTCTGGCGCAAAGTCACCCATTTTCGATAACATTCTTCTCCTCTGACTTCTGATGGTTGGTAAAAAATGAGAAGTAATGGTGACTAGGTAAATTTTAGAGTGGAAGATGGTACATCGCACTACCTTTACTTCGGTGTCGTTAGTATGGTTACTTTCTGAATGACAGATTTGTACTGCAACTCAAGATATGTCATGTTGACAGTCGTACTTCCAAATTACTGGTGGAATGGTAATTAGTCCGAACTGTGTATGAATACGTTTGTATGATGTATGATTATTTATATTTACTCATGGAATGCTTCATGTAGTTATTGTGAGTAAAATACAGTAAGCTTTACGTAATACAGCCAACATCAATCTGGGCCACGCCTGCCCACTCTTTCGTCTTAATCTTGACGAGTCACAGCCTTCGCAGCCTGTGACTCACAGGAAAAAAGCATGGACAGATAATTGGAACCAAAATCAAGCAGCAGAAGTTTCCGCACTGACAACACTTCGAATTTGTTATACCTGGTGGTTCGTGAATGCTAGAGATGGCGCACAAGAGAGATTTCAGGGTCAAGGCCGCCGGCAATGATGAGGGTGAGCCACTTTTTCTTAGGGATGGGATACTTGAGTACTAACATGTCCCAAAGAGATTTTGTGTTGCAAATGGGACTTCAAAGTACAAAACGGCACATCTGACAAATCGTGGCAATCGATAGACCTCTCCTTGAAGTTGTCTTCGGTATCACCTACATTGTCATGGCCAAAGAAGGCGACCGAGGTTCGTATTTTCGATGAAATGTCTGAAATTACAAGCGACAATATTGGCATAAGCGCGTTTGAATTTATATTCTGCTGCCTCTCTGCCACTCGGAAAGCCAATCAAAATGGTGGCTCGCGGGAAATCAAGCTCATCGTGCCCAGTACAAGAGGTTACCTCGTTCGAAGTGACATCGTTACTCTCCGCCTTGTGGACTGCGAATTCGTTGAACTTACGACTTCTTTCTCGGAAGACTCGAGTCGGCTGTTCGTAGGGGAGAACCTAGAAAGCGAAGGCTATTTCTCATTTTCCACGCTTCTTGCCGCCTCGGCGGCTGGTGTTCTTCTAGTACCTCAGTCTCTACCCGAGGAATCAACTGCGGCTTTGTTGTCAGTGGAGGTTGAACTTGCAAATCGACTGTCAATTTCATGGGTAATCGAAAAAGTCAAGTCACGCCAAACTCTTGCCATTGTTGAGGGAAGTAGAGATCACCCAGATAATGGAGGGACCGGCCCGAGTATATATCTAGCTGCGAAGGCTCTCGGGATTGATATTGTTGTTTTGGACAACGCAGGGCATTGGCTCGAAGGTCCTGAATTCAGCCACTGGCGCAAAGAGTTCATTCCTGTGAAGCTCACGGATCCCCCAGATGCCGAATTTGCCAATCGTATTGTCAAAGCTGTCAGAAATTATGAGGGGGTCATTGACGGCATTATCACTTTCTGCGACTCTTATCAAACTTCAGTATCGACAGCTGCGACTCGGCTTGGCTTGCCAACATCCTCCCCAGAAGCGTTCGAAATAGCAACAGACAAATACAAAACGAGCGTATTCGAAGGTCACCAGGCCTACTCCGCATCTAATATACAAGAAGCGCTAGATATATCTGACAATAACGAACTGACCTATCCAATGATTGTGAAGCCGTGTAACGGGTGGAGCTCTGAGGGTGTATTTCGTGTTGATGATCGAGCTGGACTTGAGAAGGCAATCAATTCAATTCCACCACGACATGGTGATACGTTTGTGATGGAGAAATACTGCGACGGCCCCGAAGTCAACGCCAATTTTGTTCTACTTGATGGCGAGATACTCTTCTCGGAGATTTGTGACGATTTTCCCAAAGGAGCTGATGTTGACGGTCCTGGAACGCTCAAAACCTTCATCGAACTTGCAACAGTGTTCCCATCTGCCCTCCCTGTACAAGAGCAAACCCTTCTTCGTGACCGCTTTGTCGATAGCTTACGGCGCCTTGGCCTCACCAACGGTATTCTACATCTTGAGGGCCGTGTTGAGAACTCAAGAACGCAATATCGCACCCAAGAGGGCATTCTCGACTTGCACCCTAGAGATATAGCTGTAGAGGAGGAACCAGCTCCCTGGCTTATAGAAATCAACCCTCGTCCACCAGGAATGAAATGTACGCAGATAATCGAGTCAACTTATGGTGTAGACTATTGGGGTCTAGCTATGCTGATTGCAATACGTGACACGGAGCGCGCAAGAATTTTGTCGCAACAATTCAAAATGGGAGCACAATACAATTGTGTGATGGTTTTCATTCCGTGTAATTACGACCTTGACCATTGCACTGGTATCTTCGATTCGGATGATATCTGTGCTGATTTGATTCGTCAAAGACCGGATCTAGCTGAACATATTAGCCAATGCGCCACTCTAGTGAAGAGAGGAGACAAAGTAGACCATCCAGACTCGGGACACAATTCGTGGCTAGCATATTATAATGTATTCTCGAGGAAAAGTCGACAACATGCGTTGGAATTAGCGGAGCAAGTAAGAACTGGAACTAGATACACATTCAAATAAGAGTTTTAGGTTTGAAACGGCCCAAAACTCCTAAAGATACTCATTCATTTCCCGCACTTAGTATCCTTCACCTTACTTATCATTACACTAGCGCGTTGCGAGACTGACAGGACAACCTCAAGTGCATCAATCGGAATTAACAATTTTCTAGCGCTGCATCTATAATGCATGTAATTAGCCTACTTAAAAGAGGCTACGACGCAAATTTACTTGCGTGAAGTAAGTAAATATAGATTTTGAATAGGTTTAATCGCTAAGTTACGACAAGGAGCTGATGCTCCGAGTTTGACATGCACGTCATGTGTACGGTAGCAGTCGAAGTAAATTAATAACAATTGTTTGATACAGAAGAACAGTTTCCTACCGTATTTATCTCTGACTACTCTCATGAATCGACATTTCGAGTCGAACACCGTCGCCCTCTGTTCTACCACCCGCCATTTGACTACAGCAATTTTTGTAAATTCACCAGACCGAAGTAAATGCCTCCAGCAGCTATCAACTGCGGGTGAGTTCCGACCTCTACTATCCGTCCCTGGTCTAGGACATAAATGAGGTCCGCGTGTTTAATTGTACTAAGCCTATGGGCTACGGCAATTGTCGTCCTGTCTTTAGCTGCCGCATCTAGCGCAGCTTGCACTACTTTCTCCGACTCGGCGTCCAGAGCAGAAGTTGCTTCATCAAGTAACAAGACTTTGGGGTTTCTCAAAAGGGCACGAGCAATCGAAAATCTCTGTCTATTTTCAAGAGTCAGCATTTTTCCTTTGATGAAAACAAATACAAAATATCACAAAGATGTAAAGTTAATTAGTCATAAGAAAAACAGGTAGTAGATGGCAAAATCTTACCTCTGACCACCACTCAACATACTGCCTCTAGCTCCTACCGAAGTTCGGAAACCTTCCCTGTATCAAGTTAGTAAGTCTCAGCCAGTACATCAACACACCGCACTTACGGAAGTGAAATGATGAAGTCGTAAATATTTGCTAACCGACAAACACGTACAATCTCCTCGTCCGGGGGAGTAATCTTGAGCCCAACGATTAAGTTTTCCCGAATGGTACCAGAGTACAAGATTGTTTCTTGGCTGACAAGTGACACCATACTGCGATAATCGTTAAGGTCAAGCTCTGTGATATCTTCACCATCGACTCTTATGACCCCGCTTTCTGGGTCATAGAAGCGCTCTAGCAAAGATAGAATAGTGCTTTTGCCAGATCCGCTGTGTCCAACAAGTGCTATGTACTGACCAGGGCGGACTTTCAAACTGAAATTATTGAGGATGAGTTGATTGGGCCTGGTGGGATATCGAAAGCTGACATTATGTAATTCAATATCCCCATTGCATTGTTCTTTGTTGACTGGTGAGCCTTTAGAAGCTGGATTTCCAATAACTGGTTGTCGATCAAAAAGCGTTCTGAGCTCCTTGCTTGCATGCATTGCCTTACTGGCATCTGGTGCGTAAGAAAAGATTGAGCCGGCGATCTGAGCACCGGATATAAGTGCAACTAAGCATATATAGAACTGAAAGAGCGAGTACTCTCGTTTAATTACTAGTGAGCCTCCGTACCAGAAGGCAAGTGCACTGCAGAGAAAGGTTGCGGACTGCGAGAGGGCATAAAGAGCGGAGGCCCCAAAAATGGCCCGTTGGGATTCAGTAGCCTGTTTCGCTAGAATAACGTCGTAGCTTAGAAGAATGTGGTTCTCGAGACCAAGTGATGCAACAGTTCTGATAGAACTTACAGCCTCACTTGCATAAGTTGCAGATTCTTTGCCACTCTTTCTGATTTGGTGATCGAACACTGCAAGTATCTGAAGACGAATCCAACCAGTCAGAGCTACTAGTGGTATTGTCGCTGTACACACCAGAGCCAGCTTCCACCCAATCACTAAAGAGAGGACAACTCCGGCAACCACTGTTGAAAGGAAAGTAAGGGTACTGCCAATAAGTGCACCACTGAGTGCGGTAAGATCTTCCGTGCTAGAATAGATCAGCGTGGTAAGGTTTCCCGATGCGTGTTGCTCTTCATCAAAGAAACTAATATCTTGTTGCAAAATTGACTTGAAGGCGTGGTACTTTGCACGACGGCAAAGTTTCTCTGTCGAGAGAGAAAATGAATACCCTTCTCCCACCCAAAATATCAATGCCAAACCAGCCATCAAAACATATAAACCCGACCAAATATCCACCGAGTGGCGGAGATCTCCGAATCGCGATGGGGGATATGCCAGGACCGCCAGTAGCTTTGCGAAAAATATAGATTGTCTAACACGGTGTTAGTCGATACAGGAATTTATTCCAGCATAATATGAAGCCACCTACATAGGAATTCCGAGCCCAGCTAAGACAGAAAAAAAGAGTCCTGTAATCATATGTTTGAGTTCCGGGCGGTTCAAGCGCGCAATGAATTTCAGCGCTTGCCATAAAGGTAAGCCCGAGTTCTGCGTAGCATCTTGGTCCTGAGTCTCACATACACTTTCCGAGATATGAGACCCGTTATCCTTCTCCTTAGAATTGGCTGTCGTTGCTGCGTTGTGTACGGATTCTTTGTTCGTATCTTCAAAAGTTTCTTCGCCGGCACCGTGAAAATCCAACCCTTGCTTTTGACAGAAATTAGCATAGACGCCTCCCATTTCTGTCAGTGATTCGTGATTTCCCTCCTCTATAACACGTCCTTTTGACATTACCACAATCTTATCGGCATTTCGTATTGTTGATAAGCGGTGGGCAATCACAATAGTTGTTCTGCCTATTGCGGCAGCGTCGAGAGCTTGCTGGACGGCGGCTTCAGAGGCTGCATCTAAAGCCGAAGTTGCTTCATCAAGTAATAGAATCTTTGGATTACTGATTAAGGCTCTCGCAATTGAGATTCTTTGTCTCTGGCCGCCAGACATCTGTAAACCCTTCTCGCCTACCAGAGTTTCATACCCTTTTGGTAAAGATTTGATAAAATCATGCACATTTGCTTTTTTAGCGGCTGAGAAGACTAGTTCCTCGATCTCTTCGACGCCCGGTTGCAGGTTGGAATTTACCAGGCCGTAACGAATGTTTTCAAATATTGTTGTGTTGAAAAGAACCGGATCTTGAGCAACTAAAGATATCTGGCTGCGCAACCAGCGTAGGTTGAAACTCTGAACATCGTGACCATCAATAACTTCTCACGTCAGTATCGGCTTGGAAATTTTGTTCTAGTCAACACTTACGAATCGCGCCCGATGTGGGCTCGTAAAAGCGCTCAAGGAGACTTATTATACTACTCTTCCCACTCCCTGACTCACCAATAATTGCAGTAGTTTTTGTTGACTGGGCTTTGAATCGGACGTTATCTAATACAACGACCTCCTCCCGTGAAGGGTATGTAAGGCTCACATCTTGAAAATAAATATCACCTGCCAAGTTCTCAAGCTGCCTCCCGCCTTCATCGAACGGATCTTGGGGTGATATTCGCGCAATTGCCTGCAGTACTGAGTCTGCGCTAGTTGAGCAGTGAATTAGAGACTCGATGCAAGGGGTAACTCTGACAATGGCAAATGCTCCAATCGCAATCGATAAAGTGGTCGTCGCAATCGCTGAAACAGTCATTTCCCCCTTTACGAGAAAGATGGATCCTGCCCAAAATGATAAAGCATACACTAAACATGGCATAGCATTGGAAACGCCAATAAAAATTGCTACTGCCATTCGAGACTTGACGCCGGCGATCTCAGATTTCTCGAGACAAGCATCGTATTTGTCAATTAAGTAACTTTTCATACCCAATGACGAAACCTGCCGAATAGACGTGATAGCTTCCTCAGCAATGTTTGCGCCAAGGTCGCGGAATTTCCTTGATATTTTGTTGTATCTCACAGCATATCGGCCGGCTGTAGCACCTGCAATTGCCATAAGAAAATACGACGGACTTAGGATCAATGCCGTCTTCCAGTACATTACGAACGAGATTATACACGCAGAACCAAAAGTTGCCATTGCAGTCAAAGTCAGTGCAATTTTACTTGAAATCCCTTCTTGTATGACACCCATATCAGACATGATGACAGTCGAAACTTCTCCCGTACCAAGTACATCAAAGAATGCGATATTCTGCCGCAAAATGGATTTCAAGTATTCGTAACGCAGGTGTCGAGCAATCCTCCCACCCGAGTAATAGAAACCAACAGTTGTAGTGTATACAAAGAAGAAGACTGCTATCGCGAGGTACACGTAATAAAGGGTGAATTTCGAGATGTCGGAGCTCAGCCCAGAGCTGGACACGGTATTTTTTGCGAATCCATTAAGTGCATCTACTAAATGGCCGTATATAACCTACAGAACCATTAACTTAATTTCGCAAAGGTAAGATGACTGACTGTTAACAGTGGGTTCAAGGCACCCGCACATATTGCGCATACAGAACTTAGAATAAGAACCAAGATATCTGTTATTGTTGCATATGAAAACATTGTGGCATTCTTCTTGTCTGTTCCATTAGAAGCACGGTTCTGATGCTGCTCCTTCACCCCTCTCGCCTGTTGACTTGGCCGCATCATCGTTGCAAATCCAGAACAAATTCCGTGGCTGGAAATAAATCACTCTTCTGGCATCGAATTTTGAAGCTTAGCCCACGTAGTTTGAATAACGAAAACTAGTTTTGAGGTCTAAAAGGGAATTATGAAAAAGACGAAGCTGCACTGGACGTTGAACGTTAGGCATATGACAGCATCATGTCATACTGCGACGTGCTGTAAGTAACCTGCCAGTCATATCCCAGGCATTGTAGTAATTAACGAAATTGTCATGTAGTATTGACCGAGATCGAGCTTCCTTTACGTGTTCTTTCAACTTCCTTTTTAGTAATAAGTGGACCGTTATGCTTGAACACAACAGCCTTGGAAGCGGAAGAATTTTCGAAGATCTCGGTGCCAACATTTTGACACGACAAGCAAGCTCAGAGTAAAAAAGTGAGTGGAAACCAAGGACACGTTGACAAAATGTGTATGTTCAGTTTTGTTGCGAGGAAACCCATTTTCTTGGACTGAAAAGCAAATAATAATCAGAGGTACTTACCCGCGCTTTAATACATAATTCAAGTTGGCAGGATAGTCAGAACGTTCTACAAGCCACTTATCGTTGTTTTGTTCTCTGCGAGGCACGTAAGCCTGTAGTAAGTCGCCAAAAATGCCCAACACAAAGTGGACCATCAACCACCGGCCAGTACGCGAAGAGGAATTCTATTATTTGCCTTGTTAGGAGAAATCCATTTCGTCCAGATATTCTCTTTTTATAAAAACCATACAATTCAACTTGGCAAATATAGCAATCTCTCACCAATTCATCGATGGCTTCAATATTTGAAACTGTCAAGGGTCTCAGTAATGGAAACCAAATCGCAGATAAATCGAGCAGCCGCATTCTCCACCCAAATATTCACCGTGCAAACCCAAAAGTTATATCTGCAAAGGGTCTTTATATGACTCTCGAAAATGGGCAAATTATTCTTGATGCTACTGGAGGTCCCGCGGTCACATCATTGGGCCATGGGAACGAGGAAGTAAGGAATGCAGTCATACAACAGATGGACCGTTTGTCCTATTGCCATGGTCTTTCCTGGGCCAATCCGGCTGCAGAAGAGTTAGCCACAGCAGTCATAGATTCGACAGACGGAGCTATGGCCAGAGCGACTATGATGGGATCAGGTTATTATACGCCTGACAATAACCCGTGTCAGAAACGTTAATTAACACCCGCGATAGGCTCGGAAGCTGTAGAAGCAGCTTTGAAGCTTGCACGTCAGTACGCGGTGGAAAGTGGAGAACCAGAACGTTTTCGTTTCATTGCTCGCAAAGGCGGATTTCACGGGACGACGCTCGGAGCGCTAGCAGTTACAGAAAGACATGGAGTACGAGACCCATTCGAACCATTGTTGATGATGGACAACATCTCCTTTGTATCAACCCCAAACCTTTACCGTGGAATTCAGGATGGTGAAACTACCGCAAAATACGTTGAAAGGCTTGCAAAAGAGCTAGATGATGAGTTTAAGAGAGTTGGTCCGCAAGAAGTTGCTGCCTTCATTGCTGAGACATTTACTGGGAGCGTGAGTACAGTTCTAAAGGCTAATGTAATGAAATACTAACATGGTTCAAAGTCAACAGGTTGTCTTGGAGCACCTTTTGGATACTTCCCCGCAGTCAAAGCCATATGTGAAAAACATGGCAGTCTTCTGTAAGTATATCAAGAACATTCTCCGCCACTTAATGATTCTTAGGTATTTTCTTGTTCGTCTTGCTCTCTACTTTCTTGCTACTTTAAGATATGCATTCTACAAGACTTAAAACAATACTTAGCTGACTTTTCCGATGCATAGCATTCTCGATGAAGTTATTTGCGGCATGGGTAGGACAGGCACATATCACGCTTGGCAGCAAGAAAATGTAACACCAGACATCCAAACCGTCGCAAAAGGCCTTGCAGGAGGATATTCCCCTATTGCAATGCTGCTCATGAACCAGAAAGTAGTGGATGGTCTACTTCTTGGTCGAGGATTTTTTAACCATGGCCATACCTACGGTTTTCATCCCGTCGCGTGCGCAGCTGCTGCCGAAGTTCAAAAGATCCTAAAACGAGATAATCTGCTCCAAAATGTTACTGCGATGGGAGACTTGCTGGGAAGTGAATTAAAGGAGGCATTCAAAGACAATCCAAACGTTGGGGATATACGAGGCCGTGGATTGTTTTGGGCAGTCGAGTTTGTCAGCGATAAAAGCTCGAAAAAGCCATTCCCAGCCACAAAGGGGGTTGCAAGAAAAATTAAGCAACTAGGAATGACAGAAAAGCACAACATAGCTCTACAAACAGGCTCGGGGACTGTGGATGGTGAGGTTGGGGATCACTTGCTGATATCACCACCGTATACCGTCACGGCGGAGGAAATTGAGACCATTGTAAAACTTGCTGTCAGTGTTGTTGAAGAAGTACTGAGTCAAGTGTAGATGATTGACATCATACTGTATTTTTCAGTCAGATGTTTATCGTATTTTTTTCGAAAATCCCTGGGGTGAAATAAAAAAATTTCACACTTTCAAGCTTCAAATCAGTCGTAAAGGCTGTAACCATGAAATTCTCGAAAACACTTTCAATTTATATATCACTTTTCACGAAATGATCCGCGCACGCTCGTCCAGCAAATAATGTTGCTACGAAAGTGTAGATTGGATTTTAAATACAAGTTTCTACTACCATTCGATATTCTTATGATCGAACGTTCGAAACCCGCAATCAGCACCTTCCTTCATTTGTCCAATCTATTTATAAAGTTAGCATTTAATCGGCTTCGAGCTGAGCACTGTTCACCTCAAGAAGCAACCCTTCGACAGAAGTATTCACAGTAACTGGTGCCTGCTTGAATCCCTGGGCTCGAGCCCTACCGTTTCCTAAATCCGTCTGAATCCAACTACAAATCGATTATCAGTAGCACAAAACCAACGACAAGCTTCTCTTGGGAGTGCTTTGTGAGGCTCTCCTTCAGACAAATGGCGAGGGAACTACAAAAACTAACTTACCCCGGATGAACAGACAAAACCGACAAGGCCGAATTTTCAGCACAAATCTTCTTCGTCAAGTAATTCCCACCAGCTTTACCCATACCATAAGCCAAGGAAGCAAATTTAGAGGTCTCCGGTACATTATGTATGCTCCCTCCCATACTGCTCACATAAACAAACCTTGGGTTTGCCGATACACTCAGTAAAGGCCAAGTATTTTGGAATAGTATTAACGGTGCTATTGAATTTACAGCCATATGTTCAGCAACCGCAACAGCGGGTGTCTCGAGTACACGAGCATGGCATTCGGAAATTCCGGCGTTGGCGATGACGATGTCGATATGGTCAATTGTGGGATAAGTTTTTGAGAGAGTTGAAAAGGCCGTTCGGTAATTTTCTTCTGAACTTGATATCGATTGTGCGTTGAAAGGTATTGAAAGAACGATTAAATCGCTAGTGGGATGTCGTGGCAGGTTTTTGAGAGCTGAGGCTGTCTCCTCTGTGCGGATGACTCCGATTATTATGTGATCTTCACGAAGAAGTAGAGAGGCTGCAAGACCATGACCTAGACCTGTCAAGATATTATCATTTTGAGTCCACGAGTTTCGAGATAACACACATAATGAGAAAGTTAAATACATACCTCGATTCGCGCCTGTAATGAGATAAGTCGTTGGCATGGTGAAGAAGTCGTCAAAATTAATGTTTTACTCGCACTACGAAATTGTGTAAGGGGGTGAACTGAAAGAAGAAAATACAACCCATTTGATCCACATAATATTATTTTAATTTGCACAGCTGTTTTAAGAAGTTGTCATGAATTTAGAATAGATCATTACCTAAATTATAGCAAGAGAGTAATATTAGAGGTGGTTAGGAAAGAGCATGGTCTTGACCCACCTTTCCAAATCCCTTAGTAATATCTCATGTCAAACTCGACATATTTAGCTGAGGTGGAGATTTAGCGTGCATGATGACTAAAATTACTCCCCCGCGTACTGATACTACCGAAAAGTCTCGTCCGGCAAGATGTTTCAAATATCGGTATCTCTTTGGGTATAACGAACTATAGCAAGATCTACGAACTAGCATACATGATCTAGAACAAAAGATTTGGCGTTTTCACATCCGTCTTTTTGTTAATCGATTTCTCTGCGTTTACTTTTCTGTAGCCAAAAAATCATGACCATCGAGCAACTGTTCTCTGCTTTTGGCCTCTCTGGCAAATATGCGGTAGCGTCTGCTATATGTGCACCTCTAATCGCTGTAATTGACACTTTGTCTTATTGCCTCAGATCCTCGTTAACACTGATCCTTAGTATCTCTGTTATCTACTGAGTATTTTGATGTACAATATCTACTGGCATCCACTCAGTAAATTTCCTGGTCCTATCCTGTGGGCTGCAACTCCCATACCATATGTATGGTATCAGATAACCGGAAGACTGCCTTTCATTTATGAGCGACTTCACGATAAGTATGGAGATGTGGTTCGAGTACTGCCACACAAGCTTTCTTTCAGACATCCTAATGCAGTAAGTAACAATTGAACACTGTTTTTCTGCTTCTCACCACAACATAACAGACAAATGTAAACTGACCTATAACTCTCTAGTGGAAAGACATCTACCAAAACAAATCCGGCCACAAAGCTATGCCCAAAGACGCCCGCAGCCTCGCCCCCGGCGACGAAGGCGTCTACAACATAATCACCGCCTCCAACCCCTCCGACCACTTCCGCTACTCCCACAAACTGCACCACGCCCTCTCGTCCAAAGCCCTCTTCGACCAAGAGCCCTTCATCACAACCTACGTCGATCTCCTCATCTTCCGCTTGAAAGCCCGCTGCACCAAGGGGCCTCAAGACATAGTTAAATGGGCGAACCTCATCTATTTCGACATCATCTCCGACCTCACATTCGGGGAGTCGCTGAATGGGCTGGAGAATGAGGAGTACCATCCGTGGTTGCGAGGATTGTTTGGTAGTAATATGAAGAGTATTACGTTTCAGAGGGCTATGAGACAGTTTCCGCATATCTTTAAGTTCCTGAATTTGTTCGCTCCGAAGGGATTGGCTGAGCAGCAGATCAAGCATTCGAAATTTGTGAGGGAGATGGTGCATCGAAGAATGCAGGATGAGAGTGGAAGGCCGGATTTTATGAGTTATATTTTGCCGTATAGCGAGGAGCATTCGTTGATGAGTAGGTTTCATAAACACTATTTGATCGTGCCTAAGCAGATTTACTAACGTGGGATCTTGAGTGATAGCCATGCCAGAAGTGCGTGCGACTTACGGGGCCTTGTACGTAGTTGAAAGTTTTCGTTTTCTTCAGTTCAGCTGGTTTCATTTGATGATCTTTCTTTTCGTCCTCCCAAAATCCAGTTCTGCAACCTCCGTCTCCATGTTTCTATTATACACTCTTATGATAGAGAAAAAGAAAGAGAAGCTAATCTAATCCACCCACCCAGAATGCTAGCCGGAAGCGAAAATGTAGCCACCACTCTAGTTTTCACCATTTTCTACCTTCTTAAACATCCCGCCGCTCTACAGAAATTGAGCCTCGAAATCCGCAGCAGACTTTTGACCCTCGAGGACATTGATTTTCTGGGAGTCAACAGTCTAAAATATCTTTCGGCGGTCATCAATGAGTCAATGAGGCTCGCACCTGCAGCACCAACCTCGCAGCCTAGAGTGGTTACAAATGGAGGAGCAATAGTCGCGGGCTATTGGGTACCGGGAGGGGTAAGTTGACTGGAGGGGGGAGACTTGAGAAAGACTTGAAAGCGTGCTATCTTCGTGTGAGTTGCTAACTCTCATGGTATTTTAGACAGTTGTTGGAGCACCACCTTACTGCACCAATCGCCACTCCGGATATTTCAAAGACCCGAATTCTTTCATTCCCGAAAGGTGGCTCAAGAACACCGGCTATGAATCGGACAAGAAATCCGCCTTCCACCCTTTCCAAACAGGGCCAAGAGCATGCGCTGGCCAATTGTAAGATTTCCATAGACCGCCCATCATGGAAAGTTAATCTGACATTGTCCACCAGACTGGCACTCACAGAAGTAAGGATTGTTCTTGCAAGGATTCTATGGGAATTCGAGATTTCGTTTCGAGACGCAGACGGTGGGAAATGGAGCGATGACTTGGAAATATTTCATTTGTGGCAAATGAAACCCTTATATATTAATCTGACGGCAGTAGAAAGGATCGAGGAGAAAGAGAAACGAAGCAAATAAATCAACTAGAGTTAAACCCCGTGACCCCAATTAGTTACACAAGCTTAAATGAACATAACCTGATCCCCCTCAAACTGAAAAGATTTGAAGATTGATTTGATAACTTCGAAAACTGAGGGTAGCAGAGCTACTCGTGAGTTTTGAAATGAGTACTTAGCTCAGATCAACTTAACTCAGATTGAATTTCAAGTTCTTTTGGGATGTTTCACTTATTTCAGCAGTCATTGAAATTCCTTGACCCCTCAAGTATAAAGTGAAAAGGAAGACGAAAGTATTCTCAGAATTCCAAGCAATAGAGGGCAGCAAAACTGTGCAATCATACATCCTTCCGTTGATATTGTCAAACACCGCCATTTCTCTGGTAATGAAGCACGAGCAAATAACAATGACCGGTTGATATCATATCATCAGACCATATATACCATCCCGGTATATGCGAAAATGGCGGACCGAGGTTTGCCTAGGGTTTAATGAGTGGTTGATGCAAGTGGAGGGATGTAAAGTGCCCCACAACGTGCCAAGATCGTGTTCTGCGTTTGCTATAGTTGTGCCACAGTAAGCACAACCAGTGAACGATGATTGCAGGAACGTTGAAAATTTTCGTTGAGTCGCCGACTCGGGCTCTTTTGTTTAAAATCTGAAGCCGATTTCGGGTGAAAAATATCCTGGTGCCTGAACCATCCAAGGATTCTATTGTCAGCCAACAATTATCCATTGTGATCGAGCATCGATGTTAACGTTGCATATGTGTCGAAAACGCTCATTCCAAGCATTGTCAGATGAAGAACATCGTCGCTTGCAGCGCTTAGCACATCTGGTTGTTGCATCTCCGCGGGAGGAAACTGTGTAACAGCATATACAGCGGTGAACGGCAAACCAATATTCCTATCTGCTTCAAAGCAAAGTCATCCAACCACGCTTCACATTTAGTGCTACTTACACATGATGTCTTGCTACTCCATTCGCCGATCAAGAGATTCGAGGACATAATTGACGAGTGTAAACATCAAGGGCCGGCTCAAAACACTCGTTGTAAGTGCTCGTCCCAATAGTGGGTACGCAGGCCCATGAACGAGCTGTTGGACCCAGAAATAAATTTAAGCATAATTATCTACATCGACGATAATTGGTGAGTAGGAAGTCCAATGACGGGTTTGAGAGGCTCATGCTTACACCCATGTACTTTCATAAGGCTGAGACACTATCTCAAGTACTGCTGTACTGGTGTACTAAAGTACTGCTAAGAAAAGCGGCTGATACGAGTGATGAACCAAAGAACTCAACTATCACGGGTGTTGAGCCACACTGAGCAGATTGTAAGCAAATCGGCAGTCCCACCGTTACAATGGCGTTTTGAAGAGAAGCTGATATAATGCCTTCCCCGAATGAACCGTTGGTTGATGGGGCCCGTAAATTGCTGAAAGTAAATGTCACTGTAGTAGCTAAAGGCACATAGCCACAAGGCTTGCAGGAAGGCCGGCCGAACAGTGTAGTGAGATCTATAATTTCGGCTCGAAGATCTCGGGAAGTAATTCATTGGATAAGAAAACATGACGACAGATGCATGCAATACGAACAAAGTCTCTTGATCCTTCGGGCCTTCTTGATCCTCATATCAGATCTTGTGGTAGGGGTGACATGTGGCTTTCATGGATGGCTGAGTAGCGGTAAATCCTCGAGTTGGAAGAGGATTGTCATTCGGATATACGGAGGTAACATAGATGAAATTGGAGAGCGCTTTAAGAAGAATGCTGGTTGAGACTCTGGGGGCATATAGTGAAAGTATGCGAGTTTCGAGGACGTGAGCAACACGAAGAGTACCGTTTAGGCAGGCCTGACCGTGATCTGGATCTATCTCATTGGTTAATACAGAAAGAAGAAGGCCAAAGGCAACTCATTCTGCGGTGTGGAGTTTGGTGATACAGCAATTTGCTGTTTCGAATGATGCATGTACCCTTCACGAGTCGCGCTCGTGAGAGGCTGTTGCCGTTCTGTTGTTGTCGTGCCGTAAGCGGTTAGTAGCCTTCCAGAAATCCAATCTTCGTCTGTGCGGCCCTTGCCGTCGATGCGCCAGATCAGAATGGCTTGCAGAAAATTGCAGGAAATGGGCAAAGCGAGTCCGGTTGATTGGGCAGACCCGACGACCACGCAAGCCACAAACGACCCGAAGAAGATATCTCTCGGGCGCTCCGACCAGATATAATTGTCTAACTTGCTCCGTGTCTTGCCAGATGGAGTAGCTAACTCGACAAAGGCCCGCGACTTTGATGCCATTTGTCGTGTCTAAGCGAACTCTCAGGTACGTAGGGACTGTTATTGAATCCTGGCGTTGGGGATCAATTGCTTCGGCCCCACGAATGGATTGGGGTATCTCTAGGAGCACAAATCCGCTGGCCCAGGATATTTTCCCGTACTAATACAGATTCAACTTCAATCAATCCATAATGGCGACTTTGGACCCGAGGCACAAGGGTTGTAATCGTTAGTTCTGTACGGAGGTAGTCGAGCAGTGCTAAGTTGCGTCGATCGGCTGCTCGCACGAATTGCAAGTGTACCGAATAACATACACGTGCTAACATTGGGCGGCTCTTCGCTGGCACCGAATGTAAGTATTGATGTGGAGCTCTGCAGAGTCTAAGCCTCAGAGTTTATGCGAATGCAGTGCAATGCACCGAACAGTGAGGAATAGAAGTACGCATTCTATATCGTTATAACGGTAACTCCGTTGATAATGTACATGAGATCTCCCAGGAACATGATAGTGCCAATGGCGGGGAGATAGATTGAGCGTATGCTTCTGCCAGGACGGTACTTTATGCCGTAAGTAGTAGTGATCCAGTGAAAGTAGTCGAAGGCTACGAACTTGAATGCTTGGGTAGCAATTAATCTCAATCGTAATATCATTGCGGTACCTCGATGTGCCTAACAGTGACTTTCTCGTTGTTGAATGCTCAACCAAATGAGAAGTATCTTGAACATGAGTTGTGCTAGCAGCACTTGAGTTCAATTGGTCGATTTAATGAAACCATGGATAGCTAGAGTTTTAACCCCATCGTACGCCGAGAGCCATACGATGGGAGAGTGCTCAAACCGACGGGGGAGTTTCTCCAGGTCCCCGAAAGACCAGTATTAGTGACGGGGCCGTTCTTCAACGAATGAAGCTCCTATCCACCATATTAGATAAACAACCAGCCGTCAGGATTGACCTCGTGGAAGTCAAGGACGCCATGGCTAGCATAGCTTGAAAACCCGAGCGCAAGTGGCTACGAATGTGGTAGGTTTAGGGAGTGTCCGAAGACTACATCGAATCAGATCCGGCGGCTTCACTAGGGGCCAAACGTATTCTCGCCGAGAGTGTAAATGGTGTGAATGCCCTCGTCGGTATGATTGGGGACTGGGGTGGTGGTACGTGTTCGAAGATGCGTTGTTGTGTTGTGGTGTGAATGAATGGGAGGGGACCCAGCTAAGCGAGATGGTCGCGCGTCAGCCTCATGCAGAGATCCCCTCACGCCGCCTCTCCGACTTTCTGCTCGCTCAAATCGGGACCAACAACACCAGCTCCTGCTAAACATCTCACGACCCTCGACGACTGACGACTGACAACCACGACCCAACTAGGAGATCTGTGGCGTAATTACTAGCCTCATCAACAGCGTCAAATCCCACCCATCTGCCGGGTGCTTGATAGCCGCTTCCTCAGCCCTGCCCTAGTCTGCTCGCCGTCATCCACCACTGCCACCACCCACGTCCATCTTCTCCTCTACATACGCTTGTCTCCACCGCTTGTCGCATCTTCTACGATCATCTGGTTATCCTCCGGACTATACCCTCGCTGTTGCCTTGCCCTCTCCCCTGGTCCTGGCCTGGCGCTCGCTACCGTTCACACAGCACCCTTGAGCTCCATAATCCCGTCCTCTCCACGTTTCGTGCGCCTCGAACTATTCAAGGGCCACCTCCATCTATAAGTCTCACCTTTTCGCCGATCGACAAGTCTGTTTCTATCCCTGGACAGAGAGTCTTAGGGGCTTTAGCTTGACACGAAGTTCCTTGAGACAGACCTCGACGACTCCATTCGCAGGTGGCGGTTATCGACTCGAGCAACAAAACAAAACACAGATTCAGTAGGAAAGATCTCAGAGAAAGAATGTCGGGATATCCGGGTGCTGGTTATCAAGGTGGTTACGGCGGACCACCTCAATATCCACCGCAGCAAAATTACAATCAGTAGGTTTTGGCGGCTTGTTGCTACAATTGTGCTAATGTCTGTATAGAGCTCCTCCACAGAACTACGGACCACCCCCTCCACAGAATTACGGACCACCTCCACCACAGTACGGCGGCTACCAACAACCACCACAACAGCCTCCCCCACCACAAGGAGCATACGGATACTCTCACCCTCCCCCACAGCAATACGGCGGCTACAATGGTGTTCCTACGAATCAACCGCAATATGGCAGACCTCGTATGTGATAATACCTGCATGATGATTGCCAATACTAATCCAGTGTCTAGCTCCTCCAACCGTCCACCAGAACGCCTATATGAACGGCAACCAGAATGCTCCACCTCCACCTCCCTCTGGCTTACAAAACTTTGGAACCGGCGCTCCTCAAGGATATGCCTTTCAGTACTCGAACTGTACCGGCCGGAGAAAGGCTTTGCTGATCGGAATAAACTACTTTGGGCAAAGAGGTCAATTAAGAGGGTGCATTAACGACGTGAAGAATATGTCAACATTTTTGAACGAGAATTTTAACTACCAACGGGACGACATGGTTCTTCTTACAGATGACCAGCAGAACCCAATGAGTCAACCAACCAAGCAGAATATACTCAGAGCTATGCACTGGCTCGTGAAAGATGCAAGACCCAACGACTCTCTTTTCTTCCATTACTCGGGTATGTAATTCTATTTTGGCTCGACTCGGTCCGGGATGCTGACATTTCGCTTAGGTCACGGGGGACAGACCAAAGATCTGGACGGCGACGAAGAGGATGGATACGACGAGGTTATTTATCCCGTGGATTTCAGACAGGTGGGACATATTGTGGACGACGAGATGCATAGAATTATGGTTACTCCACTCCAAGCAGGTGTCCGGTTGACGGCGATTTTCGACTCCTGTCATTCGGGAACTGCTTTGGATTTGCCCTACATCTACTCCACACAAGGTGTCCTCAAGGAGCCAAATCTTGCGAAAGAAGCAGGACAAGGACTTCTTGGTGTCATTTCGTCCTACAGTCAAGGGGATCTTGGTGGTGTGGCCAGCAATTTGATGGGTTTCTTCAAGAAGGCGACGACTGGTGACGATGCATACAACAAGACAATGGCCACAAAAACGTCACCCGCCGATGTTATTATGTGGTCCGGAAGTAAAGATGATCAGACATCGTTAGTATACCCCTTTTCAGATCCAACGTTTCAATTAAGGTGTGATGTGTATTGAAAACTGGCTGCTGTTTTTGGGAAATTGGATAAAAGTGCTCTTTGGAGTTCAGGGGATTTTAGCGTTGGCGTTGGAGATACCACAGTTGGCGACTAGGCACATCTTTGCTGGTCTTGTACTAAATTTTGTTGTTTGGCTATCTGTACAATAATATCTTTTATTTTTTCAAGCTCTAAGTTACATCACAGCCCAATTACGGCTGAGGTGTATGCTTAGAGCTGCGAGTCACGTTGGGTCGATGGAACGCCGTAGCTTAGAGCGTTTGGCTTCTTTTCGTTTTTGATGAATTTGAAAGAGAAACACGCTAACGTTATTACAGGGCTGATGCAACTATTGCATCCAAAGCAACTGGTGCTATGTCTTGGGCTTTCATCAATGCTATGAAGAAGAACCCACAGCAATCTTACGTTCAGTTATTGAACAGCATTCGCGACGAGCTTGCCACGAAGTACACTCAAAAGCCTCAGTTGAGTTGTAGTCATCCTCTGAGTAAGTCAATGCAAAAAATCATTTTGTTGTACTTGTTAAAACTAATTCGTTGACAGACACGAACATTCTCTTCGTATTGTAAATATTGGGTATCGGCGTAATGCTTGTGTACAGGGAAATCAAAAAGTAAGACGATATTCAGGACCACGAAGGTCACTTTCTTTCAATTTGGAGGTTTCGATGGATTTCCTACAGGCATGTAATCTTGGGCTGGATTGGCTGGGCTGGAATTTGAGGTCAGGAGCAGTGGGTATTCGGCTTGGGAAGATTGGCATGAGCGGTTGAGCTCTATGAATTGGACATTACCATGAAAGGACGGTTCCATTGAATAATGTGAGGGATTCAGTGAGGATGCATTAGACCTAGCGCAGAATTAACGGGAGATCTTGAATTTGAACTTAATCTTAAGTGTTCGTAAAGTTAGGGTTGCTAATGCTCGCTTTAATCTTTACACGCGGTCAATTATATCTGATGTAAAATGCATAAAAAGCGTGATAGAAAAAGAGTTTGGAAACAAGTACAGCTAGTCACGTGAATGGCTCTATCATCTTTTCAAAAGAGAAAAAGTTTATGTCAATACCAGTCATTGAATTTAATATTCAGTAGTAACTACCGTTAGAAAGAAAGTAAAAACTCCCCCTAATAACCCACATTCAATACATGCATGCATAACCCATACTCCCTATTACTATCCCAGAACTCCAATCGAAAAAAGCACAAGCCGTACAAAATACTAAGCTCTCAAAACACGCAGAATGGATGACAAATCTCCAATCCACCCCGGTGACTACCTCACACGAGTATACTAACATCCGCCTCCTTCGCCATCTTCCTCTGCTTCTTAGATTGCGCAAGCAATTTATCCCTTAGCTTCGTGTTGAGCTTCCAGTTTGCTGCCATCTTCTGCATACGAATGGTAGCGCAAATCGCTTTACCGACGATGCGTAACTTTGAGCCCTTGGGCGTCACGACGCGACGGTCCACTGGGAACTTGGGATTGCTCTGGGCGATAAGTTTTAGATCTTCTTGAGTCCTGTGTGGCTATTAGTAAAGTTATCCGTATAACATGAAGCGAGGAACATACCAGTTGCTATACTTTTCGATTTGCTTTCCAATATACTTCTTCGCAGACGCACATTGAGTTCGTAGACCCTCCTCACGTTGACACTTCGCTCGCAGCCATTCCACCTGAAGTTGCATGCCGCGCATCTCTCTGACATGAATGTATTCTTTGTCTTTGAATTGCTTCTTCAGAGCCTCGCAATCGTGCTCATTGTTTACTGTCGAGAGAGAAGTGTTGACGAAACGAACACCCGAGGTCAGCTTTTGACGCTCAGTCTCCCATACTTCTTCCTTGGATTTAAAGGTGGTTTCAAGAAGTTTGAATTGTCGCTTTTCTTCCTCCCAAGCCTGCTCGGCTTGAGTGAAACGCTGCTCGAGCTCGTCTAGTGCATTTTGAAGTGCAAAGGAGTTCGCGCCGTCGGGAAGAAGGATGGTTGTCGAAGCGTTTCTTCCAGTCATGTTTACAGTCTCCGGGAGTAGAATGGTAGTAGTGTCCTGTCTGACTGATTTACCTCGCATCAAGAAATTGGTGGTCGTCGCATTCTTGTTGATAGTGAAATTTGGTCCTGTGAAGTTGGTTGAGCCAGTATTGTTTTCAATACCTGGATTTTCCACAGTAAAATTTGTAGTGGTTGTGTCATCTGCGCCATCAGGATCTCTGAAAGAGAAATTCGTCGTCAATGTGTTGCCCTCAGACCTAGGATTTCCAACTGATAAGTTCGTTGTTGCTGTGCCCTCAAAGTCCGCGGCTAGATCCGGAAGATCAGCGTTGATGAGCCTATCTATCTCTTTTATGTTAAGAATAAGAGATCCATCGTCAAGCCCCGGGGAATTGAACGTGCTCATATTCTGGTTCCTGGTCGCACGTGGTGTTCCTTCCAGAGCAATGGATGTTCTGACGGGTTCTTTTGAGTTTGTCAACGGCTGTCCACCAACACTTCGTTTTTGGTCATGAAGTTGGAATGTGTTTTGAGTGAAGTTTGTGTCAGTAGCATCTTCAGCAGTGGTTTTCTGGTAAGCGTGTGAGTCGCGTCTACTTTCCGAACGTTTTTGTAGGTGTTCCGCGAATGTGTAGTTCTCCGTAGTCGTCGCCTCTTGTCTGTGCGCAAGCTCCTTTGTAGGGCTTCGCATAGATGAGCGTCGTGAGAGTGTTGCTACGCCAGGCTTACTCGCCGGTTGGTTTTCGATGGAAGCTCTGTGTCGATGTTCCAGCTCAACTCTCTCACTGTTCCATTTCTCTTGGGCATCTTTGAACTTTTGTTTCAGAGCTTTAAGCTCATGCTGCGCAGCAAGTGCACTTGGTGGTATGTAAGCTGAACCCTTCGTAAGCTTCTTCCTTTCGGCTTCCCAGCTTTCTTGTGCCTCCTTAAACTTCTGCCCCAAGGCCTTGAGCTCAATCTGTGCTGAGGTGAAATGGAAACAATGCTCAGACAATGTCTTCTTCTCGGCATCCCAGTTGTCCCGAGCAGCCTTGAATTGTCTTTCAAGTACCTTGAGCTCAATCTGAGAAGCCGAAGAATCAGAAGGCTTTTGCATAAGTCTCTCCCTTTCAGCGCTCCATTTCTTCTCGGCATTTTTGAACTGCTGCTCCAAACTGGTGAGCTTTGCCTCGGCTGACGATGCTTTGGACCTGTATTCAACGACAAGCTTTTTCTCGGTTTCAAGAGTTTCTCTGATCTCAAGAAATTGTCGTTCAAGAACACTAAGTTGCACTTGGGCTCCGGAGAATTCGGCACGGTTTTTGCTCAGCTTCTTTTTTTCCGATGCCCAGTTGTGCTCGGCTTCCCTGAATCGCCGTTCCAAGTCCTTCAACTTGTTTTGGGCGGCTGTTGCAACGGTCCGATAGTGAGATCGTTCTTCGCGGACGCGTTGGACCTGAGAGCGTAGCTCCGCTTCTGCGGCAGAGATTATGGCGATGGTGTTGTCTTTTTCTTGCATATCAATTTCGAAGGTTTCCACCTGAACTTGGGTTTCCCGCAACATCTCGTGAAGGTCCCTGCGCTCCAAAACCATTGTTCGATCTGGACCATGATTCAAACGTTCGGCGTCTAATGCCTTCTCAAGTCGTCCAATCTTGGAACTAAGTCTTGAAGCCTTAGCTTCGGAAGTAGTATTCTTTGCTGTCAATTCGTTGATTGTAAACTGGGCTTCGTCCAGAGAGCGTTCGAGCTCATCCTTTTCTGCTTCCCACTCCGTCACCCTGGCTTGGTATTCGCTGTTGACATCGCTGATCTTTTTTGCGCTGTCCTTCTCGACGCGTTTGAGATGAGACCGGACTTCTCTCAAAGAATCCTGGGTGGCGAGTAATTGAGCACGCAGTTCATTGATCTCGGATTTTCGAGCAGATCCACTGACAGACGAAGCTGGTGATGGAGCTATCAGACGAGATACCTCCGCGTCGTGGACTTTGCGCTCGAGCTCCGTGATCTGACGCCTAAGGCCGCGAACAACTTCCTTGTGCGAAGCTTCACGTTGGAGGTACTCCGTTTCTTTACGGCGGGCGGATGACAAGTCTTGCCGCACAATTGACAGTTCTTGGGCTTCATCGTATGCTTCTCCGCTTTGCTCCACCTCTGCCTCTAGTTCTCGGATGCGTTGTTCCAATTGCGATATGGTCTTCTTGGCTGTTGAAAGTTCCTTCTTCTCCGAAGAGCCGCGAAGAATTTTGTGAAGATCATGGATTTCGTTAGAAAGCCGAGCTTCTTCTGCACTGGCACGGTCAATCTCTTCTTGTAGCTCACGCTCCACCAACTCCTGCTGTGCAATAGCAGCTTTGGTTTCGTCTCTTAATCGGCGCACCTCACTGTCAAGCTTCAGTTTCGCAGTACGCAGGTCAACACGTTCCTGATCAAGACGGTAAGTTTCTTCCTCTTGCTGTTTCATAGCCTTGACCTGGCTGTGAACTTCGTCCCGCTCTGCTTCAGCCTCTGCCTTGGAAAGCCGTAGTGCGTGCATTTCCGCAGTCATACTTGTGAGTTGGTCTTGGAGAGCCTGCTTTTCGAGTCGTAGTTTAGCAAGCTGTGCCTCGGCGTCCTTGAGTGTGATCCTCAGGACATCTTTATTGCCTTTATCTGCGTGAATATTGGTTTGGAAGTCTTCGATCTCATTCCGCGCAGCATTTGCGGTAGCTTCAGCCCTTTCGAGCTCCTGCTTCAAAACCTGTAGTTGTTTTCGAAGAGTGTCGGATTCCTTCTTAGCAACAGCGATGTTATGGTTAGCTTGTTCACTCTCGTCATCCAAGCTCGTTTGGAGGATTTCGACCTCATCCTCAAGACCTTCGACTTTTTCAGCTAAACATTTTTGTTCTCTTTGGCTGAGTCTGAGCTCCTCACGAACGCTCGCAAGCTCAGATCGTGCTTGCTCCAACGCCTTTCTCCGCTCGTTAACATCATCGTTTAGTTCCTCAAGTTGGCGCTTCAAGCTCGCTTCCTCACTTGCGTGTCTGTCTTTCTCTGTCTCTAGAGCGTCTAGAAGCTTAGCTTCTTTGCTCGACAGGTTACCCTCGGCCAGTTGGAGTTTGTCGATGGCACGCTGTAGGTTTTCAGCTCTTTCGTCCGAGGCTTTTTTCTGGGAAATCAGTGAGTTTTTCTCATTCGACCATTTGTTGTTGCTGTTATCATAAAGTCGCTTCTTTTCCCGGACATCCGAGCGCAAATCCTCAATCTCGTCATTGAGTCGATCGATTTCACCCTTATATTCATCTCGGACTTCTCTTTCGTTGTTTAGAGCGAGAGTTTTCTCATGGTCCAACTTATCCTCCAGATCCTCAATAGCTTTCCGAGATCTGGCCAGATCTTTCTGGAGGCTACTTGATTCTTGTGTAAGTGCATCGTGCCGAAGTTGTAGAAGGTTCTTCTCATCCGCTTTCTGCTGCAAATCATTTCCAGTGGACTCAAGTTGCTTCTTCAAATTATCGCGTTGTTGCGACGCATTCCGGCTCTCTGCATGGGCGACGTTAAGTTTCTCGCGAAGGCTCTTCTCGTTCGATTCATTTTCGGTCTTTAAGGTGTTTACTTTCGTTTGAAGATGCTCAACCTCACGCGCCTGCTCAGCGTAGTCTTCCTCGAGTGTAGCGTACTTCTCCCGGAAATCCTCCACCTCGTCTTGGAGTCTGTTAACCTTCTCCTCGATTTGTCGACTAAGACCCTTTGTTGTTATGGATTTATTGGCCATCTCATCTTGAAGTTCTTCGAGGTCTCCCTGTGCTCGGTCTCTTGCCCTGATAGCTTCCTGGCGATCGTCCTTTGCTTCTTCCAGCTCGTCTTTGACACGCTTCAATTCGCGCTCCATCTCTTCGACCTCTTCTCTGGCATTCTCAAGTTCGTCGGCGCCTTGAGCATTCTCTTCCAATTCGACGTTGCGGCGTTGCTCCTTCTTGATACCTTCTTTCAGAAGCGAGATACTTTCCAGATGCTTCTCGACTTCTTCCTTGAGGTTTTCTACCTCATCCTCGCGGTCGTCAATCAGGCGGTTTTTTTCGCGTATATCAGCTTCTAAATCCTCTACATGGCCTTGAAGGTCCTCGAATTTGCTGACTTGAAGTTTCAGACGGTTTATTTCGGCCTCGCTATCATCCAGTGCTTGTTGGAGCCGATCCATGGCTTCTGCTTGACCCTCTGTAACATGCCTTTGTTTAACCTTCTCATGCATCTCGGCAACCTGCTGTCGGTAGGTATCTAAATCGCGTTCAGCAGAAGCCAGGGTTTTCCGATATCGAATTAGTTCCTTCTGCATTGTGATTTTATCCACTTTGAGTTCCGTATTTTCTTTAAACGCTGCTTCACTGTATCCAGGCCCCATCTTCTTCATTTGCTCGTCCATGAAGTGGATTCTCAGCTTGAGGGCAAAGTTTTCTTTCTCAATCTTGGATATGTGATTTTCCTGCTCTCTTAATGATAACGGATTGCTGTCATGCAATAGGGCTGGCCCCTCGTTTCGCCGCGGTAGTAACGCCATAGGTGTAGATGACACGCTGCTGCTTTCCAGTTGAGGCGCAGGCGTACCCGCTACGGTATAATCGAGTCGCGAGTCGCCATATACAGAACTGCCATGGCTTGGTAGGTCCTCCGGGATGTTGCCCAAGCCCCCTCCATTCAGGAAGGCTGGAGTTTGTAGTGCATTGTTTTCTTTGCCGTTCCGTAAAGCACTGTTTCTCGTAGCACTTTTGAGTAATGGCGTAAATTCTCCACCTCCGAGTCCTGCTGGGAGATTGCGTCGATCACCCAGCGCAACACGACCTCTTGGGGTTTTGATGGCGCCGCGGCCACCCTTCCGCATTTGGTGGACTAAATTGTTCCTGTCCTTCGAAGGTGATTGAAAAGATGGTTCTTGTGATATGTCGAAGTCGAATTGCTTTGAGGTAAATGTGGTGTCTCCTACATTTGTTCGTGGCGTATCCAAACCGCCAGCTCCAGCGTGGACCATCTTGGAGATGTTGAGCACCCACGGGGCTCAAGGGGTTTGTCGTAAAAAAAAAAAGCTATAAGTTACTGTCGTGAGGATGCAAAATGCAGATGAGGATCCATGAACTCCAACGCAAAAGCAATAAGGAAGAAAGACGATGTGTTGCACCTTGTTAGCATTTTGAAGATGGGAAGTCGCGTTTTCGTTGTTTACTTACTAGAACGCGAGAACCAATAGAAATCCCGCGAAACAACAACCCTGAAGCGGGCACCAGGGGGCCCACCAAACGAGCACGGACCATCATGTGCATGCTGAATTTCCGTCAGACCATCCACTGCTCGGTCGTGAAAACAATACTTCATCGTGAGCAACTTGAGAAGAATGGACTCTAAAGGTGACTATCAAGGCTTCGACAACGGGTTTGAGGGGTTTCCCAAGCGACTTCCCGATGATTGTGTTGAATACTCATTGTTCGTCATTGATGCAAAGCTCAAGCCGCAAAAAGAGATACTGTCAAGACTTGAATATATACGAAAGGAGGGTAATAAATTAGCAGAAAGCCTGTTGAAGGAATACATATGGCAGCGGGAGGGATTTCAATTAAGTGTGAAAACCGACAAAGGTAGTGCTCTACTTCACAAGGGAACAGGCCAATATGCTAACACTACCCCAGGCATGACTTTCTTACATGGGCTTACCAATTATGGGGATTCTGTCGAAGACGAGTGGCTCATTGTATATATCCTCAAAGAGTTAAGCAACCGGTTTCAAGATTTATGGATCAAAGTGACAGATACTGATGGGGAGTTCTTGTTGATTGAAGCAGCAAATGCCTTGCCACGATGGTTGAATCCAGAAATCGCAGACAACAGAGTTAGTCCCTACCTCTTATTACTTGCACTACTTGCTAATGAATGGTAGGTATGGCTTCATAGCAATTCTTTGCGGCTTATTCCGCCCAGTGACTCACTAACACCAGCTTTATCGTCATCTCTGGACTTGGAAGAAGCTTGCAGGATAATTGCAACGAACCCATCAACATTGATACATTCGCCCTTGATCGAGGCTGAAGCGTTCTACCGGCTCCGGAATTACCCTTCTCAAATTCAGGCTTCTCTGCATCATGCTGTTGTCACAATACCGAGAAAGCTGGCGTATATATTACACGTCCGTCCAGCGTACATTGCGCCTGCTGTTGAAGCATTTTATCTCCGGGATCCTATAGCGATGAAATCATTGGGAGCATCGTCGTCGAATCACAAATTTCCAGCCGAGGACCTTGTCACTGTGTCTGTTCGACTTACCAAAGTTCTGTACGCACAAGTGAATTCCCAACAATTCTCGCCGCCCCCAGTCTGGAAAGACCAGCTGGCCAAGGCCAAAAGTTTGCCGGTTTCCGCAGGTGCGAAACCACATACGCGATTAGAAACAGGAATGAAAATCACATCGGGTGTTGAGATGCTAGTTACGGATCCCAAGAATGAAGATAATCGGAGTGTCCGAGAAATACGAATTCTCCTTGACGATCTTGCTGCTGGAGACGAGCTTCTTCCTACGGACGATGAAATATCTACGTGGGAGAATGTGCTCAGGGAGGACGATGAAAAATGGATGGATATCAACTTTGAGGATTTCGAGAGAGAATTGGATGGGAAAAGAAAAGCCCAGACAGCAGATAAACCAGGAACTTTTGGACCCCTGCCTCCTTCTGGATTTGGTGATGCGAATACTCAAGCAGATTTGAAGAAGATGGTCGAGCGGTTCGAAACATTTCTGAACAACGATGAAGCTGATATGGATGGAGTGGACGTTGATGATATGGACATCGATAACGACGATGATGATAGTGACGAGGATAGTGATGATGAGGATAAGGCGATGAGTTTCGACGAAGCTGAATTTTCGCGCATGATGAGAGAGATGATGGGACTTCCCGCGGATGAAGAAACAATCAATCCTAAATCTACCGAAACGGACCCAGGAAAGCTCAGTAATGATAGGCGTCTTGAAGAGCTAGACTCCGACGATGGGGATGAGGAGGAAGAAATTCAGAAGCTCATGAAGGGAATGGAAGCCGAACTCAACGAAGCCGGCGCATTGAATCTTAATCCTGCCCCTAAAATGTCGGGTTCGGGGACCTCGTTAAGGAGGGCGACAGATGATGGTGAACAAGAAGATAATGAATCGAGCGATGATGAGGATGTCAACATTGACTTCAATCTTGCAAAGAATCTACTGGAAAGTTTCAAAAGTCAGGCTGGAATGCCAGGCCCAGGGGGTAACTTACTAGGGTTGATGGGTTTACAACTTCCACGAGACGAGGATGACGAGCAGCAGCCAACTGTGAAGAAATCTTGAACAGACGTTGCAACTCAGTTTTGCCATTTATACTATTCAGGGTATCTAATCAGCTACATAATACCGACTCCTAAACGCCGAAACTCCTAAATCTTTTTTCTGTATGCACGCGTACCCAAAAGACGACAGAACTCCAGAACATAGTACCAAGCGTAATATTTCAGGCCGTGTCTGATTCTAGCTTTGGACGTTTTGAGGCCTCTTCGCCGAAGCCAGAGGGACTTCTGGACCTCTTCCCACCACCATCGTTCATAGCATCGGTCTTTTCCAGCTCAGCAAGGACACTCGTCAATTTCCTTCTCCCCTTGAGTTCCTTTTGACTGCTATCAGGCTGCGGCCGATAATGCTCAGTAACGATTGCTACCACAGCCTTATAACACCTGTACAACATCATCCGGACGTCCGCATTTTCCTCTCCTTCAGTCATCGTTCTACCCTCTCCTCTCCAACCCTCAAGAAAGCCTTCTGAGGGATCGGTAAAAACATCAGCAATTAAAGGGTCTCCGAAGACGCCTTGTGCCCAGGAACGTAAGCCAGTAATCTTGGCGTCCGCGGATCCGGACGAAGAGGCTTTTGATTTATCATAGGAAACCATAACGTTCGCTTCGCTTCCAATGTCAAGAATAGTGAGACGAGGCAGAGTTATGGCATCAAGATGCCAGGAGAGACGTTCGCAGCGAGCACGAATAACATCGTATGGTAACAGAACCGAGATGTCTTCGCCATCTCTCAGTATACCTTCCAGCAATGCGTTGAAGGCCTCTGACCAGGTCTTGAACCCGACTTTAGGAGCTACTGCTGGAGCTTGAGGTCCAGCTGTTGTGTTAGCATTGGGCTCTGTGAACACCCTGCTTGCAGCACCGAATGTTCCGTTCGGTGATGTGAGTGCTGCAAGGGCTTTGGTCATCGCACCGATTTGTCTGTCAATATCTCGTCGCTCGGGTCCACTGAGATGTGCTGCCAGTGTGGAAAGCGGCTGGCCAGCTGGCTCTTCGAAGATAGAGTATGGATACGCCATCTCTCGGTTGTTGCTCGAATGCTTTAACAATCTTGGCACGAGTAGCTCCAACGACATTCCTTCCTTGTTTTCACATTTTGAACCAGCACCACTTTCTCTCGTTTCAGAGCGTGATATGAAATTTATCAAGGCCGCTTCTGACGACAATAGCTGCCCTTCTTGCCGCAGTAAGCGAACTGCAAGGCTCGGCGCGAAGGAGAGAAGCAGGTTCCGTTCGTCGGACATATTCAGCTTGTAAAGACGTGTAAGTTGAGTGGAGTGGAGTTCATTAACGGCGCCCAGTGTTATGTTGGGTGCAACATGAACCAGAATGTTTTTGAGGCGACGGACGGGGAGCGAATACAAGAGTGAAGTCAGGTTTGGCCTTGATTGTCTGGCTGTTCTTGAGGTGGACATGTTGGCGTGTTATATGTTCAAAATCGAGCCGTCCGGGAAGTTCGACAAATGCAATATATGCCCGGAATTATCTTGTGGTTGCTTCAGATCATTGGTTGTCGGAAAGAAGTTATGACTTGGTTATGGCTTAACAGAATCTTGAACCATTAATCTCAAACTTCCCGTCCCGTAGTGCGAGTGCCTGCGAAGATCTTTGATGATGTGCCTCCCTTCTTAGCTACCAGCTAGTTTCGTTCGTCCCTGATGTCATTCGAGTACCGCTTTGTGATCGACTTTGAATTCGGGAGACCCAGTGGTTCGGTCGAGAGGACGAGTGAGACACCAGATAAAAGCAGTTCTTGTTGGTGGTATAACACAAAAGTTTATGAGACGATGTGCTTATAAGACAGTCAGATTATAGCCATGGCATGAAGCAAATGATATGACGAGAATATTATAAGCCAATGTGGACTTCCAAACCTTAAGATATTGGTCATACAAGACGGCACAGGGAGCGGTACGCAGCTGGAATTGAAACGAAACAAGAAAGAAAAGGCGAGGAGACCTACCCGCTATGAAGTGGATGCGGGACATTATACATCTAGGAGAATTAAGTGGCTCGGTCTCAATTTCAGACGATGCTTATTTGAGGGCCTAATAAGTGTGTCGCTGATTGGATATGCGAGGCGAAACGGGGGCTGAAGAGGAAGGTACGAAACCATCAGCTACGAGGGGTACTACTCGGCACGAGGCAGGTTATGAGTGGCAGGGTCTTGTAAGACGACTTAGACAATTCAGTAATTCCCGGAGTACTACGGCCCCGGCCCGTGTGTAAGCGTTTGACGGCGGATAGATGTGTTAGCTATTTGCATACATCGTGTAAGGTTAGCGATAGTCCGAGTATTAAACAGCGCTTATGATTCCGTACCCCCCTTTTTTGCTTCTGTAAAGACCCATAATGGCGGGAATAACCAATTATACAAATGACTCAACTAAGACGTCGCATCTAGAACCAGGCAATATTTTCTTCGGGAAGAAATGTTTGGGGACGATGTCATGTGAATCCCACAATACTTCAAAAGCGGGCTTCTCTGCATGATCCAGAAGTTCACGCAATAAGAGTCGTATTGGATGAGCGACGGGAGCAATGCACCGTCCACTTAAAATCCCCACACTTAAAGCGAACAGGTGGGATTTCGCATTGTAAGATCACCCTGAGTTCTTGGTCATCGTCACCGGCGCATGAGTAGTGGCGGTGACCTGGAACTGGGTAGATGTAGATTTCTTTTAGTCGGCGTTCTCGGCTTCAAATGCATGGCGGCAGATCAATGCTCGGTAACTTTGGAGACAATGGGAATTTGATGGAGATACCTTCTGCGCTCTTCTACTTGCGCAGTATTAGCTGTATAAAGTCACCACTCTTTAATGATACGAGAGGACGTCACTGCCTCTTAAAATACCTCAAAACAATTGATTCGGAAGAATCATCTTGCAAACCTAACAATGTCGCGGTCAAGTATAAAATCGTCAATTTTGACTTGATTTGGTTAGCTTCGCTGAACCTTACAGCAGATTGCCTTCCCGATTGGAAGATTTCTAGCGAACGTAGTCTCAGGGGTGTCACAGACTGAACTCTGGCGTCCCTTCAACGCGAACGCCTCAACGACGCCGCATACACATCATGCTCAAGAAACCACAATTAATCTGCGAATTGCTTCACATTCGTCACCATTTCCATCAATCAAATTCCGGGTAGATCTGCCACCGACTGAGCCCCATTGTGCATTTTGGAAGTTAGGATTTGTTTTTACAGCGGTTCTGTTTGACACCGCATGATTCTCTTGTCAGAAGTAATGCCACAGTCCGCGTTTCTGACATGCGGTCTTGCATGCATACGAAAATCTTCGAAAACCCGGTCAGAGTATGACCGAGGCCCAGTAATGATGACTATGGTTCCTTTCATTCACTTTTCATTTCGATGTCCAACAATGCAGATGGTGCAAAAGGGAGATGCTATCTTGGTATTGTATTTGGATATTGCAATATCCAGCCTCACTTGTGAGGGAGGCTCCCCAAGACAAGACTGAAAGCGCCACAAAGGAAAGCCTGGTATTAGTTCGGCTCCACACTGTCGGTACCAGCCGCTGTCGAAACCTCGCTTTTCTTTAAATTTTCTTGGTTGACCACCTCCTCGGACGCAGGAAGCTTTTTTGACGGTGCTGTATACAGCTCTGCCAGGTTATACCGCTTAAGGTCTTCCCAATCACCATCGACAACACTCATACCACATACAGTCTTGTCCAAGTTAGCAATCAATTCTTCACGTGTAATGTTTCACTGCATATGAATCCAAGGCTGCGGAAAAGAAGTAAGAAGAAGAAGTGTCATACCTGGTAGATCTCGACTATAATGACCTTATCGGGCTTAGTGAGGTTGACTTTGTGCATGTCGCCGATTGACGAGGCGATCTTTTCTATCACAACGTCGCGTTTCAATGTGTTGTGGTTCCTTATTGTGGGACGAATAGAGTACTAGAGGTTTGTCAGTGAGTAATGCGTCTATTTTTAGCCCTGCGCAAGCTACTACATTGCAGATATTCGCTTCTGACTTTCAATTTGGGACTGGGCTATAACTCACTGTATAACTCGGGCGTTCGGAGTTTTTGACTTCCTGTTCAGATTCTGTGTACTCTTCTTGACCATTGAGTTGGAAATAAGGCTTCAAGACGGCTGTTGTAACCTCTTCAAGCCCTTTTTCATTCGCCTTGCCCATTAGTGTCATCGGCGAGATCCGATTCACATATCTCGTCAACTTTTTGTCGGGATTCGAAGATATATCCAGTGCGATCCGGTGACATAAATCGACCGGATCTATTGACGGCTGGACTCTGAAGAACATGACACATTCAATGTCAATCCGGACTGCGGAAAATAACCTCGTGCTCTGCTTGTCTTCAGTCAAAGCAGCTGTTTCTTTCTTAATAGCAGCTTCTATATCGAGATCTTCGTCCTCCTCATCTCCACCTTCTTCAGTGAGACCGTAGAATTTCTCAGCATACTACTGAATGAGTAAGTGCATGGCCTTCTCTGGTGGTGCCGTCACCGAGTACGAACCTGGTACAGGAGAGCTTTAAGTTCAGTGGTAGCTCTTCCTTCCATTCTCCGAGCACATGTGGCCCATATACCCGCATCACCAGGTGCGATTGTACCATGCCCACGGCTGAAAGCTTCTGACTTTGCTTTATGATTTGGCGTTTGCCACTTTCCTGTGCCGCCTGGGCCGCCCTAAATGAAAGTTAGACATTGTTTAGCAAATGTTGGAAGGAAGGTCGCAATTTTATTGTGAGCGCAGCTACAAGATAAGTAACGTGGCTTTACAAAACAAAATATATAAAACTGCGAAATGTGTTGGAGCAATTGAACATGATATTGCCAAGACATTATGAATTGAGGATCCAGACATCGCCAAAATGAATCACGATGTGCAAGGACTCAAGAGCAGGGAAAATCGTACACACCTTACTACGCTTGAAGCCTCTGTCCCTATCATCAGCCGTCGGCGCTTTTCTTTTGTTTTCGGCCATGATTCAGATACCGCAATTTATAGCAGCTTTGATTTGGTTGTTTGTCACGTTTGTTGGATGAGGACGGTAATAAAAATTTGGTGGGTAGAAACTTGCTGCCTTGGTGCCTGATTTTACTTAGTGTCGAAAGGAGGAATGTTTTCCATGAAATTGTCGATTTTTTAACATGTGAATTTTGGTGCAAGATTTGCTTGTTTTTTGATGTTCTGGTGTTCTGGTGTTGATGGGGGGAGGGTTCTAAAGTGCGAAGTATACTGGTCAAACAAGTAGATTCTTGAATTCTGGAGTGCCACCTACTTCACCAATAGCCGAACTAGACATGCTCTCATGCATTTATTTTAGAACACTGAAGCGCACTCAAATTGCGAAAAATCATTCCTAATACCTAAAATAATTACTTCTCAAAGGCACCCTTATTATCAGCAACCCAAGCCTCAAACGTCTCCGGTGCCTTCCCAGTAACCTTCTCAACATCATTACCAATAAAGTTTTCCGCGCCATTCGCCGTTCCAACCTCAATCTTTGCCAAAAATCTAGAAAGATACTCCGACATACCAAAATTAACGAGTCTCTCGCAAGATTCTTGTTCAGAAATCTTCACATGCTGAATGGTTCGACCAATACCTTGACTGAGTTTTTCGGCGACTTGATCAAAGGTCAAAGGTTCAGGACCGAGAACCCTATAATTTGTCTCATGGGGCTTTGGGTCCGTCAAGAGGAAGAAACCCATTCGAGCAATGTCATTGGCGCTGATGAACGGGATTTGGCCGTCGCCGCAGGCTGAGTAGATCTTGTTTTCATTTTTGATGGTTGCGCCATGTTGCCAGGAAAGGAAGTTGTCTGGGACCAAATTAAAAGATTTTCTTATTCGCAAGGAAGTTCAAACTCACCCATAAGCCAAGTTGCTCTGAGAACTGTATATTCGATCTCGCTTTCAGCCAACTTCTTCCATACCTTGCCAACGTAGTGCCCACCAAGTTCAGCAGAGCTGCCAATGAAATATATAAATTTCTTAACTCCCTGCTCCTTTGCAAGATCTATGAACGGTGCCATTTCAGAGATGGGGTCCGCGGTATCTGGTCCTACCAGATACACTTTATCAATCCCTTCACCATTAGGAAACTTGTACTGAAATGGGTTCCTGAACGTCGCCGAGTTTGTCCAGTCGAAATCGACAGCGGGATAACTTTCCGATGAAATTGATTGCCCTTTTCGAGATGCAACTAGAAAGGGTATTTTGGAGTCCAAACAATACTTCGCAATACGACTTGCCGTCTTGCCTGTACCGCCAGTAATTAGGATCGCCATTGTTCTGTGAGATAGGTTTTGATTGAAATTTGGCGAGTTCGTTTTCGTTTTATTGAAGATGCAAGCTTTTGAATGATTTAGTGAAGTAAGTTAAATAACGAATGAAAGCTGCGACTATAAGTATCATCTCTACTTACATGATAAATGTTAGCGACGGAGTTTATCTCGCTAATATTGGCCCAAAGAGGAAATTGCAAACTCCGGGTTTCGGCTTTTAACTTATCTGGGTGTCTAGTCTGCTTTTTGAAGGCTCCGAATGAGGAAATATCTTATAACTCCGTGTTACTGGAAATCGCAATCGTTATAACCTATTGCCGGAAACAACGATTCAACAAAACTTAGGTACATTGCCACCGAAAACGATCCAGCTGGCGATAAAACTATAAGAATTCACAAAGTGCGCACTCATGTTGGTTGGTCAAAAAGGGTATAGTTTGGCAAGGCGCCTGTGGTTGGCTTGCCGGTTGTATTCAACTTACTTGCAGAATTGGTAACGGGATGGAGACGGAGCGAAACAAGTGACAAGCTCCTTTAGTGCAGCTAAGTTTATAACACTCATTGTGAAATCGAAATGAGATTACCGAGCGTACATGGTAGGCACAAAGTAGCGTAGGTATGTGAGTCCGTTTTTTGTCTTGACTGTGATTCTACTAACCGAAATTGGAAGGTAGAGCCATAGAGAACATAGCGGGTGTACAACCAGCGAGAATTAGCCTTGGCCCTTACCCTTTAATATACTAGGGCCTGGGTGAAGTTTGATCACACGAAGCGAAGTCCATAAGGCTGTATATATCCAAATTGGCCATTGGCATGGGCATCTTACGCTATTGTTGCAGTTGTACATGTACTGACAAGTCAGTCCTTTTCAGCAGATGCTTGAAGGATTTGTAGGTACAAGAAATATCCAATCAATGTTGATGAGCCCCATGGAACTTGGGACTTGGACGCAAGAATCAATCTCAGGCCATCTGGCAGGAAGCCTTGCAAGTTCGACTCGTGGAGCTCCCGACTTGTATTGGTAATAGTTAGGCTGCGGAATTGGGGCTTGATGTCGATGTCGATATCGTTTGTGCTCATCCTTGCTCATCCTGACTGTCCTCTTCGTCGCTGTCACATATCTCCGTCTTAAAAGGAGGTAACTGCGGGTATTTCACCTGCGCTGGATGAGCTTTGCCAACAAAAAGAGGTACATAATCTCCTTTCCACCACTCATTGGGCGCAGCAGCCTCGGTCTTCGATTCAGTCGATGGCGAGACGTCTGATCGCGACAAATCCTCCCATGCAGTTTTTTCGTAGAACTCAATAACATCTGGATCCATTACGGTTTTCTCTCGAGAGAAACCTGTCACGATGAGACCTTCCAAGCTTGTGACTCTAGACAACCCGACGTAAAGCTGGCCGGTCTCAAAGAGACCACGCGATGAGACTTCTGCATACTGAAGGGTCATTCCTTGACTTTTATGGATCGACAAAGCCCACGCGAGCGTCAACGGAATCTGTGTTCTTGCGACATGGTAGCGATCTTCGCCAGATATTTTAGTGGACGATTGTACAACATGTGGAATCGTCTTAGTCTGTCCATTGGCAAACCTGACTACCGGTCTCCAAAAACTGTTCATTGTCGTGAACTGATCGGCACACTCTCTCTGATAGGTGCCTTCATCGTCTTTGGAAGTCCAAGTTGTTGTGTCAGCGAACCCAACAACCTCACCTTGTGATCCATTTACAAGCCCTGACTTGGGACTAAGGTTAGACAGCAACACAACCTTAGCCCCAACCTTCAGGTTGAGATCTGTTGGAAGGCGATGATACTTCATTAAAGCGTCCTTGAATTCCTGGCATTTTTGAGCAATCATTTGACAACGAGGATCAAACTTATCCGCGTCCTCCGTACGCTTTTTGTTGGATACATCAAATGCCTTCCAGCTTCTCACCTGCGTGTTCAATCTTCCGAGTTCTCTGTTGTTGAATCTAGTGACATCATTGACAAGAGACATCAATCTTGTGGCCACAGCTTGCGGGGGTAATTCTTTTGTCCGCTCTAGCTCATCCCATTCGCTGTTTTCGAGAACCTGTCCATTCCGGATTTTGTTCAGCACACCTTGAAATCCAGTGTCCTTCTGGCGATGAATTTGCTCAAGTTTAACGAACCGAAGCTTGAGCTTGTCCCAAACTGGTGCTCTAAATGCCCATTTATCGCCCTCTTTGAATGGTGTTTGAGCACATCGCTGAGTTTTTTTCTTTTGGCACACATAACCTTATCGTGAACCATCATTTCTCCACATTCAATACAATTCTCAAAGGGCTTGACGGGTGGTAGCTGATGAAAGTCCCCTACTAGGATTACTTGAATCCCTCCGAATGGGGCATTTGACATGAGAATAGATTGTAGGAGTCGGTTCAATCTCTCTAGGAATTGATTTTCCACCATCGAGATTTCTTCGATGATGAGCACTCTCAGCCGATCTACTGCTTCCCTAGTAGACTTCCTCACATTCGCTAACAAGCGCTCCATGGGTTGTTGTAATGAGTCGGGGTTCCAGCCAGCGAATGAGAAAGTCGTTTTACCATCAAGAGGCAATGCAGCTATACCTGTGGGCGCGACAACTTGGACACAAGGATGATCCGAATTGTTCTTTGACTGATAACGCTTTTGGAGCCGCCTAATCATTTCCCGCAAAGTCACTGTCTTACCACTTCCGGCCGCTCCAGTCAAAAATATATTTGCTCCTGTTAACGCCATATCTACTACAGCTTGCTGTTCAGACGTCAGCTTAACGGAAGCCGGTTCCTCGCCATTTGCAAGTTCTCCTTTCTGCAAATACGTGGGATCGCTAGGTTCAAGCTTCAGCTCTGGGGATTTATTTGGCTTGGCAATCTCTCGTGTTGTTGCATTCTGATTGCTTTTCTTATATCTTGCCGGTTCAGACGCGGGCTCCAATGGGCTGGGAGTATTCATGGCCTCGAAGTTCCGCTTGCGAGATGATGCTTGATGTTCTTTAGGATCAAACAGATCAATGTTCTTAGTCAGAAGATCTTGCGCGGGTAATCTGTCTGGAATCTCGAGGGGCGTCAAACTCGGTGTCCACTGGGTTGATCGTCTAAACTCCTTCCAAGCTGTTCTTGCTTCAGCTGCACTTTCAAACCCCTTCTGACTATTGCCCGGATATCCATGGATCTGCGCTTCGCACTCCGACCAGGAGGTAAACACGCCTCTTGTTCGTCCGATAAACACAACATAAGCTGCTTTCGTGGACCTCTTCCTTCCCATCAATACGTTCGTGCACAGTCGGTTTCCAAGTTTCGTTGTCGTCAAGCGCGTGCTATGCAGATACTATAGAGTCAGCTTAATGGAACAGCCCAGTGGGTAGAAAGCAATTTACAAGCATCAGATATCGCGCATTTCACACAGCACATCTCGTACATGCATTGACAGTTTTTGGTTTCCAAAGCTCATTCATGGCCACAGATAACGCGACAAAACACGGGCCTATGTCGGGTTTAAGAAATCGGCCCACTTTTCTGGTAACGCCGACATAAAGAGCACTGGCCAACTAAAATTCGGCGTTTAGGATTGAGAAGACGGACAAGACAATCAATTTTATCGAAAATTAGATGAAGAACATATGAGGACAGATCAATGGGTTAGACACATGAGCATGGAGTACGCACTGCTACAATACTAGTTTCTCTTCACAGTCACAGCGGCAATCGAGCTAGTGAAAACCCGAATTGATAAAGCTATGCCTTATGTGGATATCATCACTTGCGGCAATCTTGTTGTGGTTCTCGATAATATGAAGGCAGCTGTATCTCTAGTTATATCTCCATGATGCCGACACCATCGAGTTATCACAATGTTTTCCGAGTCGCGAAGCCTGGCGTGTTGAGCTCCGATTCTTCCATCCCCAAAAGAAATCGTCAATCCTTGTCCTGTACGGCTTGTAAGACTCGAAAGTTAGTAATAACTCCTTCATTTGTTTGAAATGGTGGAAGGGCCTAAGAACTCACTCAATCACCAGAACAAAGTGTGATCGTCTTCAGCCTTGTTCTTCGTGCGTAAACCGTGGACACGAAGATGCTACATCGTGTGTATTTTCCACCGGCAAGCCGAACAGGAAGCGGACTACTCACGACCTCGACCCCAAAGAGTCAACTAATGTCGAAGCTCAACTTAGGTTGCAGAAGATAGAAGATATGGTGAATGATCTTCTACATAAATCGCAGCAAGGATCAAATGAAAGCAATAACTTTCCCCTACAGAAGAGCTTGGATGTCCAGTCACCGGACTCGTCTACTGGTGGCCCTGGCAGCCACGCTGCGATCTCTTCCGTGGAAAAGGGTCATTTTGATATCAGAGATTCAGGAACTAGGTATTTTGGTGCTACAAGCTGGACAGCTGTTCTCGAAAGTGTCAGTACAGCTTGCCTCGCAGTGCCCAGACTTATTTGACAAGTGTAATCATAGATTCGCGATGTCAAACATGTGCTTGACATGGAGACAGAAGACGAGATTATAGAAGAGAGTCTTTCGAAAAGTCCAGAAAGTCTACCGCCCGATCTAGTATTTGATACCTCTCAGACCTTGACTATTCAGGAACTTTGTGCCTCATTACCACCCAGAATTGTGGTTGACAAGCTTCTATCTGCGTACTTTAATGCGAAACACAACCAAGGATGTAAGTATTATCGATCATTTATTTGCGGTAGTCGCTCACCTCTTTAGCAATTTTACACAGCGCCAAATTTTTAAGAGAGGTACGTTTGGTCTTCTATTCTCAAACACCTCAACTCAACATCAACTGATCAATTTCTGTTAGTACGAAGCTTTCTGGACCAACTCGTCCCCGAAAACTTTTCTCTGGATGTCTGTCCTCTTCTCGACATTATATATTGGCTCTCGTGTTCTTGAGATGAGTTCCCAGGACCTCGGCGTGCCCTTGCCTGACCCAGATGCGCTTGTGAAGAAAGCCGGACAGGCATTGGTAGCTGGGAAGTACCAAAATGGATTACCTTATTCAATTGAAGCGCTACTAATCTACACCACCTGTAAGCACATGCAAGATGATGACTGCGAAAAGAATTTGTGGGTTCTCATGGGGATAACTGCACGTCTTACTCTCAGAATGGGTTACCACCGAGATCCAAAAGCTCTGCCTAACATATCTCCATTTGAAGGAGAGATGAGAAGAAGAGTCTTCTCTCATGTGGTAGTGATAGATTTGCTTCTCTCATTTCAAGCTGGATTGCCTCCAGTCATACAAGAAGACGAGTGCGACACTATGGATCCAAGCAATCTGCTTGATACAGATTTTGACGAAGACTGTAAAGTACTTCCGCCATCACGACCTCCTAGTGATCCCACTACAATGCTCTACTACTGTGAAAAAAGCAGAATGGCTAGGCTGTTAAGGCGAGCAGTACGCCATGCCCTGTCACTCAAAAACCCACCATTCAAAGAAACCATGCAGATTGACCGAGAAATCAAAGATGCACATCTCTTGGTTCCTCAAAGTCTACGTATGAAACCAATAGGATCCTCAGTGGTAGATGAGGCATATATGATACTCCACAGATTGAACCTTGAGTTACTCTACCTTCGAAGCACATCCGTCCTACATCGGAAGTACCTGAGCTACGAACGCAGCAATCCTAAATATAGCATTTCCCGAGCAACTTGCCTAGAAGCAGCTCTCACAGTTCTAGGTTACCAAGCCGATTTGCACCATGCCTGTCAACCTGGTGGTCAGTTGTACAATGACAGGTGGATGACTTCTAGCCTCATCGCCTATGACTTTCTTCTGGCGGTCATGATCATCTGCCTTGAATTGTACGAATCGCGGAATGAATCAAACATCGATACTGAATATCGAAGGAAGCAGTATGGGGCAGTAAAACAGGCTCATGAGATATGGCGTTCCAGAAGCTCGGTGTCGAAGGAGGCCAAGCGGGCCACGACTGTCATTGCGTCGTTGCTATCAAAGGTTCAAGAGCCAATTGCGACAGACGAAGCTAGAGTCACAAATACGATATCGACAGCGAGCGAGTTCTCAGGTCAACTTCTGCCGTTGCACCCAGAGGTGCCATCCTATAGTAACTATGAAGACGCTGCAAATACTATTACGCAGCCAGGGCACGACCTTGACTCAGTATTTTCTGCATCTGAGAATATAGATTGGGTAAGTCGCTCGTGAAACTTCCTACTGAAATAGTATCTGACGTTCACAGGGGTTTGTCGATCAATATCTAATACAACATGGAAACGTCAACCAAGACCCGTCATATGAATGGCAGTTCTGAATAATATTGAGAGCCGAAGGTCTGGCTATTATTCATATAGGCTGTGGAATAAACTACACCGGTGCTCATTGACTTTCCCTTCGCGGCGCCCGGGCCACCCTGTCCTATTCACAACTATCAGATGATTGACATTGAGCAAACGTATATTCATTCTTACCACTAGGCAAAATGAGATACAAACCACACTCGAGATGACAAGGGTACATATGAATAGACATGTTGTTCATATAAAGTACCTATCACAACTAAAACACTTTAATATGCATCTACGCTTCTTATTGTCTATAATCTATTATCTAATCTCATCTCCACTTATGTATTTAATATTACATCCATATATCTCATACTCGATACACCATCCTTAGTAGTATCTCTCTTCCAAAAACACGAAACACTTGATACCATGAAATATTCTATCTCAAACTCCAACGCCAATATAATAAGAAATCTCTCTCCAAACGCCTGATACTATCACACCCTGAACACTAAAACCCCTTAAAACTCAGCCAGAGCCATTCCCTGACTACAATATAAAGTCCTCAGACTTCGAACGTCGTGCAAATCCGGAAGCAGACTTGTCGGGTTCATCTTTATGTATTCTCTCTTCTTCCTTTTGGACCGCTTCTTGTCGGCGTTGAGCGAGAATAGCTTTTTCTGCCTCCTTGAGTCCTACGACTTCTGGGTCGTCACATTCATCCCAGAACTTCTGGCCAAGCCTCTTTTTTGAGGCAGCAACGACCTCCAGTACGATATCTTGGTGGTCGAGTGAGATGATAATTTCCGGTTTGATGTCCGTGTCTCGTTTGTTTATCGCTTCGACAGCGGTGCGGGCTTTCTTTAACTTCTCTTCGTTTACCGCAACTGCTAGAACAGACTCTGGAGTTCGTGTTGGGTGGTAACAATTTGCCATCTCGGTGACGTTTGACTTCTGATAATAAGGGTCCAAACCTGACTTCTTGGGAGATGATGGTTGACCGGCAGACATGTTGATAGCGGTGACGAATTTTGACGTATGTCTAGTTTTTTATTTCTTGAGTTTCTGTTTATTTTGTTTGTATTGTAAAGACTTTTGACAGGAGATAGAATCTAATGTATTGTATTTGGTTGTTGTTGTTGTTGTTGTGAAGAAGAAGAGATCAACCAGTTCAAGCAGATATTTATACAGTTTCTCGCCGGTCATGAACGTGAATAACTGAGGAGAAGCGTGGTTAATCACATTGGGAAAGCTCCTTGAATCATGTATAGATGAGGAAGATGAGTGAGGGGTAAGGTTTTGTAACACTCAGTGTCGTACGGTAGACCGACTATTCATAAATATTCTTAGAAAGTAAGCGAAAGTAGCATCAATCGGCGCGAATATGTTCTTTGGATGACATATGGAGAGTAAATAGGTCGTTGATCACATCGAATTTGATATTTAAATGAATTGATTGAATAGAAGATGAGTAAAGTGATATTGTGAGAGCATTCATCAAGCATTAGACATAATTATGATTATGCGCGGAAAACGTGCTTAATGACCTCTAAATTCTCTTTGAATCATAACCAGGCGAAGAATGATTGTGTTAGGAGGGTAGATTAGTAACAATCACAAATCATCGAAGAGGGTAACTCTATGAGTAGGCGAAGCAAGTGTGCCTAGTCACCTTAAAACTACGTTTTCAGTGACATATGGCTTGAGAGTCTGAGTAGAAAGACAAATTGATAATATTCATCGCATCACTATCATTCAATCGTGTTCATCGTCCAGTCCTTGAACAAGATTTTGGCACCCGTTATGCAAAGACATCACATGTCTCATGCCTGTTAATGAGACCTCGGAGCAGCATTTCAACATTCATTCTAACTAATTTATAGCAAGAGAAGTTTTGCAATGCTAAACTACCCTCGAGATTGCTGGAAGTAGTGTATGGTGTTCCATGGTATCTCTTCTCTAACATCACAAGACTTCTCTGGCGGCCTTTTGTTTTCAGCGTCATCAGCTTCCATATTCAGACAAACAGCTTGAGGCAATGCTAGTGGGGCCGACCGTAATAAGCCATACACTCAAAATCAACGCCTAGGGTATCCTACTTTTGATTCTACGTGATATATACATCATCTATTAACTTCTATTTTCGAGATCAACTCTCCCCCAAGTCTCGCAATTTCCGAAAGTATTGCTGATTTATCGATTTCGACGTTCTCGGGCTCTGCTTCTTCTTGCCCGTCAGAGACTTTTGTGGCATATGCAAGGTTGATTTTAAATGGCCGCGCGGATACAGTCTGTGGATTCCAAAGTCCACCTATATGTAATACTGCTCCGGCCCCGTGGAAGAAGACAACACTGCTGGTATATGCTCCCTTCAACTCTGATATAAAAGCTTGCGTAGGATCATAGCCAACGCCCTCAAAACTTCCCTCTGATTGAACAACGAGATTCTTGTATTTCCCTGTGGATGCTGCTTGTTTCTTTCGATCAGCACTGAATTTCGGTGAAACTTGAATCACAAAATCGTAATCAGAAGTCGAAGTGACAAACAAAGATCTGGGATCTAGAGACAACCCTTTATCCTTAGCTAGTCGGTACGCTGAGCTTGCCAGAGATGTCATCCGAGAAGCTCCGACCTTTGAAGGACCCTGATCTGTAAAAGCTACACCAGTAACATCATGATTGGATGCAGCGAAAACAACAGTTCGATTCATCCCTGGATCAAGCTTTCTCCACGCTTCGAGTCGCGTATTTGCTGAGGCGACGTCCTTGTTAGTCATAGTGCCCGTGAAATCAACCACTAGTGGCTGATGCCGCCAATCCCAACGTTCGATAAACATCAGTGTTCTCAAGAACCCGGCCATTACTGATGACGGAACGCGCCACGGGTATGGCAACATAAACATCCGTGAGACAATAAGTTCAATCAGCTCATCGTTGATATGAGCTGAGAGCATATGATGATCAAACCATAGCTTCACTAATCGAATCGTGGGCGACAATAGTGGAAACCGTGTACAGTGGGTGGAGATAGATTGCGTCAAAAGAGGCAGTTGAATAAATGTTCTTTTGTATGACGATAAGGCCAGTATTGCATCTTCTCGAGTTCGGGAGTCGGTATACTTGTCTTTGAGTATATGCTCCAGAAGCGTCTGTTCCCTATCATGGTGAATCCGTAATCTAAATATTGCCCCCGAGTCATACCTGACGTCCAAAAATGCACAGTTTTGAAATTTACTTTCTTCGTTCTCAAGACCGACGCGAGTGTCAATGGCGTCGTTAGCCTCTTGTAGCTGAGCGCCAATCTTGAGCAAAAAAGCTATCTTGGTTCTTTGAATAGCGACGACATCATCGGGCCATCTGCCCGATCCTTCGAATTGAATGAGAACATTAGCTGGCGTTTTCAGCGGAGTTGACGACCCGAAAATAGGAGGTAAAGTAGATGAACCGCGCAACTGAGGATCGATCGCAGAAAGCTGCCTGAGCTGAAGTGGCAACCCTTCTAAGTCCCGAATATCTTTCTCAAAGCTTAAATATGCTTGTTTGAGATTATCAAACGCCTTCGAGCCTGAGTCAGAGAAAGGGACGAGTTTACTGAAACTATCTCCAATAAAGATCATTTCTTCGCTGATTTCTGAGCCAAAATGCCGGCTGATGAGATATGTGACTATCTCGTTGAAAATAGAATAGGTGGTTCTGGAATTCCAGACCAAAGTTTCTAAAATACTTCCATCTTTGAATCGTCGTAATTCTGCTTTGTCACCCCAGAACTTCTGAAATTTGGCAGCCTTCGATTTTTCATCCGCTGAAGGGCCGTGATCAACAGCACGATCAACTGTGGCCGGATCGAAAACAAAAGATACCAGAATCGGTTCTTCTAATGTCGGAACACTAGATTTGGTTGACCATTTTCGAGGCGCTGATGTTGCGACTTGAATCAATTTGACCCTGTCCATAAGACCTTCGGATAAAACACTGAAGATACGGCGAGCGTGCATCGCAGTAGGTGAAAAGTGATCGCAATCTGTGGAACTTGCCGGTGTCCTTTTTGACATCGGAACACGAAGAACGCAGTCATATCTCTGCAGTGACTCTGAGACATTTAAGACAAAGGTAGCCTCGAATTGGTCGAAGGTCTCGTTACTGAGCATTTCCAAGGATATTTGAGCTTCATCACGTAAGAGGGCGTAAGACCATGCAGTCATTTTGTAGAGGAGATTATGTCCGCGAGGCCCGTCGAAAAAAACTGGGGCGTCTGATTTCGAAATGTTGACGTCGCCACAATCATACATGAAAGGTTTGTTGGCCATGTCTCCTGTGGCGATGAATTGTAGCATGGCTTTGAACATCTGGTAGCTGCTGTACCCAGGAGAAAGCACGCTGTGACCCTTAGGCCCCCCTCCTTTCAAAAGAAGAGCCATCAAGGAAGCCCATTCAAAATTTCCAAACCCGCCTCGAGAAAGAGACCCTCCTAGGTTCCGTTTATGTAACCAAATTCTCCCAAGGACGACTGCATCTCTGAAGGCCTCAGACTGTTTTGTAGCGGAGTGAAGAACCTGAAGATAAGGTTCATAGTTCGCATCGGAGAATAGTGAAGAATTATAAAAGGGTGTCGCTGGAAGCGGTGCATCCTCTGCACCATCTTTGGGCCGTACGGAATTCTTGCTTGGTAACAATTTTGACTTGCTAAAAAAATTCGCCGGTGCAGCTGGGATTATGTTTATCTCGTATCTGGAATGGGCCTTTCCTTCAGCTAAATGTGTAATCAGTATCTACGTTTTGTTGTGGGCAGTCAAAATGCTTACCTGGCTTTGAAGTAAGGCATAAAATCGGATGGAGGTCATTATCATTCAGATATCTGAACTTTATTATGAACTCATCCTGTATCGCTTCCAGCAACCCAGCAGCAATACACGCAAGATAGTAGGCTCTCTTGTAGAAATATCGATAGTTCAGATAGTCCTTCTCTTGTAATATCGAAGCCGGCATGATTACCACCATGTCAATAGATGGCAAATATTCCGCGTCAACCACCTTCGATATAGTTCTGAGCGGGTAACTGCCTACGACGTTGATATTCGAAGGCTTCTCGTATGAAAATTTATATGCAGCATCTTTATCTGGCTTTGGAGAAGGAAATGGAATGGTAATTTTGTGTAATTTTTGGAGACTCTTGGTGGCTTCGGTAACCTGGTTGTAGGTTAGCATGTTGCGTACTCGAATTCGACATGATTGTCATATACAGAAAGAGGTTTTCGAGAATCGATAGACTCAATTAGACTCTTGAGCTTGCTCAATGTTTCGTTAGCTTTCGCAAACACCTTTTCGTAGTTGGGCCTCGAGTCTTCCAGCAGATAATCGACTTGAAACTTGAACGCGCTGGATTTGAAAAGTCCTCCTGAATAAAGCGCCGCTTCTCCATCGTTTCCTGTATGTTTTGATTTAGACTGCGCCTGTGCAGGTCTTGTCTTGGAGACAGGTGCATATTCCTCGATGCTTGACGCATTGTCGGACGCTTCGTCGTCATGATCTTGATCGTTCGGCACCTTGTCAACTGGTTTGTGATCAAGCTTGCGTCTTTTCGGCGATGCGGGAGACATGGTGAGGATGTGGATTGTTGAGAGGAAGAATCCTTCTTAAAATGTCATTCAGGACCACTGTCGCATTCTCGTCTGCTCCCAACTTTTTCTGCAGGGGTCTGACAGTAGTGGAAGCTAAATGCGTGGAGGGGTGGCCTTAGAGGGGTCGCTCTTATTCGTATCAGCCATATCGGGGTTGTCGCCGATAGCCGGAGGTTCCACTTCAATTGTGTGACTGCGAAGGCAATTTTTCAAACTTGACTTGTTCTTGCAAATTGAAAGTTATCAACCGGCTTGCTAGAAATAAGCAATATAGTTGCGTTTCACTACACCCAAATGGCTAACATCATTGAACTTGGAGAGTCGGTGCCTGCTCTTACACCACATGTAAGTACCATCTTCTTGACTACTGACAGTTCAGATCTCCATCACTTGGAAGCGAATTATAAGAAAAAGAAGCACTAATCAGCCAGACAGGCAGCAAGTGTTTCTTTGCCAACATGGAAGGACAACGTTGGATATGAGGAGGGCGATCCTGCAGTTGTTGATAAAATGACTACGGGATATCCACGGTTAGATTTTCACATGGCATTCCTACTATCGAAAGCTAATTGCGGTCATTTACCAGATTTTTTATACACAAGTCAATTGAAGCTTTTGCACAAGATATTGTGAAGAAATTCGGAAAAGGCGACCAGTTGGCAATGCTTTTCCCCACTCACCGCGCAGCTCAGAGATGCGTCGGATTCATGCACTCAAGAGACCCTACGATATCTTTCCATGAATTAGGAATTTTTGGGCTTGTATTGGACAGAAGCAAGTCTATTTCCAAATCACTCGCTAACGTCTCACCTTCAATTTCGGCCGTGATCTACCACAAAGATCATTTTCCTATCGCGAAGCAGTACTGGCAACACTCGGGCGACGGGGTTTCTAGCAGGCGTGCCGAATTTTGCCATGGGCTATTTCAAGAAGGAGTACTTGTTGATGAGAGGAGTCTTCAGCCCATAATTAATGGTTCTAATAGGTCAAATGAGTATCAAAAATCCTGCAAAGGTCCTAGAAGATATCAAAAAGCTTCTATAGACTCCACTCCCAAGAAGGGCTTGGCCGAGAAGTCAAAAACACCCGCGGAACCCGAGAGCCGAGAGAGTTCTCAGTTCTTGGAGGAAAGATTTGGACGTAATCTTGATGTTTCGTTGGTCGACAATGCAAGATCTGCTGTGAGAAGGCGTATTGCAGGGTCTCTAGTTGGAGAAATTGAACTGACTCAGACCCTACGACCAGAGACACCTTCAAATGCGCGCGGTGTGGCGGGATTATCTGAAGACGATGTCTACTTGTATCCATGTGGGATGAACTCGATATTTAATGCACATCAGATGATGATGGAAGCGCGAGGGCCATTGAAAAGTATTTCCTTTGGCTTCCCTTACGTCGATACACTTAAAATCCTGCAGAAGTTCGGCCCAGGCTGCATATTTTACGGTAATGGATCATCAGAAGACCTAGACGATCTTGAGGCGCGTCTCAAGTCGGGCGAGAAGTATCTCGCTCTTTTCTGCGAATTCCCTGGGAACCCTATGTTAAAATGTCCAGACCTTCAAAGAATCCGCCGGCTGGCTGACACGTATGATTTCGGTGTGGTGGTCGATGAGACCATTGGCAATTTCGTCAATGTACACGTTCTACCATACGCAGACTTAGTTGTTACCAGCTTAACAAAGATCTTCTCTGGGGATTGCAATGTTATGGGTGGTGCTACAATCATCAACCCTAAAGCGAGATATTACCACGCACTTAAAAAGGTCATGGAGTTGGAGTACGAAGACAACTATTGGGTTGAGGATATTATTTTTATGGAACGAAATAGTCGCCATTTCGTATCTCGGATAGAGAAGATAAACGACAACGCCATAATGATTTGCGATATTCTCCGGAGTCACAGGCTCGTCAAGGACTTATATTATCCCAAATACAATTCTTCAAAGGATTGTTATGACGCTTGTAAAACGCCAAAGGGTGGGTATGGTGGTCTCTTGTCGTTCGAGTTCCATACCAAACCACAAGCTATTGCATTTTTTGATCAGATAAGAACAGCGAAAGGACCGAGCTTGGGAACCAACTTTACCCTGGTGTCACCATATGTACTCTTAGCACATTTCACGGAGCTTGACTGGGCAGCACAGTTTGGTGTGCCAAGCGACCTAATACGGGTTAGTGTTGGGCTGGAAGATGGAGTAGACTTGAAGAATATCTTCGCTGATGCGTTGAAAGCCGCCGAAGAAGTTACATCTAGAGAGAACTGAGCTTCAAGTCGGATATCCTTTACCATTAGCATCAGCATCAGCACTAGACAGTTATGAACTTAATGAAGGAGATGAGATATCAAAATTAAAATTGAATGCAAAGCTTCAAGAAATTACGGGCTCTTCTGTAGTCGTATGCGACGTGTTAAAAAATATAAACTCAACAAGTCCATTCTGTCTGTTCTAACGATACCTGAGATTTAGAAAGGTTCCATCAACCATGGTTTTGTTAAAGCCGAACAGTACATCACGTGATATGTTTAGGGCACATCGGCAAATATTCTAAATTCAACGAGTTCCAAAACCAAACCTCAACCACGAACTTTTTGCACCTTCGCGATCTCCGCTCCACAACCTCACCACCGACTCTCGACGTCAAAATTGCAATATGGGGGTTCCCTTTGATTACGCGCCCGACCGTCCAGAGCATATCGATGCTATCCTTAACGGATTAGATCGATACAACCCGGAGACAACCGCTGTGTTTCAAGAATATGTCGTCCAGCAGTGCGATCAAAAGTTCTACGATTGCTACGCAAACCTTGCCCTACTAAAGCTGTACGTTCTCTTTTTACTCATGTCTTTGCGCAAAAGACGATGTTATGTGATGATCGTTTTGTAAACGTTTCCTATTACCTGAATAGGCATGGAGAATGAATCCCTCCAGCCCTTGAAGTTTATTATTAGCTCTATCTGAAAGAACATCTACGCATTGGACTTATTTAGCGAGAACGGAATATTGAAGTCGGATCGCTAATGTTCTACGAAATACAGATACCAATTCAACCCCCACCTGACCAAGGACGAGACAATTACGAACATCCTCGTTAAATCTCTCACAGTCTTCCCATCACCCGACTTTTCACTAGCCCTCCATCTGCTTCCACCTCATATCCTTACACCAGCCTCTGCTTCTTCTGCTCTCCCAGCAGCTGGTGACGCGCCTCTCTCAGAAGCCGTTCAGAAATTGAACGTGCTCAACAACCTTCTCGCACAAGCTTCATATGCTGCATTCTGGAGCACATTAGATAGCGATGATCTATATGCAGATTTGACCGCTGACGTTGCCGGCTTTGATGAACTTATCCGCATTAGAATTGCGCTCACCATATCCCAATCCGTGAGAGAAATCGAGCGTTCAGTGTTGGAATCTTGGTTAGGCATGCAAGGCGACGCTTTTGACAAATTCGTCAAGGATGTCTGTGGGTGGGAGATCGAGGGTACGGTTGTGAAGGTCCCACTAAATAAGGAAAACGAAGCAAAGGGTACTGTTGTGAGAGAGAACGTGAAGATGGAACAGTTCTCAAGGGTCATCAGAAGGGCCTACGAGCAACCTGCGTAGGTTATAGCCTGACACCTGAACTGTTTATGATACAAATGCATGGCATGGCACGGAAGGCTTGGTTGGATGGCGTTCAAGAGGCGTTCGGTTTTGCATCAGTCTCCAGAAGAGACAAAATTTTTGCTCTTTCAAGGAGCAGCAACCAATGGCCGCCAAACTCAAAAGAGAGAAAGGCTCAACAGCGTCATAGCGCGAAAAGAATGTTCATACTTAATACCCAAAATATTTACGCATTTCCACCATGCTGTGCCTGTTTCGGTCCACGCTTTTGTCGTCTGAAACCCTCGAAAGCTAGGACGCTGGGATTTTCCAAAAACCTGTGTATTGGGCGTCTCTCTTACTTAAAGTTACCAGGGTAATTATGTCTTCCAGTACTCAAAATTCCAAGCTGCTCACTTACTCTGAGTTACACTTCTGGATCATTTGGCTTTTAATTTATTCCGAAATGTCTGTGATTGGCTACAGCGGAATACCTTCGCAGCCTTGCGCCTCGCTTGGAAAATAATTTATTTGCCCCTCCATTTTTCGACCCCGCCATAGACATATTGCTCCGTAAAAGTACGACCTATCTGGTGGCATCCATTTTGAACATTTATGTAAAATGGCGCCTTATGATAGTGACTCCGATGATGGCGACGATGCGGCGAGTTACACAGAAACCAATGTCTTATTAGGGTACGCGGCCGAAGAACCTTCGGATGATACAATCTCGTACTTGGGAGGAACACCCGTAAGTTTCTCCTTCCTCCTGCTTTCAGAATTTTCCTAAACGATGCACGTAGTCATGGATAAATGACGAGACGCTTCCGTCGGCGACACTTGCGAAATGCAAGGTCTGTAACGATTTCATGGTCCTCCTCCTTCAACTCAACGCCGATCTCCCAGAACAGTTTCCCGGACACGAACGAAGGTTATATATTTTCACATGCCGAAGGAAAACTTGTAGGCGGAAAGAAGGAAGTGTCAGAGTATTGCGAAGTTCAAGAACATTTGCCGCGCCGAAGAAAGTGGTGCCAAAGAAGGAGGAAGTGGAGGAGAAACCAAAGGTCAATATTGGAGAAACATTATTTGGGTCAAAAGGAAGCAGTAGTGGAAACGCGAATCCATTTTCCATGGGAGGAGCAGGCGGCAAAGAAAATCCGTTTTCAACAGGTGTGAAAGCTGGGGGAAGCAGCCACAACTCCTCAAATCCATTCGCGAAACCAACACCCTCAGAACCCCCAGAAGCAAAAGACCTACCCCAAACATTCGCCGAAAAGCTCAACATAAATAACCCCCAACAAACTCATGGTCCACCTCCTCCGTCCGTACCCTGGCCAGAGCAATCCTCCTTCCCAACACCCTACCCAAAACTATACCTCGTAGACGCCGACTACGAGATCCTCGACCGCACGCCAGAAATCGCACAGAACATCACCGTAGGAACGATGGACATTGAAAGCGAAGGCGCCAGCGGCGGCAAAGAAGATAAAGAAGTATTCGAAAGCGAGATCGACAAGACGTTTCAGAAATTCGCGGATCGCATCGGCTGTAACCCAGAACAAGTCCTCCGCTACGAGTTCGTTGGCGCACCGCTGCTGTATTCGAAGAAAGATGCTGTGGGCAAGATGTTTAGCGAGGGAAAGGGGAAGGGGGGAGGGATGCCGAGGTGTGGGAATTGTGGGAGGGAACGCGTGTTTGAGTGTCAGTTGATGCCGCATGCTATTATGGAGTTGGAGAGGGATGAGATGGGGGTTGATGGGATGGAGTGGGGGACGGTGGTTGTGGGGGTTTGTAAGGGGGATTGTGTGCAGAATTTTGTTAAGGAGGGGGAGGTGGGCTGGATGGAGGAGTGGGTTGGGGTGCAGTGGGAGGATGTTGGGAGATGAGATAGATTTGTTGTGATGAGTTATTTGAATGGTCGGATAGTGTCCAAGTTACGAAAATTATACCAACCATTTCCCCGTTCATCCAGCTGATTCCATATTTCTTCTCTTCTGTTCGTCGTTTACACTTTTTGAACACGCTTTCTCGAGTACGGGAGAGCTTGATACCATAACTAGCAGCATTCCAGGCTTCTATAAATATGTAGAAACAAAACTTGTATATGTCTTAAACTTTCCTCGAACCTCGATACCTAAGAATTATGTCTAGATACTCAAATTACCATATGAGCACATTCGTCCGTACTTAAGCTACCCTGTCGAATAACTTCTCTTAATAATAACTCAACACTATTACGTCTCAGCAATATTCTTCTCTCGTTTTGATGACCCGACAATCCACAGTAGCAAAGGTGTGTTAAGGCCTACACTCTCTTCAGAGACCCAATTGGCTGGCCTGTAATAGTGAAAGGGTCTGGGACTTTGGCTAGAACGGCAGAGACTTGCAACCTGAATAAGTCCGGCTTGAACATAGCTAGTACTCAGCCTCAGAAATCTCTCATAAATAGTGGTATTGACAATATTCAATTCTCATTATACTTAACCCCGCTCCTCCATGCCTCCAGCCACCAGTTAAAACATATCACCAAGCAAATGAAGCGCGCCCACGCCTACGCTCCCAAGATTCCCGAAACTCAAAAGCCAAAAATAAGTACCAGATCTCTATTGAGAAACGTTGGATATCATCAAATAAAAGTACAAGCATCTTCGAAATGTACATCATAAGCAATCATCAAGGTTACACGCATATTCGAAAGTCTCGCTCGTCGCCTAAAAGACATAGTTGATGGTTCGTCGCTCGAGGTTCTAAGACACGAAAGAGTACAGCTGCTAATTACGCAGTGGAGTAAGAATACACACGTCTAGTATGCACCACGGATCTTGGCGTATAAGTCAGTGTCAAGGAAGTTGTAATTCGGATCAATCTCGCAGAAAGGATGACGTGAGAGGAGAGTCTCCGCAGTTGGTCGCTCGGTAGGAACACTAAACATGGTCAGCTGAATTTGCAGGGTATAAAGGATCAGAGTGTACTTACATAGTCCAACAATCAGCCATGAAAGCAACTGCAATCGGACTAATGGTTTGAGCCACATCATCAGGAATCGGTGGGGCCTCGTTCAGGCTACCAAGCTTGTATATCGCACCAACGGTCTCTTCCTTACTCCATGGTCGACGACCCGCGAACATTTCAAGGACAACACAGCCGAGAGACCAGATATCGACCTTTGCAGAGTATCCTTCTTGAGATCGGACAACTTCCGGCGCCATCCAAAAGACAGAACCCTGCATATTGTTGGTGGCGTCATTGCCGTAGATATTATCAGTCTTTTTGGAAATACCGAAATCTGAAATCTTGCAAGTGCCATCGAGATCTAGCAAGATGTTGTCTGCCTTCAGATCACGGTGAAGAATACCTTCTCGGTGGAGATAGGACAATCCGTCCAGCGTCTGGCGCGTAAGAGAGCTAACAACTTGCTCCTCGAATTTTCCATGCTTTCGCAAACAACTCCCCACACTACCACCAGAAATATATTCCAGGAAGATACTGATGGATGTTTCCTTCCGCTCGCAACCCAGGTACTGTACGATATTGACGTGGTCTAGATGCTGCATGGTATCAATCTCAATATCAAGAGCAGCAACCATCTCGCGCATCTTCTCCTTGTCGCCTGCAGCAGCCTTGGCATTGACCTCAACTTGCTTCACAGCCAAAAATTCTCCAGTAGTAGCATTCATACCCAAATACACCCTTCCATATGTACCCTTCCCGATCAATTGTCCCTTGAACCAACGGAAGGTTGCTTGACGCTTAGGGATCGTATCTTGTGGAATTTTGGGGATAATCATGCTTCCCCGCTGAGGCTTAATTTGAACGATATTGGCTCCGAACATTTTTGTGCTCTTCCGTCGAAGAATACTACTGCTTGCTGCATTTCCGTTTCCTGGCATAGGCGCTATGCTGGTCGTGAACCTTTTGTTGGCCTCATGAGCCCCTCTTGCTACCTCACGAATAGACTTCATACGACCTAGACCCCCGGAACGACGAACGTTTCGCTGAGCAATACTTTGAATTGAACCGGGTCTCTCCAACGCTTTTAGAGTCGACTCATCGGAGCCTAAAGTATCGCTATCATTGTATGAAGAAGTGCGCATGGAATTCATTCCGGACGGTCCAGCAAGTGTTAGTCCGGCCTGCGCAGCCGCTAGCTGTTCAAGCGTAGAGTTCTCTGCAATGGGCGAAATTGGCGGAGAGCTACTGACTCCTTCCTCAAGAACTGGTTCATCCAAATCGAGGTTGGGGAAGAAATCATCAAGATGATTGATAAGTGCTTCGGCTGGAGGTCTATTTGCCCAAACATCTTCCCTCGCAAATGATTCTCGACGAAGGAGTTTAGCATTCATCTCATCTGAATCGGCAGACCACGCCTCAGATGCAGAAGAGCCAGGTGTCCTACGCTGCGGTCTTCGAGTAGCATTGCGGGTGGCGCCATCATCATAGTCGGGCGCCTTGGAATTGCTAGCTGGCGTCTTAGGTTGAGGCGAAGAAAACGACACGGACAAGCCTTTCTTCGATCGTTCCGTACGAATAGTCAAGTTCGGCCGCGCACCCATGCGATCTCCCCCTGGAGACGCAGGATCAGGTAGGGGTTCTTTTTTGACACTTGGCTTCCTAGCTGGTTTACGATTTGCCAGAGGAACTGCAAAAAGCCCGTCGTCTGAATCGGAATCGGAATCATCTGAATCAGCCGCGGGTGTAGAGGCTCTATTGACGGACTCCAGGACAGAGGTATTATGTGCGCTTGTAGGGCTGAGTTCTGAAGGGGAGGGAACTCTCCTGTTTGCCTCTTCCCGGAGTTTAGCGACCGAAGACTTGTGCGCAATCTTGAGTGACAGCGACCTGTCCCGTTGTTGACGGTCTTCTCCATAATCGGGGACAACAAACGGAGTATCACCCTTGCTCCATGTCGTGCTTCCTGGTGTTCCACTCTGTGAGCCGGATCGCGGAGAGCTTCTACCTGAAGCAGTTCCACTGAAGTCAACGGTAGACATGGCACTTCTGCCCCTCTCATTTTGACCGCTCGAGCTTGGGGGTGTCCTACTGTTGGATGTTGACTTACTTGGGTGGCCAGCAGCACCCAATCGACTGCCCATTCCGATAAGCGCAGCTGCAATACCACCAGCTGCCTGTGGCGAGTCTGGGGCTTTGCGTCGAGGTTGTTCTTGTGGGGCCCATGCAGTAGAGTCTCCACCTGAGAATCGTTTCCCATCACTGTCAACGCTACTCAGAGATAGGCGTGATTGCTGGCCAGTCTTTCTGCTCAGGGAATTGGCTTTTATCAACGTAGCCGATTCAGCAGGTGGAGGAGGAGGTCTCCTTTGGGGATAAAGCTCGGGTTTCTTTTCTTCAAATGGAGAATTGCGCGGTTGGTCAAAATCAACATTGCGGCCGACGATCCCAAAAGAGGGGTCAGTTGATGAAGGAGTTTCCTTGCTGGCTTTCTTCTTCTCTAGATAAGCCTTCTGTTTCCTTTCCATTTCCGCCCGGTGATCGTTGATAGCCAACTCCATGAAAGCCGCCCTCTCGGCATCTGAAAGTTGACTCTCGCCGTTTTCTTGCGTGGCTTTGAACTGCTTCAGTCGATTTTGCATCGCCTCGTTTTGTTCCGTTGTATGAGCATCTGGTGCATCTCGACCACCGGGAGAATGTCCGGCCTTGATGGTATTCTGTCGAGAAGATGGTGGTGAAGAGGTTGATCGCTTTCTTGTCCCGTTGAGTTTAGCATACGCCTCTTCGTCGACTGGCGTACCTGAAGGTAGACCCGGAGACAGAGCTTTACTACCAAATTCTAAACCAAGTCCAGGGGAGTGTGAGGGGACAGAAGCTGACGGAATTCGAAGATAAAATTTTAGTCCCCCAGGCTGTTCCGCGTTTTTCCTTCGCTGCACGAGCAGCCGTTTGTCATCTAGAGCTTCTTCGTGTTCGGCTCTTCCGAGCTCGGTGACGAAGAGTTGCGCTAGATCAGTGTTGAGAACTCCCATTTGATGGTAAATTGCACTCCGGATTTCGGATGGTTGCTCGGCCTCGGATATGTCACACATGCGGTAGTTCCAGCCGTCCAAAGTAACAAGAACATAGGTCTTGTGGGGGCGTCTACTTTTATACCCTCCCGCAAAACGATCATATTCTGTAGCTGAAAATGTCGAAGATGGGCGATCTAGGGATGTCTCGCTAGAATTGGCTATTTTGCCGTTCCCAAGGACTGACGATGGCTTGAAACTTGCGAATGGACTCGTTGGAGACTCTAAATTGTTCTCTTCCGGAGAAGGGGCCGCGCCATCTTCCCTCCTCTTCTTTCTGAAATGTTTGAAGATTCCTTTTGCTTCCTTGGCTGAACCTGGGGGTTCTGTTAATGAGCGGTCCCCTGGCTCCAACGGAGAAGGTCTAGCGCCATCGACACCGTGCCGACGAGGATCTCGAAGATTCAAGGTCTGGCTCGCTCCTGGGGGAACACCAGACCCATAAATGGCAGTGTTAGAGGAAACTGAATCAGTACTGCCTGTGGCTCGGTGTCCAAACTTTGCCGTACGAGGTGACGCTGAGAGATTTCCATTGCTACCCGCATGAAAATTTGAAAAGGTACCAGATGGGCTATCTGGCTTCGGACTGCCATCAATTCTAAGAGCTGGACTTCTGAAAATTCCGTCGCCAGTCTCACTCGCGCTGGGACTATGACGCCTATTCCCATCCCCATCAAGATTGCGAAGAGGATTACGGTGACTACGGTCCCTGGCCCCTTCATTACTATTGTTGCTACCTAGAATCGGCATTGTTGTGCTTCGTACAGATCCCTTTCGTGATGCACCTGGGATCGTACTTTTGAACATTGATTTCCCAGGACTATCATCTTCGCCATTTGCGGTAGTGGGCGTCGAGCCATCTCTGTTGAACTGAGCAGATTCCAAGTTGCTTTCTGAGCCGGGATTTGCAATATTCGCAGAGGACGATTCTCTTCGGACGTGAGAGGGTTTTGACGGGCCATTGACTATACCTCGAATGAGGCGGCGCATCCGCTTTCCTTCCTCCCGCTCCCTAGCCTGATCCCAACCAGTTCCACTGCCAGAGCATTCTTTTGCCAATCGCGGATATACCTGTTGGTGCATCATCCCAAAGTTTCCACGTCCCCCAACTCGACCCCCAAGCTCCAAGAAAATCGACCCATTAATATTGAGCGCTTTGAAGGTTTCCTGCCAATCCTTGGAAAAACTGTTGCTGGCGAGCCATGATAAGACCCGTTCCATAGACCATTGTGAGCTAGCCTCGTGGGGTGAGACTGGAGTATTTGAATTGCTGTTTTGTTGGATACTGCTTGATTGATTTGAATTCAGTCCCCGCCCTGACATCTGGGAATTCAAATTTGATATTGTTGGCGTTGGAGTGTATTCAGGCAACTGTATATTTGGATATCGATTGAGAGGTGTTTGCGATGGATATGAAATTGAAGGTCGGTCACGGTCGTTGTACCAGCTTGTCCCCTCGTCCATCGGTGTTGTCAGTGCCGTATCGATAGTATTTTTTGACGTCCTCGATCCATCTGATATGGAAGAAAACCTGTTGACAAAGAACATATTAGCATTGTGATGGTAAAGTTAGAAAATAAAGAATATATGAGATGTGTCAAGCCGTCAGCAGTATTTGATGTTGCTTAGACTTCCGAAATGGACCCGATAACACACGAGCGCAAATTAAGTGCTTTTAAAAATGGGGAAGGCATACTCCGCGCTATCTCCTCTCGTGAAGCTTGGCTCCTGATGGCTCCCAAACCCAGGAATTCCAACTCCTGGGCCAAACGAATCCCCATGCGGTATGTATGTTGCTGACATTTGGTGATCTGAAGCTGGCGGAAGAGGTATAGACAAAGGCGGGGGTTGATGATTCATATACGGTTGACTTGGATTGTACGCCTGGTGTTGTGCATTTGGTGGTGGATTTGGTGGTGGAAGAGGAAATCCTCTAGCATCATATGATCTTCCCCAACTACCTTGCCAATTTGCCTGCATACTTCCTGGCGGAGGCCCAGGAGGAGGAGGTATCATCACTCCTGGATGTTGATGAGACTGCCCTGTCAATGGCCGAGGTGGTGGAGGAGGTATCGACATCATGTGTTGCTGGGTCGGCGGGGACATTGGCGGCGGGGGAGGAACATATTGTCTTGAGTTGTCATTGACTGACGGGTGTCTCTGACTTGGTTGATACATCTCAACGTTTTGCGCAGCTCGAGGTGCCGGTCGATATGATGTGTTTATACCAAATAAAGGCGACGGCAACGGGTCTGCTGCGGCAGATCGTGCCCGTGGTCGCGAAGGACTCGAGGCTGCGATAGTAGGGTATGGCGATCCAGTTCCATACAACGGAATCAACAGATTCGAGGAACTGCTCACGTTGTAGGTAGGAACGTCGTTCAGCAGCAGACCGTCCGGTACGGTCAACTCTGAGGCGGTGGAGGGGTTCCGTCTCGGCGACGGCTGCGGTCGAGGTGTTTCCGCGTTATTGTTTGATCGAGTTGAGGATGCTCTCGGTCGCGAAGAGCTTGTCATCGTACACTTGAGCTCATTTTCATGCCCCAGACGAGTTGTGGTCGTCTGTTGGTCCTGTCTTCACCACGAACGAATGAAGAGGCGGCTGTTGAACCAATCACACCTCGCTTTAGAATCTGGGACGGGATGCCTGATGCTGCACAAAGATTGTCGCAAGGCCCGTGACTGGTGCGCAATTGAAGTTAGGCGCGAATGGAGATCAGGACCGCGAAGGGACTAAAAGCATAAAATTAGGGGAGAAACTTGGACGCGGTAGTTCAGGTACGACGACAAGACTTGACTCGAGAAAGTTTGCTCTTGGAGTTGGAGTTGGTTGTAACTTGGGAGCTCTGCGGCACCATCGATGGCTAGCAGGGGCAGGGATAAGTGACTAGGCTTAAGTAGGTGGTGTGCGCTTGCGTGGGAACACCCGAACGAATCTCCAGTCGTCACTCCAACCGCCGGTCAGCATCGAAGTTCGCAGATTATCGTCAACCTAAAAATTGCAAATGTAAGACTTCTCGCTGCAGCTCTGCCATGTTCGAGAACTACCCAGCAGCTGAGTAGCATTTCCTCATCAACGGACACTACTATCTAATTGAATGTAATTGAAGACATACCTGCCCAGAATTTGGGAGCCAATGAAACTTGCGACCGATACAGCAATGAACACAAGGACAGCTTATATGAAAGCGGCGAACTCAAATCTTTGACGGTTGAGACTTGCCAGGGCATTCTAGCTGCATGGCTTTGTCCACACTATCTCAATGAGATTCTTCACCGTCCTTATGTCTGGAAAGCAGTGACTTTGGTCAGACTTGACGCTCTTCTCACCTACTCATTGTACTCCTTCACTTGTATCGAGACATTCTAAGAACTCTGGATATTTTACTGATCGCTGTTGTGGCTATGTACAGTACATCTCACATACCAACCTATAGCTTTACTTTCCTTTAGGTGGGAGTTCTTAGTCTTCGCCACTACGGAGCTAGTAATATACCGAATTTACATGTATAATAATTTCGTTATCGAACAGAGATAAATCTACGCTACAATTTACTTCCAGCGGTTTTTTATAGTGAAATCCATAGCCTTGTGGTATATTTCAGGGTTGTTGTAGCAGGTCGACTGTAATCTATCTGTATTGATTTGTGATGGCTAACGCTATATAGCACGGCTTTGAAAAGCAAGCTGCAGTCTTAACAACTCGTATAACTGTAGCCTTTTAAGTCAGTTTGTTCTAATAATTCACAATGACGGCGTCCTATGAGCTAGAAATAACCTGGCCTGGACCCGCTCGAAACCTCTGTGCCGCAAGGAAACTTGTCACGTGCACTTCGGGGACGTAATTGGAAAGCGGGGCATACATGATTTACATCGCACAGACCATACTGGCGCGTTTGCCAAGATTTAACTCACGACTGAGACGCGGTATCATGCTTTCTCTCCCACATCCACCGCATCGCCATTAAACCCACCATCGAACACAAAAAGGAGCGTTTCTTCCCAGCCAGATCGCTGTTGCGAGCGATACAGTCTCGATGGCTCCGATACGCAAGCGTCCGAGGGCCGATGTTGAAGGCGACGATAATGTGATAGCTGTTGAGAGTGCAACGTCAAATTTACGACACGAGCCTGTGAGCATTTACAAAATGACCCATTACATGCCCTGAACAAACTTCGAAATAAAGATTTGTGTGGTATTTAGCTGAGTCTGCGACTAACGTGACCCCATAGAATGCTAAAAAAGTGCGACTTTCTATAAACCAAGCATCTGCTTCGAATACGCGCAACCGCCGCGACGGAAGCGCAGAATCGTCCGCCAGCGAAGACGATGTTGTACCAGATGCCGAAGATGATTACTTGGCGGATCCGACTGCGACTCAGTATGAGATAATGCGCGATAACGGGTTTAAGCATCTAGATAACCCAGACGAGGACGATGATCGAGCGACTCAGCGGTTTCTAGCAAGAAGTCAATTGCTTGGAGACAACCATGCTTCGGATAACGCCATCATCATGGAAATTACATGCTATAATTTCATGTGCCACACGAGGCTACATGTCGAATTCGGGCCACTTATAAATTTCGTTGTTGGGATGAACGGAAGTGGCAAGAGTGCCGTTCTGACGGCAGTTACGCTATGTCTAGGAGGCAAAGCGGCGTCAACAAACCGCGGTGCAAGCATGAAGACTTTAATCAAAACTGGGGAAGATCAAGCAGTCCTTAAGGTCAGGCTCAAAAACAAAGGGAACGATGCTTACCAACCGGATGTCTTTGGGCCCTCCATCATCGTCGAGCGACACTTCACAAGATCCGGTACTGGTGGTTACAAGCTCAAAAACGATATTGGCAAAACAATATCGACGAAAAAGTCAGACGTGGATGATATGATTGAATACTATCAACTCATGGTTGATAACCCTATGAACGTGCTTACCCAAGACGCTGCAAAATCGTTCATTACCTCATCAACTCCAGCGCAAAAATACAAATTTTTCGTTGAAGGAGTCCAGCTCGAGGCTTTAGATAATGATTACAAGCTAGTTGCTGACACCATGGATCAGATTGCCAGCAAACTTCGGGATTCCGAGGATGATCTGGCTGCTCACGAAAAAGATCGCGATGATGCTAAGAAAAGAGCTGATATGATCGAAGAGCGAAGTGGACTTAGGGCGGCTGCTAAACTCCTGCAATGCCAATGTGCATGGTCACAAGTGGAGGAGGTCGAGCTTTCATTGCGCAAGAAAGAAGAAGAACTCGAAGCGGCAAAAGAAGTAATTAAAATGCAAGAGAAACGCGCGGAGGAAGAGGCCCGGAAGTATGAAGAAGCCAACAATACACTTGAGCGATGGAAGCAGGTTCAGACGCAACTCGAAGTTGACGCTGCGCCCGTACAAGAGGAATACGAGAATGCGAAGAATCTCCAAAAAGACATTCAGACGGAGCTTTTGAAACTTAAGGGTGAAAGAGACAATGTTAAACAAAATGTTAAGACTTTCGAAAACAAAGTTAAGTCGTATAAGAATGATCTTCGAGCAGAAATGCAACGTTTGGAGGATCTAAATGGAGGAGCTCAAGCACGAAAGTTAGAGGAAATGGACCAAGCAAAGATCACCGTTGCGGAGGCTATCGCTGATATGGAGCGTCATAAAACAGAGGGGCCACAGCTCGAGGAAGCTCGTAAGATTGGCTCACTCGAGCTGAAAAAAGCAGAAGAGCTTCTGAATCGAAAGCGTGAAGAGATCCACAACGTCAACCAGGAAATCCGTACATTGGGTGAAAAGCAGGTGGATCCAATCGCAGGCTTTGACAGAAAGATGCCCCAACTTATCAGGGCAATAAACAGCGAACGCCGTTTCCAGGAAAAGCCAATTGGACCTATTGGTATGCACATCAAACTGCTCAACCCAATTTGGTCCTACACTATAGAGTCTATGTTAGGAGCAGTTCTGGCCGGCTTTATCGTCACAAGCAAAGCCGATCAGCAAATCTTGGCCGAACTCAAGCGTCGACTTGGTATGGAATTTGTTCCGGTTCTCATAGGGAACCATAGTCGTATCGACATTTCACGGTCTGAACCCGAACACAACATCGATACAGTTCTACGTGTTCTCGAAATTGACAATGAGCTTGTCCGAAATCAGCTAATCATTGGAAATGCTATCGAACAGTCTGTTCTTTTCGAGCGGCGCCAAGAAGGTTACGACTACATGTATGACCCCCGCGGAAAGCCAAGAAATGTCAGGCAATGCTTTACTCTTCACGACACGAGAAGAGATGCTGGACATCGCCTCTCCTGGATAGGTGGTGGGAGAAACCAAGATATAAGCGGTGTGAAATACCGGCTCACTCAGCGACCGCGAATGCGTACAGACGTTGATAAACAAATTGAGCACCAACAGGGCATACTCGTTCAGCTACAAAAGGAATCAAGGGATCTTGAGAACGCGCGCTCACAGGCTCAGCGTTCACTCAGAGAGTCAGAAGTGGGGATTATGAACCACAAGCGGAATTTCAAGGTTCTCAAAGATAAGATACAGCGTGCAGAAGCGCGAGTAGAAGATCTGGAGAATGAATTGGAGCAGGACAATGGCGCCGAAAACAAAGTCCAAGGTTTGGAAGCCGATCTGAAAGAGGCTGAGGGCGACCTGAAAATGTATGGGGAGACACTTGGCAACGTTATGTTGGCCATTGAGGAATCGAACAAGATCTCTCACACACGTAAACGAGAAGTAGACGCCCTGAAACTTCGTGTGGAGGAAAACGAACACAAATTAAGGAAGGCTATGGACAAAGTGAGAAATAGCTCTCAGATTCGCGAGCTCAGCCTTCGAGACAAGAATGCTCATATCGAACTGATCGAAGAGGCGAAGAGTGGAGCGCTTCGTGCCGAAAAGAAGAGAGACATGGCGGTCGAGCAGGTGGAACAATATGTTGAGCAAGCATCTGTTGTCAGTCTCAGAGTCAATGTTCCTGAGAACAAGAAACCAGCAGATCTAGATGCCGAGTTCCAAGCCCTCAAGAGCCAGATCAAAGAGTTTGAGAGGAAGCAGGGCGGTACAGACAAGGAGATCAATGACCGTTATGTTGCTGCCAATAAGAAGTTTCAAGAAGCCAAGTCGACGAGAGCAGAACTTGAGGATCTTCTTGAAGTGCTACGGCATTCCTTCGCCAAGCGTCTTGACATGTTCCGGAGGTTTCAACAGCACATCTCGGCACGTTCACGAATCAATTTCCAGTATCTCCTGAGTGAGCGAGCTTTCCGTGGAATTCTCAATATCGACCATAAGTCAAAACAGCTAGATGTTCACGTTGAGCCGGACAACACAACCAAGAGTGGAAAGGGGAGGAAAACCAAGACCCTGTCAGGAGGGGAGAAGTCTTTCTCTTCTATCTGCTTGCTACTAGCTCTGTGGGAGGCAATGGGCGCGCCATTGAGATGTTTGGATGAGTATGATGTTTTCATGGATGATGTCAACAGAGATGTTAGTACCAAGATGATTGTAAGTTCACATTCCACCAATACCATATTTGACAGCGGCTTACATTCGATAGATCAGCGCTGCCCGACGATCGGTGGGTCGCCAATTCATTCTCATCACACCTAAAGCCTTGGGGTCCGGTGCTGGAGATGACGCTGACGATGTCAAAGTTATCAAGTAAGTAGCATTTTGCCTATGAACTGAGTAGAAGCTAACTTTCATTGTAGACTGAAAGATCCTCGAAACCCGCAGCAACAAATAGACGACATGATGAGGGCACACTAGATCATGTCGGCTAGAAAGAAGTTGTTTATTGTTAAACTGTAAGATAACATATGTCGAAATAAGAATAGTGGGGGTTTCTCGGAAAAGGCGTTCAAAGACGGATATCTCTGGCGCAAGGTTAAATGGGGGAGAATCTTGCTGTTATGGGTCGGCGCTGAACTATACCCTATTGTACACCTATTGTACAGCACAATATACTTCTTACAACATCGTACACCCTGCGGCCACAATTAAAATCCTAGCGTACATTACATGCTCATATCCTGACTCCCTTGCTTCTCAAAACATTTAGTCCAGCATGTGCAGTAAACCCAACCCATTGTCCGACGCTTCCAAGCGTGCTTCCTATACTTCTTCCATCTTCAAACCTCCGTTCCATGAACTCCCTCGTTTCCTGAAATCCAACCGATTTATCAGTCGTCATGAACAATTCCGTCGCAGCGTAAATCGTCGATAAAGAAGCTCTTTTCGTATACCAAGAGGTATCGACCGAGACATCGCCTGAGAGGAACCATATCTCATCCGAAAGCAGCGCTAGCTCGTGGATCGAGGTACTTGGATGAGAGGCTAGCAGCGCTAACGCCTAGAATTGAGGTTAACGACCTAGAACTGCCATTCCTCGGGATACTGAAGCCGTACCTCTTGCCATCTATGTATAACCTCCTCATTACCCATCAACCTCCTCCACGTCAACTCCTTAACCTTCGCGCCCACACCCATCGGTTTCGCCCCATCCCCTGCAATAGCATCCACCTCCCCTTTCAGAGCCTCTCGCTGCGCCAGTAAATGCCATTCCACCAGACTAAACGCGGCTTTCGGGAAGAGATTCGTCGACGCGGCGATGTAGCCTGCGTCGGAACAGCCGAGGGCTAGGGATGTGCTGGTGAAGCCATGCGATGGGATATGTTTTGCGGCGCTGGAGAGGATGCTGCGTTCGATCTCGTTGAAGGGACCTGGGGGGGCGGGGTGCGTGTAGGAGTGGTATGGACGGCGGAGAGGTTGGGTGAACCGCGTGAGGGGGAGGAGTCGTTTGGTCGCCATGTTGTGTGGTGGGTTGAATGGCTTGATGTTGAGCATCCTGTAATAATGCCAAGAGAATGTCTGCGGGTCGAGACGGGAGCGGGAGGCGGTTTTAGTGCTCTTTTAGTGGGGTGTCGACGCTGGACGTCAACGTCTTCTGAGAGTCGTCGGACAGATACGTTTAATTTTGTCATGCTACGAATTAGGCTTATCGATTGAACTTCTGAAGTAGGTACTTTTTGTTAATTCTTTATAGGTTGCCCTTTGATAGAACGGCTCTTCCATCACAGTAATTCTAGTGGGTCAAACTGCACATCCCTCTTTCTTTGCTTCTCTTTTGAGGCGTCTTCCTAGAAGCGCATTCCTGAATACGTACAAGATGAATCATTGAAACGAGTAGAACCTCGAGAGGCCGCCTGCTGGGTTTGACAAAGTGGTATGCTCTACATCTTTCATATGTCTCAAAGACACAAATCCACATTTTAAGTAATCAAAATCCCCTTTGCCATCGCGTTATACTAATCGCAATCTTTAGCATATCACAGACTGGCATTTATTGTAACAGTGACAAATGGTAAAACCGAGTTTTTATTTGAAAGGCTTTCAGACCATAAGAAATCAAAAGTAAAAGGAGGAACCAAATACCCTGCTGGTGCGTGCACTCACCAGCAGTGCATACCTGCCATACCACAACATTTCCCCAGCTATCGCCATATTGAGTCCAAGCAGTTCATGGCACTGAATCAGCGACCCTAAGCGGCGATCTCAAATGGCTTGAAGACTGCTGGGATATCCTCTACAGAAGACCCGTTCGTTGCAAACCCAGCCAACTCTTCAATGAGGCCGTGATCCATGTTGACAATGTTGTATTTCTGTCCATCGGCAAGGAACAAGACGTCCGGCGCCACTGACGAAGTGCAAGCACTCTCTTGGGCGGTTCTCCTTTTCGAGCGGAAAACGTAACTAGCCCCGGTGTACCATCCTGCGTTGAGACACCTCTCAGTGCCGCCAAAAATACCGTCCACTGTGCTCAATCGGTTGCAGTTGCCACCGTCGTGACCTCTCAATTCGAGGGACCATTCGGTCGGGATAGCGTAGAATATGATGCTAGCGACATGACCGGAAGAGATACCGCAGCATGACTGTGGTGTTAAGTTAGAGGGTGTATGTTTTGACAGGTTTTGGGTGAGGTTAATCGGAAAAAGAGAATTTGTACATTAGGATTTAGGTTCGTGCATAACCATCCTCCACCGCGGGAATCACAGTTGGATCTGCTTCTGAGACCGACGTCAATTGCTGAAACTGATGCAGTAAGACCGAGAATGATGGTGATGGGGAGTTTCATATTGAAATTGATTGAATAATTGATTCTCGAGAAAAGGATCTTGAGCGGCAGTTGAAGATCGATGCAGTGAAGCCTGAGATGATGAATGCGATGAGGAAAGAAGTAAAATCATTGCAGATTTCCTCATCTTTATACAATTTCTCAACATCGAAAGCATATTACTCTCAGAATAATTGTCAGATCCTTTCTGTCGAGCGATACGTCTGTTCGTACAAGTTATTCAGCTCAATGAATCTCAGTTGATCATGGCCAGGGACTCACTTGCTCGGTGCCAGGAGATTCATTGAATTTCCTGAGGTCGCTATGGACGTGACTGTTCTGTGGGTGACGATACGTCTGTTCGTACAAACAAGCATAGTGTTTTTACCGAGTAAGTAGACTATTCAGGCCCCTGACTGTGGGGTACCCTGTCCCTTACTTCTATAAGGCTCTTAAGATCACCAATGAACATCTCAGTTTTCAAGTAAGCGATTGATGAGCACTTTGGTACATCTTACTAAGCGGGATGTCTAGATGCATTGGTTCTTTCTTAAAAAGAGTAACACTCGCCTAAGGCTTCCTGCCATGCGCAAAGAAAAAACCAAAATCTAGGCTTGGACGGCTCCTATACCTCGAGCTTCAGCCAGGTTGGGACTGCAAACACTGTTGGTCTATAAATTAACATTGAGAGCACAGCTGAAAGAGTAAGAAGAAAGTGGCAAAATTGCTCATTCGGCTCAGTAACAGCATTAACCAAGAGGCTCCCTGTTACACTAAAGTGTAGCAAAACAGAGCCTGACCGACAACTTTAATGCATAAAAGCGTCACACTCTTGTTCATCGGCTAATTTACAGAGCATGTAAGTACTACGCTGACCGCATCGGCAATTTAACTTTTATCTTTAAGTACTCGATTCTGACAGTAAGCCGCGTACCCAAAGTCTTGGTACTCACTCGCCTGCGCACCCGGACATCTCTTTATATGGCTTACCTAACGGTTAGTGTACGAGATGACCTATATTAGGAAGGTCGATATTGATTATAGAGAGCATAGTTGGAAGAATTACGATTCTTCATTTCTTCATAGATACTAAAATACCTTACCAGTATACAAAACGATAAAAGAGAGTTGGGCAGCAAGTCGCCTCGACCGCTCTGTTAGTTACTCAATCAAACTCTGACAAAATAGTACAGAAAAATTGGAGATTGAGAATGTGTAAAAAGTTGCGGGAAGCAACTTCTGTAAGAAAGGGGGTCCAGCATCTAAGCGACTTCCTAATTGCGACTTACACCTTGCTATCTTAGACCTTGGATGTATGTTTGCAATTTCTACATTCATTATTGTAATAACAAAGCTAACACGGCAACTGATAATTTAATTTCGATCTTGAGGTTTCACAATTTCTTTAAATGGTTGGAAAATATAGTTTACTCCTAAAACAGGAAATGATTGGTTGCATCCTCAAGTTATAGGTAAGTTTGTTTAAATTCCAATGTTTTAATTTTATCACAAGTCTGAAATAGTACTGATGGGTAAATCTGCAGAGCTGATTCTTATATAGGCTAAAACTCTGGGAGAATGAACGTGTTTACGCATACTCAAAACTCTACATACGTACCCAATTGGAAATGCTCGAGTAACGAGTTCAGAGAAGTCCAAAGAATTTGAGCATCAAGTCCTCGTTGACAGGTGCGATATGGCCTACACCCTTTCCAAAGAACCCTTGCAGCTTCGTTCCATCACCATAAATCTCTTGAGTATAAGCTGAAGATGGTACACCAGCAACAGTCTTGTTCAGCGTGACGCCGTGCACGTTCGACCATTGCTTGAGCGCTTCGGTTGCACATTGCGGCTTCACCAGGTTATCTGCGAGGCCGTGAAATATTTGTAGACGCGTTCGACGACCTGTGTAACCGGGGTATGAGTTTCGAACAAAGTTGCCCCATTCTTGAGCAGTGTGTTGAAGTCCTTGAGCACATGTTTGATTCTGTGATGCAGGAGTTGCACTTGGGGCACCTGCAAAACATGCATGAGCAGTTCCTGAGAACGCAGCTCCTGCTTCGAAGACATCGGGATATGATCCTGCCATGACATTGGTCATCATTGCACCAGAAGAGCCACCCATCACAAAAACTCTGGATGCATCGCCAGAATATTTATTCAAAGTGTAGTTGACCACTGTATGAAAAAGTAAGCTATCTTACTGTTGAGTAAGGAGTATCTTTCAAGTGACTAACTGCTGATGATTCCAAGCGCATCTCCACCTTGGCCATGTGTTAAGCTTCCTGCACTCTGCACGTCCCAGCAGTTGTTCATGTTTGGCGTTCCTGCATATATGAGGACGAACCCCAATCTATCTGCATACGATGGAAGTTTAGTTCCTGAAAACCATTGGCTAGCTGACCCGCCACATGGATGCAACTAAATTGCTGTCAGTATGGTCCAGACGCAGCAGCAATGTGATGTCGGCATGTACTTACTGCGACGATGACTGCTGGCTTCGTGGCTATCTTGTCTGGTGCATAGACATACATGTTGATCTTCGTTGGGTTTGTCCCAAAATTCTGGACTTGCACCAATGATGCGCATGAGCTCAGAGCTGTGAAGGCGCAGAGCACCACAGCGGAAGGCGTGAAGAGCATGATTGCCGAGTCGAATAGGAATGACTTAGTTGTGGTTTCAAAATGATCAGATAATTGAGGGGAAGGCAGAGTCTGTTTTGCTTGTCCTCAACGCTCTCATACCGCTATTTATCGTCAGTTACTGAGGAGATCAAGGCGGGGTCTTGAGTTCCTGACAAAAGTTGAAAATGGCATCAACTCCGCATTTTGATGGCTGGCAGTAGGACTCGGCATGGCAAAAATCACTAGTGCTTCAATTGTTAAGGAAACAGCGTTTCTATTTGAACTTTGAGGTATTGAGCCCGAACTGAGGCTGGCGGGTAAATGTGCCACAATTTGGTTGAACGTCTCATAAGCGCACTAATAAACACGGAAACTAACATCGGGATTCAAAAACAAGAGGTCTTAGAACGGTAGGTATATACGGCATCTATGGGCCTAGGATGGCTCGTAGATTTAAGAACTGATACGTCTAAACATCTGTTTTGGGCATCTCATAAGTCACATGACTTGTTTCCCAGTCCCCAAGTGGGGCTACTTGTGACACTCTCCGATTGTAAGGTGATATGATCGATGGATGGGAGACGCCTACCCAGAGGCTCACAATTAACCACAATGCCACGTGTGACGACGTGACTAACACTATGGAAAGAAGCTCGCTCGAAGAGGAACCGGTGGTCGCTCCAGTTTCATTCGCTATACTACCGGAGACCGAGGAAAGCGAATCAATTCTCATGCACGATAAACGTATCAAGGAAGGTACCAGCACAGTACAAGAGACTATTTACTCCTACGAGCCGATCGACGCAAACCATTTAAGAATTCTGACTATCTCTCCAGGCCTTGTGGGCCAGAAACTCAACTGCTCGCTCAGTGTTTGGGTAAGGGGCTCTCCGGAAAAATATGATGCTCTTTCATATGTCTGGGGTGAGGAACAGCCTTCGGAGAGGCTGCCAATCGGATTTGAAGGGGAATCTTTTCAATACTTAATGGTGACCAAAAACTTGCTCAGTATCCTGAATAATCTACGGAGCACGACGTCTCCTCGAAGGATTTGGATAGATGCTCTTTGCATCAATCAGGAAGATTTTGAAGAGAAGAACACGCAAGTTCCCATGATGTCTCGGACGTATGGTGATGCCGCTTGTGTCCGAATATGGCTTGGTCAAGAAGAACATCATAGTTCGCGAGCCATGGCTCTCATCCAAAAGATTCCACTATCAGTGGGCAGATTTGAAAGATTTATTGCGTTGGAGACAAGATTAGAAGATTGGTTCGCTTTGTCGATGGTTATGCGTAGGCGATGGTTTACTCGACGGTGGGTATTACAGGAAATTGCAATGGCAAGCGAGGCAACCATTTACTGCGGCGATCAGGAAGCTTCGTGGTCGAATTTTGTTTCGGCCACGCAATTGTTCCAAATGTACTCCGAAGATATATCCAAGAAGTTTGAGGGCTGGAACTATTTTGATGCCCGAAATTACAGTGCAAGTCGTCTTATCGCCGCAACCACAAACTTTGTACGTCGGGATGATAAAGGTAGAATTACACGCAGATGTAAGACTCTGGAGGAACTCATCTGTGACTTGACAACTTTCGAGGCTACCAGACCACACGACGTTCTCTATGCTGTTATATCGCTTGCGGATGATGGACCACGATCTTCCTTCCGAACACGAGGCAGTTCCAATTCTAGTGGTGCATACAATCAAGTAATTTCAACCGCTAATGGCGTCTTATCATCTGAAGAATTACTGCGCATTCGAAAACTCATCAAACCCGTACTAAGGAAGTTAAACACAATTCGTGCCCGGGAAGAGTTGTTCTCTGTCTCTCACGACGCGTTCAAAGTATCCTACCAAAAGCCGTTTGCTCACGTGGCAGCAGGATTCATGGAGCGAATAACGACTAACTCTCTGTCGCTAGACATGATCTTTCGTCCTTGGGCGCCAGAAAACGAAGAGCTGCCAACATGGATACGGACTTTGAAAGATATGCCTTGGCGTACCAAAGAGGAGGCCCACCACGAGCATCTACTTATGCACGAGGGATCTACGCTTATTTGGAGACGTCTCAATGCGGATCCGTTAGTCGCTGCTACCCCTGCAATTCATACATTATACAAAGCATCTGGAAAACCACCGTCCCGGCCAACCTGGGCGTTTCATCAGATTAATATCTGTGAGTCTTCTGTGCCCATACTTTATGCCCGAGGGTTCGTGTTAGATGTTATTTTGCAACAGGAAGAACCTGCTACTTTGGGCAGAGTTCCTGTTTCTTGGTTAAAATACGGCAATGAAACGATTCAGCATGATGAGTTTACATCTGAATGGAGGATCCCCGACGACTTCTGGCGCACCATGATAGCGAATAGGGATCGTTTTGGAAGCAACCCTCCTCCTTTCTACAGTACTGTTTGTGGAAACGTCTTCTATGAACGGAAAGAGGGGGGTCATGTCGATATAATCTCAGAGCGAGAAAAGAAACTAGACATGATCCAGCATGAGTTTCTCCAAAGGGTGGAGGCGGTGGTATTGAACCGCAGACTCACTCGAACTAAACAGCATGCGTTCCTGTCTCTGGTTCCGCGGAAAACTCAACCTGGAGATTTGGTCTGCATCATAAATGGATGTAGCGTTCCAGTTGTTCTCAGCAAAAGAACAAAGTATGGAGATAATCAGGGATATTATTCCCTGGTCGGCGAAAGTTATGTGCATGGCATGATGGAGGGAGAAGCTTTTGATCTCAAGAGCAGCAATCATGGAGTTCCATGGGAGACTTTCAGGATCGTCTGACCGCGCGTTTTACTTTTAATCACAGACTCGATCGGAAAATCTTCCTCGAGATTATGAGAGTGCTATGTGATTATTAAGTGTGCCAGTATCACATTCCCAAGCGGTGGAAGAGAACAATATATATTTGCAACTCGTTCCTCTCTTCTCTCAACCTTCTCTCATTTTCTTTCGGTTTCTATTCCGGACAATTCGCTATAGAATCCCATCTCGTCTCTTATTCCAGGTCTTATTCCAGTCATCGGTAAACTCGCTTTCTACGCCCATCATGGACTTCATTTGCGATATACATGGAATCTATTGTCGAGACTGCATGCGACACTACTATATCCATGATGTTCCCTATTATCTCCCCTACTGGGACATTCGTCAACGGCTTTATCTTGAACCTATTCTCATCGATCACATCACTATTGTCCAAAATGAGACTATTATCAACAATACAACAACTACCAACACTACCAACAATAACACCAGTAACAACCATGACCAAACGCTCCAACAAGAAAGATTACTTGCGCAACAGAATCAAGCCAGAATGTTGGAAAATCAAAACCAGGAGAACGAAATGCGCTTGCTCGAGCAGCAACAAAATTTCAACCAACAAAATCGACTAATGGAACAACAGAATCAGATGAAAATGTTGGAACAGCAACAACAAAACCAATCAGCGATGAATGCAGCATTTGAGGCACAGCTGAGACAGGGCAAAGAAGCATTTGAGACTAAAAAACGCCTAGGTGAACAGTTGCTTCTGGATGCTCAAGAACGTGATCGAAGATTCCAGCGGGAGCTTGCTGATAAGGAGGACGAGGCTGCTCGTGAGAGACGCAGACAAACTGAAATGGCGAGTGAGAAAGCGAAAGCGGCGGATAGACAAATGCAGGAGGCATTTGAACGATCAAAGAGAGACTTAGAGGATAGAAGTAAAAAAGCCGACCAGGAATTGAAGCAAGCTGCGGAGTTAGAACGACAAAGACTGAATAGGGAGAAAGAGAATTTGGAAAGTGAGAGGCGAAGACGCGAAGATGAGGTTGAAGGACGGAGGCGAGAGATGAAAAGGGTGGAGAAGGAAGCCGAAAAGGAAAAGCAGAGACTAGAGGAAAGAAAGCTCCAAATTGCTAGGGAAAATCTAGCACGAGAAGCTGAGGTCAAAGAGCGGGAGAGAGAACTACATCTAGCTGCTGAAAAGGCTAAATTTGAGCTTGAAATGGCTGTGGTAAGAAAACAGGAGGGGGAGAGGGAGGCTAAGCGACAAGCAGATCTTGAGGCCGAGAAAGCACGGCTCGAGGAAGAGAGGAGACAGATAGCAGCGGACCGCCAAAAACAAGAGCAAAAATTGCGAGAACAGCAACAAAAAGCTCAGCTTGAGGATGAGAGAAGAAGGTACGAGCAAGAGACTCGAGATCGTGAGGACCGTGAGAGAAGAGAGCGCGAAAGACAACGTGAGATTGAGGCGCAAGTCTTGAAAGAAGCTATGTGGAAGGACGAACAGAAGCATAAGGCTCAACTTGAAGCTCAGAGACAGGCTTTTGAGGAAGAAAAACGCCGAATGGCTGAGCAGAAAGCAGCTTTTGAGAGGGAGAGAGAAGACGCAAGACGTAAAGAGCTTGAGTGGCAAGAAGAGCAGCGTTATAAAGACAAGCTTGAGCGAGAAAGAAGACAGGCTGAAGAGCAAAATCGTCGGCGAGAAGAAGAGAGACTTGCCGATGAGAGAATGAGGGAGGAGGCTCGAAGAAGAGACGCTGAGCGGCAACGAGAGCAGCAAAGAAGAGCTGAGATGGAAGCTAAGCACCGTAGATACGAAGAGGAAAAGCGTCAACGTGATCGCGAACACCAGGAGGCTATGGAACGGGTTCGACAAGATGCTGGCCGTCAGCAAATCGAATGGAAAGCAGAAGAGCAGCGTAGACTTGAAGCGGAAGCTGCGAAACGCAGGTACGAAGATCAGGTCCGCCGATTTGAAGAGGAGCAACGAGCTGCAGCTCATCGTAGAAGAGATGCAGAGAATTATGCGACAAAGATCGAGGATGATAAGCAGGCTCAACGTAAGCTGCTCCATGCTGAAACTGAACGAATGGCGATTGAAGACTCCAATCATGACCGTGAGATGGAAGAGATTCGGCGTAAGAGCAAATTGCTAGAGGAAGACGGAAAACGTCATGCGGAAGAATTTGAAAAAGCTATGAAGAGGGAGGAATTCTGGAAACAAGACCGCGAGAAGACTGCTCGTGCTGAAAATCAGCGACGACTCGAGGAAGAAAGACGGAAACTCGATGCTGAGAAACTAAGGATCGAAAAAGAACGGTACGAAGAGTTAGAAGCTAGACGTAGACGAGAAGAAGAAGCCCATAAGAAGGCCATCGAGCAAAGCGCTCGAGAGGTTGAAAAAATTAGAAGCGAGACGAGGTCAATTGGCTTTAACCAACTCCCATCTCAACCACCACAGAAGCAGTTGAACGATAAGCTTGCACAAGTAGAGGCACTCCGAGAGAAACTCGCGCAGACAAAGTTGAAAGCCTTGAATGCTGGACAATCTTCAAGCACCACTGCTGTCATTTCTGAAAGTGCAGCAAGATTGGCAGCGCTTAAGAAGAGACAAGCGAGTCTTCTCAGGGCTAAAGAGAAGGCTGCTCAGACTTCGTTGATCTCGGAGAAAGAGAAGAGGTTGGCGGAACTCAAAGCAAAACAAGCGCAGCTATTGAAGGCGAAAGAAGAGGCTGCCTTGAAAGCCTTGGAATCTTCTTCTACGTCGCGATCGATTGAATACCCCACTTCATCAACGTCGGTAGATAGAAAGCAGCTTCCTTCTTCACCACGACAGCGAGCCCTCGAAGACGCATATAGCAGTCCCTATGGACAGCTTTCAGCTCCGTCGCGAAGAAGCGAACACTCAAGCCAGACTGCATCTGCTTCATCTCCGCAAACCAAACAACTCTCTAAGCCGGAGAAGCAGCGCGCAATCGAAGATGCATACAGTAACCCGTATGGTCTCGCGGTTGGGAAAAAAGCTTTACCCGCACCTCAGGATGATGGCATATACGGGTTGCATAAACAGCGAGCTATTGAAGCTCCGGAAAGCTCAGAGAATGCTGAGAAAGGTAAATCGAAGACTTCTACGGTGCTGGGGTTTTTGAAGAAGATGAAGAAATGAGGTTCTTTTAGTTCGACGTGTTGCTATTCTGGTTACTTGGTATATATACAGATCTACGATGGCCTTGAAGTTTATATATAGTTTGTTATATAAGAACGTTGATCTATAATCGAGACTTCAAGGCCATTCCATCTCGAGAAGATCATGATTTTCCATCATTAACCCTTCGTGGACACACATCATCCATCGACATCAGCTAAGAACATCAATCCCGTATTCTCCAAACAACCAATATACTCCGCATCCATATCACCGGATTTGAGAACACAAAGCTCAACATACAACGCCGACTTGCCCATTTTACTGAGCTTGCCTCCGGGCCCATAAAGTGTCATGAGGCTTTTCCTCAAAGCAACATGTCCACGGTGAGACCGTCCCGCAAGCTCAAAATGTGCTAAGTCCAGGAAGTAAGCTAACTGATTCGTTTCTGGAGCCGCGTCTTCTTTCACGTCTAAATCCATATATTTTGGCCCCTTGGATACTGGCCGTTCATGTCCAAGGTGAGTGGTGATTGACAAGACTCCAGTCTTGATTCTTTCATCATCCAGATGCTGGATCCAGGACTTGGCATGCGGATTAATACTCTCTACCCACGCGTCAATCTCTTCCTTTGGACAATTCGGTTGCCGTTGACCTTCCCTAACAAAACATATGTTATCTGGTATCTTGGGTATGACCCTGCCATACCTGATGCTCGTACCGATTGACTTCGGTATCTCCAGCACTGGCTTGTCAATCCCAGACTTCGGCGCTGTAACATATGGTGATGTGAAAGTGTCTTTCGGATCGGTATGTTTGTCGATGACTTCTGAAAGGCGATGGCGATATACACCCCAATAACCTTCATCTGTACTTGTTTTCAATTCCAACAGTGAGCTCATTCCCGATGCGACATTCATCGAGGAAGCGTGCATAAAGCGACTTTTCGGCACCGTCATGACTTCTCTCCACACCCCAGCATCATCCGTCAAATCATCCCAGAACTCCCGCCATGCTGATGTTGTCTTCAACGCTTCGTAGTCCTCGGATCGGAGCCAATATGCAATAAAGGTGGCTGAGGGTTGGCCGATGGACTTGAACCCGTGATCTTCGGTGCGGAGATGGTCGACTCGTCCTGCTGATTGCGATAGTATTGTGTAGAGAGTTGAGATTGCTTTGGTCTTTTCCGGGGTTAGTGTTGTGTATTGGATGCCGAATAGGCCAATGGTGAAGATGTAATCTTCCGCGGATAGGTCGGTTAGGAAAACCATTTTGATGAGTGACAATGAAAGAATAACCTTCTGTGAATGCAAACCAAGCTTTACCGTAAGAGAAGTAATACCTTATGAGATACCTAACTGCAAAGTAGACCTCTTCATTATATACCTTATGACGGTCGGTTCTTAGAGCTACCGGGCGCAATGGGAAGAACTGTACGCCCACACTTCTCTTTTTTTCTGCAAGTCTATGAAGTCTCGTTTGGCTGTAGCTCCGCTAATCATTGTAGCAACGAATCGATCAAGTGTGATTCGAACTGTCAAGTTTCATGTCCTCATTTTACACCTATCGGCGAGCTTGAAGCTCGCCACAGTAGCTCGGCGCTGCTGTGCTTCGGACCCCACCAGGACACCTTATCGTTTTTTAATCTGCGGACCTTCATCCGCAAACTTAATAAGCCAATTGTGTTACCTCCCTCGCATAGAGTTCGTAAGTATCCATCCTTATATCCTTTAATATTCTTTACCGAGACTATGGTTGCGTTCGTTTATGGCACTCGTGGGTCAACAACAACATTGGCGCGGAATCCTTCCACTCAGATGACAAGCGAGAACGATGTCGACGACATCTCTCCACTTCCACACTCCGACCAACTTTTAAGCATGATCATTGGTTGAGCATGGACAACAAGGAAGTAAAAGCTATTAATCGGACGAAAATTGCTTGCAGAGAGTGCCGCAAAAATAAGCGCAAGGTAAGGGAGGCTTTCATGTAGAGCACTGTTCAAGTCATTATTGAGTTAGCAAAGTATTGACCAATGTACTAGTGTGACGGCCAAAGGCCCTCATGTTCACTGTGCGAGAAGTTCGATAGAGCGTGCGCCTATGCAGAGGAAACCTCTAACAAGTGAGCTTCTCCCTATCCACCTAGGTAAAGTGACTTGCAAGGTCTGATACTAAACCCTCTTCCTAGACGCAAATATGCCGATGAAGGACTTATCTATAGTCTCCAGAACCGAATCGCCGTTTTAGAGAGCGTAGTCAGAGCATATCGAGAAGCTGAAAGACCAGACAAGATCCTCGAAAGAAGTAGTCGTTTGATCCGTGAATCAGAAAATGATATCGTGTCAGCATCTGATCACGTGTCAATATATACCCAAGCACCACCCCCAATCCTCGCGCAGACACCTACGCCATCTAACCCTAGCAAGCGCACGCAAGATACCGATGGAAGATCTCAGGTTGCTATGGAGGAGCTCGCCTCGCTCATGTTAAGCATGGATGTCAATGGGCAAGCTGAACCCTCGTTTATGATGACTTCCAGCAACAAGAAAACATCACGTCTGGGAAGCGAAAGCTTTAATACCGGAGACTTTACTCAAGGTGTAGGTTCAGTTCGAGAGAATAACGTTCCTCAGGACTTCATTCTCTCGCTTCAAGACAAGCAACAGTTGATGTATCTTTTCATGGAGAACTTCAACGTCTTTCACCAATATCTTGATCTCGAAGACTCGGTTTCGGTGGTTAACACAGATTGCAACCAAGAAAGATCAGATGTATGTTTTCGTAACTACGCCATATTTTCTGTGGGTGCATACTTCTCGGAAGCACCTGAGCTACAGCATATTGGAAAAATATGTGTATCATTGGCAGAAAATATGCTGCTGAGCTGTATCAGAAACAACACAAGTGATTTGATCGTTCAAGGGACATCGCTTCTAGCATGGAGAGAAATAACGTTAGGTAACGATGATATGGCATATAATTTTATAGGTAACCCCCCATTTAAACTCGCTTATCAGCACCTTTTTACGTGCCGCCACTTGCTAATGATTATTTGTTTGAAGCGATGGCTACGGGACTTATACTTCATCGTGCACATCACGTTGCTGTCTTACCTGATGCTTCACAATCGGATGTGGAAGCTTCAATGATGAAGCGAAAAATCAGATCTTTCTGGGCTTATTTCTCGGTCGATCGGTAAGTTGAACAGCATTCACTTTGCCGCCTTTTCATCAAGTAAACGCAAATTGTTTTCACTCCCGTACTGATTTTTTTCTAGATTGGTTACGTCGAGTCTTGGAATGAATTGTACTATACACTGGCAAAGAGTTCGGACGGAATGCTTCTATAGTCTTGTTCAAGGTAGAGCCACCGTTGACGATGTTGCTCATGACAGCTTCTGCAAATTGTGGCATCTTTGGGACTCATGCATGGATCAAGTGTTTGTATACCCAGTCGTTGAGTAAAATATAATACTGAAGTAGAAACTCAGGCATGCATTCAGTTGGTCAGAACTCACATCTGACGAGCGAAGGTCACTTGCGGTCCGCTCCCACCAAACTCTAGAAGGATTCTACAACGAATTAGACGGTCGTATTCACCTCAATAAGGATAACATGAGACCGAGCGTTGTCTGGTTTCAGTTGTCATATCACGCAGCACTTTTGCTCATCCACCGACCGTTCCTCAATGAGCCAACAGGCAGCGTAACACTTGGTCTCGCCTTACGCTCGGCAACTTCCGCTGCATCATCAATAGCTCGAATCCTTCGAAACTACCGAACACATCCGGGATTCAAGAGCGTAGGACCCCAGGTCCAAGAATTTGTTCTCGCCGCAGCCGTCATACATCTTCTGAATGCCACAGCAGGTCGTACCAAACTTGGTAGGCAGTCATCAAATGGGCTCAGAAGCTGCTTAGACTGGCTGGAAGGCATGGATTCCAAATGGAGAGTCCAAGTTAATCGATCTATTACACGAATTCGCGAACTTGCTCATCGATGGAAAGTAGCTTGGGCATTACCATTACATCTAAGCTATCCCACGGAATCCACCTTGCCAGCGCAAACGACAACTATGTACCCTAGTTCGTCGACTATAGGCGCAGATACGACGAATAATTTTGTTGCAACTACTCATACGAATTACAACTTTGATTTTAGCATGGATCCTATCCTAGCTGGGATTGATCTCTTTCAAGCGGACCAATATGGAGGTGCTTTAGATCAAATTACAAATTCCTGGGATATGGAAGCCTGGGACCTATATATTGCTAATGGGAATTTTGATACTGGCACTTATTAGTCGGCAGGACTCGCTTAAGGGCCACTATTTGACCCCTTTGTACAACCAATCTACGACGCAAGTCTCAAATAATCTAGCAAATCACCATAATTTCTGATCTATCAATTCTATAAGCAGTGCTACTACCCAACCAATATAGCAACGCCATAAAATTGCATTCGAGAGTTATTACTTGTTCAGAAAGTTCTCTGCAGCTGCACCATTATCGTGCGGAATAGCCCCGCTATGCTGGCGTTCCTGAGAACTGCGGGGCTTGCGGATGGTGATCCGCAAGATAAGCAGTGACCCCGCAAGCGATTTTAGGGGTCTGCTCCACTACTATCGTCAAATCCCGAGGGGTTTCTAGTTGATGTATTGCATAATGAACATTGATAAGGTGATAAAGCTAAGGGTTAGAAAAGATCCCAAGATTCTTCTCACTTGAATTTGAGAAGTCGCATATGTCAAGAATTGTGTTACCCAATACTCTCTTCATCTCAAAAACATAAACTCGCTACCTTCACTCACTCCATCCTTCATTTTCAGCACTGAAACAACTTATTCGATCAAAGCCCATTAAGACCACCATCAAGTCTACAACTCCGGCACCCTTGCAATCTCAAAAACATGTCCCAACCCAATCCTACAAAAGTAAAAGTAGCAGTAACCCAACTTGAACCAGAATGGCTCGACCTCTCCGCCTCGGTCCAAAAAACCTGCAAATACATCGAAGAAGCAGCTCAGAGTGGTGCTGAACTCATCTCGTTTGCCGAAGCATTTATTCCTGGATATCCGGCTTGGATATGGTACTCCTTTCTATCCATCTTCAAAATATCAATTAACAAATCCCAGGACACGCCCCGTAGACCCCCATCTCAGCACCCTCTACATCAAAAACTCGCTCTCGATTTCCTCTCCTGAGATGCAAACCATCCAATCCTGCGCCGCAAAAAATAACATCATCGTCCAACTCGGATTCTCGGAGAACGACCACGATTCTCTGTATATATCCCAAGCACTCATCGATTCCGACGGGACCATCTTGATGAATCGCCGGAAATTGAAACCCACGCACATGGAACGCACGATCTTCGGGGATGGTAGCGGGGACAGTCTAGTTAACGTCAAGGAAACAAGTATCGGAAGGATAGGAGCATTGGCGTGCTGGGAACACACGCAGCCGTTGTTGAAGTTCCATACGCTTAGTCAGAGGGTGCAGGTGCATTGTAGTGCGTGGCCACCTGTGGTGGGACATGGCGGGGGACCGGATTTGTGGAGTTTGAGTTTAGAAGGTATGGACATATTCTAATTAGAATGTGATGGAGGGATGCAAGGAAGCTAATGGAGATAGGCTGTCTGGCTTTGTCGCAGGTTTTCGCGATCGAATCGCAGGCTTTTGTGTTACATGCTACGACTGTGATTACGGAGAAGGGAGTTGAGAAGATGGGTACGAAGGAGGGGTTGCTTATGTGTTTGTCTCCCGATTTCCTCTTTCGGCAATGTCACTGATAAATATAGCTTCACCGGGCGGCGGCGCATCCGCTGTTATTGGGCCTGATGGTCGTGTGTTGAGTAAACCACTTGAGCCGACAGAGGAAGGAATTGTGTACGAGATTTTGGATTTCGATGCGGCGATCTTTGCGAGAAGCTTTTTGGATGTGGCGGGGCATTATAGTCGGCCTGATCTTATGTGGCTGGGTGTTGATACTAGAGGGAAGAAGGTTGTGGTCGATGAGTTTCGGGCTGGTAAACCAGGGAAGGTTGACGGAGATGAGAAAGAGGTCGAAAAGAGACTGGAAGATAGAAGTGGGCGGAAAATTCAAGGCTTGGTTAATGGAGGAGGGAAGGTTTGAATTCGAGGTTCGTAGTTTAACCTTTGATTTTCGTCGCGAAGTGTACTTTGAGTTTGAGCAAATAATCCAATCTAACGGAGGTATTTTTGGCACCTTTGAGTTATGACGATACTTATCTTTGGATTTCCCGATTGTTTCAGTAAGTATAATGACGAAGGTAGGCAGAAGATAGCAACTAAAACTTGAAAGAAATCTGGTATTGACAAGGTTTAACTAGGTATCTAGGTACATAAGCACATCAATAGCTACAAGCGCTTTACAAAGCATGCTTTTCATTACCACAAGACCTCCAACTCCGCGCATCCTGGAATTGATCCATAAGTCTTAAACATATATCATACAGTGACAAGAATACACCCTGGTTGTCAAGTAAGCCAACTCTTCCCATCCACCTTCTTCCCTACCAAACTCTTCAAGCTATCACTCCTCGCGAACCGTCCACCTTCTGGATTCTCACAATCTTCTCGCCTAGTAATAGTCTGTTGCACAACAATTGCGCCATTCTCAATCGTCAACTTATGATCAACATTCATGTCCTCCGTGCTCCCACTGTGCGACGCCGGCACGCTATCTTCCTCATGCCAGCTCGTGTGCCAGGTATTTCTATGCGGAGCATTTGCAGAAGGATAAGGAGAGAGTGGATGGTTTTGTGCAGGGACGATGGTACGACGATGGCCGACGTTTGAACGGACGAGTGCTTTGCGGGTGTAGATGTAGAGAGCCACATCCACGAAGCCACAGGATGCCATCATGGCGCCTGCGACACAGAAGAACATCAATGGAGGTTTGCGGCCGGTCATTGACGCTACTCTTCCTGCTGCGAGGGGGAGGGTAAGGATGATGTAGGCGATTGGGTAGACGATCATGTAACGGGCTGTTCGGAGGATCTTTTGACGGGAGACGGCGAAGGGGTCGTTGATTGTTTGGCTGACGATTGTGGTGGTGGTTCCTATTGTTGGTTTGGAGAAGTTGGGTGCCATTGGTGTGGTTGGAGTTTCTTGACTGAGGGTTTGTTGGGTGCTGACTGAACTTGCGATTTGCGTGCGGAGGAAGAAGAAGATGGCAATGTAGATTACTAGAGAGCCTAGTTGTGATACGAAGATCCATAGGTAGTGTAGGGTGAGTCGATCTCTCTCATGCTTTTCACCTATCCAACACTACAATATGTTAGATATACTGATCACAAAAGTGAAGAAAGAGGACTTACCCAAAGCCCAGCAGGGACGAAAAATCTCGTCTGCTCTTGTATAGGTCCAACGACTGTCAAGACCAAGCAAAATAACCATATCATCAAGACTCCTCCCACAAAAACTCTAAACGTAATAGTCTTTTGAGCCACGAGGTTGATAAAAGTGTGAACCGCAATCGCTAAAACCCAGATCCCAGAACTGAGATCCCCGATCTGAATCAGCCATCCTTGCGCAAAACAGACTGGTGACGGCCCAACTAATTTATTCTCTGATATCCAGTAGAAGGCGAGTAGAAAACTGAGTGCTTGTTGAAAGTCGGCTAGTAAAAGGTTGTAGATGAGGACGAAGATCTGGTTTGTTGCGATTGGATGTTCATAATACCGCCGCCAACAAATCATGCGATATGTGATGAATATCAAAAGAGCCAAAGTCGAGATCGTTGACACGAGGCCAATCGTTCCCATCGCAATCATTCCATGGAGGACATCTTTGGGGAGAGGATCTAGCGATGAGTTCTCATAGTTGTTATCCGACGATTGAAGCATTGTGAGCCGTGCCCGGTAGTCATATCAGGAGACTCGATGCTTTTGTGTAAAGTAAAGAAGAGAAGGAAGAGGCTTGCCGTTTGAAACACCTTTGGCAGATCGATGGTATGTCGTAAGTCACAACCTGATGTTACACGCGCAGTTGATCGGTATGCACGTCGAAGTTGAGACCCGAGCTAACGAGTGCAACCCAAACAATGGACATGTAGATCCAGCTTAAAGGGACAATAATTAAGCACATACCCTTGGTGGGGATGGATATCTTCCTTATAGTTCGAGCGGTGGGCCGGTACCTGTGCAAGCGGTCTGCGTACCCCATGTAAATTGATGTCTTGAAAATGCAATCCTAGGTTTTTCCGCCTGTGAGATAGAGATATCTCGTCGCTTGAAGTTGAAACCAACACTGTCAAATATTTTGTCAAAATTATTCTACGATTTCTAGAATAGGCCCTTTGTCCGATTGGCTTCGAGGCGTTGCCCAGAAAATATCAAACAACATTGAAAGAAGACGGCAGTCCCAAGCAGCTTTTCTGCTCGTAAGACTCTTCTAGATCTTCTACCGTGATCAGCGGTTGAGCGGGTGCCTTGCCTAGGTTGGTATAGGGGTATTAAATGCCCGTTTCGTGCCGTCCCAGTCGAGGACAAAAGAGTGTCAGCAATATCGCAGTGCTGATGTTGGAACCTATGCCAATCCAATTCGCATTTGGCGATAGATTAACCCCTGACACCCTTTCAACAACCTCCACAAATAAGGATTCAAAGTTCATGTGCCTCAGAACCGGGACAACGGTCGTGAGTGTCATAGCGAGGCTTGAATGGCTGTTAATGGTCAATTCGTGCACGATGCACAGATGCTGACTTCTTTCGCTCCCCACAAGCCGGAGTCCCCAGGCGGCAATCCGACTCACATTGTTTCCTGGATTCCTCTGCACGCTGCATCTCAATTAGGATGAGTAGGAGGCCGAAAGGCGATGAGAGGAAAAAGGAATTGTGTACAGGAAATCAAGAGATTTTCAGTTTGTCCGCCAAAACCCGGATTCTCTCAATAGTTATGAGATTTGTCTCGGAAAAGTCGGCGCTTGAATATTCGACCTTTATGTCATTCCTAACTGGTCTGGATCGCTGTGCACGTATCTGGGGCTGACATTGTTTCGAGGATGATGCTCGCACGACTTTGACACAATTGGGTCGATGTCGATCTTCTGGTGAGAGCAGAGGTTGGAATTCGTCGTCCTCCACGAACGTCTGGGGTGATTAACCGGATCAATGCACCCTATATCCCATGTAATAAGCGATCATCCCCCCTATTGGCAGACGCATCTCGGCTACCAAACCTAATCTAGCCCGCTTTATTATCCTCTTCCCTTTCCCAAACTCCCACCCCTAATGCAAACGCCCATATCAATCATTCCAGAACGAATGTTTCCAACACTTTCCACCGTTGGACTTTGAGTGAAATATATACACATCTCGACGCCTCCTGTTTCTCCTTTTGCTTGCAAGATAAACGGCCCGTTTTTGCCACTCCGCATGCGCCACCGCTCGCGAGAATCCCGTTTCAGAAAGAAGTTACGAGGACGAGTTTGTTTCATGGATAGCCTGGTGAGAAGCACAATTTCAGGGACAGGCGGGGTGTGGGGATGCACATCTCCGCCTCCGCACTGCACATGTCAAAGCTGGGGAAGGCCCGATTTTTTCCAAGTTGATGGCAATCACGGCCACGTCAACTCGTGGTGGGTGAATAATGGGTCTGCTTTCGGGGATTTGGACTGGGTATTGTTCGTTTTGAGAATGAAATCCGAATTGTTGGAAAAATGGTGTCACAAGAAATGGAAAAGGAGATACACATGAAGTCCAAGCTCAATATGGACGAGGTGGATAATTGCCGCTGCAAACTTGCTAACTTTATTGAAGTGTTGGTAACTTATAGTTTTCCCAATTCTAATCAGCAGCACATCAATCTAGTGAAATGAAAGAGAAACACCTGCGGTATTTAATGTAACCGCCGTAAGGCAAGAGAATTTGTAGAACCTAAGAAGGGTTCCAAACTTTCATCATTCGAAGTTTGAGACCCTGTTGTTAAACTGAATTTATTAAACTTTCAGAAGGTATCCTGGACCTAGCCCTCGATCTTACAAATTACTTACACATATGCAAACGATTCATGTAATTGCATCAGGAACACCTAATAAATTTTCACACTCACAGACATTATTATTTTCCTATTGGGCGGCATCTCCTCCAATACACGGTATAGTATTGTGAAGAAAAATCTGATATGCAGAGAGTTGGGAACTGCTGACCTAAAATCACGTGTAATCTTCTTCCGGCTTAGTTCTATCTATTTCTTGTATATAATATATATACCTCGTACGAGCTCTGCTCACTTACTCTCCTTTAGACATCTTAATATATTACTTTCTCCCTCTATCGCTCACTCTACCACTTCCCTTCCACGAAGGTTCATAGGAACTGAATCTTTAAACTCGCCTTAAGTTGAGTTCTATTTACCTGCCATTTAGTCCTTGATACTAGCTCATTAGAACAAAGTCATAGAGTGCTTTCGTATCCCCAAAGACCCACGAAGAAAAGCTTAAATTCACGATTTCGTAGGACGAGCAAAAAATCACAATTGCCTTTAGGCTTTAGTAAGCCACTGCGTATAACTTTGAGTTCGCCCTAGAATTATACGTCATATTAGAGTCAGCTGCATAAACGGCCTTCGCACCATCCCAAATGATTTAGAAAGACATGGGCTTTGCCAAAATTTCATCGTGTTTTGACATTTCTTAGTCGTAATATAAATTCCTTCAAAGCTCTCGCTATATATTACCCCCACTCAAAATATACACAACAACCCTCTAAAATCAACGAGCAACTTACATTTTTAGATCGCAATTATGCTAATCTTTTCGAAATGTCGTTGATGACGTTGTTTTAGGCAAACTAAAATTAAAAATAAAATAGTAAGTAGCGGCCTTTGATAGCCCAACTTCCGGGTGCTTGCTTTTTTCTTACCAGATTTCTCTTGTTCAGGAGCTCTTGAGTCTCTAGAATTAATATGACTTCTTCTTGTGGTATCTTTCGTGGTTTTCAGCGAGCCTTAGAATGATGTCGTCATTTATCATATAACGATTGAGAAGGATCAAAGATAAGATTGAGATTGAGCGGAACTCGGAAACATCACGTCCTCAACATCCCGTCCTCAACCGAGCTTGCTATAGCCGCAAGTCGATGACTCTCGAACTTTATTTGATGAATTCGACTATGTAAAGCATCTACAATCAGATACTAACCAATTCAAAGAAATCAAACTAGCTCATTCATCTATGGTACTAACTTTCAATCCGTACCAACTTCAAAGCTCAACGCTCAAGTCTCTTACTCCTTATTCCTGACCCGCTCACCCCTCCATTGAATCCACATCGTGGGCAGCACACTAAACACCGCCAGAATACCCACCATCAACCCAGCACTCCCCTTCAATCCCAAATTATCAAACATATCAGGGAACCAAAATGGACCTCCAAGATGTTAGCCCCTGAAACCTCAGAGTCTTATTGCCGAGCCAAACGGGGGAGAAAACTTACCAATAAACCCCCAAGTACTCCTAACCAGATTGATGAAAACACCCACACTCCCAGCAACTTCAGCGTGGCAATCCACACAGTAAGTAGTGATAACCGTCGTCACAATCTGGTTTCCAAAAGCCGCGATCGCGATCCCAACAATCGGAGTGACATCCCAACGACCCTTCTCAGCCGCACTATCAGTTTGCACGCAGAACACGATGATTCCCACAATAGCGCATAAGTACCCAGGATACGAGAGAAAGAGCCGATATTCAGGTTTCCTAGGTAAAGACGACTTCTTGGGCCGCATAATAAAATCCGAACCACGCCCACCGATCTGTTCGCCGAGGATAGAACCGATGATCATGCCAATGAACTGGAGTCCGATTTGCTGTGCGTTGAACCCGAATGCGGGCGTGAAGATCTGAGGGATCTCAACGGTCATGAGGATTCCCGCAAAGGAGAAGACGAGAGAGTAAGCGATGGTGGGGAGGATGATGGTGGGGTATTTAGCGAGGGTTAGAGGACGCCAGAAGTCTGCTGCACTGAGGGGGTGTTTGGAGATTTGTTGAAAGGCGATGGAGGGGATACGGGTTAGTGTAGATGTGGGGGTATTGGGGTGGCGGACGTAGAGGGTTTCGTGGGAGAGGAAGAAGTAGAGGATGAATTGGACGAAGTTTGTGATGGCGAGGATGCGATAGATCCATTGCCAGTTTCCGGTGTGGTAGACTACGAATCCCATGATGAATGGTCCGGTGGGCGGGCTTCGATAAATTAGTAAACTCTCGCGGCATGGTATGCTTATAATAATAGAGGAAGACCTCACCCAAGTGTAACCATAACTGTCCAAACACCCATCTTCAACCCCCTCTCTCGTTTGAAAAATGTCTCAGCAACAACAGCACTGCTAATCGCAATAGCCGGACTGATGAAGAATGCTACCAATATTCTCGTGACCACCTGAGTTGCGTAGCTCTTTGACTCGGAGCAGCCAATATTGCAGACCATTGAACCGAATGTCGATAGGAGCCAGATAGGTCGTCGGCCATATGTATTTGAGATGGGTTTCCAGAAGAGCGGAGAGACACCAAGAATCAAAATCTGAATGGCGGTAAGATATGAGGCCTCAGTCAGAGAAACATCAAGAGCAATAGAAAGGTCCTCGAATGCCGGTATGATAGATGCTGCCGTAAAGGTTGTCATGAGAGCGTGAAATGAAACCAAAAACAAGTTTACATTTTTCTATTTTGCACGTTATCAGTTTAGTCCACCTTGTGCTCTCACGATCAATGAACATGTAATGGGAAAGAAAATACCTTCCATGAGGGCCAGTTCAACGGATCGACGGGATCCATAGAAGGCAGAGGCTCCAGGTCAACAGTGCCATGTCGCTCTATCAAATACTCTCTATGTTCTAAAGTAAGTGTTTCATTGGTAACATTTTCGACATGGTTGCCTTGGTCGAAGGTGTCGGCCTTTTCAGAGGACGATGATGTTGACATTGTCTGAGGAGGAGTATGTTCGATCTGCCCGAGATATTCTCGTTTTGATTCCATCATTAAAAAAACAATTTGACATCAAATTTAACACGAGAAACAAACAAGAGAAGGAACCAAAAGATAATGGCGATTTCTCAGCTAGTCGTTTCTCTAGTGTATTGAACGCATTATTCCACTTCTAATTTTCTCAGCAGAACGGGAACAAAAGAACTGCCGGTCAAACAAATACCAAATCCACTAAGTTACGAATCCTTTCCATATTCAATGCTGTGCTGGGATAAGAATTGTCCCGAAAAGCGGAGAAGTCGTGGAGAAGTGGACCATAAGATTTGTCCAGCCCCAGTCCCCATTTTCTAATGGAGAAAGCTTATTCGACACAAGCACTTGCTCCTGAAGCCACGAATGAGTCTCAACGCTGACGTCTCAAAGATAAGAATAGACTTATTATCCATCGCGAAATATTTCAAGACAGGACAACTCCATCCAAGTCCTAGCATTAATTGAAAAAAAGGAATGGGAGCAAGCGTAACATAATTTCTGCCTCGAACGTTCTACACCTCTTCTCATTATAAGCGTTTAGGAATTTTGATTAATCGTGTGTGTAGTGTTACGCCAGGTTGAAGATTTGCCGTCAAATAATCCCGATATATCCTTGTCAGGGGAGATGGAGCCGCGTGTGCTCATGTACCGGGGGACTGGTTGGGCGAGCGTAGAAGGTCGTTGATCAATCGCCGAATAAAGCTAAAGTAGCGGTGATAATGATGTGTTTGATAGCTGTCAAAAGTGCAGTGACGATCTTGGGTTTGCGATTGAGAGTGGACGTTGTCGGGAAAGACGGCTCTGACAGAAGTGTGACAAGCCCCACGTCCACCAACTCCTCTCCATACCCCATTGTTTCTCCACACCCCGCATAACCCACGCAAGAAGAATCATTTATGGGGAGACGATGACAATATCCAAAACCTATTCCACAATCCGCGGACTAAGACGCTTGATGTGTAACCTTCGACATCTCATCCCTTTTTCTCTTTTACAATCAGTTCTCTGACCTCAGGTAACCCCTCCCAACCTCTACCAGCACCGCCAAATTGCACGCTCATCTCGATGACCTCTCTCCATCTTAAACCAGGTGCAATCTTGCCAGTGATCGTATTCGGTCGCCTCACGTCTGCGTTCGTAGGAACTGGTAGTGCTCTTCCAAGCAGAGCTTCCATCGCTTGCATAGCAAAACCTACAGCTTTCTTTCCATTGCTAGGCACACCTGTCTTGTCGAATGCACCGAAGCGAGCCCCTGGAAACTCACCTTGAAGGTCTGCGATGAGCTGCGAATTAAACATACCTCGCCCATCGACAATGATGTCGGCATTGTTAATGGCATGACGACCCGGTCCGAACAGAAGCATTTGTTGGGCTATAGAAGCAGAGGTGAATCGAGTTATCGTCGCAATTGTGTCGGCAACGGTACAGGTTCTGAATTGGCACATGGATACAATTCTTGCAGCCATTAGGTCACCATATATCTCTCTAGCCGTGGTCTTAGGTGGGCGAGTTTTGAGATAGCTGTCGTTCTCCAAGAGTTCTTCGACTACCTCGTGGCAGATCTGACCATTCATCAGAAGAGGCGAGTTTTGTTCGCTGGCAGGGTCAAAACCGAACTGTCGTAGAGCGCTATCAATCATTGATGTTCCTGGTCCCGTGTCCCAATCGTACATGGCATCAATGCCACCTTTTGTGTCCGGTGGAATGAAGCAGGCAGTTGTTATCCCGCCAATGGTTATACAGATTTGGAGACGGGTGGGGTGATGAAGCAGTAAGCCAACAAGATATGCGAACAGCGGTGCGCCTTGTCTTCCAACAGCTTGCTCTGCCGTTCTATAATCCGAGACGGTCGTTACACCTGTTTTGGCAGATATAATTGCCCCTTCCCCTAAGCACATATTTGAACGATGCTGACCTTTGGCTGGAGTTCCCGTCAACGAAACTAGTTGCCCTCCGGAACCAATCAAGTCTATATCATCTACTGCAATCCCATGTTTATGCGCAAATATGTGTACTGCGTTGGAAAACGTGTGTCCAAGTTCTGCATCCATCTGTGAGAGCATACTAGGAGGAGCTGCATCTTCTCTCAGCATTGATAGGATATCGCTTCGGATCTTCGAAGGCATAACTACAGAATCATACTACAGGAAAGGATCAGTGGATATTCCAAGGGAAGGCAGGATGGAAGATGTACCTGGACCAATTCTAAATACAACGCTGACTCGGGAGCCTCCTGTGTAAATCTACACAACGCGAAATCGATATCGTCCATAGCTGTTCCAGAGCACAATCCCAATATTAATAGATTCAGTCCCGGTCCTTTTGGCACAGCATTGGTAGATGAAGCACTCGAAGTGCTCGAATTACTAGAGACATCCGAATCCCGATTGACCTTCGACTGTAGAGCTTCAAGGTATTTGTGGCCGACCTGGTGTCTGATACGTCCTTTCGGCGCTGGTATGAGACCTTTCATGCCTGTTCTAACCATCCTTTCAAAGTTGATGCGAAGTCTCCTTTGATCATGTCCTTTTCTGCTCTGTTTATTCGGCCGTAGTCGGGCTTTCAATATCGCGAGGGAGTTAGTCAATTTGAGTCTCCCGTCCGAAGCAGCCTCTGAAGACGGACAGTTCCAGCTTTCTTGTAACAAATTCAATCTCTCCACTTCCGACGACAGGTCTGGGAAAGTTCTTCGCCCATCGTGGTGTTGTTAAGCTTTACGTGCTACCAAAGTAAGCTGATCCTGTTGGGGAAGTTGCATGTCATATAAGTGGTCCGATTGCTATGTTAGTTTGTCTGGTGAGATTAGTCAAGAGCAAAGTTTACCTGTCAACATCTCCGGATAAAATTTCTCACTCTCGTGGCTCAATGGCGTAAGTTTGAGAGGCAGAAGTATGGAGTCAGGGAAAAGAAAGCTGCATTGGGCAAAGTCAACCTGCTCGGTAGTCCGAGTCCGCAAAACCGGTATTGACCCGAAGTCAGCTGATACTCCCCCCTCTGCAAAGGGAAAACTTCTCAGTGCTCCGTTACAGAAAAGCTTTTACGAAGCATTGCTGGGATGTTGAATGGGGACATCACAAATCGGCGGCTCAGCATAATGTCCCCTGTAACATGAGATGGTAAAGCGTGATCCTTTCAATAATTATAGGTCAATAACGATAACACAACACCGCAACCGCAGTACGCTTGGCCCCGAGTTTACCGTATGAACTTTCGGGCATAATGTACATCATAGCTTGACCCGGCCAGCATTCAACTCCTTCCAGTCTTCTCGTGTAAATCTTACATAGGTACCATCCTTCAACCAGAACAAATCATCATTGCTGACCTTCTCTGGATCCACACCTTGTGTCCTTACAACATGTTTCTGCTGCTTGTTCGTCCCGGTAATTTGCATTTCTCTAATCAGTCTCAAAAAGAGCGGGACAGCAAACCGAGGTAATCGATCTTGGGCGTGTCTTGCTAAGTCACTCAGAACCCGCTCGCTTGGTTCTTCAGTAAGGACAAGCGCGACGCAGCCCGCCCGGCCATCGTGATGTGGTAACTCCACTCCATACACGTTAGCTTCACGTACGGAGGAATGGTTTCCCAGGGCTTCGGACACTTCGTTTGTGGATACGTTTTCAGCCTTCCAGCGGAAAGTGTCTCCAATTCGATCACTGAAATAGGTTCGGCCTTCAGCGTCCGAAGTAATCACATCTCCAGTCCTGAACCAGGCATCGCCCATCTGTAAGACGTCTCTTAAGATCTTGCTCTCTGTCGAGGATTTGTTGTTATAGTACCCTTGAAATTTGGACTCGGTGTCCTTGGCATCAATGGCAAAAATAAGCTCGCCAGGTTTTCCAAGCTCAACTCTCCGACAAAGTTTTGTTATTGGGTCCCGCCATGGCTGCTCTGTTTCCCAGTCGAGCTCAACAATCGCCGAAGTTGACTGGCTGAGAAACTTGCCTAGAGTTCCTATACGACCAATAGCACCCTTGCTGAAGTCATTGCGACTAAAATTCCAGGCCCCGCTTGTACCCTCCGTTGCTGAATAGAATTCGGCTATAGCCTCGATGCCAAATCGGTCTTTGAACCGATTCCAGATATCAGGCCTAAGTCCATTCCCAAATGCCATTCTCACCTTGTGTTTCTTGTCGAGGTTCTCTCCCGTTAATGGATCGATCTCTGGGGGCGCGGATAGTAAATATCGACAGGTTTCACCAACATATTGTATTGCTGTGGCATTCGAAGATCTACAGTCTTTCCAGAAGGTTTTCGTAGAGAAGCTCTTTCCGATACAAATTGTCGCACCTCTAATAAGAGCCATGCAATATCCTAGAACAGAAGCAGAAGAATGATAGAGTGGCATGCACTATACTGTGTGAGCAAAATAACTTGGTGAGATAGATCGACAGCTTACGGTATAGAATGTATCGTCCTGAGCAAAGCCACTCCATCCAGGCACAATCATGGCTCCAACGACCGTTTTACTCCAAGACACGATAGCTCCTTTCGGTAGACCGGTGGTACCACTGGTGAACACGATCATAGCGAGATTTGAAATCTTGTCCTCTGAGCGCGAAGAATTTGGCTCCCTTCTTTCATGCGTTTCCATGACCTCTGCTTCAAGCTCAGGGGTGAAAATCTCGATTGTTACATTTGACAATTCATTCCGTATCGCTTGAGTGATATTGTGCTGTACTTGTGGGTCTACCAGCACGAGTCTAGCAGTGGATACTTTTATACAGTGTATAAACGCATTGTCCGTTAGGTTGTAGTTGATGAATGCAGGCTTTGCTCCAATAGCCCATAGTCCATACCACACGAAAATAAACTTTTCCGAGTTCATGAAATCCATGGCCACCACCTCCTTCGGCTTAATGTTATACTTCTCCTTTAGCCATGTTCCATATTTCAGAACTGTCTGGTAAACAGCTTTGTAGGACCAATTGCGATTGTCGAAGATGAGAAGTGTCTTGTCCGCCAACGGACCCTGCGCATATTCCTCGAGGAAATAGAAAGGATTGACCTTATCATTTTTTAGCCGTCTGTTCAACTTGAACTGCGCCTTCGCGTGAGTACCGAGAAGTCGATAGTCATAGCTGAGTTGCGTTCTAGCATTTAAGTATGCAAGACCCGCAAGGGCTGCTGGCGCAGCGAGAACGAGTGGAACTAGGTGTATATATTAGATGACGCAATGACAGGGTGATGCTATACTAACCTGGCATATTGACAGTAACCCACGCTTTGTGCGATTGAAATCAGCAGAAAGGGATTCAGCAGAAAGAGTGAACTCAAGTATCTAAGGGTGCAGAGGCAATGCGGGGAAGTTCTGGGGAAGAGATACAATTTGGGCCGGGCCCACTAAGTGAATGGTCAAGGCATTGTGACAATGGAAATAGCATCGATTATTGAATAGACTTAGCGTGACTGAAGACGATCTTGCGAACAAACATTGGTGGAGGATACGCCAAAGCATGGAATGTTTGCTGCCCCAGCTCTTGCTGTTGCTGTAGAACTAGCCGGTGAGGGGACTTTGCCTCGGCTCTTTATCTGAAGGGAGCAACTGGTGTAAAGCTCGTGCATCCTCATTTGTGTTCAAGTATCTCTCATGTACAGTCCACCCGAGGGTTCTCTGACGCGATCCATCCACGAGAGTCGTGCTCTCCTGGTTCGTTGTGTCGGAGAGTCGGTTTTGTGCATATCATGATGGAACCTGTTGGATACAAAAAAGGAAAATGAAACCAAGCGTCGGCCACAAGAGCTTCCAGAGCTTCACTAGCGTCGTAATCCGGACCAAGAACCGGAGAGTGTCACGGCAGATTTGCGGCATACCGGAGCGATAGAAATCGGCATTGGCAGCATAAGGCCACAGGCACAGTGAAGCTTAGTTCACAAATTATACTTCGACATGGCCTCCAACTGAACAAATTGGTCGCTTTACCCACGGACAAATGCGACGATTGATAGTACCAGCATGTCGGTATCAGTAGAAGGTTCAAAAGCCTCGCCGGCCGTAGCTGAGAATTCTGCTATTGATGTAAGAAAGGAGGATGCGCCAGCAAATGCGGTCTCAATCGCAACGCAGAAAAAGGAACCACCTCCTGAGAAGCCGGAGAGCATAAAACTACGAAGTTTGGTCATATTTTCATTTTGGGCAATAATTCTGGTCCTCGGAGTGCCAATATGGTGGAGAACAACGACCATTTACCGGGCAAACTTGCCCCTGGACCAGATGAAGGATTGGGCTGAGGGGAGAGTAAGTTAAATTTACTGTAGCCTCTGTATAGAGCTATACTGACATTTTCAGGCATGCCGACCTGTTTTTCCATTACGAATCTCCATCGAGGCAGATAGTCTACAGGACCACGAATCGCAGCATCTTCTGCGGACCACGCAGCATGCCCTCGATGATCTTAACGATTTCTCGGCGCATCATTTGCGCCTACAGATTTCACCTCCAGCGAATGGTTCCGTTGCGGTGGATGGACAGTCTACAGGAGGGGAGGGCGAAGAAGTTGCACTTATAATTCGACTATTACCAGGAACAGAAACCAAAGCAGACCTTCAAGCATACGCTCCAATACTTGATGTATACTACACGCCCAATCAAGTACCATCAAGCTCCTCCTCTACATCCTCCTTAGCAACATACATCGCCAACACCTTACGAGACATGTTTGCAGAGGAACAAGCCATGATTGCATATCTATTATCCACCAGCTCCTCACCCCCCGAACGAATACCCAAAGCCCTCGCACCAGAAGTAGCAGAATCCCTCGCCAAATGGACAACGCGATCCATAAAATACTCCCGAACATACCACCTAACCTTCTCCCTCTTCACGCCCACCGCCACACCCTCATCCTGGGAAATCGAAAAAGCCCTCGAAGACCACATGAAACCGCTGCTAGAAAGCTTCTCCCCAATCTCCAACTTCACAATCGACACCCAAGTCCAACTATACGCCCAACCCGGCGTCAGCGGCGCCATCCTCAAAAAACAAGACCTATCCGCCTTCATCAACGCCGCCGAATGGCCCCTCTCCCCCTCCATCGGCGGCCACCCCACCATCAACTTCCTCATCTACATCGGCGACATGTCCGTTGAAGGCGGCGGCACCTCGTGGCTGATCCCGCAATGGGGCGGCGTCATCATCCAGCCCGACATCACCGATCTCCGCCCCGCCATCCTCACATTCTCAAACCAGCTCATGTCTCTCCTCGGCGCACCCTCCTCGCACTCTCTTCCTCTCCGCCTCAACACCCTTATTCGCGTCCGCAGCGCCGGACTCCTCCTCAAAGCCTCTGGCACGATGGGCTCGCTCGCCCGTCTCACCGTCGCGCTACCATCAATCAGTATCCCGCAATCTGTCGCTGACGGTGTCGCTACCACGCTCTTTCATCTCGGCAAGGCGTGTGATGGACTCGGTGGCATTGAGGGGCTAGAAAACGCGAGAATCGCAGAAGAAGCGGCCGAAAAGGCATTTTTTGAAAAGAGTATGGTGGGCCAGGTGTACTTCCCCGATGAGCATAAGGTGGCCGTTTATCTACCTTTGCTAGGACCCGTGGGCGTGCCGTTGGTGATGGGGGTTGTGAAGGAGGTTAAGGCGTGGAGGAAGAGGAGGAGGGGGTTATAGTAGCGTGTATACATTTATTGTATTTTTGAATTTCAAGTTCACGTGGATTGAAATGGGTGGTGTATGGGTATCATTCATCTCTCTGTCCAGCTTCTACGTCCGTTCCTCCTCATCACCGACAACATAACCCCTCGCAACACCCCTCCTCCCTTCCTCAACCGTCCCCGCGTTCCCATTTCCATCCTCCTCTCCACCTTCTGCACGGAAATCGCTGCCTAATCCCTGCCACGTCCGCGTGTTTCGAAGGTACTCGGCTCCTGGACTCGCTGTCCCGTTTACGGTTGCGATGTCGAGTTTGGCTCGTCGAGCTAGGGTGGTTGAGGTGGGATTCGCTGGGTTGCTGGTGGTGGACGGATTCGAGGGTTTGGAGTTGGAAGAGTGAGAATGCATAGGTCTAGAATTCGACACATACCGTCCCGTTCTCAGGTCGAATTCTGGGGGTAGAGAATCCTCCTCCTCATCATCCTCCACATCCTCAGATTTCGCGCTCTCATCATACACAATCTCCGCTCCCTCTCCCCCAGTCTTCCCCTCGTCTCCCCCAACCTTTCCCTCCTCCAACACCCCAAAATCCCCCCTCCACCTTCCATCCCACACCCTCTTCCCATCCCCCTCCAACGCCAACGCCAGCTCAAAAGGCGTAACAACAGGCCTCATGAACTCCCGACTCTCCAACAAACTGCTCTCCCAACACCCAACCACCACCCATCCGCCGACTTCCGAGAAATTGGCCATCTTGGCTATATTCACCTTCCCGACGACGAAAGTGTAGCTCTTTTTTCCGGCGGCGAGGATGAGATTGCGCAGCGTGGTGATGGAGGAGAGGTAGTTGGAGACGCTGAGGGTGTTGATTAGGATGCCAATTATGGGGACGGTGGTTAGTTGGGTTAGGAGACCGTAGCGCCGGGTTAGGGCGCGGGTGGTGTTGGTGTTGAAGTCTGGAATGGCGGAGGTGGTGGGGTGGATGTGGAGGGAGGCGATGCGGGAGTTGAGGGTTAGAAGAAGGGCGGGGGGTGGGGAAGAGATATGGAAGATTTGGTAGGACTGGAGGGTAAGCGCTTCTGCTTCTGCGGTATCTTCGGAAGAGTTCGAATGCCAGAGGATTTTGCGGTTGGGTATTGAGGCGGTGGGGTTGTGGATAACTTCTGTTTCCAGGATTGTATTCCATCCTCTTTCTTGCAGTTTCTTGACTAGTGTTGGGACGTGGGAATGATATGTTAAATCTGCCATCACGATCACCTTGTCCCCCTTTTCGAACTCTTTTTCAAACGCATCGATCGTGGTTTGTAATTCGAGTGGTCGAGAGGTGTAAACATATATCACTGGTAATCGAGCCGTAGGCGACAGACAAGCCCGACCATAATGTACAACGACATCCGCAGACACGTGTTCGGCTGCTATTTCATCCACGCAACAGGATCCGTATGATGTATCTGCTAGGATCGCAAGTCGTATCTTGGAATCTGCTGGTTGTGTTGAGACTTCTGTTTCCAACTTCTCTCGTCCATTTTCAGCCGAGCCATTACTCCTTTTTCCGGCCCTCTGTTCCAGAAGTCCCAACTCTTTCTCTAACTCCTCAAAAACCGCCGGCGCATCCCCTAACATTCCATCCGGGAATTGCAATGCGACTCGCCTCCATCCCCCTTCTATCACCTCCCGCGCCGTTCGTTCAATCTCATATACATCTCTAATTTCTTGTTTTGAAAGTTTGCTATCTCGATCAGGTTTGATCTCGGCGGTAGGATCCTCGAAAATATTTGATTCGGGAGTTGAGAGGATGGGTGGTGCTGTTTGTTCAGTCATTGTTGTTTGGCGATGGCGGGGTTGTGCAGGAAATTATTTTTTGATGGAGGGGCAAAGGCGGTGGCAGAATTATTTTACTATCATCAAAGTCATTTCGAAGCACAAATCCCAAGGAAGGAGCATGACCTTTTACATCTGATTCCATTACTAAACCTACTCTATACAAGATTGATATACACCCAAATTTTAAGAACCCAAGCCTTCTCGAGCGATCCAGCGGTTATTGGCATTCCATAAATCTCAGAAATATTTTCTTCAACCAACTCGAGTTCAATATTCATGCCACAACGGCCCATCCAGTATTTCGTAGCTTCATCGCTGAAGCAGATATACATGCGGCGCACCTTTCATCACAATTTATAGGCCCTGGCCCAATCGTAATTGTCCACATCGAAAGGCATATTAACAATCAATCATATACACTCATCCATACGTCGTCCGAAATACGTCCATCTGTTATGCATTATGTTCCGCCTGGATCCTCTATTAGTATGTCTTATCAGAAATGGTAGTCGTCAAAATCCTTAATGGTATAGTGTTGTGGCTGTGGTGGGATGGCACGATTGCGGCTTTGCTCCCGAATCTTTTCGCGGCTCTGCTCTCGCATCGGCCATTCATCCACCTTCTCAATTCCGGGTCCATATCCACTATAGCTCGTGTTATCACTGTCTGGTGTCTTTCGATTCCGGGCAGTTCGGGATCGCGTACTCGTGCTATTCATGGTAGGAGAACGAACAGATATCGAACTCATGGTGGGAGACCGAAAGGAAGAACCAGAATTATCACTGTCGGCAACCGACGCTGGTGCTGAATAATTCTTGATATATAATGGTTTTACTCGAGGAAGGGCGGTAGGTGTTTGCTCTGCATTCCAGCTTTCTCTAACAATCCAGCAGTAGCTATCGCTGTGGTTTGCTTCTGCCACATTTTGATTCGCTCCCTTCCATGGTGGCGTATTGTTCAGCTTGGGATTCAGGTGATACGAGATACCCTCCTTGTACCGTAAGTTCGGAGTATCTACCGAAATCGATGCAAGAGTCTGCAAGATCCCGTAAATCAGGATCCAGCGTCCCCTTCGGGCTGCATGCGGGTCCACATCACCTTGTCTGTCGCTTTTCTCGAATCGCATAAAGGCGTCTACCAGATCGTTGATCACAAACTCAGATCCAAATAGATATATGTTGGTTGATTCGGTATATGCCAAAGCAGCTCTTCGCTCAGCCATTCTATCATCCCCTGGTCGAGCTGGTTTACCCCTAGTCGAGTTGCTCTTTGCTGGAGATGATTCAGGAGTCAATGGATATGGGTGCGGAATATGTGGATATTGAAGCCTGTTGTCGAAAGCAACTAGAAGATCTGTAAAAGGAAGATCTGGAGTATCCGCATCGAACCCCCTGTTATTAGGGTGGACAATATTCCACTTTCGACCACTTCGCTCTTCAGAACAATCCCATGCAACCTCTCGGTTGACAAGATAATCGTACAATGCTCCAAAATCCGTTTGAAGTCGGGCCGTCATATTTCGATCGAGCCACTGTTCGTCTCCTGGACGCGGAAGCGGAGGCCATGACTCAAATTGCAACTGGTAATGTTGCAAGAAGAATGTCCGCAGTCTCTCAAACGCAGTTCTAGCAGGAGGTGGTTGCGCAGTCATCATCGGCCACATGTCCCCAAAATCAAAATCAGACAGTCGACCTTCGCACTCATGAACTCGCTCTTGGATCTGAATACTGGCTCGATCTAGCAAAGCTTTCGTGATTGTCGTAACAAATCGGTAATCCGGGATGTCTGTATATTTTATTTTATGCATTCCACAACAATGGACGAATGACTCTCTCCATCCTTCTTCCCATCGAACTCCTTGGCTTTCGCTCCACGCAAGTAGAGACATTGCAGCTGCTGGGTTCTCTCGTACGTCGTCAATACCTTTGCTGATCAAATAATCGATAATCATGCCTGCTGCGTCAGAATCTGGTGGCATATAGACCTCGAGGCGTTCATGAAGATCATTTAAAGCCTGGAACAGATTCAAACCAACCAACGATGCTTGATAAAGAAGCGCAAACACGTTTCTGGTGGTTACTTGGTGTCTTAGAATGTCGATTTTGGATTGGTTGTTGGGTGGAGGAAAATATATCTCATAAGAGATTTGTCCATCGTAAGTGCCAAGGCTGTTGTCCGACATTGGGGGCGTTGGATTAAAGCGATTCATGGAATGTCCATTTCGGATCGGAGGAGCGTTGACTGGCGAAGGTGGCATGCTAAAACTGCTCTCTTCATCCGTAAAGCCTTCGCGGAGAAGCGTGATGAGATATCGTGAGTCCGTCGCCTCGAGCACGTGCGACGACAGTCGAAACGACGGAGGGGGTCTTGATGCTTGCTGTCCTTCGTGACTGAAGAATACAAGTGTATCTCCATTAGGATCCCATAGCTCAGGGTCTTTGCGAAGTTTGTTCCACGGTTGAGGAGCTCGACCCGATCCCATCCATCGCTTCAACTGTGGTGGAACGGCAGGGAGCTTACCCGCTGGAGCAGCTCTCATGTAATCTTGAGGCTCCGAAAACTGATTTTGTCGTGTGGTGGATCGACTTCCCATTGTAGGTTGAGGAATATACTCTCCCGTATCCAATTCGTGGGAACCTGGTCGCACGGTGGCCGCTGTGGCCGGTCTTGGCTCCTCAATCTTCTTCTTCTTGCCAAATGTTTTCGCCAAACCTTTGCGAACGCCCTCGCTCCTCTTGTCCATCATCGATCTGAAGGAGGATTTTTCAATACCTGATACATCAATGATGGGAACTTGAGGCTTGCGGACTCGCGCATAGGCCAAGTCATCCGTCCCGCCTGAGCCGCCAGACGCGACGGTCTTGATGGTGTTATAATCATTTGCCGTCCTGTAGCTCAGTTCTTGTTGAAAGTTATGGTGATCACTGCCAACTGGGAGAGGAAAGTCGCTGATAGAGGTTGGCGATGCGAGTGAGTCGCCTTTTACCGATCCTCCATCGCTGCCGATAATGCGACTGACCTCCGTGTGTTTAACCTTCGTCTTCTCCTTGCGTACATGCGCACTGCGACCCGACATATTGCGATTCGGTTATCTGCAAATACGCATGAAAAGAAAGAAGCTTTCTGGTGATGTTAGATCATTAACGTTTATCGTGGACGCAGTACTGATCGATGGAGGGGTGAAGTAGATCGGCGGCGCAGTGAGCTTTATCTGAGGGGTGGCTTGTGTACAAAGGTGAACGTCCAACGTCAAATTGCAATTCTGAATTTCGGCGTCAACTTCGTCTCGATTAAATCGGTCCGAAACGGGTTGAAGAAAGGTAACCGCAAGTGGATTTTGGTGAGGGATATGTCGCGTGCTCCAAAGGTATATAAAGATCGGAAAGATATATGCGTTTTTGTTGAAAGGCCGAGTTGAGAGTTTTCTACCAGTCCACCTGGTACAAAAGATAAGCAAGAAATATAGATTGACTTCGAGGCACTCTCACAGAAAAAAGCATGGAAGCTGGACGGTGCAACGTACCTCTGCGCTGTGAATGGTGCCAAGGTAACTATCTCAAGGGCGGGTGAGAGAAGAGTGAGAGTGAGTATATTGGTAAGAATTTCAGTAAAGGATCAAGAGCGACGCGATCAAGGAGAGTGGTGAGCGAAGAGGTGTAAGGACAGTAGCGGAAAGAAAAAGTGTGAATGAGACGATGTCGTATGAGATGCGGCGAATCGAGGGCGAGACTTGGGGTTTGGCGGGGGGGTGCAGTCGTTAAAAACGGTCGTTGCAGGCGTCGTAGGGAATCTCTGATATTCCGGGTCAAGGCTCGGAAAAGTCTGTGGCAGATTGGCTGGATATGGCGAAAAGGAGAGCAAAAGGAAGCATGTGAAGGTATTTAGATGATGGTGAGGCCCGGCTGGTGCTGCTGAACAAGATTTCGCTTCGACGCCTCTTTGCACTACGCACAATCGGGGACCAGGCTGGTGGGAGTAGTGGAAGCAGAGCGTGGGAGGTTACAGTGCCAATGGAAGCTGACTGAAATGGGACGAGGCTGGCGGGCTGGGCTTTTTCGAAATGCCAGATTCACTTGTTGTTTCTTTCCGTCCGTACCACTGCAACTTCATTTAACCCCCGCGCGAGGGAGCCCTCATCGACTTATATCTGCCCACCGCGGTCGGTAAGATATCACCCTGCGAGTCCCTTTCCCCAAGTGTAAGCGATACATCCAGTATGTCTCCGTAATCCACTCTTTCGAGGCCAGTGAAGGGTCGACGTCGACGGCCCTTGCTCTTGATCTGGCTGGTTGTGTGTGTTTAGCTGATGCAGACCTATTTTCTTCCAGAGGGTATGGTGCAGTAGTGCCATTGGCGAGGCCCCTTGGACAGGCTTGGGAGCAGCCAAGGGGCAAGGCGGCCTATCACCAGGTTCAACGGTATTTCAAGGGTTCTCTCTCCTAAACGGGCTGCCAGTCAGCGCGGACGCCAGGTTCGGATCGTGGATGGTTCGCGCCGAGGGAGACAGTCCGGCGTCGTCCCTAGGGACAGTGAGAAGAGGGTGCAAACCACGCAATAATCGATGGAGTGGGCACGGATTGTAGCACTGATAGGGGTAAGCACATCAAAAGCCACGTCTATGTTTGGTTAGAGCACGTTGTCAGCACTAGAGCGAGCTCGCTTAGGCTACTATATCCACCTTGGCGTCTAATACAGTAACCTTAGCGATTGCCCAGACTCGCATAGGAGATTCTTTTGACAAACATCCGACCATGTCTTGCTTCAACGGTCCATCGCAAACGTGAATTACTTCGTAGGACATCGCTTCAGCTAAAGGATGTCACTCGTATCTGTTACCGTTTAATCAGAACGTTCCGAGACTATGCACAACATCCTGACCGACCGACGCACACCGGGATGATCCCTCGTTGAACCTTATCACCTCGGAATGGTCAGCTTCGACTATTCTCGAGCACTCTGTACATTGTCCATCTCAACATCAGCCTCAACTGTCATTTCACTACCGAATCCTGACTGTCCCACCTGCCATTCTCAACGGTCTTCGCCATCCTTCAACACCAAAAGTTAGACGCACAACAGTCGGCGAAGGACTGTTGGGCCTCGAGCGTGCGGTGGCAGCTCCGTCTTACTCCTGCGGTTGCTCCAGCTCCGGCTATTATGGAAGATGTAGCTCATCTTCCAACCGTACCCCAGCAGACTTCAACCAGCTGGGACTCGAGAATATTGAATGTTCAGACCTTTATAAAGCTTTCCGGAGGCCAACATTGCCCTTGCGTGACATGCACGCAGTCATGCTCGAGTTAACGATACCCACACTCCACAGCTTCGAAATTCCCCGACGCCGTCAAAACATACCGCCGCCACCACGTCACTCAGAAACTCTCGTTACACTTCCATGTGGTTTAAAAATCCTGTGGAGAGTCGCATCTGCTCTAAGAGCTTTTCCAAATCCATCGACCTCACACAGACCTGCAATGCCATCCGCATGGCCTCGAGGGATTGCGTGTCTGTGGATCATCATGGCTGCATCAAACAACCGTCAATGATTCGACTGGACGCCTCTTTTCGCAAAAGTAACAGTGTGGTAAGTTTTTGGACATGTAAAAACATACATCTGCAAGGGCAAGGTATGAACACACCCGCGAGAGATTTATTTCATCCTGGTAACCTGTCGCATCACCCCCGACTACCTTCCAGACCTCCCTTTTTCAGTCGTCTCGTCCACCGAAACTATGGATAAATCCCAAAGAATCCCAGATTCGACATTCCTGTAATTTTAATTGACATAAGGTTCACCACCTTGCGCAGGACAGAAAATAGAAACGCGGAGAAAAGGGATGGTTGCAATGAGGTGCATCTTGGTATGCATCTTGAACCCTTACTTTGGTGTGTGCCTCTACTCACAACCTTGAATAACATCATCTTGGCAGTACTTTGTACTTCCTCGAAATTCCAAATGCTTACCCCTCCAGAAGCCTCTAGAATCTTGCTCCTACGCTGAATGCTGCGACATCTGCACGTTTGCGACTGGCCGAACCCCTATTCTCCAAAACAACTCTTACTCGACCTTTTCCAACGTTTCTGCAAAAGCAAAACTCACAGCTTATATCGAACTCAGCCCGTTTCGGCAAGGTGCCTTTTCCTCCACCGTTGGATGTGGAGAACACACAGACGATTTCCAAGTGCTGCATGAACGTGATGTTTGGTTTACCCCACTGTCAGTGCGATAAGGCAAGGAGAAAGAGGCACAGCACTGTCTCTCTTAGTTTTTGACCGGCGCCGGCATCGCTCGAAATAACGTCTTTCGTCGGCAGTGACCGAAGATTAGGGCATCACCGACTAACGGACTTGGAAACTAGTTTGGTGCGCGGAACCGATTCTTGAAAAGGTATGTTGAACCCCAATTTTCGAAACAAGCCACCCGTTATGTTCTCAGGCCCGAATACAGTCTTTTTCCGTGTCACTGGACAAAACTTCTAAAAAGTTGGTGATTGAGGTACATCATACTGATGAAACATCTAAACCTCAACTCCCCTACCGTCACATTAACCTTACTTGAACCCTTCCCATCAACCAAATTAAGCGCTCCTACGAGAATAGAGTCTTTTCGCATGTCAACCGGGTATTTCAAGCAGTCAGATTCACAGTCAAAGCTCAATCGAAACAAATTTGTTTTATCCATTCTTTCTTACCTGTCAGATTTATCCATCTCCGTGCTCCGGAAGATTATTGGCTTGGTGCCTGCAAATCGTCTGGGATAAGTATATCATATGGAATTGCCGAGACATATTTTCATCGCTTTGATCATCACATTGCAGACCGGAATATCAGTGTATGCTCCGCGTCTGCAAGATCATTTCAATGCGATGAAAGGTTCAGCATTGCTTCATCTGGGACGTGTTGGACTGCGAGTGCTTTTTTGGTGATGAGATTTCTATCATTAAGGTTTCAAGGAAGTGTTGGACTGCAAGTGCTTTTTGTTGGCAGCTTCATCATTTCTACATCTAGGACACCTTGGTTCTGATTCTTGATTGGGCCTCGAACTTCAAATCGATGCTCATGCTTCTGCTTGTCTTCGGAGTCGCTTTATTTGATACATCGTCAAAGTCTTGAACGAAAATATGATATATGTGGCGCCAGTCGTATGTGCGTCTATCACCATGTCTCAAAAACCTTCCTACGCCCGTTGCTTGTCTCGGCGATCAACAGAAAAGAAAAGAAAAGAAAAGGTTGATCTGTGATCGAAACATGCCGGCACTTCAACTATCAAAAAGACGCCTGTTCTGGGGTAAAAAGCCTCGAGTTTTAAAGTTGTTGCCTTCAGATGTTCCTGTGGCTGGAATTCGGAAGGTCCAACAAAACAGTACTGTGCTGGCGAATATTCACAAGCAGGTAACAGTATACTCATTTCTGACAGCTTCGGCCGTTTCATGAAGCTTCGACAGCTAATCTCACGAAATGTACAAATTAGCGCTAAATTGTGAGACTTGGTGGCTGTTTCTAATATTCAATTGATCATGAAACATGAGAAAATGGAAGGATGCATACAATTATCGGAACCTTCAAACATCTGATACTATCATAGGGTACTCGAAACACAAGAAAACATTGTCGCAGACACTGACATATTCTTCACCGACAACTTACAATTGCCATTTATCATCTACGACGACAAATCGATCGTTCAATAACCTTGAATGGCGAAAGAACTTCCAACTTCGAGACTCGGGGCATCCAATCCTCTCTGTGAAGTAGGAATCCTCTCCTCTCCTCTCCTCTCCTCAACCTCAGACTTTCTGGGCTTTCTTCAGATTGAGGTGGAGCTGGCAGCGATTCACTTTGTAATCATATGGTCTGGGTATGATCCTGTAGGGAAGAATAACTTGAAAGCGGGTGTGTGAATCGGAGTGTGAGGGGTTGGGTTGTTGGTAGAGTACTAAAGATGAAGTTGGAATTCTATATGACTATTTTAGATATGTCACTCGCACGGTACAATCAACAAACTCATCCACTAGAGCGGGGATGTTTAAGCCCACTGGCGTATACGGATAGATTCTGCGGGAGCATCTATGATGCAACCGCGCAACTTCGTGATATGTGGTTGGAGAAGATATCGGCAAGATATGCTGTCAAGGGGACTACGATTCCGAGAACGGCCGTAGGGATTCCAACTTACTATTATGTATTAATATCGATCATCAGTGGTTTTCCGCGATCAAAAGATGAGACTCTAGTCTCATCGCTCAAGACAGGCGTGTGAGATTCTCCAGCTGTCTACTGTCCACTTCCCAAGTTCGCCATAAAACATCTTGAGAACTTCCCTCTTCTTCTAAGGTAAATCGCCTCATCACAAATTATTGCGCACCAGACGAGGTTGAAAGGCAGAGGACGAGATAAACAGTGTGACTTGTCTAAAGCAACGAAAAACGAAAGAAGGAAAAAACGCCACATGTATACCCACGAAAGCCCGCTACCTAAGACTTCGTATTGCGTACTCTGTCCAAGCCCTATGCTGAACATCCGATAACGGTAACTCTCTCTCAATTCAGACATGAATGCTGTGATATAATATGTATGCAACAAACACTTTTCTCTTACTGAACTTAGGCGGTGAAAGGCTTGGGGAAAGGGTTGGAAATCAGGAAGATAGAGAGGGAGCGGGTAAGATATGTGGTAAGATCGTGGCATGGTAAAATGCGCGACGTTTTAATCGTTAGGAGAGATGGGTTTTCTTACGGCCTGGTACAACGCTACCAGGATTCATAGGAAGATCAACGCAAGCTTTTCAAAACGGTATCCCTTCCAACTTGTCTTAGTGGGGAGACAATTCAACAGTAATTGAGTCGGTGTAGTCTCGGACGAAGCAGTGATTGTATAAGACAGTGTACGAATGAATTTCTACCTCTCTTGTTTGGTAACGACGACCTTGAAACACGAATAGGGAGTATGAGAAGGAGGGAGTAAAGGTGAAGTAGTACCAGCTCAGTCGCATCATCTTGGAACAGTTTAGGAATAATGAAAACCTTGATTCTCCATCACGGTTTATGGAATTGAGGATTCGAAATACATAACCTACTAACGGCCTTGCTTGGAGGAGGGAAAATACAGAAATTGTAGCGGGATGGTTGAGGAGGGGGGTGATGTTATTTCATCCATCTCCTCACCGTTGATCCCGATTCGTGAACGTATTTAAGCTGGGAGCTTGAGAGCACTGTCGAGAGAGTACAATTGCCTGATACTAGGCTCGCGGCTACGATTTCCTTGTAATCTTACTTTGAGACTGCTGGTAACGTTAGATTTGAGTAGGGGCACTAATAAGTTTTTGGGATAAGGGTGGGGTCTAATCCAAGATGCTGAATTTGTTCGACTTAAGGATAAGAGGTAGGTTCCCACTCTAAGGCTCTTTGAATAGGCTCGTCGCCGATAGTTAGAATGCCGTCGATGGATTGGGTTTGAGGGAGTTTATGACCTTTGTGATAACGACGTTGGTTTGCTGTACAAACTCGACTTCGTAAGAAAAGCAGATGGTTTCTTCTTGAAGTACTAAAATAGAGTAGGAAGAAATTTATAGCGTCCACATGTCCGAGGTGCGTCCCCAAATTATTCATTCGTTCGATATGTTTATAATTATATTTTAATGTTTTTATTTTATTCCTATTTTCTAGTAGATTGCTTGTACACGGCCCCGTAATATGATCAACAGATGTGAAAAAAAAAGTATTAACAAATATAGAGACCTGAATATTATCGATCTTCTCGAAAAGCCAGCACTTCGCAGTGCAGCCATCTCTAGAACGAAGACAATCTCCAGAATCTCCACCTAGGTATCTAAAAAATTCGTAAAATGTCATATCAAATCATACCGAATCTGCCAGCCATCCTTCAAACCTCCCAAAGGTGAACGCTCAAACATATGCATGTCGTCTACCAGAGTGCGAGCTGTGATGGCTGCGATGAGATCCGCTCCTTCGATGTCCATGGCGAGAGTAATGGGTTTCGCGCACATAAACATCCTTCTCCTTGCGCTTCGAATCCTTTCTGCCGTGGAATAACGCCAGGAAAGATGTAATGGCGAAGAATATGCAATTCATGATGCCGAACGCAAAGCAAGCTTTGAGCATGGCGCATGTTTTATCGGTATTCACATTGAAGCCACTGAGACTGAACCCAGAATTTCCGACGCCGATGCTGAAGAATGGGTTGGTGCTTCGATTGATGCTTGTGCAGTTGTAGTTTGTGATGCCACGAAGTTCGTAGACGGATCCGATGAATGCGCCGATGAAGCAGAGGTCGATGAAGGATACGAATAGGGCGTTAGAGCGCGCGCGATGGTAGGTGAAGAGTGTTGCGATGGCCCAGACGGCGCCGAGGACGGAGACGATGAAGAGGATGAGGATGTAGTTTGGCGTGAGGAGGTTGTTTTTGTTGTAGATGTTTACAAAGTAGGCTAGCATACCAAGTGTCGGGATCTAGACCATTTGTTAGAATGCGCGTAGAGGATCTGAGAAGAAAGTCTTACCAAGGTGATGATTTCCATAAAGCGCCAAAAGGCGAATAGCACTCCAAAGAGCATGTTTGCGGTTTAGGTAAGATCTTGCGATGAAGCTGGTGGTGTGATGGATCGCGAAGCCTTATATCCAGCGGGGAAAGCTGTCGCAGTCGCTCGCGCTGACCGAAATGTTGGTGAGATTCGGGCGTGACAACGAACCAACAGAAGCAGGCGGACTCGAAGCCTTCTTATTACTCCAAGATCGCAGACTGGCAACAACAAATTGGGGTGACCCTGTTGTTCTTCAGTTGATGGAATGCCTTGCGCGCTGTGCGTTGGCAAGGATGGTTCCTAGTTTTAGACGTCGAAGATTGTTGTGTCCAAGATGGCCGAGCTTGAGCGCAATGACGTCGATGCAGTCTATTGGAGGGATGGGTAAGGCTGCAGCGAATCTCGCAACACGATCTAGAATCTAGAAAGATGTGAAAGGAAAGAATCAAGTGGGTGAGATCGAACAAAATGTTGAAGCAAGGAATGATGAGAAGCAGAGGGGAACAAGTACGTTATGACTCTCCAATAGTAACCGAGAAAAGAAGATGGCTGGTGTCTCGTCTCTCCCAGACAAAGCCTTGTCATCGTATCTTACCTACATCTATAGGCGAAGCGGATCAATGATGGGTGCCACGAGCCATGCGGTTGGGTGCTTTGCATCATCATGGGATGGAACAATTGGAGGGGTTGGACTCGAAAGTCAAAATCAGGTGGTTGGGGGAAAAACAAAATAACAACACTCGGCTCGGTTGCCGGGGCCGATTCACCGACCGTGATATTCGAAATGCTCCTTCCATGGTCGAGACGGTCCTCTAAAAAGGTATAATGAAATGTTAAGATTGAAATTCAAACAACAACGAATCTTTTGTAAAGATGGGTCGGCCCGGTAGACTAGAGGAGCTGGATTCAATGGGGTTCTGGAAGTTGTGGGGAAAAGGACCGGTATTCACCCGGCTCGTACTTCAGAGCGATTGTTTTGTTGTCAATATATTACCGACCATAAAATCTGGAATACAATACCAAATTCAAAAACGTTGAAATGGTTCTCAAAGCGCTCATCACCCTTTGATCGCTGTGTACAGTCGAATTTCACGATGGTAATAGGGCATACAAGCTCTCTGTGGATTTGGTGACTTTCGCAAGTCAGCTTCTGCCAGATCGAACGCTGCAGCCTCCCATCTTGGTTCTCTAACTCGCTCTCTTGCTCTCCCACGAGCTTTACCCATAAGCTTGATGCCTTTTCTACAACTGTGTAGAATTTACTGACGACTTCTTCCAAAAGCAGCTCTCAGTTTGGATACGCTTTCACAATGCGCCTCATCCATAACAAAACGCTGAAGCTCGACGAATGCCATGTGGCAGGCTCGATACCCTTTGCCATACTATCTCACACTTGGGGAGAGGGCGAAGTGTCTTTTCAGGAGACACAAAACGGTACTGCATATTCCAAGCAGGGTTATGGGAAAATCCGACGCTGTTGCGAAATAGCTGCAGCTGACGGATTTGAGTACAGCTGGGTAGACACTTGTTGTATAGACAAGACAAGCAGCGCCGAACTTTCCGAAGCCATCAACTCGATGTATCAGTGGTATAGAGCGGCCGGAGTCTGTTATGTTTACTTGGCGGATGTCCCTACTGGGTTGGGATTAGACTCTAGGGTTCAAGCCATTCGAATGAGCCGATGGTTTTCCCGGGGGTGGACACTCCAGGAGCTGCTTGCACCAGAAAGCGTGATATTTTTTGACAATCAGTGGGAAGAGCTTGGAACAAAGGACACTCTACGTGGGCTCATATCAGACATCACAAGGATCGATAAGAATGCCTTAAAAGACGAGTCTAACGCAAAAGATTTCAGTGTGGCTCAGAAAATGTCATGGGCTTCCAGAAGAGAAACCACCAGAGTAGAGGATCTAGCTTACTGCCTCATGGGAATATTTGGGGTTAATATGCCAATGCTCTATGGAGAAGGTGAACGAGCATTTATCAGGCTTCAAGAGGAAATCATGAAAACGACTGACGACCATACAATTTTCGCTTGGAGCAATCGAGATTCGTTTAATAGCTGGGGACTGCTCGCTCATTCACCTGCAGACTTTGGATCTTGTGGCTCTACCATACGAATACAGAACCCGAACTCGAGGCCCTTCTCTTCAACAAATAAAGGCATTCATTTAAATGTTCCCGTCGGACATACAGAATGGTACTACAGAAAGAGCCCGGTAATTTCAGCCATGCTTGACTGTCGAATTTTAGGTGAAGAGAGCAAAGTTATTGGGATCTATCTAACGAAAACATTATCTCCTGATGGGGACGGATTTAACAGAGTCATGACTGATGAGATAGGGAGGTTTGATATAGAAAATGTGTGGAAACTCGAGTGGAATGATATTTTCGTGAAACAAAGGGAAATGTCACTGGATCTACCGTTACATGATCATCTCTATCTCAACGTAACAGGGCTCGCAGAGCATGGGATTATGTTGGAAACATTAGATCCTGCAGCAATCCTAACAGGCGAATTTGTGCGGCTTCCGGTGTCATATACGAAAAGCATGATTGCTTCTTTTCGCTTCACGGACCAGAACGGAAATGGCTTTGATATAGGGTTTCATATTGCCAAAAAGGCTCAGTTAGTAGACACTCAGATCAATTGGTTGGCAGAGGAGCAACCGGGAAACGTTGAGATGCCTATGAATTCCTGGAATAACCAGGGTTATGATAGAGTGTTATGGCAACATCCACTGAAAAGATGGTGGATATGCGTGTCAATCAGAAGAACCATAGTGTTGCGAAAGAGGTCAAAGACCATCAACATTAGCTGGCATACTCCTAGAGTGGAAATGGCCGGGAGTCCACAGCAAGAAGGCAAGTAGAGCATCAACGCTTGGCATACAGCAACAACAGCCATTTGTGCACATTCTGCTGTGCTTCTAAAAACCACGCAGTGAAGATTTCTAGAAGCAATATCCCACTACGTAGGTTCAACCTAAACTTGTCTATCTGTTCCAGTAGCGGCTTGAAGTAAGCAGAATTGTAGTGGAACGCCGATTCGGTGTTGGTCCCGCTTCCCGGCGAGACATTAACCCCGATGGCGAAGTTGGCCACGACTAAGCAGGTCAGAAATGAAGCAAGCTTGTTCCTTTTTACATGACACTGTGACGACTTCTCACAGCTAGCAGGCTAGTGAACACATCCCTGAAATGGATGAGTTAGTGACTTTGGAAAATGTGCAACACGAGAGCGGTGTGAGGAACGATGATTGGCACAGCATAAGAGATCCAAAGAAGCGGAAACAAATACAAGACCGTCTTGCTCAACGTGCGAGACGTGAGATACCAAATATTTCATCAGATTTTGTATGAGTTACTGACTAAGTATTAGGAAAACGTGTGAAAGAGGCAAAGAATCAAAATCCGAAGCCTGCTGAGCAAGATGCTCTAATCACCTGTCTTAGTCAAAGTCACGTTGCTAGAAACAATGATGCTTCAGACTCATCACTATTCAACTCATTGAACTCACTAGACTCACATCGACATAATGAATATTATCAATACGTAGAAGTCCCTCCACTCGCACCCGCGCTCGAACTTCCAGCTCCACTCTCAGTCCTAGCAGCACTCTGGCTCAACGGCGAAATCCTAGGTCTAAAATCCTGTACCACATTCCCGTGCAAATCTCTCCCAGTATCAGCTGATATCCCCGAATCTCTACGTCCGACAACAATCCAACTACTCACGCTTCATTGTCCTGGGATTGACCGGTTCCCGTTTCCTAAGATGAGAGATAGGTCAATTGAGATGAGTGCGTTTCTGGATGAAGAGGAATTGGGGAGGGATATGATTATGGGTCCGAGTTTTTGGATTGTGCCTGGTGGTGCGTCGTGGGATCCGGGGGCTTGGGTTATTGATGTGGGGTTTAGGGAGAAATGGGGGTGGCTGTTTGATTAGGATGTGGAGTCTTGTTTTGTAGGGTGTGTGAAAGTGAGTTGATTTCTATTAGAAGTCCCATCCTGAAGCTAATGAGGTTTACTCACGGCTGAGTTTCAGTCCTGTTGTGCTTATTCCTATACATGAGATAAGCTTCATATCATATATGGCCCTCTTTCACAGCTAACTTGGATCAGCAGACCAATTCGTCGAATTTCAAGAATCACCGGAATTCGAAACAAAACTTCCGGAATACGAAACTTTACCACACTTCATCCTCGATCCCAGATCTCATTCAACGCGAAGCCTTCTTCACAACCCTCAAAATCCAATCAACCACCAAATCTGGCTGACTAGCAACAGGCACATGTCCCGTATCAATACTCTCCACATCAACCTTCCTCCCCGCCACCCTCTCAATCATTGCAATCATCCCTCTCTGCAACGTAGCAGGAATCACCAAATCCCTCTCACAAACCAGATAACTCACCGGCACATCCGCATATCCCGCATACGTCAACGGCCCAGCATAACTCACTGCAGATTGCCGATAAAACCTCTCTGCCCACGCTACTGCTTCTGTAGAAGGAAGATCTGAGAATACGATAGCTGCGTTGCGCGTGACGTTGGCTTGGTATAACCAACCGAGTTCCTATCATCATCATCAGCACATACCCTTCCCCTTCACACTTAAGGAAGATTCGAACATCAACACCAAGACCCAACTGCTGTCCCACCGGCACACCCGCAAACGTATCCGTAACCGACTTTCCGACCTCCGGCACAATAGACGTCAAATACGCCAGTCTCACAATGCCCCCCTTCTTCCCCTTCTTCTTCCTTTCTTTCTTGCTTAACCCCTTCACACTCTCACTCATAGGCACACCGCCGTACGAATGCGATATAAGCAGGATATCTTTGTCCTCGTCCGCGAGCTGCGAGACGATACGCGCGATGTATGCTGCGTCGGCGGACATGGGGGGTGGCGTGCCTAAAGTGCTGTTGTAGTGGGGGATGGTGGGGAGGCTGAGGACTTGGATGGAGTGGCCGTGTGAGGCGACTGCGTGGGCGATTCTAAGGAAGTTAGGTGTAAGGTTGGGAGGTGGGAAGTGAGGGACTTGCGGAGCGTAGAATTCTGGGAGGCCGAATGCGCCGGGGACTAGGACGATGGAGAGGTCACACATTTTTGTTATGTAGTATTGACCTTCAGAATCGATTCTTGAATTATGTTGACTAGAAGAGATCGTGTATCAGTTCGAACTTGTCAAGTCATCACCGAAAACCGGCAATTGCTCTGCTTTATATACTCATCCATACAACCTTTCATGCAACCTATTCATTGTGAATACGTACTCATTCTATCTTTCTGATGCGCTCGTATCTATTTTCTGACACCTTTCGTTCGCTTTGGAGGTGTGGAAGTTCTTTATCCCGATTCTGACGGTCAGAAAAGTGGGGCTTTCTGATTCCAAGCCGATACTTTGAGGTGATCAAGTGGATTACAGGTTTGTGTTGATACTTGTTTAAGATGTTGACACACGTTTCTGTGGTGGCGTAGTTGGGATATGATGTTGAGGGGAGTGAGGTTGAGGTTTTGAGAGGAGTTCTGATGGGTGAGAGGTGGTGGTGGTGGTGGTTTTGGTGGTCTGGAAAACAGGTGACGGAAATAGTGACTTCTCAAGATCCGGTAATTCAACAATATTCATCGCATAGAAAATGTAAATGTGATGCTACAGGAGCTGATAGATAGACAGTAGGGGAAGGTCATCATGTAATGCGTTGAAGTGAGTGGATACAGCCAGAATCAAGATGTCACCTTACTTCCTAGATGTACTTGATCCTTTTCTATCCTGCCACTAACAATAATTTCTTTTCAGCTAACAATCAAGCACGTAACTTACGTCTCTTCTAATCAGGAGATGGTACTCTGCCCCGAAGGTCGCTATTCAAAAAACACTTCAGATCTCCAAGACAACAAACAATCACTTCACAGCAACAGCAACATTAGCCACAAACTCCAACTCCGCCCTCCCACCCCCAACCCACCTAAACCCCTCCGTACCCTCCAACTCCCCCTTCACAACTCCCACCGCCCGTTCCCAATTCTCCTCATCCCCCTCACCCCACCCAGCCTCCGATGTCCCCCCAATAAAACTCCACAACATCTCCGCAAAATGTCCCAACTCAGTAGTCTGACACACCACTTTCACCTTCTCCATCCTGACTTTCTCCTTCTCAAACCCACCCTTCTCAATCACAGAGCGTAGAAATTCCGGGGGCGACCACTTCGCCATGCCATCTCTCGGCAATGGCGTCCCTGGTGCTCGTGTGGTTCGCGAGGCCGTCTGAAGAGGTGCCATGGTCGGGACGTAGAACCACGAGTTGAAAAGGGCGGTGCCGCCTGGTTTGAGGGTGCGGTATGTTTCTTTGACTGCGTCAATGCCGTTGTCGGGGAGGACGAAGAGGAGAGCGTTGGAGATGGAGTGGGTGAATGTGTTTTCGGGGAAGGTTAGGGATTGAGAGTCCATCTGTGTTGCGGTTGCTGGCCAGTTACGGGTGGTTAGGTTGCTGGTGTAGAGTTCTAGGGCTTTGGGGTTGATGTCGGTACCGTGGATTAAGATGTCGAGTTTTGAGGAGGTGGATAGGTTGAAGATTGCTGCTGTGGCGGCACCGGTTCCGCAGCCGTTGTCGTGGATTATGGAGCCAAATGGGAGAGGTGAGAGTTGGGCGAGTGTTACTTGTGCGAGCTTTTCCATGCTGTCGCCGACGAGCTCGTCGTAGAGTTGAGGGGTTGGTGCTAGTGCTTGTTTTGGGACGAACTTGTTGGTGCTCATTGGTGCGTTCATTTTGATGGTCAGTTATCACAATTTGCTGTGAGGATGAGTATTTGTTCTTAGGAGAGAATGAAAATGAGGGGAGTGGTTAGAGAGGAAAGGGTGCTAGCGATGAGTTTTGTCTTAAATAATTCTTTGATATTGTACGTAAAGTTTACTTACGTGAGACCAACAAATTTACACTTTTTTGATCTAGACCAGTACTAGCCGAATATGCGGTACTTGCCCTGAAGGTATGTAGACTCCAATTTCGCCCTCCTATTCCTAATCCACCTAAACCCCTCCGTCCCCTCCAACCCACTCTTAATGACCTTAACAGCCCTCCCTAGTTCTCCTCATCCCTCTATACTAACCAACCTCCGACGTCCGCCCAATAAAAGTAACGCCTCACAGATCCAACCCTAATTATCCCAAATCTCAATACAAGGGCGGTAGGAGGCCGTTGTCCAAAGAATAAACATCATCCACCTTAGACGGGCAAGCTCCGCACGCCGAACAGGAACCATAACTCTGCAGTAGTTTCTGACAATTTCCGCACGCGGGCATTCCATAAGCCCCTGCACTTCCAAACCTCCTCTGCGCTTCTTCTTGCGCAAACCATCGTTGCTGTGCTTGGTCATTCATGTTTTGTACGTCGACACTTCCTTGCCGTGGCCTAATCCTCTCGGTCCAGACCAGATTCGCCCCTGGTACACGTCCCAGAGTCGAGTCGACTTCAGCGCAATTCGTCACAGGCCAAGGTTCCACCGCAGTGAAGTTGCCGTGTGGTCCCATGGTCGCGCCCCGTAGGTCATTATTTTGCGATTTCGAAGTCGAGCCTGTTTTACCTTTGCCAGTAGCGGAGACTCCAAAGCTAGCCGGCGCATTCTTACCACTCCACACGACGCTCATAGCTGTGGGAGAGGGACAATTCTCCCTATATCTCACCACGCAGTCGCGGATGTTTGCGAGCTGGGCAGAGTGCTGGACATCCTGATCGTCAAGCCAGGTATACACAGTCTCCAGTGCGGCGATAGCTTCGTGGATGTTGCGCACTTGGATTGTGTGGGTTGGGAGGGTTATTGATAGGGGACCTTCTACAGGAAAGCCGTACCCTTCATCTGCGACAGAGATAAAGGAGATCAGGTCTCCGATTTCGCTATATAAGTCTGCCATCTGGCCCTGAAGCACGTATATTACTTGTGATCGGCTGTTGATAGACGTCGTGTAGGCAGATATAGGCTACCGAGGGATTATAGTAGCTTGAGAAAGCAACAAGGTGATAGGAAAACAAGTACTCAACTACGACCATATTTATCTTGGTAAGGCAGATATACATCAGGCTCGAGGTTACACAGTCACATGTCAAATTGGTGCTGCCATACTAAGCAACGTGGTGGTATTTCATTCGCTCGATGGTATGCGATATATATATAGATTGAGAGGAGGCGCAAATATTGTCGCCTGATCCGCGAGGGAATCACCCAAGACCAGAAATGGACTCTGCAAACTTTTTATCAGTACTGGTAATTTCGGATTGCGGAGGACTAGCTGCAGTGACTGACGTTGTCGTTGACGCGACTGTTGACGATGTCGATGTTAGTGTGCTCGACCCCGAGACTCCTACAGTCATTCTCACTCAAGCACGGTAAATCTACAACCACCTTTGTTTCTACTATCTTAATAGACTATAATAGAATAACTCTCGAAGTAATAGTTGTTATTATCTTAGTCCATACTACCTTAGCAGAATAAGGTACTTGCCATGACTGAAAGTTTTTGGAGTCCTGATGGCTTCTTAACAGATGATGTAGTTCTTATTGATGGTTCTTATTGACGTTATCCACATGGCAACTAAATGAATGCCTCATTTATCCTTCGGATCCTAGCCGTCCGAGATAACCCGGACGTATCGGATGACTGGACAAACATACCGACCATTGACCTTCCGTTTCATGGTCTCCACCAAGCCCTCATAAGTCTTCATTTCTGTGTAATAAGCTATAGAATAATCATTCAGCTTGATAAGACCCCTAAAATCTGACATTTCGATAGGTAAAGGGTTGGGAGGTGCGGAGCGAAATCGGCCCAATACGTCTACAGACTGTGGAAGATTATAAGCTTTCAGAACAGGATATTTATCTGTCATGACATTATTTGGATGGAGAACTTGGAATTTGGTTTTCCATGGTCGTTGAAAGTGCTTTCTTGCCCTTTTTCTTGCTTTCGTTAGGTTTTTCCTTCGAGCTTCATGGCTTTCGGTCGTGTAAGGATCATCATCAAGAACGATCAAGACCAACTCTAGATTGGGATATTGTGGGAGAGAAAGCAAGACTTGCGGGAAGTCAAAATGGTTTACTGAAAGAGCAAGTGAGCGGACCTTATCGACGGCTTTGGCTCGAGAGAAAGCTTCAAAGAGACTGGCGGCGGACCATTCACTAGAGCATCTTCTATGGAGGTAGAAAAGGTCGTTACAGACGTTGAAGATAGGGGAATACTTGCTATCTTCGTTCAGTTTCAGTTTGATATAGCCGCACGACTTGAAATCCGCATACGCCGACTTGTTTGCGAGAAGCAAAGCAGGGACTTTAGATAGGGATGCTCCAGGGCAGTTGGGGTCACCAGGTGGGTGAGCTGGACATTTTCCAGTTGCATGGGAACGTCTGTATATATTTGAAACAGGCTTCATAGAAGAACCGCTGAGTACCACCCGTTGTGGTTTATGTGCTGAGATGATGGTCTTGTTTAATAAGTGCTCCAGATCCCGAGGCAACTTATTGTACATGTGAAAAATTGAAGTAACCTCAGAAGGATCGGAATTGATGTTCAGTTGCTGGTTGGAGTTTACTTGAGAGTCGGAGTCCACTTCAGTGCCGGAGGGCACTCGAGAGTCGAAGCCCATTTGAGGGTCGAAGTCGACTTGAGAGTCGGAGTCTGTAGAGTCTGCGTCTACAGCGTCAGAGTCCAGTTGAGGGTCAAAGTCCAGCTCAGAGTCGAAGTCTAGCTCAGGGTCGAAGTCCAGTGGTGGGTTTGTTCCTGCATTGTAGTTGAAAATGACAGACTCGTTGGCGTAAATTGACAGCATGTCAAAGTGGTATTTGGACGCAGAATTTAACTCGACAACATCCACATGAATATCATGATCACCCTCCTTGTGGGCGTCTTTGTTTTGAAAAATCTAGGTTGTATTAGCAAGGGAATATATCTAGGGGATAGTCGCGGAAGGGTGGGATCGGACTTACGAATGACTTGGGGTACGAAAACTCGAACCTCTCGCGGGCCATCTCCATAAGAGACATGGTATATGAGCTAGCCATGATCTTTAGATGGAATGGAACTGCGGCGCGACTGCTCGTTCAATGAGATGAACTGAGTCGCGTTTTGCGTTGTGAAATAGTTGATGGCAGTTCCGTAAATTCATGTAAGATGGAGAAAATTAGTATAAAACCCAAACTCCGTGTTTTTTATTTTAATAGCATATGACAGGCTTGTTCACCACTTTTGCTTATTGAAAACAACCTTTCATTCACTTTCGCCCACTGTTTTTAACAACATCAACTGGCAGAACAAGAAACTGTGAATCCTAATGTAGCAACTCGTAAGAAACTTTTTATTTTCCTATGCACGTGCTGACACAACTCAAAATGATACTTCATATGAAGTGATGCTGAATGACAGCTCACTAGTACGTTGCTACTTCTTTCAAAAAAATCAAATATCCACAAAAGTAAACGTGTACCACTCCATTGACTAATTCATATTGACGAGTAAACGTACCTGGTCCACGGCCTAAAGTATGCATAGCGAACATAGTCGTCTCTTTTGTAGTAAAACTAGCAATTTTTGACTTTACTCTATTTGGGTAAGGTAAAATCCTATAACGATGTCGACTCTACTGAAATGCCTTCGAAGTGGAAGATTCTGCTATCTTAATCAATACTATTTTTACCAGAAGAAGAGGTCTGGTAATACTAGTTGTCGAAAGAGGCTTCAATTAAGGAGTTTCTCTGAGTTTGTATGAGAGCGCGATTTTGACTCAACCTAGCGCTGTATCGATGTTAGGATTGGAGTGCTCCTCGGTGCAGGGTAAATAAGTGTCACAGCCTTTATTTTGCCACCAATCAGTTGTCCAGGAACCAACTTTTTGCCATACAAACTGCAAAGGCGGTGACGCAAAAGGAATGAGCTGTGATCGTGGCATCTGAAGAATTGCGAAGAAAGTTTATGGTTACAATCCAGGAAATTATGTCTGAAACAACTCAGGCACATGAGTCTTGGCAAGAAAGGAGCGCCTTGGAGCTCCACTCCGCTCCGCTCATTCAAAATTAGACCCCACGTGTTTTCGGACATGCAGCGACTCTGGGACAGCCCCGAGACCTCGCAGCTACTATGGATCCGCCCGATTTTCATCACAACATGTCAACACCATCGTGAATCGTCGCCTTTTCATCTGGCGGCTGCCATACCTTCGCTAGCGAACACTTTGAGCTGGGAAGAAAACTGTTGAAAACAGTCCGAAAGAAGCAAAGAAACACTGATTCTCATCTCAGACAGTCCGTAAGTGGAAAGCCGTCAATAAGTTGTGTCGTTTCTCGGCGTCGATCAGCTCAAGGAAAAGAAAGCGGCGCAGGCTCAGCCTTGTAGCACAACATCGATAAGTTTCACTCTCCCGTAATGTGTTAAGTTTTATGTAAAGCATGCTGTAGCCGTACTTGACGAGACAGCTTTCCTTTCTTGTCCTTTCTGTTCGGCGTTCAATTGGCGGGAAGCGGCATGTGGTAGCAATTTTGAAGAGTCGTACCTTCCCCATCTCGATTTCGAACTTTTGATAGAAGAAAATCTTTTCCTCGACGCCGAACCTGGATTCTGGCAGGAACTTACAGGTCGAATACGATGGCCAGCTGGAATGGAACCTGCGCGAATACTACCGCCCTTACGATCGCTCAACCTCCATTTCTGATCGATACCTACCATGGTCGCGCATGCGTTGTGTCTTCGAACCTGACAACATCACCAACAACGCCGATTTCCATTTTGTCTGCCGACTCTTCTTCTGGAGGATCCTCCATTTTCCAGACGTGCTGCGGCATCGATTCAGCGGTTTCTTCATTTGTGGAAAAGACTCGAGATGGTCAAAATTGTGGATTTACCTATTGCAACGTTCCCGACGAGGCTGCCGCGAAAGGCTTCATGGCTTGTCTCAATGCCACCGCGACTGGAGTGCGAGCGGAGTGCTTCTTGAGTACTGCAATGGCACCGGATGAACCTTCGACAGCTCACCATAGCGGTTCCAGTGGGAGGAGGATCGATAGATTATTGATGGTTTCAATGGGAGTGCTCGCCATATTGGCACTTGGAATTGGCGGGTCGGCATTGGAATAAGTTGGATGTGTGAATCCGAGGGCGACACATGCGAAGAAGGTCTTCAAAGAATCGCAGGGCGCCTGAGAAAATATCGTCAATTGCACTTTCGTTTTGCCGCGGAACCACCACATTTACTGCAAACAACGGCGGATATTTTTCCACGACAAACGACATTCAATCTTTCGCACCTCTCGAGGTACTACACGCCTGGTCGTATTGTTTCAATTGGTACCAAAAGCTGTTTTCGGAGATCTCGATATACCAGTCGCCAGTGCAAAGTTGCGATGAAAGAGAAGGGCTTGAACCCGTTGTAAAGCATGCGTTCTAGGACAAGGTTAAAAAAGCCTGGTGCGTATAATTGCCATTCAATCATGCTGACTGAATGCCTTTTTGACTGCGGGTCGGCAGGGAGCTTCTTGTCGTCGAGGCCAGTCTAGAGATGGCTAAAGAGGCACGCTTACTGCGCATCTCATTTCGGGAATCTACTAAAACATGATTGCCAGAGGCTACCCACCACTGACTGCATTGGGAGCGTCATTCGATTATCCACGCTTCGTTGTGCGAACTCTGGCTATGATTGATACGAGAAGGCATAGTGACGAACGAAATCAGCATACCACCCGGCTATATCAAATCAGCTTTCTTTCCAAATGCAGTCGATATATGGCAGGACACAGATAGGGTAGTCTGGTAGATAATTAAAATCAATAATAATTATACCACTCCGCAGCGAATTTCCAATCTTTCAAGGTAGAGTAGACCTGAGATCCGTAGTCGCATTGTTCATTCGGACTTAATAGCCAAGTCGTAATTATGATTCGGCCGAGAAAAAAGTGCTTTTCGAATTGTTTGCCATATTTAGGACTTTAGGAATGTACGACCTTATGTAAGAACCTCGCCGTTTGACCTAGGGCTGCAGTAGCGTATTCGCGGCCAGTTCCTCAGCCTCATTTGTGTTCCTCTTCCTGCGTGTTGCCACTTGAATCCGATTCTTCCGCATCTGCGCACACAAACGATTTGTGGCCAAACGTCGCAACATACTCTGCATCCGGCTTTTTATACTTTGAAGAAACCTTGCCGACAACCAGAACTAGCTACTGGGCTCATTCCCGGCAGATTGGGACAAACAATCGAGGAACTCCACACAAAAGGCCGGCTTCTTCGGGCCAGTTTCATGATCGACATCATCGTTGCTCTTTAGTTCAACGCAAGCACGCGATGGTCTGCAATAGCGCTGAAGTACTTCCTGCTGCGCCTTGGATGCGCTTTTGCGACTGATTCTTGTTGTGAGCAGAGATTGGCGCCTGGCAGGAGGATGCTACGAAGAAGGAGCTTGATATCACCATGCATGGCTTGTACGTGCACTCGGGCAAGCACTTCGTGGTGGTTACTATTCAAGTCAACACCATGACTTGCACTGCTTGCCTGAGCCTCGTCGAGTCAGCCGGGAATTCACTCGGTGTCTGGTCAGCACGCTGAGCGATCCCAATCTTACAATCATTCCTCGACTGGAGACGGACCTTGGCGAAGGGGTTCTTAAATCCAGTCATGTTTCGCGCGGCGTTTCCTATGACTTTCTTTCCGCAGGTGAAGTCCAAGGTATCTCACATCATTTCGGACATCGTACATCGTATCTCGTCGTATCGCATTCGGGGCATTTATTGTCTATTTGCGGTGGCTTTACTGGGGAACCCTGACGATCTCCCGCGCAGAAAGAGTGCATGCGAACTGAAACGAGGGAGGGCCTCGAGACTCCTGCGTCATAACACGCCCTAGCTCGCTGCTAGATATTTATCTTAATTGAGAGTTTCTCCCCCTCCAAATCCGGACCGTTCGGATTCTGGCAACAACATCTCTTTCTTTCCTTTTCTTTTTTTTGGCAGACTGTCGCATCGCCGTTAGCTATCATGAAGGGACTTTTAGCTGCTCTGGCTTCGGCTGCATCTGTGAATCTCTGCAATGGTTAGTATACCCTTGCCACGCGCCGCGTCTGTTGCTAACCAACCCAACAGCAGGCGCTGGAATTGTTATCCCTCGAGATGCCTCTCCCGAAGTTTTGGCCGCAGAGGCGCTGGCAGCTCCTATGATTTTAGCAGACCGCGCATTGTCTAATTCACCTACTGGAGGGTACACACCCGGTGCTGTGGACTGCCCATCAACAAGACCTACAATTCGATTAGCAACGGGTCTTTCCGAGAGCGAGACATCATGGCTACAAAAGCGACGGCCAGCGACGGTCCAGCCAATGATCTCATGGCTCTCCCGAATGAACATTTCTGGCTTCGATGCAGCAACATACATCAATAACAATATGGCGAATTTCTCGAATATCCCCAATATTGGAATCGCAGCATCTGGGGGTGGATACCGGGCCTTGTTGAATGGAGCCGGATTTCTTGCTGCCGCAGACAACCGAACCTCCAACTCGACTAATACCGGACAGATTGGCGGTCTCCTTCAAGCTACAACATACCTAGCAGGTCTTAGTGGTGGAGGCTGGCTCGTTACCAGCTTGTACTCAAACAACTTCAGCTCTGTTGAGACTCTCCGCGATGGAAGCCCAGACTCTTCGGTGTGGAAATTTGGCAACTCCATCTTCGAAGGACCGAACTCGGACGGTATCCAAATTTTGAGTACCGCAGATTATTTCAGAACCATCTCAGACGAGGTCAGTGGGAAAGCCGATGCCGGTTTGGGCTTCAACACATCAATCACCGATTACTGGGGACGTGCTCTGTCTTACCAAATGATCAACGCGTCCAATGGCGGACCAGGTTACACCTTCTCGTCTATTGCTGAATCCGACGACATCCAAAATGGCCAGATTCCTCTTCCTCTCCTCGTAGCTGATGAGCGATCACCGAACACAGCGATTGTCTCCCTTAACTCAACAGTCTATGAGTTCAATCCATGGGAGATGGGCTCCTGGGACCCTACAACTTATGCTTTCGCACCTTTGCAATATACTGGATCTAATTTTTCTGCTGGAAGTGTCGTTGCCAACCAGCAATGCGTGCGTGGATTTGACAATGTTGGATTTGTCATGGGTACATCCTCTACTCTTTTCAACCAATTTTTACTCCAAATCAACAATATCACGGCTATCCCGACATTTTTGAGAAATATTTTTACCAATCTTCTCGTAGATATTGGTGAGGATAACAATGATATCGCCCAATGGCAACCGAATCCTTTCTATGGATTTAACAATCAAACGAACCGAAACGCGCAAGAGGCTGAGCTTACCCTCGTGGATGGGGGTGAAGATCTTCAGAACATTCCTCTTTATCCCCTGATTCAACCACAGCGTGAGGTCGATGTGATTTTCGCTATTGATTCATCGGCCGATAACCAGGATGTCGATACCCACACCTGGCCTAACGGTGCTTCACTTGTAGCGACGTACGAACGTTCCACGAACGCGACAATCGAGAATGGAACCGCCTTTCCTTCCATTCCAGGTATCAAGACTTTTGTCAACCTCGGACTGAACAATCGCCCAACGTTTTTCGGCTGTAACGCATCCAACACAACTACTGGACAAAGTGGCATCGCTCCACTCATAGTGTATATGCCTAACTCGCCATACAGCTATAATTCCAACATTACGACTTTCACCCCATCTTATAACAATTCTGAACGAAATGCCATCATCCAGAACGGTTATGATGTCGCAACTATGGGCAATGGTACTTTGGACGCGGAGTGGCCTACTTGTATGGCCTGTGCTGTTCTTAGCAGATCATTCTTCAAGACCGGTACAGCTGTTCCAGCTGCATGCCAAACTTGTTTTGATAGGTATTGCTGGAATGGAACTCTCGATACCGCGACCCCAGCGGATTACTACCCAACTTTCAAGGTCGCTGAGGTCAACATCTCTAGCGGTGCAAGCCCAGCGCTTGTCGTGACAATGGGAGCTTATTCGTCTGCATTATTGGTGGCGGTTGCTTTAATGATGATTTAACGCATGGGATAACATTACATAATATGGCGTATTTTGTGGGATTTTGTATACCATTTTCAGGTTCAACATACTTCGGCTACTAGGCAGGAACGTCATATAGGATGGCGCTCCAGGAGGCGTCGCTTGAAATTTTTTGGATACACATATTTTAGAATAAAATGTAGAGTAGCAACATGAAATGTGTCATTGAAATTCCATTTTAAAGTATTTATTGGCTCTGTATAATGTAGTACTATGACGATCGAGCTCCTAGACATGGTGTAGAAAAGATAAAGTTGAGCACGTGTTGTCTTTTGACCAGACTATCAAACTTCAATTATACTCAAAGTAGTGGAAATTTCATGTTTGTTACTTTTGAATTAGACTGCAAGTACACTAGCTACTAGATATTTGAAACTTGATTGGATATGCATGGCTATCTGCGAAGTCCATACGAGCTGAGCTGATAGATGGGGAATATATGTCACGTGATTTAGATCATGCATCGTTTTTGAGTCTTTTTCGCAACCAACCTGGAAGTTCAGGCTCGACCAAGATTTCTGTATTGGAAGAATACTTGGACCTTTGATTTTGTCTGTTTACAAGAGTATTTCTTTTGTAATCTAACTAATCGTTTTAATATTGTCATCTCAATACGGCTTCCCACATCTCAAACCGAACGACGCCACCAAATCAGTGTTGGTATTGTTCTTTCCTCCCAAACAGACAAAGCTCGTGCCTCGACTCACAACACCAGAAGCAGCCAACCTACCTGACATGAACAAATGAAGGGCTTCACATGACATTTAGCATCAAAGAGAACAAGGGGAGGCACCGACGTGTGCTCTTTAAAAAGAGGATGTCCTCAAATAATACCTCGGACGCGAGCTCAGCGACCGCATCCTCGACTTCCTCAAGGCTCAACAATTCATCATATGGAACCCAGCCACGACAGACTGGTTTCATAATAGAGGAATTATCTTCAGAATCAGAGTCGTATCCCATTGCGGGATATTCCAATAATATGACGACCACAACACAAACCGCGAAGATCCCGGACATTTTCACCACTCTTCCTCCAGTCCGCGATCTGCTCAATACTCAAACGTCACTTCTTCAGGATCAGACGGTCCAAGAATGTCTCCCCTTTCACTTGAACAATTTGGGACTCCCAATCAATCCACATGGTCTTCCGCATCTGGATAGGAAACGACATATCGCGTTTCTCCATAAGAATCTTAGGAGATTGCCAGCGGCTTTTACGGCCGCGGATGCAAGTAGACCGTGGATGTTTTATTGGGCATTAGCTGGATTGGCTACGATGGGGGAGAGCTTAGAAGACTACACAGAGAGGCTGTTGAGCACCGTGAAGCCGATTCAGCATCCTGATGGCGGGTTTGGTGGGGGAAATGGTCAGATGAGCCATTTGGCTCCTACTTATGCTGTGCTTTTGAGTTTGGTTATGGTTGCTGGGGGTGACGTGAGCGAGGATGAGAGGAGGGAGGTCTTGGAATTGGTAAACAGAAGAGCTATGTGGAAATGGCTTGGAAGATTGAAGCAGAGAGATGGAGGGTTTCAGATGAGTGTAGGAGGGGAAGAGGATGTGAGGTGAGTTTAGCACACGCTTCTGATTTTGAGTTTGCTGATTCCCGTTCAGAGGTGCATATTGTGCGATGGTTATCATTACTCTGCTTGATTTGCCCTTGGATTTACCTGTAGATTCCCCGGCGAGGTCAGATGAGTGCACAACGTTTCTGTCAGGTCTGCCAGAATGGGTTGCTAGATGTATGAATATTATTTCACCATATGAGTTTAAAGCTGACCTCTTGGACAGGTCAAACTTTTGAGGGAGGAATTTCCGGAAGACCGGACGCAGAAGCACATGGTGCTTATGCGTTCTGTGCGTTGGCTTGTTTATGTATTATTGACGATCCGCATATTGTCATACCCAAGTACGTCAGATCAAGCTCGTGGTTTGGTTCACTAATTGATGTGTCTGCAGATATCTCGATGTGCCACGTCTGATATCCTGGTTATCGGCTCGTCAGTACGCACCTGAGGGAGGATTTGCAGGTCGTACGAATAAGCTAGTAGATGGGTGTTATAGTCACTGGGTCGGAGGATGCTGGCCACTGCTTGAGGCTTGCCTTGAAGGACCTACCACGGCATCTACTACGAAAGCATCAAGTACAGATAGTCTTTACTCCCGCGAAGGACTTATCCGATACATCCTGAGCTGTTGTCAAGACCAGGGGAAACGAGGAGGGTTACGAGATAAACCAAGCCAGTAAGTATTTTCCAAATCCCCACTGAATCATCATCTTACAATTTTCCAGCAACTCTGACTCGTATCACACATGCTATGTTCTCGCCGGCCTAAGCTCTGCACAACATAAGTGGCGCTTCAACGCTCCTGCAAGAAGTAGTACCGAACGGCCCGAAACTTTAAGCTCAGCCTATCAATGGACCTCCGAGTTTTTGTTTGACGAGGAGCAGATTTTCGATGAGGAAGATCGCGTGCTGACTTTGCATCCAGTTTTTGTCATCCCCGAAGGTATTGCAGAACAGACGCGAGCATACTTTGCTTCCAAGATCGGGTTCTAGAACACTCTAATCCGACTTTTTCTTGCTATTTGTTTATTCTTGGAAAGGGATGCATTCTTCTTGCACAAGTTTTGCATATGAGCGGCGTTTGAAGTGCATTGTTGGAGTCTGTTGGAGCCAATGATATCGTTTCGAAAGCATTATTTCAGAATACTCGTATCGATCTAAGTGTTCTCACGTACAGCATTACCCTGGGATGTATCACATTTCTGACTTTTGATTTTGTACTCTCCAACTCGGCGAATTTTCACAATGGCGGTTCTCAATCAATACACCCGACCAGGTGTCAGGAATCCAACATACGTTGCACACGATGAGAGGTCTCGGTAGCGTCCACATTGAGTTTTCTTCAACTGACCATTATTTGTCCCATCTATTGCATACGTCGTGCAGAATACTCGGCAGCACGAAACGTGATTTTCTGTCATCTTTTGCTGCGATTGCCCAGTGGCTTGCTTGACGCAGTGAGACCGATGAATGCGAGTGCAGATAGTTAATTGAACCCGTTGGTTTGTCAACGAACAGAATCCCGTGAGTATGGCATATAAGCTTCTCACCAACTAAAATCTTACTACATATATTTCTCTCGTTGGTATCTCATTGTCGTCTCTTCGAGGATTATCACTTTGATGAGGGAAATGCTTATGTTTTCAACCGCTCCAAGCTGGAAAAATATTGGGGTTTTGCCGACATCAAAATATTATCCCCGGTTCCAAACTTCGCCGCTGAGAATATGTATGCCAGCACACTCGTCTGTTTTCGGGACAGCAGGCATGAACATTTATTGCTAAGGTAGTATGCGGCGATCCGTAAGATCCCTCGAGGGATATTCCCGCTTAGAGAGGTGTTCTCAGAACACAAGTATAACTCGTGTTCGTGGGATGAAGTACAAATTTTGTCATGTTCAGCGACGTTGACTATGTTATATGCTTCTGATGTTGTGCTTTCTCCGAAGGGAGCCAACAAGTAGTAGTAACCCGATCACTGGATCGAAGAACAAATTATTCTCCCACCCAGCGGCTTGCTGTTGATTCGAGCAGTGAAGTACGCATGCAACTCGACCTGCATCTGCATGCAGAGCATTCAATCACCCGCGAATTGGAGAATTGGAACGTCCATAGTAATGGTATGTCTACCGATAATCCCTCGCCCCCTCGTCTGTTTCCTGTACCGTACGACGTGCAGCTTTTTCTCCGTAGTATATCCCTTCTCATCGCGAGCGATTGGCACACCAATTCTGAAGTACATGCGGGACCATGCGAGCCGTCAGCGTCGAGTCTTTTGCACGGTATCACAGCGCATCCAACGATCAGGCTAAGGCCGAGCGGTCGTCGTTGGCAGACTGGCATTGGAATTCGACGTCGTGGTTGGATCGGCAGCAGAGACCCTTAGATCCAACGAGGTCAGGTACGACCTCTTTACCAGTCACGATCGAATGTCTGGTACCCTCCCGGCGGTTCTGCTTTCCTCGATGCTTCACGATCTATGCCAGACTTGCTTTTGCCATGATTCTTTATTCTAGATGCCTTCCTCAATTGATGATTGTGCATCTGTACGGACTGTCATCCGACGGTCGATCTTACGCCCGGTTGTGGAAGCCGGTTGCTGGACAGACGAGAAACGAGGGCATCGCGGGGTTGTTGTCGCCAGGAAGATCTGACCCCTTCCATCGTCGTCCTCGACTCGCCCACTCCTCCACTCCTCGACGTAGCGAGACCGATGCTGCTGCTTCTTTAAACACCGCTCGCATTGCTTGATATACTCTCCCGTATACCTCTTTCAATTGTTACGGCATATAGCCCTTACTGCTTAGGACCCCCAAGCGCACTGCCAGCTCATCATTGCATGCGCACGCCAACCCTGTCCAAACGGCTAGCTGTCGGGCCTGGCTCACGTCTTTCGCGCCTCCTCTGTGCCCGGAGTGTACTGTACGAAGCACGAAGCACGAAGCGTCCATACCCACGACGCCCTCGGTTGTTGTTGAAACGACTTTTCTGTGCTGGTTCGGGGTCTCACCATCAAGATCTCGCTTCTGGCTTGTCAAGCGGTACTAACCGTTCCACAACGACCACAACAACACAGCAGACAGCAGACAGCAGACAGCAACACCAACTACCCTCACCACTCAGATCTTCTCATCCGTCTAAGGTTCTCACTCTGACGCCACGATGGTTACAGCGTCGACGTCTTCGTACATTTCTCCATCCCTCGTTCTCCGGCGCCCGCACCCTGACGATTGCACGTACCAACGAACCTAATCCCATTTACCATCCACCTCACCCAACCCACTCCGTCACCCCTCCCCCCCTCTCCCCTCATTCAGAGCTTGGTGCTGGAACAGGTCATTCCAGCCACTTTTCATGCATTCCAAGGCTCACCGACTTCGTGTCAAGCCGTACTCCAGTCATTCAGCGTCAATCGCGCAGCAATTTTCCATTGTGGCATGCAGAAGGCTACCGTTGTAGTGCGGGGCACTTGCTTCACCCCATTCTCTCAATCCATACATCCATACTCGAGTATCCAGACCACAGCCGCTGACTGGTAGCCATGGCTACACTCGTTCGATCGTGACTTCTCCGGACTTTCTGGCTGGGAAGGATCGTGTCCCTGGACTAAATCGACTGAGTCTCTGACGTTCCCTGTGCAGCAACTATCCATGTCTTCTTCGATTTCTGTGCATTAGCCTCCAACCCAGCGGATCTCGATGGGACACAGAAGACCACTTTGGAGTGTTAAAACTTGCTAGGAAGGCGTACGAGTACAGACCCATGGAGAAAGCCAGCCAACGCTACTGCTTGTTTTTTCGGCAGCAGCATACCAGCAAAGATTTTTTTGCCCGAGTTCTATGGATGCAAGAAGACGACTATCGCAGAGCAAAGACCCTTTCGCCACTTTGCTGCATGAACAGCTTTCTGTAGCTGCAGACGGACCTCAGAATGGCGAAATTGATACATCCAAGCCGTCAAAAGATCATCCTCTAGTATGCTGTTCTCATGTTGTGGTGGAGTTGCCTAATCTCTCGATATTTATCAACTGGCAACGACCTACGCCAACACATCGATATGGGTCACACATGAAGAGCCGCATCATTACTTGCATCTCATTCACCCTTCGTCCTATCTGAATCGGCTCTGGATATTCTCACGGGAATCCTATCCCATAATCCCTGCTCTGCGCTAACCATAGACTCTGCAATAAATCACACATGTCTCGCCGTTGATGGAGGGAGAGTCCTGCAACGACCCCTCCTGGACACCAACCCGATCAGTCAGCCCTACTCTTCATCAACACGACATTGTCCACACATTATTATCTTCTCATACACATCTCGGAATCTGTGCATCTTTCCCTTGTATACTTAGAGAGGTTGGGCTCAATTGCATTTCTGCGTTTTTCTACGCCCAGATCCTTCGGGCGAACTTCTCAATCGACATCCCTGACCTCATCAACCTGTTCTACCACACATCTGCACTGCCGACAGATTGGAATCGCTGGAACAACGCATCGAATTTGGACAATTGATTGTTAAAGTCAAGAGACAATGGGTGGTTTTTATATGGCATACTTGGAGAGTAGGTTCATCCGTTATTACCAGGAATTTGTCCCACTTCCATGGACAGCTTTATCCGATCTATTGTTCAGACTCAAGGACTTCCCGTCTTGTCTTCCAGGAATTGGCTTTTTCTGTTTCCTGTACCACGTCATCAACCGGTCGTTGCTTCACGTCCATGTGGAATTGGGCAGATCTTGATGCCCAATTTCTGTTTTTGTTAATTCCTGCCACTTTTGTCGATATCTCTTCTATCATCTTCCAAATTGGGATCATTTGAGCTCTGTGATATACAGTTGTTGTCAAAACAAGCTCTAACGTGCCGTCTAGGTTTGTGCCGACGTCGTGGATGGCGGGACCCCTTGTACGAGACCTACCGAAGTTCATCAGGGTTTACCTGCCTAGTCCTCGTCAATGGACGAGAATACCAAACCGATCTCGCGTACGAATCTGATGGATTGGCCCAAGAAAACGCAGCCATGCGGGCGTTTATGGTTTGCCGGAACTTCTCGGTGAACGGAGGTATGCTGGCACGTAATGGCGTCGTCCAGGGACTGCCTGCCAATGAGAGCAGTGGTCGACACAGAAGAAGTAGAGGTGGAGGTCGAAGCCATTCCGTCAACCTCAGCAGCAGCAGCTCTACAACATCTTCCGAATAAGGAAACCAACCTTGCTCTCCTGACGGCTAAGAAGTAGCTGTCAACTTAATAGGCGACTTATACTCCACGTGGCCATACTTTACCTATCCGATTCCAACCTTTCCGGGATGAAATCGAAAACTATAGAAACCCATCTACAAAAAAGTCATGTTGAAAATGATTGACCCCAATTTACAACAAATGAAGAATGGAAATAGGCCTGGCAACGAGGCATCATGACAATGAAAATATCAATGGTTGAAATACTCGCTTTTACGAACGACTTGACGACCTTCAATCGACTTTACCATAACGAATTTAATGACGAACGAATTCAATATCTCTTACATATGAACACTTTGCCCCACGATGGGCCCGACGAATACCACGAAAGAAAAGAAAATTTCAAAAAGGCGCGCGAGAGGTACTGGGACATGAACAGCACCAGAAGCTGAAATCGCAAGTTTTGAAATAATTCATCACGAGGCAACTCACTGCAAACTGTCTTTACGGAGAGGGTTCTACTGATTTTTAATTGCGAATCATGATGTTCGGGAGGAGGTGTGACTTTCTCGGCGGCACTCGTTTCGTATTTCCACTGCGATTTTTGAAGCGATTCAAATGCATTTAGCAAGCGTGGCGGACAGCGTTCGTGAACATTTTTTTAACGACTCTTACGAACTGAATTTCTGGACCGGGAGGATATCTTGTTTTGCCTGGGAAAGGAAGCGAGGGTCTGGATTTCAATTACATGCCTAGGATGAAACGGATGCAGAAAATAGGGTGATTGACCGACAGATGTCGGTTTTATGATATATGACTTATGAAATAAAACGCTATGGGCGACCATTTTGAACTTACTCTTGCTTTACCACTATTCTTTCAATTGGTTCCATGAAGAGTTTCAGTCTTCGAAATGGTTTCTGGTATTTCTGGATAAATTCGGAAATACATTTACTGACATGAAGGCTAAAGCCCAGACTCGATCCAAAGCTCGGGGTTCCCTAGCTTCAAATATTGACAAGTCTAGAATCATGAGCTTGGTGTTAGAGGCATCCTTTCACCTCATCTCTGTATCTTTCCAGCACTTCAACTATTTTCGAATCCCCACTTGCCGAATTCTGGGACATGCCACAAGAAGGATACCTATTATTGTTCTACGTTAAATGATTCCAGATTGGGTGTTCCTCGGTTGTGGCGTTTTGTGATGCACCGCCACTTGGGAAAGTTCCTGGTCTCGTGATTTGGATGGAAGGCCAGAAGGTCGTATTGAGCTTGAATACGAGATATTCAGCTGCATAATCATCACGAAGTATCTTTGTCAGGCGAAAAAGTTTCGATGAAAAGATGATGTAGAGACTGAAAATGCAAATACATATGCAAAAGCAAAGCCGAAGCCACCCCCAAATTCGAAATACGAGTGACACATCAGCGCTTAGGACGTATCAAATCTTCCAGTCACAAGATTGAATCTCGTGATATGTATTGAAAGGGAGCCGCAAGTGAGTCGTTGCCAGGGGATGACAGCTGTGAGTGTTTGTCCTCATTAGAGGTTGAAAAGGGGGCAGAGGGGGAGGAAGAGGAGGGTAAATTAGTCAAAGACAATGTTGAAAATCAATGCGATTCATTTGAGAACGTGGCTTTATGTATGGCATTCAAGCATCTGACTGGAAAGTCAGGTCGTTGTTCAATTTGAATGGTTGAAGAAGGCATAGTGTACTCGTATCCCGTGCGGTGTGTCCCCCTCGGCAGCCCCTTTCTTTCAGGGTGCGAGGCGGCGGCACTAGGATTAACGAGAATTTTAATGGATCCCGAATCGGACAGGACCGCCAGCTTATTTCCTAGACCTACTTGCGTGTCCTCCTTTCCGTTTTCTACAACGCAAACAATTACAACGCATTCACTACTTCTTTCATAATTTCAAATTCACGGTCACGAGCGGATTTGTATCTCGGGCCTTTTTGTTGAGATCTTGAAACTCTGAGGAATACTACGTGCGAACTGTACCGTGGGGTATTTTGTTACTTGTGCCCCTTTTGATATCGCATCCTCTCGAGTAGAAACGCTCGTTCAATCACTTTTCTCAAGATGAAAGGTAGGCTTCTGCGGGGTGTCTGCCAGCTTCGGAATCTCTGCTGACGTTGTTGTAGCTCTCATTCTTGTCGGTGGGTTTGGTACCCGTCTACGACCACTCGTACGTCCCCCACGCAAAGTTCCAGCTGCTCGAAAATCCGCTCGCAGATGAAGAGTATTGAGGAACAGATGGATACTGACATATCAACCAGACTCTCACTCTGCCAAAGCCATTGGTCGAGTTTGGAAACAAGCGCATGATTTTGCATCAGGTGGAAGCGTTGGCCGCCGCGGGGGTTACAGATATCGTTTTGGCGGTGAACTATCGACCTGAAATTATGGAGAAATACTTGGAAGAGGTAAGAATTTCTGAAAGCAAAATGTGTCAAGGGACTGTTGCTAATACTCTGACGGTATAGTATGAAGAGAAATTCAACGTCAAAATCACATTTTCCATCGAGTCGGAACCCTTAGGTACCGCCGGACCTCTGAAGCTGGCAGAAGAGATTTTGGGCAAGGACGATGCGCCATTCTTCGTTCTTAACTCTGATGTTATCTGCGATTACCCATTTGCGGATTTAGCTGCGTTCCACAAGAAACACGGTGAGGAGGGCACAATCGTAGTCACAAAGGTGGAGGAGCCATCGAAATATGGTGTCGTAGTTCACAAACCCAACCACCCATCGCGGATCGACCGATTCGTCGAGAAGCCAGTCGAGTTCGTCGGAAACCGTATCAATGCTGGTATCTACATTCTCAACCCAAGCGTCTTGAAACGTATCGAATTACGTCCTACCTCCATCGAACAGGAAACTTTCCCAGCAATCTGCGCGGATGGTGAATTACATTCTTTCGATCTCGAGGGCTTCTGGATGGATGTTGGACAGCCAAAGGACTTCCTCTCCGGTACATGTCTGTACCTCTCTTCCCTGACCAAAAAGGGCTCAAAACTTCTCACATCACCAAATACACCATGGGTCCACGGCGGAAACGTTCTTATCGATCCTTCCGCTAAAATCGGTAAGAACTGCCGAATTGGCCCTAATGTCACCATCGGTCCAAATGTCGTCGTTGGCGACGGGGTTCGTCTACAGCGCTGTGTCCTCCTTGAAGGCTCCAAGGTCAAAGATCACGCCTGGGTAAAGAGCACCATCGTGGGCTGGAACTCGACGATTGGGAAATGGGCGCGTCTGGAGAACGTCAGCGTTCTGGGTGATGATGTGACGATCGGTGATGAAATTTATGTCAACGGTGGAAGCATTTTGCCGCACAAGAGCATCAAGGTCAATGTTGATGTCCCGGCTATTATCATGTAAAAAGGGGGTTTTGGAGCATTTGGTTTTTTGGGGGGAAGGGCGAGCATTTAAACTGGATTCCCAAAAAGAAAAGGAACAAAGATTTCTGCCTAGTTTTTTTGTTTGGGTTGGTTGTTGAGAGCGTGACTTGGTTTGGTTTTTACTCCCCTCTTGTGTGGTTTGTTTCTTTTCGTGGGATTCGTTGTGCAGGGGACATACGTGGATATGCATGGCGTCTGAAATTGAGGGATGGGATGATTGATCCTTTTTCGGGCGTGCCCTGAACGTTTTGCATGTTTGGAGAAAAGTTTAATGGTTGATGGTTGGAAGATTTGAAGGGTGGGGGAGGGAACGTGGAAGAGGAAGAGGGTTTGGTGTATTATGAGTTTAATACTAGATAATACATTTGACATTTCTGAATATGTTACCTGGACGCCGTATGCCGTTCGAATTGGGTTGACGAGGTCGGGCTGAGTGAGGTCTTTGATTTTCTATAGATAAGCCGGATTTTCAAACAGCGGTTCTGAATAGCCCGTTGGTCGGAAATAAATGTATCCTCTTCAATAAACTACTTCTCTCATGCTAACATTCACACCGAATCCTACCATCATGTCCAGGCCGTCCTGGCTTGAGCATGTCTTCACGTTCCGTGTTTCAACGGGATAAAACAACCCCCTTAAATCAAATTCGTCTAGAGTCTCATGCATTCATACATATCCGGAGTAGATGTTATCTAATTCTTTTCTTCGAACGTATTTACTCGCAGAGTTTTTGTCCTGACTGAGCTCGAAGGGCAGTGTTCATCATGTTGAAGGGGTTATTTTGGGGGGAGATTAGATGCTGAGATACCTAAGTAGATAGGGTAATCTTGTTAGTGTATTCCCGGTTGAATTGGAGTGTATGAGGAGATGCTTTATGGTGATTGCGAGATTGGTCTAATTGTTGGCGTGTTTTGAGATGCTTTTACGAGTTGTCGGGGGATTAGGGTGATGGTACGTTCTTAGAATACATGTGTAAGATAACTACATGTTCATATACCTACCTACCTACCTAGTCATACTTTGTAGAAGGCAACGAGGAGAGAAACAAAAGGCACATGGCAGTGTGTTTTGAGAAGTGAGCATCTGAGGATCCAATGTGTCACTTGTACTTTCTTCGCAGTTTCAGTACCAAAGCAACATGATACCTAGGTAGGTTTTGCAGTTTTTCTATATAGAGAGTTCTCCTCAACATATATACTTAGACATATTTGAGGAATTTAAGTCTTTCACTTAGTGGAAACAAGGGTAGGGGTGAAGTCAATACTGACTCCAGAAAGGGACATGGAAGCCTATATCCTGGTCTTTTCAGACATACTGTTAGATCACTTCATCCACTTCTAGGTGAGATGCTAATTCACATAATGGTTTACCTTATATACGGAATGTTATTGTCAAACTAATTTAACGGAAAGATGATAGCAATGATCCTTTTCTGGCAACAAAATTGGCTGTTGACACATCGTCGGTTAGACACTAGGTAGATATGTTCTAGTGGTTCGATATATGGTTGAATGAAATTCTGTTACGGCAGTAGAGCTTGCAGATAATCTTCCCTCTACTGATTGAAGCTTGTAGGTGGCGCACTCTGGGTGAGAGAGCACATGTAAAGCTTATGCCGTGTTGTAATAGTATTGTAAAATTATACAGTGTCACATCTCTACACCTTCGCTACACCTTCTATACAGCGTATGATTTCTTAAACGATGCGAGATTTGTAAACGGTGTTAGAACGGTAGTAAAATCGTAGTTGTACCTGAGATCTGCCGTGAATAGAGATACCTGACCCCCTCATCACGACATACATTCTTTCAGGTGCGGAACAGCGATGTTGGAACGAAGTAGGAATGGAACGGGTCAAGAAGAGGACTTGATATAGGCAGGCACCTTAGGGACGTAGGATTGGCGAGACGGCTAGATGTGAATTTTCCACCTGGGAACCACCTGTAAGGAGACCTTGGATTCTGCAGCCAGTTAGGAAGTAGAGGAAACACTTCGACTCAATTATCTGGCAGAGCTGCAGAGTTTTAAGCGTCACGATGATTTCACGACCAACACACAACTGAATCGAGCGGGCTTATTCTTAGGTACCTAGGTTGTAAGTACCTGAGGTTCAACCCAAACGCTGAAACCTCAGACCTTATAAGTACCTAGCGTAGGAACCTTCGCGAGGGGATCGGGCATGTAAATATCATGTTAATACCGTAATATCATCATGTCGTGACTCCACACCGTGTGAGAAGTTTACATGCGTTCTAGAGCATTTCTTTCGGCTACACCGTAAATTGTGTCACTATCATATCACGACGGTGTGGTCAGCCTGTGGATAGCATGTGGGAACTATAGCAACACGCGGAATATATGGATTCCCTTTGCCGTTATTTGAGCCCTTGTCACTACCTACTCGAGTCCGAGTGGCAATAAGTCATAATCTTGAAAGCATTATAGACAAAGATGAGCTTCAGAGCTTGTATTTCTAGCAGGAAATGCATAGAGGCGTTAAAGTCTAGTCACGACATCAAGAACTTGAAGTGTTATGGCTTTAAGTAGGTACATGCTATTAGAAGACAAATCAGACAACTGCAGGCATAGGTAAAATCAATAGGACAAATCCATTCTGTTCATGAGAGGTTTAGTAGTAGTTGTGATGTGGTGTCAAGAAAAATGCCTAATTCTTTCTTGAGGAAAGAAAATTGCGAGAAAGAGATCGAGCCGCGAGGGGGGGGTTTATAGTCGACGCTAGTGTGTGGTCCCACTTTTCGTGTCTTCCTTCCGTTGAATGAGGTGACTGTTGAAGCGGATGGCCAGGATGTGCTCTTCGGCAAGATAGGCGGTTGAGGTGAAAATAGAGAGATGTACTAAGCAGGTAGATCTCGGGGAGTACAAACGGTGTCAACATCATAGTGTTACCATGTAGTGCGGTCAAATCATGTGAGAGGTTTACACGCGTTCTGCAGCATATTTCTCGTTACACCATGTAGTCAATCAAATTTTGTTACTACCATGTCACGACGGTGATGGCAGCATGTGGATAGCGTGTGACAAACGTGGGGACACCTTAGCACGAGTCACATCTGCTACACCTCACTCGTGACATTTTTGCAATCGCGACGCTGAAGTGTTGTTTGCTTCTATTGAAATAGCACCCAGAAACAAGCGAGACGAAGAATCATATTGCCACTAATTCGCAAATTTTGGAAGTAATAAGTGTTTACTTTTGTCGCGAGATACTCACTCATCTAGTAACACATCTGCAGCCTTACGTTGTAGATCAGTAAGACGGCGGAGAGATCTCATGCAAGGAGCTTGAATGTACCAGGAGGCCAGCTCCTTCCCAAGAAAACGATCGACCTGAAATGTTTCTTCCAGGAAGCACACCTAGAAGTGTGTATGCAACATGCTTGAAGTACCCATCAACCTAGAAATGGTAATGGAGATCTTGCAAACTGCCCTGGCAAGCTTAGGCAAAGCCAGGATCTTGCTTCCCAGTCACTGATCAAAAGATGCTTGCAACGCTCTGGGATATGGGTTTGTGAACGCATACAACCACGAACAGACCTGATCGAGTACCAGGTACTTGGTAGGGAGAAAATAGCCGAGATAGTTTGGAAATAACTTCTAGGGAGCTTCAAGAAGTGATGTGACTTGACTTGTACTTCGTCGGTAAGTTCCAGATTGCTTTTGCAGTGATCAGGAAGAAACTGTCTTTGATTTAGGTGTGACATGATAGATTTCGTGGCGTCGTATACAGCTCCTAAGGTCGAGGTTCCCAGGTTGTATTGTTCACGAAGGCTGTGCTCCCAACTAAGCATCATCGAGTGCCACTTGAGAGACTATCGTTGATCTTCACATGGTTATATTGACGGCAAATCCTCGTCTGTCTCGGAAACAACATGTGCTGCCAGGATTGCCTGCGGACATATGCCATGAGTCACTTCAGCACGTCCAAACAAGAAGTGCTGTGCGCCAAACAAGACGTTTTTGTTTTTGGAACAGAAGTTTTAGGTATGATAAACATACGAGATGTGAACCATGGATGTGTGAGATGCTTGTCCACCCCAGGGCATGAGCAGCTGTTCATTTTCTGTATGGTGCGTTTCCTGGAGTGCCTGCCGGTTAACCCGAACATCAAACACTCCACTATATTATAAATGTTTATAGACTAGAAGTAGATGGCTGTAAGATATGTCACTGGGGTATCTATTGGTTTATTGATCATATCTTAGTCACAGACATGTCAATAGCATAAGGCATGTATTTGAAGATCACACCTTGTTGTTTCTTCTACGATTTACACAACAGCGACCACGTTGGACTCTCGGTCTGTGTCCTGTATCCTAGCGAGAGCCTACTCTTTACCGTTTATGATGCGATTCCGGGTCTTTGACAGGTCGTCTATGATGAGTACCTCGCTTAGCGAAACTGGTATTCAATCTCCAGATCAGCATTTCAAACAAATACTACCCCAGCGGGTTTTCTTAGAGATCTCAATCAAGGGTAAATGGCATGTGTTTAGTTTCATACTGCTTGAAGAAGCAGGCCACTGCATGATCTAGCCCTTGACAAACGGTCTGATTCAAGTTCTATGAAACAGCACGTTTTGGACAGTTAAACACCTTTCAGGCGGCCGACGACCGGATTCAACGCTGGCACACGATTAAAGATCGGCTCAAGGATGGCTATTAGCACGCTTATAAGTGAAATACCCCGCATACCATCAAAACCTTCTTCTGGCTGTCTACGCTATGCCCTCGTTTCCCCAGAAATCCCCACGCAACACCTACATAAAACAGCACACAACCAATGACACCACATACCAATATTCAACTTCTGAAAGTACCCCCATAGCAAAGCAAAGCAAGCCCATAAATAACCTACGCAAAACAATATCTCATATAATGTTTCGCGTTTTCTAAAATTAGAAGTGTTCTGTAAACATGATCGACATTGATCAAACATTAAGCGAAACGCGAATTTTGAGGG